ACACACACACACACACACACACACACACACACACACACACACACACACACACGCACGATCAAGGCCGTCTACACACCACAGCCACAGCCACAGCGATGGCGCCTCCCCAGCAGTACCCTCTCCCACCCATCGTCTCGAACCTCGCCGACGTGTACACCTCGTACGTCTACCCTCTCCTACCCGGCCCTCTACAGTCCGTCTCCGCGGGGGTCGCGTCGGTCTTGTCCTCCGGCATCGCCGCCGCGACGAGTGGAGACCTTGTGTCGCTGGCAGCGTTCGTGGTGGTGTTGTACTTGACTCTGAAGATAGCCGACTACGTACGGCGCAGCGTGGTCGCGTGGGTGGTGTTCGTCGTCAAGATCGCCGTGGTCCTGGCGCTGGTCAATGCGGCCTTTTATGTGAATAGCGTGGGCGTGCAAAAGGCGCTCGGGGACGCCGAATGGCTCGTGAATTGGCTCTGGAGCTTTGTCGAGGACAAGGTCTTGAACGGTGCCGGAACTGACAACAAGACGGGTCCGTTTGCGTACTATGGAGGTGGGAGGCAGCAGGTGCCGATTTCACGGGGCAAGAGCAAGTGGACTTAGACTTGCGGAACCTGGCCATTCGGATGCGAACACCATGACGATATCAGGCGCTGGCGGACACCGGAGCTGAGAGAAACAACAACATTGATCATTGAGTGTTGGAACACGCAGCTCAAAAACTGAAGGGTTTTTGGTATATACAATGTGTCCCGAAACCATTACGCCTCCAACGCCAACGCTTGACTTGCAAAAATCCAACAGGCTGGTATGACACGGGTTGGCTTGCTCATTCTTCCTCCCAAGCCGGCTCTTGCATCTCGGCCTCCTTGGGATCTCTGGGCTCTTGTGCCTCGTGGTATTGAATGGCGTCGTCAATGTAACTGAGAATGTCACCGACGCTGTCTTCGTCGTTTACGTCGAGCTGCAAGAAAGAGACCATTGAGAAGTCATCTATCAACCTCGCGACGGCCCGGTTTAATTGCTTGAAGGAACCTCCGGTCATGACTTGATCGATCTCATGTGGGTTGCGGACATCAACAGTGTGTTCGGCGGTCCCCCGACCTGTATCTTCATAGTCCAGCAAATTCGCATCGGGGTCTGTAAATCGCTTCATCTCTTTCTTGGGCACCTGTTCTTTCACCAGGTCCATCTTGGACAGGATGTTGACATGAGGAAGTTCCAGCATGATCATTGCGCTCATTGCGGAGAGGGTGCCGGCGAAAAATTTGGCCTTGTCTACCACAAAAGTCGCTTCTAATAAATATGCGGCACATAGATTGATGTTCAATGGACCCATTCTTGACAAGTATTTGACCAGTTCCGGTAGCAAGGGGATGTGCGTGTAGAGTTCGATCTGGCCGGGGAGGTCGAAGAGAATGAGGTATTCTTCCGAGACGGGATCGAGAGCAGAGGCAAGGAAGTCGAGATTTTGGAGGAGGAATTCGAAGCAGAAGATCAAGCCTCCGTTGGGACCCAAGGACATTTCCTCCATTACATCTTCCAGCGAGATCAGGTCGCGGATGTCGAGGTCGGGCTCGAAGGCGAAGTCGTTGGCGGCGGGGTCGAGGTTGACGTAGAAACATGAGCGGCGGCTGTTTTGGAGATGTTGTATCAGAGCAGTACAGAAGGTCGTCTTGCCTGCCCCGGCAGGACCCATGACAAGGCAGCCAAACTTCGACATGACGGTCAGTTATGTAGAGAACGAGGCGGTTGAAGGCGGATCACAGAAAAGGAAGAATTGCGCTGGCGCAGGCGCAGGGATTGTTTGCGCTGAGACCGGAGCGCATCTGTTTGGGAAAAAAAGAAAACAAGTATTTCCCTGATACGCCGGTTGAAAGAGGGTCTCTTTCAGGTATTGTTGCGAGATTGGTAGATTTGGTTGTTGTTCGTGGAAGTGCCGTGTATGAAGACGGACCAAAAAAAAAGGTTCAATGTCACTGACGATACTGTATGTACTACGGAGCACGGTGAATAAGTAATGCATGACATAAGATATGGGCTAGGGAGGGTACAAGTACTCCGTATGTGTACTTGTACTGGACAAGCTGGGTACCTCTAGACAGGCACGATACACACCTGAGAACGAGTACCTACGAGGTACTCTGCCTTTGAAAATGAGCATCGACACCGGCAGAAGGTACCTACCTATTGGATGGAGGCTTGTAGAAAACTCAGTCACCGTCTCTCCCACGAACTACAGTATCTATCTCGGCCCCCTGAGGACCTGGAAAGGCCCTAGCGACCACCCGGAACGAGAGCAAACGAGTCCCGCATGGCATGAGGTGGAATACGGTGTCCCGATCGCAGGCATGGATGGAAGCATGGGGCCACTCAGATTTTCCATTTGCTGGCCAACTGACTCTCAGCGACTGCCGAACAAACACAAACGGGCTGGTGCCGATAACGACATCGCATCTGGCGTGTTTTTCTCCTCACCCATTCTTTCGCCCCGATTTTTTTTCCTGGGCTTGAGAATCTGTCTTTCTCTCCTTCTCTCTGCCTTCACATATACCGCCAACCTCCCACTCCACCTTCTTTGCTGTCTTTCTCTGACTCCTTGCCCTACTTCTGAAGGCATTCCTCATCGTATCCTCGTCAGATCTCAGAGCAAACGAGACCGCAGATTGTTACTGTTCTGCTGCCCAAGCCTCCTCAAAACTCCGCATTCTTCCCTTCTACCGGCCAATTGTACATACCCCTCCACCTTACGGGCCTCCTACGCTCCTAGATATCTTACCATTCACCATTCTCTAGACCTTCTCAGTCCTTTCCAACACATTCAAAATGGCCGGTGCCGTCAACGGAGTCGACAAGCGCGACACCTTCCTTTTCACCTCCGAATCAGTCGGTGAAGGCCACCCTGACAAGATCGCGTAAGTTCTCGGTGTATTGCGATATGGCCGAACGCCCTCCGCTAACCAGATATGTAGCGATCAGGTCTCAGACGCTATTCTCGATGCCTGCTTGAGAGAAGACCCTTTCTCCAAGGTCGCTTGCGAGACCGCCACCAAGACTGGTGTGTGCCCCCAAACTGCGGAAGCTGCCCTGATTCTGACCCCTACCTAGGCATGATCATGGTCTTTGGAGAGATCACCACCAAAGCCCGCCTTGACTACCAGAAGGTCATCCGTGACGCCATCAAGGACATCGGCTACGATTCGTCTGAAAAGGGCTTTGATTACAAGACATGCAACGTCCTCGTCGCCATCGAACAGCAGTCCCCCGATATCGCTCAAGGTCTACACTATGATGAAGAGTTGGAAAAGCTGGGTGCCGGTGACCAAGGTATCATGTTCGGTTATGCTACCGACGAGACTCCGGAACTTCTGCCTCTGACCGTCATCCTGGCACACAAGCTCAACTCTGCCATGATTGATGCCCGCAAGTCGGGTGAGCTTCCTTGGTTGCGACCAGACACAAAGACCCAAGTCACCGTCGAATATGCCCACGATGGTGGTGCCGTCATTCCCCTGAGAGTGGACACTGTTGTCGTCTCCGCCCAACACTCACCAGACATTACCACGGAAGATCTACGAAAGGAGATCAAGGAGAAGATCATCAAGCGGGTTATTCCTGCCAAGTACCTCGACGACAAGACCGTCTATCACATTCAGCCCTCCGGTCTCTTCATCATTGGTGGTCCTCAAGGTGATGCCGGTCTCACTGGCCGTAAGATCATCGTCGACACCTACGGTGGCTGGGGCGCCCACGGTGGTGGTGCTTTCTCTGGTAAGGATTACAGCAAGGTCGACCGATCAGCCGCCTACCTCGCCCGATGGATCGCCAAGTCCCTCGTCAAGGCCGGACTCGCTCGCCGTGCTCTCGTCCAACTGTCCTATGCCATCGGTATCGCCGAGCCACTGTCCCTGTTTGTCGAGACATACGGAACCAGCAGCAAGAGCAGTGCCGAACTCGTCCAGATCATCCGGGACAACTTCGACCTCCGACCTGGTGTCATTGTCAAGGAGTTGAACCTCACCAACCCTATCTACTGCAAGACGGCCAAGAACGGTCACTTCACCAACCAGAGCTTCACCTGGGAACAACCCAAAGAACTGAAGTTCTAAGTCGGCCCTTGGAGTTCAATCACGTTCGTATTAGCAAGGAGAGAATCACGAACTGGAGTGCAGTGAATAGACGAGGATGTGGTACTTGCGGAGGTGAGGTCCGAGCTTCTAGTTTCAACAGACTCAGAGACGGACCGGACCTTTTCGCTTTCAGGATGCCTTGGTGACTGAAAAGATAGAAGTGGTTGAATGTTGTTTGTGATTTTTTTGCTGGCTTCTTTCAGAAAGATGTCAACCACTTGGAAGAGGTGGGGCGATTTTCAATTTCCTTGCTTTGATTTGAACAAAAGGTGAAAAAAGTTTCTGGGCGTGGGTTTCGTGACGATATTCAACATGTTATGATACCCCCTTGCGCGCAAGATACATTTGACGGTTTGTTTACGATCTGCGATTTGTGGAGTCTTTTGCACTCTGTGGCATTGGGAATGGCGTTCAACTCGCTATGCTAGAATGGAGAACTACGGCCTGAAGGATATTCCTCCATAAGGGGAGACGAATTGATAGGGCCGCGGAGGGATAACAGCGGTAGCGACTTGCCAGGGTAATGGGTGGTCGCCGCAAAGGTTATGAAAGACGGCAGGCAGTATTAGGCCATACTACTGGTAGAACGACAAGTCAGTAAGTAGATGTTTGGATAGACAGATGGCTATGGTGGTGATGATGATGATGATGGTGAATAGCCTGAACGAATAGATTTTGCAAGACACAAAGTCCGAGAATGCCGAATGAGCTTGTTCTTTCTCATTTGAACAATTCCGTGTTCATCATGCTCTCTATCAAGGTACTGATTGTGTCTTGATATTCGCTAACTGAGTTACCACCAGAACCACAACAAAATCAAAATGTCTCGGTAATTACAGTGCAGTGAAATCACCCGGTAGCGTGCCACCGCTCTCTTTTGCAGTGGGGGTCGCTCGCTCATATACATCTAGCTATCTACCTATATAGATAGATAGACCCATGGGTACCAGGCAAATTGGAAACAGTGGAAACAATGGAAACGAAGCTCCTTCGCTTTCGCCCTTTTTTCGCTCTGCTCTGCTTTGCTTTCTTCGCGCATGTTTAACTGACGAGGACATCCAAAACCAAACCAACCCAACCCAACCCTTCTTTTCAACATAATAAAATGGCGACAACAGAGGTCTAAAAAAAAGGGATTTATACAAGGTTTCAAAACCCAATGAATGAGACATGGACATTTCTCTTAAGCTCTCTCTTCTCTCTCCTCTCTTTCCAAAAAACAAAAAAGGGGGTGCCCAAAACCACCCACCCCCATGACTCACCCCAACGCCCATATCGATAGCAAGTCCAAGGCTAGAAGCAGTTCAATGAGCTTCCCTTTCGTTTCTTCGTCTTGCCGTCTTTCCCGACCGTCAGCAACCGCATGCGTTCTTCGAGTTGCGCTCTCGCCGCTTCGGCCTCGCGACGCTTCTTGACTTCTTCTTCGACCGCCTGGACACTCAGGCGCTCCGACCGACGCTCCTTCTTGAGTCCCGCCAGTTCTTCTTCCATCGACCAAGCCTTCTTCTTCCAGATCTCGGCATCGGCGCGGAGCTTGTTCGATTGCGTTTCTAGATCGACCAGTGCCTCCTCGAGAGTGGCCGTCAACTGCTTTTCAGCATGAAGGTGTTTCTCGATGGTGCGCAAACGGTTCTCTTGTTCCTCAATGAGCGCAGAGGATCGCCGGACGTTCTGGGAGTTGGTAGAGACGGCAGTGCCGGACACTGGTGTAACTGGTAGTGTGACCTCTTTTGAAGCGTGACGAGATTGAGGAGGCGACGGATTCGTAGCACCTCCCACTTGGATACCTGGTAAGGTAGGTAAGGGTGGTAGAGGGATGGCCGGTGGAGGCGATGGCAGAGAAGCAATAGACGCTGACTTGCGTAGATTCGAGCTTATCGAATTGGATCGGGGGACGCTGCCGTCGACTGGCGGCGATTGAGGCCGATTTTGTGATTTCATAGTGTTTGTTCGCGAGCCGCTGTCTGAACCACCGTCGTTGATTGATCTTCTCTGGTCGAGATCCTTCTCCAGGCTAGCAATTCTCTGCTGAGCCTCGACCAAAGCCTGATTTCCTTGAGCTTGAATCACAGACACTCTGTTGTGATGCTGCTCGAAGCTGCTCTGCAACTGTTGCTCAAGTTCCTCGATGATGATTGACTTCTTAGCCTTCTCGGCTTTGATAGTGTCCACAGCTGCTTCGGCCTTCTTGATTTGAGCCTCCTTCTCGCGGATTGTTTCCTCGTGGTTAGCAACTTCATTCGCGAGACTGCGGATGGTCTCTTGATAGTTTGCAATCTTAGCGTTCGCATCTGCTAGCGCTTCTTCTAACTCGAGCAAGCCCTGTCTACCGTCAAGTTGACGTTCAAGTTCAGCATTCACATCTTTCAACCGCAGGTTGGCCTCCACAATGTGACACTTTTCATCCACGACATCTTGAATGTGGCTGGCAAGCATATCTGCATTGGTAGGGTGGCCCAATGCGCCTTGAGCCTTTGAAACAAGTTGGTCAATTGTGGTGAGAGCATGTTCAAGATCTTTCTTGTAGGTAGACACAAGCTTTTCATGCTTCTTTGTCATCTCTGCGATCTGATCGTCGTAGCCTGCAAGATGACCCGCATGGGCTAACTTCATCTCCTCAATCTGGCTGTTGTGTGAGTCGTGTAGTGATTTCAGACCTTGTTTGTGTGATTCGAGAGCCGAATCTGCCTCTTTAACTTTCTGCTCAAGCTGTGCAACATGTGTCTTGAGAGAGGCGATCTCACTTCGGTGCGACTTGGCCAGTTCCGTCTGAGCATCAAAGTCTTTGCTCAGTGAGTCATGTAGTTGCTGGAGTTCAGACACCCTCGCAGCATATTCAGTATTCAAGCCTCGCTGTTCTTCGACCTCGTGTTTCAGACTGTCTATGAGTTCTTGATAGTTGTCGCGCTCGTTCTGCATGGCCGCAGCAGTATTGGCGCGTTCAGACGCCACATCACCCTCACCAGAGACTTGCTGAGCTTTGAGAGTTGCTACGCTTGCCATCGCCGCCTCTAGTTCTGACTTTGTCCGAGAATATTTCTTCTGAGACTCTTCGACAGCTTGTTGACTAGCCTCCAGCTTAGATGTCAAGGCCGACAACTGTTCGTTAAGGGACTCAATCTTTCCGTGATCTGGGGATCCAGGAGGGGTGAGGTGGCCATTGGCCTTCTCAGCGTTCAATCTCTGGATTTCCTCCTGCAGGCCTTGCTCGCGTCGGGCGTATCCTTCGTGGAGCGACTTGAGTTCGGTCTCCTTTTGAATGATTTGATCCCTTAGCTGAGAGACCATGTTGAGATCGACGGGCGATCCGGCCTTGATACTCGTTCTTTCTCTCGTGAGCCCCGAAATGATGGTAGACTTGAGTTCCATGTCTTTCTTCACCGTCTTGACTTCGGCCTCGAGTGACTGGATACGTTCTAGGCGCGCTTGGAGTTCGAGAGATGCTGCGGAGAGATGCACTTCGGCGCCTTCCATCCTGTCAGGCCGGTTCTCGAACTCTTCCACAAGCAAAGACCTCAATGAAGTAATCGACCTGAGACCACGATCAATTGCATTGTTACTCTGCGAGGTCATACGTCGCAACATTCCTGGTGTGCTAGGTGATGCTGGTCTAGCTCGCTGGACCTGTGACTTCAGCCGGTCGACCGTTGTCAACGCGTCCTTGTGATCAGCTTGAAGTCGAGTGTACTGCTCGGTGACCTGCTGAATATTCCTTTCATGCTCTTCTAGAAGATTTTGCAATCTCTCAATCTCTTGCGTGGCAACTTCCATTGCCGGAGATGCTTTAGAAACCGGGGTGATATCGGTATCCACTGAGGTTGAAGATTCCCCAGCTAAGGATAACTCCGAGGACAATGACCGCGAGGAGGGTAGTTCGCGCCCATCCTCCACTTCTTGCAGTTGACTCTCGTCTAAAAAACGCGGGCTCGAAGGCGAGTGAACAGGTTCAGCCTGTTCAGAGATTTCACCTTGGCGTTGCTCCTCAAAAGAGTCGTGCATCTGCGCCAATGTTCGAAGTGCCTCCTCGTATTTGGCTGACAGAAGATCCAGTTCGTTGACTGTAGACTCATGTTCAAGGCGGAGATCAAAGAGTTCTTGGCTAACGGCCTCAAACTTTTCAGTGATGAATTTGGATTGAGCAGGACTAGGAAGCGCATCGTTGGTCTGCTCTGCTGTGAGGTGCTCCCTCTGAGCAACAGCAGTCTCGAGCTTTTCGAGGCCTGCGGCGTCACTTTCGGCAACGACGTGGTCGGCAGGATCTCCGATGTGTTCGTCGAGTTCATCCTCTTTCGCGGGTGGCAGTTCAATTGCTTCTGCCACGTTGAGACCTTGCTCATGCTCTTCCTCGATAATCTTGTCCTCTTCAGGGGCTCGCTTACTAGAAAGCTTGGACTTTCCTTCCTTGTCTTGAATATGGTCCAGCTCGTATAACAGATTGTCAAGTTTGCCGAGACTTCGTTGGCGCTCCACAAGATGCTCCAAGCGCTCACTTTCACGTTGCATGATCTCGACGTCTTGGTCTGCTTCGGCAAGTCGTTCTTCCAATGTACAAATATAGTCCTCGGCATTAGTTTCACTTTCTCTGATGCGTGAGATCTCTTTCCGGAGTTCAGAAATGATGGCGTCATTTTTCTCGCTACCGGTGCTTTGATTGTCGAGTCGCGCCTCCAGGTCATGGAGATACTGTTCCGTGTTGGATTCTCGATCCATCATTTTCTGTACGCGAGCATTCAGTTGCTGATTAACTGTTTCAACATAGGCGCATTTTGTCTCTTTCTCCAACAAGCTACTCTCCGTGGTAGCGAGAGACGAACGAGTGGTCGAGAGGTTTGTCTCCAGGCTTTGAATGGTCTTCTCATATTCCATGACCACTTGCTCAATCATTTCTTGATTGGCTTGCGATCGTCGCAATCTGTCAATAGCGCTTTCTCCGGGTAGTGATGTTGCTTGATCATATGTCTCAGTATTCTTGGTCAGCTCGGATATAAGCTTTGCATGTCGTTGGCTCAAAGCACCGTAGCTCTCTTGAACGTCGAGGAGCTGATTTTGCAATTCATTCTCCCGATCATTTGGTCTGTCTCCCCGCTCTGACATGCCTCCAGGTCTTCGATCACCTGACTCTGCACTGCGAATTTGTTGTCTCAAGAAGGCAATTTCGGTGCGTAGGCGTTCGATGATAGCTTGCTTGTCGGCTCCATCATCAACCTGCTGAATCTTCGGCTTGCTCTGGATGTTTCGGGCTCGCTGTGCATATTGTACAGTATTCAGCGTCTCACTAAGATGGAATTCCGCTGGGGTTACACAGGCAATCATGTAAGTGATAGCATTACCACCTAGTGAATCTTGAAGCATTCGAGTCAATTTGGAATCTCTGTATGACACAAATGTTCCAGAGGCTTTGGAGGACAATTGTGAAATGACTTTGCCTAAGCTGGCCAATCCAGCATTGATGGAGATTCCCTCTCTTGCGCGATCGCCGGTGGCTTGTGTGTTTTTCAGTCTTTCGCTACCAGCCAGATCGACGAAATGTAGTTTACTTTCCACTGTCATAGGGGAATCGTGTGAGGGGAAATGGTCACCTGCAATTGAAGCTCGTTTGTCTTTCGTTGAGGTGAATCCTTGTGCTTTGGTTTGACGAAGATTGATGGTGAAGACAGCGTGGGACCGAGAAGATCTCGCATTGATAGCTGTCGCATCGGTTTGTCGAATGGTAGAGCCGTGATTCAGGACACGCATCAACTCTTCCATAGAAGAAACGCGTACGGAGTTGAGGCCTTCCACAAAGATTCGACCACGAGGGTCCTCCCGGATCTGGACGTTGGCTCGTTCTGTGAATGGTGCATCCTCGGGCAGGAGAAGATCCCTAGGCTGCTCGTTATAAATCTCGACATATGTCACAGACATTTCCCAACCCTTGTCCGGAAACGACTTCGAGTTACGCATCACTTGGTTTAAACTTGTGACAGAGTACCTTGTCGGTGACTTTAAGCCGGAGTTGTGGCGGCTGTGTGTAGGCGCTCCATTTAGGTTCTCAAACAGGTGCTGCGCTGCGCGAGGAATGACACCTTCGACCATGTTAGTTTCCAAGTATCAATGAGCATTGTGTCATCATACATACCTTTCATAGAAGGGTCGAACTGTTCATTGGGGCCTGATGTACCCATGGTATAACTCTTTCCAGACCCAGACTGGCCATAGGCTAGGATAGAGACATTGTAGCCTTGTAGGAAGGAGTTCACGCTGTCTTGAAGGTATTCCCAGACTCCTTCCTGATCGGTGTCTCCTCCAAAGACGCGATCAAATATGAACATTTTCCGTCCCTGAGGCGACTCGACTGCAAGGCTGGTATTTGTATTGACTTGCACCATCGACCGCTGAAAACGCTGTGGGATAAGTTCGAAGCCAGGATCGGTAGGGCCCAACGGCGGCCGCACACGAACCACTCCTTGAGGTCAGTATACAGATTCAAGAGGAGGGCATTGTTTACATGTCACGTACCGACTTTGACCGACGTCTTTGCATCTTCATCTGAGGCTCTACTTCCCACATGATTGCTGCTCTGGCTCATGCGACTATTGCTCCGCGGCGGAGGCCGGCCGATCATGCTCTGAGGTCGTTGTTTCTGAGCCGGATCTGGCGAAGGGACTGAGTACATTGACTGCGCACGAACCTGGCGCGCAGCCTCCGGCGACCCTGGCGGGGATGAGATCATGCCGGGCAGCCTCGACTATGTTTTGACTCGAGCGTCCTCGTGTTTGCGCAATCGGTGCTTCCCAACGGCTGTCAAAGTGCACGGGAACGCACGGTTGTCGGTTGCGGACCTCTGAGCATGAAGGTTGACGCGTATGTGGATTCGAGGGAATAGGAGATTTAATGACCGGGGAAAGGGGTCGAAGAGGGCTTGAGGGCGTCAACAGCTGTGGGGGACTCCGAGCGTGATTCAATAATGTATCGTAGGTCTCGACAAGCAGGTCGACCGTGGCGGAGGTGTGTGTTGGTGATCAAGTCGCAGGGACACTGGTCATCTGCTCGGAAAGAAGTGATAGTGATAAGGGAGTGACCAGGGCGCCCCCGGGAAACGTGATGTTTCCGTTGGCAATTAAAAATCCTACTAAACAAAAATGGAGGGCGAAGAGTGTATCCAAGACGGGAGGAAAGGGCAGGAGTGTGATGCCTTGCGGCTAGAAGGATGGCGAGCGGCCTCTACAATTCTTCTCGCGCGTGCGTGTTTGTTCTGTATCTTGGTGTGTCAGGAGTCGAGAAGGGCTTGGGCCGCATGAGGAATAGCTGGGGTTGTGCGGAATACATCGAAGCCTACGACGACTTTCGTTGACCCTGTTTATTACCTTAAGGTACTAACTGGCCCTGACTGGTGCCCTGACGCTGCTGCACCAGATCTTCAGGCCATTGGCAGAATTAATTTCCGGGCTTGCGGCAAATGCTGTGGGTGTGCCTAGGGGACTCTTTGGGGCGGTCTTAGCGGCAGCTCTAGCGGTCCTTCCTAGCTCGGAACCATTCCAGGCACCCAGGAACCGGCAAGCCTAACGGCGCCTCGTTGTCTGCCCAGGCCTGTCGTTGGCTGTCTAGCACGCACCGGCCCTCTATTCCACCAGGCCCGTCGTGCCACTATCCCCGATCTGTATATATCGCCTTGGGGTGTCTACCCAGCCACAGGCCACGGTCTTGTGTTTCAAGCTGCTATGCGTCAGGGGTCGACGAGGCTTATCCCTGTCAACCTCGCTTGACAAACAGTTGCAGGCCCTCACTTTTGCTTCTTCCTTAGACCGGCATGCTGCTCATGGAAAAAATCCATCCGAATGAAGGCATGACCTTCATCCGTTGTTTGGCATTCTTCTGCTTTCCCCCACTTCTATGCCGGATGCAGGTAAACGGAGCCATTTATGTTATTCTATACTAGTCCGCAGGATCCCGCTGTACAGTACACTACAGCTCGTTACCCTGGCTATCCGTTCCTCGAGTGAGCATCACTTGACAATTGATGCTCACTACGGTATGGTGCTGGATTCTGATGAAGCTTTCTGAATGTCTGAGACACGACGGCTCGTTGACTAGGCAGACAGATCGGCACTGGCAGCTTTCAAGAATCATTCAATCGATCTCGATGCGACCAGCAGGACCGCTGCTGCGACTGCAGACCTCGGTGGGACGAGATTTTACCCTTCCACCAGCAAGTCTCATCGTGCATCGTCTCGAAGAGGTCGAGATGCATGCAGGTGAATCCAGGGATGAACCTCCCTCTGTAAAGCCATAATCAGCCAGTCCATCTAACTAATCCTCTGCGACTCTGCACCTCTTGTGCGCCGTTGTGCACGTGGGTAATTCTCCGAGCCGTTTTGATAGTTCGCATGGCATCGGGCGTAAGCTGAATAGACCTCTCAAATTGCATTGCCCTTGAATGCGTTCGTCCTAGAATTGGACTATAGCGCTTGTCTTGCTCTAGTCTCGAGCCTGCATATTCGGGCGTCTCATCACCACAAGGCGTGCGCATGAACTCCATCCTTATCGAAATAATTTGCTCGAAACCATGCGGGGTTGCCCATGGTTGGGAAATCCAACCTCGCTTTGCACTGCTTGCATGCTGCAACAGCTGATCCTGTGATGGACATCGACAGGAATCCCTTGCCACTCTTCTCAGACAAGTGGTGATAGGGTCGGGACGGCGCGGAGTCTAATCGCGTAGGCGAGCAAATCACTTTTCATCCTGAGGTGACACAATACATCACTCTGTGAGTATCGTCTTTGACAAGGGTTGTCAAAAGATGTCTTGTGTTGATATCTTTTCATTCAACCCATGTCAGAAGCGGCCTCCTGGGGATCCTCTTCTTCAACTTCGTCATCGTCATCGCCAGAGCTAGCTTCGGATTCGTCTGCTTGCTGGATTGCCTCGGAGTCTTTCGCATCACCATCAATCCCGTGTTCTTTCATGTAGGCCTCCAGTTCTCTCGCCATCTTCTTGGAGAACCCCGAGGCCTCGACCTCGACATCGAGTCTTCTGATTCCGTCCTGCCCCAGCAGCTTCTTAGCGTCCTTGAAAAATGGCCCTTCTTCTGTGCTGACAAATCCAAACCTCCTCGCAAAAAACCGCTTGACACATTCAACGTCTCTGTCGAAATAGAACTCGGCATTCGGGTGGTCCACACTCACCATCTGTGGGAAATCGATCAACACGGGCACCAACTTGATTTCTCCGCTCTCTTCTTCCTGCTCTTTAATCAAGATGTTGAACTCGTTGAAGTCACCATGTATGAGACCCATCGAGCATAGTCGGACCAACATGTCCATCAGCTCCGCATACAAGCCCGCAGGGTTGGGAACCTTTTCGATCTGCCGCAGTGGAAACCCATCAATGAGGGACATGATCAGCTGATGTCGATTTTGACCTAGTGGCGTCGGTACACTGAGTCCGACTTCGTGCAGCGCCTTGAGGAAGGAGAACTCCTTGACCGCGGCAAGTCGTGACATGTACATCCAGCTGCCAGCACCTCTTTCTTTCTGTGCCTTTGTCCGCGCATAATCTCGCTTGTTACGGACACCCTTTTTAAAACTGACCCGGCCAAGGCGGTGTATCTTGAGCACTCTCTGTTCGCCTTTCTCATCACTGACCACAAAGATGTCACTCTCTTTTCCGACGCCAATTTGATTCCCCACGCCGTAGGCGGTGTTGCTTTTTTGCAGTGCATGGAGTGCGAGATAGTCTAGGCCCCCATATGTGAGTCTGTAACCGTCGTATTTTGCATTCTTGACTTTGGCGATCAAATTGGCCTTGGCCAAGAGTGAGATGCTCCGCTGAACATCGCCAACACTGCCCTTGGATAGATTCGCGATGAGAGAGGTGGGGACTACTTCGTGGTTTCTGCTGCCCGTTTCGACGGCAGTGAGGGTGCGCCAATCGGTAGGGTTGAGATATCGAAGGTTCTTTGTATCGAGCTTCATCTTTTCCAAAGAAGATTGAGCGGATGTCGTCAGGACTTTATAATTGGCATCGTAGCTGAGACTTCACATGCGCAAGGATACAGTGACAAACGGCCCGGCTGAGGCTGCGTTGTGGAACAAAAAAATATTGTGGCAGATCTACGGCTTATCTAATCATCCAAATGACGTCGATCCACGCAAGGTTTATTTACCCTTTGCAACTCTACCTTTGTTGATTTGACCTCATTACGGGTAGTATCCAGAGAACTAAAGTATATGCGTTGTCTCTGACTCAGGATCTCTTCATCACCACGTCTGTTCCAGCACCCAAAAACAAAAAGGAATAAAATATGCGGAGACAAAAGTTAGGAGATTTGAAGGCCTCGCTTCTCCTAATAGTCCTCCTTACTATGACTATTCGTATCGGCTAGACATAGCTCGAGGTTCTAAGGATACAAAAGTGAGCCACGGAAGTCGCCAAAGACACACAGTTCAATCCACTAAGCAGCTGGTTCCCAAGGACAAGCCCCATCTCCACACCCAGTGGCCATCAAGAATAAATATAGGTAGGACGGACATGAGAGTTGGATATCGTCGATAAGGGGCAGTGGAAGGCTCCCGCCGGGAGATTAAAAGGAAGGTGAGAGAGAATAAGAAGGAACGATCGTGAGACGTCCTGAATGCCGGCTCTGCGCTTGAGAGTTGTTTTCACCTGCATTTATACTGCACTCATGCTGTACCGTTAATCCACCCCCGTCATCTGTGGCCTCTCAACTGATACACGGCACATAAGGGCCAGCCTCACGCCCCAGTCGCTCATTTTCGGCCTGGCCCGCTTACTTCAACATCTTTATACTCGTCGTCATCCACCATCGTCATGCCTTCAGAGCATCGAGAAGACGAGCCTGAGCTTCGACAGCCTCATGTCGATGCTGCAAGACCCCCACTAACTCGTTCACCGACTCCACTCCATCCTCCCTCTGACTACTCTCTCCAAACGCCAGGCGGCTCCACTCAGCCACCGTCTTACCACACGGGGGACAATACTCCTCATGAAAACGATGGACAAAGACTAAATGCAGACTAGCAGTCTCAAGGCAGAATGAGCAACTCACCCACCGAGGCGAGAAGAAGCGTGCACCGGTTGAGTGGAAGCCACTCCAATGAGACCGCAGAGGGTCCCTATACATTGGCCTTCAAGTATGCAAACCATTCCAGCTCCTTGACACCATTGGGCTCCTCTGAGCCTCTTTATGTGGCTTCCTACAAGCGGCCTTTCAACTTCTCCAAGCCCGATGTATTGATATCGTTTGCACCAAAAAACTTCCAATTGGCAACCGTCATCTTCCACAGTTTCTCCAGCAAGATCAACCTTGTCTATTCGCACGACAGGATCACCACGTACAAAGCCCGCTTCCCGACCACCAAGATCAAAACCTACCAGTGGACAGTGGGAGAAGGTCCAAAGCGAACGGAGGCCAGCATCGAATGCTTTGACCAAGTGAAGCGCCGGGTGTGTACTATCTCATTGACAGATCACTTCACCAGTGGAAGCATCGAGGTCTGGAAAGATAACATGGAGTGGGATGAGTTTGATCACATGATCGTGTCTGCAATCGCGCAGATAGAATGGTTGAAACGAAGACTCGAAACACCTAAAGGAGCACTGTATGGAGCGGCTGCAAGTTTGGGGACGGGTGGTGGATCTACGGCTGCGACTTGAACTTGTCGTCCAGATGTCAATTGAATTGATTCGCTTTTGACATACAGCCTCTGACAAGGACAACCTAGGACTGCGCAAGAGCAGCCTTTCGCAGAAGGAGAGGAGGGAATGGAACCTGCCACGGTCGTAGAGAAAGACAAGAGAATATTGTTTTTGTATCAATAGCTTACCATCCACTGAGGACGTCCCTATGCAACCTAAGATAGCGAACAATTTTTCGATAATCTAAATGCATTGACAAGATGAGAAAGAATTCTCTACTTCTTTGCCGCTGCAACAACCTCCTCGTCTGGCTTCAAAATATCGGGGACAGGTCCCACGGGCGTGATGGAGAATTGGTTGATCTGCTTATGGCTCTTTGTGTAGTGCTTCTTGATGTGCTCAAACTGGGTCGTCTCGCCAAAGGCAGGGACGTCCCAGTACAGGTTTCTCAACCACTTGTGCAGGTTGGGGTAGCCGGAGCGGATGTCCCTGATGTTACACTTGAAGTGCTGCACGTAGACGGGGTCGAAGCGGACGATGGTGGTGTACAGCCTCACGTCGGCCTCTGTGATTGCGTCGCCAAAGTAGAACGGGCCCTTTGAGCTCGCCAGGTCGGCCTCGGCGCGGTCGAGCGACTTGAACAGCTGCACCACGTTCTTCTCGTACGCCTCCTGGGTGGTCGCGAAGCCGGACTTGTACACGCCGTTGTTGATGTCGTCGTACGTCCAGGCGTTGGTCTCCTCGATCTTGGCCGCCAGCGCGGCCGGGTACAGGTCGACGTTGGGCGCCTTGAACTCGGCCGGCAGGAGGTCGTCGAACTCGGTGTACAGCATGCGGATGATCTCGGACGACTCGTTGGACACGATCGTCTGCTTCTTCTTGTCCCACAGCGCCGGCACGGTGAAGCGCGCGGCGTAGTCCTTGTTCGCGGCGAAGTAGAGGTCGCGGAGGTGCGTGAATTCCGGGTGGAGCGGGTCCGGCGTGGTGTTGGCTCCAGGGAGATTCTCGTCGGCAGTAGCAAAACGCCAGCCTTTTAAGGGGGGGAAATTCGCGTTAATAGGGTGGTACAATGACAACTCGGTACAAAAATCGAGAAAAAGAGAAAGATGCCTTCCCCCCCCCGGCTTCAAGGTCCTGGCAGAGAAAACGAAAAACATGGCCACCAAAGATGCAAAACGACGGAATCAGGGGATCAAACATACCTTTCTCGCCCATGTGCCAATGCACGCTGGTGAAGCCTATGATGTCTTCAAGACCTTTGAGTTTGCGCACGATGAGTGTCCTATGAGCTGAGAACCCAATATCGCGCGTTAGCATCCAACCGGACAGAGTTCGGATCGAGGTTCCAAGGACGGAAAATGGAATGAAGGGGAGCGTGGTTGAACAAAAGGGAACTTAAAAAAAAGCTGCAAGTTTCATTCATACCCCAAGGACAAGCATAAGAGACATATAAGTGATACCTCCCCTTCTCGGCCGGGAACTCGGAGTTGGGATCTTTGGATATCCAGCTCCGGAAGGACGATTGCTGCCGCTTGAATTCTCCAGACTTGTCGCCTGGCTTGACCCAGTCTGTAATCGTGGCTTTTGCGTCCTGCGTGGAATGGTTCAGCCAGAGGACAGCAACGGCAGAAAGCAAAAGGACGCCGATAGATACAAGGGAAGTGGAGCTGCGTACCGACATGGTTGAGAATTGTCTCGCTGGTCTAGCTAGTAGCAGTGGTGTCGTAGTACTTGTGGTAGTCGCCGCAGCAGGAGAGTTGACGAGGTGGTGTACTTGTTGACGGAGACGTGCAATGATATTGGACATGGGATGTTCCCCTTCGACGATTCCTCGAGGTTTGAAGCAGGTCTGCTGTGTATCAATACAGCCAGTCCAGGCCCCGTCTTTTATGTCGTTGTCGCAGCCAGCGAAAAACCACAGTGCGGAAGCGATGCCGATGACGAGGGGCGCTCCAATAATCAATAATCAAACAACGGTGGGGCGAACGATGTAGAGATCATGAAGAATCGATCGTTCAATCATGACGAAATCCGGCATCGCTAACTGCATCCTAATGCGCGGGTGACTAAGCCTGCCATAATGACTAAAGATGCAGTAATACACACTAGCCTATCTGGCTGTCCGAGGGCCAAAATAAATATCCTATTACGTTTCAAGGTCGGGAGCTTCGTGTTGGATGAATACCTATCTTATGCTCTATGACTTTGTGTTGAAACCATTGATACAGAGTCGGGAGAACAAGCCCGTGGAAACCGCTATCCATCTCTCAGTCTTGTTACACTCACTCCATGCTCCAACTCCAATTCACAACCTGAAAAGTGGCTTCTATCTACGTCTCCTATTTCGCTGTTCCTTCGCAGCTAATGTCTGTACTTGACCATGACATACGGGACCTCTACATCCTCCTCGCTGGTATCCTCTGCCGTGATCTCGAAAATGATGTTCTTCTGGTGGTCCGGGATGGGCTTCTTGCTGATGGTCTCCAGTAATTTGCTCATCTTCAATGGCAGACGATCCTTGGTCTTGTTCGGGGGGTAGAAGCTCGCATACAGCAAGCTCACACCAGAACTGACCATGGTGACGCTCAGCCCCAGAGAATCAAAGTGCGCCAGGAATTCAGTCAAAGTAATGTCCTCAATCTCGAAGCGGTCCCATAGCTTGTCAATCGTGACTTCGCCATCTTTGCCCTGGTATTTGCCCTTCGGGCTCGCAATAGGCTCACTGAAACCGAAGAACGGCAATGCAAGATTGACAAATCCATTCTTGTACTGCTCAATATCCGTCTTTCCGTCGATGATCTTGTACAGCTCGAGGACGACAAGTCCTGTGACCAGAGCCGTCGTTGTGGCGATGGCGGGGATGATTTTCCCTGCAATAAACTTGGTCTTGTGGCGATCAGCAACTGGAATGCTGTAGTTCATGGCCCGAAGGTTGCTAGCGGCTGTGATGAAATCGATATGGTGGTTTGTATCATCATCTTTCTCGAACTCCACAACATTGAGCCGGAAGGTTGGGATGATTGCAGGGGACGGTAGCTCAGCAATAATCTTGTTGAGTTCTTCGGCGTCATCAGCAAAACTTGGCTGATTGGCATTTGGATCAGGTTCTTTCTCGTCCGCCTGGATCTTGACATTTGCATCGGGCTTGAACTCCGGAACGATCATGCTACTAAGGACCTTGACATAGTCTTCATGTGAGATCTTTGGTACCTCGATCCCATAGTTGTAAGCATGGAGAGCGGCAGCGGCCACAACGAAGCCCATGTGTGTTGTGTCGTAGGGGTCGAACTCTAGAGGAGTAGGAGCACGTTTCGGGCCAGACCAGAAATCAGCGCCTGTCGATGTCTTAGAGTCTTTGGGGAAATTGTACAACAGCTGTGCAATTGCATTGTGGTATTCCTTCTGGAACTTCATCCGGGCCCATACGATGCAGTCGTTGAAGTCGCTTGGCTTTTCGGTAACTAAGTAGTCACGGAGACTCTCCAGAATCATTTTTTCGTTGCCTTGTTGCTTCAACGTGGTTTCGATGTAGTCTGGTTGCGTGATGTACAAGTTCACAGTTTCTGGCGGTCCCACAAAGTATGACTGAAACAAGTCTCGAGCCCAGGCGATGGTGTGCTCGATCTTGTTGGGGAAGCTTCGAAGCGTACACATTGGGAACGATTGCTCTGGAGGATCTTGAGAACTTGAGTAAGACTCGGTAAGGCGGGGCAGGATGACCTGCGTGTTGCCCTTCGTTCCTAGAGTACCACTTTCAAGTAGAGGCTTCATGAAAAAGACACAGCGACGATCGACATATGTGCGAGCCTCAACATTGTCCAGAGCATTGGTGACAATATCAAGTTCATTCCAGAATTGTTCGTTGAAGATGTCTTCACTGTCCGGTCCAATTCTATCGGTCATGTGAGTAATCTTTCCTTTGAGGTCGGGGTTCATGGCTTGGACCGCAGCAGCTGCACATTCGCTCTTCTGTCTTCCAACATCTTTGGGTCGGAAGAGGAATTGACGATTGAGATTGCTCTTTTCGATCGAATCATTGTCGGTGACTGTGATATGGCCCTTAGGACCAGTTCCGAGACCGATCATAGCGTAGTTCTTCAACATCTCACAACCAATGGCGCCAGCGCCAACCAGGAAGTTTCTGACGTTCGAGATCTTTTCTTGATATTCTTTGCCGAAGACAGCAATTTGACCATCGTACCGTGATCCCAGAGGTTTGCACAGCTCTTCGCTGCGTCCTACTGAAGTAGGAAGGGATTCGAGAGAATCAAAAAAGAGCCACTGCTTGACGGGAGTAAATTTGCCGGAAACTGCCTTGAGAACTTCTTGTGCTGTAAGGCCTCCAAAAAAAGCCGCCATAGAGCTTATGTCGCCCTGTGCTTGATAACTGAGCTCTGTGATTAGCTTATCGCTGATTTCGATTTCTTCGGCGCTGTCCTTTGCAAGTTTCTTCGTCAATTCCAGCACCTCCTTTGCGTCCTCATCATTGTGTGGTCTTGGAAGTGCCCCCTTGTGATTTTCAGCAAAGGCGTGCAGAGCTTGGATACCAACATGAAGCTGCGCAGGACGATCGAACTTGGCATAATCAGAGATCAATACTTCGGGCTTCTTAAGCTGATCAGAAAGTGATTCGAATTGAAGCACTTTTGGCATCTTGACCTGAGCGAAAAGACCACCTCCTTCGTATTTGCCTAAACCAGAGATGTCTCCAATTGAGAAGGAGTATGGACCCTTCACCGTGATTTTGCGGGGAGCGGCGCCGTTCAGACCTTCCAGACCTTTGACCTCAGCGAACTCGACGTAGTCACCGTCTTCCAAGCCGTGACGAGTTTCATCAAGGGCAGAAACTAGGCCAGTCTCATCAATATCTGCGATGATACCACTGATTGGGTTCTCGCCTGTGACATCTCCCACGGTGAAGTCCTTTCCAAAGTCGTTGAAAATGTAGCCGAACAAACCGAAGGTATCTGCTACGGTCAGGTAGATTCCGTTTTTGTGGCAGAAGTCTCCAATAGCCAGTTGATCTTTGAGAGACGTGGTTGTCAGCACGATGGCTTGATACTTCTTGAGTTGTTCAAGATCGTCGGTCAAGGACTGCGATTGGTGAACGGAGACAGGAGTGTAGGAGTTCAGTTCTGCAACCCGCGGAGCAGTAACCTCGGCGCGAGGTTTGCCAACATCTTCCGTACGCAAGAAAAATTGTGAAGATAGGTCCGCAATCGCTACCGGCTTAGGGTCGAAGAGTGTAAGCGACTTGACGCCAGCAAGTGCAATGTTCTTTGCAATTTCAACACCCAGACCTTTCAGGCCAACAATGAGAACATTGGAAGAGCCCATGCGTTTCATAGCCTCATGTCCTAGCACGTAAAGTTGCCTGCTGTATAGCGATTCGTCAATTTCGCCTGACTGGAGCTGCTGAATGGCAGCCCCAGGATTGTCGACTTCCATTACAGTGTCTGTCATGATCTTTTTCTCTGGCCGGGAGAGATCTTCTGTAGAAGCCTTTCTCTTGCTACCGGCCTTTGTATTTATCGGGATTTCGGCGTGAGGAGTAATGGTGACAGTGGCCTTGCCTCAAGCAAGACCCAGGCTGCGGAAGGATTGATCCGAAGAGCAATGGGCGCTTCGGATGAGGACGAGATTGTATGAAGGAAGAGCGTCGTTGGGGAGGTGATGTGATCGTAGGGAAGGAATGACAGAACGAAAAGCTTTGAGCAAACGCTGATTAGAAAGGCAGAGTGCAGGCAAACAGTTTGTAAGATGGTGTCTTAGTCAAGAAGATTCGCGAAGTCAACCAAGTCAGTCCCCGCTGGAGTGCTGTGTCTGTGCCTGCGCCTGCGCCTGCCACCTTGCGAGTGACTTTATTCCGTGGCTGATTAGCTTAACTAAGCTATCGGTGATGCAATAAGGCGGCAGCACTGCTCGGCAGACTTGCCGCGAAGACAACACAACAAGAGAGATGCCACTAGGCCATTTCCAGCGTTTCGATAATGAAGTACTTACTCCGTCGCGCTTGAGCAAGGTCAGCAGTGCGAACGAAGTAATTAGACAAGGCATCCTCCCAGTGTTCAGCCTTTCGGATTGCTCTCTCTCCATGTATTAGAACGGATATGTCCCTTCAGCAAGGTAGGTCGGGGAGTCACCCTTCATGTCGCCCAGCACGCGCACCTGTCTGCTCAGTTGCACGCGTTGACCGCCCCAGGTTGAATATCCCACTATGGTCTCTCAACCTCTCCATGTGTCGCTTCGAACTCATCGGCCGAATAGTACTCTGGTGCCAATCGCAATCCGACCTTGAACATTCTTTTGACGTTGCCCACGACCCTCCTCCTCGTCTTCGCCTCCACCCAGCCGCAGGAAATCGTCCAAGATGTTACATGAAATCATCCTGTCATTATCGGGCGTCCGATCGCCTGTCTGGACCCAGGCAGGTCAATCGGAGCATGAGGAGGGACATGATCTGAACCAATATATGTCACCGCCAGAACATCAGATGCTTCAAACCCTTGCTCACCTACATGAACTACACGTTCAGATCAAGAGTGCCACTGCACGAGTCTCGAGGAAGCACCACTCAATGGTTTGTCGAGCTGTAAGCTCCTCGATGGCTGAGCTTCACCTTGGAAAGTTCGTGGATACTATTCTGAGGGTCGAAGCCTCTATACTCAAAAAGGACGCTGGCTACGTTGGGGCCTATGACATAGTGCCTCTTAGCACATTGGTATCGGAATTTGCACCCTGGACGCGACGCATGGAGTGGATGTGGTCATTAGCCCGGCAACTGGACCCCGGAGACAACGAGGTGGTGGGAAAACAGTCTAGCGCTGCAGGTATTCTGGATCTTCTGGAAAAAGAAACCCATACTGGCTATTCGGATATTGAAGAGATGGCCATTGAACTTCTGACAGTGGCTCAGAAAGCCTGGGTAAGGGCTGCTTCATTCTGGATACTATATGGAAAGCTTCCAACCGCTGGTGCTGATGACTTCTGCATCAGAGAGAATCCACAATCTCTGTCAGCAATGGACTCTTTCATGGTCGACAACTCACTAGTCCCAAAGTTACTCAGCCCTACTGGTGCTAATGCACTATTGTCTATTGGGAGTGCTTTGCATCAGCTACGTTCTGGTGCAGCATCTGCGGCGAATACTATCAAAGGCTCTGAAGACCCGGCTATGAGTTTACTAGCAATTCATCTACGGCAGCTCGAATCACTTCGATATCCACTAACTTTGTCACGACTGGAAGGTGTATTGCTTTCGATCAATCAATCCATCTCAGAAAACGCTCTTGTCGAAATTCTTCCTCGGACACGGGTTTTGCAGTTACTCCGAGTAACTTTGGACTATCTTCTCCTTGGTCATGGAGAATTTGCTGTATTAATGGTCGCTCATGCCGACGCTCGCATCATGAATCGTCAGCAGAACCAAAGCTTGACCCGGCCTGTTAGGAGAGTCGGTCGATTCGACGATGTGGCGATCAAGGATGCGGAAATCAATTCAATTTTGTCGAAGGTAATGGCTGAGCTAGCAGCCTTACACACAGACGAAGATCCCGACGACGACGTCTTCGATTTTGCTAGAAAGATTCTGTCCTTGAAGCCTGTCGATTCACTCGCACAACCATTGATGGTCTCAACTTTATTGCCAACGCCTACGCTTCTGACTACGACCATTCCTTCATCTTCACCTCTGCACATGTTTCTTTCCGCACAGGATATAACAACCTATGGCTTCCTAAACGCCAACCTACTTTCAATCCGTAGAGCAGGTCTACACCTCTCTGGCCTTTGGAAGTTAACTGCACAACGTCGCTCGTTCCCCACACCATTGGGGCCCCCGAGAAGTGCGACATCTGCAGGGCAAATGTTGCTCTCACTCCGAAGAGCGCGGGATGGGCATAGAACAAGGAGGACAAGGAGGCATTGGACATGTGCGAGTAGTGCCCTTTTTATGGTTAATGAGCTTGAGAGCTATCTACAGGGTGAGGTTATCCAGAGCAGCTGGGTCCAGTTTCAGTCTTGGTTGGGTGGTGATGATCGACTTGCGTCTGCATCGACAAGATCATCCCGACCTACTACGGCCTCATCGACTGGCCAATCGAGACTTACAGACAACACTTTCGGAGCGTCGTATTCGCATGCGAAGTCATCACCAAGTGATCCTCGAGTGCTAGCCGCAGCTCACAGAGCATATCTGCAGGCTCTCAAATCAGCACTTTTTTTTGACAATGAGACCTTTATTGATGCTTTGAAGACGTTCCTTGGCCAGATTGATCACTTCATAGCACTGTTCTCTCGCCTCCAAGAAGTCTGGGACGGCCTTGACTTGCAGGAAGATGATGGCGTGGTAGATGACCTCTCAAATTATGTGCAGGACGAACAAGAGGTCCTGGCAGAGATGGATCGAACAAGCACGGCCATTAATGCCTGCATTGCTGGCTTAATAGACAAGGTCCGTGAGGTCGAGAAAGAAGAGCGGAGTGGGACGAATTCGTCACTTGGAGGATTGAGTTTTGAGGATGCGAATCCAACCACTTTTGTGCCATGGCCAGCCAGAACCGTCAACAGATTGGTTATGAAACTTGACAGTTTAGCAGCACGACGTGATGACGACAAGAATGATAACGAGATCATTGATGATTATGATGATGAGTAACAGCTCTGTGCAATGGCTCAAGAAGAGAACCCTCACAGAAGTATATCCGAGGTATAGAACATTCACGTGGGACCAATATGGGATACCCGGGGGGTTTAAGTAGTACATGTCCACACAAGTTGACAGTCAAGACAAGCACTCTGAAAAAAACCAATACAACTCTCATCCTTTGGGCTTGTATTGTTGATGCTACAAAGCCAAATAACAGTACGCTTACCCTGTGAAAACTGTTAGTCATTTTCCACTTGGAGATGTAGCCATCACGATCGAGGTGGAGAGATCAAACGTGAAGAATGGCGATCAGACAAGCCGAAGACCTCATCCCCTTCCCCGCCAGGAAGACGCGCCAACCACGACCTCATAACGAGATCGCAGAAAGCACAGTCGACACAGGGCGGCGAGAACAAAGCCCTTCTGCCCCTTCCAACCAACCTCTGTGTCCGGCCAAGCTTCTCCACAACCTATCATCCACTGTGCCTCTGCCTCGAAGGGCTCTGACGAGCCGGTTCCAGGGTGAGAAGCACAGGTCCGGTATCAGGGAGAGTGGATGGAACGTCGAGATGTGATTTTCAGGGGGTTCGAGGCACGTTAGAAAGGTGTCGCCCATGAGGGTGAACTCGGAGAATGGATAGACTTGGTGTCATCATCTAGAAAGTGCGGTGACGGCGGAAAGGGGCAAGGGGAATGGGGAAAATGAGGAAAATTGGCTCACTTTTTGGGTGTTCGCCAGAAAACTAACAATTGCTTGTGATCGAGAGAGAAAACATATCTACTACGCTGCGAGCAATTGAATTAACTGATGAGATAGTGTCAGCAATCGAAAATCCCCAGAATCGAACAGTTTGGAGGGTTGCACGACAGAAAATAGATCAGACAATTGGTAAGCTTGGTAATGATTTCTTCAACTTGTATTCAGAAGCAGAACTGATTGAGAAAAAACCTTTAATCATCATGGAAGAGGTTCTCACGAGAGTGAGTGTGCTTGAAAATGGGGAGATGACTTACCGAGCTTGAAGCTTGTTTGGGGCAAAGATATCGAGGCTGGCACTACGTCTGGATTCTCACGTCAGTTCGTCTGATGCAAGATACGTCGGTGTTGAATCAAGAAAGATAGTGAGAGATGTAAGTCAGATGGTAGTGCATGTTAAGTTCATGGCTCATAGGTTATCGCCGGAACTGATGTATGATAAATTTCATCAAGGAATTTGCCGCGGTGCGTTAAAGACGGAAGAAGAGAACATACCCCGTGCACTAGAAGAAAACCATCATGAAGAAGCGAGAAGCTCAACATCATTGTTGTCTAGCCTCGAAGTTGGTGACATGTTCATGCTCGTGGTTGAGAGGTGGAAGTCCATCAACAAAACAATTAAAATTTATTAATGCGTATATCGCGATGAGCTTCACAGTGCTCCACCGTAGTGTACAACTCTTGGCTTTATATCACGTGTTGGCCTTTCCTAGAAATGCTGACTAACGATGTTGCCTCCAGCCTTTGTTGCGTCTCCTGAAGTCAAACACAGAAGTAGCTGGATACTCATGACTGATGCACTGTCAATTAGGGCACCTTGAAATCTTCACTATCCTCAGACTGTTCTACCTTTCGTCCAGCATACCGTCCCATGGCCAATGTACTCACAGTGTACCCGTACTGGGGATTATTTTCGTGTTAACGTCATGATGGCATCGCGGTATTATGGTCCAAGTCAATGAGCTCATCTTCGCGCTCTGCCCACTATTTAATCCGCAACCGGATCTGCTCAGTGTATTCTTCTGCTTAACATTATGAATCGTGCTCTGTTATCTCGCAGTGTGTCGCCTTTGATCAAATCGTTTGTCCCTAAGCACCAACCTACCCAGATCTTTCGCAAAATGTCAGGCCCCCAGACATCGCACCTTCCGAACGAGGATTTGCAAGCTAGCAAGTTGTTCGACGTCACTCATGTTGTCGCTGTGGTCACAGGTGGTGGAACCGGAATTGGTATCTGCTCCACCCAGTGAAGGACCATGCTCGGGACACATCGAGCACGGTAAAGGGCAAGTGACTGACGAATTCCAGGACTCATGATTACACAGGCTTTGCAGACGAACGGTGCCAAGGTCTACATCACAGGTCGCCGAGAGGAAGCTCTCGATGCTGTTGTTAAACAGTACAGCAAGGGTCCAGGAAGCATCCACGCCTTGCCAGGAGACATCACCAAGAAGGAAGAATGTATCCGACTAGCCGAGGAGGTGGGCAAGAAGGAATCCAAGGGTATCCATTTACTCGTCAACAATGCGGGTATCGCTAGAGACGATCATACCAAGTTCTCCAAGAACGGGCAACCGGACATGAAATCGGCAGCAAGCATTTCGCGGCACATGCTCAGATCAGAAGTCTCTGACTGGCAGGACACTTTCGAGACGAACATCACAGCCCAATTCTTCATGTCTGCCGCGTTCTTGCCACTGTTGGCCAAAGGACGGGATGTCACACCCGGCTATACCTCGAGCATCGTCAACATCACCTCCATCAGCGGTCTGATGAAGGGGTCAAGCAGTGGACAATTCGCTTACGCAACGAGTAAAGCTGGCTTTGTGCATCTGACGCGCATGTTGGCCACGACGCTTGCGGAAACGGGCGTTCGTGTCAACCAGATTGCACCTGGCGTCTTCCCCAGCGAGATGACAACTGGTGAAAGCGACGAGACGCAGAAGAGCGAGCTGACTTCGAAGATGAGTAACCCGGCCGGTAAGTTTCCTCTGAAATATGTCCTTGTTCGGGGTGAAAGGCGCAATCAACTGATGATGTATCATGGCAGGACGTGGAGGCGGAGACGCCGATATGGCTGCAACGATCTTGTACCTGGTTGGCAAGGGTGGTTTGTTCCTGAATAATCAACTCATTCATCCCGAGGGCGGGCAGTTGTTGGTTGCACCGGCTGCTATTTGAAAAGGTGAGGCTCATATCTGGTCAGGGAGGATGTCATGAGATCGCAGCGAGGATCAAGCCGCCGTACGTGTACAGAGAGTCTTAGAAAAGAGTCATTCAAGAACCCATTCAGGGAATGGTTGTCGGGAAAGTATCAGATTAATGTTAAAGATGATCGAGACCATAGCATCCCTCAGAAACAGCCTCATGAAGCCTTCTACCGAAACAGTATTGTCGGGTATAGGAGATAGTAGCGTGTACATCGTCCTCGTATGCCTAGTCGTGCTGAATCAATGAGCGATACGGAGTAGGGAGCAGACGTCTCCCTGGCTCACCACAGGGTCGCGCGCCGGATCATTTACTCCGCAGTAGCAAATAGTACGGTTGTCCATCTATTCCGCACCTGGTCAGCACATTTAGTCGACCTGGCGAGGCTGACCAATGACGTCTGAACAAAGGTTTGGCCGCAAAAAGATCAAAAGTGCACGAGGCTCAACTGTATAGCGCACGCGCCCAAATCCCAGAGGTTGCGAAGCTTTGATGGGGTCGCCTGCTCGTTTACTGTGCCAACTGAGGTCCGATGTCTGACAGACGGCGCGTCAATGGCCCTGCCGGCACGACCAGCCCTCCGGTCTTTGTGGCTTCGAGCCAAACTGTCGAGGCAGAGAAGAAACGACTACGAGCGCACAATGAACTGCGGAAGATATGTACGCAAACCCCCTTGCGCAGAAGAGAGGAATACCAATACTGACATGAATGGGTATAGTCTTACAGACTGGAGTCGTCCCTTCTGCCAGCGGGTCGGCATACCTTGAACTCGAAAGCCAGCCTGTGAAGCCAACGCTTGTGTCTTTGTCCTCTACAATCAAACTGTCTTGCTCGGTCCAAGGACCTAAGCCTCTACCGAGAACCGCATCCTTTTCGCCCAATCTGCAACTGAGTGCGTCGGTCAAGTTTGCGCCGTTTGCAACACGGAACAGACGAGGATATGTTCGTGATTCTACGGAGAAAGACCTGGGGTTGCATTTGCAGAACGCTTTGAAGGGTGTCGTCATCCCCGACAGATGGCCGAAGAGCTCCCTCGATATCGCAGTCACTGTTCTAGAGGGTGAAGACGACCAAGAGACAGGAGACCGGATTTCGGGACTGGGACTCTACAACATGCTGGCTGGGTGTATCAACGTCGCCATGGCGGCCCTTGCAGATGCACGTGTCGATTGCCTGGACCTCCTGGCAGCTGGAGTCGGTGCTATCGTGTCTGGTGCAGATGGGAAGCCGGTCAAGGTGCTTGATCCTGCTGCTATCGAACACAAGAAGGTGGTGTCAAGTTGCCTGGTGGGATATCTGCCTACACGGGACGAGATCGTCGAACTATGGTGCAGCGATTCAGGGTCATCTCAAGGAAAAGAGGACGCGGGCTTCGAAGAGCTGGTCGATAGCGCGGTTGCAGCTGCTCGTGGTGCTCAAACGGTCCTGAAGGAAGTGCTACTAGAGTCCATGATGCGCAACCAGGTCACGACTAAGAAGTTGACTGGACAGACTGCGAAAGATGTCGAGATGACGGGGTGAAGGGATGAATATCGAGGCTCTTCGGTGTCAGCGCTGTGGCTGTCAAGACGTTATCGGCAACATCGGCATACCTCAAGGCTCTTCCGTTGACTCGGAGACGAAATGCACATCGTTGGGTTTCTGGTCATCATCAGCTGTTAAACGTAAAACACCACTCAAGGCTCCCCCATTCCCAAAACGAGTCTAGGCGCCTCTTTAGGACGGGGATCCACCACCCGGCCATACCAGATAGTGTCTTATACGTCTCAGCAAAGCCTCCGCTGTATCGCCTTCGGCTTGCAACTTTGCACCGGTGTCAAAAGTCGGCCAAATTACAGCGACTACAATGGTGGAAGGGGGAGGGCGGCGTTGAGACACTGAAGTATGTGGAGGGAAGTCTTTTTATTGACTCATATGGAGTCTCTTCAAACTCTAACATTCTTCTCCTCCCAGACGACGACGTCTGTCCTTACCACCGTTTCACCCCCATGGTGTCGGAGGCGTGAGCCAAACCGTCATCACAAGAGGATGAAACGGTGGCAAGGACAGACGACGTCGGCATATATGGTGCACAATTTGTTGCACCAGCAGTCGTCCCAGCAGATGCACATCTTGTGCATCATGTACTCCCCGAGGCTCATCTTGCCTGTGTAATAGCGATGGTGACCAACAGACACGCCCTCAAGACGCGCTGCGGCGCACTCGCGGCAAGCCTGGCGGCGCAGGGCCTCCTCCGCAGCAGAGCGCTCCATCTCCAATGCGTTGTCGGTTTCATAGTCGGCATGACTGAAGGCGACCTTGCGGACGCGGACCGACTTGAGACGTTCTTGGTCGTAGTCTTTGTGCTCAATAGGGTCGACCCAGAAGTTGATATGAGTAAATTCACCATTGGGGTGGTCTGGGTTGCCAAAGGTCTGGGTCTCGGGTGACGTGGCTTGAGCAGCTATGAGCAGAATTAGCAATGTAATTGGAATGGCAGACTTGAAAACTTACCACGACGATTGATATGTCCGACCTCGTAGCTTTCAAACTGACCAGGCCAGCCTCGAGGACGGAGAAATTCATTCTGGTAAGGAGAGTCTGGATCGACAGTGCCTGGACCGATGATTGGAAGCAATGGAACCATAGTTTGGCCAACAGGAACTTGAGCTGGAGCCATAGTGTGGATAGAAGGAAGTCGAGCAGGACCCATAGCTTGGACAGTAGGTCGAGCAGGAGCCAAAGTTTGGTCAATAGGAACTGGAGCTGGAGCCATAGTGTGGATAGAAGGAAGTCGAGCTGGAACCGGAGCCAAAGGCGGAAGAAGATCCAAAGAAGCTGTTGTTGGACTCAGCACGACCTCCATCGCGTCTTGTCGGTCATCACGGAGCTGCTTGAATGGGACAGGGCTGCATGCGAAGACTATGGCCAACGTCAGTAAGAGATGTTCGAATACACACCATAAACGCACCATTTGAGTCAGAGAAACCAATGAAGGACTTCGTCTCAATCGGCGAGGGTGCTTTGCGTTTCAAACGTTCGGTTTGGACGAAGTAGATCTCGAAGCTATCCACATTCGAAACCACATACTTGGCGGGGTTGTGTGAACCATACAGGTCAGCTGAATTGGTGAGGAATGCATGATCTGCCGAACGAAGCTTGGGTTTGGTTGATTCTGGTGAGAGGACTGCTCGCTTCTTCGGAATAGACTGCTCATTCAGCGGATCGACCAGGCCGTGGAGGGCATAGTTCGGGAGCTGTTCCGAATCTCTCAAGTTTCTCAGAGATGGATAGGTGGGAGCTTGTGATTGGAAGTCACCATTGAAAGGTTGGACATGGGATTGTTCTAAGCCATGGTCAGGGTTTGAAACAAAGCTGTGGTGTGTAGAGTTTACCATAGACAGTCTTGACAAGGTCTCGGGCGTCAGCATCAGCATCAGCCCAAAGGATCTCACCATACTGGCTGGCTACACGCGACAGGTCGACGGATGGTTGATTCGGTGTAGGTGGAAGTGGTTTGTTCAGGTAGTCCTCGAGCGGCAATGGCTTGTTGAGATATTCCTCGAGGGTTGTGAACTTTGCCAGCTTGATGTTCTTCTCGACGCAGTGCTTCTCATGAATGGTATGCAAGGCAGATTGGGACGACGAGCCACATCTCTCCTCACCAGAGCACTTGTGGTCCATAGGGAAGTTCGTGTTGAGTGTCACTGACATTTCCAATTCGGGGTTTGCACTGCAGGTGTAGGTGCCAGGACCGGCCGCCTTAGAGCAAGCCATTTGGGGCGAGCAAGGCAAAACCAGGCGGATGAAGAGGAGAAGTCTCAAAGGAATACCAACCTGGCAAGACCAATGACGTTGTTCCGATCTTCCAAGCAAGACTTCGATAGAGAGAAAGTATTGGATTGGGGATGGGAAGATGAACAAGAGACGAGAGGATTTGAGGGAAGAAGAAGAGTTGGAAGCCACCCTTTCATGAGAACCATTTCTGCATTGAAGTTCTGTTCCATATTGAGGTTTTCTGCCGCTTGTTCATCTCGAAAATTCTGCGAATGAATGGCATTCACGGCGGGAGGGACAATAGCAGTGCAGAGATTTTTGTAGACGGGGGCGGACAATAGAAAATTCGAGAGAAGTGAAGCAAAGGAGATTGTGGGCGGTGTGAGGGATTCTCTGAATTTTCAGATGAACTGTACATTCACTGTTGGCAAGCAGCAGGACAGGAGGTGTTGACCGGTATCAGCAGCCAGATAGCCTCCATATCCGAGTCCATGACCTCCACGTCCAGATTCGGTATACGTACCAGTCGAGCTTGACCTCCGGAGGCACAGAACATGTCTGTAATCCATACTGGAAGACCTATCGGATAGCAACAAGGACAATGACAAGAAGACTCTCGACCTCACTCACAGTTCAGTGCCAACGAAAGCATGTAGTCTGGTGTTGCTTTCGCCAAGCTCGGCCACGATGTTGCTCCAGATTTTAACCCTCTCAATCTGCCTGAAGGGACACGCCTAAGCCCATCGGCGTGTCGAACAATTCCGGATAACGAGATACCCGATCTTGGATTCTAAGAACTCTGTTTGAATACGCTGAGAATAGACGGTTCTGGCATGCAGTGTTTCAGGAGAAGCCGACACGTCGTTAGGAGGACGTCAGCACTTCTCATTGAGGAAGGTTAAGCGCACACTGGAGGATGGAGGAGATGGAGGGCAAGTAAAGCGGAGGCCTGGAAGCGCCCGACTTGGAAAGCCCAGAGAGCCCCTAGCGAAGCCTGATCGTCGCCCTCCCAGTTACCTGGAGGCTGTGGCCCAGCAAGACCCAGCAAGACCCAGCGACGTGTCAGAACAGGGGGCTCGTTCCCTATCCCATCCTTTCACGGAACTCTTGACTAGAAATCTGGCCCAAGTTTTCGAAGCCATCTCTTGATTCTTGCAATATATCTAATTTGTTTCTGTTCTTCCTCTTTTTCCTCTCGAATCTTGGAGCTCCGTTCTGTCCCGTCTTCAATTGACGTCTCACTGTCTAGCTCACCCGAGTTGTTTGCCAGAAATGTTAGCTGAGCGATAGAACCACTGCCCAAAACGTCTGCCCGCACTTCTCCTCGGGCAACATGGCTGGCCACGAACCTTCTGTTCAAGATTCCGTATCAAAATGGACAACGCGATTACTGCATTATACGCTGGCCCTGGCATTCCTAACAGTCTCCTCTGTGAGCTCCGACAAGACCGCAGCTGACTACTATGTACAATCGCTGCCTGGACAGCCTGATGGACCGCTGCTGAAAATGCACGCTGGGTAGGTAACCCCGGAAATTAGTGAAACAAATGTCCTGACTTTATCCTAGGCACATTGAGATCACACCCGAACACAATGGACATCTTTTCTTCTGGCATTACGAGAACCGACACATTGCTGATCGACAGCGGACGGTCATCTGGCTCAATGGCGGTCCAGGGTGCAGCTCGATGGATGGTGCGATGATGGAGCTTGGTCCATACCGCGTGGAAGAAGGAGGAAAGTTGATATATAACGAAGGCTCGTGGGATGAGTTCGCGAATTTATTGTTTGTGGACAATCCAGTTGGTACAGGCTTCAGCTACGTCAACACGGACAGCTACCTACATGAATTGCAAGAGATGGCAGACCAATTCCTGGTGTTTATGGAAAAGTGGTTCGCCCTCTTTCCAGAGTATGAGAATGACGACCTGTACTTTGCCGGGGAGTCGTACGCCGGTCAGCATATACCGTATATTACACGGACGATTCTCGATCGCAACGCCAGAGCAGGCATTGAAGGGAAGCAGGAATGGAACATCAAGGGCCTTCTGATTGGCAACGGCTGGATTTCGCCAAAAGAACAATACTTATCGTATCTTCCCTTCGCGTATCAGGAGGGGCTCATACAAGGCGGCACAGAGGCAGCCAACAAGGTCGAGGCTTCACAGACAAAATGTCTCGCTGAATTGGGAAAGCCAGGTGGTTCTGAAAAGGTGGATGTCAATCAGTGTGAGACCGTTCTGTCCATGATACTCGACGTGACCAAGAAAGACGGGAAGTGCTACAACATGTACGACATCCGGCTACAAGACCACTGGCCGTCGTGTGGCATGGCATGGCCACCCGACTTGACGGAAGTGACACCTTATCTTCGGCGGCAAGATGTCATTGATGCTTTGCACATCAACCCAGACAAGCGGACAGGATGGACGGAATGCTCGGGCGCTGTTTCTTCTGCTTTCCGAGCCAGTCATTCGAAACCTAGTGTTGATTTCCTTCCAGGTATATTGGAGGCCGGTGTTCCTATCTTGCTTTTCAGCGGCGCGAAAGACATGATCTGCAACCACCTCGGCACAGAGGACATGATTGGCAATTTGCAATGGTCTGGAGGTACTGGATTCGAGCTGAGCCCCGGGGTTTGGGCGCCCAAGCGTGACTGGACCTTTGAGGAAGAGCCGGCAGGCTTTTATCAGGAAGCACGAAATCTGACGTATGTGCTCTTCTACAACGCCAGCCATATGGTGCCATTTGACTGGCCAAGGCGTAGTCGGGACATGCTCGATCGGTTCATGGGAGTGGACATCGCCAGCATTGGAGGCACACCAGCCGACAGTCGACTTGACGGGGAGAAAGCAGGGAGCGAAACAAGTGTGGGTGGTCATCCCAACAGCACCGCTGCGATCGAAGACGAAAAGAGCAGACTCAAGGAAGCGGAACTTAAGGCGTATTATCGCAGTGGAGAGGCTGCCCTTGTGATTGTACTGATTGCTGCGATCTTGTTTGGCTGGTGGGTGTGGCATTCGAGAAGGGTGCAATCACGAGGATATCTAAGTGTGCCGCTCATGAACGGTTCTTCTGTGAAAAGAAGAGACGTGGAAGCAGGAGATTTCGATGAAAATGAGCTGGACAATCTCCGCTCGAGTCGTCTACAGGCGAATCTAGACACGGAGCCATACGATCTCGCATCTGACAGCGACGACGACATCACAGCTCAACAAAGGGACAGCGCAAAAGAAACGCGCCACGGGTAAAGGACCGGGATAAGGCTAGAACAAAATGGAGTTGAATGACCTGGATGTTGTTAATATGATGATCATCGATATGATACGGAGCATTATACGAGGTACTAAAGAACGTATGGCTTAGCTTGATTCTTGACTAAAATCACCTACCTTGGTTCATGTGTCGCCTTCCATTTCCCATCTCGCCATGTTGCTGCTCTCCATCTCCGAAACTCATGGCCATCGCGATCGACACACGGTGGGTGACGGACAGAACGGCTGCGGTACACGAGTTCACCCTGTGTGATTGCGAACTGGTCCGATGTTGGCGTCAGGTGTCAAATGTGTCAATTCTGGATCTCCCCACCCACCCAGCGCATCTTTTCAGTTCCTTTTGGACTGCATCTACCAGGATTCACCACCCGCCACCACCGGCTGGCTGCGGTGATGCTCTTTCGCCGTCCTGTGCTTTCACCATGGCTTCGGATGCGACTCCCAGCGGAATCCCTTCAGCCTGTCCATGGCCGTTTTGTTCGTCTTTATCCGTGTATTAGCTACCCTGGAGCTACTTGTCAACCTTTTTGTTATTGCTACCGACGGGTTTTGTGCGAGACGGGCCCCTTTGAAAACGCAACTTGCCCACGCAAGGGTGATTGGGCCGTTCTGGTCATGATCTCAACGGCTGATCCGAACTCTTACGCTTTCAGCCTCCCTCTACTTCGGATTCCTGAAAGTCTTGGATCGCTCGCTCCACCATTTGATGGGCGCCACGCCTTCAGCTCGTTCGTTGGCTGCCGTTGCCGACATGCTTGAGACCCACGCCATCTGCGCATGCTGTCTTACTCTCGCATCTCCCGCAAGGAGCTGTACCGCACGTACATGTCACTTATCCCTTGTTGCCTCAGACTATTGCTGGGGTCATGTTAATGGCAGTACGAGATTTTTGGATGGCGGTGGTTACCTCGAAAGAGACACCACCCTCACCTCGCCCCTTCCTGACTTCGCCTTTACTTCACACTTTTCTTAAACCACCCTCTCCTCCATCATGAAGACTACTCACTCAGGCTTCAGTATTGTTGTTCTTATTCTACTTCAGCTATCCCTCTCCAGTGATTCCTGATATTGTTGTTCTGTTACAGGCCCCGCGGAATTCGGTTCTATCGCGCGGGTGTGAAATGAACCTCTTGAATGCATTGTGCTCGTCCAGATACAAAGTCTTCGCCACTCAAGTCGCTCTGACGTGAACGTCCCTCAGTCAAGACGAGGCTTCGAGCCTTGTCTGGATCCGCGAATGGAGGTGGATGGCTTTCTGAACGGGCATCTTCATGCAGCGAAATCGGTTACCACCGCGTCATCCACGACGGTGGTGTCTTACGACCCTGGATATGTAGTCCTCTCATTCTTCACCTCGCTGGTGGGGTGTCTTACCACCATCGAACTCTTACAACGCCGGACATCGACAAGGGGTCTTTACAACTGGTAGGTCCAGACACGCGAGGCAAACGAAGAGACTAACGTGACCGAGGTTTCTTTTGATCGCCTCGGCGATAACAATGGGCGGGATTGGCATTTGGGCAATGCATTTTGTCGGTAACAGAGCTATCGTTCTTGATCATGGCGACTCTCAGCGCCAGATATTATACAACCAAGGTTTCACCGCGGCCTCGTTCTTCCTACCTATCGCCGTCTTGATTTTCGCATTTTACCTCCTCGGAACGCCCGCCAAAGCTCGCCAACTTCATGTCGCTGTTGCAGGAATTCTGACCGGTGCTGCGGTGTGCGGGATGCATTACATGGGTCAGCTGGGGGTCGAAAACTACAATTGTTCCTATTCTCCCGGAAACGTGGTTGGCGCTGCGATAATATCAGTAGCTGCAAGCCTCATATCTCTCAGCCTATTCTTCCGGATGCGGGACAAATGGTCTGATCTCTGGTGGAAAAGAACGCTTTGCGCATGTGTCCTGGCCATGGCAGTATCCGGTATGCACTGGACCGCAGCAGCTGGAACCATGTATCACTGGAAAGGTGACTTGGCTGTACATGGCGATTCTCGAACCCGAACCTCGGTGGTGGCCTCTTGCCTGGTGAGTTGTGCGACATTCCTTACTGTCCCAAAGAGCACTTTTGACAAGTTTATGCAGTCCATGGGCGCCTGCATCGTACTCCTCGTTGTTATCGGCATACGAGGGCGCAGGCGTCACAATGCCAGAATTAGATCTCAACGGCTTGTGCTTGCTTGTGCATATTTCGACGACGAGGGAAACCTCATGATCACCCAGGATGGGCTCCTGCCTAATACCAAGATAACCAATCATTATGTTGAAAAGGTACGTGAGGAAGTTGAGCGATGATAGTGTTTGCGCTCACCTACTTGACAGACATTTGGCGAGGACGAATTGAGCAGGACTCATGAAACCTTCCTTTGGATTTTTCAAGCTTCTCACCAGTGGAAGCTTTTCAAGGATCTCATACCCGGCATGAAAAATGATGTCGAGACAGATCCGACCATGCACAAGTACCGCCCTGGATCTACTGCTACAACGCTCCCCGTTGACACCAGTGAAATATCACTCAATTTTGCCCGTGTCTTCAAGGAGTTATTCTGTGTAGCTGCTCAGCAACTCGCAAACACGATCCATGAGCCTCTTGAGAAAGTCGGTGTTTTGTTCGAGGAGCCCATGGACACCGGTGCAGTCTATTGCCCTCCGCAATCACCCAAAGGCCTCCGAAAAATGTCGCTCCTTTCCACCTATACCATGAGCAATGACGTTGAAAGAGGCATCGTCTCTAAAACGTTCACGAGAGGTAAATATCTCTTTCTTGTGCGCGAAGTCAATCGTACTGAAGCGGCCAAATTTGCCTCCTTGGGTTATCGCTTCGCATCTGTTCAGCAAATTGCAGACTCTCTTGCCAATAGCATGCAAGTCAATCGTTCCGACCTTGTGGAAAGAATGCTGCGAGTCAGAAAGAGTTCAGCCCGATCATTTCTGCCCCCCCCGGGAACATATTTGGCATGTTTCATGCTGAAGCCCAGCATGTACAAAAGCTTCGACCTCCTCGTGCCGACTGATAAACAGAATCAGCTTCCACTTGTCACATTACAGATACCTGATCTTTCTCCCGAACAGAAGAATCAGCTGCAGTCCTTCGATGAGATGGCAATCAGTGAAATCCTTAAAGCCTTATTGAACGGAGGAACTGCGCGAGCCATCGACCAGGCATTTCGATGGCAACTGTACAACGCGTTCGTGAAGCTAGTGGACTTCATTGGCGACTATGACACCATGATGCAGGCCAAATTTTCCGCAAAAGAATTCTGCGTTTGCGGTCAACATGGTGGTAGGTCTTCGTCGACGAAGAACTGCACAACTTGTGTCTTCTACACTGTCCGCATTTTGAGGGACATTCACGCATCGCCTACGAGGAAAGAATTGACCTTTGTACCTCTATCTTTTTTCAGTGTCCAACAACAAGTTCATACGGACAATATGGACAACGAAGTCTTCGCTCAAACTGTCGAGCAACAATTCGGTCACCTACAAAAGGACGCGCAGAAACGAGGAAGATCTAGTACTTCTGGGGGAAGGACATCAAGTGTCGCGGAACTGAATGGCTCAAGATCCGAGTCGCCAAAGTCCCCGAGGTCACCAACATTCATATCTCCATTCGGGAGATCAGCAGTCAGCCGCCGAAGTGATGAGGCAACTATCGTGGATTATGATAGGAACTGGAAAGATTCATCAGCAATAGAAATGAGGCGTGTGAGATCATGCGAAGGAGACAGCCCTACGCGCAGCAGCCAGTCGCCGATTGGCGAAACGAAAAATTGGGTGAGCGAGCTTTTTGGCCTTTTCCAGTTGAAGCCGGAAGGTTGGTCCGCATCCAAACCAGGTGGATGGGGATTGAATATCAGCGTGCAGAATTCGGTGGAGATTGAGACTCAGGATCGTCGCAAGGACAGTAGTAATACTGTCAGCACATCATTCTAGATGATGAGCCTTAATATGTAATCACGAATGAAGAAGAAGTTGAAAGCAACTCTAGAGAGGAAGGGTTGAATACCTACGAGTATCAGTGCTTGTGAAGCCTGTGTAGTTAGTTGGTTTGGTAAGAATTCCGTGGCGCTCTGGAATTGATCGCTTATTGGCGGAATCTCGGAGACGATTCTGCCCACTGTTTTTGCCTGCCCTCATTTGCGATGATTTAAGAGCATGCCACCGAGGCGTGGGGTATCTCGTGGGTTGACTTAGAATCGAGATTCTCTATGAACTGCATGAGCCGGGGATCATAGGGGTCCTTCATCGATACCACCGCCTTCAATTCTGGATCTCTTCACGACCACCTGGGACCTACGAATACTACGACTGTTTCTCCCACCTCGTCCTCCGATTTCCCGAAGCCTTTCCCAAATCCTTGCTAGATTTGCTCGTTCATCCGACGACAGACACGCTCGGTTCCTGACGCCATTAGGCCCGTTTTCAGATATCACGCGGAACGACCGGGCATGACTTGAGCAGTGCCGCCCTTCTCCTCGCCCGTCTCGAGCAAGACGGGGTTCCAACGATCCCTTTCCTGCTCGTCTCATCTCGTCCGCCGTTCGAGGTTTGAAGTTCGAAGTGTTGGGTTGCGCGTGTGAGGTGTGAGGTCTAGAGACGATCAGGTGAAAAGAGACGTAAAGAGAAAGATAGAGAGGGTGTGTGTGTGTGTGTGTGTGTGTGTGTGTGTGTGTGTGTGTGTGTGAAAAAGGAAAGGGAACAGGAATTTCTTGAAACACTTTTTGTGACAAAAAACCAAAGAACAAGGACCTCACACGTCCAGGCCACAGCGCGATCAATATCACATCATACTCTAATCCATATTCGCCCTCCTCCTCCTCCTCCTCCTCCTCATCATCATCAATCATGCCATTTGCTCAACTCGTCATCGGACCCCCGGGGGCCGGCAAGTCGACATACTGCAACGGCATGCAGCAGTTCATGGGCGCCATCGGGCGCAAGTGCAGCGTCGTCAACCTGGACCCGGCCAACGACGCGACGGGGTACGCGGCCGCGGTCGACGTGCGCGACCTCATCACCCTCGAGGCCATCATGGGCGACGAGGACGTCGGGCTCGGCCCCAACGGCGGCGTGCTGTACGCGCTCGAGGAGCTCGAGGAGAACGCCGAGTGGCTCGAGGACCGCCTGGCGCGGCTCGGCGACGACTACGTCCTGTTCGACTGTCCTGGCCAGGTCGAGATTTTTACCCATCACGCGAGTCTGAGGAGGGTGTTTGCGAGGCTGGAGAAGATGGGATATAGGGTGAGTTTTTGGACTTGTGAAACACAGAAAGAAAGAAAGAGAGAGAAAGAGAACGAGAGAGAAAGAAGAGCAGGGCAAGATTTCGGTTTTGTTTTGTTATTCCGTTTTCCGTTTTTCACGATTCATGCTCTGGCAATGTCACTGGTTTACTAACGGTTATCATCATCGCAGCTAGTCGTCGTCAACTTGATCGACTCGTACGCCCTAACACTACCATCATTATACATATCCACACTCCTCCTCTCGCTGCGGAGCATGCTCCAACTCGACATGACGCACATCAACGTGCTGACCAAGATCGACAATCTCTCCAAATACCCACCCTTACCGTTTAACCTGGACTTTTACACTGAGGTACAAGACCTGTCGTATCTACTACCCAGTCTCGAAGCAGAGTCGCCCATGTTCGGGCAGGGGAAGTTCGCCGCGCTGAACGAGGCCATCGTCAATCTCGTCGAGGAGTTTGGGCTGGTCGGGTACGAGACGCTCGCGGTCGAGGATAAAAAGAGCATGATGTCGCTGCTGAGAACGATCGATCGCGCAGGCGGCTACGCTTTTGGTGGCGCAGAGGGCGCGAACGATAGTGTCTGGCAAGTCGCGGTTAGAGAGGGAATGGGCGGGATGAGCATTCAGGATATCCAAGAGAGGTGGATAGACAATAAGGAGGAGTGGGATGAGAAGGAAAGAAATGAGTGGGAAGAGGAGCAAAAGAGGAGGGAAGAGGAGTGGGAGAGTGGAATGCAGCAGCAGGGGGGAGATGATGCAGGCATGGACTTGGATGGTCTGGACATACCGAGGATAATGGGAGACAGTGGTGTGAAGGTTAGAAGGAAGGGGAAGACCGAGCCTGACAATGGAGTGTCGTGAGCAGAGCGTATGACTGCAATTTCATGGCTTGGTGAACTTCTCCAAGTTGTCGAATACTCTTTTTTTTTGGAATTGTTCTTTGACGTCCACGCCGGGTTGGGGCGAGGACAACTTTCTCAATCAGAGATGTCTTCCAGATCATCTTCGTCGTCCAAGTCTACTATGCCCTCTTCTTCCTCTCGAGCCCTGAGGCTGGGAAGCTGAGCTGATCCTTTCCCATTGTTTTGATCCAGAAGGCCTCCTAGTATATTCTCTCCGTCTTCATCCTCCCTGCCTTCTCGTTTCGCGCGCACAATGTCTCTGCGCGCTCGACGGAGAACCTCCTCTTCGCTTTTTCTTATGGTACCGCTCACTCGGACCACGCGAGTGACGCAGCGGACAGCGGGAGAGCCTCTCTGTGGACCGGGTAGTGTGTCCATAAAGGTGAGGCTTGCCCAGACAAGACCGTAATGCGCGCGAGGAACACGCAGGATCACTGTGCTCGTACTCGGGCTAAAGTAGACTATACGTAGAGACGGCTGGGTGACCGAGAGGCCATGGTCTCCGAACACGGACTGGATACTCGACCGGACGTTGGCTAGGAGAAGTTGTGCACTGATGTGGCTCGGGCTCGGGTGTGAGAAGAGTATGAACGAGGGTGGTTGGGGAGTCGATAGTGTGGACGGGCTAGTGGTGGTGGTGGTGGTGGTGGAAGGATAGAGGATGTCGAAGAGGATGTAGCGATGTTTGATGCGCACCATCTTCAAGGAATGACCAAACGTCTAATGTGATTTGTCAAGAACGACCATCTTGGCACGACTGGAGATCGACGTATCACGATTTCCGTGCAGTCTACACCCAAGAGTTGGATATTGTCTAAGTCGGTAACTTTTATAAGAAAGATCTGTAGACTAATGAGTGAACTGCGGAGAGGAACGAGCGCTGACGAGGCTGACGAGATGCTTGGCAAGGCTGTGCAAACACTGAAACAGAGAACCCCCTGAGACCTAGAGGTGCAAAGTACTGTACTTGTACCCCGCCCTCTGTGTCGGAACGCAAAAGCCATACATTACGTACTCTCCTCCATGAAAGGGCCCTATTAATATGCCTGGTCCAAGCTGATGTCTATGGACACTGGACAGTACGAGGAGTCAGGCCAAGCGAAACTCGTGACATCTGAAACTTGAAACCGAGTCTTCGTGGGGGCTGGGAAGACCAATTGACGTGCCGTGTCAATTTTCAGGAGTCAATGTTCTTACGTGAAACACCCAACGAAGCGCTTAGGGGTGAAGTTGGAGCGAGTCAAGGCTACTCTTACCACCTCACAGAACGCCTAAACTTGAACGGATGATATGAAACGAGCGTTCTGTAGATCCGTTCGTGGCTGATCCTGATTGAGCATGCGGGCGGGACAGCAGGCAAAAGAACAGGTACTCGCTACCACTCACTACTCGCACAGTACAGCCATTGCTAAGGCGCTCCCATGAAACCAATGGGTGAACTCTGTTGTCCCTGTCCTTCAGCAGCGAAACTTGACATCCAATAGACCTTTACAGCATGGCAAGGATTTGAACTAAGGCTACGGAGTAATATGGTTTGGCCCAGGGATAGTTTGTACGAATCAAATGCTCCAGCCGCAGGAACTATACGGATGATTGACGTGGACAACGAAACCTGTTCACGAAAGACGGAAAAAGCGCTTGACGTGATCGACATCGTTGGCCCCGGTACCATGGACCATGGATACAACAGCCTGGCTCATTTTCAAGGCTATGTTGGTCATGGCGTCTAGCCTCCAGGTATCCGGTTGTCAATAGCATTCGTTTGATCGTTTCAGTATCATCATGGTAGACGGTTCTACGCGCCCTCGGGCGCCTTAGAAGAATCTTTCTTTCAGTGAGTACCTAAGTGGTGTTGCCCCTGAGCAATTCATCACCTGAGTCCACCACGAGTAGTCTACGCATTCGACGACTATCAGAAGGCTGACGACCGAAAGTGCGGAGGATCAGAGGCAAATAAGGGATAGGCGTGTGTATCCAGGCTCTGGAAGGGATGGTTCTCCCTTTAGTCTGCAAGATCCCGCAGGGGCCGGCGATGGGAGGGAAGGCCGGTGCATCAAAGCAGGGCGAGGGAGTAGCGTGAGTGGCTTGAGGAGACAGAGTGGATGAGGCTTTTGCCAACGATGCTGAGCCCAATGGACAGCGGCCTCGATAGCGCGCAATGCAGAATCCACCCAGCGTCAACTTGTCAAAAGATTGCTTGGTCGCGTCCATCTCCATCTCCCTGCAGATAAGAGTCCATTCTCGATCTTCTCAACATCCAAAGGGATCAAGGAGAGAGAGGCAAAGAAAAGTCTGTCGCTCGTTTATTCTACCGCTGTCACTCATTTAGACATTCCTTCCTTCTCAGACGACTCTCGTTATCACGGTCATTCACTCTCCTTAGTCGACGGTCGATCCGTTCGCAATACTGTATACTCTCCATCATCCATTCCTTCGCCCACAGCCATATCCTTCCTTTGCGGCTATCCCATTCACTGTCCTACCAGTCTTCGACTTATTTGTCACCGTAGCGGACTGTGTCCTGCATAGCGAACACTCATTACCACCTCGACAAGTCCACTTCGCTTCGCAAAGTGTCGAACTTCACCAATCATTACCGGCATCTCTCACTGCCAACCCACTGCGCACACAAACCAAGTCTCGCGTGGCAAACCATAACATTTCGGCTTCATCCGCACCACATCGCACAAATAGGCAAGAAAGTGGAAACATCTCAACAGGTCTCACCACTTGAGCTTTATGTCTTCCTCAACAATGTCTCTTGCTCGCGCATTCACGCGGCGCAACAAGCGCAGTGTGGGTGAAATCACTCCCCAACGGGGCACCAGTGTCAAATATGCTCCCGGAACCATCAATCGCAGTCAGATTTCACTTCCTACTGAACTGATCTCGACCACCAACGTCCAGGCGCTGAACGCTCCAGACATTCCGGGTGTCTCTGGATCATCCACCGCTTCACTCTCCTCCACCAGCGACTCTGACTTCTCCACCATCGACCGAAGCTTTCTGACCAACATGGCAAGCGACACATCATCGATCGAGGACAGTGGACCCGCGACCCCGGTCACACCAGCCTCGGAAGATACCAAATCATTCTTTGATTTGAAGCAGCCTGTTCGCGCAGTTCCTGCCCTTGCTTCACCTCCCGCCGTCGACACACCTGCAATTCCACAACGTGCTCTGTCACACTCCAAGGAAGCCCATGTCCAGCTGTCACGAAAGCGGTCCGTTCAGCGCATGTCACCTCCTCCGACCACTCTGAACAAGCCAACTATACGGAGGAGCGCCGATATGTTCTCTTCCTCTGCAGACCCTAATCATCCCTTTGGCAAGGAGCTGGCACAGGTGAACGAGGTTGCAGAAGAGTTTGGCGCCACGGCTCGGTTGCTGGAAGAAGAAGAACAAGAAATAACGAACAAAGGTCTTCGCAAATTCGGCGTGGAGGACTACCTGGACGAAATTGCAGGCCTATATGGCGGCATCTTCGAAGACAGACTCGGCTCAATCGCAAAGCCGTGGATTTAAAAGGATCAGGCTGACGTATCGGCCCTAGGGTTGGTTCAGACGCCCAAATTCACGACTTTACGACGATTGATATTCTAAAAGCGAAACACTGGCTTGCGAATTGCGGTGCCGTTAGGGACTTTTATTCTCGTCACTCTTTTACAATCTTTTGCTTTGTTCTTTGCGCACACTTCGCCTTATTCGACCGCCGGATGGTTGAGAATGGACTTGTGTGTCAGGCTCATTTGGACTGGGATCAAAGGGGCGTTCTGTGCACCTGGGTCAGGACTTGAGCACCAAGCCTTGATGGTAATCTTGATCATACGAAATCGTCAGTTTCCGAGCGAGAGGGGATTCCTTGATTGGAGCATGTTTTTCCTTTCTAAGATGAGACAGATGATGAGGTGGTTTAGGAGATGAGAGCCGGGGAATCTTGTACTACAACCTACCATGATAAAGCTACAGATGGAGCTAGCTATCTTGAAAACGAGTGAAACGCTTGCCTCTTTCAAAGCATCTGGTCTCGTTCTCGATAGTGGAGTTCGTTGTTCTTCCTCCCAGTCTTCGTTTGTTTAAGCTGCAGTGGCAAGCGAGTACTTGTAGTCCCTGGGGATGAGAAGCAGTGCTAGCGACCCTCTGAGCCCAAGTCCAGAGGTACAGTGCATATATTTAGTACTCTGTCCAAAGAGAAGCTCTTATCTCTGTCGATAATTGCGTGGGCTATCGATGGGTGTAACAAATATCCGAGCCCATGATACTCATACTTCAGGAGAAGAATGCACAAAACCAGTAATGCCCAGGTTGAGAGATATTGTACTTGATATCTTTGGAGCACAAGGAGAGATCTACATGTATGATTCTGAGTAAAAACAGAGACGGCTGCTTGAAGAAGAACTCTTTCCTGGAGATACATTTGACAGAAAAACAAACCTCTTCAACCCTTTGGCTATCAGCCAGCTAGGTTTGTACTCCGTACAGTACATAGGCGGCCGCTTGGGACGGGCCAGAATCCCGAGGCGGCGAGGCGTACGCTATACTCACAGGTCGTTGGGAGCTTATGTCGGCCGTCTATCGCACGTCTGTTACATTGGCACGGCACGAACGCGGTGAATGGGGAGTAATCAGGTTGTATCTTCTATGTGTGGCCATTGGAACTTACAGACATGAGCTGTCACCGCCATTCATGCAAGATGTCCTCCTCCAGCGATCTTGTAAATCAACGATGTCGCCATCACAGCTGAACAAGGTTCGCTTGGGCCTCCCTAGGGCTGCATTGGCGAGCCCTCGGCAAAATCCAGGTTTCATCATTCGCCTAGAGAAAACCAGTGGAGATGAGACGTCGATAACTTCGACGCAGCCACATCGATCCATTGCTTGTTGACCGGAGTCGGCAGCGCAGCTCGAAATTCGCAGCCTACTTAGGCAGAGGTTGATACTCCATACTATCATGTACGTACATATACAATCAATCCATCGTTGCGAGTCAATGAAGTTGCGACACCTTCTCCCTCTTTGTCTTCGTCGTCCTCCTCCCTCCTCTACCTAGAGAGATACGTCTATCCACACTGGCCATTCTTTCCCTCTCTACTGTCTCTACCGCATTCTCCCTCCCTGGCAATCCGACCGCCATTGCTCTACTCCTATGCTACCAACGTGTTGAATGTGATACTTCGCCGCGGATAGCGATTGTCAAGACGGTGGAACTTTGCGACGCGCGTCGAGCGCGCTCTCGATCATGGACGCCGAGTATGGCCTCCTCAAGATACGACAAAGTGCCGATCCGAACAACGACGAGAACATCGGTTCTGCACTCAATACTTCGCCCTCTCTATCAGGCTTGATCTCAACACTGGTCCCGACCCTCATTATCGCCGTGGTGTACTTTGCGCTCTTCGTCGTTCTGCGCTCCCGCTTTCCTAGACAATATGCGCCTCGAACATATCTGGGTGCTTTGCTCCCTCAAGAACGAACTCCGGCGCCGCCAAACACACTCTTCGGATGGATCCCATTTATGAGAAAGGTGGGTGTGCTGGCAGATACCAAGATCGGGAGAGAACCTATCTGACCGTGCCACAGCTGCCCGACGAATATGTTCTTCAACACAATTCCTTGGATGGATACTTCCTCCTGCGATACCTTAAGATGTCCATCATCATCTGCTTTGTTGGATGCTGCATCACATGGCCCATCCTGTTCCCAGTCAATGCAACCGGCGGCGGTGGTCAAAAGCAACTCAACATCCTGAGCTTTAGCAACGTCCAGGATAAGAACCGTTACTTTGCCCATGTCTTTGTGGCGTGGATCTTTATCGCATTCATCTTCTTCCTCGTTACTCGAGAGCTCATCTACTACATCAACTTGCGACAGGCCTACCTCCTGTCTCCATTGTACGCCTCCCGAATTTCTTCACGCACCGTACTTTTCCAGTCAGTCCCGCCCAAGTATGCCGATGAAGGCCGAATCCGTAGAATGTTTGGCGACGAGCTCAAGAATGTATGGATTGCTTCTAATGCCAAAGAACTGGAAGAGATGGTCTCCGAGAGATACAAGCTCTGCATCAAACTCGAGACGGCCGAGACGAAACTAATAAAGCTTGCAAACGATGCCCGCCTGAAAGCTTTTAAAGGGAAGTCGCCAGCTCCTGAGAGGCCGACTTACGATGAGGACTATGGCGAAGAGTCAGGCTCGGCTGCTGCGCGTTGGGTCAGACCCAAGGACCGTCCAACCCATCGCCTCAAACCGTTGATCGGAAAAAAGGTCGATACGATCAATTACTGCCGTGAGGAGATTGGTAGACTCAATCCATTGATCGAAGCAGAACAAGACAAGTACCGTTCAGGCGAGTCCAAGGCTAGAAATGCAATTTTTGTCGAATTCTGGAACCAGACGCAAGCGCAGAAGGCCTTTCAGATGGTCACTCACCACCAACCTTTGCACATGTCGCCTCGAGTTGTCGGCCTTAGTCCAGAGGAAATTGTTTGGTCAAACCTAGGTATCACCTGGAAGACCCGCACCATTCGAAACATTATATCCCTGGCTGCCGTTGTTGCCCTGATTATCTTCTGGTAAGTCCCTAAACGGGTTGATCTCAGATTGAATGCTGATCCTTTGGTCAGGTCTATTCCGGTGGCTTTTGTCGGTTCCATTTCGCAGATATCCTACCTTACAGAAGTCGCCCCTTTTCTGAAATTCATCAACAATTGTCCAGAGGTTATTCTTGGTGTTATTACGAACCTCTTGCCTACCATCATGCTCTCGCTGCTTATGTCTCTCGTGCCTGTCATAATGAGATTCATGGGAAAGATGGCAGGAAAGGTATGTCGCTTCTTTGGTTCCATTCGGTGCCCTCAATCTTCTGACTTCAACTTTAGCCGACGCTCTCTTTGATCGAACTTCGATGCCACGAAACATTCTTTTGGTTCGAGGTCGTTCAAGTTTTCCTTGTAACGACCATGACTTCTGCTGCCAGTGCAGCGGTACCTCAAGTTATCAATCAACCTGGAAGCCTGACCACAATTCTGGCAAAGAATCTCCCTCTGGCTGCCAACTTTTACATCTCCTACTTCATCCTCCAAGGGTTGGTATTCTCATCCGGTCAACTTTTGCAGATCGTAGGGCTGGTCCTCTACAATGCCATGTCCAAAATACTCGATAAAACCCCAAGGAAGATGTACAATCGATGGTCCAGCTTGTCGTCGGTCAGTTGGGGAGATATTTTTCCCGTTCTTGAGATGATGACTGTGATCTCTATCACGTATTCTCCCATCGCGCCTTTAATGATGGGCTTTGCGACGATCGGTTTGGGACTATTCTACTTTGCATACCGGTATAGTCTACTATTCGTTGACAGCTCAGTCATCGACACCAAAGGTCTCGTTTATCCCAAGGCTCTGCACCATACTTTGGTAGGCTGTTATTTGGCAGTCATTTGTATGATTGGATTACTCAGTATACGAGCTGCTCCTGCTCCATTGGTACTGATGGTCATTCTGCTTGTTGTGATGGCCCTCTACCACATCTCCCTGACATCAGCTGTCGAGCCTCTACTGCACTACCTCCCACGCTCTCTCGAAGACGAAGAAGCTGCCCTCCTTGAGGAAAACAATACCGCTGAACCTTCAATATTTGCCCAGGGAAAGAATAGCGTATCTGAGAAGAGCCCTGTCAAGGAATCGAGGCAAACAAAGGAAATCAAGCATGCAAATGGGAAGCAGGAGAAGGTTCCGGTGTGGAAACGGTTTTGGAGGCCCGACATATATGCCAGTTATGCGGTGCTGCGGAAGTTAGTGCCACAAGACTTTGCCGAGATCAGGTATGCGCCTGAAGTCGAGCGAGATGCGTATCAAGACCCGGCAGTCAATGCGATTGCACCTTTGCTATGGGTTCCGCATGATGAAATGGGAGTGTCGAGGCAGGAGTGTCTACATACGAACAAGGTTGTTCCCATGACTGACGAGGGAGCTTATTTCGATGAAAAGGGGAGGATAGTATGGAGCGAGGAGGAAACGGGTGGAAGGCCACCAATCTTTGAGGAGAAGATTTATTATTAATGAGGTGAGGTTGGTGTTGACGGAGTTGAACAACACAATGGGATGTAGAGGTCCTCCCCAGAATGCTGTGGATGTGTTACCTGGGAGTCGACAGGCAAGGTGACAGTGAAAACACATAATGGAGCCTCCACTAACGAAGCTGTGACTATGGGACTGTGTTGTACGCGCGTGGAGAAGATACCCCCAACTTAGCTGATAGCTATATTGATAATTTTTGAAACGAGATCGCACTATTATGGATGATGTGCCATGTATGGACGTACCTACTTGATCGTATGTAATAGCGATTTGAACAGAAAGAGTTGTGGCTCTTCATCTCCAACCGAAAAGGGGCAGTTTACCGACCTTGTAAGTAGGATTAAAAACAGTTGTGCTGAGAGAGGGACGTGTCCATCCAGCAGTCTGTCTAGAGCAAGGGAAACATCTTTACACGCAGTAGTACTTGACTCGGGTCCATGACTCGTAAAGGTGCGGTCGAGTTCTGGATTGATGGTATTTGGCGACCAAGTAGTACTAGTAGTAGTAGTGATGAGAATTAACAGTAACGACAACGACGAAAAGAGTAAGTCGTGCGGTGCAGTCGAGGAACCCGGCAGATGAATGACAACACGGTACCAACAGTGATATTACCATAATCACCATAGTTGCTTCGGCGTCGAAGAGTGAGAATCTGGATACTGGAGTCGAGAGTCTAGAATCCAAAAGATGTACATCTGGGAAGTCCAATAATTCCACCTAAAAAAAAAAAGCTTAACCCCCAGAACTTCGAAACGACGAGGAAGCGGTGACAAGTAAAATATCGAAGCGAGAAACCCGAGGCAGAAACTATGTACCTGCTCCGTACTCTCAAGACAGACCCGGCACAAATTGACGTAAACGTCTCTCTCTCTCTCTCTCTCGTCCAAAAAGGGTAACTCGCAAAGTGAAGCGAGTACGGGTGACGTGTCGAAGTGACAGCGGTGCGGACGGGAGTGTCTGTGTTTGTCGGGACGAGAAGGGGGAGAGTTTTGATGGCCGAAGTCCATACATTACGACACGTACAAGGTAACGGGTTCGTGCGAGCACCGATGGCGGACGATAGGTGTTCAGTCTATCGTCCCCAAAGGGGGGGAACTCGAGAGCGGTGAGCAGTCAGGGGTGAAGTATTGAGTGAGTAGAACGCGAGGGGACAGACGCATCTGATATGGATACCCCGTGTCGGATTCTAGACCTGGCCCACGGGTGTGGCGGCGACAGCGACAGAGGCAGAGGCAGAGGACCAAAGGTTTGGTTTCTTTTTCTGGTTCTGAATGCTTTTTCTCCTGGTTCAAGAACATGATCGAATCGAGAACGGTCTTCATTCGTCAACCACCCACTCACCCACCGGTTCTCGATTGGGAGAATGTTTGGTAGCAGGAAAAGGGGGTCAAGGTGAAAAGGGATGTTGGGACCCATCCGGGGAAAAGGATCGAACAACATTTAATGGCATGAAATTTGTACAACACCTGCTAGCCAGTACAGGACAATACAGGAAAGGACCGTCACAGGAGGCTCTTCTCTCGGTAGCAGCCATTTTCAAACTCCCAACTACTCGTGCGAGTACGCCCTCCACCCCATCAGGGGCCAACGCCACTCGACGTCTCGCCGGACACGGCCCCGTGACATTTCTTGTTGAAGTATGAAGTGTGCTGGAATTCCGAAGACCAGTCAATACGAGTACTCACTTTGGCCGCATGCCTCGATGTTCTCCTGGACGCCCAGTCGATGACTCCTTGCGTAAAGGGCTGAATGGTTGCGACAACGGACAGGGAGGAGCACACATGATGTGGCATTGTAGCATTGTAACGAGTCATTTCGGACCGGGACCCTTTGCAGCAGAGAAGGTTCACCGCTTCGGATATGCAACAAGATGCACAACTTTCTGATCCAGAGCGGCAACCGGCGACCGGATGTGAATGGGAGGCTGAAAAGGGAGGGGAGAAACAGAAGAAACCTACGCCGACTGGTGATGCTGCGGTGCAGGCACGTCGCAGGAGCAGGACCTAGGTACCTTGATGCTTCTCGCGGCTTACTTCCTGCAGGCCGCAGGAGAGTCTTGGGTCGCGACCAGGCGTGCAATGACCCTCTGGTCACCCAAGAGACCATCAATTCAGATGGCTTGGTTAACATCCGTACAGTACACACAACTCTGGACCGCGGTCGACCAGGACGGAGGTGGTGATGCAATAAAGAACCTTTTCTCCCCGGCATCGCCGAACTCGTCGTTTTTCCATTCACCTGTCACTGCCAGTGGTCACATCTCCGTGAGACAGAGTTTGGATCGTCGGTCACACTCACGAGGAATCGTAGCCGTACTTTGACAGTCAATGAGGCAGTGCGTGAGCTGGCTCGGATACTCCGGCAGGGACGGTTTCATGATCGATCGGACGGCCATCCATTCGCGATGGCTTCACATGGATCTCTGACGTTTGACATCTGCGGCCTCGAAGCTGTCACATTTTGTTGGCAGGCACACTCTCCGGATAATGCTGGGTGATGGTCCCCTGGAGATGTCTGGGTGTCTGTCCCGCGTAGAAAGTTGACAGACCTGGGTCAAGCCTCGGTGCGAGATTGGGTGACGATGCCTTGCAGCCTGGGTGATGTCTCAGACCGAGAGAAGCAAGCAACGCAATCCGAAGTGCATCCCGGCCAACAGCCAGCTAGTTCCTACAGTAGAAGAGAGCAAAATATCACCGGATTCGGGTTCTGATGCATCACCGTCGAAATTGCAACATGTCGCGTTGCGATTCGAGCAGAGAGAACAACCGTCGTCGATAACACGGAGTACTTACCCACTCATGTTGTCGATCCAAGCGTGGGGGAGCACGGTATACCGTTCGCAAATGTGTACAACCGTGTGGTTCGGGCCGTGATGGGAGGCCTAAACATCCAAGGCATTTGATTTGAAGGCTGAGAGACCGGAACCGCACATGTAAAAGCGATTACTTGCAGGCATACTCCGAATAATCTGCTTGCAGTAACAAGTAATAATAACGAAATTGTGATTTTGACCTGGAGTCAAGGGGCTTGCGTGCGCGGGATTGGCAAATGGCGGTTGCAGGAGAGACTCAGACTCCCTGGTCGATATGTGGGTTTGGGCAGCAAATATCCCTGGACTTCCCAAAAAGGTAACCGCTTTTCATGCAAGTGATCGCTTCGATGGTCAACAATTTACAACACAATGCAAGACCTAGTGGCCTAGTGAAACTCCGTGTGCACTGCTCGTACAGGTTATCCACGTTTCGGCATAGTGAACGAGAGCTCTGTTGAAAGTACAGTGATGATCGAAACCCCAATTCGGATACTCACATCAGATGTGTCGGCTCATGTTTGGCAGCACGCGCGGCGCAAATAACCAAGCCAGGGTCGAACCCCGGTGGGACAAGAGAGTGGGACATTCCAGGCGTCAGTAGTGTCTTGTGGCTTGAGATTGCTCACGAAGGCTTGCACGGCCCGCGTTTGACGATCATCTAGAAGCCCCTGCAAACGAGGCCTTTCTTGGTTGCCTTATGGGGTTGGTATCAGAGGACGCCATCATCGGGGTATTCTCGTTGCGGTTCCGGATCACAAACGAGAACTGTACTGTAGTAGTGGTCAATAATAGCCGCTCCCGACAACCTCGACTACTAGTGTATTTGTACGAACGGTGTCCTGGCAACTATTTACAGTAGCTGAATGAATCAGGGCAATATGACAGAAGAGAGTATCGCTTTCTGGTTTGAGTTCAATCTGGCTGGATATTCTCAGAACTTACATGTTGCCAACTTGCCATCTTATGATCATTGGCTGCTTGGAGATCGGGGGCGTTAGGAAAGCTGTCGATCATCACGGTGCATTTCTAGTACCACGGCGTAGTAAAGTGTCGGTGAGACAAACCTTTCCGATAAAGTCATGAATCACTCAGGCAGGCCTGGCCGAGATGGAACTGATATTTTGGTGGCAGAGCAGACTCCACACAATGTAAAGCCTCCAGCACATCGTTGTCACACACACATAGAGAGCGCTTCGGTCCGAGAGCGAAGAGCCCTGGACATGGAGACCAGTCTCGTGCAGGTAGAGTGGCAGGGCAGCATCTAAGATTGTCGACTGCTGCTGGAGGCCGAGTCGTTTGCATTGCCGCATGGCTTGTTCCTTTCATCATTGGCTGATGGATAGATCGACTATGCACGAAGGAACGTAGGACGCAGGCTTGTGGTTTGCTGTGTTGTTCGCAGAAGTAATCTGCGTTTAAAGGCTTGACAGATCCTGCCTGTTGCGTTGGCCCTCGAACTGCTTACAGCCTACAAGCGCTCCCCGTGTGTTGCGCTTCCACCGTCGATGTCCCACTACTGTTCAGATGATGTGACATGGTGGGGTTGGCGCTGGAGGCGGAACTTCCTAAGTTCTTAGCACAAGGGATTAGACAAGGTTGTTGACAGGGGCTGCCAACGCTTGGTTGCCGAATTGATCGATCTCAAAGTGGGCCTGCCATGGGTGGAGGGGTCCCGGAGAAGCTGAATGTGATGCACAGGAAATGTCGGACAGCAGGCGAGGAATGAGGAGGGTCGCATAGTCGATGCCGTCCAGGGGTCAGAAAACCACACACTGCGCTCTTTCGGGGCCTCAAAGCAGAAAGATATAACAACGGGCGTAGCCGGAGAGGTGAAGTGTAATGAACTGGTCCAGTTCGAGCAATCCGGTTGCCGGTCTGAGAATCACTCGGACAGGACGAGCATCATCCAGAGCAGGCTATATTAACTCTCACGAGCTGGCTGTACACACCGTTTCTGGGCAAACGCGCGTGCCGGACCGTGCGGGTGACATGCTAAACCATAGCGTCCAGTTTGACGAGTCTCACAGTTTTCTTGTAGTTGCGTGCTAGGCTTGAAGTCAAAGGCCAATAGTAGGCAAGGTTGAGAAAAAGACCAGTCGAGGTTGAAAGCAACGGTGGAGGTGTCAGTCAGAAGAAGGAGGAGTGGAGAGGAAGTCTAGTCGAACGAGACTTGACTGAGATAGGACATTGACGAAGGTTTAGACGGACTCTCATCCAACGTTCCGAGCCTGGCAGGATGCAGCAATGATGGACAGAGACCGCGCCTTGTTTGGAAGGTCGACAGAGACTGAGTGAAGGGGGACGAGCGCAGGAAGAGAGGAAGAAAAATTTCACCGAGAATTCCGTCGCCATAGGCCCATAGTCTATGAGGAGCATCCGTGCTCAATGATGAAGTCAGGAGTTTTGCACTGGCATTCCGCACAGTACGGAGTATATTGGAGGACTGTGCTCACTACCTGCAGTACCTGCAGTATCTGCTGTACATAAGCTACCTACCCAGGCGAGTTTAACGCAAGCCATGAGGCTGCAGGTTCCTGTAGGGCCTGGAGCCAGGTGCCCTTAGGCCGTGACTCTCTCGGACTGGTGGGTGGTGGCTTGGTGGGCGTGTGAACTGCACGGTGGGCGGCGGGAACCGGGCCCCCTGCACATCCTTTGGGGGACCCGGAACCGTGCGTCGTACGGTCGTATTGTCCTGTAGTCGACAGTCGTGGCACAGTAGATTCCATGATCCGGGCCCCGATTCGGCACCGCTCGCACCGCTGAGCCTGCTACACTCGCTGCTCCCTCACTCCTCCTCCCTCCTCCCTCTTCCCTCTCCCACTCCACCCTCGCTCGTCCTCTCGTTAATCACAATTTCTTCCATCGCCCGTTCTCCCTCGACACGACATATTCTCGCCTTGATCCCTCTTCGTCCCTCTGTCCCCTAATTGACTGAACCCTTCGAGCAGAGCCTGCTACTGTTTCCGGCATAGTGCCCTCTGGGGTTCGTCGCACGAGCAGAGTCCGACTGGGCGCTGCAAATATCGCCCACACCTCGTCTACTACACCCTTCCTCCTCCTACCTTCCTACTACATCACTGCAATAGTCTCTGCTGCTGCTGTGATCGATACACTCTGTTGGACCTCGCGATTCTACACCTTCACCTCACTACTCCTCGTTCTCTGAACCTACCACCCGGTGCAGTACAGTGTCACCAAATCCACCTGGAACGACTTTCCATTCTCCTTCACCACCTTGCTGTTCGGCCTCGCATAAACTCGGGATTGGAGCAGCTTTGATTTGCTTCCCATACTCCTTCACACTTTACATTCCGTGGGATTGCCACACTGTGCTAGGACAGCCCGCCTTGTTCTTACCTGGACACCGCAGATTGACCCGCCTATCACAACTTCAGGTTTTTGGAACTATGTGTTAAAAGCTGTCCAACAGCGCCTGTACTGCAACATATCCGGATCTTTTCTCTGTCGACTGTGGCCGTTTCCGAACCATGGATGCCTACGGGAGCTTCGCCTACCTTGTTGACAACCTTCCTCTCTGGAAATCTAATGCTCAGTCATTGGCAGCCCATGCCTCTCAGAAGCATGCCGAGTTCGCTGCTGACTTTACTCGGTTAGTCCACCAGGTCAAGCCAAAACGCAAGAAGAGTGCCTCCGTCGCCTCCATTCGAACCGCGAACGTGGAAGAAACCCAAGAGGAGCAGGAAAATGAAGAGAGCTCATTTCCCAACAAAACCGACATCAACCCTCTTGAGGCCGGAAACAGATATCTCTATGCACAGGTCAACAGAAAACAAAAGCCGGAAACTTCCATCCGCTGTGGTGCGTCGGGGCCTCAGAAATTCAGAAACAAGAATCAGGTGGTCATTTACTACGATTCTCACGTGCAAGACGAACTGAATACCTTGGTCAAGTCCATCGGCATTGGCCGGAATAACCTACGAAAAGGCAAGAACTCACTCAGTATGGAACGAGGATTTCGACTCCCGCCCCTCAGGTCTGCACAGGAATCGCCGTCCTTGAATAACCTGAGAAGTACCACGACAATCATGTCAGGGAAGAAGGCTGTGGAGTCATTAGTCTTGAAGGTGGCCGATCCCGATGAAGCCGCCTTTCTTCAAGTGGACAAGGAGCTTGAATCAATACAGTCCCTATGTGAGACTGCCGCACACCAATTCCTCCGCGATGGAGATTGTACCGCGGAATTGAATAATATACAGTTCAAGATGGAAGCCGTCCTTCAGCAGGCCGCCTCCACCGCTGCATCATTGAAACAGTCGAAAGTGCAGCAGCAAGAATTTGGCCCCGACTTGGAATCAGAGGCTGAGTCCGCTCCTACCACCCCAGTATCACGCGCGTACAACTATCCTTCCAAGAGTTCGAATATTGATCGATCAACTTACGGGATCAAGACGACTCTGAGCGATATGAGAGCCCGTGGGGCTTTCTTCGGCTCCCCTGCCATTGCGGCAGACTCGGACACAGGTCTTATGACCGACAGTATCGAGGTCGACGATGACAGTGACCAAAGCTCAGTCCAGCTGGATATCTCACAATATCGTTTTGCGAGAACAAGACGAACTCGCATCTGAGTGGTCTGGAGGTCATGTCGACCACCTCTCATTTGTTTCAATCTCTTTGTATAAACTGTGATTTGGTTTTTTTATTTGTCGTTGCCTTTCAGCGTGTTGTCTGTTACCCGGAGCATATATGCATCATTGAGCGGAACTTTTTTTTGTTTGCGGTCTTTTCAGAGAGGAAGAGAAAGGCAGCTACCTTGTCTGACCATCTCAATGATGGAGATGAGAATGTGGAGAGCTATCCTGGGGTGGAACAGCACGCAGGGAACCAGTGATACTACTATTGGCAGACTCTACATCTTACCAAGAAACATCCATCTCGACGTGCTAAATAAGGTTACAGACTCAAGGATGTGATCTTGAGCATGGGGGAGGTTTCGTGTGGTCACTAAGAAGCATTACGGCAGCGCAGATCGACTATGGCAAGGGTTTATGGTCTAATCCGGCATATTTGGCATATACTGTTAGCCACTATGGCCGTATTTGGGAGGGGGAGATGTGATATCAGATTGTTACGGCCGCTTTGAACATGGGAATTACGGACTTGGGCTTGGAGTTTGGCATCTTCTTGAGAGGACTTTTCATCTGTGGATCTCTAAGCGATGCCGGGCATCAAATGAATGCCTTGGGAGCATGCACACTGAGGAGAAGGGTAAGGGATCAGATCGGGTCGAGTCAAATTAGCAGAGCAGAGATTTCTGAAGCGTGACAGTCCTGTTTCCTGCCCTGAGGTACCTTCACCTTATTTTTGCTAGGACTTGTTAATCCCTAAAAGTTGTTTGGGCTTGCAACGCCCCCTCACTTTGACCTACCTGCCCCGTAGAGAGTCCTTGTCTTGAAACCAACGTCACGTCAAGTCGTGGTGACAATGTAGGTACCGAGTTACTACGTACGTAGGGTAGTATCCGGCATGACCCAAGGTACCGTTAGACGGAGAAAAGGGGGTGTGGAGGGGGGGCGACCCGCGCGTAGGAGTGGCAAGATCATCAGAACAGAAGGTGTTCAATCAAACAACGGATAAGATGCTGTTGTTACGGATTACAGACCGCGTCCCCGTTCCGCACACGCCGTGAAGGGGAACATACGGTGCCGTTGCGAGAGGGCATACGCAAGGTCCCGATGTGACCGGTTTGAATTTGTTTGCAGTGTGGAAGTGGGAAGGCACGCGGAAAGCCTGGAAGCCAACGACGAGACGAGACGAGACGGGCATATTGCATGCCCGCTTGCGCAGACCTCATTGTTAAAATCTGTAAATTCGAGCCTTCGATCGTTTAGTTCATCTCGTCCCATTCCATTCGTTATCTCTCGTCACGTCTAGGACGACGCCCATTCTCCGTGTTGATTTTGTTCCCCAGTCCGCACTTGCTCTCTGATGCCATAGCCTGAACCCGGGGCAGTGGGACGAAAGAGTCCAGACTCAGTCCTCATGAAAAGCCATTTTCACATATGAGAACAGAACCACAAGGGACATGTTTGGCGCTAGTAATTTCGGAAGACATTAGTCGTGGATCGAATTCAACCAGAATGTCCCATCGCATCTTTCCTTGCACGGTCCAGCGGGTACGGACCGAGGATGATCAGTAAGGCCAATTTGATCGAATCGCGAGACATGTGCATACCAGACCAGCCAAATTCAGGCCTAATCGATTCTGCCAGAAAATTCGACCTCATCTGACAATCTCAAACGTGTTCAACCGCCATTGTTGGACACGCATACACCAGCTGCAGCGTTTGTGGCTTGTTCTTTTGCCGCCTTGACCCGAGCCTCATGCACAACACCCCAAAACAGCTGGGTTTTGACCTGGCTGGCTAACAGACCAGCCATCTCTTCGGACGCAATCTTGTTGCCTCCTCGGACGATCTGCTCCAGCGCGCCATTCTTGACCACCTTGAAATCCTTCTCGCCGTTGCCCGCCAATTCTTGACCTCTCCGGTTCATGTTGACCCCTAACTTTTGCATCCTGGTCGCGTCCTTGATCTTGATTGCGTGATCGGCGATCTGTTTGTTTGCGTAGTCTCTGTTGGTGAATAGTGGCGACTGTGAGATTGTCGAGGTCCAGTATTTGTTCCAAAGAAGGTCTAGTAGGTGCGTGTCGAGAGTTGATTTGTAGTGGGAAACTTCAAGCGGATAATACGAATTGGCATGTGCACCAAAGTCCTCCATCTTGCCCGGTGGAATGGCCTGGAAGTCATCGCTGTCATCCGTGAATGACTTGTTTTTCGGCCGTTGGCCCTCGGGGTATGTTCTGAAAGCTCCAATGTCAACTTTTCCGGCACTGACGGTCCGATCTGGGTCGATGACCACGGCCACAAAGGGATCGTTGACCATCTGTTGGTTCATCTGCGTATGCACGTCGATGCCCGAGAGCCAGCAGCCATAGCCAGGGTGTGAATGGTACCATCCAATGGGGTTCTCAAGTTGACCGCCTCCTTCTCTTGACATGACACCAAAGTTCACCATGTATTCGTCCGCATCGGCATGCGCATTGACTCTCGTCTCTGTGCCTTCGACTGGAAGTCGGAACGCATCGGTGATGATGATTGATGTCCCTGAGACAAAGCCGGTCATCAGGCCCATGATTTCTATGCTACCACCAGAGCGTGCGTGTGTGGTCATTTTGAGTAAAGCGAGGGCTGAGATGCGGACGTTTGTAAAATAGTTGAGATTCTTCTTCCATGGTGCATCGTTCTGGAGGGTCTTGTAGGAGGCAGGGTCGGGTAGAGTGTAGAGAGCGTTTTGAGAGGGATCTACCGTAATGATGTCGTTCTCAGCCTCCCAGTTTCGAAAGGCCGACTTGGTAGACATTTTGCCGAGGAGTCTACTTGGTCGGAAGAGCCACAAGGGGAGGCGTGTGGTGCAGTGAGGCGGCGGTCAATTCATAGATGCAGGTAGTAAGTAATTCAAAGTGACGATGGATGCGGGGCGTGATTCGTCGGAGAAATGCTTAGGTAATTTCTTAGCTAAGCATGGCCTCGTCGTTGCTGTGCAACCGCCGAAACAACAACCATCTACAGCGCGCTTGATGATATGCTCGATAGACTCCCATCTGATTCGACCAACGCCGCTTCGACCATCTGGTGGCCTTCTTCGATGCTTTTTCAGCTTATTCACCATTCTTGTCACTACCTTTGTTCAACCTGACAGACAACTATCATCAAAGCTGCTGGGCCACCAGCCGGAGTCGCCAACATGCCTGCCCCAATGGATACCAGCTATTTGACGACTCAGGTCACCACTATTATCGGTCAATTGCACTCGATATTCGACGAGATCGGAGTCCCTCGCAATGATCGCGACTCAAGAGAAACAGAGCTCTTCTCGGCTCTATCTGAAACACTTCACAACCACCTCCGCAAGGTCAACCAGTACGTCGTGCTATTCTGCCCGTGCCGTCGACATGTGCTAATCGTTGGTTGCAGGGAAAAGAACGAGCTGACCGAAGAGGCACATAACATCATCAAGACTATTAAACAGATGGAAGCTTCGCTGGACGACGAGAAAGAGAGAGGATATGATCTGGACAGCAGTGGGCTTCGAGTTACCTTTCCTCTCATTGACTGTTTACGCGACCTCAAAGAAAAGTACAACGTTGTCAACAGACTCCACCGAGAACGATTTGAACAGGTGAAGAAGCTAGTTCAAGCTCTTGAGTCATACTCGTCCCATCTCGAATCCTCTTTCGTCAAGATCAGACTACCTCCCACTTCTTCGAATACCTGTCCACCGAACTTTGACCTTTCGCCCTCTTATGTCACAACCCTTGATGAAGAGTTCTCCCGAGTCTATGACGAGTATAACAGGAGAGTTGTTGTGGTTCAGCAAACTGCAGAAGAAATCGTGAGGTTGTGGTCGGACTTAGGTATCCCACAAGCGCAGACCGATTCTCTGATAGTACAACACTATCGCGACTCACCCGAACAACTGGGACTGCACCAGGCAGATCTGGACCGACTGAAGAGCCGGCGTGATAAGCTTGTTGAGGAAAAGAGAAGCCGAGAGAAGAGAATCATCGACATCAAGAAGAATATAGAGAATTTGTGGGATCGGCTGGGGATTGAGCAAGCAGATCGAAAGGCTTTCTTGGCTGCTAACCGCGGTTGTGGCCTACGGACCATAAATGAATTCGAGGATGAGCTGGCAAGACTCAACGAACTGAAAAGGCAGAATCTGCATTTGTTTGTTGAAGATGCTCGTGTCAGACTTCAAGAGCTTTGGGATTCTCTATACTTCTCGGAAGAAGAGATGCTCGATTTCACGCCAGCATTCTCCGATGTCTACAGCGACGCTCTGCTATCTGCGCATGAGGCAGAGATTGAGCGACTTACCACGCTGAAGGAACAGCGGGCGCCAATCTTGACGGTTGTTGAGAAGTACAAGTCGCTTGTCGCTGACAGGGAAGCACTTGCTGCGTCTGCTGCAGATGCCACGAGATTGATGCTGAAGCCACAAAAGGGAGAGAAGCGAGATCCTGGCAAACTCCTACGAGAAGAAAAGATGAGAAAGAGAATCGCCAAGGAACTTCCGAAGGTTACAGCCGAATTGACCAAGACCTTGCAGAATTACGAAGACGAATACGGCAGACCCTTCTTGATCCACGGCGAGAGGTTCTTGGATGAAATCGAAGAAGCAGAGACTAGAGCGCCACCTCCTCGATCAAAGACGCCAAACGGACTTCCACCTAGATCGAAGACTCCCGCGCCGGCACAGACAGCTAAATCGGCTCCAAGTGCTGGAAGATCTACACAGCCAGCTCGACCGGCAAGTGTGATGAAAGGACCGCCACGGACCACTGCAAAAACGCCAACTGGCAGCAGACCTGGCACTATGAGACAGCACCATGCCACAGCGTCTGCTACTACGGGAGCCTCATCACAAGCAAAGTCTCCTTCGAAGATTCCTGCTCGTGCGCCACTAGGAACTCTGAAGCATGGTAACAACTCGCCGGAGCGCCGAACTGTCCATCAAGCAACTTCACAGCCTACTCATGCCGAGCCACATCACAATTTTGCGCAGAGTACAAAATCAATGGGTCCTCCTCGAGCACCTCCTCCGAAGATGAGGGATCTCTTTGTGCCTCCGCAAGAGCCAGCGCCTACGACAACAGGACTAACACTCAAGCAATTTCCTTCGACGGGTCGACCTGCAAGCACAATCTCGTCAGGATCCAATGAGAGCAACCGCTATGTCCGGCCGATGTCGCCAGAAGATGTCTATGATGACCGCGAGCGAATGTCTTATATGTCAATATCCCTTCTCAATCGTGACCGTCAGCAGCATCAGCCACAGGCTGACACATATTATGCCGGACACAACAGTCAACATCAACACCAGACATCCCACTCTCTCGCGGGATCGATCCATAGCCAGAGCAATCGCTCAAACCCATCTGTACCACCTTCCACGAGTCAATCGCGCCAGACGTCCAATACATCTTCCAACATGACGACAGCCACAACGGCATCTGGAAGTGAGAATTGGGAAACATACTCTGATGCTTCGGAGATGGAACCCGAACGCGACGTCCGAGATACGTACTATTCTAAGGTCCACGCTGCTACCACGAACACATTGGGCATGAGTGTCAACTCACATAACAACCCGAAAGGCAAGAGACCTGGTACTGGTGCGGGTGCATTTGCTGGACAGATGGCCCCTCCACCTGCGAAGATGCGCGTAGCGAACCAGCAGCAGCAGCAGCAGCAGCAGCAACAACAACAATATGGCTATCAAGGTCAAGCCCAGCAGTATGGCCAAGGTCAGTTCCGTGACATGTCTGACGAGAATATCAATTCCCATCTATACGGCCACGCGGTGCGAGTCGATGGAAGCGATGCAGCATGGAGCACGGAGCTCGAAGAGACGTACTGAGCGCGAAGCTGATGAGTGGTGAAGAGTTCTGGACTTCCTGAATGTCTTTTTGAGACACAAGAGTCTCCAAACAAACAAAAAGACATGTTCAAAGCAAAGGGTGCCTTCAATTTTCTATCCTCGAGATATATTACTTTTGTGGGCGGAGTTTCTAGTTTGAACGAGGTTTTTGCAAAGAAAGGGGGAAAAGTAGACCGGCGCATATCTTGCACGCATATTGGATTTTTCGAGGAGAGGAGAGGAGAAGCGTCTTGCATCCTCTTGGCCTCATAATGACCGTCACGATTGCTATTTTATTTTCGGGGAGCAGCGAGGACTTGTGGTGTTGGGAAACATGGTTTGATGTACACATTTTTGTACGGGGCGGGAAACGGACCTGGGACAGCCGCCGTATGAAGACGGATGGTATGGGGGGTCAACAGCTTCATATTGTCCAGGGGTACTCTCTGTATGTACCCTGTCTGGGCCTTGTACTTTTACGTTTCACATTCAGGTTCAGATTCCGGGCCGTGTATAGGTTCTGCTCCGACATACAGACGAACCTCGACATGGAAATCTGCGGACGTAGGTCCTTCGTACCTAAGACTAGATAGGGGTGCTGTTTTGTCTCTGAGGAGCGTTTGTCAATCTCGACAAGTTACTAATAGACCAGATGGACACCGAGAGTGTCAAAGCTGGGGGGGTTCTTTTTGAAGAGTTTTCCATTGTCCGAACAAGGCTAGATAATATATTGTCCAAAACCATCGCGCCGCCGTTCCCTACTTCGTGTCTTCTCGTTAAGAGTTCGTACGTGTATATATGTTAAGTAGGTATGTGCGCGACCCTGAAGCAAGGAGCCTGAATCGCGATCCCGCCACGTTTATTCGGCTGTTGACTACCCGCCGTCCAGAGCCGAATTCTCCAGACGTGATTCTGGTCCTGGTCCTGGTCCTGGTCTAGGAGGCGAAGGAGATCAAGGAGAGCCTTCGGGCCGAGGTCGACGACGACCGCCATCTCGAGGTGCGTCATGGAACACTTCGAGGTAGTAATCCCTGACCCGGCCACAAATACCTTCTAGGCCTTGCCAGCAGCCAAACTGGTGCTCGTACTCACAGGCGGTGCCCATGATTTCCTCCCAGAAGCCACGCTCGACGTCAAATCCAAATAGTTCGTTGGCCCGCTGTTCGCTCATCCAGCACCGCACGGCCGTCCCGTTGGAGTCATGCGTCGGGCCACCGTGGCCGGTGACCTGGTCCTCGAACCCACGCATCTGATGACCGAAGATTGTCGAAGGGTCGAATTTGGGAAAGTTGGCGTGGATGAAGAAAGGCCGCACCTCCGTCGGCGTGATATCAAAGGGGTTGACGTTTGTGGCTTCTCCTTCCTTGAGTCGTTCGTGAGGCGCGCCGTTGATTTTGGTGTAGACCCAGTCGGCGATGGGGTCGTGCTGGGCCATGGCGCTGCCGAGGTAGTGGCCGTTTGAATCGGATCGGCCCAGGGCCATGACTCGTTCGTGGACGGCGTAGAATGGCTCGTTCATTGCCGTGGCTGCCCAGGCGAACGTCTCCTTGTCTCCTTGGCCCGGCGCGCCTTGGGACAGGAGCGGATAGTAATACGTCGGGCCGTAGTAGTTGTAGTACGCAGCCAACATGATGGACATGTTGTGTTTGGATTTCGAGTACAGCAGCTCACCGGACTCGACTGAGGCCCTGACGTTCAACGGTGGGATATCGTCGATCTTGGCGATCTCGAAATAATACGGGGATTCCGAAGCGAACCAGAAGTCCGGCCATACGATCATGCCCGTGCTCTTGAAGGGCTCTTGCTCGAACAGGGAGACTGGGTTGTAGATTGGAAAGGCATCCGAGTCGAGCAGTAGTACTTCCTCGAAGGACGAAAAGAGAATGGCCATGATCTTGTACTGGAAACGATCGATGGCGACGCCCGACTCGGCGGCCCGGAAGATGTCTTGCAACACCAAACACTTCGCATTGAGCGTCGGCAGGACATTGGTACAGATCTCCTCATCGTACTCGTCCGGGTCGGCTACGAATACTTCGACTGGCAACAGACACCACGTCCTGCGCAACATGCGGATGGAAATGACCAGGACGGGCAGTTGTTTGAAGCCTGCGGTCATAACCAGCCCTCGGCTGCCCGGATCATAGGGCATTTGGGGGGTGTGTTTCTTCAAGTCATTGATAAAGTTGGAATGGGCCTCTCTCATGCGCTTGATGTCCTTGGACTCCATGAACAGTATGTCAGGTCTCTGGTGGTTGTGAGAAGGATCATATCCGATATCCAGCTTTTGAGGCACCACCGGGTCCGGTGGATGGTCACAATTCGGGTCATTGTTCAAGATTAGAAGATATAGATCTCGCCAGAAGGAAGCCTGGCTTTTGAGGAGAGGACTCGTAGGACGGGGCGCGCGAGATGGGACTGCACTTGGGGTCTTGGTTGGGCTCGAGCGAAACCGAGAGGTGAGGAAGAGGAGAAGGAGGAATATGACAAGAAACTGGCCAAACAGACCATATCTTCGACGATGCCATTGACCACGAAATCGACCTGTCCGCGGTAAGAGCATGTTATCATGTTGCTATTGGGGGAGATGCATCATTTCATCCGCGGGAAGCGTTGGAGCGGGTTCGAGGGACGAGGTCCGAGCAGAGCGATGCGAGCTCAAGTGCAGCAGACGAGGACAGAAATGGAATGAGAATGGATTTGACATTGGATTTGAGGAGGAAAAGATCGAATAAGGTGCCTACCGGTTAAGCGATGTTTGAATGGTATAGTCTCAGACACCTGGAGGGAGAGTGGATTGTCGGTCACATAGTCATAGGTAGAGAGATATCGCGGTGGAGAGGCCAGAGAAGAATATGCGACGTTGCCAATGGAGAATTCGAATCCTCAGCCGTGGATTGAACCCTGAAGAGTGAACGCCACGGGAACAATGACTCGCATCGACAGGCATGGGCCTTGCATTGATATGGTTGTTTCACATGTTGAGATCAGCCATTGTGCGTCGTCGACTGTTTTGATGTCGAATGATGTGCGTCGACAAGAGACACGACGGCAGAAAATCTGAAACCTCGGTATCAGGTGTCGGAGTAGTAATAAATATAGATAGAATGGAGGTGTTTTATTTGCGTAGCCTTGAAAGATCTTTTCCGGGCTCCGATTCGGTGAATGCCTCTTTAGTTAATCGACCTAACTAGCCTTAACTAACCTACCGCCTACGATCATCAGCCAGTGAGCCTCAAGGCCTAAACAGCAGCCTGTAGGCCTACCTAGCGGGCTAACCTCTGGTCGCTTCACAGGGGCCGATAGGGACCGAGTCCACCAACACAACAGTCTTGTCACACCTCTGCTTCGACACCAGCGACGCCATCTTCATCTAGATACCTATGGAACTGTGTAAGCGCCATCGACGACAATATTCGCCCCAGTCATGAAACTCGACGCATTCGACGCACAGAACAAGTACGCCTGTTTTTCACTGTCAGTGTCGTGTTGCTCGCATACACGCACGGTTGTGCTCCTCGGCCGGTATCATAAAAACTCACCCCTTTCAACTCATAGGTCTCGCCCATGCGCTTCGCCGGCGTCAAGGCAACCCACTCATCTGACAATTCTTTCGGGACCTGCTCCAACATATCGGTCCAGATGTATCCCGGACTGACACAATTGACTCTACAGAAATCAATCCATTCGATCGAAAGGCTCTTTGCCAAATGTATTAACCCAGCTTTGGACGCATTGTACTGTGAGTGAAGCGTCAGCTATTGGCCGGGGACTTTCGACGAAGCCAAGCCGAGTGAGCGGTAGGCTCGAAGGATGCGAAAGGAAAAACGGGGTGGTGGGAACGACTCACAATGGCCTGCTTATCTGGAATGTTGACAATCATCCCGGATATGCTCGTCGTGAAGATCACGTTCCCGCTACCTTGGGCCTTGAAGTACTTGGCCGCGGCCCTCGCGCAGAACCAAGGTCCGTCGAAATTCACGCCCATCTCGCTCCGGAACTCGGCCGTGCTCATGTCCTCGGCGGCGACGGTGTAACAGATGCCAGCGTTCGCGACGAGGATGTCGATCTTGCCGAAATCAGCCACGATGCGCTCAAAGACGGCGTCGACGGCCGTCTCGTCGCTGACGTCGCATTGATAGGCGCGGATCGTGACCCCGTGCGTGGACGACAGGTCGGCCGCGACGTTCTCGGCTGTCGATGAGCTGCGGTAGATACTTGCGATGGACGCCCCGGCTTCAGCGTAAGCCTTGACGATTTCGAGACCGATGCCACGGGAGCCGCCTGTGATGTTCCACTCATTCTGGTTCAGCCACACTAGCTCGTTATATGCCCGCGTGCGTGGATATGGGGAGGTAGATGTGTAGACGAGTGCGAGAAGTAGTGCATGATAATATGTCTACGTAGGCATACCTAGGTAAACCTAGGTATATCTAGTATATATACCAACAGAGGCAACGAGGGTTTGCACGCAGAGGATACGTACCTGTCACTACAGCGACTTTCCCCTTGAGACTGAATAGATCGAGAACATGGGCGTTGCCGGGTTTAGGGAGGTGCATTCTTACCAAGGCCTCTTTAATGGGTCGTAGACGAGTCTGACTATTGTGGAAGATGTAATGAAGAACTATGGCGGAATTACTGACGATCGACTTTGTTCAAGGCTTGATGTATTGTATCTACCATGTATATATCTGTGATATCTCGTGGTAGGGTTAGATTGTGGAGATAAGCGTCCCGATACGGATGGGTAAATGTTTCCCATTGTAGAAGATTGTGGTCAGGGACAGAGTTTACTTAATGTTGAGGCTAGGCCCGGTTCCTTTGACCCACGACAATGTGACTTAGCTTTTGAAAAGGTCGAGGCGCAAGATGTTTATTCGCACTTGTGTACAATAGGTGCAATACAAAGAAGGCCCTCATGAGGTGTGGTGGGTCGAATATGGCCATCGTGAAGAAGAAGCGGCAACGCAGCTCTTACAACCATACTACCTTAGTACCTTACTCCCTCTTTTACCCTGTCCTGTGCCTACCATACTGTACATACGGCACATACTGCAATCCGTGTCTACCCGGGTTCCTAGGTAGAGAGCGAACGAAGCGCTGTAGCCGCACCAGATGATCTGTTATCGAGCCAACTGACTACGTGCGCTCTTGAGTACCTGACTTGGCTACCTACCCTTCTTTGGTACTCCGTGCACTCTACCCATACTGTCCTGCGGCGATACTAAATTGATGGTGCAGATAATTGATGATACTGTCGCCATCTTCATACTTAAGTAGCTTTTTTCGTTCACTTCCTCCTCAAAAGGTACTCGTCAAAATTCAAGACGGACTTCCCCAGGACCAAAGCTCCCTCAGCACAATCATCCTTGTCACTCCACTCTTTCGCCGAATGGCTCACGCCGTCCTTGGACCTCACAAACACCATGGCCGTCGGTGCGACAAGCAACGTCTCAAGCGAGTCGTGGCCCGTCAACGTACGTGCGCCCACCCCCTTTTCACCACAGGCGCGCGCGACACAGTCCACCGCTTCCGGCGTAAAATCTCCCGGCAAGAGGTGCAGAGTACGGCTCATGGCGTGCCCCAGACCGTGGATCGAAGCCGCGGTTTTTGCCAATGCTTCTGCCCGTCGTCCCATCTCCAGCAACCCCTCAGCGTCGGCGTGCATTAGGCAAAACACCACCTTGGTCCGCGACTGGATATTGCACGCTCCCACGGGCCCGCTCTCGATGGCCGTCACCGTGCTCCGGCCGTGCATGTCGTGCGCGAGCGTCTCGATGCTCGTCATGAACTTAGCCGCGCCCTGGACGCTATCTTTTCGTCCGTGCATGGCGGCCGTGTTCGCGTGGCCGTCCGCCCCATGGAACACGACCTCGTACCACGTCATGCCTTCCCACCCTTCCACCCATCCGACGGGCTTGTCAGCCCGCTCCAGACTGCTCTGCTGCTCGACGTGCACTTCAAAGTGCGCCGATATGGGGAACTCTTCGAACGTGTTGGGTCCGGACCCGACATAGCCTATGCGCTCGAGTTCGCTGCCCATGGTCTCGGGAGACCCGTCGTTCGAGTACGAGGCGTGAGCCGCCGTGATGGTGCTTTGGCCCGCGTATACCTGAGACGAACCCAGAGGCGGGAAAAACCGGGCGCCTTCTTCGTTGGTCCAGTTGATGGCCACGAGGGGTGCTCGGGTCTTGATATTCTGTTCGCGGAAACTTCGTAGGACTTCTAACGCGCAGAGAACCTGGGCCATCGAGTAGTGTCAGAGTTTTGTATGTGGATGGGTCTTGGGATGGTACAGCACGTCGAAAGGGAGAAAGAAGAAGGGAAAAATTGTTTTCACCTACCCCTAATGGACCGTCAAATTTACCTCCCGTCGCTACTGTGTCGAAATGACTACCCATGGCGATCGGCGGGATGGTGTTGTCGGTACCTTGGATAAGTGCGAATTGGGTCCCTGTGGCATTTACCTGTCGAGATTGTCAGGCTATTGGAAGTCAAAGCCCAGGTCTGCCCCTCGTGATATGTCGTCGAAAGTGGGCGAGGCTGGGTCCATCCTATCTCAAGGGCTCCCATGTGGTACCTTGTAATCTGCACCCAAAGCGAGCACTTGATCTCGGAACCAATCTCGCACTTTCTTGTCATTGTCATCGGCACATAGACGTGTCACTCCACCGGGAGAAGGTGCGCTGAACTGTGCAGTGTGATGAATATCGTTCCTTTCATGCCCGCACCGAGTTAGAGATCAGCACCCCGAAGAGCAATAAAGTGCCAAGAATGTCTACTTCTTGTCGAGGTGATAGTGGCAACCTGTGTTGCTGTGCGGAGTGTTTTAAACGTACCATAATCGATCACCGTTGATGGAGAAAGTGGTGATTGGAGACGTGCGTGCCCTGGACATAGAGAGATGCCGCTTTCCCAGAGATGAGCTGAGGACTGTAGTCACAGCGGCCCTTGACCTGACCGTGAAATGCATCTTTGTCGGGTACTCCTCACGAAGAAACGCGGACAGAGATTCCCACCCGAGTAGGTATGTTTTAAAGCGCCGGCAAGGTAGATAGGAAAGGAGGTGACTTTTCAGCAGGCTAGAGCACTTGACATGTATAGAATGGAGAGTATCTATATGGTCAGAGCCCACGGGATCTCCAGGCCGAGTCAAAGGATTGATAAATTCATAGCCAATCCCGCCTCTTGTGGTTCGGGAAGGTGGCCATCTTGGTATCCAGAGCCCAGTCTGTACCAGGGAACCCTGAACAGTTCGCAAATGTGATTGATTGGGAAGAAAACGATGGGACCTGCGAATGCTTGGAAGAAGATGATGAGCGCCGAGTCGTCGGGAGGAGCCAATGAAGTTGGTTTCCGCGGATCAAGGCAGCATGGGCCGGTATCCCTCGTTAGCGTTATCGTCTAATTCCTTGAGCGGACTACATCACCCAGACTCGACGGCGAAGTCCATCCAGATGACGGGTATTGAGAGAAGACTATCCATCGCAATCACGATCAGACAGACGACCGTGAGAGATCTCGCGTGCGCATCTTGTGTCGATGGGCATCATGGTAGTAGAAGTTCCCTTACCCTAACCACACGCTGTAGCGCGAGTCGTTCTGGTCGAGAAACAATTGTCTTGTCGAGACCCACAGCCTGGTCACGTGAATTCTCACACTCTCGCAAGGCTGAAGATAGCCAGGATAGGTACCTAGTAATAGCACGAGAACCCCACGACTCACGGTACAATTCGGAAGGTTTGTAAGTATTCTTAGATATTGCCCATTCTTGTGCTATTGGTATGGACTGACTGACGCCTTTCTTGACGCTCCGGTTTCTCGTGGTGTAGTTTTAAAGAATGGCGTTCCATACTAACGCTCCCCTCTTGGGCCGAGATGCGCAGGTGCTTCATTCGACTTGAAGAATCTCGCATCGAGGCTTATCCAGCCACCTATCACTGTGACACTCATGAAACTGCTGCACACTAGAATTCTGGCAATGTGGATGTTTGTTGGGAGATACTTTAGATATGTCCGGAAAGAAAGTCGGTCGATGACGGCCACTGATCAGATGGTTTCGTCTGGTCCGATGTAAAGTTTGCTGGCGTTGCTACCTCAGTTCCACCAACCGAGTTGTTCACTGCCTCACTCACATCCAAGCCAGTCATCCAGGGAGGGAGCCCGTACGAACTCTGGTCGTACGTTGCTCGAGCAGTCTCCGCATTGTGCCATGTGCCTGTATCAAACCACGATGTGAAAAAGGGATGGAGATCATCTGGGGCGGTACTTGTACTGGCGACCGTAGCAGCAGCGTGCAAGACCTCAAGTCCCTCCATTGGGTCGTTCTGTGCCTGACTCAATCCTCGAGAGCTAGGTTGCAAGCTTGGGCGCTGCATATGCTGGACTGAAGGGTGTCGAGAGACTTCTGCGCTAGTCGGGGACTGAGGAGGTCGTGAAGTTTCGTTGCGAAGGGCCCGTGCGGCAGTTTCAGCAACTGCCCCTCGGGCCAAGCGGAATATGCTGGTCGGCTGGAGGACGGTATCGAAGGTGGTTTGGTTGGGAGTACCCTCTCTGCTTGACTTCGACGCACTGTGTTGCTTTAGTTGGACGTGGTCTGCATCATTAGGTGTCCTTTAACATACCTGTCTGAATCATGATCGACATGATCAGGAGCAATATGTCGAGAGGATGACAATGATCCGAGGCCGGACTCGATCAGCATCCTCCGTGCGGCTTGATACTGTCGTGCAGAGTCAGTAAATCGGGAATCGAAGAATTCAAACCACCAGTGGTGGAGTCAGGATTGGAGGAGCTTTACTCACAAACGGGCCAGCCATGCTTGTGATTGATTGCATGGCCTCAAGACAATCTAAATTGCTGTTGACGTGGGGGATCACCTCCTTCAACACCGTCTTGCCTTGGTCTGTTGAAAGTCCCATGATGCGAGTGACATAGTGTATCATGACTCGATTACTGTCGAAAGCCACAGACGGGAGCCAAGTATCTGCCAGGATTTTGGCACCGTGGTTCAAAGCATCCCGCAAGATACTAGCGCAGTCCTGTGCACGCTGAAACATTGTAGTCTGTAAGTGATCCTGGAATTCGCGAGGGTATTGCCATCTGATCTGAAGGCGGTACAACTGAGGCGTTGAAATTCGATACAAGTCGCAAATCGTCCAGTGGTAGGTGCATTGCAGCAGGATCAAAGCGCCGAGTTGCAATGATTCTTTCCTGAGGTAGAATGCAGTGCGGTTCAGCTGAAGACTTGCAGGGAGACTTAATGACCAGTCCCGCAACGAAACGTCGATTGCTGTAAATTCAGATGTTGGCAACCACGGTTCTTCTGCCGCTTCGAGCCTCTTCACATATCTGCTCACATTAGCAAACCTTCAGAATAGTGCCCGTGCTTTCAGCGATGGCATTTAAGCATACCGTAAAACCCGTTTGCGAATCCTGATCAGGCGAATGTAAAAAGCCAGTAGCCCCATATTCTCCACAGGCCGAGGTGGAATCGCATCCGGAGGCAAAAATCTCAGAAATTGACCGGGCTGAAGCAGTTCCGTCACGCATGGAACTTGAAAAAGAAAATTTCGTTCGTGCGTCGGCAGCTGAATTTTGATGTCGCTCTCATGGAAAATGGTTAACTGATCCGTACCGCTACTCGTCAACGCATCTTGTACGTAACAACTCCACATCACACGTCGGCGTGATTCCTTGGATGGTATGGAAGGGCCATTCGGTGATTCGTCTTTTGAGATATCGGTCGAATATTCCAGGTTCAACCGGAGAGCGTGGGCTAAGCGAGCACAAATGCCTGTGAGGATGAAAGCGCTTGCGTGTTTGCCAACGCGGATCTCGTGGTCATGAAGTAGAACCGCGGTCTACCTCGAGTTAACTAAGACGATACGGTACACATGACAATGGCGCTGGTGTGCAGCCCTTTCGGGTGGATAGCGGTAAGGTTTCATGATCCGGATAGTGATGACTTACCATAAGATTCTCTACTGAGACGTTATCAAGATTCGAGAAGAGCAACATCGCCGCTCTTTTGGCCCACTCTGTTCCGGCCGAGAGCACACTGCCGTACTCGCCGCGATCAGCATGTCCAGAGTTTTGTAGAGCGTAAAACCTGGAGAGAATCTCGTTAGCCTTGTCAGGTGGGAAATAAACCCCCCACGCGAAGACATACTTGGCACCAAGCGCGCACACAATATGAAGCAACGCGTTACTGGCTTGGCTTTCACTCGTGTCATCGTCTAGTCTCTCCATGAATGATGGTCTATGGATGAATGCGTAGCACCGTAACGGGTGTATGTTGTCCATGTATTCCTTTACCAACAGTCGTATCTTGGAGCGCGGAGGAAGGTAAGGTGTAGAAAGCCTGGTGAAACACAAGGAAACAGTCAGTACAAGCTGAGCCTCAGAAAAAGGCCGTGAGTTCCAGTAGCAGGGTGTGACATATGGACATTATACGGGAGTCAAGTAATCGACCGCAGGATCTGGTAACACTGATGCTAGGTGTGAAGGATACGTACCAGGAGACGTTTCCAACCTTGGGGGTTTGAGTGATTCGCGAGCCTACTGGTGGTTCATGACGAGATGATGCGCCGGGAGCCCCATGCAGTCCTCCTATCCCCTGCGGACTGTTGTTGCTTGCGGCGGTGCTTAGCCGACTGAGTTCAGTAGTCCTCGTACTCAAACTTGGCAGGTCTGCGGCGACATCCTGCGGGTGATCCGCAGCCTGGGCATCATCCGTCCTTGTTGGCGGCACCGAAAGACTTGCTCTGGGTCCTGCTTGCAGTCTGCGAGTCCATTGAGGATCGGAGTCTGCTTCGTACTCGCAAACGAGAGACCGTCGCTTGCAGCGCAAACAGTCGGGTCGTTCACCGGTACATCTCGACTGAAGCAAAAGTCAATAAATATGGTGCACCAGTTCGATCGTGAACCCCTGCCTTGGATGCGCGACACTCTCTACAAGATCGGAATGTACGTTTTCGCTTTGGTGTTACTTGGGCTGACGACGCAGGATCTGACGGTGGAGGTTCACCACCGTCGTGTCGGGGACCATGGCAGTCCAAATTGAAGCGTTCGCAATTGAGACAGCGTCCTGGACGTTCATCGCACTTCACCTAGGGAAATGTTAGTGTGGTGCGCCTGCGCAAGGGATATGGTGCCCTTGGGCTTGGGCGTACCTTGCGAGCACGGCAAGTAATGCAGCCTGGTCGATCTGGATTAGCCCATTTCCGGTTGAGGATTACCAATCGGCTGTGTGTGTTTGTGCGGCTTACCGGAGCGAGAGCGTCGTGTCTTGACTCTTTTTTCTGAATCCTCAGTCCCAGATAATTCAATGGTGGAGACCGGTATATCGGCAGAAAGAAGGTCAGTGCTGGTCATTTCCATGCTCCGGGGTCGCTGCAAAGTAGGCGATGATCCCGGCGAAGAGATTGTGGGAAGATGAAGGAGAAAAAAAAGACGAGACGCGGGCGGCGGGCGGTCGGCAGAGTATCTGCTGACCGTCCAAACATGTACGAGTCGGATGTTTCACCGGCACCACCGCCGGTCTCTGGCCGGCCTGTATTAGGCATAGTCCAAGGGCGCTAAACACGCTGGCGTTGGTGCTAAGGCACCGCCTACGAACGTTTATCCAGGCGACGACCCGGCCCAGCAATCAATGCAGTTACCGACCGTCCGATATATCTCTCTGCTTATCAACAACAATGGATGTGGTTTGGAAGAAGCACGAATCCGATACACGAATAGTCATAGCAACTTGTACTGAGTTATAGTACATCTGAGGACTATCTTTCTAGTGCCGTATAATGTACAGAAACTCGCATTCTGGACTTCCATGTTAACATGGCAGCCAAGATATTGTCTTGCTCATTGCTTCATTCCCCCATTAACAGTCGAGGTCATTTTAGATCCACTGTTGAAAGATGAAACCTCGTACCTTTGACACCCCAATTCCATGCTTTGTCATTGAAGGCCCAATTCACTTTTGGTCCTCGTGAATCATTACTCGTCGAAAGACACCAAAGCCTCCAAGAAAAAGAAAAGATTAAGCAGAACACAAGTTAGACGGTCCACGCCCACCCACCCTCAACGCCCTTTGATATACACAACCACCACCACTCGGTTGTCTCATACCCCCCAGACGGTACATGCATCTTGGCAAACCCAGCCTGGACACACCACTCCATCAACAGCTCGACTTCCTGCCTGTCCAACGCGAAGGTGATGGCCCTCGAGATCTCCGTGGCCGTGGCCCCGGGCAGCTGCGCCACTAGACCCATGACTCCGCCGACGAACATCTCCCACAGATGCACTTGGACGTTGCCGTTGATATCGACCCACGCGGGGATTAAGTTATTCTCTGTTTCTTCTTCATCATCTCTGCGCCCTCGTGGGACGCGAGCCTGTCGGCTCGCCATGACAGGGTCTCCGGAGATATAAGCAGTCCTCGAGGAAGGGTATATCTCGACGCTGAAACTCAAGACCCTCTTATCCATGCTTCGGGTCTGGTACCCTACTTTTTCATGTTCGAGACCGTACCGTGTCCGAGGCACGTCGTGACCTGGTTTGAAGCGCACAATACCCTGGTTGTAGAGGTTGAGCACGGCGACCATCTCGGCGTCATCGACGATCTTGTCCTTGTCAAACACGACGCTCTCGCCTCGCGTGAAAATGGGGTCGAGAACATCGAGCTTGTATGCCGCTGCCCGCCGAAGCATTCCTGCGGTGATCATGCGGCGTTCGTCGAAGCGCTCAAACAGTTTTCGAGCCGGTTCCCACGACCGCACGCTAGAGACAGCGTCGTTGCCGAGCCGGTCCTTGGAGACGCGCTGGATGATCCTTTCGTCCTGCAAGAGTTTCAGCACGCGTGCGAGGAGGGAATCTCGTTTGGCCCGCGTGGGAGCGAGGCGGGATAACTTGGCCAGTGCCACGGAGGGGGTGAAGACTTGCGGCGGTGTCATGATGGTGGATAGAGCCCAGGACTTGGCAAGGTGGAACGTTGGGTCGGACATCTCAAATTCGAAGCGTGGAGTGTATTGCATTCGCATTTGCTTTGGCTGAGCCATGTCGTTTGAGCCCGTGGGAGCATGAGAATGTCCAAAGACGAGAGAGCTGACGAGGTCTTCTTTGGCCGGATTCGTGATGTTCAGATTATATCCTAGCAGGCCGTGGTAGCGCCTGGGTTCGGTAAAGGACAGCTTGGTTGTCCTGTTGAATTCGTCACGAGTGTCGGGCAATTCTCCTATTTGCTCGGAGTTCAAGTTGTCAAGCTTCCTTTGCGCCCAGTCAACGATGCCGGCCCAATCTGTCAATGCGAGGTTCTCAAAATTTACAGATGGCACCTCATTGGCTTCGAGTGCTTCGAGGTATCTCCGCTGCAAGTTTTCGGTCAGCGAGCTGACATCGCGGGGATATTTTTTCGATAGCGTCTTCCATCGGTCTGCTACGAATTCTTTGGTGCTCTCGGGAAACACACTCATCACGAGGGGCCAGTCGATGTAGCTTTCCAGACCCCCTGCTAAAGTGCGCACAACAACCACGGCGATGACGATACGGTATATGTCCTGCTCGGGCATGCTGCGTAGATGTTGCGTGCCTCGGGCTAGTCTTTCCGTCCGCCTCACACGTCCTTTGACCTTTCCACGATTGTTACCTGTCGATCGTAAACCTCTGGCGCCACCTCTCTGACGCTTGGGCTTAGGCTCGAATTCTGGCTCAAAGTCGATGTCGTCCTCGGAAGCTTTGCGTTTCAGCGGTCTTCTCGCGCGAGGTGCAGCGATTTCTTCCGAAGTCCCGGGAAGTGCGGAAGGTGATTGCATCGACAAAGGCTCGGTCGATAACGAGGAAACATGTTGCAGCAACTCTGTAGGTCCCTCCAGTATTGATACAAAGAAAGGCCATGACTCCGTCGGAGGCAAAGGAACTTCGACCTCGCGCTGGTCCTTATCAAATCGTACAAGAGCCTCGAATCGAATTGTTGCAGGAACGACTGCACGTGCATAGAGTGCCTTGGGAACGAGATGATTGATGAACGCGTATCTTGTTCGGCGTGAAGATTGAGATTCACGTTCGTCCCAAATACGGACTGCCTCTATTTCGCTGACGAAGCGTTGCAGCCCTGGATCTGTAGATTGAACATCTTTGAACTGAATCCTCAAATCTGGTATCTCAAGTATATCTTGAAGGGTTGATGGGAAATCTAGCTTGCCGTCGTTTGCCCAAATCACTTTCTTCGCATTCAAGCGTGCTCTGGGTTTTCGAACACTTCTCGCACCATTAGTCCTGTTGTCCTTCCACGGGTTCGCCGGAGTCGCGTCGAACCGTAGCGCTACTACTGGATTGTTGAGGATCCAGCGGTCGATCTGAACTGTAGGCAGAGAGCTTAGACGCGGGATCTTTAACGTGACGAATCCAGTCGCTGCAGTTGGGACTCCGATAGTGCTGATAGGTCCTGGATCTGGTGTTTCTGCGCGAACAGCGCTGGTGGCTGCTTCGTTCACAGGGAGGAGAGTGGGTGCTGAACTAGATAGACGACGTTTCGATGCTCTAGTCTCCCGTGGAGGACTGGCTGCATCGTCAATGAGTGGAGATACGCGTCTTCTCTTCCGATGTGTTTCCTCCTCATCGGATGCCGCGTTCAAAACAGTCTTCCCAATCAAAGGCTTGCGATTCGCTTCATCTCTCCAATGTGGTGGAATGTAATCTGCAGGCTCAGCATCGATAATCTTTTGTTTCATGTCTTGCACAGCCTGAGAATTGGGGCTGATACTTGGAAGGAACAGGACCGCACGCTTGAGCATCATCCCCGTTCTACTCCGATGAGTAAACATGACCTGTCTTAGTTTCCCGCGTTCGCACAGAGATTTAATGGCAGCTTTGAGCGTTTTGAGGATCGGACGATCCTGCTGCCCAGCTTCTTGCCACCTGGCAGTAGAGACTCTTCTCAAGGTGGAAGCATCATTCGGCGCAACTCCTGACGTCTCGGAGACCAGCTGGAGCACGATCTTACGACACAACGCACCAACTTTCACGGCTTCCTGACTTGGCTCGTGTCTCGAGGTTTGTGCTAAACATTCTTCAGAGTCTGAGTCTGTATTTTCTCGTCGTCGCTTCTGCGTGATTCGTCTTCTGTGTTGCTGAGTTGCCACATCAGAAGGGACAAAGTCGCCGTCGATGTCAGGGGAAAGCAAGCTCTCAGGACGTGCCACAAACGGCGTGGGCGTGCGCTCTGCGACAAGGTGAGAGTCTACAGATACTGCCGAAGCGTTGCCCGACCCCGCCGGGACAGAATCCTCAATATGACCTTGCAATTGAGCATTGGCAGATCTTCTGGCACTGGTCGTGCTGACAGCATGTTCAATACCAAAACGATGCTGCTCATCTTTGACGAGTGCAGTCACAGGCGAGTTGCGTTCGAATGCATGTTCTCCTTCCGAAGTGGTCTGGTTGGGCTGCGAGAGAAGTTGGGTTATATGGCTGGATTCTGATGTAGCCATACCGCCATTTTCCGAAGAGCCGGGGGCGTCAGACGAGAGTCGTGATCCTCTATCGAAAATTTGCTCTCCAGATGCAATTGCCGTGTGGCCCATATCAGTCTTTTCTGAACGCAAGCCCCTATGTTCCAGCTGACCTCGCACTGGACGATTCCCATTTGGCAGTTTAACAACATGCGATTCAGTCTCGAGTGGGGTCGAAAAAGCGGGCAAGTCGCACGAAGAGTTTGAGCCGTGCTCAGGCTGGCTAGGCTCTTCTGAATCCTCATTCGTCAAGCGCATCGAAGGATCGTGAGACGCATGCCGACTTATTGTCACCGATGGATATAGGCGAGGGGTTGCAGTCGACTGGGTGTCCTCAGGCAAGAGTCCACCAGGAGGAAGCTCCTTCTCTTTCGGTTGCTGCTTGGATCGAACGTATTTCCTCTTGCTCGATGTTTTGGCATTTGAATCCTGGCGAGGATTCTCACCTTTAGAGAGAGCCTGATAGTATTGTGGGTATGCAAAGCTGTGAGCGACGCTAGATGAAATGAATCGATACTTGTGAACGGCGTTTCTGTTACGTAAGCCGACCTCTTCCAATCGGCTGGATTTGAATATCAAAATCTGCGACTGGGATTTGGAATTGCTGTGGTGAAGGCCTTTCGGTGTGATATATAGGCCATTTGATGATCGATCAAGTACGGCCTTTGTGGAAGCTACCCAAGCTTCGTTGATGTCTTCAACATGTTGTGGAACAGGAAGCCCAGCATCAATAGCTCTTGCTAGCGTGACATCAAAGTCAGCTGGACGGCGCGCGTAAAGAGCAAGACCGGCGGGGTCTTTCATGACGCCTTTGATATCCTTCTTAGATATACCAGCTTTCAATCTTGCCTCGAGGAACGTTCGCCGCCAGAAGCTTTCTGTACCTCGCGCATATTTTCGAGGCCGACCCTTCACAATTACGCCGCTGTCTGCCTCAGCAACAGTATTCTTAGCAGAGGTCGTGACTCTTTGGATCCTAGGACTTCTTAGGTCGCCAGGCTTGGTGAGCGGAGAGGAGTTCTCGACACGGGTCTCTTCAGGTAGTATCTCGCGCAGTTTGATGATGGGTTTCTGGCCGACTTTCTTGACTAGTATGGGTTCGCCGACTTTTGCCCGAACATCTCCTGGCCCAGCAACCTGAATAAGCGTAGAGAAGTCGGATTCACCGTTCTTGAGCTGGAGAGGCAATGTAGTCTGAATAGGAAAGCCATAAGCATCATTTTTGAAGACCTTCGTGGTCATTTCCTTAGATGCTGTACTCTTCTGGGCGTCCGCGATTGCCAACGCTTGCTTTGCTCCGGGTATTCCAGACACGTTGATAGCCTGTTCCGCTACCAATTGGAGAAAGGTATCCCAGGAGTAGTGGGTGAATTGGGCATTGCCATCGACTATGACGCTAGTGCGCACAATGGCCAAGTGTCGTAGATGAGACGGTTGGACTATCAACGATTGAGTAGATATTCTGGCAAGCAGAGATTCTATGGCTCGGCGAACGAAGAGGCCTGTAACCATTTGTCGAGAACTCTGAGTGGTGTTAGCCGTATGCAAATAATCGGACCAGCTAGCTTACCACGTTAGTGAGCCCTGTGTGGCCTGCCAAACGTGCCGCATCCATAAGGATGTTCGCCATGTTGCGGTCTGGGTTCCATCTTGCAAGATGCTGCACAGTCCACGCAGCCTCGGAGACTTGAAGTCTAGCATCCAGCTCATCGAGTGGCCCTGGCTCAAGTACCGAAGACAGATGCTGAAGAGTATGGTCTAATTTGAGATTCTCAACTTCGAAGTTCTGCAAGTCCTCGGGACTAGGAGGATGCAAAAGCTTAACAAATGGCTGTACGTCTCCAGAAGTGGCTGATGGACCGGTGGCGGTTTTCACTCGTTTCAAACACTTCAGACGATCAAGTCGCCGAAGAATCTTTCCTAGAGTTGTGGATTCAGCAGCGGACTCCAGGTTTAACTGTTGTGCAAGCTGCGTTTGCGAAACGAGATGTTGTTGTGAAAGCACGTCAAAAATCCTCCGGATAGCATCTCGCACGGTAGAGCCTTTGAGGGGTTGTCCACCTTGACGGTGGATGTCATCTGGATCATAGGATTTGGATGGAGCGAATTTTTTCAACGTGAGGCGACTCGTCCGGTTGCCTTTGAGGTAGACCACTTCCTTGATGATGTACCCTTTGTTCTGCAACGCGTCTGTACGCTTAGGCACCGAGCGCTTGTCTTGACCGGACAATCTGATCAGCTCGCCTTGTAACATGCCAGCTGAACGGGTCGCCGCGATCTGGGACAAGAGATCGAATTCCAGAGGGCTTACTTTGGTGGCGTCGGGAGGATGTCCACAGAGGGCCTGATATATCCGATTCTCCTTAGCTCTGATCCTAGGCACTTTTTCAAGTACTCGCTTCTTCTGATGCACGCCATGGGATTGATGCTGCTGGCCGCGTTCCAAGGCGTTGTCGTGATTCTGTAGTTGGTCGACCCGATTTTTGGTCTCACTGACAGCGTCGCTGACATTCTCGAATTCTATCTGATCAAGCGGGACGTTGTTGTACTCCTTGTTGTTGCCGAGAGAAATGTCCGGATGTCGACCCAGCCATGTCCAGACTTTCCCCAGCAAGAGTCGGTCGACATTAACCTTTGGCTCAGCCTGAGGCGGATTTTGCATAGGAGCATTGTCACCATCAGACGAGTGCGTAGGGTCATAAAATGATGACACAGCTCTCGCGAGGCCATCGAGGGTGAGACCTGTGTACAGATCGGCGGTCAGCCGGATCCAGGCAATTTAGTTGAAGGCGGGAGGGAGGCAAGGACTGAGGGAGGTAGACAGAGTGGGGCGTGTCGACAGTCCCTCGTATAGTCTGGAATGAGACAACGAGACGTAACCGCTTTCGCACCAACCACAAGGCCGCAGAGGCATCCATTAGTACTTACCGGAATGTCCAGTCAGTGCTATCTCACCGAGCAAAAACTCGATGAGTTCGTCCAAGCTCTTCGCCATCGTTTGCGTTCCATAGCAGGAGATCGGTGATGGATTCCGAGTCAGATGTGAAATGAATTATCATGCACCCATGAGGTTCGAACCGCAGACCGGGCGCGTCAATTTTGACTGAAAGTCAAGCCTTGGCGAGAGTCACGAGCACACAACAGCTTTTATTGGCTGCTCGGTGATGCCTCGGCAATGCCTAGAGGTGCAAGTATAGCGAGCCATTACGGCGGGCGATCTGGAATAACTGCAGTACAACGGCTATGGCCGCACATGAATGAAGAGAACAGCCGAGAGGGACACATTTCCGAACTTCACAAAATCTATGGTAACTCTAGAAGACCCTCGTGCTGGGCTGGCCTTCAAGCAGCGACGCGTGCGAATGCGACCCGAGACTGAATCTCCTTCAATCCCTCTACGTCCCGGTCATCACCTTTTGTACGAGGAATACAAAAACACTTTTCCCGAGACTCCACGATGCTGAAAGTAAAAAGCCCTCCATCTTCGCCCATCAGATAGAAAAGTAAGGCGAGAAGGATAACCAAAATTGCAGAGGTCTGCCGCCTCTTACGGCACGAGCCCAGAATGCTGCCATGGGCGTCCCAGCTAGGAAGCGGAGAGATTTAGATGTACATAGAACAAGAAGCAGGCCGTCATCTTTCAACGGACAGTCCATGGTGCCGTTGGATCTCATTCGACAATCAAGACGCGATTGCACGAGGTGGGTAGTTGCGGCGGTTGTTTCGTTGCTTTGAAGGCTTTGAGACTGTGCTCCATCCCTCTTCTTCCAATTCTGCAGTTGTGCTTCCTTCTACGGGTTTGTTGCGCCATGATCCATTGGCACGGCTGGGTGGGTTTTGAACAACTTCTTTCGGCTTGACCGCCTTGTCATCAACAGGCCGACTGTCATCACCTTGTTCATTCTCATCATCAGCGACCATGTCGTTCGTGCCAGAGTCGGCGCGTCGTAGAATGTCGTATTTCGGGGTAGGCTGCTGGGAGTTCTCTTCGCCATTCTCCTTCGGTGCCGCGGCTTCGTTAGTATCCTTGCTCGTCGATTCCTTGGATTTTTCAACCTCGGCCTTCTCCTTTGCCAAACGCCGTTCCTCTGCCTTCTCGGCTTTGGCCTTTTCGTCGGCCTCGCGTCTCTGGCGGATGGCTAGTTGGCGCTTCTCCTCCACCTCCTTTTCCTTTGCCGCCGTGTCAACGGGTCGTGCTGCACCGAATGGGCTTGCTTTCGAGTCGGATGCAGGAGCAGGAGACGTTACTGGCTCGGCTTCGGAAACGGTTCTCTTGGCCAGGTTCAATTTTGGCCTTGTCGCAGGAACAGCGGCAGCGGCAGGAGCAGGTGAAGAAGGCTCGCTAGCCTCGGGAGTAGGTGCCTTGGCGGGAGCATCGGGTCGCATTCTAGCTCGCCATTGATTGTCCATTTCCGAAGCGGTAGGAGTTCGCTCGGGCGGGGGTCGTTCAGTATACTCGCGCCTTGGTGGTCGCGACCCGTCCTGAGATCTGCCCTCACCCCATGCTGGAGAATTTCGGCGGAATCCTCCCTCCTTGCTACCTTGCCTACCACCCTCGCGGAGTGACGTCGGGGCCGGAGACACAGGCGACAGCGGTCCCTTTCTCTCCCAGTTGGAAAAGTCCCTGACCTTTCCATCTCCCTCGGCGAATGCACGTCGTGGCCCTCTTTCACTACCGGCGTCAGAAGAGTTGTCGAAATTGCGACCTCCAAAACCGCCAGGCCGTTCGGAGACCCTCCGCTGGGTATTTGGCAGATCTGGAAGAGGACCCTTTCTTGACCAGTCGCTAAAGTCTCGGGTATCTTGCCTTTCTTTGGCTGTCCATCAATCAGTATGCTTGCGTGCCCAGACAATGGTGTGACTTACGAGGCTCAGCGACACTGATACGCACCGAGCGACCGGCCAAGTTGCTTCCACTCAGATCGAGCGCAGCCTTAAGACCATCCAAGGTCGCAAATTCCACATAACCGAAGCCTTTTGGTTTGCGATCCATTTTATCCTCCACAATGCGCACATTGGTCACTTCGCAGTCTCTGAAGAAATCGCTAACGTCTCCTTGCGTAGCATCAAACGAAAGGTTTGCAAGATGGGCGGTATAGGGAGGCTGAGTGGGAAGTGGCAGTTGCTCTCGTGTAGCATAGGTTTCTCGTCTCTCTGCATTTCTAGCATCAGCTTACGGACCATATTCCGACGTGCACATGGTCACGCACCGGAAAATCCGCCACCCAAGCTGGGTGCAGTACTGTAGGTACGTCGCTCGGAGGCATAGGTAGGCCTGCTATCGGAGGCTAAGATTATCAAAAGTCAGCCATAGATCCGGCACCTCGGACAAGTTGTCGTCATGGAAATTCTCACGTGGCAAGGGCATGTCTTCCATTTCGTCCGCCCAGGACCCAAAATCTGTGAGCGTTAGAACATTGACCCTTCCCGGGCGATCTGCATCGCGACGCACTCTCATCCTGCAAAAAAGTCCCGAGGGACATCTTCTGGTTCTTCTTTGGAGCTGCAACATGTCAGCAGGCAGAATAACAAAGGCTCCAAGCGCGAGAATAATGCGCAAGGAAGCGTCACTGTTCGTACCCATGATTGCGAATCTCAGCACGCGCTGGTTGTGCAACCGCTCTGATCCGGGTGTAAGAAAGTGTTACGGTAGCTGAGGACGCCTGTTGGCGTATTCAGACAGACAGGACTTGTTATCGAGAACACGAAGGTGCTGTCGAATGATCTAGGGTAATGGAGACGCAATGGGTGAAGAGGCTGAATGTCCTGCGAAAGTCTGCCCTCACTTTCTTCCGTCGGCCTTGGCAGCGAAAGTCAGGTCGTGTAAATGGGACACAGACAGTGCCGCTTTTAGCTTTTAGATACCCTGCCCACGGCCCGCCCTTTTCCATCAGCTATTACACTTTCACACACCTATAGCCACAGTCGGATTTCTACTGTTAATCTTTGGTGCGCTTTAACTCGTCATAAAGGGGTCTTAGCGTTCAGATCTGATTTCGTTTTTTTGTTATTGCCCTGCTAACCTTACTGTCACGCACTCGCGTCGTGCCTACCACGTTAGCCCGATGGGGACTAGCGCGAACCTCGACACTGCCTGCGCTCGCGCCCTGCCTTCTACTCGCGCAGCCCTCTATCACTAGTTCCTAGTCCTTGACTTAGTTATTTTTCATCAATATGATCCATTGCTATGAGATCCTGAAACTTACGTACCTACCATACGAACTCGTTGTTTACTCTGAGTGGCCTCAAGGTGCAAAACTGTGTTACTTCAACAGTTGATTGTTTTTCTCCTTTAGACACAAACATCTTCTGGCCCAGGGACAAGGCTCGGAATTCGCAGTCTAGTACAAGTGGTTCCTTATTCAAATCGATCAATGAAGCATTCCGAGCGTCGGATGTCTTTTGCCTCGGGGTGTTTGGTTGGGAGGAAATCCTCTCATTGCCCTAACTTGTGAATACCCATTGTAAATCCTTGTTGTGTCCAGCTATAGCGAGGCCAATATGGCACGTCCTTTTGTTAGGAGCAAGATTATACGCAAATGAGATCCAGGCGCTCATCATGGTGGTTGCGACATTGATATCCCGAACGGTCGCACCCTCTACTAGTTGAGGCTACTGAGGCAGGGCTTCAGACCGAGACATCCTGAGATAGCACGATATGATGTTGAGCTTTCGAACGATGCATCACAGACCTACAGCTATCCTCTTTAGTAAACGCAGAGGAATGGCATCATTTATGAGAGGTTGAGGTGGCCAGAAAAACCGAGACGAGATTATGCTCGTGAAAGCGTGGAACCAGACAAGCCTTCATGATCTTTTTGTCCACTTCTCGATCGACCGCATTGCCAAAGTTCTGGACTTCTGAAGGCTCTTTGCCCATGAAGTCTTGATGCTGCCAACCAAAAGACCGTCATGTGGTGTTTTGCAAATACGGACATCAAAGGTCTTCTGCGGCTTGTCAACCAATGCTGATGACAGGATAGGAAAGACTTGATTGGTTTCTGTCGTAGCCCACAATTTGAAGCCCACATTCAGGAGGGAGCAAGAACTCTTCATGCTATTGGCGTTTTGCGTGAGACATAAAAGTAGGTCGTCAAGAAAGAGCGCGGTGAATTGGATCTGTAAGATCCGTCCTGTGACTAGGAGCGCTCCTCTCTGTTTCAAATGGTAGGGAAAATTCGGCCCCTAGGTGTTGATCCTCTATCACCACAGCCTCACCTATCAACCCACTAGCCTGTGTGCCTCTGATCCAGAACATATCTTTGAGATTGTTGAATGTCGTTCAAAGTCACGTACTTGTTAGGTAAGGCCATTGCTGCACTGAGGCGGGCACCATACATGAGAAGAATGAGGTTGAGTCTTTTGCATATTGTGGCGGCTGCTTCCACTGCTCTATTTGTGTATGCCGTACCAATCTCGGTAATGTTCGCGATTTGAACCATCCTGACTTCGTCTGGTGTCCGAACATTGATAGTTGATCCAACGCGGATTGGGTTGTTTCTGTGTCGATTTTCATCGACACCGCATGAGGTGACAATATTGTGTCCGGTTTCCTTGATGGCACCCGTTCCTTTTGTGACAACATGTTCCAACGGTGCGGCAATGACTACCTTAAGTGGATGAAGGCTGCTTGTGATCAATAGAGGATCGCCGCTGTACCATAGCGCACAAAGTGAATCGTCGCTTTCGATCTCCTCTGGAACCAATCTTGTCGTATCTTCACATAATTCATCATTCGCGTACGCCATTCGTTGCGACAGGTTGGTTCCAGCCAATGTTTCCATGGTTTCTGCGTGACCACCCTAGGTCGAGTGAGAGGTGCCGCGCCTTTCGAGATCACAATACAAAAGATAAAATGTACTGCATGGGAGGAAATGGGCCATTGATGTACTGGTTAGGACGTTTCAGGGTCACTCAGCCTTGTCTCGCAGCCCTTATGTAAGCCTTGACAGCCAAACAGAATATAGGCTCTCTGAAGCTCACAAACGCGAGCGATCAAAGAATACACCGTTTTGCAAATTCATTCAACGGGGACCGTCTCTTCCAGGCGCTACATCCCTTTTCGGTCTTTTCACCCTCTTATGCCTTTTGTATATAACAACGCCGCTGCTTACGCTGTTAGATTTCTCCTCGGTACTTCAGAGTTCGGAATGGTCCCTGGAATCACATGTTCCCTTTCGTTGGTATCGGAGAGAAGAACTTGTATTTTGAATCTCCTTCCCCATGGTCGCAGCCCCCCTGGCCGGCTCGTTTCGTGTACTCCTTGCTATAGGACTTCTCTCTCTCGACCACTTCGGAAGCCTGAAGCGGTGACGGACAATCAATGCTGTCACGTCGCTTTGGCGTAGCTCTTCATCATGATTAGGATACTGGAAGTCGAGATTCAAGTGCGATGGAGAGATACCGCATAATGTCTACGAACTACGGTGGTCGTGTTATGGCGCGCTGCTTTATTTTGGTTGAGCAAGAGCGGCATCGTCATTTTCCTGATCGGGAGTGAAGTACGATGACACCCTTGGCGCGAACCTGGCGCGATTCTGTGCCTCGCGATGTGAGGTATGGCAAAGTGCATTTTCCCTCCTCTTCTCCGATCCAAATGCATGGCCAAAGATGGAAAAGCCCAACACTAATAGCCTGGCCGACTCTTTCACCTCTCCAATCTTCTCCTCTCTCGCCGTAGGAGTAGGCACAGGTATTGCAATTCGGGATAAGTTGGAATTGGCCCATTGCTGATCATTTTCGACCAGGGGCTGTTGGAATAGCTTATGGCGGCGTAGCTGGCACTATTCTTTCGACGCCTAACCCGCTTCTATACCCAACATATTCCGGATTACAATGGTTCTGCGCAGGAACTACGTTCTTCTGTTTGTAAACCGCCGTTGAAGGCGTCTCCGAGGATGTTAACCGTTGTCTAGATTGCCGTAGTATCCTCCTTGCGGACCCGAAAACTCGACAGCAACCGCTACATGTGGTTGCTGCGAGTGGGCTTAGCGGCTTCGGTGCAGGTGCAGTTGCTGGTACCTTTTGTGAGTTTGTCTAATGAGCGGGCCGTGGACGTGTCCTGACTGCGGCTAGTGAGAAGAACTGCTGTTATTCCAGGTGGCGTTATGCTGGGGGTCCTGGCTGCCACCTCTCAGACAGTGCTCAACATGAATGGAGGCTCTTTTGAGTTGAATTTCAACGAAATTCCATTACGCTTGCAACGAGGCATAGCCAACCTTATGCCTATGCAATCGCTCTCTGACAAAGAGTATGAGGAATTGCTGACTAGCAAACTTCTCAAGATTGAGGCGCAAATCTCATTGCTGGATGATCAAATCGCAGACCTCCGCGAAGCAAGCCAACAGCAGAATTCTAGCCGGAGGCCGGAATCGTGAACAGATCTGCGTCAGATGGGGAAGCAGCCGTAAAGACTGTTGGAGCACTGCTCTAGCAGAAGACCCGGGGAATTCTTCATCACAAGGTCGATTCGGAACAGGACGTTCGGTCTTTTTGTTCTCTATCTAATCAAACCACAGCTTCGAGCAACAGCACGGTTATCGAGAATCTTTCATTTCACCGCAATGCTTATGAACAACCTCAAGCCACGTCCAAGGAAGCGAGTATCCGAATGTTAGCAATGATCATTATGGACACACTATCGACTGTGTCATGTATGACACTTAAGCAGGCTATCAGTCAATGGCTTTACCGGACTTAAACTCCCGATGACTGGGTAGAAAGGCCCAACCGGAAGAGCAGGAAGTCCGGGCAGCACCTTGTACTTGTACCCAGTGCTCAGGAGGCGAAGTGGAGGATGCGTCTAAAGTCAGTAATTTCGGCTTCCATGACCCGGGGGCTGTGCTGAAATAATACCAGTAGGCATATGAGTATATTGTAGACAGCAGCGGAAAACGAGAACTACAGGTAAGAACTGGATACATAGTTCGGGCAAAGAATGGCGCCGCTTTCAGTGCTCTACATAGCTAAAATCCGGCTGCAGAATTTTGTAGCAGATGTTCGCTCGAAAACGACGCCAATCGTCATGATCTGGAGTGCTTGACCATGTGGTGGAGTGGAACTTAAAAGGAACAATTCCTAATGATCCTTAGGCGTCTTGTGCATTTACCTACTTTGACAAGAATCCAGTAATCCTCGTCTCATGCTGACTCAACCAAAATGACCTGAGATCGAATTGATCTGATTTGACGATGCCTGCGAATCCGGACTTGTCCACTGAGATGGGAGTTTCTCTACTAGAAGTAGGTACCTAGATGGTACATACTGTAGGCTGTGTACTGTAAAACCCTAGGCACTTGTACTGGACAGGATCCCAAGCGAGCTGGAACACGGGCGGCAGGATACCTGCTACCCAGTTAGTGCATTGTACGGTCACCTCTAGGCTAGTGATGCTCTAGGGGCTCTAGGGATGTACTTGGGGTATTTATCCATCCCTGCAGGTGATTTTAGGTCCTTGGTATTGGGTCAAGGCCCAATAAACACGATACCTACAGGTTCTAGGCTAATTAGGCTCACCACCTACCTACTGTATGCTTAAGGTCAAAGCTTATCTGACGCTGCTCTCGCCCAAACTTCCCTGTCCAGTTTATTTATCGATGGCCCGAGCACTGCAATCAGCATTCTTGCTAATCCAGATCCATATCGGTACTGCTGCCACCACTCCGCACCCCATCAGCCGTCGGCCTCGCCGGCAGTATTGATATTTGGCTGCACCATCACAAGCATATCACTGTCGCATTACCAACCTCGTGCGCTTCTAGCCACTGCCGCTTCACCACATCTCAGATCCCATCAAGGCGCGCTTTGGTCGTCGCCGAGTGACGTCCAAGCCCTCGGAGTTGACTTTCCAGGATTCACTTCCGGACACCACTCTCCCCCAACGCAGCGAGATCACTTGTGGTGAGCCAACGACTTTGGAAGATCAAGGATCCATTGCGAATCGTTGAAGGCTCTGAAATAACACCATGCACGCCAATGGCAGATGCTGATCCTTGGGGCAATCCTACTGGGTTTCCAGTCTCCAGTTCCTCAACTTGGATCGCAGACGAGAAGATAGGGAAATAGCCACGAACCAATGATTTCCTGAAGGCCTGAACAGTCTTGTTGAAGACCCCGACTCCAGCAGAATGCCTCTACTGAATGCCACCTCGATCGCGGCAGTCCTGATCCTGCTCTACCTTTCCTCGTTCCTGCTTTTGGCTATACTGCGCATTGCGACTGGGGTATCCATCCAAAGAATTGGCTATTTTAGCTTGAGACACATATCATATACTCCACGAGAAGGTTTAAGGATCGATCTTCGAGGGCTGGGCCTAAGTCCTCATAGGCCAACGTTTGCGCAGCCTACATGGATCAGTCTAGTCTTCGAAGACTTGAAGGTGACAATCGATCCGGCCGTGTATGAGAGCTCCCCTCGGAGACATGACACAAGAGGTGTGGACGTACAACATGCAGCGGATGACAAGAAGAAAGAGATCGGATCATCAAGGCCTGGCGGTAGGAGCAAATTATGGAAAAAATTGACGAATATCAAAGAGTGGCTCAAGCGTATTCACCGACAGATCCATATTCTCCGCATGTTTGATATCAGCTTTATCAACACCTCTGCTGAGGTCGTCGGTGTTGGTTATGTGCAGATTTCCAACTTCCACATGGCAGTCTACACGCGACGGAGGCTCCTTGACCGCGGCCGACTCTTTCGTCACAAAAAGGAGCCACTGGGCACCCAGAAACCGGCCGAATGGGTTTTTGCTGTCCGTAGCGTTCTTTTGGGTTCAGGTGGTCATGATCCTATTGAGATCCTTGACAACATGACTATCAATGTGCACGGGCTTCTGTACAAGGAACGGGAAGGCCTTCGGGACACGTCAATCGCTATCAAGGCTGGTCGTCTCTACGCGCCCGTTGATGAAATTCTTCTTTTCAGGCAAAGAGCACAGAAGATCCAAACAGCGGCACATATCTTCCATCCTTCGAGTCCGGTCGAGGGAATTTCGCTCGAGGACCTGGTCGAAGAGCTTGACCAGCCTGGCAGCAGAGAAGCCTCGATTGTACAAACTGTCGCAGACTCAAAAGAATTCTTCAGCTCAGTATTGCGGAGCGTACAAGAGATTCAGATTGCACTGAGCTTTGTCCGCATATCGAAAGAAATCGTGTCGCTTCGGCAGGCTAATCTCCCGCTCATCGCGAACATGGTAATTCATGAAATCGGCGTCGATCTGCACAGACTTGATCAGAATTCACCGTCTCACCGTACATACTTCTCGAAAGACGACGTCGCCCATCAAGCTCTGGTTGCGGCTATTTCCATCTCAGTCAGCTTGGACGAGGATGATTATCAGACCAACAAGATAATGTACATCCCAATGGCCACGACCACGATCAGAACGACGTTGCCATCCAAGACCATGAACTTTACGCATGAAAACGATGTTGCTGAGAGAAACGCGAATATTCTTTTCGCGAATCTCGTCGTTACTTCTCCGTCTCTAGATCTAGTGCCATCTCACTTGATGAAGTTGCTAGCTGTCGCACAATCTAAGGCTCAGCCCACGCATCGTTCTCCACAAAACAGACACCGATTGATATCGAGACTGCTCCCGAAAGCAAGCATAAAATTTTCCATCCATGAGCCCGTTGTCAGGTTCATACTACCTTTGACAAACTCAGCTTCTGGCGAGTACAACATGATTATCTCCTCGATCACGTCCATGTCTTTGGACGTTGAGTCTTCGCACTCAGCCGGCGGGGAACTTTTGTACTCACTGGGTTCCAACTTCCGGGTCATGTCCCATCAGCTTTACTATCAGGCATCTACAGGCGTCAAGCACAACATAATCGTCATGGAAGCTATGGAAATCAAGGCTCAGGTGTCTGCATCCACAGAGATTGCTGTCAGTATTTCCGGCAATTTGCGTACCTTCTCTGTACTCATGGTACGCGAAGAGGTTAGTAAAGCAATCTACAACATTGTGCGACATTTCAAACGTCGTGTGCCTAGGGATAAATCCAACGCCGCCAGGACTCCGTCAGCATCTTTTTTGCGAAAACTGCCATCGTGGATAATTGAGGCATCCTTCGAAGGCTCTGGATTTAGCCTCGAAACTGCTGGCGTAGATTCTAGTGTATCGAGTCAGACTCGAGGCGTTGCACTGGAGCTTGAATCTTGGACGTCACATTATACTTCCTCTCTCCTGGACATGGCGCGAAAATCAGTTTCACGAAGGAAGGTTAGTGCCACTGCGCGTCTCGAGGATCCGTTGTCGTCTGGCAGACATCTCTCTCCTCCCACATCGCCACCCAGACGTCGACATGATGACCCAACCGACGGACGACGTCTTACCTTGCATGTCAAAGGCCTGGACGGGTACATTATCGAATCTCTGGATAGCTGGGAGCCAAAGCCGTTCACATCCATTCCAAGGTTCGAAGTGGCCTTCAGCACGTCTAGGGACCAACAAGGCCCGCTGTTCCACATCAACTCCTCCATTCGTGCCATCTACCTTGAATTTTCTCTCTACAGGCTCTACTCCATAGGTGTTGCTGGCTCGATCGTGAAGGATACCTTTTTAGGTCCAGCTGCTCCTCCGGCGGATGTACATGCGCACCCGCCTATTGGAACGCCTTCTGCTAATAATGCAAACCATGTGCCTGTTCCTCTGGGCCAAGAGCTTTCAGTCTTCGATATGAAAGCGCATTACATTCAAATCAAAGGTCACATGCCGGCAGATCCGCCAATGATGCTCCAGGTTTATCAAGTAGCTGGTGGACGTCATCGGTGGTCCGCACCGTTCCTGCGAGCTGACCTTGTCCGTTTACATGCTGAAGCACCCTATATGAGAAATGTTTATGCGCGTATCGTGACAACCACTAATCTGCGTCTAGACCTCCGGCATGCGAAGAGGAAAACTCAGCACGGCATGAGTGAAGAACATACAATTGATGTCTCTACCGAATTCATCCGCCTGGCTGTGCCACATGGTTTGCAAATGTACAAGATCTTCGACAACTTCATCAATACTGGAAAAGCAATTGCGCAATTGGGCCACCGCTTCAAGACTAGGACAAACGAGTACATCCTGAAGAAAGAGCCTGTTGGACCAAAGAAAGTTCCCCGGGTCTCCCTTCGATCAAAAGCCCTGTGTTTCCAGCTTGAGGATGATCCTTTCGAATGGAAGCTCGGTGTGATATATCACGCTGGTCGTATCGAGCAAAAGCAACGGCTTGCTCGTGAGGATGCATATCGTTTGAAAGTGAAGAGGTTACAGGAGGATCGCAGGCCGCGGTCGACTTCCAGGTTTCGAGGCAATTCAAGCCGGCCTAATTCGCCAGGTAATATGGAGCGCAACCCCCGACGTTCTAGAAGTGCAGATCTCACACCTCGAAGACGGTCTGCCTCGAGGGGCAGACGGAGGGGATCCACGCGGATCAGATATGACCGTGAAGGTGCTTGCACATTGTCGAGCAGCGCCAAGATTCAAGCAGAGGAGGCGTGGCAGAGACTTCTGGAACACAATTCGCGAAGCTGGAAAAGACGAGTGGACTGGATGATGAAGCTTCAGAATACCACAATGAGGAGCATTCGTCAAATGTTTGCTGGAGCAGATGAGCCACCACACGATAGTGGCGAACACGAAGCTATCTTGGGAGTGCCCGATAGACCTGGCCTAATGACCGCCATTATCAGCGATGTCCATCTGCTTGTCGACAAGCCGTCTTTTCCATTCTCTGAACTGCCTAAATTCCTCCATGACATAGGCAAAGGAATGCCGTACGACACACAGTACGCCCTCCTAGTTCCCTTAGGGTTGAGTCTTGACATGGGCGAGGCGCGCGTCATGCTTCGAGACTATCCTCTCAATCTTCTTCACGTCCCCGCAATTCGACCTGGCCAACCTGCGCATCTGCCTAGTTGGTCACTGAGAACAGATTTTGTCATTGCTGAAGAATACAGAGACGAGGAATCTATCAGGCATGTGAAAGTGGAGGTTGTGCCTAAGGGGCAGCATTTTCAGAGTGGTGAAGAGATCCCGGGCTTTTACATCGATGTCAGACGGACGGTGTCTCCCGTGAAGACGTTTTCAAAACCGGTTGTGGACATCAACACTAGCCTACCAACGACAATATCCTGGGGTACGTCCTATCAGCCGGTCATTCAGGACATGATGATGACGATCGAGGGGTTCACCAAGCCAGAGATCGATCCGTCAGAACGAGTAGGGTTCTGGGACAAGATCCGTATGAGCTTCCATTCACGACTTGTTGTAAATTGGAAAGGTGATGGTGACGTCCAATTGCGCCTTAAGGGGTCTAGAGACCCTTATGTTGTTACTGGATACGGAGCAGGATTTGTAATGTGCTGGAGAAACGATGTGCAATGGTCAATACATTCAAGTGACGATCCGCGTGAGTTTATGACTGTTCGCAGTGGAGAGTACATCTTGGCCATTCCGGACTACAGCCACGAAGCCCGCAACACCCCAGAGCAGAGGGCCACCAAAGAGACAGACAGCATGTCAATCAGCAGCTCGCAGAAGAATGCCGCAATGTTCAAGAAGGTCATCATGAAGGTTTCAGGCAACGTCCAATGGACCGCTGGACTCGTCTTTGAGCGTGCCTTGGACGATGGAGGACGATCTTCTGATTTTAGTCCTCACTATGATGTGATCTTGAAGAATCCAGCAATGATGCATGGTGTCGACATGACAAACTATGATGCATTCCGCGGCTTCAGAAGTCAACACATACACCTCTCAATCGCTATTGCAGCTCCATTCGACCGAGACTGGCTGAGTGCTGATGCATCGCCGTCGGAGAGTTACAACAGCGTCCATCTGAGCCCCAGATTCTTCTCGCACTTTTTCAATTGGTGGTCTTTATTCTCGGGAGTCATGTCCTTACCTGTTAGACAAGGACCCCTGTGGCGAGGTGTGGAGAACTCAAGTAAGAAATTTGGTCGGCACCTGGCTACCATCAAGTACGGCCTTTTACTGTCGCCGCTCTTTATTGCCCATGTCTACAAGCACAAAGACGCCGAAGACTACCAAGAAGATATTGTCTCAGCTACAGGTCTGAAGATCAAGATTGACAGTTTCATGCTGGATCTCCACCAACGGAGAGAATATTTTGACACACTTTCAAAAGGGAAATCTGAACAGATGAGGACAAGCGCCATGAAGATCAATAAAGCTGAGCTTGACTTCATGCGAGCAGATCTTCGAGCTGTAGCCGCCAGCATAGCTGGAACTACAGCAGAGGATCTGCAGAAAGCAACAGACGAAACCCTTTCGTCGTTGCAAGAGGTGTCACATAATATTGACATGTCTCAATTCACCATACCTGATCATGATTTCACGTGGATCGACATGGATGACTTTGTGGAGTTGGACTGGGTCTTGCCAGCCGAGTCAAACCCGGAGACCAAGATATTGCCTCTTGCATTCACACCACGCTTTACTTATTTCCGAGAGACTGATCATGGAGATGGTGGCATTCAAGGCGATGAATCTCGGACGAGCCCTTTCGGGGAGGAAGACACTCATTTCTGTGTCATGTCCCGTCACAATGACCCACGAAAAGTGCAAATGAATCTTGTAGAAGGCAGATTACATGATCTTGAAGATAAACTGCAGGCTCACATGCGTATCATGAGCGATCATGAATTGAAAGTCATCCGCGATGGTGATCATGATCAAGCAGTCATGGAGAAGCAGAAAACATTGGTGGCGCAACGAAAAGAGCTGGACAGCAAACGCAAGTTCTTACAACACGGTCTACAACATTTGATGCGCCATGGAAATCCAGGAGAGCAACCTGAATCAGACAAGAGCAGCTCTCATCGAAATGGAAGCACGGCAACTTCAGCAACTGAACAGCTCGACGCTCAAAACAATGGTAGCCCTCACGTCGACATGGACGCACTATATTCCTCGGCTCCCGACGAGTTCGCCAGTGACTTTAACAATCGCTTCATCATTCACAACGCTCAGCTCAAGTGGCACAACTCGTTGCGAAACATCATTCTTCGCTATACACACCAAGTCAGTCAGCGTAGAGGGTTTGTTTACTATATGTCACGCCGTGCAGTAAAGTTTCTCCTCGATATTGTCGACGAGCAAGCAAAGGCAAAAGAGTTGCGACGAAAGCAGGAGAAAAAAGGCGTTCCGCCCGTTCCCGCCACTCCCAATGTCATCTCTCCTACAGACGAGAAGGACGAGGATTCGGTTGTGCAAGACCGAATCAACCAACTGTTGAGTGATGCCATTCGCTTTGTGCATGTCGGTGACGCAGACCGAGACAAAAGTACTAAAGCAGAATCTACCGATGCTGCCTCGGAAAGGAGGCCTTCGACGGAAGATCTAGGCGACAAGATAGCAGAAAACTTCCAGGCGATGAACAGCTATCATCTGCGTTTGATTGCCCCCCAAATACAGCTACAGAGTGAGAAGAACGAGAAAGCAGTAGTGCTTATCGCAACAAAAGGCATGCAGCTGAAAGTCGTGTCGATCATGGACAAGGCCCGCATATCAGACGACGTTTCCGGTCTCGTTCAACGCCGATTCGCCCTCGACATGGATGGTGCTCAATTCTTTGTCGCTACCCAGAAGACTCTCGCACAATACCTCCACTTGTACTCGGGCAACAGATATGGTAACGCACCAGGCTCTTCTTGGCCGCCATGGGTCTCTCTTGAAGCAATGTTCGACTTCCACCTGGAACCTTTCGGCTTCCAAAGAGTTATCCAAAAGACCTCGGCGAGCTTGCGGTATGAGAAGTACAATCCGTTACGCCTGAAATATAACGAAGAGGTCGAGAGCGATGGAAGCGGCGAGGGCAAGAATCCATCCAGGCGTGAAGACCGGATTGACCACGTATGGGTTGATTTCCCCAGAGTTCGTGCCCGTTGCGACTCGCAACAATATTATACAATGTATATCATTGTTCTGGATCTGCTACTGTACAGTGAACCGCTCGAGAAAACACGAAGCGAACGCCTTGAGAAGATCATGCTAGCGTCAGACTTCAGTGATCTACGAGGAGCGCCGGAGATCGCGCAGAATCTCCAGGAACGCATTCGCCAGCTAGAGGAGATTAAACTACACTTCCAGATCAACGCCAAATACCTTGACAAGCGTGGTTGGCAGGATCGGATAAATCTGGAAAAGGATCTGACAAGTTGCGAAGATGAACTCTTCTTCATCATGAAAGCCATCAATACTTCGCAACAAAGATATGACGATCGCAAATCCTCAGAAACTAGCGGTCTTTTGCGATGGTACTTGAGCGCATCTGAGATTGTCTGGCATCTGATGCTCGACAACGATCAACCGTTGGCAGAATTCCAACTTGGCAATGCTGCGTACGAGCGAGTCGACAACAATGATGGGTCCAATCATAATGCGTTAGGAGTTGAACACATTCGCGGTTGGAATCTTTTGGCCAATGCATTGTACCCTGAGATCATTGGTCCTTACTACGAGCCTGGAGAACGGCATCCAAGCACGAGACAGACACAGAAAATGGTAGAAGTGCAGTGGTACATGCTCGAAGCAATCGCCGGGATTCCCGTGCTCGAGCAATTTTATGTGACGGTGCATCCTCTGAAAGTGCAGCTTGAGCGTGAACTGGGCAAAAAGTTGTTCGAGTATATCTTCCCCGGTGTCGGGTCGAATGCTTTCGAAAGCAACAACTTCTCACCACTGATGGTGCAGAACATGGCACCACTTGATGAGGGTAATGATCAAGAACTCGAGGACGCCCAAAACGCTCTGATGTCGGAAACCGACCTTCGTGGGCCTAGCATGGAACAGAAGCGGGACGCATCTCCAGGGGAGATAGCACGAAGGCTCAAGCCGACGTACCGCCTTACGTATAAGGAAAAGGCCACTCCATCCACCACGCAGCCCAAGTATAAAGGACTGGGCATTGGATCTGAGCATCATAAATTCTTCAAGCATTTCAACGCGTCAAATCCCCGAGCAGTATTGAGAGAGCCAACACGCAAAGGCTCCTCAGGCAGTCTTCGCTCCAACAAAAAGAACAACGCCTCGTCGGGCAGTCTCGTGACTTTAGGTCATACAGAAGAGAAGAAGCTCAATATGCTTCATCGCACCACGAGTAGAGAGCGCGGTGCGCTCATCAAGAAGAGCAGGGACAAGAAGGAAAAGCCGTCAGACGACCTGTCACAGATGATGTCCCGTGCATCGAACTATATGACTCTTGCACATGTCAAATTGAACACGTTTATCATTTGCCTCAGCTACAAGGGCAAAGGAGACCGCAATATCGAGGACCTTCACGACTTTGTATTCCGCATGCCGACTCTTGAATACAGGAACAAGACATGGAGTAACTTGGACCTCGCGCTCAGATTGAAAAAGGATGTGATTCGTGCGTTGATCAGCCATACGGGCGCCATCATCGGTAACAAGTTTTCCCACCACAAGCCGAACAAGAAGCAGGTCGAGCGGTTGAAGGAGATTGCCATGAACAGCACCATCCCAAACAGTGATATCAACCTACAGCTGTCGAACACGAGCGAAAACACCAGTCTCTACTCTTTCAGCCAGGACAGTAAGGACGACGACTTTGAGTCGTCAGGGATATCGTTCCAGAGTCCAACGACGCGTGAGAACGGGCATGGCAAGATGCCGGCTTTTGGCGGAGCTGTACCGAGCCCACTGTTGCGTAGTGGCAGCTGGAGCTCGACTAGCTTGTCCAAAGGGCCCGTGTTGCCGGCACCCAGATCGATCCCGCCACCGACGACGCCAAGTTCGACCGGGTCGACGGATCCTCCTCTGTTCAGACCGAGCACCGCGACTTCACAAGCACAGTCCAGTGGTGGTGGACAGAGACATTCGCTCAAGGACACCATCGGACGCCATTTTTCGAGCGAGTCATCCAAGGGTCGCGTGCACTTTGGACCGCTAAGTCTCGGCAAGAGCGAGAGCCACAAGGAGGGCCTTAGCACCGCAAGCCATGGGCGTGACGGACAGCATGACGACGGCGCGGAAAGCGACCCCGAGGGCCATCGCAGAAAGGGCGTGCTATTGTTGGGGAAGAAGGTGCTTAATCGGCTAAGTTAGGAGCGCGGCTGACGGTGGACCGAGTCACTTGAAGAGACGTTACGGCATGACATTGAAATTCAGGCTGCTGATGGGTGTAGAACACATACAGGTACCTAACTGACCTCATACAGAAAAGAAAAAGGGGAGTTGGTGACGAAGCAACCGATTCATGAATGAAATGTTCATATGGGTGGCGTCACTTTGATATTTGCATAGCTTTTTGTACTTTGTCCAGTAGCAATAGTTAGTTGTAGTTGTAGTTGGTGAATAGTACCTACTTGTCACTGTATGAGTGTTGACAAGTAGACAAGTGCTTTCAATACAAGTGGTGACAAGTAACGTGTGATTTATTTATACATAGGTGTTGACCGGTACCTTTGAATACAGAATCCAGTGGGTCGGTGGCCAATAAGTCAGGCAGGTCAGGAGGTAGCTAGGTACTGACCAGGCTTTCCCTTTGAAAGTCGGAAGTCTGTAGGTGGGTATGATGATACCTTTAGGGAGATGTGCACCGATTCAGTTTTTATGCCACCAGGTGCGATGTGCAACATGCAATACGCAATATCCAAACTCATCGCTCAGGCATTCTTGGTGTCATCATCATCGCCCTGCTGGGTGTCGTTGTGGTCTGGTTTTCCGTCTCCGTTTCCGTCCGCACCATCATTATCACCGTCATCATCATCCTTGTCGTCACCATCCTCTCCCTCAACATAGTCGAACGCACCCTTTTTAGGCCGCGGAGTGGTCCAATTCTGCATAAGTTCGTTGACGACGACTTCGTCAAAGGACGGAAACACGTTCACGACGTTATCGAAGAACATGATGCCGCAACTCAATGTGTAGATGGTAGCTTCGATCTTGGTCCCGACGCGCAGGTATGTCTGCAGGAGTTCCTCGACGAGGAAGACGTATTCCTTGGTAGGTTTTGGGGAGGACAACAGCGCCCGTTGTTTCTGCTCTTCATCGGTGAGATCTTCGGGCTGCGAGTCCGGGTTCGTCCATGACTTCGCGTACACGCGACCCACGGGCCGGAAGTTGGACGTCGTGCTGGTGTAGATGGCCTTACAGTCTGGGGTGGGCGGGTCGATCCTGGTGATTTCAAAGCCGGCCATTTCCTCGATCTCAGTCACGGCGACGGGGGTGCCGCTTCTGACAGCGTCCAGGTACGCCTGGTAGACAGATTCGTCGGCCGCGCCCGCCACACCGAATGACATGACTTGTTCGGCTTCTTCTCGCTTCATCCCCACGAATACCGCCTCATTGTGAGTATCCGGTTCGGTCTCCCAGTCCGTGAGGGCGTCGTAGTTTTCGGCATAGTAGCCGCCGGACAAGGTTGAGCATGCGATGTTGAAGTCGCCAGGGAGACGACGGATGGCTTCGGTGATGTGCCAGAGCTCCGAGGTGGCGGAGCGGCAGAAATCGCGGGTTGTGAGGACGTCGGTCTGGTATTCGGGGCACACGTCGTGCTGCAAGAGGTAGTCGAGGAAACGCTCGAGGGTGGTGGTCACCGTGGATACTTCGTCTGGGGTCTCGCAGCCGTAGATGGTGCGGGATCGGCGGCTGAGAAAGCTGCGCATGACTCCGTGGAAGTCGACGTCGTACAGACGTGTCGAGGAGGAGAGGTCATATTTGTCTTTGCTGGCTGAGGCTTGCGAGAGGACCGCGGCGATTTGGGCGTTGTCGAGATCTTCGGTGTCCGGGGCACCCTGATGTGCCCTGGGCCCAATATTGACGCCGCCGTAGACCAGCCATTTGAAGAAGATATCTCGCCGTTCAGGAGTGAGTTTGCGCGTCCGTTCGAAGCGGCCTACTGCGGTAATGATTCGGTCGACGAAGGGTATGGACCTGGTATTGGCTGTCAGTGATGGCGGAGGCGGAAGAAGAGGGTAGAGCTGGTCGTCTCTTACGGATTGTAGAGTTCTTGATTTTGGGCATGCTGGTCTGGGGTCATGGGTGCATCTGCGAAGAAGTCCTCGAAGCCAGTGGGTTTTCCCTGGAGATGGTGGTCAGCGTGGCAAACTGGAGAAGATGAGGAAGACTTCTTTCTGTTCGTGAAAGTGCAGAGAGATGAAACTCACGAGCCCTCGTTTGGAGGCTGGCCGCTTTTTCTTCTTGTTCTTCTTCTTCGTCTTGGGTTCCAGCGGCGGAAGCTCAACGGGTTCGCCAAACTCGGCCTCGTCTGCATCGTCTGCATCGTCTGCAACTACAGCGGGAGCCTCTTTGGCAGCAAGCATAGTATCTGCGTCCGCAGGGCTGGCTCGTGGCGACTGGGTCTCGGCGGTGTTCTGGTCATTGAGATCGACGGCGGCTACAGAAGCAGCCAGCTGGTCGTTTTGACTGGGAGACATGTTTGCTTGGGCTTGTGTGGATGCAAGACCAAGTCAAGAGGAGTAATCCGTTCTAGCACAGCATCACTTGGGCGAGGATGAAGCGAGATCTGAGGGGTGAAGGTGAAGAAGCCCAGGTTTGTGTATTGGCAAACAAGATCCTTGTGTTGTCGGTGAGCATCATTTCACCTGGCGCAAACAACCAGCGGGGTACGGTGAAGGTGAAGTCAAGACCAGAGTTTTGGATTCAAGCAAACATTAGTTAAGACACTCGGTCGTGGTGATCGGTGGTGACGCGGAGGCTCTGTATCTGCATCCATACCTGTATATGGAGTGAGATGAAAATGTTGACTGTCGTCTACATTACCTGAAGCACTTTACTCGGCTGGGTCAGGCTAGTGGTTGGGGTCAAAAGTACCGTGCACCAGGGGCCGCCGGTACCTGGACAAAGCTCCCCGAAGCGGCCGCTGTTAGTGACTATTCCAGGCTCCCGCCACCGCCTAAAAGGCTCCCGACATACCCTGCCCTCGCCTACACGAGGTTATGGACCACGCCTATACCTCAGCCTAATGGGAGCCTCAACGGAAAACCCCCGGTACCTGAAGAGTCCTTATGTCTCGCTAGCGTCACCCGCTCATCTCACCCAAACACTCGGCCCACGTTTTTGTTCTGCCCGTCGATCTTTCGAGGAAATTCCAAGAACCAAGAAACCAAAAAGGATTGACTCCATCCCCCGGAAATCCGTGCATGCGCCCTCGGCACTCGTAAGACAGGGTGAGCTTCTTCTTTCTCCTCACGGGCATGATGTTTCTGTTCTGAGTTGATTTGATTCGCTTCGCATCTTGGCCTTTTCCTCTGTTTCGTTCATACAGGTGCTCTTTCTTACTACCCCCCGCTGCACGACGACGAGAAGATGGCGACCAGTCCGGCACCACCCCCACCACCTGGCAAGAAAGTCGCTCTGATGCCTGCAGAGTCGGAACTTGTTGCCTTTGACCACAGTGCTGCTGGACAGTAGGTTCTCTTACCTCCCTCTTACTTTGCCAAAGGAACGTGCGTGGGTAGCTGACCGGAAACTTTTATAAAATCCAGTCAAGGAATCAGTTCCAACGCATCGGGTTCCCTAATAATCAAACCATGCATCCAAGCCGAGATCGATTTCTACGAGTCCGCCAAAGCTCATCCTCTCTTCCAGGCGCACATGCCGACCTTCATCGGGTCGCTGTCGCAGCATGACGGCGACCAGGGCGATGCGGACGGCTCGATGACCTCGCCAATCTCCGCCGCGATCAATGCCACGCTGACGACGGCGACGACGACCATGCCCGCTCCAGGCCTGAGCAAGCGCATGTCGTGGAAACCCTCTGGCGGCAAGAAACTCTCGACCGGGTTGGCGATCGTGCTCGAAAACGTCGCTGCCGGCTTCAAACACCCCAACGTACTGGACGTCAAGCTCGGCGCACGCCTCTGGGCCGACGACGCCCCGCGCTCCAAACGGCAGAAACTCGACGAGGTTGCGAAGCGTACCACGACAGGGAGTCTGGGGCTCCGCGTGGCGGGCATGAAGATCCGACTCGAAGGGCAGACAGAGACAAGCAATAGCAATAGCATGGCAACGACGACGACGGCAGCACCACCACCACAACAAGAAGTACGAGAAGCAAGAGAAGATCCAGCGCACGTCGTGATCAAGAACGGATACAAGTCGTACACCAAATTCTATGGACAGTCCTTCGACCAGCACACGGTCGTCGACGCCTTCACGACGTACCTAGGCGGAGTGTACCACGATCCCCAGTCAGGCAAGAAAAGGCTCCGGCGCAAACACGCCCCCGAGATCGCCAGGCGCCTCATCCGCGAATTAGAGAGTATACAGTACGTGCTCGAGAACGAGGAGAGCCGAATGTACAGCGCGAGCGTATTGATGGTGTATGAGGGTGACGAGGAGGCCATCGAGGTTGCCCTTGAAGAAGAGCTTAAAGATGAGGCGGAGGAGCAGCACCAGCACCAGCACCAGCACCAAGGAACAACCACCGCCAACGACCTCAACCATGACATTGAAAAGCCCGGCGCCAACGCTGTAGATGTGGTCGTCAGTGGAGGTGATGGTGGTGGTGGTGGTGGTGGTGGTGGCGGTGGTGGTGGTGACGACGATAACGACATTGGCATTGATGACGACGACGAGGACGACGACGACGACGACGAAGTACCTCCAAAAGTCCACGAGGTCAGACTGATTGATTTCGCACATGCATCGTGGACGCCGGGCCAGGGTCCAGACGAAAACGCGCTCATGGGAGTCAGGAATATCTTGCGAATTTTACGGGACCTGGTGGACTAGGTTTCTATGTACATGGCAGAGGGACGGGAAACGATACAACATGCGCCGTATATGATTGTGGGACCAAAAAATCAAATCAAGGTATACAAGGTTAAAATCATGGACAGGCGCTTTTGACATCGATCGTGTTAACTAAAACGGTGCGGTTATTATTCCACAACAACGATAACGGGAAAACAAAAGCGATGTTCGAATGTTTTTTTTTTTGGATCATCACTTGTTTTATTTTACTGTGCATCTTGTGTCAAGTAAACAATTATAGCCAGATGTTCGGCCATGATGTATCTGTTTTTTCCGCCTCCAGTGCTCGTAGTTCCGAAACACGTATCACAGCTTGTCCAAGCCCAAGATAGGCTCTGGCCAGCCTGCCCAGACTATAGCCCGGTGCGGAACCCGACCGGCCACGGGGCTCACCACGCTGATCCGTCCCCTGGCCTCGTCGGTGTCCGTGACGTACAAGAAGCCCATCACGCTGCTGTCGCGAATCGTCTCTTGTTCGGCTTCTGGCTCACAGTTCATGACAGCCAGAATGGAACTGCGCATCGCGGCATAGGGAGCCGCCATCCGTTCGTAGATCTGCGAAGAGGGCAACGGTACCTTGGACAGACCACCTCCCGCCCCAGGGGCGGCGATCTCATTGTCCATGCCGCCTCCAGGCAGAAATGTATCTTCGTCCTCGTCGCCAGGAAACGTCGTCGCCGTCGGGTCGGGCGTGCTAGAGATCCGCCGCCAGACCGTCAACGTGGAGAAGTCGACCTGCTGCTGCCGAGGCTGCAGCGAAACGCCATTGCTGAGACGTGGGTTGCCATAGAAGTACGTCTTGACTTGTGCCGCCCGGAAGGCTCGCATGTATGCTTCGTCGCGGTCGACGCAGCCGCCTGACTTTGCAAGCTTGATGACGGAAATTGTCCCCGTCGATCCACCTGTAGAGCGAGACGAGGTGAGTTGTCCGTCAAACCGTTTGACCATGTCACTATACAGCCTCTCCGAGCCGAGACAAATGATTGCCGAGACGGCAAATTCGGAAACAATGTCCTGGATGATGTCGTATCCAATCGCGCCAACTTTCGTGTTGGTCAGCTCGCCTGGGGTATCGATGATGAGACCACCTTCCCTGGCTTCTTGGTCCTGGCCGATCCGCCCAGCGACTGCAAGTGCCAACCTATTTAACTGCGCCCTATAGACCTTGCCATCCTTTTCCTCTGGCTTGGAGCTACCGAAAAAGTACACAAGGGGTAGTTTGACGGGAATGGCACCGTTGGGCCCGCTCATCGGCGCGGTGCCCCAGCCCTCCTCGACGTCCATCATGCTTTTGAACACAGTAGCCGTTAGTGTCCCCGGTATGCTCATCATTCCTTCGTTGACGTCCAGATTCACCACGGCAGGTGACCGGGCTGCTCGGTATGCATAGCCTGTGAGGATCTTTGCGAGGGTAGTCTTTCCTGCATCGTCCGGTCCCAGGATCAAAACTCGGGGCCCTTCTCGCCCAAGGGCCTTGGCTTGCTCGCGTATGTTTTCCAATGCAAAATGGACATTGACATATTCGTTCATTGGCGTCTCTTCGGCTTTGTATTCGCTCTGTAAAGCGTCTCCGCTAACTTCAAAGGCGCAGCCATTCCAGGTGTAGATGGCAGCTTTCGTGCCTGTGAAGATGTAGGTGTTCCCGACAACCAGTTCGGTGCCGAAGATCTCGGCATTTCCACTCAGAATCTATGACGCCCTGTCAGTGTGTTTTCTGGTAATGAGGGCAGGGCTCAGTGGTACCTTGACGTGGATGTATTTGCCCACGGCGACTTCGAACCGCCATTCACATTCTTTTGCTAGGTCATGTTGTTGAGTTTCGACAGTAGAAACCTCCTCCGGCTCCGACAGTCCAAGACCCGGCAGAGACATCTCATCATCGCGAGACGAATGGTGAGGTATGGGATACCCGTCGCTGGAAAAACGAGGGCGATGCACTGTGAGATCATCGAGGAGCGGAGGCAAAGGGCAAGTTAGCCGAGGGACCCTGCTAATTTGTTTCCGCTGACTAAGGTATCTTAACATATATGTGAATACTCCGTACCAACAAGTAACTCTCCTTCTCAGTCAGACCCGGGCAAACCCTATATTCTGTGACATGAATCGTGAGGATGTTCAAGTTGATCGTTGAATAGTATCTATTGGGGACAATGACCCCAGGTAGCCAAATGATGCTCAATGTCTGTTGGTGCTGCCGTTCCAGCTGGAGCCTGGTTGATTCATGAAAATCCGTTCATAAGAAGGCAGTTCCTTGAAATCAGAGACGGTTGTGACGTGCATTACCACCATCAATAGTGGCCAACTCACAGCGCCAGCTTCATGATGGCGATGAGTGATTCAGACACCCTACGAAGGCCACCATCCAGTATCCTCCTCTTTCTGCGCAATGCTCACAACCTCTTCCTCGTCTTGTTGTGATACTCACCCACACACTCATCTTCTGAAAATCCTAACCGCATCAGAAACGCAGCTCTGAGGCCTCCCACAGCTATCAATACGATCAGATTCCCGACCTCCTCTCCTCTCAAAGTCGACAGGCCCCTGCCTTGATCTGCCACAGCCATGAACGCGGACGCAAGTAGCACCACGTCTTGGATGAGGATGCTCGTCTGTAGACACCGCCATACCGTAATGTCCGAACAGAGACGGAGAAGAACAATTTGCAGAAACATGGTCGACAAGAGGTAACCTGCTGATCCGTGAAGGAGGGCCGTCGTCTCCGCGGATGGAGGGAGGGTTGGTGTGGCGCTGTACGACGTCAGAATCAACGAGGGGAAGAAGAGGTTCGCAACGACGCCGCTCAGGGCGACGATAGGGTCCAAGGTTGTGAAGAAGACTCGGTAGAATCGAGGAATTGGTCGCTCTGTGGTCCCCATTGCTATTGATAGCCCTTGGTAATGCCTCGGGCTTTGCAGTTTGTGAGTTTGAGTTGTGAGCTCCGGCTGAAATGACGATGCCTCGGGGAGGAGTCGGATTTTATGCTGGTAGACTTTCGGAACGCAAGGGAGATAGGTCGAGCAGGGACCTATGTGACGTGCTTAATGGCTCGATGTCCGCGGGTGAATATAGCCAGAGTTATACGTTACTCGGCACGGGGTATGCAGGTCGTAAATAGAAACTTGCTTGGCTCGGGGTATGTAAGATGACTAAGTCTACGTACATCAGACGTGAAGTGCATTTCTATCAAGCGTAGGAAACAGATTAGTTAGACACTGCATACCTCCCTTGATTTCCTATTTGTTCACCGCAGGTGAAGAGAAAAAGTCGATTCGATTCAAGTCATGTAAAGGAGGCCTTGTACAATACAAAGACAAGATATCTGTCAAACGGTAGACAACCCGAAACAAAGTGCATATTTCAAGGCGGGTTTAAGGGTGTAGGGTTGAGTCTCATATTTAACCCTCACTCAAACATTGTTGATCCTCTCAGAAAAGTGAAAAACACAAGCTCATGCCTTGTCACTACCCAACACACCAGGCGGTGTCTTCAACCATTGCTTTGTGTCGGGATCCAAGAATTCCCTCTCGGCATCGAACCACTCCTTGTCCACCAACTTAGCTTTTGCCTGGGACCGAGGCTTGATGGACGCAGGGAATGGCTCAGGCATACACACAAATCCCTGAGTGAACTTTTCCTGATCGGGGATAATAGGGTCACCCGCATCGTCTTTCGCCGGCTCGATGTTGAACGCCCATAGGATACGAGACACGGCGAGGAAGAGGCTTCGTTCGGCAACGTGGATGCCTTGGCAGATACGACGGCCTGCACCAAACGTGAACTGGTCACGCTTGGTGCCGTCAGGGTTGGTCGCTGAATCCGAGAGACTCTGCGTATCCTCCGCGTACCTCATTGGATCAAATTTCCTCGGGTCTGGATGTCTCTTGGGATCCATGTGGATAGCCCATGCGTTATTGACAACTCCAGCGCCCTTGGGGATTCGGTAGCCCATGTACTCGTCGTCCTTTGTGACGGCGTGAGGAACACCTCCTAGGGGTGTGGTGGGTGCCCACCGAAGACTTTCCTTGATGACGCCACGGACGTACTGGAGATGAGGTTCATCCTCCATGGTAGGTAGCCGATCTCCGACGAGTTGATCGATTTCAGCCTGGGCCTTCTTCTGAGTCTCTGGATAGAGCAGCATGGCTAATACGAAGCCGACTAAGGTGCTGGAAGTCGTGTCAGAGCCTGCCTCGAGAAGCGTACCGCCAATATATGCGGCTTGGTCGTCGCTGAAACCGTCGGCCTTCTGGGCCTCGGCCATGCCGACGCAGAAACAAGGGGGTATGGTCCCGTTTTTGACGGCTGCCTTGGCATTCAACCAGTGACCTAGATATAATTCTCTTTCGTGGCGGTGTAGCTCCTTGGCCAGCCGCTTTGTGGGAGAGAGGAAGTCAGGGATCCGTCTGAGAATAGGGAAGAATTCGAAAAGAGCAGATGCGCCCGTCTGATTGATGGCGGCGAACTTCGAGAAGCCTTCGAACAGTTGCATCATCTTTGGGTCCTCATAGGTAGGCGTTCGCCAGCCGTAGACCATGGTGGTGGTCAGGGCGTTGGAGTAGCGTCGAATGTGCTTGATGAAGTCGTTGGGCTTGTGGAGGAACTCATACAACATTTGCTTGTTTTCGAGCGTCTGGTATGGAACGTATGACTTGGCCGCCTGGATGTTCAGAAGAGCGTGGCACATTTTGCGGAACTGTGGTATGACGGGTTAATTATCAGTGTAACCAAGGGAGAGAAATGTTCTTACACCCCTCCATCGTGGTCCGTAACCCTATAAGAGTAGAGGTTAGTAACGGCAGAGAAACTTAAGTGCTGGGGTACACAGGTGGTAACTCACCATCATCAACATGCGATTGTCACCGCTGCAGAGCTTTTGTCCGATATACATCTCTTGTCTGTCCGAGTAGAAGCCACTTCGTCTGTCCAGCAACTCTTTCACGGCTTCGTCGCTCGACAATACAATCATGGTCTTCGTGCCGAGCATCAAGCTATATACTGGCCCATACTCGCGAGCCCACTTCTCGAATTGCAAAGGTGCATCTCGCGTAGGCATCTGATGGATGTTTCCGAGAATTGGAATCGTGGGAGGCCCAGGGGGAAAGTCTTTGGGTCTCCGTCCTGTGGTGAAGGCCAGGTACGCGAGATAGCCGACCACAACGACCAGACCGAGTATGATGTGCGGTGAAAACAGTGTCATTCGCTCCATCTTGGCTATATTGACGAATGAATGCTCCGATCAGGGGAAGGGAACAAAACTCGCCTTGAGGGCCTTTTCATGAACAGGCGCTTCGAGGTTGGTTGGAGCGTCTCGGGCATCTCGAGCATCTCGACGTGGCTCATTATATAACAACACAACTAGACCTTCGTCCACATTGGCCGTTCGCCTGGTATCCCCGGGTTAACGTGTGTTCTGATGGCTATCCCATCTACGCTAGGTCGCCCCATGGATCGGGGAATGATGTGCACATGTGGGAGGCACCATGTGGAGGTGGGCAACCCTGGGGTTGTGCTCCTTGTGGGATGAAATGGCTGTTGTCCGACATCAGGATATTCTGGGGAGCCCATGGGGGACTGTCTTGGTCTCGCCGGTGTTTCACCAGTCTCGCCGCTTGTGTTGTTATTGCTGTGGTCGTCGTTGGGTCGTTGGATTGATGGTGAGGATGCGCTTGGGGGATGATGGTCCATATATGCTTAGTCATTCGGGGCAACGGCTCAGTGACGTGAAATTCTCAACGCTTCTTCTGCAGCACCGAGCTCGATCAATTCTCTCAGTCGCCGTCGCCATCTCGTCTCCCGTCGCCTTCTCGCATCCAGTTGCGTTCATGACTGACCTTGTCGGATCTTGAATAAGAATACTCCAGACTGTGTGGGATCGGATTCACCCCCAGAACGAGCAGCCTTCAATTGACCCCGAGTTGGATGGCAAACCCACCATCCCCGGATTTTTGTCCCATTCTTCGGATCGCCCGATGCGGGGGATTTCCTACCTTTGGGTTTCTTTCTTCGCTTCTTCGCTTCTAGACCTGCGTCTGTACAGTATCCAAGCGGTGTCGGTACTCGTGCATGTGGCCATCACACATGTCATCGCACAGCGCAGTTACCGCTCCAGTGATCACCATCATAAGTGCTGTCGAACAACAATGTCGCCACTATGACCAACAACTCATCCCACATCTGTCCGGTCTGCGCCAAATCATACAAGCGGCCGGAACATCTCCGGAGACACTTCTTCTCCCACCGCCCCGACAGACCCCATAGATGTCACCAATGTGAGAGCGCCTTCCAACGATCCGACGTGCTCAAGAGGCACCTGAAGACATGTGAACGAGTCTCACAACCACAACGGAGGCGGTCGTCCGTTTGCACGGTCGATGAGAGGCCTAACAATGCTGCGGTTGGCGAATTCTCGACGGCCACAGAGCTGGTCACACCACCTCTTCAGCCATCCCTGATCAACAATGTTGGGGAGGGCATTTTGAGCCAACAACCCCTCCCACCGCCGAGTACTTGGTATCCCGTCGCAGATAGTGCTTCAGAGTTTGCCTTCTCTGATGGCTTCTCTGATGTACCATGGGCAGATATTTTGAGTGTGGATCTGGGAAACTCGCAGCCTCCGGCCGCATCCCAGGACGTCAGGAAGCAGAGGTTCCAGTTTCTCAATGACTTTACGAGCCATTATGGGCTTGCACAGTCCTTTGGCTGCGGCACTCTCGCCCAGCGTTCACATATGCTTTCCGGGTGCTGGGAATGCCAAAGCACTGGAAGGGACGATGCTTTTGGCACCTTCCTTCAATCCAGCCCTTCTGATCTCGTGCCGTTCAACACTCTGCCGTATTTGGAACATGACACATGGGATGGCAATGACTGTGGGGTAGCTCGAATTGCCTCGTCTTGGATATCCGATCCCTATGCAGCGGTAACGAACGACATTACTTCGCTCATAAGAAAGGTGGTCGTCGTCAAGTCCCGCCGGAGTATTGTGACCCATGAATGGACTCCGTTATTGCACCATATGAGTTTACGCTTCTTCTCTCCTCCCCAAATTCGGAAATATCTCTCCCTCTACTGGGGCTTTTGGCATCCTCAAGTGAACTTCATACACAAACCGACATTTGATGTGTTGGCATCGAAATCGATTCTCGTCGCAGCAATGACATTGATAGGTGAGCCGCTGACCTCTAACCCCTTGATAGACAACGTGCTAAGCTGTATTGAAAGGGGCTTGTCTCTCTCCGGATGCAGAAGATCGCGACAATGCAAAGATGTGGCTCAATTGCGTCGAAGAGCTCGTTTTTACCGATGACGACTTGCTAGAAGACAGCGACTTTTCCGTAGAATATGGATCCAAGCATTTCAATTCGTCGAGGAACAGACTCCAAGCCTTACAGGCGGCGTATCTGGTCGTCCTGTTCCAAAACTGGGAAGGTGTGGACAAAAGTCGGCGGCGTGTTCGGCGGGAAAGATTTAGTACGATCGTCAGCGTGGCAAGAGACATTGGTCTTCACACAGCGCAGCAGCTCGATTATTCGCAGCTAAGTGCCAACGACTTTGTCTGGACAGAATTCGTGCTCAGAGAAGAACTCATCCGGTAAGCACAAGCCTTTAGCACGTCGACATCTCAACGCATCCGCTGACATCTCGCGGCGTAGTGTCTTTCTATGGATATTCCTCATCGACACTGCGTTTGTCATATTCAATAACCTTCCGCCTCGACTGGTGATCAAGGAGATGAAGATGCACATGGCTTGCACTGAGGCAACATTCCAAGCCAGTACCGCTCGGACCTGCTGGGATCAGATCCAACGTGACTTGGAACTTAAACGAGAATCAGGTAATATTAAGGCACTATGTTCTGCGGTCGAGCTTTTGTGCAAGGATAGTGGTCGCATTCCGCAGGACCAACTTCTTGCTCTCGCAGACCTCGGGCCGTTGAATCTGTTCTCCATGACATCAGGTATGTGTTTTGAGAGACCAAAGATAGTATCGCCCAAGCCACGCCACTAATCTTTGGAATTAATGGTATAGCATTACACTCTCTGATATTCCACTATCAGAATTCACTGGGCTGTCATGGGCAACTGATCCCGGTCCGCAACGCGATCCACAATTGGCGAGAGGCATGGCTGATTTATCAAGCTCAATCGTTGATGAAGCCGCGGTACTCGACTGTCGGGGAAGGAGAGGTCCCGTGCAGAGACTTCTGGAGGCAAATAGGCTTTGTCCGCCACGCCGCTGAGTATTGGCTTCTCGCAAGTTTCATGCTGGAAAAGATATCGACCGCGGCTGAAGCATCCGCGAAACAAGACGAGACGGTGGCCGGTGGTTCCGGCGGCGGCGGCGACGCAAGCACCGCACCCGACGCTGAAACATCTACACCAACGGTGGAACCGATGCTAGGAAAATACGACGAAACGAGTATGCAGCAAGTTCACGATCTTCTTGCTGATTTTCAAAATATGTATATTACGACTGAGATTGGGTTGTAATTGGGTTGTGATTGTGATTGTGATTGAGATACTGATGATACCTTTTGCCTTGAAGTTGGGAAACTCAATGAGACAAGTTTGAAAACAAGCAACGATGATGACCATGAAACAGAACCGAATTGGGGTCCCTGACGGTCGCTTGTGCATGCGACTTGAAACTGGAACCCGGGATAAGTTGATAACATGTATTAGGACACGCACGAGCTGGTACTGTAGATTTGGACTCGTTATGTGCCCTGCCCTCGATCAGTTTGGATTCCTTGAGGTCGGGTCGGGTCGCGTTGGTTTGCAGGTGAATTACACATTGTCGACTCTCAGAGCTTGCTGTGGTCTCGCCATGATTTTGAAATGAAGCAATGTTGAAGGATTCTTCCGGTGACATGTTGTTACCTACAACCTACAACTTTATGCTGCTGCCGCCGACATTCACAAAATAGAGAGAGGGACAGAGGTACTGTAAACCTACTTGACATACCAACATACTACGTACCTACTACGCCGTTTGGAAGCCAAAAGCACGTCAATGATACGAACACGGTACTGTAGGTGATTGTGACAGCTGCGCGATCTTTTGTTTTCCGGAGTCTCTCAGTCTTTCTAGTTGAAAAATAACAACCATTTTTCTTAATGCGGCCCGGTGGTCTCGACCACACTCCCCTAGGTAGGTACCAAAGAGGTGTGGGTGTACATGCTGCAGCACACTCAAGTATCTTTGTACAGGGTCCCCATCTCGGTCCAACCCGATCCAAAGAAGAAGACCGCTCCTGTTATACTCTCCAGCAGCACACGCACCCGGTACCCGATTTCACCTTTGCAAGGCAGCGGAGCCACTCCTGCTCGATCCCTCGACGCTGCCGTCGCCGTCGCCATCGCCGGCGGTAAAACTCGTACTGCTATCGTCGGACCCCTCTGAACTTCGACCCGAAACCCAGTCCTGAAGGAGAGGGGTACTCACTGGCCTCGTCTCCGGCTGTGCCATGCGCCAAAACACCCAGTACGCTGCACCCAGGGCGAGAATCCCGAGCGACGTCGCCGGGTAGGCGTAGTACGCGAACTTGCCGTTGTTGTCGGTTCCTTGCTTTTCACCCCCCGGATTGAGCCAGGGAAAGACGAGCAGCACCAGGTTGCTGACGAGGAATATAGCAGCTGGTACGCGGTGAGCGGGACATGGGCTCGCCCATCGCTCTGCCGGAGAGAGTTGAAGGTACAGTAGACCTCCGGAGATGGCGACGGAGAGCACAGAGACCGGGTACCCCCCGATCTCGACGAGGAAGGTATAGATCTCGCCTGGAGTGGGCAGCACGATGACGACGACACTGACAAGCCAGTGCAGGAACAGACCTGCGCCAGGGGCCCCGCTGGGGTTCTTGCTGCGCCAGAAGCCGGACAGAGGAAGGAGTCCCTGGGACCCGAGTTCCTGGTTCACGCGGGCCTGAGCGAACGAGGTGGCGGCGATGTTGCCAAATGCCGAGATGATGATGAACCAGGGCAGGATCCTCTCCCCCCACAGGACCCCAAAGATGTTGCGCAGAAAGTGGCTTGCGACGACGACACCCGAGCTGCGGAAGTCGCCCTTCTCCACGGCGCAAAAGTACGCGACGTTTGCGAGAACGTAGCCCATCGAGGCCAGAGTCAGCGCGACTGGCGCTGCGACTTTGATCGTCGAGACCGGGTTCCGCACTTCGGAAATCACCTGGTTTGCCGTGTTGTAGCCACGGAAGCAGTACAGGACCTGCAGCAGTGCAGTGGCGTAGTTGTACGGCTTGGAGCTGGTGCCGGCCCAGATCGAGGTGAAGTTCTGCTCGGCGATACTCACGGCAGAGTGGCCACCGCCACCGTCCAGGCTCAAGACAGGAGAGAAGGTCCGGCCGATGCTCGCAAGCCCACTGAAGATGACTGCGGCGAGGATCAACATCTTCCCCACGCCTAGTACGTTGATGATTTGAAGGCCTGCTGCCGGTGCTCGTGCGTGAATGAGACAGGCCATGGAGATCACGGCGACTGCAACACCGCGAACGTTCCACACTCCCGGTTGCTGACCCAGCGCCGAGACGGCGTAGTTGCCGAGAATGATGCAGTTCGGCGTGCTGAAGCCCAGGAGGACGACGTATGCCATGAACATGGACGTGGCAAGCATTCGAGGTCGACGAAAGATTCGCTCCAGGTACACGCGTTCTCCACCGGATCGGGGAAGAGCAGTACCCAGGTCGAGATAGACGGATAGGCCACAGAAAGAGATAATTGCGCCCGCGACCCAGACAAGAAGCGTCATCCCCACGGATCCGACTTGGGAGAATATCGAGGATGGCACCGAATAGACGCCGACGCCAATGGTCTTTCCCAGGATGAGGGTAATGGCGGAAAAGGTAGTGAGATAGGCCCTATCGTCATTGTGTCCGTGTTTGGGATGGTCTATCAAGCTCGGTGTGATGGACAATGCACTTCGTGGTAGGAAGTTGTCGCCATGTTCTCCCCGACACAGTGAGGACAAGTGCAGCGACTCCGGCTTGAGGTTAGGCGGCCTTGACTGCCTATCCTTTCTAGGCTGGCCAAGCTGCGAGAAGGATGTGACTTCTGGCAGGTCGAAAGTGATACCGCGCGCGATGATCGGACAGGCATCGTCGTCTTCGTTGGCCGCAAGGGAGGTGTGGCGGTTGGTCGAGGATGAGTCGTTGATATGAGGACTGCTCGGAGTTCGACTGATCCGTGGAGTGAGAGGTGAACGACAGTCTAAGGAGGGAGACAGCAATGCCGTCGTAATGCCTGTTGACACGCTCTCACCCAGGTATCTTGGCCGTTCCATCCTGGGCGGGAAAATGTGCTCAGCTGGGCCTGAACCTGCTCAACCTGCTCACGCTGAGGCTCGGTTGGCCGTGCTGCCAAGTCGTCTTCGTCTCAGGGACAATGAATGTGTCGAGGCTCCCGAGACGTGTTGACCGACGTAGCAAGCATTGAGGATTCTCAAAGTGCTTTTCCTCCGGTTTTGCGCCCACCGTCCATGCGAAATATATGGGTGATGGACTTGTCCTCGCAGTTTGCGACTCGAGAAGATTAGGTCAAGAAGCCGCCTGCGGTTCCCCTTCCAGCCAGAGGCTGGAGGCTTTCCCTACTTTCGATGGGTAGAGCCCCGAGGCTTGACCCATTGAGGGTGTTCTCCAGGCGGTGCCATGGAGTCCGGATATGTTTCTGACACAAGACAGCGTCATGTTGATCGCTAGACACGCTTCAGCGTCGACAGGTCTTGACGGTGAAGCTGTATGAGTCGGAATCGAACATGAAACACGCCGCGACAGGGGCTAGTGAGGCTTGGGTTGAAAGTGAAGTTACAGGAGAGCCAAGCGAGTCTGTGTCCGGGGCATGATCGACGGCTATTTCTGCGCCGGCGCCAGATCATTTCACATGTACATACGGCACCGCTGCAAACGGGGAGCGTACAGGCTGTCGGTCCCTGGGAACCCAGAAGGGACTTCCTAAAAGTCAGGGTCCTGAATTCCAGGGGCTGCTTTGGCCGCATCTGGGACCACAGTGGGCACTGGTGGCATGAACACCCGCTGGGAGGACTTGGTACTCGAAGATGAAATGGTGCTGAGAGGGATGGTCTGTCTACAAAATTGGGAAAGGCCAAAAGCGGTTCCAAATACGACAGGATGATCAAGTGTCCGTGTCAGGTATATCGGCAGGCAATGGGCGGGCAGTAGCAGGGAGACGTCCTTCAATCGTCTATTTAAAATCTACGCACAAGCAGGACAAACCAAGTCAGGCGCCTCATCTCCCAAAACCCCAGGCCCTTGCTCTGATGGGACGACTTGGCTTTGATCCTGGTGCAAACAACTCCTGTGATATAGATGTCGGCATGAAAATATCACAATCGGCCCTGGTCCTGTTACAGAGGCCACATCACTACCTCTACCGCCACCAGAAGCAACGGCATCACTATCGCCCCGTTCACGTCGAGTAGCTTTACCTTTGCCTCTTCCGACGTCTCCACCTCCATCTCCCGACAGATCCTCAACACTTGGCTTTCTCAAGCGTCTGGCCCTTCTTGATTCTTCTCTTGCTGTCCATTGTTCCCATACGTTGGAGTTCATCCCGATACCAGGGCCCCAGACGCGTCGTCTGCAAACTTCACAAATCTGCCCGCGAGGCCTCCATCCGCGGTGCCGTAGCTTGTCAATATGCTCAAGCTGTACAAAAAGGTCTTTATCAAGCATCGAGTTGGACAGGGCGAGTAAAGACTCTTCATAAGCGTACGCTGAGAAGATACTGGCCAGTACAGAACGGAGCTCAGAAAGAGATGGCGATGTCTGTGCCGCCTGGGTGAGGAATGCTCGCAGTATTCGAAGAAATGTCATGTCTCGACTAGAATCGTGAGATCCCCTGGAAGACTTGCCAAGGTCGCGCTTCGATGTTGTGTTCGCTAAGAGAGCCGTGAAGACAGATTGGATCGTTCCACGCAATGACGTTGTAATTTCGACCCGATCGTCGTCGTCGTTGTCAACCTCATCGTTCTGGGCGCCATTCATGGACATTCGTGAGATCGACGTGATGGTGTTACCTCTTGCAATGGAGACCACGGCAAGCATAAGATCGAGCCACAACGTCTCTTCGAACGTCAGTGGGGTTGTTGGATTTGGGAACCGACCAGGAGACTTTGAAACTCTTTGACGAGGCGAATTCTTCACTTGTTCACGACATAACCATACACCCACAAGTGTGTAATTTTGGATGTTCTCAAGTATGCCCGTGACTGGACGACGTATGCTAGCACCGTCATCTCCATCGCCATTTTCCCGGCTTGAGGATAAGCGAGAGGTGGCGGCCTTGAGTGTCTCACCCAACAAGGATAAATGCCGGACCAAGCGATCCATTGCTTCCCGAAAGCGGCCGTCGCGAGCTTGCAAGACGACGACAGCATCGATAATTCCGCTTTCTTCCATTGTAGGTAAGACTTCATCGAGTCGAAGGTCACCTTGAACGTGCTCGAGGTATTCCCGCACATGTGAAGGGTCGAATTGACAGAGAAGTTTGACATACAACTCTAACATGTAGCTATCTTGAAGCCGCTTTGTCGCTGTCGATGCATGCCTGTGGTGATCTTCTTCTGGCTCAAGGATGAATTTGAGGTACTCGTATTGTCCATACTGATCGTTCGCCAGAACCCTTAGGAATAGGTTGTGTAGGTCAGGGGCAACTTCATTGACCACCGTGGCCGTTTTCTGTATATCAATCCCCACCAGGTCAGCTGCGTGCTGTTCCATTGCTGACCGCACTTCCTTGCGTTGCTCTTCATCAAGATTGGAGCTGGGCCGTAGACAGTCGCTCAGCGCAGAATAGACAGCTTCCTGATCATATTCGTCTAGGAAATATGTCTGAATCATCTCAGCATACCTGCCTTCTTGCTTGAACACCGCCTTCAAAACACGGTAGAATCTCGCCTCTCGCAAGAGTGACACGAGATCGAGAGCGTTTGGAGGTTGGAATACAGACAAAAGGTATTCCACACTCAATTGTGCATCTTCCCGCATATCTTCCTCGGGGTATTGGCACAGTCGATTAAACACCTCTTGGAGAACAGTGCCCGAGAGAACCATGTATTGAGGATATTTAGCCAGATTTCGCGCAATGAACATATCGAGATAAATTGTGTCTTCGGGCTCGAAACCGGAGGACATCACTTCTAGCATGACGCGAACCACGTACTGGCGTGTGTATATTCGTGAGGTGGAAGGCTGCCGTAGGCTCAATAGGGCTGATCCATCGTCGTCACTGGTATTCAGAAAACTGTCCTCAAAAGCCTCGTTGAGAGCCGCAATGAAACTCGCTGCATCGAAATGCAGAATGCGCGAAAGGGTCGCGAACGAGCTAGTCGTCCGCTTTAGTGTTGGTCCGCGATGCTTGTTATTGCCAGAGAAGAAGTAGTCATATATCTGACCTTTTGCGAGCGTTGCCTCGTTTTCGTCCATAGCAGCACCCGTAGGATAAACGCGACTTGTCAAGATGAATGATATGTAGGGGAAAAGCTTTTGCGCTGTAGTATATCGATCAGCCATATTCCCGTTCGGTTGATTGGCCTCATTTGCAGAATCGGCAAAATCCAGCAGCAATGTCAACATGCTCTCATAATCGTGCAGTGCCGTTGTCCAAACGTAGATATACGCGTCGTAGAGATTGTACCTTTTGCAAAGGCCGGTGACTTGGTCAATGTCCATCGTCGAAGTATCTAGCATACAGATGATTTCTTCCAGTGCGGACGGCGTATGTGTGATAGCGAAGTGGTCGATCAAAGTTTTCAAAGCAGGCGGCGGTATGGACACAACCTTCACATTCAGGATGTGTGGCTCCAATATGTCCACAAACAATGGACCATGATCGTTGTCATCGTACCAGGAAAAGACTTCTTCAAAGAGAAAGTCTTGGTCCTCCATGGTCAAGCAAGCCTTGATACATGCATCAGCCAATTCAATCATCTGGGGCTTTTCGATCGGCTCGTTGCCGGCTTGTTGGTTTTTACCAAAGGCATATTTCAGAGAGGCTGTCATCATTTCGATGAGCTTCTCCTGAACTAAAGGTGCCCGAAGCCCGTCGTCTTCGGGTAAGCCTATTGTTGCTTTCTCACCTTCACCGAGATAGTACTTGGTTGCCAGTCGGATTGCTCCTATAAAGTCCCCAACATTCATCAGAGCCAATAAACGGTCTGCCCAATTTGTCAAAACGCCTGTCCAGATATCATTGAAGCCCAGGAGAAAAAGCCTCCCTTTATAAACTCGAAAGCTCATATGAAAAGCGTCCGCTACTACGCCATGCATTGAAGTGTCCTCTTCATCCAGGGATTCAATAATGGCCTGCAGTTGTTGGGAGTATAGGTCGGTATGATAAATATTCTTCTTGAGAAGGTCGAAAGACTCAGTTACATGCATTGTGTGATCCTCGATAATGAGTAGTTGTTGAGTAATGGTCAGGACGGCTATGACCGATCTGTTGAGCCATTGTACCGCTACCACCGCCTCCTCGGTTTGATATCGACTTCTGGCTAGGAATTGCAATTCTGGAGGCTTGTCCTTGCTATCCCCCTCTTCAGGGGGCGCTTCATGGACTTCAAGAACGGTGATTATATTTGACCAAGCGTAAACTAGTTTGGTCCTAGAGGTACGGGACTCCTCACCTTTCAATTTGATAGCCGGAAACCAAGCAAGAGCAGCAGTCATTGCGCTATGTGCAGCCACCTCCTTTGGCCGAGCCGCTTTATGTTGGGTTTGTGCCACTGGCGTTGTGGAAACTATAACCAGCAGATAGGGGGTCAGCATGGCCACCAACCCTAGGTTATCACTCCGCTGCTCAATGTTCCCCAGAGGCAGAGGAGAGAAAGCGAGAACAGAGCTTTTCTTCAGTGGCTTTGTTGTCCGCGTCACAACCTCTGGATATCGTCCCAAGATTCGTGCTGTGCGCACCACACGGCTAACAGCGCCCATGCCTCGCGTAGCAAGATGCGAAAAGGCCATGCCTTTGTCATCAGCGGAAACGAGTGCAGTATGCCGATACCCAAGGAAGCCGATATGGAGAACAGTACTGCCGATTATGTGCCCATCTCCACGTCTTCCTTGTGGAAGTGAATTATCGATTGGCAGGATATGAAGGAAGGGTCGAGATGATCTGGCTAGCTCCCAGGTGAAAATGTGTCCAGTGGTATGTCCCACGGCGATGGTCGTGTGGTCTGCAGAGATGGCAAGTGCTGTGACTGCACCACTCTCTGATGCCTTGGTACCGCTGCCAATGATGGCTTTATGATTTTGCTGGTGATCAAATACCAGGACGATGCCCTTAGATGTGCCTATGACGACTTGATCTGCCACAGCCAGGCAAGTGGGATTCCCAAAGTTTCTTCTCCCAATTTCCGAGAACGTCTGTCCTGTTATACGTTTGTATCTGTTCCAGCGTATGACATCCCACGGACTGCTAGATTCGTCGAACTCTGACGAGCTTTCCAGACCTACAAAGCTCGTAAGGGATGAATGACGCGAATGTGCGCCCAGGAAGCCTGGTGAGCTTGAGCGGAGGGGTGACAGATGGGAGCCTGATAGTCGGGACTGAAATCTCGTGTCGAATGGCCGATGCGCAAGTGAAGGACTGCCTCGTCGAGCCGGACTGCGGAGCGACGGGGTTCCGCTGCGAGGCGACGACAAGACCGATTCTTGAACAGAACGGGAATCATACGGCGTTGATACGGTGTCATCTGTGCTTCGGACATCATCTTCGCCGGGGAAGGGTACCACGCCATCTACGCTGTTGGGTCCGAGGACGCTCGCTGTCTCTTCGTCTTGGAGGCGGTGATTGTCTTCCTGCAGTCGATACTGCCCTGGAGTCTCTTTGTCAACCTCAGGGTCTTCGTTTTCTATGTCTGGAACGTCCGCATCTGTGACATCAACAGCTCCTCCGTCCGAATGCGCCTCTTCCTCTTCCTTGTTCTGACTGGTGGGATTCTCGCCCTCATCTCTGGGCGAGCTCATCGAGGGATATGGATATGATCATTGCACCCTCATTACGGCAGTTCTAGCAATTTAGGCAGTTGAGGAACGTGAGTCGGAGGATATTCTTAGGAAGAATCGCAGAACGTTGAGGCGTGTAGTAGTATGCGTAGGTGCTTGTGCGGCTTGACAGGGTTCGCGTTGGATCCAAAGGTGCGACTTGAGCGTACCCGAGAATGCACAGAGACAAACGCCAGCAATGAAAATGTTATTATGAGCCTGCAGAACTGGTTGCCGGTTGATGATGGCTATGCCAAAGCAATCACGCAGCCTGGCGATGTATTCGTCCCATCTATACAAGGTCCCATGTGGAGAAGAGGCCACATCGCAGTCAGTGTTCCGCCGTAGAGAATTCAACTGCGGATCATTTGTTTTCACCCGGAACACGTGTGTCGTCGAGGTGGAGGATGCCCACTGGGCGAAGGGCAGTCGAGTGTCTATGTCCGTATGTTTTAAAGTTAATAAAAGCAGTGAGATGAAGAAACAGTTCGAAGCTTCTTGTCTCTCTATATCCTATAAAGCATTCGTATTGATCATAAAAACAACTATCAACTCCGGCTGACGCCCTGACATAAAGACATTCAGTAGAGCCCAGTATCGTCAATGAACCCCCTGGACCTGTTCTGTGGCAGGACCTCCGGTCAAGTTCGCTACAAATTCTTGGTATCGAAACACATCACCACCTTTCTTTGGAGCGGGGGTATTGAGACCCCGGACACCAGCAATACCGATCACATTCTTCCCTAGAATCCTTCTGCCCGTAAAACCTTCCATGGCTCGGTCAATATCTCTCTCGCTTAAAGGACGCTCGCCTGGATCTGGAACTGTATTCTGTAGTGCTGAGCGAAGTTCTGCAACATCAATCTGTCCACTATCATCATCATCAAAGGCGGAGAACGCGTTGAGCAGTTCTTGCTGAGGAGACAGCCCGACAAGAATGTTTGCGAGTTGATTGAGGTACTGAGGTAGTGAGAGCTGTTGAGGTTGCCCGGGCGGGAAGAATTGCGAGAGATTACTCTCATGTAGACCTAAAGATTGGAGTGTTTCGGCCACCGAAGCCGCGTCAATGCTTCCGTTGGAGTTGGAGTCAAGTACCGAAAACGACTCGCGCATATTGTGGAGGAGTTGTGGTGGAAGTTTGGAGAGGTTATCGTTCTGGGAGAGACCATTCGAGACAACTCTCCGAGATTCTCTAGAGAACGAGGACGGGACCATCATCGGACTGTTGTCACGTTTGCTGGGAGATGATGGTAGTCGGTGTGCTGTAGGTGATGGAGGAGGTTCCGTCTGCGCCCTTCTGTATGGCATAGAGTCGGTCTTAGTTTTGGACGGCGTTGAAATTGGCTCCTCTTCCTCCTCCTCTTCCGACACGGTGTATGCATGCTTGAGCTTGGACGGAGAGGTCATGGGAGATGCGCCACTTCTGTTTGTTGGAGGAGTATTCGGTCTTCCAGTGGCAATAGTTGGAGACCCTGGCGAAGCAGGACGGCGAAAGGGAGAAGAACGAGGAGAATTGAATGTGGACTTGTAAGAAGCCTGATTGTTATATGTTAGAATCACAGACCATGGTTTTGGCTGGACTGAGTTCGTTGCCACTTACCATGACAGATGTTTGATCAGCACAGGCGGATCTGTGCCTTTGTTTAGATGATCGACCGAGGCTCACCAGGCAAGCAAAGAGGAGAGTTGCAACTTTCCGTGGTTGAAACTCGCGAAGGTGTAGACAATACTGCCACAGAGTCCAGGCAAATTCGGCTACAAGATGCGAAGTCGATGGTTCTCAAGTGTTACGGTGGCTGTTATCCTATTCCATTGTTCCCAGCAGCGTGCAGGTGCTGGATCGCCCGCTCATCTTGTTTACAGGCGGTTGTCATAGCATCGGGCCAACCCATGTGCCGTGGCCTTCTACGGGCAAGTCTGGCGAATAATAAAGACTAAGCTTAATGCTGTCTGACTCCAATCAGTGCGGACGCTAGGAGCCTAAAAGGCGGCCCCTCAATGCCGATCTCAGGGGCGCCCAGAGCCATACGGTAACTGTTAACTTGTGACAATGGGCAGGACTCTTCATGCATGGGTCTCATTCAGCAAATGTTGCATCTTCAAGAAGGGCGCGGCAAGGATTGAAGAGCGGAACTTCAGCGTGGATGATGCTCGATAAGGATCGCTTGATGCACCTCGAAATAACCTTGACGGCTAGCTTCTCGACCGCATTTGGCCATCTTCCTCTGAGCACACACAACCCCGGCGCCGAGAAAGCCTCCCACTGTGTTCTCGATTCTTCCAGCTGCGCTGGCTTACCATTTATCTACCTTGAGTCACTGCCTCTTCGACAGGCTGACTATTGACTTGCCAAACCATTTCAACCGCGGCCAATGGCTGAGACCGTTGCGTACCGTCCACACCCTTCCCATGCGTTCTCGGACAGCCGAAGATCTGCGTCCTCCACTACGGGCTCCCACAAGTCAACCGTTTCCCATGCGCCTTCGCACTACAAAGTCTCTTCGCAGAGCTCTTTACTCCCTCCTTCGCCTCGTGGGTCTTACCGGTCGTCGCAGAGGGTTTCTACGGTGCCAGAAGATGGACCTTATCGTCCCAAGAAGCGGCTCAAGTCACAATATCCCCTGCATTCCAGCGAGCCTCATGTCGAGTATATCTTGGTCGCGTCTTTCGATATCGACCGTGGGCCGATAATGGAACACCAGTTTCCTGGCGCAATCAGCCCCGATGAGAACATGTTGGCAGAGCTGATGTTGCCGGATCAAACACATGTCCGACAGCAGGACTGGACTATGTTCTTCCTCCACAAAGACACTGGTGAGAGTGAGGAGGATGTAGCCGAGAAAGACGCAAGGAGGCAACAAAGAGCAGCCAAAAGGCGTCTCCGAGAAGAGATGGCTGCAGCGGGGGTTACCGAGGACTATGACGACGAGTCCAGCAGTGACGAAAGCGATACTGGCGGTATAGACAACCCTCCTCTGATGTATGTTTTGAACCTGGTCAACACGAAGCAAGACAGCACCGTCAAACGAGGTGCTGTAGTCAAGGCCATGGCTATCTGCACGAGACATTCATTCCTGCACATATACAAGCCGCTCCTTTTGCTGGCTCTGGAGGACTATTTCAAGTCACCAATACCTGATACGCTAGAGCTGTTATACAATGCCCTCAACGCGATGGATCTGTCCTTGATGCCGCGACTGTCAGTCCTTGAACGGCATATCCTACAAGCAAGCGACACCAAAGATATGTTTGTGGAAAAGTTTGAACAGATGATCTCACAGCGACTCGCCGATGAAGCTTTGGGCAAGGTCAATGAGGCGCCGGAATCTCCGACCAAATTCGAACCCAAGTACACTGTTCCGCGCGATACCCATGAGTTCGAATCGAAAATAGTGTATAATGGCATTCCAGTACCTGTCAAGATCCCCACTGCATTATCTCCAGAGACAGTGGGAGATTTCTCTTTAGTCAAGCTGGTGCAGATCTTCGGAGGACCTCACCTCTCACAACCCCAACCTTTCGCGTTGCACCCTCATCTCACGACCTCGGGTGCATATACTCACCCGATCATCGTACTAATCAACGCCATGTTGACTCAGAAACGGGTCATCTTCCTCGGACATAATCGACCTTCTGGCGAGGTGGCAGAAGCGGTACTAGCGGCCTGTGCTCTCGCATCAGGAGGTATCCTTCGGGGCTTCACACGACATGCATTCCCCTACACGGATCTCACAAAGATTGATGAGTTACTGAAGGTACCAGGCTTCATAGCAGGAGTTACCAACCCTGCCTTTTCTTATCATCCTGAATGGTGGGACCTACTGTGCGACCTTCCGTCAGGCAGAATGAAGATTTCATCGTGTATCGAAGCGGCTCCAGTGACTGAGGGCACCACATATTTCCAGCAGCACGGCCACGCAGTCCTCAGCCAAAAGGATGCACTGCACGCTGATGCCACTGGCGACATCCATTTTATGGAAGACATCACGCGAAGCATCGCATCCCGAGCGGGGGAATCGATTGTCCGGGCTAAATTTCGTGCGTACATTACCAAATTCACTCGCATCGCAGCCGCATTCGAGGAGACCGTATATGGAGCGAGCAGTTTGAGCGCGCTTCCTCCAACCGAGGTTGATAAGGTTGAGACACCTTCATCTGCCACTGCCACCCCACGACGAATGTCGCTCAGCACGTCCAGTCAGAACCTAAAGGGCCACGGCTATGTGTGGTCTACTGAGGACGCAAAGACGCGAGAGCTTGCAGCTTCGGCGGCCAGAATTGAAGGATGGAGAAATACACGTTCGTATCACTCCTTTATCCTTGACCTAGCAACTCATTCGCAAGATTCGATGTCTCCGACCTCACCGGTCAGCATGACCAACATGCTCGCCAGAGAACCGGTCAAACCGTATGTGGATCTCTATCATTCGCTGTCCAAGCTACGGATGCTACGCCTGACGCCGACAGAAGCCGGGGCGATTTACCTTGCACTTGAGGCCTACTGTACGGACTATGAGAGTATTCTCGAACTGTTGGAAAAGGCTCCTATGTCGGAAGCCGGACTTTTCTACGTTGGCCTCGGACTGTGGCACGAAGACCAACGAGTGAGGATTGCGGTTGGGACACTTCTAGATCGCATCAGACAACACCCGGCTGGAAGAGTATTCTTCAGTCGGCTTGGGGGCTGGGCCAACATGGGCTTTACGAGGTGTCTACAGGAGAAAGATGCTAAGATGCGTCGCCAGCAACATGAAGCGGAGGAAATCATAGCACCTCTCACGGTCGGTGGTGATAGGCGACGTAGCTAAGATTGCCAGTCTCGTTACGGAGTGCTGGTTGATGATTGATTTGACGAACGAATTGATGCCTGAGCTTGTTCCCATAGGTTTCTAGTTGATGACTTGCTGTCGTAGAGATTGAACTGATGAGAAAGTAACATTGGCTTCGTTTTGGGCCATGGTGTCGTTTTTGCAGCGCTTCTCTACCACCTATTACAAGCAGATGGTCAAGCAGGACAATGACGCGCGTGTGTGTTTTGACGAGGCCGTAAGCGCTTACTGAACTGCACAGACTGTGGTCACTGGTACTCCGTATTATGCTATCTCAATCATCGTACGGCGAAGCAGCAACAAGAGTGGACACGTTGGTCCAGAGGTCTAGACTCTCGACAAACTCTTCGTGCTCGAGTCGCAGCAGAGGGTCCCCTGTTCTATCGTCTGGATATGCGTGGCCTTTACAGGGGTGCGTCTCCATCAGTAACCCACCCGGCATGTAGTGCAGGACCTTGTCTGGGTGAAGATGCTGCCCCTGACTCTGAACAACGAGTCGGCGCCCGGCACTATCGAATCTTGGCCACCAACGAGGCTTAGCAATGCTCGCGTGTAAAATTATCAATCCTTGCACCCTGGTCACCGATTATCACGGATTCATGGTTGATATCCTTGCCAGACTCCCGGTCCCGTCGCGGGTGCCGTAGGCGAGATCAGCACTATGGCCTGTTCGGAGCAAGTTGTCGCCTGCGTCAACCCTAGCTGGCGGGAGAAGAAGGCCAACCCTCGACACCATTTCACAATTTCTGAACACAGCCGCCGGCGGACAGGACAATGACCAAAGTCGAATCGCGGCGGAAGATTGGGCATTCCCTCCTTGGAGCAAAGGATTGGTTCAGAGTCCTCCACAGCGTAAGAACGCACATTCGAGTCTCATGATGCATATTTTATTGCTCCGAGTAAGCAACCCATTCTCCAACGCCTCGACTCCATGCGCGAAAATCTTCTCCGGGGGGACAGTCTTTGTCTGGAAAGGCCCGGAACGCCACCAAAGCGCCACGGCGTCCACGAGTTCGAACCAAGTTGCAAAACCTCAGGAATTTGGGGTCCGGCTCCATCATGCATACCAGCAGAGGAGGAATCTGGTGGAGTATCAACAACGACTCATCCCTTGGGTCGCTCATTTCCTGTCGCTGACTGGTACGATCCTCGTGTCGCTGAGTTTCTCTAGTCTCGTAAATTGGCGCTGGAGGCGCAAACTAACACGACTCACGAAGTTGAGGGACATGGGCATATCTCGCTATGCTCTGGCCATCGATTTTCCCAAGACCGCATTGAGGAAGGACTCCATATGGCAACCATTCCAGTTCTTCTCAACAGACTTTGTCTTTGTTCAGTCTGCTGTCAGCTTCAGCCCCAGCGAAAGTCGTCCCACGGTCCTCCTGTATTTCAAACGCGGAATCCTCTTGAGGCGCGAGACATATTCTGTACGGACTATTGTTACCCAAGGATCTCTAAGCGACAACGGCCTTTCACCACCCTGAAACCCCGGTCCTTGCCAGTAGAATCCACCCTGGTGTGGAGGAAGATCAATTAGGATCAACACCAGGGATCCGACACGTGCTGCTAGTTTGTCTAGGAGTACAAGTATCTCTTTGCCAGCAACCCATATTGGGAGTGATCGACTGCATATCACTCTGCAACCGATCCTGACGTCGGCGACGACCAGCCAGAACGCCATTTCACAGAGGTCTACCTGGGATATCAACGACAGCGTAGGCATATGCATATGCTCATCCGCGGGGTGTCATCGTCGATGTGAAGGCAACGAGCACATCCTGGTCTCGCGAGGCTGGTGTGGTTGATCTTGTCCTGAGTCCTCGCCAAAGGCTCAGGACGCCGTTCGTTACTCTGGAAAAACCAAGAACCCAACCCTACTCGACACTCATTTGGTCCGCTACTCGGGTCTGCTATTAATCGTCCGACTATTCTTCCTGCACGACCAAAATATCATAATGTCTCAGTCAACAGCTTCAGATACATACCTCTCAGCACAGAGGAAGAGAAGGAGGAGGAGGAGGAGGAGAGGGGAGAATGCTCTCCCCTCGCCATTTTTACTTACATTTTCAATAATCATAATACTCTTGTCATTCTCGACAGCTTGCTCGGCAGCAAATGACACGCCATGCGAGACGCTTGTCTACGAGTCACCGTCACTATTTGAACAGCTCGAAGCCAGAGGAGAAATACTCATTGACCGCTCCGACCGTCCTGCTCGACGTAACCAATTCTCTGCAACACAGGTCCAAGGACAACAAGTACAGGTAGAGAAACGAAAAAACGACAACGACGATGATGAGACCGTAGTTCCGACAACAGTCTCGTCGGCATCTACAACCACCGCGCCACCCTCGTCTCCCGCGGATACGACACCATCCGACACCATCGCCACCGACACCGACACCAACCTCGCTCCCAGCGTCATCTCGACCTCCATTTCGCCCAGCGTCACCGTCGTGACGACCCCGCTGCCGTCGCCCTTCGACACGTCGCTGAGCCAAAACTTCACGTCCACAACCTGCGGGCCCTTCTTCTCGAACTTTCTCTCCAACGCGACCTTCCTATCCTGCGAACCCGTGTCGCTGCTCCTGCAAAACTCCAACTCGTTCTTCCGGGCCATGCGGTCCGCAACCCTCCTCACGCAGACGCTCGACGCGGCGTGCTCGGCGTCGCTGGCCCTCTGCGCGCCCCTCATGTCCAACCTCGCGGCGCAGCTCATCTCCCCCTCGGCGTGCGGCGACGACTTCAAAAACCAGGTCGCGACCGTGACGCAAGCCTACGCCGGGCTGACGGCCTACGAGCCCGTGTACCGCGCCACGTGCCTCCGCGACAGCGCGACGGACCGGTACTGCTTCACCGAGGCCATCACGAACGCGACGTCCCAGGCCGACAGCTACCCCTACTACACCGCCGTGGGACTCAGCATGCCCAACACCAGCACCGGCACCAGCGCGCCAGACTGCACGCAGTGTCTCCGGGACACGATGAAGATCTTCGCCGGCTACGCGCAGGACGCCAACCAGCCCCTCTCCACGACGTACCTGGGTTGCGCCACGCAGATAGACGACAAATGCGGGTCCGGGTTCGCCGACTTGAACGTCCAGGTCGGGAGCGTCGACGATAAGGGCGACGCCCAAAAGAATGCCGCCACCGCCTCGCTGAGGAGCGTCTTTTTCAAAACGAGCAAGACGCCTTCTGCCAGCAACACTACTGTTTTATTACTCGGGGGCGCGCCGGCTCTCGTCGTCGCCGCTACCATCGTTTTGTCTACATTGTCGACTTTCGTGGTGCTTTGAGTATTAGATCGAGGCCGACCCGGTCAGTTCTCATCTCGACCAACACAACCACAGTCGCCGTGTGCAAAAGAACAGACATGGGGGGAAAAAAGGCCGACGAATGATTCAGGGCGTTGAAACCAGGTTTTGCGCGGTGGTAATAATTCAAAAGAGAAGGAAAAGCCCGATGATCTAGGGCATTGAAGACAAACTTTGCGCGCCCCGGGGTAAGAGAAAGGCAAAACTGAGAAACAAAAGAAGAATCATCCCGGAGATGAAGTAAGGTATGGAGCCGTATGTGGTACACACCTACCTTGGATACGGATATGACATGATATGATACGTAGGTCGGTCGGTACATGGGTACGTTACCTCGGGATAGGCACAGTAGGTAGACTACACACAGGTGTGTATTACGGTACATAGTTACAACTTGGATGTCCCCATGATGGTACCGAGCCTGCCTCAGATAATTACCTACTGTAAGCACCTACCTACCTACCTACCTACCTACCTACCTACCTACCTACCTACCTACCTACCTACCTACCTAGACCCAATAGGTACGTACCAACCGGTGAGGATAAACCACCGAGAGCTTTTGTCTTTCTCATCGTAGAATCAAATTTCAAGAACTACAATCAAACTTACACAACCCTGTACCAACTTGCGTAGGTAGTTAGAACAGAATCACGAACTTCATTGTTCACCCGAAATACTGCTCGCAGCTAGGTGCTTTGACGTACGGTACCTACGTACAAAACAAGTTCAGACCCCAGCTTCCCAACCGTCAAGGAGCGGTTGAAAAGACCACGCGTTGGACAAAAAGATGTTGCGTGACATCGACATTTGACCCTGATGTATGGCGGGCAATGTGAATGTGAGTGTTCGGTGTTCCGAGTAAGTCGTCCATATCCCGCCCGGCATATGCACCCTTCCTGTACCGTTTTGACGACAGGTGCGTCTAGCTCTGCCTGGCGTACAGTGTACTCGATCCTAGGTAGTATTACTAGCACTAGCCCGTATGTATGCATGACCTCAAAAGAAGAAGAAAAAAACTCGACAACATAAAAAAGCAAAGCCACGCAACTCAAGGAGTGTCCAGACGCTCGTAAAATTGCAGCAGAGTCAGCCAGATATTGCAAATGCACCACTCCACCGGTGACCCACCGACCCGGGTGACTCTGAGGCGGTACTGTACGTACTGTACTCGGGTACCCGCAGAAACTTCAACCAATGGGTTTGTTCTGTTGTCCGGATGGCAAGGATTTCGTTCATCATGCCCAGGGTGCCATGACGATAGGAAACGGGTTGTGTTTTGTTCCTCTGATGGTGGTGAAAAGGAAAATAAACCATTAAACTATCCATCTTATCGTCGACCTCGTGTTCATCGTGAGACACACCGGCGTGATTGATCAGGCAAGCGAACCGTGGCAAGTCAAGCTGAGAGAAGGAGAGATAAAGAAACCCTGTGAGTATTGAGAGCGCCGAGAGCGCAGAGGCAGATGATCAGTTGGTCTTGCAGTCTGCAACATGCAACAAAAGAAGAGACGTATTATAAGCAGACGTCTCATCTACATTTTCATGCCACTCACACGATCCGACGTCCGAGCCACTAAAGGAAAGGCACCATGTTAGTCGGACCGACCGAACGAGGAAACAACAGAAACCAATACAAAAAAATGACGACGGCACAAACAAGACACAAGCAGTATTCGCAAAGAATTAACGGTCGAGGGGCTGGGGACATACCATCGTCATCATCATCATTATTCTTCTCCTCCCCCTCGTCACTGCTATCCGAGTCATCGTCAGAGCTATCGTCGTCCTGCGTCTCCGCCGAATAGCCCCCCTCGGCGCCCGTACAGAGACATCTAGCACCGTCCACAATCAAAGGACCAGATAATGGTGACGAAGATCCGGTGTTGCCGGTGTCACGGTCGGCCTTGCCTTGTGTCATCTGATAAAATGCCTCGTGTGGGCTCTGCACAGCTGTGGGATGGGCAATCGATATCTCTCGGCCTGGAGATGGCATTGTCGGCTTTCCACCGGGTCGTGATGACAGTGTCCTCTCTGGCTTTTCTTGACGAAGTTTGATCTTGCATCCGCCAAGATAACATCCATTGAGACCCTGGACAGCGGCCTCGGCCTCGGCAGCGCAGCCAAACCTCGCGTTGGCTGTCCCTTTGGCTTTCTCAGTGGTGGGCGTCTTCGGACCGATATCGAGGTAGACAAGCGAACCGTATTGTTCCAGGAGACTTCGGAGCTCTTTCTCCGACTGCTGAGGGGGAAGCCTAGATATCAAGATAGTGTTGGGACTCTTGTCCCTCCTTGAAGCGTCAATAGACACTAGACTTGAAGGCTTCGACGCTACTGCACTGTGTTGTCGCGAGTGTGCACCAACTAGTGCCGGCGAGTAGGTCATCGCAGCTGATACTGTAGGATATGATATTGTCCTGGTCGGGTATGAATAGGGGGAAACTTGAGCGACGGGGGTAGAAGGGGGTGCTCGGCTCGCCCCCGCCGAAGCATGAGAGGGCACGATGGCTGTGCGAGCTGGCGTCGGTCTCTGGTAGAACTGGTTCTGGCTGCTCATCGCCTCAAATTGGTAGGTGTTTGGATAGACCTGTAGACTGTATTTGAGTCAGCTGATTGATACTCTTTCCCCTGTCCTGTTTGCTCGCGCGGAATAAAATACCATGACGAGCCGGTTTGACTTCCGGTCAGCCCTGCCGGAGGCGGATGATGGCCAAAACTGGGAGATACTCGTGTTTCGACTGTGGCACCACGACTCTTTCTCGGACCCTCGAGAGTCTTCAATATGCCAGGTTTCTCAAGCACTGCCAGTGATACCCGGACGCATTTCCCGTTCCAGCCCTGAACACAAAAGTTCTCTGCTCGAGTCAGGAGTCCATCAGCACACGAATCATTTCTCGTTGACGTCCCCAAGGCCACAACATACCATATACTTGAGTCGCAGCACTCCGTCCTTTGATAGTGCAATGACCCAATTGACTTCCGTCGCTAGTTGCAAAGACTTCGGCTTTCAAGCTCTGTTCGCCTCCAAGACTGCGAGTCATGTCTTTGAGTTCCTGCCAGCGGCAATGGCGAGGTATCTGGGCAGGTGGTCAGCTAGAAGACTGCCCGGATTGGTTATTTGGATCTCCGCACATCTTGGACCAGAATAATGTATTGCTCATCGTCTCTGTTTACGTCCCGAGCCCGCCGTTGTTCTCGAGGCATTTTCGCTCTGAAAGAAAGAGGCCGAGAGTTCTTTGGAACTTAAGTAATTGCCGTCTCTGTCAGGGCACTCCTCCTGATTTCGATCGACCAAGTCAGGAGAAAGCGGCCGGTAGATGTGGCACCCTTGCAGACAGACGTCCTCGCCACAGATGCGAGAGTATAAGGTGCGGAAATCGGGCTTTATAGTTTTCACCAGACGCATAGGGGAGATGTGCCAATCGCACAAGATGTCCGATGCTCCCACGGGGAAGCGGGTAACGACGTTTGCTGTTTGGGTCCTGGAGGATGACGCTCAGGCAAATGCTAAGGCTCTCCAACGAGGAGCCCGTATTGACCTGCAAGGATGCAGGGATTTAGACGACGGTATTCTGAATCCGGGGGGTCAAAGATCCAGTCGGGATCGATAGCATTCCAAATAAGCGAGTGGCGAGTTTCGCAATCTGTTCAAACGAGCTGGCGAAGAAATGTTTGCTTCATGGGGAGCGAGATGAGGCCGTTCTTATACCGTTTAGATTGACCAGTCTGTCTACGTACAGTGGTACAAAACACCTTTCAACTTGTAGCGGAGCTCATCCTCAAGCACTTGAGACAGCTTCACTGTCGTCCGGTCAATGCATTCATATGACTTTGCACTGGCCTGGGAGAGCTCGACGTACACCATACACCTCGATTTTGAATGTGGGAGGGTACCCGAATCGCGTTGGGCTCCATTCTCGCGAGAAATGTGATATATCAGATGCAAGTAGGAACAGCCCCATGTCCCCGTTGAATGTAGTCAAGATCATGTTGGAGTCGAACATGAGGCTATACCGAGAAAGGGAGCTCTGGTGCTGGGGACAGCGCCACTTGTGCCCGGCTGTTGGTCGGAAAGAGGGTTGTTCACTCTTCCTTGGTCAAGCCCAAGATGATCGGAGAGATCTCTCTCGTCGAAGGGTGGGTCGATCTTATCCGAAAGTTACTGGAACATGGCAGATCAAAATCTGTTGGCAGGTCGGTTGGGGCTTTAACTCGCCAAGTCCTGTAAATAAATACATCATCGGCGCCGAGTTTGACAGGGAATGTTGACAATGTTGCCATCTTGTTGTGGGCTCGATCTGACACGAACCTGACGCCTGTCGCTGTAAGTTATCATGAACTATGTCCTCTCACCCGTGCAAATTCCCATATCAAGTGTCTCTGGGCAAAAACGATTGAAGGAATTGGAAAGTGTCAATATGAGCGGGAAGCACCTCGTATCCTGCATCTACGGGGCACAATCACAAGCATAGCCGTTCCGTCGGTCTGGGGCTGCCTGAGAGATACCAGCATGTCTCACCTCGCAACTGATACCCATGCATTTCCATGCTTTAGCAAAGGACCGACCATTGCACCAATGACAAGTTCGACACGGTACACATCGTGTTGACTCGGTAAGACGGAGCGTCTGGTACCACCGAATGCTTGGTACCTTGGCATAGCAGGAAAATGCGGTTGGAAGGCGGTCGGATGGCGGTCGGAAGGCAGGAGTCCAACATGACTTCGTGCACAGGCGTGGAATGGACGAGCTGAGCAGGTGAGGAGAGCGATTATGGCACACCGACGGCCTCATAACCGTGGCTTGCGTAGCGGGGTCGAAAAGCCTGAGTCGAGAGAATTCTCCCTGGGCCTCATAGAGCTACTCGCACATTCGAACTGAGAATGCACAGCCTGACGTGCGTGGCTGGACGCGGCGATCGGTCATAGTATTGCAGTCGGTAGAATTCCAGCTACGAGTAAGAAATCGACAGGCGGAGACGGCAGAGCCATCGTCCTGCACTGAGGAGGAGAACGATGATGATGGGGGAAGAGTGGACATATGTCTTCGACGAAACTGGTTGTAAGGGGGGAAGCGTGGTGGAATTTGGTGTTTGGGTGGCGGATGCATCCGCGGCTCCCCGTCCGGCTACATGCATGGCATCCACCACAGGGAATCGAAGATGAACCGAGATTCGGTATACACCACGAGACTAAGGTATGGCCTCGTCCCATGGATGCGTGTGGCTGGTCAAGATGTAAACTCCGGAGCTCGAGCTCGAGGGAACGGTGATTCTGGGTGTCGCAGCCAGCCCCAAGGCTCAAGCCCAGGGAGCCACGAGATCTGGTGGTCTCTCTGGTAGTCTCTGGCGAGGGTGCAGCCGGACGCGTTGCAAGGGTCGGGAAATCGTACCAGTTTATTCATAGTTTGTGAGGGTTGATGATGAGGCTGAACGAGTGCGCATCCAGGTCGGTGTTTGATCTGCCACTCCTGTGAGTACGCGAAGACATGCATGTGTGTTTGTCATCGCCATGTTGGGAAGGGTTCCCTCCCTTCAACCATCCTGCCCGAGCGAGAGACGTCGTGTTCTCTTCCGAATGTAGCCCGTCTGGTGACGCGAGGGTTTCCAACGAGGCTGGTTGTGCGGAGTCCCAGTAGCGGAACATATCGCCCATGTTTCTGGCAGTTCGCACAGCGAGCCCCCTTGGTCGAGACTCAAAAGAGATGTGTATGGTATACCTATTACTCGTATGGAGCGGCCCTTCTAAGACCGTCTTGTTCGCACATGCTCGTCAGCTCGTCGGTGTGGTTAGGAAGTTCGTAAACAAGGCGATTTTTGTATTGTTTTGGTTCATAGAATTCCTTTCTCTCACACATCAATACATAGAACTATTCTCACAAGCACTTCATTCAAGATTCATATCCCGAGAACCAGCGTACAATGTGCCTGCATTGTTTCCGCTATGTCGGTACTCAAACATTATACCCTCATCAGGTCATTCCATCGTAAACGTCCTATCATGCAGTCTTGCCAATCGGATCAAAAAAATTCCAGTTACACCACTCCGACTTGTGTTTTTTCGAGCGTCGAATGGGCCGTGGCCTGCATGCACACCGCTGAGTACCCTCGTTCAACCCATAATCTCCGTCCCATTGTTCCGGTGCATAGTGTACCCGTGACAGGGGTTGGCAGACCACGATGCCCGTCGTTTCAATCCAACTCTTCCGAACCGTGGCCAACAGAATAATGTAGCCAGATGGGATGGAGTCAGACGTACGGGCGCTGGTACTTTGTGCTTATTGCTATTCTTGCCAACCCCTGTACCCACCAGCTGCACCTGTGTAACGGGGTGTGCAATCCGAGATTCTCTGGATGTGAAGGTTGTGATCTTGGCCGAGGGTGCACTCGCCTGCGGAAGTGGCTTCTCAATGGCATATCGCTGGTGACGAGATGGGGTGCATTTATTTGACAAAGCCAACGACATTGGCACATCTCGAGCAATAATAGGAATTGAGGCCAAATCTGACCGCCCCACTGTGGTTTGCAGGAAGTGAGGTGTCGATGCTCAGGGAGCGTTGGCATCGTGAACAGCGGACAATATCAAGGGATGGCTTGGGAGATGCCGAGGCAGAACTGTTGGAGGAAACAGTGCTTATGCTGTCGTCGCTCCTGTTTGGTTTTGAACGAGGATTCTTCAAAGGGATGGGTCTGGCGCCAGTGGCAGCCTGGGACTGTAACTGTAATATTGATGACGGGGAAGTCATTTTGATATGATGAGCAAGCGGCCGTGATGGGAGAGCTCGTGGTAGGCAGAAGAGAGACCCGATACTTGAAGTTGTCTTTAAAGAGGTGAAGAGGGTGGTGGAAGGCGGGAAGATTGCAGGTCGCTGCTCACGGAGCGATGAACCGAGCTGTCATATTACGCGTACAGGCAAAGTTGATGAATGTACTGTAGGAATACTTCCTACTGGGGCTCGTGGAATGTAGAGAAAATTGAAAGACAAGGAGGGCGATATGAACGGATGTGCTGTTGCGAGCAAGTCGGAAGATGAATCGGCCAGCGAAAGAAGAGCTGCAATTAGTGCGCGCAAAAACAGGGAGTTTTCGACTGTCGAGTTGGTGCCGAGGCAGGCAATTGAGCATGATGAATGGCCAGCATGCGAATCGCCAGATGGAGAGAGAAAAGGCATCTTCGATGACAAGAATCGCATGGTGTAGGGCCGTCATCGATGGCGGGCTACGATTCCGATCGTCACACCATATGGCACGCGGGCGTGGAGAGTGTCATCAATACCAGTAAATAAAAAATATGCCATGTTTTGCACCCACTTGTTGGCCGTTGTGCATGGTCCATGGTCCATGGAACAGGGAACTGGACACTGTAGGTCTCCGCGAATTCCCAGTACCCGCAAAAGCCTTCGCGTCCTCTAGTAGACTGCTACTGTAGCAGCCTCTGGACTCTGGGCTCTTCCTACGACTACGACTACGAGTAACTCGTTGCTTGCCCTCGGGTCCTGGAACATTCCACCAACCACCAACGGTCAGCGACGAGTAATACTGACTAGTTCAACACTCGTATTGCAGATCCCAAAGATCGCTGCGGGAGATCGTTAGATCGTTCACCTCTGCTCCTCTGGCAGTATTATCGGCATTGCGATCCTTTTCTCCCCATTGGTGTGCGCCACAGTTTGGCCGCTATGACCAGGTTTTGGCTCAAACAGCCACGATTCCCATCGTCGATTCACGCTGTCATGGAGTAGGCGTCGGATCGGTGATCCTGCTGCACTGCGCTCGAACTCGTACGCCGACTCGCCCGGGACGAATTCCCCAGCGTACTGTTCGAGTGGGAGTATTCTGACCTGCTGAAGGCAACTTACTTTGGAGGCGACTCCCTACGGTCCTCAATCTTTCCGCGCTCCCACGGCCCCGCGCTCCGACCTGCATCTCTTCTCACGCTCTTTTCCCTGGCTGACGCAAAAGAGATTCCACACTTCAGAACTGTACGAGTACGATGGGCCGTGGACTCGTAGGGACCATCACTTGTTCTTGCTGACACGGAACACTCATCACGCAGATGAGTCAGCTATTGACGGCAGCCATCGACTTTAGGAACTGATGCCTTCAGAAGATACGGATGCATGTGATATTACTGGTATCGTGTTTGCGCCTCCTATGGTCTCCTCTTAACACATTCCAAACATCATGCTGGCCGACAGCGTGGAATCATTGACGACGGAATGCGTGAGTGACCATGGTGCACAACGTCTCGACTGTATCAGGCATTCTACGCTGTTTCCCCAGACCAATGAATAGGAACAGATGTCCCAAGGGAGTACAGTAACATCGAAGCAACGACTTGCCTATTGACCGTTGCTGCTCACAACAGTACTGGATGCCTCTGGGAGGGAAGGATAGCAACAAATTCCCTCTCCTCCACTTGGGGACTCGGTCGACGGTGAATGTGGGTCGCAGGATACAAACGGCGAACACGTCCCGCGTACACAGAAGCACACGGAAGTCAGCGGACACACCATGGCAACATGAATGCTTCAACTCTGGAAATGGGAAACGAGACGATTGTGCCGCTGACTAACTCGTGAGAGCTGCTATAAGCACAGACGTTTAGCATGCTGCTATTGGTACAGTGTCCCTATTGAGGCTGGGGTACTCGTACTAGGAGGTCTGTAACATGTAACATTTGGGCATTTCACTGTAGAGTGCCAAAGCCGACCATGAGCTACAGTAGAGTTCTTTGGGCACTCGTTGTCGGATAAGCAGGACTATAAGGTCAGGTATTCCACACCCTCGGGTACATACGAGAAGGTACAGCTTGCGGTAAAGAATTCCTGACAGGAACCACGCGCGCAACAGGTGTCTGACAGCGCATCTTGCTCCGGAAGTCTCGCTAACGCCTCTATTGGGCACCGTCAGACACGGCTTGAATGACGTCAAACGCAGTCTCTTTTCTCCTCTAGGCAGTAGATACGAGGGAACTCGTACTCGTATTATGCTGAACCTTTCCGTTTCCACGTGCCTTGTCAACCAAAAAGTCACAGCACTAGAAACTAATAATATGGAGTTTAGAGGGCCAGCATTTTTGGTGCGTTTCAGCTTCACTTGTTCTTCCAGGTTCTCGAACTCTCACTCCTTCTCTCTGCACTTCATAACGACCGGTTCCCTCCTTCTCCAAAAGCACCCACGCTCCTTACCACTCTATCGCCGCCGCAATCACTCGCATTACCTAATTCCGGTACCTGAACCCGCGTCATCTATCGGCTGCTCGGCGATAGCGCATCGCCCCGCCAATTCCAAGATACGAGAATTGTCCCGTATCGGAAGCGAGCAACCTCATCATCATCCGTCCTTCTCTGCTGCGATCCAAGCGCTTCACCATTCCGTTTCATGGTAGCAGGAGAAGAAATCCTGCCCTCACATCAAGACTGCACCACACCGGAGCCGGAAAACGCCCATTCCTCCCTCAATTGAGCGACTTGCACAAGGTTACAGCATTCGGTCAGATAAGGAGCAGGAAACAGTACATTATATTACATCACGTTCCACCCATCTGCGCACAAAATGGCCAGACAACCAAATCTCTACAGTTACCCTACGGTCGACAACCTCGCCGCCCACCTGCGCAGCTACATCCTGACCTGTCAAAAAGCCGCCTTCCAACGACACGACGCCTTCAAGATCGCCGTATCGGGCGGTTCTCTCGCCGCGACTCTCGCCAAAGCTCTCCTCGTCGCCGATTCAAATGAAGACCCGGAGTCGTCTCCGCAGTTTTCGAAATGGGAGGTCTTCTTCGCCGACGAGCGCGCCGTCCCTCTCGACAGCGAAGACAGCAACTACGGGCTCTTGAAGAAGGACCTCCTCGACAAAATCCCCAGCGAACAAGGCACCCCGACTGTTCACACCATCAACGTCGAATATCTCGACGACACGCAGGAACTCGCCGACCAGTACCAAGAGGCGCTCATGTCGAGTTTCGCGAGCAAGGACTCGGTCAAGACACCCATCTTCGACTTGATCCTGCTGGGTTGTGGCCCCGACGGCCACACGTGCAGTTTATTCCCCGGCCACCAACTCCTGCGCGAGTCGGATGCGTGGGTCGCCCCGATCGAGGACAGCCCCAAGCCTCCTCCGCGAAGAATCACCCTGACACTGCCGGTCGTGACGCACGCGCACAAGATTGCCTTCGTTGCCACGGGTGGTGGGAAGAAGGAGATCCTCAAGAAAATCCTCGAAGCCGACGACGAAGGTCGCAGTCTTCCCTGCGGTCTCGTCAACGAAGCCGGAGGCGAGAAGGTGACCTGGTTCACGGACCACGCCGCCGTCGAGGGTGTCTCATTTCCCAGAAGGGGAAGTTTGTAGACCCGCCCGCGGGAGACAGGGTTTGCCATCATTCAACGTTCTGCCACGTCAAGGCGACATACGAATATAGAAGGAACTTTGGGGTCGGAATAGAGACGAATCTTATTAGGGCGTTTCCTTGGCTTGCTTCTTTTTTTATGTTATCACGAAACCGTCGATCCGAGTTGGAATTTGGCGCCCACCAATGGCTTTTGAGTAGTCAGTGGCACACGATCGAAATAGCTTTCCTTTTGGCACCGTGGGCAGGTTGCTCCTGCTTCACGTCCAATCAAGTTGAGGGCGGTAGCAATTTCACATTTACACTCAAAGTTCATACCAAGTTCATACTAAGATTTTGGAATTGACTTTTATGAACCAATACACCGCCGTACCCTTTTGTTTTCAACTGTAGCGCCTAAAGATGATTGCTCCGTGGATGGCAATACGTTGGTATGCGGATCTTAAGGGGGATACGCGTTCGGAATCAAACTATCCCGTCGTTGTATTCGTCGGTAAAGACAGAGGTAGCGAGTGACGGGGCAGTGATAGGATCACGAGCATCAGCAACATCAGTAGTAACAGCAGTGGCGACAGGGCAGTAGGAACAATCGGTAGCAGTAGGACCAGTAGTATCAGGGAGTTATCAGAAGTATTAAAGCACAGGTCGCAGGCTAATAGAAAGGCAAGTATCCATCCAACCCATGTACATCCAAGAAAGAGGCCGGGTTCCACACCGAAACCCCGAGTGAAGCAACATGTCGCTCCATTGCCATCCTGATCCCTGCACCTACAACAGGTATTCACAAAAGTCGTGAGACTCGTAAAAAAATTGAACAGTTCAGACATGGATCGTTCACAAAAAGTGGTGGTAGTAGTAGTAGTAGTAGTAGTAGTAGTAGTAGTAGTAGTAGTAGTAGTAGTAGTAGTGGCGGGAATAGCAGTACGAACAGATTTGTTGTCTTTGTCAAAGACTGTATCCATCGATATAGGCCCCAAAAATAAACACGGGCGCAAAAACATGGCATAGCTGGCTTCGCCGCCTCACGAATAAAAAGCGCTCTTCTGGAAACTCTCGGCGGAAATATCGCCTGGCTTGCTCTTCATCTCTGGACCCTTGGCACCGACGGCCACGGGCGCTTGCGCATTACCGTTGAAGGCGCCTGCGGGCGAAATGATCGAACTGAGGCTCTTCGCCCGGTCGCCTTGCTCGAGTAACTTGGTAGCCGCGAGAGGACCACTTCCTTTCATCGTCGCGCTCCTGCTCCCTGGCGCTGAAGCTGTGGCGGCGCCGTCGGTGATTTGTGCCTGCGCCGGTCGCTGAACAGGTCTCTGAATCGGCTCGAGATAAGGACTGGGCAGGTATCCCATCTTCCCGTCACGGGCTCTGCAGCGCCACCACTCCGACGCGTTACCCATGGGATCAGTCTTTGACAAAACGGCGACCAAGTCGCCCTTCTTCACTTCGAGGTCCATGCCGCCAGAGTTGGGTGCAGGAATGTAGTCGTAGAGAACGCGGCAGAAGTCGAGTTTTCGGGGATCGACGGGCACCTGTTCGCCGTTGGGGTTGGTGTACGTCAGCGACATTTGCTCCTGTTGCCGCCTTTGCTCTTCTTCTTGAGAGCGGGCCATTGCGCGGATGAGTTTACCCATCAGGTAAGGCAGGCCAAAGACGGCGATCGCGAACATGATGAATGGTTTTTTGGATGGCCGAGGAGGCGCGGGGCTGCCATCGGGTAACGTAGCCGGCGCGTGTCCGCCGGAGAGGAATGATGAAAAGTTGGCAGGAGTAAGAGCTGTAGCATCGGCTGGAGGTGGTCGGCCGGTGATTTTGGCAATGAGTGTGCGCATCCAGCGAAGTAATGTGAATATTCCTAGCACCGATCCGAGTGTTTGGCGGAGGTTACCTAATTGCTCCGCCATCGACACCATAGCTTTGGTATTGTCAGTCCCTGCCGGCGAGATCGGGTTTTAGCTCCTCGACTTACCAAAGAATGAAGAATGCGTCGTCATATATGCACTCTCGAGCATCTGCGCAAATCCGCCAAACGCACCCACGATGCTCTCCATTATCTGAAACGTTGCGGCCGTACTTTGGTTCCATGTCTGGGTCAAGCTCTGATTGTTGGGATCGCCAGGCATGCCGGGGTAATTTCCATAACCTCCTCCGTACATGCCACTGCCATACATGCCGCCCCCGTAACCACCATAGCCGCCACCGTACATCCCCCCGCCATACATGCCTCCACCGAACCGATTGTATGGCGACGAGTACGACGAGTATGGGGAAGAATATGGGTTGGCACCCATTCCGGTAGCGAACCGATTCTGGTTCGTGTAATTAGACGCGGTCTGGTTCACTACGTTGTTGAGAGTGGAAGGTCGGTCGGGAAGAGCTGGCATCCCCGAGGAAGCATCGGCAGAGGAGGGAGTAGTCATGGCGGTCGAAGTGGTTGGTGTTGTTGTCCCAGCGCCAGCTATACATACATTAGCGTCGTCCCATGCAACAAGACCAGGCAATAGCATGTACCTGCTGCGCCAGCGCGCTCCCAAGGTTTGGGCGGAGAGGGTGTCGTCATGCTATCTTGACATTCTCTTGAACGGGGACTGGTGGATGAGGCAATAGTCGCTCAAGATCATAAACGGGCGTACGGAGACGACGGGCGAAGGACGTGTCTCTCGCAACACTCTGCGCGGAGACAGAGACAGCTGTGGCTTGTAGTAAGAAGTATGATGGAAGGGCTGGAGGCAACAGTGTTGTTCAGCGCTGACACATGATCGAGGATGGCGAAGGCTGGAATTCCGGAGGAAAAATCGTCCAAGACCAAAAGATGCCGAGGATGCGGAGCATGAGGGAGGGAACGAGGAGAACGACGAGGAGAGCGAAGCACGAAGAATCTCCGCCAAGCGCCGTCACATTGACCGGCTTCCTCCGCAGATACGTACGGATGGTTTTAGTGAGTACTGTAACTTTGGAGTACAAGTACTATGATATTAGTGATCCCCTTAGCCTCGGATTCTCCTCCCAGAGAGCACCCGCTAACTGACCTAGTACGGGCTAGCGCACCTTAAGGCCCTCTAATCTACATGTGGACGTTATAGCCTCGGCCCCCTACTGTACATAGCTAAAGGTCAGCTTGTTTTGTAGCCACACGATATTCCCAAGGTATGCAGAACGATAGTTATGGGATGTTCCAGATAAGCGGAGAATACGTGCTTCTCGATTATCTACATGACGTCTCAGGACCATGTTACACAAGCAGGTCATCCCATGTAAATGAGTCGACAAAGTCACTCACTCAAGCACAAACCCAAGTTCATCCCTCTTGTCATCAGTCAAGCGTCCCCATTCAAGCAAGAGTCTGAAGAAATAGACCTCCATATCTTCCTTTCTGAGCACCTTTGATGCCCATTTCCTGCCCTCTTCTGCGATCAACTCCGCCTCTTTATCGTGGCCTTTCCACCTAATTCGCTGACCAAACATGGTCCCATTGACGCCTGCAAAGTATGCCAACGTGCTCCAAACCCCGTGTAGTCTGATATCCTGGGGCACAAAATGTAACCATGCTGTCAACCGACTGTCATACCACTCTCTGAACAGCGCCGTCTTGAATGGCAGACTTCTGGATTGCAGAAAAGGTAGGAATCGCCCAGAGAACCCGGCGCCGTCCAGGTCGAAAAGGAACTTATACCGCCAGTGCGCCTGAAAATCACTTGGGCCGACCAGCCCAAACTCGGCCTCCTGATCAGTACAGTCGTGTAGTCCAACTCCACCGCAACGCGCAATACGATCGACGATGGCAATATCGGTCTTCAATCCCAGCTCTTTTGCCGCAGGTCCGTCAAGAAGCTGGTATTTGTACTTTTCATAATTGGTCGGGTTGGGCAATAGGACGGCAAATCGGTCATGCGAGGACATTGTGAGGTTGTTGGCCATATGCACAAGCCTCTGTCTCGTCATACCTCGCCAAGAGTGGTCACCACTCGACACGCCTTCAGAGGTGGCGCCTCGCCAAAACAGAACATTCTCCTTTTGGTCAAATGGCGGATCTGGATTTCCCGGGATATAGCCCTCCTCTTCTGGAACACCTTTTGAGTCGGAAGGTTCGTAACGCACCTTGTCCATGTAATTCCAGGCGCTGGGATATAGAATGTCGTTGTACCCGCGGGGCTTTGACTGCGAAAATACTGGCATGAGTTGATGGCTTGCCTTGAACGCGGCCGGAGAAAGGTAGAAGCCATGCAAATACGCCATGTCGGGTTGGTGGCATATATCAGCTGCGTCTGACCAGTTGCTGACGAACTGTCCCAGCGAATGCTTGGCGACACAAGGTCCACAGACATGAGCTTGGGAATAGATGTGTTGATACTTTCGAGCAGAGGATGACGGAGGACACCCCACGGAACCGAACGCGCGGAAGGTATTACGGAAGGACATGTCTTCAAAAATGGTGTCGGTGAGTACATTTTCCGGGATCGGCAACCAGCCAGATGTACGATCGCGAGAGAAGCCTTCTCCGCCGCTTTTGTCTTCAGCCCGAGCCTTGTCTCTGAGGCGAGTGATATCATTGTACGGCACGGCAACTCTCGACTCGTCGTTGATGTTGAAGGCGAGATCCATATCAGGCAGGTAGCGAGCAAAGCTATTGATGAGGATAGCAACACCTTCAAGCATCCATCGATGCGTGGGTATAACGTTGTCTTGGACAGCCGCGTTACCATTGCGGATTGTGATGCCAGATATCTCGTTCCAGGGGTTGGAAACCATCTCCCAGGTTTGTTTCCGCAGCGAGGCTGCTGGGATGGTGCGAAATGGCAACAGATCTTCGTAGATCTGGTCAAAGTCATCCACGATGAGAACAGACTTGTTCTTGGCATATTCAAACCATACGTCAAATCCAGGTGGAGGGTTGCGGTTGTACCTCTGCTTGTACCGAGCGACGGTATCAGCAAGTGAAGAGGTGCTTCCCACAGATTGCAAGTAGTCATCGTGGTGGATTTTAGCGTCGTAGATCAGCATATCTATCGGATGATAGTGCACATAGCTACTCTTCCACAAAGCTGGGAAGACCAAGATGCATAAAAGGAGGAACATTAACGTCTGTCGAAAGGCAGAAAGTGGCGTCCTTTCGCCCACAAATTGCTGGCCGCGTCGATACGCCAACCAACCCCCAAAGACGAGGAAAAAGGAAAGGGTACTTGCAGACAGCGGGGCTGGAGGAAAGGGATTTTGATGAGTCCAAATAAACTCGAATCCTGGTATCATTGTCATTAGAGCCGTCAAATAGAGCGACATGTCCAAGGCGCCATAAATCATGATCTGTCAACGTGAGTGAGCAGAACGAATGACGTTAGGTGTGGATGACTTACACAATGCAAAGTCGTGATGCAGAAAAGACAGAAGAGCAAGATATGCCCGAACATAGTCAGAAATGTACCAAACTCAACGGGCGGGCGAAGCAGGAGAAGCCAGTTTCTGTATTCTGGCTTGAATACATACACGATCGCAGCCACGATCGACCAGATTACGGCTGTCGCAATCAGGGTAGAGCTCCAAAGCACTGCATATCTCCGTCCTGGAAGGCCACGACCATTGCTCTTGGGAGAACTTTCGTAGGCCAGGATCGCAAGGCAGAGGTCGAGTAATAGAGCAACGATTTGCATCGCTGGAACAACCCTATGCTCGCTAGTCACAATCGGACAAATATAGGTCGAATTCGAAGAGCTCCACAGCCCTTGTGCAAGGAAGGCCCCATACGACACCAGAAACATCGGGAACAAATACCGAGTGCGAGGCCTGAGGACAAAGCGGCGGAGGGCCATAGCTATGCCATCATAGATGCTGCTCTCGGGGTGATCCTCTTCATCTAGTACCAGTGGTCGCTGTGATCTAGCCGCATCATAGCCAGCTAGAAGAAAGGGTAGGAAAACCTCCACATTGTCGATAGTGCATTCTGTCGCTTTCGCTATTCGGCGATATAGCTCAATGCGCAATGACAGCGCGACTACCGCTGCACCCAACACTGAGATTCGAACCTTGCCATCTTGTCTGGTGTTGCTCTTTGTGGGTTCTAATCTTTCAAGAGCATGGCCTAGATCTTCCAGTGGGACTGCTTCATAATCGGCCTTCTGTGGCTCTTGTGGCTGAAATAGGTGCGGGAGGGCCTTGGTTGCGCTCACTAAGGCGAAGGAACATGCGAAGAGACCAAGGACGATGAGGTGAACTGGCCGATCTACACGATGTCAGAGCCAGGTGGTCCATGGAGAAGCAGTCGTAGACCACGCATGAGCCTTACCATGTGCGGTGGAGATTGGGAAGAGATGTGCAAGCCACCCTGCTGCAAGAAGTGAAATACTAGAAATAGGAAAAGTCAGCAACTTGTTCCTGTCAATCCATGCTTCCACAGCACCTACCACAAGCACACATTATCAAAAGTCGCCATTGCCTGATGCCAGGCTGTTTGCGGCAGATGATCTCCTAGTCGTAGCTGGGGTAAGGAGCGCACACCAAACTCGATTGTCGCAAAGTCCTTTTCCCTCTATGTGGCGGCATTACGATAGTGGTCTCACATAGAACGTATCGCAAAACCGTCCGATCCAACGTGAGAGCGCGGTACGACTTTCGATCTATCAGACGCCGCACAGAATGGTATTTTGTGTTTAATCCCGCTATGGGCGCAAGATGCGCAAGCCAACCAGGAACAGCCGTCGCAAGGCTGAGCTGGGCGAGTCTCACGAGGCTGCACTAACGTCCTCAGCTTCTCCACGCTCTCGTTCATCAAGGCAGGTTCGCCGAAACATTTTTTTGGAGAAAGATTCTCGCCGCAGGCAATTTTGTCCCAAAAAGCCCTTCCACTTGGAATACACAATCCTCTCCATGACCAGCTGATATCTGAGGCGGAGGGCGGCCGGGACATTGCGAAAATGCCTCGAAAAGCCATTGATTCGCGCATCCCAGCACTCATTCGCAATGGCATCCAAGAAAAGAAGCGGAGTTTCGTGGTCGTTGTCGGCGACCGAGCAAAAGATGTCATTGTACATCTGCACTACATTATGTCCTCGGTCGATGTGAAACAGAACAAGTCGGTGCTATGGGCCTACAAGAAAGATCTGCTTGGGTTCACAAGTCATCGAAAGAAACGAGAAGCGAAGATCAAGAAAGAGGTCAAGCGAGGAATTCGAGATGCGAACACCGAGGACCCCTTCGAACTCTTCGTCACGCTCCACAACATTCGTTATGTTTATTACAAGGAGACAGAAAAGATTCTCGGTAACACATATGGCATGTGCATATTGCAAGACTTCGAGGCGATCACCCCCAACCTACTAGCTCGAACCATTGAAACCGTTGAAGGCGGAGGGTTAGTGTTGCTGCTTTTGAAAGGAATGAAGAGTCTGAAACAGCTGTACACGATGTCGATGGATGTCCACTCCAGATACCGGACTGAGGCACACGATGACGTGGTGGCAAGATTCAACGAACGCTTCATTCTGTCACTAGGGTCGTGCGAGTCATGTCTGGTGATAGACGATGAGATGAATGTGTTGCCCATATCAGGCGGAAAGAATGTTCAAGCGCTTCCCCCACCAGTCTCGGCAGAGGACAGCATGCTACCTAACAAGAGAGAATTGAAAGAGATCAAGGATAGCTTGGCTGACAGCAAGCCTGTTGGACCTCTCATTTCTTTGGCAAAGACAGTTGACCAGGCCAAAGCACTTCTCACTTTCGTCGATGCCATTTCAGAGAAGACACTCCGAAGCACGGTGGCCCTGACAGCTGCTCGGGGAAGAGGTAAATCGGCCGCGCTTGGCGTCGCTGTAGCCGCAGCAATAGCCCACGGTTACAGCAATATCTTCATCACCTCTCCCAGTCCTGAAAACTTGAAGACACTTTTCGAATTTGTGATCAAGGGATTCGACGCTCTTGAGTATATGGACCATGTCGACTACACTATCTTACAGTCAACAAATCCGGACTACAACAAGGCCATCGTACGGATCAATGTTCACCGCCAGCACAGGCAAACGATCCAATATATTCAACCTCAAGATGCACACGTTCTGGGTCAAGCTGAATTGGTTGTGATTGACGAGGCGGCTGCTATTCCTCTTCCCCTCGTCAGAAAATTGATGGGACCGTATCTTGTCTTCATGGCCTCTACAATCAACGGTTACGAAGGCACGGGTCGGTCCTTATCGCTCAAGCTCGTCCAGCAACTACGCGAGCAATCCAGAGGCGTTGTGAGCAATGGGGACGATCTTGAAGTCGCCGACAAGTCTACGGGAAAGACCGCCAAGGACGGTTCAAAGGTCTATGGTGGTGGCCGCTCATTGCGAGAGATCACCCTTTCTGAACCTATTCGATACGCCCCAGGGGATGCTGTAGAGAAATGGCTGAATCGGCTACTCTGTCTCGATGCAACGCTTCCCAAATCCAAGATGAATACTCAAGGCACACCTCACCCCTCGACCTGCGAGCTCGTCCACGTTAATCGAGACACCCTCTTCTCCTTCCACCCCGTGTCCGAGAAATTCCTCCAGCAAATGATGGCACTCTACGTCGCCAGCCACTACAAAAACTCTCCCAACGACCTTCAACTGATGTCCGACGCTCCCGCACATCAACTATTTGTCCTCATCCCGCCCATCGCCGAAGACGCAAACAGACTTCCCGAACCACTCTGCGTCATCCAAGTCGCGCTGGAAGGCCGCATCAGCAAGAACGCCGTTCTGAACTCTCTGTCCCGCGGCCAACGTGCTGGAGGTGATCTTATTCCCTGGCTTGTGAGCCAGCAATTCCAGGACTCCGAGTTCGCAGGTTTGTCAGGGTCACGTGTCGTCCGCATTGCCACCAACCCAGAGTACCTCAACATGGGCTATGGTTCACGCGCCCTTCAGCTCCTCACAGACTTCTACGAAGGCAAATTCACATCCCTCTCTGAGAACGAATCGATCGAGTCGGCTGAGCATATGCCGCGCCTCACCGACGCAGACCTCGAATCGTCCACTCTCCTCGACGACAACATCCGAGTCCGCGACATCCACCAAATGCCACCTCTTTTCAGCAAACTGTCTGAACGGCGGCCCAACCATCTCGACTACCTAGGTGTGTCGTTCGGGCTGACCCAGCCACTCCACAAATTCTGGAAACGCGCCTCCTTCGCACCCGTCTACCTACGCCAAACACCCAACGACATAACAGGCGAGCACTCATGCGTGATGCTGAAGCCCCTCTCCACTACGGGGACCAGCACAGACTCGTCATGGCTCAGCGCATACGCGCAAGACTTCCACAAACGCTTCCTTACCCTCCTATCCTACCAATTCCGCACGTTCTCGTCCATCCAATCCCTCAGCATCTCCGAGTCTGCAACGCGAGCGACGACGACGACGACAACCACACACTCCTCAGCCCCTGCCATTTCACCCATGACAAGGTCAGAGCTCGACGCTTTATTCTCTCCATTTGACCTTGCGCGTCTTGAATCCTACGCCAACAACCTCTTGGACTACCACGTCATTCTGGACCTGATGCCGTCTATCGCCATGCTCTTCTTCACCGGCCGGCTGAAACTTGCACCATGCAACGTCAGTCTATCGGGGGTGCAGCAGAGCATCCTCCTCGCCATCGGCCTGCAGCGCAAGGACCTCAGCGACGTCGAGCGAGAGCTGAACCTGCCTAGTAACCAGCTCTTGGCCATGTTTATCAAGATTGTGCGCAAGGTCAGCACGGCGTTCAAGTCTGTCGTGTCTGGTGCCGTCGAGGCCGAATTGCCCGAGAAGAAAAGCGACGCCATCAACGCCGGGTCAGAAGTTACAACAACGACAACCACCACTGCTGGTGCCGGTGCTAGTTTTGTTCCAAGGGCGACTTCACGCGTACAGATCCCCGTTCCTCAATCTGGTCTTCTAGGTCAAGACAAAGACAATGACGACGATGACGACGCGGTCGTCGATCCGGTGCTGAAAGAGAAGCAGCGCGCCTTGATCGATGCGCTGCCTTTAGATAAGTAAGTAACATCCGTTTTTCCATCCCTCCATACATCCATCCTTAGTTCCTTTCTTGCTTTCACCTTTTGAACCCTACGATATGAAAAAGGAATACAACACGAAAATTCCGTACCGTGACGTGGGCATCTGGGACGGCAACGGTACAGCATCACCAACACCATTACCACCACAAATTGATAATGAAAGAAAGGAAAAACAAGTCTGAACTAATGCAAAGCCTCTCTCTGAAATAGATATGAGATCCGCACCGGCGAAAACGACGACGACGACGACACGGCATGGGCCGAAGCAGAGCGGCAGGTACGAGAAGCGGGGCTCGACCCCGGTAAGAGCACGACGGTCAGCGTAAAGAGCCTCAAGAAGAAGAGAAAGGCGGAGGAGACTAACGGCGAGGACGAGCATCAAGAGGAAGATGGTGTGGATGAGAAGAAGACGAAGAAACACAAGAAAAAGGACAGAGGAGAAGGTGGTGGAGACAAAAAACACAAGACCAAGGACAGGGACTCAGCCAAGGGACATCACAAGAAAAGTCGATGATGTATGTATTCTTTATCCATGTCAACTAAAATAACTCTCTAGACCATGTGTGATAAGCTTGAATACAATGCCTTTGCAAATTGTCAAATAGTCATCCTCCCAATGCTACACCGTAGCAATTGATCCAGAGGCTCCAATCAGATGCATTTCTGTTCTCCCACCGCATGACTTCGATCGTCGAGGTCAACCTCGGCCTGACCTTCCCATGCCTGGGGCGCACCGCTCAGTCTGACGGCACATATTCATCGTCGGTGTTACCGTCAACCTCAGTAGACGTGGCTTGCTTGCCAGCGTGGCGTTTCGATCTTCGTCTGCCCGCAGAAGCCGATCTGGCGCGTTTTGGGGGTCTGGTAGTCGATGCTGTCATGGAGCGAGATAAAGGCGATGCTGGCAACGGCCCAGCTCGTGATCGCCGCTTGTTGTTTTGCATCTGGCGTCTTTTGCCAATGTTCGCGTCGGGCCTGGTTTTCAGCTTGATCTTCAAGACATTTTTGAAATTCTTGTTCACCAGTCGCGGTGGCTCGCGTTCAGGGAGAGTGCCGGGGCGCCCTTCTACCACATCTGACGCTCCCTCTTCTCCACTCGCGGTCTCTGCCTCCGCCCGTGACTTCACCGCCGAACGCTTGTGATTGTATTCGACTGCGGGTGGTTGACAGTCGCCGTCGCCGTCGTAGAACCATTCTGACCCATCTGCTTTACCGCCGGACTTATTGTTCCAGATCCCATGAACAACGGTCCTTCGCTCAGGGTCGGCAGGGTGACACAGTGCGTCATAATGCCCATGCGTAGGAGACTTGCGGTGTCGTCGTATATAAGAGTCAAGATACTCATCCATGGCCCGACGCTCCGAGAGGCTTGATGCGCGAGTGTAACGGTAGCTAAAACCCCCATGTTCAAAGACCTTTTCGCTTGTAAATTCAGTTGGGTCGAAGCCTTTGCAGACAAGCATCCTCACAACCAAGGATTGTCCCAGCGCTCGTTCTTGGACGACGTGGGCAGACTCTTCATGTCCTTGGGAGGGAACACGGCTGTATCTCTCCACTGGCTGTGCTTCCAAAGAAGAGTCTGGTATGGCGCTGGAGGTGTTCTGTTCGCTACTTCCTGTGCGAGTCAGAGCGGAGGGACAAGGCTCCACTATGGTTGCATGATCATGTTTGGCCTGGCCTAACTGAGGGTGTTCCATCAGGTCAGCATCGACATCTTCGAGGTCCTGGACGCTTGTGGGAGCGCCGGCTGAAGACGTCGTCTCCAGTGAAGTTCCCGAATTAGGCTCGCTCCTAGTAGCCGCTTCGCCCGAAAGAGAATGCTCAGCGTTGTCTTGTAACCCTCCCATTTCGATATCTACAGGCACATGGCTCTCTTCGTCCACTCTCGGAAGCGAATCCTTCAGTCCAGGCAATAAGTCTGCTAAGAGCTTCTTGTTGTTGCTGACGTTCTTCTCCAACTCTGCAATCTCGGTCTGTAGGTATAAGTGTCTCTTAGAGTTGGCAGCCGTGTCTTCGGCATCGCTGGACAAAGCCTGTATCGATTGGATATCCTGTAGAATCTCCCTTAGAGCACACCTGGCTCTCTCCTTGTCACTTAGGGTGTCTGTGTTCGCTGTGTTCGCTGTGTCCAAGACATGTTCAGGGAGGACAACCGACATTGAGCAGACTAGCTGGCCAAGCTCTGGCGTGCTGGCCAGGGCGACAACCTTCTCCACGGCTTCAATCAAGGGATCTCCAGCAGCAGAATATCCGACGCCAGAGTCTGGGAACTGCTTGTCGAGATGCGACTCCCCTTCATGCTCGCTTTCTGGTGACCCGGAGGATGACGTCCCCGGATGATCAGTCACCTCAAGAGCAAGTGCAAGAAACAGGTTGTGACGTTTCATTTCTTCATCAATGCGTTTCTGAGTATTCGCCTTTTGTTGTTTAGTTGTGAATTGAGCGTAGAGGCTTTGGAGATGATCAAGGCTTCGTCGGGACATCTGCACTTCAAACAGTGTATAGAGAAGAATGTTTCTGCCCAGAGGGTTCAAGGGTGTGACTTCCTCTGTGCGTAGCCAGTCGGTCTTGGAAATCTCTTCTGTGTCCAAATCCTCGAGGACTTCTTGCAGCAATTCGTCACCAGAACTCAAGTCGGCTATAGCTCTCTCACGGACACGATTCTCGGAGACGCCGGCTTGCTCCAGCTCACCTGCAGTCACTCCCCAAAGCTGGGAGTTCTTGTAGCTTCCCGACACGAAGATCGGTAGTTTCGAAGGCTCAACATCTTTCCTCTGGCGAGGCCTGGCTATGGGCGGAGGGAGATGAAGATTATGCTGGCTTTTGACAAGGGTGGGAGCCACAGACATACGTTGACGTCGCTTCCCACTCTCTGGAATTGGTGTTCCAGGGTCATAGCCAAGACGAAGTGCTTCAAACCATGCCTTTTGCAGAACCTCAAAGACATGGTCAAGAACTTCTTTCCGTCTTGTGTCATCTTCAATTCGGGTCCCTAGCTCTGCCCACGACTTCACATGCTCCATAATCTGCAGGTTGAAAGGTAGATTTCTGTCAGGTAGCAGATGTGACATATCAAAGCGGCGGCGGAGCGGTGACAGATAAAGCTGTCGCGGAGTGGAAGGGGATTGGTGGGTTCCTGTAGGTGGTGCATTAAAATCAAAGTTCTGATTCTTGAGAGGAGGTATTTCAAATCGACCCTGTTGAAGATCCTGTCTGATCCGACTAGGGCCGTCACCGGTGTTTGCGGCATTCAAATCCATTCCGATGCCTATTTCGCTGCGCTCCATGGTGAACAAGGGCGAGCATCGCTGAAGCTTTCCATCGGGCTGTGTGGACTGACCTTCCAAAATGATGTGTTCCCTGGGGTTTGCAACTTTCGAATGGCTGATCGCAGTCGGCAGATCTGACGTAGAATTGTCCGTCGGTGAATCTGGACCACTTTGAAAGAATGACACAGTCCTCTCCGTTCCATTCACTATACCTTCAAATGATTCAATTTTGTCGGGGTCCGTCTCAGAAGGATCTAAACCCGCACTGGCTGGTGGAAGTGTCGACACTGTAGCAAGCACCATCCTGTTGACTCACGGAATCGAGTCGGGGGTGTCGAAGATCACCAAAACCTCAATCAGCGACTGGAAGGTGGTCAACAGATTGTCAGAAAGACAGACTGTGAAGAGTTTGCCGCCGTTATGAAGGCTAGAATAATGATTAGGTATGCGTATGATCGTGATGCTGGAAGGGAAGGGTTGGACACAGACAAAATTCATCATCTTCAGCGTGTTGCAGTCTTCCTCATTTGAAGTTAGTGAGACATGAGAAAGGCTGGCAGGAAAGGGCAGAGGGGCGGAGTAAGGTGACGGAGGCACAGAAGCACAAATGAGACTCGAGTGAAGTCGAAGACGGCAGGGTACTTCAGATTGAGAGTATGATCATTGATATGAAGGAGTTCAGCAATTGGTTAAGATTCAGGCGCTGATTGTTCATGCCAGACTCTCAAGTCTGAGCGAAGTATCAATCAAAGATTTGCTTGACCACGTCACAGCTCATCGTGGTCGGTAGACGCAGTTGGTTCGGGAGCTGGGCTCGAGGCACTATCAATGGTTTCACTTTGTTCAGGCGCAGTTGACTCCGGTGCTGAGCCTCCAAAGCTATCGGGCAATCTTGTCCTCGAACCTTCTCCGAGTTTGATGGCGTCGATGAAGTTCTCGAGATCGAGAACATCGTAGGCTGCACTTTCGTATCTTCTCCACCACCGTCTCTTCATGTTCAATGCAACAATCTCTAGGCTGCCATCCGCTGCAAGCTCCAACTCTTGTCGAATTAGTGTCGCAGATGGATTGTCAGGTGTGACCGCGTAGGCAGGTATCATGTTGGCTTTGCGTTTACTATGCTTTTGCACAATTTCAGCTATTCCAGCTAATGCAGAAGTGGCAGGTTGAGGAACTTCTTCTGGGTCAGTGGTGGCCGGCACCAAAACCAGGAGACAGTTGGCGCTCCTTGGAGTCAAGCAAGCAGCTTCAAGCTCGGCCGCAGTACTGACAATCGGAATCGGAGGAATCACATCAGGCACAACCATAGGCTTCTCATCTGGCTCTACGATAGGAAGTGGCGAATTGGTTGGCGTATCATCGTCTAGTACAATCGTCCTAGAACTACCGAGGTAATCGTTAAAGTCGGAGGATTTATGGGCTTCGGAGGCTTTGGAGAATGCAGCGGAGGCTGAGCTTGAAGACTTTGCATGCTTCGATGTTGATTTGGCTGCCCTTGACTTTTTGGGAGCTGGATCTGGGTTGGGCGGCGCGACTTGACTGAAAAAGTTCACCAGGGCGTCCCGACTAATTTCGCCGTCGTAAGAGATAGTTGCCTCGCCGGCAGCTGGAATAAGCTGGACAGTGGGGAAATTGGTCACACCAAACTTTTCAGCAGTCTCCTTGTGTCTTATCTGGGCGAAAGCAATACTTCCAAGAAAGTCTACAGCTAGACTTTTGACGAGAGGGCTCGTGGTCCCTTTGTCTGTGAAGATGAGGGCCTTTGCTGGCGTAGAAGAATCTTTGAGCCATTCCTCCAGAGCTTCGCCTTGTAGTCTCTTGACATGGTTCGGTATCTTGTCCTTCACAGCTTGCACAATGTCTTTTGCAGATCTGGGTCCGTTGTAGTCTTCGACAATCGGTCTTCCTGGTTTTTTCCCGGGCTTCACGATTTTCAAGGTTGGAAACCCTTGAATACCCATTTGTCCACAAAAAGGTTTATTTGCCTCGTCGTCACAGTCCACAGCGGCAACTTTGGCCAGTCCGGCAAGGCCTTTCGCAGCTTTCTCGTAGGCAGGTTTGAGGTTTTGACAATGACCACACCACGGTGCATAGAACTCGACTATCTGGAACAGGCGTTAGTCGGGAGCAGGAGGATGTAGATTCCGTCGACATACAGAAGTATGGTTTGACTGAGCGATGAGAGAGTCATATGTCTTTCCTGTGACCTGGAGGACAGGGGAGGTCTTGCTGTAGAGAGCATCAACCTCCAAACATGCCAGGGCAAGCACTGCCCAAGTGAGGAGGCTTGAACGAGCCATAGGAATCAATCATTCAAATACGACAAGCAATCTAGACGATGTCAAGGTACAAGGTGATGGTGCAGAAAGACATGGGCCATAAATATGACCATGGCCTGTGTGGTGGTGGTGCAGTATATGAGCGTACGTTTTTCGAACACGCTGGCTTGAAGCAATCGAGTGCAGGGTGATCGCACTGACTGGGAAATCCGGGGTAGTGACGAGGCTACCAGTAAGTAGTTCTGTCTGACGATGCCGATTATGTGGTGGCCCCCACGACCAGATTTTGTCTGACAGTCTTTCATCCCTATGTACTCAGGGTACAGGACACCTGCCTTATTGCTTATGAGGTACGGAGTACCCTATTGTAAGCTTCCCACGATCTGAACCAGTCCCTCCGTGATCAGTACCACCAATAGCAAAAAAGGCTTCTGGACAGGAAGAACTGCTTTGTTTTGCCTTTTATGTTTCGTAAACTGCTGCCAAAGTTACAAGTTCTAAGGGTGCAGGGCCTAAAGTGCTTGAGCGAGAAGGGGGAGTATAACTTACGGGGAAGGGGGCCATCTATTGATCTATTACGTCCTAGGGACAGAAGGAGTAGTTTGTAGCCTGTAGCCTGTGTATGCGTCGAGGGATTTGTAAAGTGGTGAACGCCATTGTGATCCGATCATAAACTGGGGGAGTCGACTGGTTGTAGGTGCTGACATCAAGTAAAGAAAACTCCAACACAACACGAGGTGGAGTGATGGCCACCGCTTCTTTGGTCGCTGTGCCTCCTTAAACCCTCATAGTCCAGACCCGATTTCAGTGCGTGAATCTGCGGTGTCGATCAGAGACGGCGAGGGAATCATTGCCCAAAGGCGGGTCATCCAACACCAATGCCCTGGGTCACAGGTCGAAGCGATGCGTAAGCAAACTCTGCCCACACTGCGAGGGCGCCGATTGCGCTGTTATCCCAAGAGCCTTAACTCCCTAACTAGTGAGCCGGCTCCGGGTCTTTTGCTATCAGTCCTAGAGGTATCTGTTTCGTCAATCTGTCAACCATGCCTAAGTTAGTGAGCCTTGGTAGCATTCGTGTACAGGCTCTAGCGGTATTTACGGGATCCTACTCTGCCTGCAATATAAGTGTCTTGGTTCAGCCCTACCGAGTCAACACCATAGTCTTTCACAACTTCCATCCATTTTGGACCATTGGATCATTTTGCACGCTTTCAATCACTACTAGTTCTCCTCCGTCTTTTGTCGATTCCACCTACGTCTTCGCAGAGGCCACGCCCTTGGATTGCACCCGTCTTGGTGTGAGCTCTCGGCTATTATGGCAGAATGGCTCAAGGCCGAGCCAAACGCCCTCATAAAAAGACGAAAACCGGGTGTATGACCTGCAGGTACAAATTCTTAACCTATTCCACATCTTCATGCTGTAATTTCATTCACACTTGTTGCAGGAAACGACGGATCAAGTGCGATGAAGCGAAGCCCGCATGTCGCCAATGTACAGACTCTCTGCGAAAATGTGAAGGCTATCAGCCTCCTCAAACATGGCTCTTCAAGCCTCGAAACCCGCCCGAGCAGTCGCAAGCAAACATGAACCTTATCCACTTTGTGGCTCCGATGACTGCAATGGGTGATTCTGAGGACAAACGATCCTTCCAGTTCTGGATCGAGCAGGCTGCTCCTCTATTCTCGTGCTACTTTGGTAAGAGTGCCGGCTCCCTTCATTTCCTCTGCTCATTCTGTGCGACCAGGTCATTCATTCTGGACTCAGCTACTTCCTCAAATTGGCCTCGTACGACCGGCAGTCAAGCACATGCTCCTTGTCACCTCTTCGGTAGTCGAGAACACTGCCTTGGAGGGGGCCCCTTTAGATGAGAACCAAGTCTACCAGTCTCACTACACAAAGGCTATCCAGGCCACCTGCTCTTCTCCCCAGGTGGAAAATGTTCTGCTTGCCTGTCTTCTGTTCGCCTGCTGCGATTTCATGAGGGGCTCATATGAGAGTGGACTCCGCCACATCCGTTCCGGCTTGAGCATTATCGACGAGTGGTATCATTCGATCCAGAACTCTGACCTGAAGGCTTCTCCATCGGCTCGCTTGATCATCAATGCAATCGGTCCTATATTTGTCTCGTATGTCGACAAGTCTCCGACCTATGGTTTCGGTGATATCACCGTGGACACTTGTGCTTGTGCAGGCTTTCTAGCTCCGAGTCTCGAATTACCATACATTGCTCCATTCAACCATATTCATGGAGCTCATCACGCTCTCGACGGTATTGCTCATTACGTAGCAAGGTTAATGGACTGGCGCAAGAAGTCCTGGACACCTGCACCACCCCAAAAGATACAAATGCTCCTTGACACATGGCGTATTACCATTGATAGATTTGAGGCCAACTTGACAAAGGCAAAAAAAGACGCCCATGCCATGATACTTTCGTATCTACGAGTCTACCATACCATGTTCGGAGTCATGATTCGGGCTTCGACCGGAAACTCTGAAGCCATGTATGAAAAATTCGATGAAGAATTCAAATGGATTGTCGACCGCTACGACGACTTCGCAAACCTGTGGGCAGAGGATGACACTCTTAAATTTTCCTCCGGGACTTGGGCAAACCTCGACTATCATTTCGGCTTCATTCCTCCACTCTTTTTCACTGCTACCAAGTGTCGGGACCCTAAAACAAGGATGGCTGCGCTGAATCACCTTGGCTCTCTTCGAGTCGAGGAACAGAATTGGACTAGTTGCGCGGCCTATGTGATTGCGAAGAAAATGATCCAGATCGAAACGAATCTGTCAATTATCAACGACAGGACCGGCCTCAGAGATGAACGCGACCTCATCCGACCCATTGAGGCCTACATTACGGACAAGAGGATGACCCAGGCCGGTCTCGACTATGCAGTCCATCCCTTTTTAAAGGAAGAAGAGCCCCTCACACAACATGAGACTATTGATCTTTCAGAATGTCTAGCTTTGTCTTCTTCATCAGCCCGATGGGTAAGCTTCATTCAATGCTGCATTACCTGTTCAAAGTTTGCTGACTCTGAACAGCCTCTGGCCAGAATACTACGCATTGGAGGCTACCAAGGAGGAGGTATAATCCCTACTCCGACCAATTGCCACTGCCATTTCCACTTCCAATCCAGTGGCACAATGCTCCTTTACAGACCCAGGACGTGAGCTCAAAGGCGAACCCACCTCTTATCCAAAACAGCATCTCTATCACACCTCGATGAGCAAAGATTGAACCAAGTCCCATACATTCGGTATCCCTCACCGGAGCTAAGCGGACGTTTCCACTATAGCGACCGTTTGATAAGAGCTTGGTTTGCCAAACGTGTGATCCTTCAGAGCCTAGATCGGCCAGCACGCAAGTCTCGACCCGCCAATTGCAGATGACACAGAACATCACTGGGTCCGATCATCCATTGATACCAAAAAACAATGTAGGAACACTGACCAGGAGGCATTCCTTGAGCAGGGCCAGACACGGTACCAGTTGTACTCGTATCCTGGTCTGGATTGCCTCGAAAGCTCTCTGTGGGGAGGACCTTTTGAGCTTAGAAGGCCGCGTCGTGGTCGAAAATCGCACGCCGCAAGCCACCAAGAGCAAAAGAACGGTTGTCTTTCGTCATGAGACAGGAATCAGACGTTATCCACCTCACGAAGTCGTCGATGAATGAGTCTCTCGCGAAGGGATAGTAAGATGACGTTGATCAATGCTGACCTTCTGGCCCCCACTACCCCCTACCCCCTTCAGCCGCAGTCACAACCCGCAAATGTAAGCGAGATTGAATCACATCATTCACTGGATATAAGACTACCATGACGAGTGTACGTGTATGTCATTGAACTCGAATTGGAACATGAAACGTCAGAGACTATGTGGTGGAGAAGCACTTTGTGGTGCAAAAAGATGCATTCATTGTAGTCCCTTTGAAGGGGAAGATTATTCTGGATGCAATGTAGTCATCGAAAACAAAATCGGAGGTGAAGGTTCATTGCCAGCGTTCAACACCCAATCCGATTTCCCCTCCCCAGGCGGAGTTACAATATCCATAGGTTGGTAGGTATCTACCCAGGTACCCGCACCCATTCCAAGTCAACGCGACGTAGGAGGAGTAGAAGGAGTAGGACGAGGACGAGGACGAGTACTGTGGACAGCTTACTTCGCAACCCCGTCAAGGTCAGTCTTTCTCAACTGTGTCGTTTCGGGATGCGCGTTCGACGTTTCGTCCGGATACGGTAGGAAGTCAGCACATCGGTGATTAGGAATCCCGCACACGTCCTACGTACCGGATGTAATTGTTTGTACTGTGCGCCACCGGAAGCGGAGGGAAGACTTCTAACTAGCTGGATGGACTTCCCGTTCTACGTGTACTGTACAATACGAGCGGGTTGTCGACGGCTGGCTTCACGGGTCCGACCCCTGTCCTCGTCCGGAGCACTGACTGTAAGGTTACTTTTACCGTTGAACGGTACGTGTGAGTTGCGAGACCATCACAGATACAGTAGTAGGGTACTCCGCACCTATCTACAATACGAGACCTGCAGAGGTACGGAGTACAAACCCCCCCCCCCCCCCCTGTACAGTAAGAGATAGGCAGGCCCTCCCCCCGTCGGTGACGGACGGGTATGTACTTACCCGCCCACCACTCTGTACACAAACGGGAAAAGCCAAAGCGACGTTACAGGGGACATGATACCTGTACCTTACTGTACCTACCGTACCTGCTCCGTCCCTAGGAGAGGTGTGCGTAAACAAGTATGTGGGTGCTGGATGCGTGTTTTCCTCTTTAGAAAAAAGAGAAAGGGAGGGGGGAACGGGGGATGGATGGACCAACACCGTTCTCTCCCCCCCCCCCCCCCCCCGAGAGCAACAGGTACTTTTGTCCGTGGAGACAAGACGGTCTGGTCTTGGGCCATTCACAGAAACGAGAACACTTTTCCTCAAGACCCAGCCAGAAACACCCCCCTCCCCAGACCGAGTCTGTTTCTGTTTCTTGTCACCACCCACCCGCCCTCTCCACGTACCCATTTCCCAACGAGGAAGGGGAATATCATTTGCACAAACATCGTCCGTGACCTCCGGCCGGGGTAGACGGTGTCTGCGGTGGCCCAAGTACCGGGCCGACCAAGGTTACCCTTTTTCTTGACTGGTGCACGATTAGCCGTGGGCGTTTCATCACGTTTGGTTCTTAACTTATTAGAAAAAGGTACAAGTACAACGGAAGGGAAGGCCCTTCCCCCCCCAACCCTTGAAACCGGAGTGTCTCCGACGAGATAACCCACCGAGATGTATGTACCTGCGTACCTACTGTACCTACCTGACCTACCTACCCTATGTGGCTAATTCATTGTCAGGTACTTACTTGTACGGTACAACAATACTTTCTCAACTGCTTCTGGGTAGAGTCGTCGGAAGAGAGATATTTCTGCGACAAGGTTGATTCCTAACTAGGAGAAGCCCTGGTAACCTACAAGACCGTACACGGTGATACGTGCTAGCAGGCAGGTCAGGTATCTAAGGAGTACTCCGTGCAGTACCTACCTACGACGCTGCGAGCAGTAGATATCGCTTACCTGCTGATATTGTAAACCAAACCGGGTGTAGTCCGTGCCAGCATCAGCATGTTACATATCGCCGGCCGGGGTTTGCAATGCCTCCACAGAGGTGCAGGACGGATACCTCAAGGATTTAGGTAGGTAGCTGCTAATACCACTTGCACCTTGAGGCTGTACAACACAACAACCGCATCATCTTCTGAAGGCGATGAGATGTCACGTATCAGTCCATCTTGTTGCTCAGAGTCCGTCTCCAAATCATTTAAGGAGTCACACTTCAAGTGATCCCACGCGTACTTACAGTCTGCAGGTGTTCCATCCGAGTATGTGGGAACACCACCAGACTGAAATCTAAACCGAGGCCCGTGTGCGGTGACTAACCAAACGGCGCACTTCTTCAACTGTTCAAGGTCGGAGCTGAAAGTTTGCTGTGTCGGTCGGACACTATGACTTGATATCAAGGGTTGAGTCGACGAGTGAACACTTGACTGACTACCCAAGGAGTCTTCGTACCAATGGCGTTCGGCGATTCAACACTGTATTCGTATGGGGCGTTACTGGTGCCTTTGTCCGATCAGCCAACAGCACATCCGTCGTATCACTGTCGTGAGGATCCGGCACCAATTGAATCTTTTGATAACCCGTTGCTGGCTGTGCGCTGCTATCTGTAGACACTTGAGATGCTGGTGGAAAAAGGGTTGCGCGAATCCGCCTGACGGAATGAATACCAAGAAAGTCCAAAGACAAGTCTTGCGTCTTCTGCAGAGACGACTCGTTCTCCGATTATGTATGCCTTGTGTCATAGATACCTCGCCTCGCTGAACCTCGAAGATAAGTCGGCAGCCTTCTTGACCATTTCTCTTCGCTTGGTGGCGCTGATTGCTGTGCCACCAGCAATATCCTTCTCGCGATCAAAAGCACGAGCACTGGGATCGTCTTCTTCCACAGCCTTGTTGGAGGAGCTGTGGGAGGCGTAGAGAGATGGGCCTCTTTGCTTGTCCTGGTAAATAAATGTGAGCATCTCGATCCAGGACATGGCAAAATGGATGTGCACTAATAACTAGAGAACCGACTTACCCTATACTCTCTCACTCTTTTCGCCGTTGCCTCATCATGCGTACTACCCGTGGTGGTTTTGGTCTTGCTATTATCCGAGGACGCCGTAGGGTTTGAAATTCCCAGTACTTCCCTTCTCAGACGAGCTTGTTTCTCCTCGGGTGTCTCGTGCCACGAAGCTCCTCCGCCTCCAGCCTGTGGTGGGCCTTTTGCGCCTTTTGTGGTATTGAACTTTCGATTCTTCAGTTTCGTAGGGTCGATCCTTGAAGACCAATCCCCGTTCTCGGGCGCCATGGTCATCCATTCGTCTCGCTGGAGTCGCGCAGGTGGAGCGTTGGAAGGTGGGACTTGTGATGAGGCGGAGTGAACTGGCTTTGATGCGTCGCTTGCAGAGGGCAGCCTAGGACCGAATTCGTCGTCGTCGTCGCTACTCTCGCTTTCTTCGCCCTCGTCGAGCGGTGGCGGAGTCGAGGGTCGTTCGTCCAGAGGCGCCGGTGGAAGTGTTGGGCCTATGACTCGGCTACGCTTGGGGGAAGGCGAGGATGATTTCTTTGAGGCAGGTCGTTGAGGTAAAGGACCTGTTGAAGCATCAGACGAACTGCCTTGCTCGTCATCGTCCTCATCCTCGTCAGCGCTACGCTTGCGCTTTTGTAATTCGGGAGGAAGTTGAGGTCCAACAGAAGACATGGTGAGGAGGTCGCCGAGGCGATGTATCTACGACGCATGTACCGAGTGAGTGCCCTGAGATTTACTGGGCTGGTCGAAGTTGAGAGAACGGACAAGGATTCCGGTATGAGGGCATCGAAATGCACTTTTTTCTGGAGATGGACTCCCTGTTTGCCGCCCCGAGGTGGGTAGTTTCTTTAGTTGCCTAGCGAAGGAGTTATTTAGGGCTGTGGGGGCCACAGCATTGCTTGTGCAAATACCTTAGTTAAACTACCCAAGTACCTTTAGCCAGAGCCTGGTGATGCCTACGACGCCTATGAAAAAGCTCAGGGGCCCCTGCGACCGCCACAAGGAAGGTTTGGCGATTGCGTCCTCTTCTCACTTCTTGTAACCTGCGCTCTCCTCTCCGTCTCTACTTCAAGGCTCTGTGTGATGACACCTTCAACTGGTCAAATTGACTGCATAAGCTATGCACGATTCGTGACGGCAATGCGCGGATGGACGCATGCTTTATGTCCTTGGATTACAAAGTTCCATCCACTCGAACGGCTCACAGCTTTGCAAGCGCCTGGACATTCTGGCCCCGGACGCCTTCTTGCATGGCCCTTCATATCTTCCACCACTCAAGTAGCGGGACTTTTCTCCTCGTCACGAACGTCTTTCGAATCAGATTGTTTAGCCTTCTTCTAGTTGATGGATGCTTTGAATTGCCCTGCAGCCGCAACTAGACGCTTCAGTCCATTTGCAGGGCTTGAGCTTGAGCTTGATGGTATAATTCCATCCCATCCGTTCTTCCAGGATGCCCTTTTTCGCTTCACTTTTTCAGGTAGGGCGGAGCTCCTGACTCGGTTTATGATGCCTTTCGTCCTTGTTTCCCTTCTCCGCGTCCCTTTCCGCGTATAAGGGATTATGTAAAGGACAGTCCGTCACCTTGAACGTCTTCATCATCACCGTAACAATGGGTGGAGTCGAAGTATCCTCCGTGGTGTCGTCCATCATAACAGCCTTAGGAAATGGCCTGGATATTTTTCACCGTCTAAGCGGAAAAAAGAGGAAATCCAACGCGAGGCTTCCTCGACCATCTGAGGAAGAGGAATGGCTCCGACAGTCATTGGAAACTCGACCTCGGCAGATCAGGAACGAATATGACCAGAGTGTGGCAAAACATGGGAACAGATTCGAAATTGGTGACGAAATTGCTCACAACAGTCTGGCACATACCCTACTCGTCCTGAATACCGGACTGGTTACTCTCATCAATCATGCTCTGTCTGGTGGTACAAGGAAAAATGTGGTGTCTAGAAAGACACTGTATGACCTGTCCGAGACTGCCGCTCTCGATACCATGACTGCACTTGGACAGCTCAGCTCACGGCTAAGTATCGCACGGCAATTAATATCACCATCTGAAGCTGGAAAGGACAGGACAGGACACCGTACAGGGCATCGCAAGAAGCACAAGCCTAGTGGGTTATCAACGACCAGCACGACTGGTCGACCACCACTGTCACCGTTGCTAGTACGTGGTGGCTGGGTCAGGAGCAAAAGCGGCAGTTCTGTGGTCTCTGCTGCTGCGGCAAGGAAAGCTAGGGGACTACAGCCTCAGAATCATAGTCGAAGCCAATCAGAGTTAAATTTATCGAGGTCTAAGGATGGCAGAATCGGAAAAGACGATGAAAAGTTGAACAGCTCATCAACCTCTCCAGATGAGGGCAAGAAAAGGCATGAACGCAGAACACGCGACGAGACAAAACTACAACGACAGCAGAGCATGTTGCTTATATCATCAGATTTGCTCGACCAACCTCACACTGCTCTACAGCAACAGCAAAAGCAACAGCGGCTATCACCACGGCCATCGACAATCCCACTTGAGTCGGACGACAATCAACGTTCGAGGCATGGAAATGGTCGTCCAATATCCACCATGACATTCATGACGGCCAGCACGAAAATTGGTGAGATACCTGAATCTCGGTTTCAAAATCAAATATACTCGGTGGAACCCAAAGGAGGGGCACTCCCCACGGTTGTTCATCCAACCTTGGAAGACATCCCGCCAAAGAAGAAGAAAGGTTTCAAGTTCTGGAAAAGGGAAGACAAGGCTCGCGATGCCGGTCTTGACTAGTTGCAACGATATGATACCAAACATACGCGGCCGCGGAGACTTTTGTAGGGTGATTGATGTGATGAACTCTTTTTGAACGAACGAAGGGATTACTGGGTCATGATATCCATGTGTTTTGTCTTCCAAGCATGGAATTGTGACTTCTACTCTGCTGTTGCAGTACGTGCCTAGTTAGTTACAGGAGTACTTCTTTGAGCCTGATGGAGGACGAATCTAAGCAGTGGCTCCCCGCATCTCAGCCTCGTGGGGGGAAATTCAATAGCCGCATAAAATTTATTCCGTCGACCTCAAGGCTGTAACAACCGAACTTTATATCAACACATTTGACCCTTCTACCTGTACTTGACTCCTTTGCCCGACGCATACTAGTTACCTATTCGACACTGTTCACCATGGCCGCAACTCCAATTCCTGTCCCTAAGCCAGGCGAGGGCGAGCCAATTGTCTTTTTCGACATTACATTAGGTGGTAAGTACCTACCTGGCCATTTTTTTCCTGCCTTCAACCGCGGAGACAACCTCTATGTCGGATGGTTTACTTCACGGCGTGGCAAAGCACTGAAGCCCGCTGGAGTCAAGTCAAGGCGTGTCAATTCAGCCTTGTTTGAATGGTGTTCGCTCTGCAAAATTCGCCATGGATATCAGGAAAGCTACAAAGAAGACCACGAAGCAAATTTCTTGGATTGACAGTACTGAAGACTGGGCCTGCAGCTTACTTCTCTCAAGACTCGCTCTCGAACTTGTCACAGATGCTTTGGCTGCTTGGCTTTCACATCCTTTTGTCTCTCCCCATGCCCAAAATATGTTGTGTATTCATGTTCACTTTGTTAACTTCTGTGTGTGTGTTTTGCTCTTCTACAGGCGAACCACTAGGCCGGATCAGAATGCACCTTTTCGCCAACACGGTTCCCAAGACCGCCGAGAATTTCCGCCAATTCTGCACGGGCGAACATAAAGTCGGTAGCCGGCCTCAAGGGTACAAAGGGAGTAAATTTCATCGAGTGGTAAGTTTACTTACTCTACATGCACCCTTGTGTCTGTGCAACCCAACGCGCAACCCGGGAGTGCAATATGATATCTATCTTCACCTACCCACTCACCCACCCACCTACTCACCTACGTCCCTACCTTCGATGAGTCTATTGTATACTGTTTGTATTTGTGTTTTTCGCTTCCGAGAACGCGATCAGCACGTGACCGTTAACACTTTGCGACCCGATCAAACAGATCAAATCCTTCATGATCCAAGGTGGCGACTTTCTGCACTCAGACGGCACGGGGTCGACGTCAATCTACAACAATGCTTCGTTCGCCGACGAGAACTTTACGCACAAGCACACGCGCCCGGGCTTGCTGAGCATGGCCAATTCCGGACCCAACACGAACGGCTGCCAGTTCTTCATCACGTGCGCGCCCACGCCGTTCCTCGACGGCAAGCACGTCGTGTTCGGACAGGTCGCCGACGACGAGAGTATGAAGGTCGTGAGGATGATTGAGAACACGAGGACCGCCGGACCAGGTGGGAGGGGACAGGGAGAGAGACCAGTTTTGGACGTCCGGGTCAGCGAGTGCGGTGAGATGTGAGACTATTCCGGGTTAAAATAAAAGAGCAAACCAAACACACAAAACGAACGAGCGAAAGGAAAAAGAAAAAGAAGGAAACAGGAAAAATGGAGAAACAAGAGAAAGATTTGCATTGAGTGCGTGATTCGCTGGGACCTGGACCTTGGACCTTGGACAGCCACGCGCGTATGGGAGAATTGAAGAAGCCCGGGTCATACCTGGTTCAACAACATGACATTTTCAAGGAGACATCTCTTTCTTTCTCCCAGGATCCAATAGGCCAGTGTGAGCCGGGGAGGTCACTTACAAGTATGTATGTACCCACGGCAAGTTCGGGGCGAACGACAAGGGAAAAAAGAAAGCTATCCGAACCATCACACCCCGTACCCTGTAGGTAGGCACACATGCATGCATGTCAGTTGAGAGGCACGAAAACTCTGCGTCCTGGGACACATTCGTCAGTTGGACTTTCGCCAAACGAGCTCGGCATGGGCATGTTCACATATCCCGGTGGGGTTCGACGAACGAAGCGAGTCGCGAGCAAGGCACGAAGAAACAGACACACGAGATGAGAAAGAGCCAGCAAGTGTGTGAGAGAGGCCGTCATACATCCGTCGATGAACACACCATGCCGTGTTTCGCAAGGTCAAACAGTCCGCAGTCTGCAGTCTGCCGATCTCTCGTCGTCAGAGGTCCGCGCGGAGGTTCGAGCACGAAAACCTGCACGCACTGACGCACGCGAGCGAGCGAAGCTGTCAGCGCGACAGAGACTCGGCCACATTTCCCGAAGGGCGCGCCGCAGGGCGATGAAGGATCGCGAGAAGAATGTGTCGACGGACGGGCGAGGCAACAAAGAAAAACAAGGGCGAGGGTCGGTCACACTTTATATCGCCACTCAGGCAGAGTCGGGCGCGGACTATTGGAACTGCCAAGTTAGAAAGTTCAATCGAGAGGCACAGAGTTTCCCAGCTGAAAGGCCCCCTATTTATGTACCTACCTATGGGTACCTTGGCAATACATGTTTTAGATAGCTCTAACTAGACCCAGCTGCCCGAGAAATGACATGACATGGTTTATCGCTCGAGAACAAACGTGGTAAACACCTATCTTCTTGTCCTCGATTGCTTTCTTTGCCCCCCCCCCCCCCCCCCCCCCCTTTCCATGTGCATAAGCCGCGTGGTGTGTGGGTGAGCCGGAGGCACTGAGATGGTTGCCAGTAATTCAAAAATTGTATGTACATTACATATGTTGCCAACGTACTTACGTCTCCACATCATATCCTGGGCAATGAATCCCTCGCATCCCTCAGGACGAGATACTCAATGACATCCACGTCGGGGCTGTCGGTATCGTGTACCCCGGGCGTGGTAGTCCTGACACCCTTTCCACTCCGCTCCTGACTACGACGACGACTACTACTGCTCCTACTACCCGCCCGCTCCCACTTGACCTGCACTGCCCTGGGGACACCAATTCTCAACAATCCATGCGTCTCCCATTCGTGCTGCCGTCGCATGGAACCAACCCAGTCATCTCGCCACCGCTGGATGAGGCCGGGATGCCACAACCCAGACATGGCCCCTTCAAGCTCCGACGCGACCCGGCTCCAGCCGTAGAAGTCACCGTCGTCGTCCGGGGGGTCGTGTGAGGTGTTCAAGTTCAGTCGCATACCCAGACTGACGAGGATGATGTGCCCCTTGCCCCGGAGGTGGTAGTCGGAGTGCCCGGAGAGGAAACTGCCCAGAACGAGCGCCGACCAGGTCAGACAGCTCGTGGCCCCCGCGGAAGTGGAGAACCCGCTTAGTTTCTGGTAGAGGAACGTATCGCCGAGCTCGGACAGTCTGGGCAGCGCGGCTTGGGCACTGGCTTCTGCGAATCCCGCCACAGCACCTTGCCGCCACTGCGAGACACGGTATAGCTGTAGACAGTACGCGAGAAGGCCGGACGCGAACTGTAATTCGATCGGCGTTATGGCTGTCGAGGTGAGGATTTGAACAAGTTGGGAAATGTAGGTTGATAAGCCGGAGACGAGGTGTGGATCCGGAAACGGTTGATATGTCAGGGAAATGGTATTCAGGGAACATAGTACAGAATCTAGGGGTGGAGAGAGGAGAAGCGTGGGCAGGACAGAGCGTAATGGTTGATGTCCTTGCTGATCAGGAGGACTTTGACGCGGTAATTCTTGAATTAATCCAGATGCTGTTGCGTCCGACTCACCTAGGAGGTTGCGGCAGGTCCGGTAGGCATGTAAAGCCGTCCAGCTAGAGCACATGTCAGTCGAGAGCTGGTTTGTTTTATTGGCCTGACAAAATGGGCAGTCCACTGTACAAACCTATCGAGTCGATTTTGAATGGTAAGCGACGTGTCGGTGTCTGGATGCGCGTCAATATAGCGAGCAGCCACAGTCCGGAAAGCCTCAAAATGGGCTATGAAGGCTTCGGGTTCGCTTGACATGTACTGAGTACGTGGTCAGATAAAACTATCACCTCCCGGTGGTTGCAGGTACGTACCGCTATGCTAATCATTCTTCCAATACAAAAAATGAGAGCTTCGAGAGACTTTTGCGTTTTCAAAGACACTCGTTTTCGCAACGCCGTCATTGCTAAGCCCCTGTGGTACAGCATCAATCCGTCCTCAGACGGCTCTTTGTGCTGTGACAAGACACAGGCAGCTCTGCTCACCGCCAACGTCGCGTCGAATAGCATTTCGTCTTGGAGCGCAAGTGGCCAGCAAAGATCGAGCTGCGTGTTGTACCCCATCATATCGTCGAAGTTTCCGGCTTTGTGGGGTGACCAGACGTGTATATCTGCAGAGAATGGTAAGTTCGGACACGCCACTCCATGGGTTTCGAGCACGCACGATAATCCACCATGTCCATGACCGACTTTGAATTCGAGGAGGGAAATGAATTGAACGGGTCTGCACGGAGGCCGATATTGATCGAGGCGTTTATCAATGACACCGCAGGATCGGTCACATCCTCTGTAGTCTTTGATTGCGCAGAAGTTGTCTCTTCGCGTACGTTTTTGGGACTGACAGACTGAGATTGCCATCCAACTAGACTCCTGGCATGTGCAGCACGCTCCATCGCCGAGACTCGCTGCTGCCGACGTTTCCCAGCAAGTTGAAATTTCCGAGCATGACTCGACACGACTCTAGAGTTTCCCTGGTGAATGTTTTCCTTTGTCTGCTCGATGAAAATATGCCCGGGGCCCCACGGAGACTGCTTCCTAGTCCCACTTCCTGGGGACATTTCCACTGTCGTTGTCAGTTACCGACAGGCCGAGCGTCGCACACGTGCAATGTGATGTCCTGATCTAGAGTTGACCGATGTTGTCTGATAGTTGCCGTACTTATGACGCAGATGCTCGTATTAAGCCGCTGGTGGCTGCAAGTTTCCAGACTGAACTTGGGATATATCCTCTTAGTTGGATTGGCCACATTGCTGAGTAATCGAGTACCATTGGGTGCTGCTGGTGTGGCGCAGATCGTGTCTTTGCACCTGCAAAACTTGAAAGCGTCTTCGTCGTGGATAAATCCATGGCTTTTTGCGGTGATATTCGGATGGATGAGAATTATTTCCGGGGGCAAATCGAATTGTGATGGATAAAAAGTCAGAGATCAATACTTCTTTCGGCTCGAAAATGCCTCTCTCACGTAGTATCCCTGGAAAAGTGCAGTTGTAGTCCACTTTTCACGAGGAAGGTCGAGTTACGTGGCAAGAATACCATTCGAGGCACAATCAACCGCAATGTGACTGTCCAGCAAAGGGTATTGTTACCAGAGAAATCTCCGTTGCGATTTGAGAAGAGTAGCTCGATCACATAGAGGCTTGGGCTATCCTCTGTACGGGACCACCACTGGTCCGTGGCGATTATAGCGATCGCTGGGAGCCAAGCCATTGCTGTCCCTGATCAACGGTTCCATAAGGTACACGCTGACGAAGTCGCTCAGCTCCGTGATATTGTGGAATCGGCGGCGGTTGGAAGGCGTCTTCTCGTGTTTGTCTTCAAAACCAAGGAATAATCTGTAGAGGGAGGACCACGGTATCGTCAACCCAGGGTGTAGGTCCCTACAAATGCTCTCATGCGTCATCAACTGTGCTTAGTCAAGATGCAAAAAACTCGATCAAGGTTTGCACTGCATCAATCGATATGACTCCAGTACAGAGGTTTGATCGGAGAGTATCGCCATGCTTTTGATCATAGTACCCCATTCTATGCGCGTCCTCTGCTCTTCTCGAAAGAGCTGGACCGCTGTGTGCATGGTCAGCCACTCCCGCTAGCCACTCCAAGGAAAAGTTGTCGGGTATGCAATTGGCCGACAGAAGCCCCCGGAGTCCAGGCGTTGAAGCAAACCCAAATGCCTGACCTAAGCCCTACGCATGAGTCTCAACGGCAATCTGCTAGCCCATCAACAATTCATCACTGACTGGAGTTTTAAGCTGACATTAGGAAGGTATTTAAAGGAGGAACGTATCCGTCCGGTTCACCATGAGGACGGCCTTTTCACACTAAAAGAGGCCATACCGAGACATTCTAGACCCAGAAGATGTCATCAACAGCAGACCTTGCAATTCCACGAGGAGCGTTGGTAGTGGTGACCGGGGCCAACGGCTTCATCGCCAGCCACGTGGTTGACCAGCTGCTGCTCGCTGGTTATCATGTAAGAGGCACTGTCAGAAACACCAAGAGAGCAGATTGGATGATCGAATACTTTAACACGAAGTACGGTGCAGGAAAATTCGACCTTGTCGAGGTACAGCAGATGGCTGATCCTGGAGCATTTGATAACGCGGTTCAAGGAGCGTCAGGTGTGATTCACCTGGCAACACCAGTGATGCAATCGTATGATCCAAATGAAGCTGTTCCAATGGTGGTCCAAGGTGCCCTCAATGCCTTGAAGGCAGCGGCCAAAGAGCCCTTGGTCAGGCGTGTCGTAATGACATCCTCCTCAACAGCTGCCGCTAGTCCAGTGCCAAATGTCGAGTTTGTTATTGATGAAAAGACATGGAACGACGAAGCTGTCAAGGCCGCCTGGGCACCACCGCCATATGAAGGTGAACAACGCAAGCTGGACGTGTATTCGGCAACTAAGACTCAAAGTGAACAGGCAGCTTGGAAGTGGGTGGAGGAGAACAAGCCTGAATTCGTCCTCAACGCTGTCTTGCCCAATGCCAACATCGGGGTGGTGCTGTCGCCAGAACATCAAGGGACACCTAGTACAGTCGGATGGGTCAAGGCAGTGTGGGATGGATTCAAAGGGCAAGAACAACTGGCCTTCAACCCACCTCAATACTATGTCAATGTGCAAGACACTGCCAGGGTGCACGTGGGAGCACTGATCTACCCCGACGTCCAAAGCGAGCGACTGTTTGCTTTTGCTCACCCATTCAATTGGAATGACATTTTGGCCAGTTTCCGAAAGTTGTACCCTGAACACCACTTCATCGACGATATTCCCGACCTTGGCAGAGACTTGAGCAGAGTCGCCAATGGAAGAGCTGAAGAAATCGTCAAGCGATTTGGCAGGGCAGGGTGGACTAGTCTAGAAGAGAGCATCCGCGACGCGACGCTGGGCTGGGCGGCGTCTGAAAAGTGAGAAACAACTGGAAGTCCGAGTTCGGATACTGCGGCATCTGATGGTGGCTTCTGATTAGGACTTCTTGACCACGATAGACATCCAATCTGAGAGCGATGGAGATGAACAAGTCACTGAAACAAGAAGTATCTAGTTAGGTGCCGAGTAGGTAGTGTGCAGCGGAAATCTCCTGCCGATATATGTGGCATCACGTGATGGGTAAGCAAACACACCTCAGCATCCCGATATCTCCCTACACAGACTCCATATTCTCGCTAGTTTCTTGTCATCGTCGTCAATCCGCAAATCGCAGAGCGTCATCATGGTGCCGACATTGACCCTCCCGCCCGACATTGTCCTCACTTCCTCTGGGCTTCACTTCACGGGCCAGCAGCCATTTATGACCATGAGATGCAGGTTTGATACAAATATCAGCCCATAACCCCACCCGAGGGAACGAGAACTCGCAGGTCCTGTTCATCGCTTCCCATTTCGTTCTTCTCTTTCGTTTCAAGTCCTTCTTTCATCAGCAAAGTTTGAGTGTCACTGACGTCAAGAGTATTTATTGTCGACCTGATCCCCTCTTTGTCCTAGAAGAGCCACCCGAGGCCGTTGCACCATGAGATACCAAACCCTCCGGTTCACCATGTTCTACAAAGAGCCCTCGCATGAAGGAAGGCTACCTCAGGATTCGCGATCTTCGCAAGCGTCATCATCCACATCAAGCTTGCGTACCTCCTCAGATGCGTCTCTCTTGTCGCGACATTCGGTCTCCTTCAGCTCGAATTACCAAAGTAGAGTTCACACAGATACGCGCAAGACATCTTGACAAGAGCATGCACTGATTTGACTGGACAAGTTCACCCACAATTTTGCCTGCATTCTCTGACAATTCCAACATGCCTGATATGCACCTGCCTGCGCATCGAACTACAGATCGTCCATCTTGGGAGTGGCCGACCCAGCTAGACTGTCGTCGGGATTTCAGAGGTCTCAGACATTCAACTATACATACCTTCTAAGGGAGGAAGGGAGGCAGTGTGCCAGGACATCACACCTGACGTGTCCGGCGATCATGGCGCAGTGAAACGAAGGAAATGAAGATTATGTGACGCTTGCACGGTGTTTTGGGGATTTTTGCGTACCAAAGTTTTGCGGCCTGGGGCGTTGGAGGTGTATGGGGGATGAGAAGTGATGATACCCTTTGGGCAAATGGTATTTTGTATACAAGGATATAGGTGGAACATCAGCAATGGCAATCATGGGATAGACATTAAGTCAAGATGGTCTCGTGAGCTGCAATGTCATCGTCATGTGTTTCGTGGAGATCTGTACCCCTGTTACAGTACTTTCACATGCCCCGGATTCTGTCGCAGGAGAGTGCGAGTACCTTGTTTCTTACTATTGTGCCCGTAGTACGGAGTACGAGCACGAGTACGACCATTGGCCAGACGACAAAGTGCCACACGCCAAAGCGCTAAGGGGAGAGTGACAGGGAGAAAGTCTTCACATGTGAAGTGCGAGTCGGAATGGTCGGCGTAAGGAATTCGGGGCATAAGACGAGTGCCGGAGCAGCTGCCTCGCCCCAGCTTCGAGCATCCAGTTATTGTTCCGTATTTAAGTACCAGTACCTAAAGGCTTGGATACTTTGTGCTGTACTAGTTATTTCCAGTCGTAATAATCCGTAATTCCGAAGCGTCTAGTGGTCTTTGGGCGTTCGCCCTGGGCACTGCTCCCCGCCCACAAGTCTGGAGTAGCCCCCGAGTAGCCCTCCAAACCGTGTCGCTCACGGAGTGAAGAGCGAGGCTTTGGACCACCGCTCAAGGCACAGCGACGATGAGCGACAAAGGATGCTCGATTTCTTATATCTCTACGGAGCAGAGGTGCACAGAAACACCTGGCCTCCTCTTCTCTCACAGCTTCCTCGTTCGATTCCTCTCCAGTGCGCAGCAATCAGGCCTAGGCTCAAGCGGTGATTTAAGCCTCCAAGCCTCCAGTTCCGCAGCGTGTGGGCACCAGTCAGACAACTCGCATTGCGCATTTTCACGCTCGAGCCGAGGTCCATTTGCCTAGGTACTGCGAAGTTGCCGTGCTGTTGTTCAGCACACGCCTTCATCAATCACTGGCCAGGTGATCGCTCCCTTGCTTCTAAATAACCATCCCATCGTCTTGCTTCTGCGCCCTTCTCATCTCCTACCGCACTCTCTGGGACGAGCCGAGCACGCCTTCTTCTGCCCTTTGCAACACCCGTCTCTGCCAGTCTTCACAATGACTCCCCCTCGTGTTATTGTCGTCGGTGGTGGCTGTAAGCATCTTTTCCCTCACGTCTCCCGTCGCGCCCTTCGCTGACTTCCATTTCCAGTGTCCGGCCTCAGTGCAGCCCATACCGTATACCTCAACGGTGGCAGTGTCCTTGTTCTCGACAAGAATAGTAAGTTGGCTGGTTGTCCGGGCCGCCAGACGGCGCTCTAACGTCATGACAGACTTCTTCGGCGGAAACTCAACCAAAGCCACCTCCGGTATCAACGGCGCCCTCACACGAACGCAAGTCGATTTGGGCATTCAAGATAGCGTCAAGCAGTTTTACGAAGATACTTTGAAGTCGGCCCGTGACAAAGCAAGACCGGACCTGATCCGAGTCCTCACATATCAGTCCGCCGCCGCTGTCGAGTGGCTGCAGGATGTCTTCAACCTCGACCTGACCCTTGTTTCTCGGCTAGGGTAGGATGACTCTCCTATTCCAATAGACCTACAATACTGACATGTTGGCTAGTGGACACTCGTTTCCCCGAACCCACCGTGGCCATGACGCCAAATTCCCCGGAATGGCCATTACATACGCGCTGATGCAGAGACTGGAAGAACTCTGCGAATCGGATCCGGAAAGAGTTCAAGTCATCAAAAAGGCCAAAGTCACATCTTTGAACAAGGAAGGAAACCTGATCACTGGTCTCAAGTATGAGTTTGGTGGCGAGACGCACTCCGTCGACGGTGTGGTTGTCCTAGCTACTGGTGGCTACGCTGCCGACTTCACCGAGACTTCGTTGTTGAAGAAACACAGACCTGACACCTTCCACCTCTCATCCACCAACGGCACCCACGCCACGGGTGACGGCCACAAGATGCTGATGGCGATTGGCGCCAACGATATCGATATGGACAAAGTGCAAGTTCACCCTACCGGCTTGGTCGATCCCAAAGACCCTGGCTCGAAGTGGAAGTTCCTGGCCGCTGAAGCCCTTCGAGGTGAAGGTGGCATTCTTCTCAATAGCGATGGAAAGCGCTTTTGTGATGATCTGGGCCACCGTGACTATGTCTCAGGCAAGATGTGGGAAGAGAAAGAGAAGGGCAAGTGGCCAATCCGCTTGGTCCTTAACTCAAAGGCGTCCAACGTGCTCGACTTCCACACTCGCCACTACTCTGGCCGTGGCCTGATGAAGAAGATGACTGGCAAAGAACTTGCAAAGGAAATTGGTTGTGGAGAGGCTGCTCTTGACGCAGAGTTCAAGTCCTACAACGACATCGCCGCAGGCAAGAAGAAGGACATCTGGAACAAGAAGTACTTCCACAACATGCCCTTGGACATCAATGACACATTCCATGTGGCCCTGATGGAACCCGTACTGCACTTCACCATGGGTGGCATGGAGATCAACGACAAGGCTCAAGTCCTGAACCAAGAGAAGAAGCCCTTTGAGGCTCTTTTCGCTTGCGGCGAGTTGGCTGGTGGTGTTCACGGCGCCAACCGACTGGGTGGTTCCTCCCTGCTTGGCTGTGTAGTTTATGGTCGTGTTGCTGGTGCTTCTGCGTCGCAGTATCTCTTCCAGAAACTGACAGCCGGTGGCGCAACCGGTGCTTCTCAACGCCTGGGCCAGATCTCCCTGCACATTGACCCCAGCACGCCTGGCAAGGTCTCTGTAGAGTGGGGCAGTGGCGCATCGGGTGCTGCAGCGTCAGCAGGTAGCGCCCCCATCGAACAGCAGTCTCAAAAGAGCGCTGCGCCTGTACTTGATGGCAACAAGAGCCAGGACCCTGCAAAGAAGAAGGACACCAACGATGTCAGCAACTTCAAGGTTCCAGACAAGGAATACTCTCTGGAAGAAGTGGCCAAGCACAACAAGAAGGACGATCTTTGGATCGCTGTCAAGGGTGTTGTCATGGATGTGACGAACTGGCTGGATGAGCATCCAGGTGGTCCCCAAGCATTGTTCAGCCACATGGGCAAGGATGCTTCAGAAGGTAAGTCTGACCTCGTACCCACGCTAGGATCTCACACTAACGAGCGACCAGAATTCGAAATGCTTCACGACGACGAGGTCATTCCCAAATATGCTGCAGATATTGTCATTGGTCGTGTAAAGGGACAAGAAGTGCGGCTGGAATACTAAACATCCGAGTCAAGTATCTCACATATCTTGGGAATGCAAGATTTGGGAAGCATGGAGTATATTACTGTATCATGAGCTGCCCTCTCGTCCAAGCGGGGATAAAATCTATTCACATTACAAGTCTGATTTCGTTATGTTGTACTTGTTACCGTGAGTTTTGAAATGGTGCACTCCCCATCCCGTGTGTGAGGAGATAATTGTGGCTGTGGCAAAGCCTGTGGCTAAGTTCTAGTGGCTGCGCTGCGCTTCTTCGCGACGGTCGGAATTCCACACCATTTGCCTGTCTCTGACCACGACGACGCCTCATGCTGAACCACCCTCGACTCGTATTGTTCCCACCCTCTTCTCTTACCGCGCTGTGATCAGACTTCACGTAACCAACAGGTACTTGGGGGTTTAGAACATAGGATCATCAAAGCCGGTAAGGACCCTTGCAACTGCGACTCCTCACTTCGCCTGCCAACTGTGCATGCGACCACTATGCCATTCATGAGCCTGCCTACACACATGCGGCTGCACAAGAAAGACGCTCCTAAGTCTCTTCCCGCGACTCCGAGACTTTTGCTTTGAGGGCATCATCGACTTTCCTGTAACGCTTCCTGGACGTTGGTGCTGACTGCTGATTCGACTGTGCAACTCATTGTGACCGGCCAATGTGCTAACCCTGCTTTCTCCCTCTAGACAACCGATCACCACGACTGGATCCAGACTAGGCGAGTTGAGACCGCATACCTCCTTCTCTCTTCTTGTCCTGCCAACCCTCGATTTCCTTCCAGCCCTTCCCTTCCCATCATGGACCGCCGAGAAGTCCTCTCGAAAGGCTCTGCCTTACAAAAGGCCATTGCTGCAAAGGAGCCATCAGAAAACATCATGACCATTCTACGAGATCTCAAAGCAAACGTCCGTCCAAGCGAAGAACTGCTAAGAGCTACTGGGATTGGCAAGATCGTAAACAAGGTCAAGGGTGTTCCCAACCTTGATCCACAAGTAGGGCAATTGGCTTCTGAAATAATCAGCAGATGGAGGCATGTGGTCAATGAGCAGAAATTAGCGAGTGGCACATCTACCCCAGTTGGTGCGCGAACAAATGGCACAAGCTCTCCGGCACCAAAGCCCGGTACGCCAACACCGAAAGCTGCCAGCCCAGGCGTCGCTCCAGACAAGCGGAATTGGAAAGCCGACAAAGTCCGCCGAGATGAGATTACAAATGATTCGGCACGGAACAATTGTATTGGTCTGATCTATGATGGACTGTGTCTCGGTTCGGAGCTTCCAACGAAGCACATCCTTGAGCTTGCACAACAAGTCGAATCCGCCGCCTTGAACCTTCCCGAAGCCAAAGGCTCTTCCGCATCAGCCGCGTACAAGGAGAAGATGCGTTCGCTATACCAGAACCTTAAGAACAAGTCAAATCCGGGTCTGCGTAAAAGAATTCTTAGCGGGGAGATTTCGGCCGCAAGGTTTGTTACGATGAGCCATGAGGAAATGAAATCCCAGCAGCAGCGGGAGGAAGACCGTAAGATCGCAAAGGAAAACATGGACAAGGCGATGGTTGCACAGGAAGAAAAGAGCGTTAGCACGAGCCTCGAATGTGGTAAATGTCACCAGAAAAAGGTCAGCTATTCGCAAGCTCAGACGAGGAGTGCTGATGAACCGATGACGACGTTCTGCGAATGTCTGAACTGTGGCAATAGGTGGAAGTTCTCTTGAGAAGGCGGCTTGCGCTGCAAGTATATGGTGCTTCTGGTAGCTCCCTTGCCGGAGTCACCGGATCAGCCAACAGCATGGAATGCCTGGTGAAGGGCAAGACGACACCACCAAGCCGGAGTGCTCTCTCGGGAGATGTGGCTGAGAAGGCTTATTCTTATGATTTTGTTTCGGCATCTCAACATTACAGTGGAATGCCCACGGCCTTCAATCCTGCCTCGCAAGAATAGGACGCTGCAGAGATGACTGCCAAGGGCAGTGCTCCCTGCATTCCGGGGAGAATCTGGGCGTCCCCATTTGCCGTTGCACAAACAGTCGAGGATTGTAGATGCACAGAGAAAGCAGGATTCACGTTGAGCTGCAGTGCATTCAGCATGGGGATGATCATCCCACGGGTCTCCAAGTCAGGCTTGACTCATTATCGCTCTTCATGTATTAAAGAATGCAAATGATATGATGAGCAGGACACCAGGGGTTGGCCCTGGTAGGAATGCTTAATGTGTAAGGTTGTTACAGGGCCTACGCCTTTGGTTTGAGCGGTGTTGCTGTTTTTGACGTCTATAAGAACCCTCGGCCTCTTACCCAACTCTCCGTTCATCGACCTGGTTTCTTTCTCGCCTCCGTCGCCCTGATGCATCCGTCGTGCGTCTTGCACTCCTCCTGCCTGTGCCTCCTCTACAGGGCTAATCACACCTGCATTCTTCACTTAGTTGCTTTTTGAAAAACAAAATCGCAGTCGGCGGTGGTGACGTGAGAAACCACGAAGTTGCGAACTTACCTATAGCAATCCAGGGTGCTTAATGTTGTGCCATGATGTCGGCGAACGGCTCAGGACTTACCCCAAAGAGTTGGCCGGTAGCAGAATTCATCATCCGCTCTCTGGATACCGACGGCATCGTGTTTTATTCTTGTTGACGGCCCACTGCAACCTGTGAGAAAGGCCTGGGGTGGTAGTCTACGAGTTGGACGAGTGAAAGACACCCTACTTATTCGGGCCTTTCATCGTACCCCGGTACTCTTCTGGAATCGTACCAAAAACCTCCCAAAGTCGGGAAATAACCAGTGTCTCTCACCAAGCAAGTGGAACATATACCTGTAGGTAGGTAGGAAAGATGACAGGGGTTGCCAAGGCCAGGGGGCTCAGCCTCGCCGTGCTCTGTTGATCTGTTGATCCGTCCACTCTAGACGTAGGAAGTAGAGCAGTAGGGCACATGGAGCACCAACGGGTATTTCTGTCATAGTTCCAGAAACACCCAAAGGGTTTCCTGATCCACTAGAACCGTGTAATGCTCGAAGTTGGCGCCCTTCGGACTTTTGGCGTTGCGTTGGGTTGCGCATCCAGTTGGAAGACTTCCGCGCACCATGAATGATTTCTCATGATGTCGGCGAGTTTGCTACTTAATCGCGCGCGTTGACTCGTCGACACTTTATTCCTTCGCTGAAATGACACTCGAAGGATCTTTTCGGCAGCTCCTTGGCTTGTGATCCAGGTAAACTAAGCCAGGATCGCTCAAATGGCTCGCAGAAGTCAAAACACTTTCCAGAGTGCAGAGAGCTTGTGTATCTTGGCCAGATATATTCACGGTCATGTCTCAGTCTGCCCTTCCAAAGCACATTGTGACCTGTCCATAGAGCCGCATAATGGACTGCCGTCTCCCATGCTTAATGGGCAGGTCGCGATGGCGATGCACCGATGGTTTTCAACGAGGGTTTGCACTGGTCGTTCTGAGAGACCTGCAATCTGATCGATGCGAAAAGGAGCCGAAACCTCAAGCGCGAGGCTGACCTCCCGTCGACGAATGCTGACGGACGTCGCAGACCAGTCGTTGGCTATTTTCCTGGGATTCAAAACTACAAGTCTGCCACCTTCATGCTGATGTTTTTTTTAGTCCTTGTGTATATAAGAAGACTATGCCAAACTGTGTCGTTCCAGCGCTTTTCTAGCCGAAGCTGGAGACCACCCCCACAAGACGTGTGCCTTGAACAGTTTCATGTCCGCCAATCTTCGTTGTCGAGCTGAAATGGAAACCCTGTGGCCTCTCCCTCTACTGATCTTCTTCCCCCCCCCCCCTCCACTGCCTCGTGGGATTGACAAGAATGGTGGAGCGTCCCGCGCCGCCGCAGAATGGGGAGGACTCATGTTCCTCTTGACATTGTGATTCACGTTGCTCTCATAGCCAACCATGGAGTGGCAGCAGCGGGGATAGAGACCACCCTTTCTCTGGTATTGTGCGCTTTTTCTCTTATATTTTGTGGGTAAGTTACTATTCGAGACCATTCCCCGAGGAGAAGAAGGTCGATCGGATAACCCTCGAGAGATAAAACGATATGAACCTATTTTACTTGATTTCGACGCCGACGTGACTCGTTATTCGCTCCATGGCTGGGATATACAGTCCCCCCCCCCTTCCCCGTACTTCTCCCTCCTCTCTATCTCTATCTATTCGTACACAAGAGGAGATGATTGGCCAGCAGAGCCAGATCGTCACATCTTTTTCCACGTGCCCTCTCAGCTTCCTTGTTATTTCGTTTTATACATAGAACCAACGATGTCTCGCGCATCTTTTACGCCCAAGTATCACCGCTACGAACATGAGGCTTCTTCATCCCCGTGGCCGACGGACGTATGTTGCTCTTCTCCTCCACCCGCACTTCGTACTCGCGCTTGATGCGAATCTCGTGCTCGGGGAAGATTAGCCCATTCTCCGAGCCCTGCCTGCTCGGCCCGCGCGCCGTCTCGCTTCCTCCTTCGTCCGACTCTTGCACGATCCATTTGCTGTCGGGCTGTACATGCGATCGGGTTTGAGAATGGGTGCTCTTGAGTTCCATCGTGTGGCCTGCCCTCGAGAGCTTGGAGCGGAGGCCACCGGTACCGCTGCGTCCGGCTCCACTGCTGCCGAGGCCATTTTCCTGGTCCGCGCCGCGGTGGTCGATAAAGGTGCGGATGAAGATGCGGATGATCGGAGCCGTACTGGCGATAGGGATGCAGTAGTTCTCGATCCTGGAACATTGTCTTGTCAGTCACTTTTGGCCATGGCTTTGCGGGTGGGATGTGTCTGCAGGACGTCTGATGGGCTGTCTTTGCGCTTACTTGACCCAGAGAATGAAAGGAACAATGTTCCAGGTAAAATCCAGTCTGTTACCCAGAGCTGTGAGAAGGTATGTCTTGACTATCGAGGCAACAGCCGACAACACCAATGGGCCGCAGATCAACGCTGTCTGCCAGAGTCGTTGATTCCGGATCCTATGATCGAGTCTCTTAAACCGGGTTACGATCGAATTTTCGCTGCTGTTCTTAGCTCCCCGGAACAAGAACTGCCAAAGCTCGAACCACGCCAGGTAGGCCAGCGCGAAGTCGATGGTACAGTTGAACGCTGGCTCATCGTTAGATATACTCTTCGAACGCGAGATACGAAACCACTTACCGCCCTGGACATAGCCTATAGTTGTTTGCACTGACGGTGACTGGCACACAACTGAGCCGTCCGCCGGTAGAGGATCCCACATGTAATGGAAATAAGAGGCCCGATCGACTAGTCGATATGGATGGGGTCCGCACTGCAAGATGATTTGAAGGATTGTGACGAGGTTGACGACGATCTGTACAACGAGGCAGGCGATGACGATGATTCGGAGACTCCTTCGGTTCTGTGCGAAGCATGTGTATAGGAAAATAATCACGCCCGTTCGAGACCACATCGACGCAGAAATGCCCAAGGGTTGAGAGACAAAGTCATATTTCATGGCTTGGTTCCTTTCTATCGGCGTCAGATAGAAGAAATGCCTTCCCAATCCCCATTCCCAGCTGTGTGATAGTTAGCATCAGAACCCTGGACAACTGAGTCAAGAGATTGCGGGCGAAGTAACTTGCCTCTTCCAAACCAATGCCATGTGCCCGATATCAAAGGCATATCCGAGAGCGAAGAAGAAGTCCTCCAGACCCCATACTCGCTGCGGCCTCGAGACGGACGGAAGCAGCCACGAGATCCAAGCTTTGACGCCATATCGGAACAAGAGCACGAAGAATACAAAGCCGGTCAAGACCCAGCATGCAACAAAGATATTCGTCCCTGATAAATGTCAGTCTCCCCTCTATGATATCGTCAAGTATACGACTCTCCTTACCTCTGTTATCATCAGGACCGTCTGGTCTTGGGACTTCCATGTTTCTGCTCGTTGAAGTTAGTACTGTACCACAAGAGTCGTGCGATTGGGAGAGGGTCGCTCGATCTTCCCCAGAGATTTTCAACTGACACTCCTATATAATATCGCCAGTCCCTTGCAGATGCTCCTCGACCAGCAAAAATGACGGACTGACAGCATCCGAGAGCATGTTCTTCGTGCAATTGGACGAACCTCTCGCCACGGTTGTGACGAAACCAACTACTGTAGACTGGGGGGGCGCTGATTTTCCACCATGCAGACCAACGCACCTCGGTTGCAGGTCTCGACCCAGGTAGGAAAGGGACTGAGCCTCGAATACGGGAGCGGACAGGGTCTGGGCTCCCTAGTCTTTGGTCACACACACCGCATGAATCTTGCGACACAAGGCTGGCCCACCTAGAGGTGCTACTGGGGACTCTAGTGGCCGGAGACATGGCCAAGTGCTGATCCTTCGCTCGCCCCTTTGTCCATGTTAGCGTTTCTTGAAAAGAAAAAAGACTACAATGGTAGGTGAGACCCTAGAGGCCATGGAAACTCCCTAAATAGGTGAAGTTTTGTGCTTGGACGCTTGAGCGCTCCCTCTATTCTCGGCCGGCAGCGCAGTAGTTGAGAAGAAGGAGATAAGAGGGTTACGTGCATTGATACCTACAGTATCGTACGGATGCCTGAATTGTGGAATCAGTACGTATACAATATGTCAAGACGATCAGGCGAGTGTCACTTACAATACCACCTCTTTGCTACCGCGACATGGGCAAATCAAGGGGCGTACATTAGTTTCTATCTACTATGAGGTGTACTCTGTACTGACTAGGAAGAATTCCGAGCACTTGACGCTAGGTCTGTTTGTAGCTGGTGGTACTAGCCAGTTCAGTGTGTTTGCTCCTTGCGGGGTAGAACGAGGCGCCCTTAGTGCCGAAAGGTTGACACCAAAGTAAGGCCTCCCACCGGACCGTCCAGCCCGTTGACGGTCGATCTCACCACTGCGCCCCACTTGTCAACCACTCGGTATAGAGAGGAACAATACTTTTAGAGGCGGGCGAGTTCCTCGCTGTCTAAGCTCGCCTGCGTTGATTTTAAGTGACACGCTTCCATCACTACCAGTAAGGTATGCGTCCAGTCAGGCCACAAGGTCCCCGGAAAGGCCTCGCATGTTGGTTCCCTTGCGAAAAATATACCCCAGGTAAGTCAACGTGCAACAATACTTACCTGCCTCTCAGAGGGGCAGAGATGTCAGCCCCACGGTTGTCCATTGTAGCCAGAGGACAATGAACATTATGAAGCATGTTAGCAATCACTGCCCTCCCTCTCAGAAGAGTACTGGTACCATCACAATCTGTCGCGTTGAGCTTCGACAATTCCGATCGGCGTTTCGGAAGAGGTGTCCGCTACTGACCGGGAAAAGCTCCCAGAAACAGAAGCGGTACTCCTTCTAGGTCGAGACACAACAAAAATACGGAGCTATTACCCTTGAGATCTAGGCAGTGGCATCGGATGATCCCAGCCTCCTCATCTCAATCAGGCCCTCTCCAGCAACGGGATATGCCTCGAAAGTCACTTCCAAGCCCACTAAAGCTGCCATCTGCTTCCACTCGCGACTGCTCCTGATTCTCCCGGCGAACAGTTGAATCATGGTGGCGTGCATCTTCCCATAGGTGGAATTCTTTGTGAATTCGTGAACCAGCATGCGGGAGTGGGGCGCCATCGCCTGTGAAACCTTCTTCATCAACCGCAACGCCTCAAGGTCCGACAAATTGTGGTAGATGTGTGTCAAGCTATACACGAGAGCCCCCTTGATGGGCTCGGGAGATTCGTCTTTGAAGTTCCAGCGTTGGATTGTCAGTTCTTCAGCGTTCGTTTGATCGGGGTGATCTTCCTGCAACACAAGATTCTCGCTCTTCAGGTGCGGGAACGCTTTTTTCACCTCGAGAAGCATCTCTCCTCGTCCGCCTCCAATGTCGACCACGGCGATGCTGCTGGCGTCACTCTTCAAAACAGAGCCCAGATCATACCCGAAGGATTTCACGCGATCTGGCATTGAGCCAAAGCGATCAAATTTGCCCTCCATGAAGGATGAGAAGCTCGGCATACGACCTTGCATGTGCATTATGGAATAGGTGTGCTCATTGACAAACCTCTCCTCGCCAATCATTTTGTAACCATACTGCGTGGGTGTTTTGTTCTCCTGGAATGGGTATTCGAAATTTGTGTCTCGAAGTTGTCTCATCAAGAAAGCTGCGGACCAAAGTGGCTCTGTCGTGCTTCTAGGTTCAGTACTTGATGGCTTTGGTAAGTGGCTTCGCTTACAAATGTAACATGCCGTGGAGGGAGGATGGTACTGCCACCATGTGAGCAGTGATAGAATTGGCCTGAAATGTTCTATCATCGACCAGGTCTACCAGGCCCAGGCCGGCCATCGCGAACATGGTGTCCTCTACCAACGTCAGACACCCTCGAGAACGAGGCATTTTTCCATACCTGTTAGCCGCAAACCTGTGTTCATAGTCAGCAAGTCTTCGCCATTGTGGGCAGATGTCATACATAGCGGTGAGTGCTGTTTGTCCTCGTCGCTTCTTTCAGCGTCGGAGGCTTTGGTCAACTCTTCGGCTGTCGCGATTGGCCCAATCCGATTGAGCAGGGTGAAGAAATTGAAATGGATAGCCACCGGGATAAAACCAAGGGCTGCAATCTGTGTTCATCGTTGTTATTTTGGCGAGTGCATCTTTACCAGGTCTCAATGTTCTTACTGAAGTTACAGTGGACGCCAGAACCGCCCCTGGTTCGCTCATTTTCCTTGAAATCGAGAAGAAAGCCAGGCACAAACAGCCAAACACACGAGATCCGCGAGCTTGATCGCATTAGAACGTCTCAATCTCGCCGTCTCATGGCCAAAGGGCTATTACAAGTACCGAGAATGCCACTGTCCCCGAAGTGGACAATGATGTTTCATCTGTGCGTAGTCGAATTTCGGTTCCGAGTTTCCGGCCGTGCTTCGTCAAAATACCCTGTCTTTCTGCTTGTACCGTGACAGCGGCGTCAGGTTAACCGTTTTTGGGTATCAGGGTAAATCAACCCCACTTGCGAAAGGCACTAACCTTTCCGTTCCGAGCGACCCACTGTTTTCAAGTGGACTCTTATGGCGGTGCTGTACAATAGCTGCTGGCAACGCAGGAGGAACCGGCGTCCGGTGGACTGATCTTCCTCGCTTATCCTTCAAGCCTCCGGAACTTTCCCGACCTTGACTTCCAAAAAGACCAAAAGACTGTAGTTTGTTAATGGAAGAACTATTGTTCCGTTCCTTAACCGGGGTATTCTATCGTCTTTCCTCCCAAGCCACTAACTGGAGGGAGGACGCCTCAAAAAATCCAGTACCCAATTTCTCTAGAGAGACTGCCGTGTTTCCACTGACGACCAGGATACGTTCTCGTCTGACTCTCTTTAACCTTGCAAGACGGTTTGGCGAGAAGCAAGCTAGCGCCCAAGTGCTTAGCTAGCCGCTTTTCCATTGGAAGTGTTCATGCTCCCTGAAGCGCACTGTGCTTTATCTCGCGTTGCAGGCCCTAAACCTCGTCCCTGCCGGCCCACGTAACCCCCTGTCCTATCAGCATTCCCTTTCCTTGAAAGCTACGTTCATTTCCATGGGCCCCTCGCCGGATCTGCACGATTTTGCCCTGAAATGAATGTGTCCCCGGGATCGTTGCAAGGCGGCTCATGCATCTATCGAATCTTAGCTGCTGCCGGCTGTTGAAATCCTGGCCGGGAGTGCTCAAGCCCATCCGTGCTGTCGCCCCCTAAGTCAGGCAGAGATGTCTTTTCTTCTCGAAGGGGGGAGGGGGGGTCGGAGTTTCGGATTTCAGACCCCAGCCTGGTGCCTTGAGAATGAGGTCGAGTCTTTTTCCAGTAGCAAACTGCTTTCGCCTATTGCTGCGCATGGAGCATTATCTGACCACGTTGTGGAATTTGACTGACCACGTTGTGGACGAGCTCGTGGTTCCCGGGATCTAAAGAACAGGAGTTTGGAGTTTCGATCTCAAATACTTTTCTCTTCACTGTCTCCTCCTCATTGTATTTCCCTGACTACCACAGTCTCATATTCCAGTAGCGATACTCTTGGCTTCTTTTACACTTCGCGGCAAGCATGAGTACTCCTTCCTCTTCATCTGGGGCCGTCGAAAAGCCGCAGCCGCCCGAGTCAGAGAAAATCGTCAACCCGGGGAGCACGGTTGTCGCCCTCAGCAATGAAAACGACCAGCCAAGCCTGGACGGGCTGGGTTCAGACGACAGCCAAAGTCCCCAGAATTGGAGTCCGTGGAAGAAGCGACTGTTGTTCCTCGCATTGATGTCGAGTTCAATACTGGCCGATGGGTATGTTTGTGGCCCCTTCCCACAACACCAAAGCTGACATTCTCGATAGAGGTATGACCTATGGCGCAACTCTTGTGGCTCCTCAGGCCTTTGAATGGCACACCTCCATATCACACTCGGCCACTTCTCTCAATTACGGTATCCTGCTCCAGGGTTTCGGTGGCATCATTGCTGTGCCTTTCATTGATGCATATGGACGGCAAGTCTTTTGCGGACTGAGCATTGCGCCATGTTGCTAATTCCCTTTGCAGTCTCCCTGTCTGGCTTTATCCACAGATAGTCACTCTCTTTGTCGTCCTCGGCTGCGTCTATGCAGAATCATGGTCCGTTTTCACGGCATTACGCTCCCTTCAAGGTCTTTTCGGAACAGTACCTCAAGTGATTGGCCTGCCAATCATCCACGACATGTACGCCCCGCACGAATGGCCACGATACATCAACATTTGGGGAACAACGTTCCTGGTCGGACCCTTCCTCTTCCCTGCCATAGCCGGATATATTTTGGAGGGCACTGGCTCCTGGCGTGACTCCTTCAAAGTCCTGACAGGTTTCTATGGACTCTCTACGCTGATGATCCTAGCATTCGGCTACGAGACGTACTACAACAGATCGACAGGCTTCCAGCAAACCAACCGGATCAAGTCGCTTTTAGGAATCGGAAATACCAATCTTCCAAAAGCAAAGACACTCTCAGAGTCGAGTATCAACATAATCAAGCTCACCTTCACGCTACCCCTCCTCCTCATTGGTCTCTCCACAATGATCAACTTCACATGGCCCATCGGAATCACCACGACAATTGACACCTTTGTCCGAGCGCCCCCTTACCTGTTCGACAATGTTGAAGATGCTTCCATCCGTTTCGCGGGTGTCATCGGCGCCATTCTGGGCTTCTGCTTTGGTTACTTCTTCAACGAATGGATCTACAACGGATCTGGTGGAAAGCGAAAGGCCCACTGGCGCAGTGAATACAGACTGCATGGCGTGTGGTTCCCTATCGGCAGCATGGTGTGTGGCCTGCTGACGTACGGCCTCACACTCAACTATGGAAAAAGCTGGGTCGGACTTGCCTTTGGCTGGATCATGGTGAACATCGGCTTGGTCGGCTCCATGGTTGCCATCACTGCCTTTGCCCTCGACAAGTATCCCACCCACGCTGCTGTGGTATCGGCCATTATCAACATGTGGCGCACATGTGGTGGATTCTCCGTCGGCTATTTCCAGCCGAGTTGGATTACAAAGGACGGTTTGGCTGCGGTCTTTGCGACACAGGCTGCTGTCGTTGCTGTCTGCGCTGTGCTCTTCATCGGACCAGCCATTTGGCTTGGAAGGCGTGCTGCAAGCCGCAAAACTGCGGCTGATGTCACCGGTGAGGCATGACCTTTGTTTTTCGATTGATTTAGAATATTAGGGAAAAGGAAAGATTGAAAGAATTTCTGTTCTCTTCTTCATTTGTGTATAGGTGGTGTAGTCTCCAATCAGACGAGGTCATACGAAGAATGAAAAAACAAAAACAATTCTTTCGCCCACAGAAGACCTCACCCCGAGGGATATTCTTTTACTGAGGCAAGCCCTTTTGCCGGCAATACCTGGTAGACGGATCGACTTCTCTTTTTCTCCATTCCCCACCACGTGCAACTCATGAGCTCAAGAGCAACAAACAGACAGTAGAGAGTTGGAGGCAGCCGCGTAGTCCATGTCTCTATATGTCTTGCTAGAATGCCGCATGTTGATAACCAGAGATAGATTGAAATACTCACACCTTACGTGAGGACCCGCCCAACCGGCCTTGGGGCGGCATTTTCAGAATCTGGGGTATGCCAGAAGAGGTGCGCCAGCCACCAGGTATCAGTTCTTGCCCTGCCATAGCCAAATTACTGTCTATAAAGTCTAGGCCTCCCCAGGGACCCTGTAATAGAGAACGATGAACATTGTCATCCCCTCGGAGTCCGAAAGGCATCCATCTTGAGACCTAACAGGCCTCTAATCGTCTCGAAGCGTGAAGAAGGCAAAAACGTGATCTAGACACTGGATGACATAGGGAGATGAGTAAAGCTAATCTCTGCTCAATGGAAGTAGGCGCAGATGACGCATGTCAAATTCAGTCCAACTTTTCTTTACATAGTCCCAATCCCTGGAAGTTCGAAGAAACACACTGTCCTTACAGAGCGAAGCAGAGCTCCAAATCTCCATCTCATTGACACCAGCTGGGCGTGCTATGGTCCTACCCTGGCAAGCAACGTGGGCGAAGGTATGTATTGTAGTGCGCTGTTGCGATAAGAGTAACGGAACAGCGAAATTGAGTTCGGGGCGACGTTGTCGTACGCGGGACTGTAGTGGACGACTGAGTGTCCTTCGGAACTCCCAAATGCTGGGAATATGGCCAGAAATGGCGCTAGGAGTATAGAAACGACATTGTCAAGAAACATCTAACGACAGGCAATGTGCCAACGAGGGATATCTCGAGACATCGGATCTGGTCGGCGTAAAGACAGCCGGGCCCACAGATAGGCATCAGCGCGTGGCCGCTGCCCACGTGGAAGTGGCACGGATGCTACTCGACAGGGATGTCGATGTCAATTGCTGGCTGTGCTGTACGCAAGGGAACCAATATGGCAATCCACGACGGGCGACATCCAAAGGTTGCCTCGCGAAGAGACAGTAGTGTAGGAGCTTAATGGACTATTGGATTGTATTAGTCCACCTAGACCGGCAAGGAAATGTCTCCGCGATACAATATTGTACCATCGACCACTGTACAGACAACACTGCACTTGATACACAATCAATCTTCGGGATCCTTGTACAGATGGAGTGTGCAATTTCGTACTTGGCATAGTGTTTAGGGTTCGCCACAGAGTCGAGAAGTCCTCCCCGCCTTGAGTCTAGAGAATCAGCCTGTCCCGGTTCGGCGGAGCCACAATGTGGGATGAACCAGGGCACCGGAGTAGTCTTCACATCGGGGCTTGCCAGAATGTTCTGTGTCTCTGGCCCACGCAAATGTATTCATTGTTCAACCCTCCCGGAAGCTTGCCAGCTCGAACGGCTTTTGGAGCAATCTCGCTTCATGGAGTCAATCCTCTTAGTTTTCCAGTTCGAAGTGCGCGAAAAGATGATGCTGGACTGAGGCAGTCATCCCGACCCTTCACTAAAATGCCACCGTTTCAGCGCTTGCACCTTCGCTTAACAAAGACCGACCACCAATAGTTTCTACTAGTGGTAAGCCATACTCGCAGGCTGTGAGCGGAAATTTACCTTCAAGCTACCTCGAAGCTACTTCCCGTGTGTGCAGATCGAACATAAATCGGCAACGTGCCCATCTCACATGGCTTTTTGTCTTCTCAGATCTTCATCTCAAACCCTATCCTCACACCTTATCCCCAAACCTTCTTCGCCACTATGGGTATCTTCTCTCGGATCAGCATTCTGTTAATGTTCATGTCATGGACGGGCCTGTGTCTGCCTACGGACGGCCCTTCAAGCTCTCTTGTCGAACGGACCACCTGCACGAGTAGTTGCAAATATGCGAGAAAAGAATGGTAAGCAATCCTTCCTCCTCAAGAAGTACCGTATGGTCCAAGACCTGTCTGGCGGTCCCGGTCACTGTGGTGCTGTCGGCATGGAGGTGTCCGTCGTTCTGACAAAGTACTAGGGGCTCCCTGACCAAGACGCAGCGAACATCATACATCAACGCTGTGAAATGCCTGCAGAAGCGTCCGTCGATTATTCCCGCAGGGCTTGTTCCCGGAGCCAAGAGCAGATACGACGACTTCACGGCCACCCACATCAATCAGACTCTCTCGGTCCATCTTTCAGGCATCTTCCTTTCCTGGCATCGCGAATTCATCTTCCTCTTTGAGCAGGCCCTACGGAACGAATGCGGATATACCGGGTACCTACCGTGAGTTTTTCTTTCCCGCACGAAGTCCCAAATGGGTTTGTTGTATCTGACTCCTCCAGATATTGGAACTGGGCTCTGTGGGCCAGCTCTCTTTCCACCAGTCCCATCTTTGATGGAAGCGCTACCTCCCTCTCCGGCGATGGCGTTTACCTACCAGACCAGGGACCGTACACCGTTGGGAACGGCGAGACTCTCCCGCATGGTACGGGCGGGGGCTGCGTTACCAGCGGACCGTTTAAGGACTTGACTGTCAATTTGGGGCCGTTCGATTTCAGCATCGTCTTCACCGGAGCCTTACCGTCAAATTGGACCGCATACAATCCTCACTGCCTCTCACGCGACCTGAACAACTATATTGCCACACGTTACGGCAACCAGACGGCAATTGATTTTCTCATGGCCAAGAAAACAATAGCGGACTTTCAAAACACCATGTCCGGTGCGGACATCAATCTCGGCGTCCACGGTGGAGGACACTTTTCGGCGGGAGCAACTCTGCTTGATTTCTTTGCCAGTCCTTCGGACCCCGCTTTCTATCTGCACCACGGTATGATAGACCGTGTCTGGACGCTGTGGCAAGCGGCGGATCCGGCAAACAGGGTGAACGCTCTGGACGGTACTAGCACCATCTTCAACGGAAATGCCACACCGAACGTGACCCTGGACACGGTGGTCGATTGGGGTTATCTATCGCCAACGAAGAAGACACTCAGACAGTTGGTCAGTGTTACGGCAGGGGACTTCTGCTACGGATACCAGTAGTGGGATTGGGTTGGTGCATGCAATTTCAAGTTTTCCATGTTTTTACGGAGTATATGTCGAAATATTGAGCATAGCACACGAGTCAGATATATCAGGTGATGGCTCGGATCTAATAATAAACCCTGAAGTTACGAAACCAAAGTATCTTTTCCTTCCGGGACGAACCATCCAAGTCCAGCAGCGGCATTCTCGCAAACTGGTTGACCCGCAGTTTCCGAATGGGCCGGGTGTCGAGCCCTGGCATCCTGTGCTACGAGATATTTCCTTCACGTTCAAACCTTCAAAGCAAGTAACGCAGCAAGGCTGTCGGAAGCCTCTTCGCGCTGCTCACGTGACTGGAGCATGATCTCGAGGATTATCTCCCAGGAGGCATCGAAGACATGTATGTACAGCTTCTCCTCTGACAGATTTCTTGACAACACAGCTCCTCGTTGTTGCCCTCGCACGGAGCGCAAACCTCATCTTTGACTGCCTGGTTGCGAGGGTCGCCAGAGGGTTCCGTGGCTTTCCTGGTTAGAGGCTTACCTTACCAAGGGAAAGCGGGAGTTTATCGGTACAATTCGCTACGATGAAGGAGTACGGCATCGAGCGATGGACAGTCGAGCCACAGACCTCGCTTCGTACCGTCGTATGTCATCTCGCCGTACCATCACTTCTTCTGAGATGGTGGTTTGTGCTTCCTCACCTCTCTAGGCTTCAGGATCCTCTCTGCGGTAATAAGCCCCCGGGTTGATTCGCGGGACAACTTCTAGTAAGGAGAGCCTGACGTGTGAGCTGACCATGCAAAGCGACAGAAAGAAGGCCCTCACAAAAGCCGCGGCACTGACCGCCACCATACTCGGCGGGGAAATTTCCCTGCAGGCTGCGTTTAAACGTGAAAGGAGGGTTGAAGAGTTGATGGCTCGGGTTCGGCCGCGCTCTGCGACCCGTGGAATACAGACAGTGCCATACTGTACAGTACTGTTACGGCTTCACAATGAAATATTTTCAACTGCCAGTAAGCCAGCCGCTCCTCATGCCGAGATTCGGTGTAGGGGCTTGTGAGATCCCGTTCGCCCTGGAACAGTCCTAGTAATCAGGGAGATTGCTTGTGGTGGTGGTGCAGGGTAAAGTACTCTGGAGCACCCTCGAGACGCGGCCAGCATCTATCAATGTCGTCGTCGCTTGAGCGGGACAGGCCTAGTAATTCTGCCTCTACGGAGAGCTGAGTCAGTCTTCGGTGGCCTGGAACAACCTCGGAGCTGTGCTCCGCCAGCCTCGCACGTGACCGCCGCTTCCTCGCCGCCGATTGGCTGGCTGCCAATGTTTGATAGACGGGTCCCTGTGCCTTGGTGCCCCTTCTTTTGCCTCCCTCCTTTTCACCCGCTGCTGGTCCAGGCTTCCGAGCCGCAGTGTACTCGACGGGTCAGCCTATCACAACTTGTGCCTTCAACTTCGAGTTTCAAGTTAGCGGGCACGCCTGCAATGACTTCTCCCAGCCACCGTTTCAACCCAGGCGCGAACGCTCTACAGACTCCTCTACCTTTCCAGGTTCTCCCTGCTCAGCTCGCACGCCGGCTTACGAACGTGAGATGCAGATCTCTCGCAAATGGTGATAATCTCACCCTTAATCAGGGTTCTCGTCGGCCATTCACACTGCAGATACCACATGTTTTCGTACGCCTTATCATTCCAGAGGAGTCAAACCCTTGCAGAAGACTTGTTTCTGTGTGTGAACGCCTGACTAAGTACCCGCGTCCTTGACCCGCATATGTGTGCAATGCATACGAACTCAAGGACATGTGCCCCTTTTTACTGCACACCCCTCTGCACAATCGACATGTCGCAAGGCTGGCGTCCACGCGCGCCATCCGTATGGAGAACTTTGACACCCACGGGAATCCATCCCATTTGCTTGCCAGGGCGAATGTATCCGTGCAGTCCTGCAAGACGCGTTGAAAGACTTATCTTCGATTCGGGTAAACCCACGGGAATGGGCCTTGTCTGCCAGTGCCCAGATCCACCCCTTTCCCTGTCATTTACCAATACCTGCTGATCACTTTTTATACAAGAACCTCACGTCCAGCTTGAAGGGTGGGTGACTTGTACCCCTTCTCTCGCAGCAGTCATTCATTCATTCATTCATTCTTTGCAGCCGGTGCTCCAAGCATTTACTTGCGTCCATTCCTTGATATACCAGTATACTTGCATTTGCAGGCCTGTCATTCCTTCTTTATCTTCGCCGTCGCTCTCTTGACCCTTTTGTCCTACACGTTATGCTTTCCAGATCTGTTTTGGCCCTTGCAGGGTTCATCTCCCTCAGCACGGCAGGGTACGTGCTTGAGGATGACTACAGCGGAGACCAGTTCTTCTCGATGTTCGATTTTTTTACCGTAAGTTACGGATCATAGCCTTACCATTCGATACGTGGATGGAAGGGGCACTTTGGAGATACTTACAGGCCACCAGGACCGAGATCCCACAAATGGGTACGTGACCTACGTCGACCAAACGACTGCTCAGAGTAACAACCTCATCGGCACCAATAACGGCTCTGTATACATTGGAGTGGACCACACCAACGTCGCCAGCGGCCTTGGCCGCAGCAGCGTCCGTCTAACAAGCACCAAAACCTACACTCACGGCCTCATCATCCTCGATCTTAACCACATGCCAGGCGGCATCTGCGGGACATGGCCGGCCTTCTGGACCGTCGGTGCCGACTGGCCCAACAACGGAGAAATTGATATCATTGAAGGCGTGAATTCCCAGGTTGGCGACGCGATGACCCTACATACGAGGGAAGGATGCAGTATTTCCAGCAGCGGTAATTTCTCAGGGTATGCATTGACGACAGACTGTTATGTCGATGCGGAGGGGCAAGCCTCGAATGCGGGATGCCAGATCCTGGACTCCAACGACCCTGCAAGCTACGGCACGCCGTTCAACGAGGGGCAAGGGGGCGTCTTTGTAACGGAGTGGACGAGCGCGGCTATCAAAAACTGGTTCTTCCCACGAGGCAGCGAGCCGTGGGACATTGCGTCTGGCTCGCCCGACCCGAGCTCAGGGTCGTGGGGGACACCCGTGGCGTCATTTTCAGGCGGATGCGATATCGACAGCTTCTTCAGCAACCACCAGATCGTGTTCGACACCACGTTTTGCGGTGACTGGGCCGGCAACGTTTGGAGCACGGACTCGGTCTGCTCGTCCAAGGCCAGCACCTGCGAGGACTTTGTCCAGAACAACCCGTCTGCGTTCGCGGATACGTACTGGTCCGTGAACTCGCTCAAGGTGTACCAGAACCCCTTCGGATCGTCGAGCAACGGCACGACCCATGGTCCACCGTCGCCCTCGATCCCTGTCAGCATCCCGCCTTGGAGTTCAGCCGTCTCGGGCGGATGGCCTTCTGCTGCTGCCTCTACCGCCACCGCCACCGCCACCGCCAGTGACGCCCCAACTGCCGGATTCAGTCGTGGCGGCAACGGCCGCTTCACAAAGACTTGGGGCGGCAATAATGGTGATGGCGGTGCCGGTGCTTTCGCCGCCACGTCCACGGCGGCCGACGCTTCTCAACCTGAAATCACGTCCGGACCTTCGTTGGGAGGTGGTGACGGTGGTTCATTTGCGACCGACTACACCACCGTCACAGCACTAACCTACGGTGACTTCTCCGGCCGCCAGGGCCAAAAAGTCAAGCGCGATGCCTCCCCCGGAGTCGGGGAGATTGACCAGGTCAGGGGACACATGCAGACGCACAGAAAGGTGCACCGGCACCTGTTCAAGCACGTTGGCTTGGCTGGGATGGGCCCTGGGTCTGCTGCTGAAGAATGAGGAACCAAAATGGGCGGCCCTATCTTTCTCTCTTTCTGTCTACCTTCTACAGTCCCCACTTTCAGCGGCCCCGGGGGCCTCCTTCTACCTCGCTGACTGGAGCTCGCTACGAGTTCTGTAAGGAGAAAAGCGTACAACACTTGTTAGATATGTCCATAGCTACATACTGGAAGAAGCCACGGTGCGCTGGACCGCGCCGATCGTTTTGCGTCTTGTACATGTCATGGGTCATGGGTCATCGGATCTCGGGGAGGTATATAGATTCATGGGTCATAGAGAGGCACGTGGATTTTATGGGTCATGGGGAGGATATACATGGGTTCAAGGGTCATGGCGAGGATGTACATGGATTCAAGGGTCATGGCGAGGATGTACATGGGATCAAGGGTCATAGCAAGAGATACATGGGTACAAGGGTCACGGAGAGGCATATCCTACGGATTCAAGGGTCATCGAGAGATGCATGGGTTCAAGGGCCATGGAGAGGCATATGGATTCATTCCACGACGGGTTACGAAGAGGGTACGTAGATGGATTTTATGGGTCATGAACATTGAAGAGGCTACATGGATTTCATGGGTCATGAGGAGTTCACAATACATGAATTTTTATGGGTCATGGGAGAGGTACAACTCACAAGTCCCGTGTGTACATGGATCCATGGGTCACGAGGGACCGGGGGGGTTGATATCAAATCAGGCATCACTTTCAGGCCACACCACCGCGCCATATCGAAGTTACGTGTATGCTGAGCAGAGGCAAGATTTTCTTCGTTTCTCTTGCGAGAACACCGTCGTCTCACCCCGGCCGCTCTCTACCTCGATGTCTGCCCAACAAATGGTCTGTGCTTTGCCCGCACCCCTCCCAATCACCCTTTTATCACGGGTCAAAAGTTGGGCAAAAAAAACCAAAACGTCACGTCACGCATGTCACGCATGCCCCAAATGCATAAAAAAGACATGGACTACTTCCAACTTGTACGAGGGTGCACGACACGAACACGACGGACACGGACACGGACACGGCATAACGTGACATGAGGCCTCGTTGCCGTACAGCTTTTCGCGCGCACGCGCGCGTGGGCGCTGTGCAATACGTACAAGACTACCACTACTACCACTACTCCATCTAGCCAAGGTAGGTACGGGGGGAGTGACTGGGTTGACTGGTCTGGGGAGGTGGTGTGTGTATGTACATGAGGAACGCGACACGTTCGTCGTTCGTCACCTTCTGTTCCGCATCCGCATCCACATCCCGCGTCGACGTCCCTCACTCTACTCGTAGCACACCTCCTTGTCCCTGTACTTTGTGCCTGAAGTGCACTCGAATTTTCACATTTCATGGTTATGGGGTATGCATTTCATTTCATGCCTCCGAGAGAGAAAGTACGAAGTATACTTTACACGGTTGATTGGTTGATTGGTTGATTGGTGGATTGATGGATTGAACACGACCCACAGGTCTCTACGAAGCATGGAAACATGAGATAGATATGGCAAGTCCAGCATAGCATAACACGGCAAAGTCAAGCGTAGCAATATAGCAATATAGCAATAGCAATACCATACGTGTATCAAGTCCGGCAGCGTGCCTTGCCCAGAAACAGCAGTTCATCTTTCTCGAGGTGGAGCACAAATATGCTGGAAAGAAAATAGGGAAATCCATCATTACTCCCAAGAGCACGAGCGTGAGTCCTCTGTAGGGATATGCGTGCCTAGGTAGGTAGGCCTAGGCAGTAGGCCGTACTCGTGGTAGGTACTGTAGTCGCTGTCTCTATATTGTTGTCCGTATGGATACTTGTGCGTTAGGTGCTACTTTCTGTACCTAGGTACCTAGGTACCTTGGTAGGTACAACTGTATACTCCACTATAGTGATAAATTTTGCAGCGGTACTCTGTGTACATCCGTTCTCTGTACCTGCAAGATTCACGTACTATAGTAATCCTTTTCTCTCATCGTGCTCTCTCTTACTAATACCAACGTCCGGTCCATAGTACTCCGTATGACTTTGTCACATACAAGAGTGTCCTTGTAAGAGACGACATTAGTTACTCTTCTTTCCGTTACAAATCGCCGACCACCTGTATTTGGATTGTATGGCACCTCTTACTGAGTAGGTATGAATTGATAAAATAATAATATGATATGGTATGGTATGGTATGGTATAGTATGGTATAGTACGGTGGGTATCACAAGGTAGAAACACACTAATGCTAAAGACCCAAAAAAGAGATCCTTTTTCTTCGCCTTGTATGCATGCATGATATGCTAAAACGCATCGCCAATGAACGACAAGATTCAAAATACTCAAATCACTAGTTGAGCACGTAGTGACCAAAGTGTTCTGTGTTTGTGGCATAACACAAATGCGCTCACGACTCACTCACGTTTTACGTCGTTTGTAACCCTCCCTAACATCACCAACGTTCATAAGTCGTGTCATTGTCACCAAAAGGACTACCTCTTCCAGCAGAGGGACTGTTTTGAGCGGCAAAGTAATTCAGTGAATGGCCTGCAGCACTGCCACCACCTCGACTGCCGCCAGCCGTGGGACCGAAGTCGAATCGCTCAAACTCGTTTAGACTGCTCACGTCCGATTTGGCATCGATGTCTTCGTACTCGTCGGGATCGGACACGATACTTGCTCGGTCCGAGTGATAAGAGGTTGAGACTTGTCGGCTCTGTGGTAACGAACCGACTACGCTTCCTCCAAAGTAATTCTCCGGCTTGTCCTTGGGAGACTCTCGTGGGATTAATTGTGATCGGGTCGCTGGTGGAGGAAGTTTGGGAGACGGGCTGGGCTCCGCAGGAGTATATCCCAGCCTAGAAGAATTTGCGAGTCGTGCTATTCGCATGTTTTCTTCGGTCAGTGCACCCGGGCTCGCCGAGTTGGGTGACCGATCTGCTCGTCGACTGGCAAGATCTGTTTTCAGTGGTGGAGGCGGTCCTCGTTTGGTTGTTGGAGGCGGCCGTGCAGGGCCTGGAGAGTCTTTCACAATGGGCGAGTATTGGGAGATGGACGATGCACCATTGTAAGCACCGGTGGGAGGAGCTGCGGCGAGTCGTGCAGGCGCTTGGGCACGCGTGTTGTGGTTCATGCCTGGTGAAGGGTCACGCAGGCGGAATGCAGCCGAAGCAGGCGAAGCATCACCCCTCCTATCGTTCCTGAAGGGTTGTTGAGACATGGAAGGACTGGGCCGCTGGGGTACCGGACTCGGTCCACCTCGTGGATTCAGGTTAGGCGAAGCTCTCGGGATCGGACTCGGTCCTGTTCTGGGCGGTGGTGGCCCTCTCTGGTTCGGATTGCTGTAACCTCTGTCACGCTGCTGTGGCAGTTCTCTCGCCGAACTTTGGGGTCCGGCACGATTGGCTGTTGGTGGTCTCGGGCCAGGTCCGCTGAAATTTCGATATGGTCGCTCTGCAGGGGCTGGACCGGGTCGTGCTTGATCCAGCGATCTACCGGCGGGGCCTAGATTTGCATTTTTAGTTTCTTGAGGCGTCAGTGGTCTCGCAAGACCGATTTGCGTCGATGGCCATTCTGACATAGAAGCCATCGGGGGCGACTTTGTGGAGAGCTCCTTGGCCTGAGTCACAGGACCCTTCTTCTCTGACTCGGCGGCTGATGATGTTGACCTTCCACTGTTTGACCTGCTGCTCAACTTCTCGCCCTTCCCGGCCATAACAAATTCTGGTTGGCTCTTCAACTCCCTTCTGTGCCTACGCCGCATGAGGAACCAAAAGACACCCAGGGATGCTAATAACACAACAACAATGGGCACCACAATTGCGGGGATCAGGGTACTCGTATTCGAAGATGAGGATTTCTGAGCAGCTGCACTGCTGGTTGCAGCGGCGGACGTCTTGGATGAAGTCGTGGAGACACGTGTGGAGGCGGACAAGGCCGCAGCGGAGGTGAGGGAGGCATATTCAGATGGATCGGTTATTGTTCTCGTTTTTGTCGTGATCGTTGTCGATACAGTATCAAGGCCGGATATTGATCTGGCCAAAGTTTCCGTCTCTGTGATCGTTGTCAAGCCTGACGGTGCTTGAGCTGTTACCAGCGGCGCTGTCGCTGAAGGATCGGTGGTGACGACACCTGTTGCAGCTATCGACTGAGGAAGGGTCGAGGTAGGGTTCCCGATACTAGCGGGCAGGTCACTGAGGTTCTGAGGATCTCGTCTGTTCAGGAGCACCGCATGTCGAAACATCCTGCCTGGCCTCGTGTTGAACAGCAGGACGACGGCCTCGCTGTCGCTGAAGTGGCAAGAAGATTGTTGAAGGGACGAGCTGACGGCTCGTCGTAGGCTTTTGCAGGCCCCGTGTTGTGATCAGCAGCTCCTTACGGGAGGCACCCATGCAATTACTGGAGCATGGAAGGCCTTGTCGGTGAAAGAGTGATCATTGCAGGAAGGAGGCTAGCGTGGTGACCATCGGGCTGAGAGGGAAATTGGACGAGTGCGCCTAGCGACCAGAAGGAAGATTCGACGACAAGGACACAAAAGCACAAACTTTTGGAATAGATTTGAAGGATGTGACACCGATGAAAAGATGTTTCCAAGGATCTGTGACCTGCACCCGACCCGGAGAAGAGAAAAAGAGGGTGCGTGCTACCACCCAGCGTCTGGCGAGACAACTGCAGCAAGCTGAGGCTGTGAGAAGGCCTGAAGGAGTCAAAGAAAAGGCTGGATGGCGCGTTGAGCGTGGCACGAACAAGGAGGTGTTTCGCATGGCCCAAAGAGGGAAAACGCGGACCCGGACGGGGAGCGCACTGGGGTCGGCCGGCGGAATCTGATAGGCTTCGCGAGGATTTCCAGCGGCATCACGCACCTGCTCCCTGGCATTGGCCCCAGCCTGGAGCTGTAAGTTCGGGCCTGCTGTCTCACGAGCCCGTTAGGGGAGGAGCCGAGCGTCGATCGAATAGGGTTGGGTCGCTTGTCAGGCCGTCATGATTTTGACGTGATGACTCGCAGATTTGTCATCAGAAGTGGTTGGGAGACGTATCTGTGATACAGATAACGGAGTGTCATGCAGTCGATTCCAGGAAGAACTCAGCTGCAGAACACCACCAGCAGGACAGTATGAGGCAGCACGATTGTTGCAGAGGCTGGAGCTGGCACGAGTGGGCAAGGGCAAAAAAGGGGTCTCGCGTGGGATGGATCTTAAACCGTCTCAGTTTAGCGCCGCTTTGAGCCGCATGATCGCAGGAGTTCGGATTATCAATTCAGCGAGATAAGAGATAAGATGGGATGGATGACTCAGCAATGGCGAGCCGTGATGTGAGTGCGAGGACCCCGTACAGAGCACCACAGTAGCGACCAACATGATAAAAGATACCTATGTACTCCGTAGCGTTGCATTGAAATCAGAATTATCGCCGGATACAAAGAAGTGTCTGAGTTCTGCAAAACATGGTCCATCTGCATACACCGTACTAACGTGATCCATGGATGAAATCTCGAGAGCCTCAATCTGTCATCTTTCCCAGACAGATTCCAATCTTAGATGAAGACCGTCACATATGGAGTACAAGATCCGCGCTTACAGACCACCTGATGTTGAAGCGTTTCTGCCGAGATGTCGTCGATGATTGTGCGTCATCCGTCCTGCGGATGTAAATCGAGATGGTGAGTGAGACAATGCCGCTGTTCTGCTGGCGACGGCGGGGATTTTCCTGGTGTTTATAGTCTGGGCGCTTCGGGGGATCATTTGGTGCTTATCAACACCCGTCACAGGTGCCTCTATCCAATCAACTCTTCCTCCTGGCCTCTCGCAATGGTGCTCGCTGCCTCACATTTGCCTATTGGTCTCTCTCCTACTCCCATCGCTAGCTCATTCGTCCTCAGTCCCTCTGTAAGCGCCTGCACCAGGTGAGCACAATGCAGCCAACGACGCTCCTCGACATGTCCACCTCGACAAGGCCTCCTCCGGGACTTCATCTTCTCTTTCTCTCATACCGTGAAATGAACTCTCGAAGTGCTCTGCTCGACATCAAAGCAGATGCTCTATTGCGGCAGCCCCGAGGATGACCTTGAGATCGCACCACTAGATACACGGAAATCAAAGCCATATCTAAGACACCCCGCGGCAAGATGCAGTTCTTCTTGTCGAGACGATGGAAGCCGAATAAATGGCCTTTCTTTATTCTGGTCGGCCTCGAGCTTCCACTGAACGTTGCTCTCCTCGCATTATTCGGCATCGCTTCGCCAAACACGTACCGCACAAAACTGTGGCAGGATGGCGCCGACAACGGCTTCAACTCAAGTCCATCAACCGGGCTCTATGCAGCCGCTAATTACAGACCGTACACCACTCCCAAAGTCTGGTCACAATTGTATGACCTTCAGCTCTTTGTCATGTGTGGCATGACCCTCAGCTGACGCGGAAAAACAGTATAACAAACTTCAACGTTGTCATCAGCGTTCTGTCCTTGTTCATTATGCTGGTCAAAGGCATCATGTACATCCTCCATGTCTTTCCGCCCGTCCTCTCCGTCCTTGTGCACGCGGTACTAATCGCACTCTACGCCGTTTCTGTCGATTACCAAGCCAGCAGCGACACCACCGACCCTGACCATCCGCAGCACGGCGCACCTTGGTACATTACTAAATCCTGCAGTGTCACCAAGAACAAGAGCCTGGTAGGATACTGCAAGCAAGCAAAAGCGAGCTTTGCATGCACATGTGCAATGCTAGGGGTCTTTGTCATCTATTTCGGCTTCGCCGCGTGTTCATGTTTCCCATCGAGACAGCAACGAGCGGAATATGCAGAGAAGAAGCGGCTCAGGGCCGAGAAGTGGGCCAAGTTTGAGTCTCTTGATGATCCGGTTGCCGGCGGGGATGCCTTCTATCCCATGCCAGAAACACCAGGGCCCCAGGCCGGTCTGAACCCCATGACTCCTAGAACGATGGCGTTCAATACCTTGGGAGGGACGAGAGATCTTCCTCTTCAAAGTCATTTCAGCTCTCCCAACGCTCCAGTATCTCCATCATACGCCCTCAGAAGCCCTGATCTCCCCAGGAGTCCGATGAGTCCTGGATTTGTCGATAGAGTAGTGGATGATGTCCGCTCTGGGAAGTCTCCCGAGCCTGAAGCTAGTCGGAGAAGCCCGAATCCGACTTCGCCTCAGCTGTACTTTCCGCCTCCTCCCAAGACATCGAAAAAATGAACCGGAGCTTCAGAAATTCGGTTTGAAGCTGATGCTTGCTGCTTATGTGCCCAAGTGAAGGCCATTTCACATGCACGCTCCCACCGGATCATCAGTTGCTGGGGTTTGACTTGAATCTGGAAAGCCTTCGACTTGTGTTTTGAGGTTTTTACTATCGTGATGACAGGGGTCTCTTGCAAGACAACCCAGTGAGCACTGTCTCTATGTGCAGCAGGGCTTGGGGTGAAATAGGTTTCATAATTTTGCCTTCTTTGTCAATGATAGGAAGCGATTATCGCATTCACTCCTCCTGCGGCAAGCCTGCACTTCCCGTCCCTATCAGCAGTCCGGTTGCGCATCATATACGAGGACCATGATGATGATGAAAACTTTCGGCCTCACCCCAACCACCACGTGTGTCTGGGACCACCACAGATCTCTGCCGGTGCGCAACTATGAAGACACTGCGAAAGCAGAGTTATGGCCGTACTCCGCAACATTGATATCAGTCGAGCAAGCCAATTATTTCATCGGGTGCTCATATTGACGATCGTGCTGATCCTTTGTATAGGTTTTCCGTAACGTTTTACGGAGTATGTAGTTTATGACTGTTGTATTTTTGGGACTTTGTCAGCCACAGGGAACGCCGTACGTATCTCGATAACCTCGAATCTCATAACTAGCGAAGCTTCAAATTCGTCGACGTGGCACACAGCGCCCGATCGATTCAAGTAATACAGCTCCAAGCTTTTCGTAATGCGGTGCTTGGCTACTTATAGGAGGTAGGAAGGACATCGAGACACTCCGTAGAAGAAGCGGGAATCGAAGCCTTACAAGGAGGTACCTGAATCTTGGATTGTGCACGCCTCGACCAAACTTGGTCAAGGTGAGGGAACGAAAGTCTCTTCTTTAGCATCCAGTCTCTTGTAGCACCTCTGTCCATTTCTGCTCCTTCATCTTCAATGCTGCTCTCATTTCCTCCTCGGCGCTCTTGGCTCCTTCCTTGGTCCCGATGTCTTGATTTGTCTTGTCGGAGACTTCCTTGGCCTGTTCATCCCGCTCGTCAACCAGGACCAGCAGATCGTCTGCCGCGCTCGATTCGAGTCTCCGTCGTAGATCCGTACAGATTCTCTGGCGCCAGTAGATTAACCCGTTCTTGGACAGTCCTCGCTCGGCGAGACGTTGTTGCCACTGCTTCACCTTGTCGTCGCTGGCGCCGGCCGGTGCGTTGATCCCCAGGACTGCATCGAAGATGTCCAGCATGAGGAAGATGGTGTAGAGATTCGTCGGATTGTGGCGCCCAACCAGTCTCACAGGGTTGACCAAAAAGTATAATCGGAGGGAGTTGACGAGAGCCTCGTCGAACGCTTGACCCTTCAAGGCTTCGAAGATGATGGTCATTGCAATCTCGGGATAGTCGCCGGTCGTGTAGAGCGTGGGGTGGTCGTAGAAGCGATCCGACTTCGTCATCACGCTCCCGGCCTTTTGCAGGGAAGATGGATCCTTGCTCACTCGGCCCAGGTGTCTGCCCACGTCTTTGATCCACTGCTCGAATTGACCCGGCAGACTGGGATGTTGTTTGGACAGTTCCGCCGAGGCTTCCGTGTCGGATTTGCATCTTGGGCAGTTGCATTCGAAGAGATAGTCTTCCAGGAGCTTCTTCCTCCGAGCGTCCACAGCGACAGTGGGGACAACGTAGCTGATGCAGAGTTCCTCGCCCTGCTGGATATCCCGTAGTGGTATGAGCTGGAAGTAGGTTTGTCGTTGGTCCTCCGAGAGCGACTCGGACTTCATCCACCTGCTCTTCATCGTAAACTGGGGCCGGTGGATGGCGAGATTCGGTTCGCAGCTGTGGTTGAATTTGGCCACCAGCGGTTCGAGCATGACGCCCATTGGCCCGTGGATCGGGGTCGGCAGTTCGATGGTGTTCGATCTCATGATGAAGATTAGCCTCTGTATCAGCTCGACCGTCATGCTGGATTCGGCAAGATGCTTGATGCCTTCCGCCATGTCAGTGATGTTGGACCGGCCGCGCCCGGCGAGAATGTGTTCATGTGATGTCAACGAGCTTATGCGGGTCCATTCGTCCTCTGGGATTTTATTTCGGTCTTTGAGGAGCACTACCCGCAGAACCGCTCGGAGAATAGGAGGTGGTAGGTCATTTTGCACTTTCTTAAAGACTTTGCACTCGAACTTGTGATAGGCGTGCCACGCTTCAACCTGGCATTCTCTGCTGCAGAATCGAGCTTTGCGACAGCCTCCGCAATCTTTAAGCGACGCTGATGCAGTCCCGCCCTGTTTGAGGGGGAGTTGGGTTGATGTGACAATGAGGCAGTGATAGCATGTCGTCGGGAGGTATTCGGCGTCGATCGCCAGGGTGGTCGGTATAGCGAGTGAGCAGAGTGCATCTTTGACGGACAGTGGTCTTTGCGCAAATACTCCTTGACCTTTTGAAGGGATTGCCTCGACTTTGATTGTGTCGGCATATTTGTCGTCGATATAGTTGACCTCTCCAGCTTTGCGCTGGCTGATCATAGAATCAATGAGCGAGTCCAGCTCAGCCATGGTGACACCTGGTCTGCTGTGGACGTCTGCAATACCAGCTGGTGTGTTGGGACAAATACTTCCCAGAGGGTTTGTTGATGAGCTTTTTGTTTTATTTTTATCTTCCGGTCAGTTTTCACTTGCCTCACACGGCCTCGTCTGGGGACGATATGAGAGAAACCACGATTTGGTGGAGAAACTGTCAACGGCTCAACAAGAGGTCTCTTGCAAGGTTTCGATGATATGTCCGAGGACGTTTGTCATAAGAATTCATCAGAGAAGTAAATCTCAAGAGAAAATCGCTGATGTTGCGCCAAGATAAGATTAGATGCTTGCGGGCGGACTCTATTTGTACATACTATCCTACTTCCCACCGCAGCGACGAAAAAGACAGGTTAGCCAAGGGATTCAAGGAGTTCTGATTCTCTCATTAACCGTTCAGCTCTTGTCTAATCTGCACTCCTTAGTGAAACGTGGCTGTATATATAGAGATGGACAAGGTGGTCGAGGCCCACGAGGCTGAGGCTGCAAGGCTGAGAAGCCGGCCAACCCGTGTACTAAGTTTAATACTTGGTACCGCGCCATGTCAATTCCGCACACGTTGCCTTAACTTGTCTCCCATCAACAATCCGTGTCAGGGGGCCGCGTCTATGGACTGCCTGCTCGTTAGGTCAAAGACACAGAGGCCGAGCGCAAGAGATGTATTCAGAATCCAGCGTCGCCGCTAGGGGTATGCATAGACTCGCCCGAACATGTCTCGATCCGTCTAACGGGAATCCGCAGATCTCGATATCTCTCGGTTTCCGATCGAGCTCCTACATGCTGAAGTCGCAAGACGACAGGATTCCGGGAGCAAACCAGCATGTGGGTCATCGCAGAGCGACGAGGAGTACAATGTCGCCAGTCATGTGTTTGCCCTGTTACTCATCTTCGCCTTGAGCACGCTCGGTAAGCCGGCCGTTCTCCCTCCTCGCAAGTCACCACTGACCATGGCCTACTAGCATGCTCGTTTCCAGTCGTGGCACGGCGCTTTCCTCACCTACCTATACCTCACCGATTCCTATTTTTGTCCAGACACTTCGGCACGGGCGTTCTCATCGCGACCGGGTTCATTCACCTTTTACCTACAGCTTTCGAGTCCTTGACTGATCCCTGCCTCCCCGACTTCTGGAGCAAGCACTTCCGACCGATGCCTGGTTTTATTGCAATGCTCGCGGTGTTTGTAGTGGTGTCGATAGAAATGTTTTTCGCCAGCAAAGGAGCAGGACACAGTCATAGCAGCGAATGGGAGGGAATGCCCGCTGAGCCAAGGCATGCGCACATGGGAGGAGGAGAATCGTCTCACGGAAACGGCCAGATATCACTCAATCAACTAGACACGCCTCTGACGCCGTACAATGACGCGACACCGAAGCCGCGGAATTCCCCATCCAGCGACTCAGGGTCCGACGATGAATTGGACGAGTTGGACCCTATAGCAGATGAGTCCGCGACTCTGAACCATCCGCATCAGAGGAAGCTATCGGAATATGATGACAACGCTTTACGTCGACACGGCAACCCTTCGGATGAGAATCCTCGACGACTCTTCCTTCAGTGCCTCCTCCTCGAGGCGGGCATCTTGTTTCACAGTATCTTTATCGGAATGGCCGTTTCGGTCGCCACCGGGACCCAGTTTGTGGTCTTATTGATAGCCATCTGCTTTCATCAGACCTTTGAAGGATTCGCATTGGGAGCGCGAATAGCAGCCTTGATACCAAAACTGTTTGACGCGAGCAGCCCGAAGCCATGGCTCATGGCGCTCGCCTACGGAACGACAACACCAATTGGGCAAGCGATCGGCATATGGATGCGAGAGTTATATGATCCTGCTTCCAAGGTCGGACTTCTCATGGTTGGAATCACCAATGCCATTAGTAGTGGCCTGCTGCTGTTTGCTGGACTTGTACAGCTCATTGCAGAGGATTTTCTTAGCGAGAAAAGTTACGAGAGCCTGAAAGGGTGGCGAAGGATCGAGGCTTGTCTCGCTGTCGGCTTGGGTTCGCTTTTGATGGCCATTGTTGGAGCCTTTGCATAGCGTGTGAATATACGGACTATTTTGTAGATCTTTCAGTTCAGTATAGCGACCTTTACAGCACTTACCAAGCAACTCGCGGCATCCTATGCTTCAATTGCGTAGTTGTACGCAAGGTCCTCAATAAGGCCCGCAACTGTTGCGACGAGACTCCGATGAGGCCAGACGGGAGAGGAATCTGGACTACTACCTCGTTGTAGATCGCAGGAAGCCTGATGTATCTATGTATGCCAGCATTGGTCGCGGCGTATAGAGAACCGCAAATAGCCGAGGTTGAGATGCAATCACCACAAGTGATGGGGCATACCACATCCATGTATTCAAATATACCTACCTGTTAAGAAGCGAAACACACTCTTCAGGGAGTTTGAATTTCAAGTTTGATCGACCCAGGTCATCGTTGATTTCTCCATCAATCATGACGACGCTCAAAACCAACACGTGGACCTCGCCGACGACAGGCAAACAATGGTCCTACCTCACAGCCGGACCCTCAGACGGGCCGTTGATGTTCTTCCTGCACGGATGGCCGGGCATCGCATCGACATGGAAATACCAGCTCGTTGCATTCAGCAGCCTAGGCTTTTCTGTCGTGGCACCAGACATGCCAGGCTACGGCGGGACGTGGACGTCAAAGGACTCGTCCGAGTTCGCACTGGAGAGACTTGTCCCGCAAGTCATCGAACTTCTACACGCTCTCGGTCGACAGGACGCCATCTGGATAGGCCACGACTGGGGTTGCGGCCCTCTGTGGGCCATCGCCGCGCACCACCCTGAAGTCTGCAAGGGGATTGTCGGGGTTTCGGTCCCGTACCGCACGATAGAGCTCGGGCTACCAACACTCCTCACGACCATAGATCGTGAAGTCTACCCCGAGGACAAGTACGCGTACGGCCCGTGGAGTTACCAAGTATTCTACGAGCGCGACCCCACCGTCATTGACCAGCAGTTTGAAGCCGACCTCCCGAAAACTATCAGGACCGTCTACATGAAGGGTCACCCTGATATCGGCCGCGCTCCGAGCAGACTGTCACTTGTTGCCGAGCAGGGGGGAATGTTCGGCGGCGTCAACGCTCCGGTTCCAGATGTGCCCCTCGACCGGACCGTGCTGGACCAGGAGCTCTTGGACGAGCTGGTTGCCAGCGCGGAGAAGAATGGGTGGCACGGCGCGACCGCGTGGTATCTCAATCGCGCTGCCAACGAGAAGTACACGCGTGACAAGAGCTTGGATGGTGGGAGGTTGAAGATGCCCGTCTTGTTCGTACATACCGAGTACGATGCCGTCTGTCGGACCGTGCATAATCCGAAGTTGACGGTCGAGATGCGTGATAAAGTCGAGGATCTGTCAGAGTTCGTGCTCAAGGCGGGACATTGGGGCGTCCTGGAGTGTCCTGAAGAAACTAGTGCTGGGATAGCCGAGTGGATTGTGAGGCGACTCCGAGAGTCGTGGCCTGGCCCGGTCGTCAAGGGTAAAATCTAAAGACGAGAGACACGTCGGGATAGAATGTACCTTGTGCTTAGAAGAAAAGTGTGTTCGAGTTCATCATTTTACTAGTCCAGCGTCGAGATGTATATGACTTGTGTTCTGAGCCGTATTGATGGTGACAAACTTGGCAGATGTAGACCATATGCTCGACGCCAACCTACCTTGTTTGCCTCAACGATGTCAGGATCACTTATGCCAGTGCTCATGATGGGCGGGCAGAACATTGTAGAGAGGCTGTCTCGAGGAGGAGATTGTACCTGTACCTGGAGTCTGCATTTTAGGCGGTCACGGCGCCAAGACACTAACTTAGTTAAGCTTCTATGTACCTAGTGAGCCTTGGTTATTTGTTTACGGCCTCATCCGCGCTTCATACTAGTTACAGGCACTTGGGAACCTCCAACTTTGGTCCTCGCCAGCTTCTACACACCGCGGCAACTGTTTTTCTCTCTTCACCCAGATAGACCACGGTCCCAAGTCACCTGCACAGCCATATAAGCATAATACTGCAGCTCACACAACGTGACACACGAAAATGGCACCCACTAATACGCGCAAGAGGAAGTCCGACGAGATGGAAGTGCCCGCCGGCGCCGTTACGCCTACTGGCAGCCCTTCTCACAAGAGGATGAGAATAACACTGTCTCAAAAGCAAGCGCTGATAGACAACCTACAATTAGAAAGTATGTGACGCGTTGACACGTCCAGACGAACACAACACCCTCTAACACCTCCCAGTCACCGAGCGAGCCCGCCAACTTCGAGCTGGGTATGCTCTGCAATGTGCCGACCTTCGATCTCGAATCGAACGACGCGTCAACCGTATCCCTTTAGCTCTCCGAAAGATGACAATGGGTGAACTCATGGCGCAACACGAAAACACCCAAAAGCCTCGCTCTCCAGTCAAACAGCCCGCGCCGTTGACCAAGGACCGACCCCTCCCACCTCTCCCACATCAACAGCACAAACCCACATCTCCCATGCGTCCTCAGCCGGTAGCAGCACGAGGCAAGAAGCGCAAGAGCTCATCTATTCGTATTGCTTCCGACAAGGAGAACGAGAACGACATTCTCCCCGTGCAAAAGAACACGAAGCGCCCCAAGACGACGACCACCAAACCTACAAACACCAAGGCAACATCGGTCCTTTCGCCCAGATCCCACAATTCTCGGACCCTCCCACGCTCTCCGATCAAGGAGTATCCAATAAACGCCTCTCCCGTCAAGAGTATGATCGCCCGGCCAACATCGCCCATCAAACCTGCCTCACCGCTCAAGACGGCTGCGACGGCCGTTTCCGCCAGTATGCACGGCATGTTCGAGCACGCGAAACGAGGCGCGACCGCTCGTCTGAACCGTGCGGCGTCCAAAGACAAGACCACGACCACGACCACAACAAGCACTCGAGGCGCCATGCTGCCACCACCGCGTCCTGTCCCGTCCGCGCCAAGCAGCCCACAAAGGACGGTAAGCCAAGCCAGCAACCACAGCACCAGCACTGACATGTCCACGGTGTCAAGTGGGACGACGGTTGTCAAGCCTAAACGCGGCACTCGAGCAGCCACGACGAAGAGCGCAGCGGCCAAGACGACTGGGTCAACCAGGACGGCATCGGCGCCCAAGAGCCCTCCTGCCACAGCGAAACGAGGCGTTGCTAAGGCAGCCAGTGCCGCAAAGACGGCTCTAAAACGTACTGGCACCACGAGTACGAGCAAGAAAGCCGCAGCTACCGCAGCCCCCGCTGCTGCCGAGCCTGCTACTGGACGGAGGGTTCTGAGGAAGAGGACTTGATCATGGCTTGAATTAGGAGTCATGTCTTGATGGATCGATGGACGGATGCATGGACGATACGGAGTATGTGTTTATGATTGTGGCAATCCGTGCGTAAGGATGTTTGGATATCGGGTGTCGACGCGTAGCTACCTATGTACAGATATTGCAGGACTCACGCCTTTGGCTCATATAGCTGATAGTTGTCCTCGTGGCGTCAGGATCGTGTCACGTACCTACCTGATGCAATTGAGACCACGTTGGCGGCAAAGTCCTTTGTGAATCGTTGAATTCAAGCATCCTCACGTTGCTCGTGGTGAATGGAACACCAGGTACCTTCCAGTAGGTACCTAGGTAGCTGTTGTGACGATTTGACTGGGTTCTCCTTCGGTTACGAATGGTTGCGAACGGTTTCCATCTCCGCCGGGGGGGTGCTGGGGGTTGTACCTGATGGGCACTCCATGCTGAATCTCTCAGATGTGGTGGATACTTCTCATGTCTGTAGGCCGCCTGTTGTATCGAGTCGAGGCGTGGCGCAACTTGGAGGCATATAGATACGTAGGCTTCTTTTTCATCTTTTTCTCCTTCTCTTTTCCGATTTTTTTTTCCATCCCCCTCAACCTCTCTTCCCCCCCGGGACCCCCTGTTCTGTTCTGTGTCGTAACGATTCGGAACCAAATTTCTCAGGATGCTTCGTAAAGAGGAGTGAGTATCAGGCCTTCTCTAGCGCCCCATGCCTTGCGTGGAATGTGAGTTTTCCTCCCCACAATGTCACTTTCATCACTCGCATTTTTTCATGTCTTCTTTAGCTATTCCTTACAATTTACAGTCTTTAGAGCAGCAAATCTTCAAAAGCCCTCATTGCTTTTACTCGCTGTACTTGAACAGCTCCGGGTTTTTTTGTTCTCCTGATGGAAGATAACTCTTTTCCTTCCATCCTATTCACTCTCGAAATTCCACATGACCAGCCCCAGAAAACATCTCGATAACCACCCGAACTCCTTATTTGCGATCCTGACACAAGATCCACGTCACCCACTCGACCAGCAAGCAGATCATCCTCGGATTTCCCTGTTGTTGTTGTTGTAAAAAGACCAAGTATCCCCTGGCTGTCAGTCTTCAGCATTGGGAGCAACCGAGGTCAATCAATCCTAATAATCCAGCTCGGCGCCCGCTCCTGCTTGAGCTGCTGCTTGAGCACCAGTGCCACTTCCGCTTCCATTTGGAGCAGCATCGAGATCTTCGTAGCTTTTTATGCTTCTTCCTTGAACAGCTTCCCTAGGTCCCATAGCGTTCATACCGCCACCTGCACCATCGCCCCATTTCCCACCGCCGCCGCCTCCACCCTGAGCAATGAATGCAGGGTTCAGACTGGGTGGTAGTTGGCCTCGGAGCAGACCGCCCATGTTGTTGTATCCTCGTTGACCGTTGCGTGCATTGCGATCGTAGGGTCCGGATCTGTTGCCATACCTGCCACCACCGCGACGAATCGGACCGCCGGTGTGGTTTCCACCGTTCATACCGTCGGCACCGAAGCCAGATGCAAACGGTGCCTGCATACCTGGCATGTTGATCATCGCATTCTGGCCAAAGGCCATCATGTTCATGCCCATATTCTGTAGGCTGAAACCTCGAGGCGTGCCAGAGTTGAGATGATGGTTATTGGGTAGCGGAAAGTGCCCGTTGGAGTTGGCATCCGACCGAGATGGTGCAATGTGGGATGGATCGAGGACGTATTGGTTGACAAGCTCGAGCTGCGAAAGTCAGTAAGTTTGGGGCTAGTTATAGGTCATGAAGAAACTTACATCCTTCTTGAGACCCAAGTACCATTCCTCGTGCCTCTTTTCCACGTGCTTCTTCCAGAAATGTTCTGCTTTGAACAGCTTAGTGCAATCGGGCACCTTGCATCGATACTTGGCTTCATCTTCTTGCTTGACCCACTTGGCGAGTTCTTCCTCCAACGCTTCCTCGACGGGTTTACCTCCAATCTTTTTCAGATCCACGTATTCGGGTTCGAGAATTTGAAGTATCTTTTCCTCAAAGGTTTTGACCCAGTTGAAAGCTCGAAGCAGCTGCTGGTCATTCTTGTTGAATTTTGAAGAACGCTTTTCTTGAACAGGACTCATTGGCTCGTCGTCCATTCCGTTCTCCTTCTTCTTTCCGGGGAAAGGTTCTCCCAACGCGCTCGCACGGGCAGCAGCTTTGGCTGCTGTACTCAAGCCAGCTCTGGGTCGTCGAAGGTGACCACCAGGGCACTTGCGAACGAGCTCATGAACGGAATCGGCCTCGAAAACACAGAAGAGACAAAAGTTGTGTACACGTCGAAGATACTCCACCATGAGGTCGAGCTTCTTCTTAATCACCAGTAACTCCTCGTCGTCTTGATCCTCTTCGCTCTCTTCGCCTTCTTCCCCTTCTTCGTCGAATTTTATTTCGTCATCGTTGTCTTCGAAATTTGGTTTCTTCGGCTTCGGAGGTGGAAGCAGCAGGCCTTGATTTCTCATCTGCTCAACTCGGGCATCGATTTTGGCGACGCCGCTGGCAGAGTCTTCCCGGCCTAGCTCGACATCTAGCTTCGTGATCATTCTTCGAGCAAGTTCGTAATCTCGTTCAACGCGCTCCGGAGCTGAGAAGAGGTCCCAAAGAGCCTTCTTCCGGGGTGCGCTAGGAGCATTGTGGACGCCGACGTGACAGGTGAAATCGCCCCGTACAGGATCCGAGATGACTTTGCCGTTGACAAGCTCGAGCGCTTTTTGAGCGGTTGACTGCTTCTCGACCTGTGGTTTCTCCTCGCCTTCCTCGCCTTCCTCGTCCCGGCCATCACCCCGCTCGACATCCTGCATGGCATCGCCATCTTCTTCTGGGGCTGGGTTGAGCATAATCCAGCCAATTCGATGGAACTTCTTGGCAGGGTTAGGGTCACTCAACGACAGTCCTCGAAATCCACCATCTTCTTCACCAAGGTGCTCTTTGCAGAATTCTTCAATACGTTCTCTGCCGACATTTGGGGCGAGGGTTTTGATGAGAAGGGCAGGCTGATTGACCGAGTCGTCTTTCAGATCACCACCTTTGGCTGGAACTAGATCCAAGACGCCGAGGACTTCACCACCACCAACGGTTTCGCCCTCTTCTTTCTCAACCATGCCTCCAGCACCATCACTGTCATTCTTGTAGATGCCTTCCAGAGTGAAGTCGTCGAAAGTGCCAGAGTCCACGTCTTTCTCCCATTGATCAAAGACACCTTGGCGGGACTCCATCAGGCGTTTCCGAATAGGATCTCTGACCTCTGGGACGTAACGTTCCTTAAACCACTCCTCGCCTTTGTGAGCCAAGACGAACTGTCTAGCCATTGTCACCTGGAAATCTTGCTTGTACTGGTCATATGCTTCCTGAATCTTGGCTCGCTCCTTTTCACGGTCTTCCTTTGCTTCCCGATCGCCCTTGATGCGATCAGAAGGTCGTCTCCCGCCATGCCTCGCTCTTTCTTTTTCTTCCTTGATCTGCTGTTCGCACCTCCACCAGTCGGCAAAGAAGCTAAATCCAGCTTGCGTACTGAGCGTCAAAGGATTGGCTAGCGGATTCACTTTGATGGCGGACTTTGCCACGTCCTGGCCGGGTACATAGCGGTCGATGTTGGCCGCCGTCGGGGAAGGTGCTCTCCGGCGATCATCTCTTTCTCTGGCCGTAGTACGATTTGGATCATAGTGATCCTCTCGGGCTGGTCGTTCGCGTTCCCGATCGCGGTCAGGCTGATAGCGGTCGATACCTACTGGGGATCTCGATCGAGGCCTGGGGACCGGACGACGTCTGTCTTCAACTGCGTTCATTTAGTTACGGGGCCGGCGAGCCGTGGTGATTATCTTACCAGGAGACCGTCGTCTATATGTATCTCTTCTGTCGTAGTCCTCATCTCGGGATCGATATCGAGGTGACCTCTCGGCAGGAGGGGAACCGTAAGCCTCGTAAGGATTCATTTCGGCCCCTTGCTTTCCAACGCAACCAATATTGACTTGATCAGAGGCCGGAGTGACCTTTGGATATGATATTGTGCCTATGACATCTAGGCAGAGGGTGACTGGAGGATATTACGGAGGAGGTCAGGTAATGTTGCCTGAATCGATTCGGTGGAGGAAGCTAGGAGGAGACTTGAAAGATGTTAGACTTGGGTTGAAGAAATGCAATGACAGCATCGTGGTAAGAATATGGTTCGAGTTCAAAGAAGAAGGAGGAAGTTTCGCAGGCATTGATGCCTCTATATAAGTAAAAGCAGAAACAATCAAGTGAAGAATATGAATGTGACCCTGAGCAGGCACATGGGGGGTTTCTGGTGAGACAAAAAGTGAGGCCGTCGTTGTTCTCTCAACAACGGAATAAGATTGGCTTGACAAGATAGAAGGAGGAATCGAGGTTGTCAACCTACAAGATGAGACTGGATAAAGAGTCGGATAGATAGCTGGTGTAGCAACGCGCGATGCCAGCTTGTTGGTGATGGAGAAGAAAACGAAGGAGTGACAGCCGCGGCGCGCAAACGTTCGGAGAAGACCAAGCGACCGGAACGAGTGAGCTACACGACCCTTGCACTGTGAGGCTGCGAGACTGCGGGACGGCGGCGACAACAGGAGGATCAGCGGACCAAAGAGGAGAGGTCGTTGTCATTACCACGTGACAGCACGTGAACAATCTTGGCATTGTTTTGCGCAGGCAGTATGTACGACTACTAGACCTAGGGACTGTATCCTACATGAACGCGTGAGTAGGAGGCTACCGCTGCGAAAATAATCAGAGAGATGACCGGGCACAGCAGGGCGCTGAAGCTTATTAGTTGGAGGACAAGCAGTCTGAGATATTTCAAGCAGCCTAGTGAGCCTTCAGTAAAGTATCAGTTATGGTCATAAAAGTACTGTATCCAACTGTCATGTTACACTACATTCTGTGACGTTCAAATTTCATCCAAGGGAAAACAATCCAGAGCCTTACACATTACGACTGGCAAGCATTAGAGGGAGGACAATGCGGACATTTTAACAGGAGACGGTCAAGCGATAAGTGGCCCTGATGCGAGAGGCACAGAAATACAATGTGCAAGGTAATGGAATGCAAGATAGGGCGTTGTCGAAAAACGTTCCCTCAGAAGGTAGCTAGGTATGAGAACTGAACGTCTCGGCTCGCCTCGAGGTACCACTTCTAGTAACACTTCAATCGCCTGCCTGCGGTCTGGAGACTCAATCCTACAGGTACGGCCTCTTTCTTTTCAAAGGGGCAATCTTTCCCTCTGAATCCTCCATGTCCATGCTCACGAGTGCTACTTGTCCGATAGATTCGTTCGCCCTTACATCACTGAATCTGACCGGCATATTCATCACCTTGCGCGCAAACTCATGGCCGTCCAATGCTGACCCACCTTTCGGCAGTGGTGTGAACGGGTTGTCTTTGACTACCATGCTCACCCTACCGAGAACATCAGGTGCAAAGGTGCAGTAGTCGATGACCAGAGCAAGAAGTCCGGCCAAAAATGCCAGGATGGCGCAAGCCATGTATATACCGAGCCAAACCCAATCGATCACATAATGCTGTCCAGCAATGCTCACTGCGGCTGTCGTGTTCCGCATCATGACGTTGGGTGGAAATTCGGCACCGAATCCCAAGCCGATCTCTGTCTGCGTCATGGCTTGGAGATTACAGAACGCATGCCAGAAGGTGTTGAAGAGGAGAGAAAATCGTTGCGTAAATGTTTTGAGATCGAGCCTGGAGATGTCGACGTGAGATACACCGCCGTCGTTGTCATGATCCGAGGTGTTGTATCCCAGCCAGTCGGTGGCCACCAGTATTGAATTAGTGCTTGTGGTCACCGAATCGGTATTCACGTCGTTGATGAAGCGTTCGGTGGGAGACGAAGACCCTGCCGGGACGATGCCTGTCGCTTGGGGCCATTGGCCGAACATACGCTGAGCGATACGGTAGTTTGCGTCGAGTGCAGTGTAAGGATCTAACTGTGGGCGAGCTGGGTCGCGTCGCAGTCTGTCCACATAACAGGCACCTGCGGCTGTACGACCAGAGGACGTCCGATCGATGTTCCAGAGCGGGGCTGTGAAGTTGCAATTTACTTCAGCGAGAACGTAAGAAGTGTAAACAGAGCAGTTGGCCAAAGTGGTACCACCTGGAGCTTGAGAGCCGAAGAGAATTGTGCGAGGTTGAAGAGTAGCATGAGGAACTCTGGCGTCTCCTTCAGAGGAACCCAGGCCAGCAAGAGGTGTTGTAGTGTCCACAAAAAAGGTGCTGGGGTTTTGCGAAGACCCAGTGTTCCATATGGAAGAGTTGCTGTCAGTGTCATATATCTCCCGGTCAGGGATGGAAGACGTGAAATTCTCATTGACATTGATTAGGTTCAGACTTTCACAATCAAAAACATAGTAAGATGCCGACATGGTAAAGTTCTGAACCCCAACGCCAAACTGGCCACCCACGACGGGAAGACCGGTCAGGGATGTCCATGTGCCTGCGGTCACCAAGGATTGATTGTTCTTCATATGTTTGCGGGCCAGGGCCACTGAGCACCAGCCATATTCGTCACAGCCACGGTTCTCCTCCAAGTATTCCAGTGAGGGGATCTTGACATTGGTCCACGGATCTTGGGGTGCGGCAATGGATGATGGTGTCAGCAACGATGTGCTGTATAGCGAGTTGACCGCGAACGTGTAATACTGCAAGTCATTATTGATCGATTGGAGACCGTCGGGAATGGCGTCCGTATTCATATAGTAAAGCGGAGCCGTGTTGGTATCAGTTCCGTTGGCGCTGATAATCCTGGCTCCTGCTTGCGAGCCTAGAGGACCAAGCGCCCAAATGATAAGGAGAAGGACACCCATCCAGTTGATGACTCTCAAGCCCCACATCGAAGACAAAGTACCACTGAGTGATCGACTTCCCATCAATTGCTCGAGAAAGCCGAGATGAGTTCCCTGTTGAGCGCGCCACAAAGCAAATATCTTGACCAGGCGAGCGACCTCGATGCCGAAAGCCATGAGGAAAAAAGTCGGAATGTAGACCTGAACCTTGAGCATGGCAGGCCCATATAGGTCACCAGACCAATTGTGACCATTAAAGGTAAAATAATACGAGCCAGTAGGCCGACCGTCAAGAAGAGCCGCGAGAATCCCGTACACGATCTATGGACTGAAGTCAGCGTCAAGGAGTAACAGGACAGGCTATGGTGAAGACCTAGGGGTATTACACGGGAGGATACTCACAAAGACAAGGGGCATAAGCGTCAAACTGATATCGAGGATGAAATAAAGTAGATTTGGTAACATTGAAAGCTTCTTTGGCTGTTTGGGGAAGTCCTGGACGGTCTGCGAAAATCGGTGGGGCTTCTCGTTACCTGGTCCGGGAGAGCATCCATCATCACTTGCAGAGATGTGCGTGACCTCAGGCGTCTTGCCCTCGAACGACCCTGATAGTGGTCGAAACATCGATTCGAATTTGTTGCCAAGGAGAGGTGAAGTTCGGGGCTGATGGTTGGTTAATGCTGGGCTTTGTGAGCCTCCTTCTGACATCGGTCGCGACCTGGGCCCGGCCAAAGCATTCTTCGCTGGGTTGATATTGGGTGTGTTGTCAGGCGCAGGAGAAGGCTCCATTTCGAGTTACAGTCGTACAACGAAATAATTCCTGCTATTGGAATGAGTATGCAAGGCCTATGGAAGGCGGCACATGAGGGAAAGATGAAGAGGTGGCTGCTTGAGCATAGGTCGTGGGGAGGCACCCCCATGATATAACCAAGTTGTCTATTTCTACCATCCACCAACCGTCATATAAGATCCATGCCCATCTGCATGTGAAGGGTCGGGCCATTGAGCATAGCGCTGATCTTCGCGGTGGCGAATGCACCTTGAACTCACCTCGGCCCCAATTGAAAGCTGCTGGCAGATGAGCACCAGTGTCAGGAAGCACAAAAGTCTTGTTCATTATGCCATAGGGTTCAGCTGACAGCTGTAAGTGTACATGAGGTAGGATGAGATGGCTGGCTCGCCAGGCTGATAGAGGCAAAGCGGGGGACCATTTCCCAAATAGGAAGGCGTTTGACTCCAGAGACGGTGGTCGAGAACGCACCCAGACTCGCGAAGATGCACGTAGATTGACGTCCGCCAATAAGACCAGTATTTTATATGATTCCAGAAGGACGTGGCGCCGATGCATGATCAATCATTCTGAACTTGTCCAAGTTGCTAGGATGAACGAATTCAAGCAACGCTATAACAACACCAGCTGGAGTCTTCGCGGCGCCACCCGCCCGTACACTCCTTTACGATGCAAGTAACTCGCGTCCCTTTCAGAAGTACCATAAGCAGGGGACTTTTTGAGGCCAATAAGGAAACGAGTGCCAAGGTCGATATGCTGACAACGGAAAGATGGTTGAGCACTTGCGTGGTCAGCAGCCTCGAAGCTAGCTTCTCATCGTCCCTGACAACATTTCTTGCAGTGCTCTTGAGAACGCGGCATCTTTGCGTTACGAATCCCCTGGTGATGACATTATAGCGTATTTCGGCAGAGACTGATGCAAGAACAACAGCTGTGCGTATCCGATTATAGTCCAGGAACTGCAAATCTTCAAGATTCCTCCTTGTCCATAGCTGTCTCCTCTTTCTGCTCCGGGCTGGGTATCGTCCAGCCATTGAGGTGACCCGTGCCAGCAGTCAGGTAGGTTGCAAAACCGAGCCATGCGAGGTAAGGGGCCATCAGGTAGGCTGCCGTCTTATCGACTTTACTCCAAACATATGTGAGGTAACCTACGGTGCCCGTCAAAGTGACAACATCGAGCATGCCCTCGATTGGTCTACCCAGGCCAAAGAACAAAGGCATATAGATGAGATTTAAGCCCAGCTGTAGCGTATACAGTGTGGCTCCTCTTCTTGTGTCTTCCACCACTCGTGGGCTCAGGCTCGACATGCCAGTCGTCCAGGCTTTGTGAGCTGCGTAGCCCATCATCAGATATAGCATCGACCATGCTGGGGCAAAGACGTAAGGAGGTGGTCTGAAAGGAGGCTGTTTCAAAGCCTTGTACTGTTCCTCTGTAGTCCTGAACTTCCCCCTCGCTTGAGCCGACGGATCTGAGAATGTTTTGGGGCGCATCCGACCTGGCTGAGAGATCAGGCCAGATCCTAAACCGAGGCCGAGAGGAAGGAGGATTGATATGGGGGCATTAGAGAAGACAGATGAAGGAAGTGTGAGGCCTGGGATGTAGGACATGTTGGACAGATCGCAGTGCGCTGCAATGAGCGATTCGCGTACGTAGAGTGATACTATTGTATGCCTAGTTTGGTGGTGAGCATTCGGTTGAAACTTGGATGATTTTGGGGTAAAGGTGGTTAAGGTCGATGTCGGCGGGTTATCATGAGTTATAGTCAAAACAATACGAAGGAGGTACTTCCAAGAGAGCGACAGGACAGCGTTGAGATCGGCACGGAAGTCGGGCAGCGTGTTGAGATCTCAGATGGTGGAGTGATCGCCTGCATCGGTCTATCCTGCTGTTCCTCGTACACCGTATTCGTATTCGTATTCGCTGTGCGCTTCTCGGAATTCGTACGGTCCCCAATCCTGAGATTTGACCAGCTTTCCAATCTTGCTGATGAGGTCTTCACACTTCCCTGCGCATAGTCGTGGGATATTTGTCTCTTAAAGTTCACATAAAACGAGATGTCAGACCTTGAGCCCAGGGCTGACAATACCACCCCGCCTTCCGGATCTTCGAAAGCCGACTTTCTTATCAAGACACTGGGACTGACATACTTGCCAAAAGAATCTGGCTACATCGGCATTCTCGGTCGGTCATGCCATACGGTCACTCTGACACCTACAACGCCGGACACAGCCCTGGCCAAAAGTGACGCCGTTGTGCACTCCTCCAAACACCTGGCGGCCCAATCGCACAACTATTACATGCTCACTGCTGAATTCCGCGTCAATTTTCTGCATTTCCTCGATCCAGACGATACCCATATCCTCATCGAGGGAGGGCCGGTGGAGTACTATACCTTTATACCTCCACGACATCCTTCGCTTTCCCGACAACATGATGTGCAATTACCAAGTGCCGAAAAGACCATCCTCGGTCGAGATTACCTTGCTGGTCAAACGCCCATCATCTCGATCCCGGGCGGGTGCTGGAAAGCATTGAGACTCTGTGAAGGTGTCGATTATGCTCTCATGGCAAACGTACTTGCTCCAGAGTTTACCGAAGACCGTGTGAAGATTGGGGCTGGTCAAGAGTTCTTGGACATGTTCAGGGGCACGGCAGAATGGGCGACCGACGAGTTCCTACGATCTCTTATTGCTAACGAAACCTGGTCTGGGTGATCGGAAAGGAAGCGATCGGGCCCGGCTAACAACAAACTCGGTCCACATTCACAACTTCTAGTCGTGTTGTCGTGGGTTAGAGCGAATCACCACTGGGGACGGAGGGATGTGTCCCCGCCGTAATAAGCATTGGTACGATGACAGCATTTCGCCGACGGCGCGATAGTAGTTGATGGCCGAAAAGATCCCTCTTGCTTGCTAATTACATTATGGTCTATTGTCAACAACCGCCCTTCACAGGCGATAACACATTATTACGCCGCCGCCGGTTCATCCGCGCGCTCCTTGTCCGTCTCCAGTGGGATGGAGATGGACGACGAACTAGACGAGTCATTCTGGACAGGGACGACCTCACCCTCCGCTGCTCTATTAACGGCAAACCGACTCTTTCTCCGAATTAGGTACCCGTACTTGTAGAAGACGTACGGCATCGGAGCAAGCAAGGCACTTAAGGCCGCCAGGATAGTCAAAGTCCAATGCACACCCATGTTCTTGTAAAATGGAATTCCGACGACCGTCATCCCTCCTGCAATGATATATCGAGCTAACGTAGCGAATGTCAGCGCACTTGCGGCGTACATCTCGTAACTGTCGATGATGTACATATAGGAGCTGATGAAGATCATGATTGTTCCATAGCCGAAAAGGACTGAAGCGATAATTGGTGACCAGATTGAGACGCTGGGATATGCTGTCCAACCCATCCACAATAGCGAGACCGGTATCGCCGGAGCACCACCCAGCATGGCAAACCAGAGCCGGATCTCGGGATCGAATTGGCCTTTGCCTTGTGCTTCGGCTTCCTTCTGAGCATGTGCAGTTATCTTGTACATCCAAGGCAGCCAAGCTGCGCCAAACAATACGCCGATGGCTATCCCCAGGAATATTGTATTTGAAATTCCCTGAGACACGCCGTACGTCTCGCGGAAGATGAAGTCATATCCGTCAAAGAAGGTGAAGAGAATGATGTACAAGACTGACATATACAAAGTGATCAAAAAGATCACTGGCTCGGTGAAAGCCATGATGAATGGCCTCGGTAGGGCGACCCTGAGCCGCGTCGCAATTGGGATGCGCTCAATCTCATGTGCAGCGTAGTATCGTTGGTCACCGGTAATCCGGCGGAGGTGTTTTGCCTTCCAACTCAGCAAAAGCGGAGGAAAAGTCTCTGGCTGGAAGCAAAAGGCCAGAAAGAGTACGACTGCAGCCGTGAACAGCGCGACCCACTCAGCCCACCTCCAGGTATGCAGATAAGGAGACTCGGGTATCCAGGCACCCATCACAGGACCAAGCGGGGGACCGAGAAATCCTCCAATGGCAAATATCGGAAACATGTACGTCTTCTCGAGGGGTGTGAACATATCCGACACTGATCCTCCTGCGCAGACCAGGGGAGAAGCACCGCTGAAGCCCGCGAGGAACCGGAACACGACTTGAGCGCCGATGTTAGGAGCCAGTGCGGAGGCCATCAGCCAGATGCACATTGACGCGAGGGAGACGATGTATGTGCCGCTCCTGCCTAAGACTTCAGAGAAGGGACCACAGATGAGTGCTCCGGCGCCGAAACCAATTAGAAAGACTCCGACTGCTAGCGTTTCCGTCACTTCGCTGACACCAAGGTCTTTCGCGGCCTGAGGCAGAACGGCTGCGTCGATCGGTGCGGCAGCTCCGACCATGAAGGCGATTGCAGAGATGATCAACGTTGCGTAGACGCGTCGAAATAGAGACCAGTTTCGAGGATTTAGAGGGTCGTCTGGCCCGTCCCATTCGACGATTAGTACTGACCTTCCGTTGACAACTTTGGTCTTCTGGCGAGACAAACATGGTAGTTGGCGTGCAGACTCGACATCGTGGGCCTCGAGTTGTTTCTCGAGGGTGCGTCCTATCCGGCGATACTGCAGGTAGGTTTCCATCGTGAGGCTTGCGGGACGTTTATACACGTGAAGAAAGGGCCAAATCTGTGAGCTGACGGCGTGAGGCGGGGGGGGGCTGTTTCTGGAACCTTTATACTCATGGTGTTGATCTATGTAATGTTGAGGAAAATCTGGCAAGCATATATCAGGTTCGCTTGAGATCGACAAAACTCGTGCGACATTACGAAAGCATCCGGCAAGATTCCTGGAAAGGGTAACTCCATATCCGCCAGGGAGCGTCTCCACTGGTAGCACAGCAGAACGAGAATGGTGGAGCTACTCGTAGCCCAGAAGCTTAGATGGGCAATGGATAGCCTTCCGGACATTGCCACTGCAGACATCGTCAACGGTGCTCGTACGCTGGAAGGAGGACTTGACGAAGAGTGGATTGTTACATTCAGTGCGTACCTGGAGCCTCGTACAATGCCTCGTAGGAGCCAGTTGTCCGATGACATCGCATGCAGTACGAGGTACATAGATATCAACTTATCAATACTTGTCGTAGTGGACCGGGCACGTTCCGACAAAGCCTATTCAGCCTAAACCCAACAAGGGCATTTCGGAGCGAGGAGCCGGGACTCCGGCCAAGAAACACCGAAACCCACAGCGAGCACAAGGCTCGCTGGTGTTTAATAATTGCAGCTTATCAAGACGGCGTATCCACGTATAATTGTACAATACTCGAAACTAGTCATGCTACAGTAGTCTCTAGCTGGCCAAACGATATTCCGTCGTTTGATAGGACCGATCGCCAGCTAGGATCCTGGTAGCCTCGTCGACAAGACCAGTGGAACCCGGGCTTCGGTGAGTAGTCCTTACGCTTCAGCTCTAGAGAAGAGAAGACGTCTACTCGTGGCGTGCGTTTGTACAACACAAACTCAAAAGAGGGCAGTGTGCTCGATACTTCCATCCGTCGGGCCTTTCACAGAACGCCTACGGAGACAGATTGGTCCCTTTATTTCCCCCCTCCAAATCGTAGGGGTGGAAACGGAGACTGTTTCCCTCCTCGAAGAAGAAGACCTTGGGCTGTACGAGCACACGTCAACAACGCAGAGAAGGCCGCATACGAGCGACAGTTCCCGATCTTACAGCTGAGCAAAGTGATTGGGAGTGATTTTGTATCTGTGACCCTGTCCAAACAGAAAAGGAGAAAAGAGAAATGACGCCACCCACACTCACCAGATCACTGTCCTCTCAGGACCGTCAGGGTTTGCTGCTATCAATCGAGCCTCTGACACCATCTTCGTTCTCACCTTTTGGGACGGCCATCTCGGCCCCGTTCTCGAACACTCTCAACAATGTGCCCGCGAAGATTCCTGAACCGCTCTACTCGGCCCATCAGCCCGCGGCGGTCTTTGCAAACCAAAACTCGGCCTTGAAAACCTCGCCCATCTCCCAGTTCGTCGACAATTACCCTGTTAAGCAGCAGCAGCAGCAGCAGCAGCATTATTCATCATCCGCAGACGGTGATGGCGGAGGCGCCACAACACGTTCCAAGCCTCAAATGAGCATGTTTTCATGTTTCCCCCGAAACCTGAGCGGCGTGGGCATCGACACGTCCCGCCGCAACCTCGCTTTCAAAGTCTCCATTCTTGAACGACACCCGTACACCACGCAAACATTCAGCCCGCTAGGTCTCTCGGCGGCCGACGAGGAGTCGACCGTCTTTCTCGTCATCGTCGCACCGTCTCTCTCTTCGCCTGCCGCCGCGAAGAGCAGCAGCAGCAGCAGCAACCCGGCAGGGGAGGGTCAAGACGACCAGATCCAGATCCAGAATCCACCGGACTTGTCGCGCCTCAGGGCATTTGTCGCAAAGGGTGACCAGGCAGTCACGTACGCGCCGGGGACGTGGCACGCGCCCATGGCCGTGATTGGACGCCGCCGCGTCGACTTTGTCGTGACACAGTTCGTCAACGGCGTTGCCGACGACGATTGTCAGGAGCTACTCTTGGGAGATAATGCCGTCAGTGTCGACTTGAGCACGCTGAACTGTGACCTGGATCTGGACCGGGTTCATCAGCCTCCGTATGACAGAAAAGCCAAGTTATAGAATCTACCTATCCCTATCCCTATACCTGTTCTTTGTACCTGTACGGGTACCCAGGCCTGTACGGAGAGATAGGGGGTCTTTCTCGAACCGAATCACAGCCGTCATCGCCGCCGTCGCCGCCGTCGTCGTATACCCTGCTGCCCTCGAGTCGACTGTCCATCATGTAAAATATACCTTGCTTTGTCTCTTTGAAGTTCGCAGGAGATACTGCAGTTCAGTCATCGGCTTCTTCACCCGACGATCCGGATTGCATTGAAGCCCGACCTTGTCCGTGTTGCATTTTGCACCCAGGCCTCAACACCGCAGTCTACACCACCACATCATAACTACTTCATACACTGCACAAAGACATCGTCATGTAGAAGTGGCGTTTTAGTCTTGAGAACGAAAGGTGCTGATTGAAGCCGGGGCATATGGTTGGGGGGACAAAAACCATCTAATGGAAAATGCAAAAAATTTAACGGTGTCTTAAGGTGGGAGCTTCACCATCGACTTTCCCGATATCATCGGGATGTGGAACGCTACAGAACAACTATTTATATTCAATGGGTATCACAAAGCTGGAACCAATGCAATGGACCCCCAATCAAACTTTGCAAGATAGGACGGACCTTGGTTTCACATCTCTCAAGTCCCCAATTCCCAATACCAAGCAAACAGATACCGGGACATCAAGTTCTAGGCCTTCCCGCCTTCAAGTTTGGTGACCAACCTCTTCATGGCTGTCCATTCTTCCATTTTCGTCTCATTGTTGCCACATTGTAAGCCCTTTCCAACGTCAAAGACAGTCACGATACCGTCGAGACCACCAACTGCAATATGGCTGCCTCTCTTCTCTTCCCATGCCACCTTGTTCAATCCCTTGAATGGCACCACTCCATTCTTCCCTCTGGTCGGAGTTCCTCTAGCAATCGGCACTTCGAGGTCATACGTCAGGTCAAACACCTCCAGATCGCCAGCACCAGTGACGCACGCAAACACCGAAGGCTTATGAGGCGCCCATTTTGCATCGTAGACCAGATCCTCTCGAGCCAGGTTGAGCACGGGCTTGACAATCGTGGGCCCAGCACCAGTAGCAGACGCTACCGCAGCCGCGTTCGAACTGGCCAGTGGTTTAATGCGCCACAACTTCACCGACCAGTCTGAACTAGAGCTCAGGAGCAAATCGCCGAGGTCAACAGGGCCTCGGGCAGGATGAAACTGTGAGCTCATCACCGGGGCTGTATGGCCACGGTAAAACAGACGGGTGTCAATACCAGCTTGAGCGCCAGCACGGTCATATCTGTGGCAAGGATAGATGGTACCTTCTTCTGTCCCGACCACAAAGAACGTTGGGTCGGATGTGGGAAAGCTCATACTCGTAGGAGCAAGATCGTCTGTCTTGGCGGGTGCTGGCGTATTAAGAACAAGATACTCTTGTGCCTGGGTCAGCATATCGACAGACCATGAGCAGACAACCCCGTCCATAGAGGCTGTCAAAATATTGTGCGCGTTGGGTGTGCCAACGACGCTGATGCTATAGACTGGGTGGGTGTGACCGAGGTGTGATCCGGATTGAGGAGTCTTTTGTACCGGTAGGCCCGTTCGACCAGATGACCTTGTGTCCCACAGGCATATTTGCCCAGAATAGCAACCCCCAATCACAAGATTCGGATGAAATGGCGAAAAGCGAGCAGATAACACGTCGGAGGACGCGGTGAATGTGTACTCTGGTCGTGAAGGGGCGTGGGAATTCCATAGCAGAACCAGGCCGGCCGGTTCATGAGGGGCTGATGGATTTTTGGTGTATGAGGACAATAGTAGTTCGTTAAAATGTGGTGAGAATTGGATATCAGAGACTATTCGTCGACGGGTATAGCGATCTGAAAAGAGTTGGAAGGACTCGCGCACCGAATGGGACTTTTTGCTGGTTCGTGAATATGGAGTACTATCCTCGTCATCCTCATCCAATGTCGAAGTGCGAGTATAATCAGCCAGTAGGTCGTACTCGTCATCCATGTCAAGGGCTCGCTCAATGACTTTGGACGATCTCTCGACAAATGAGACGAACTCCGAAGATGCCACGACAGCATTGAACTCGTTGTCATTAAGCGTCCGTAATGGGAACCGGGGTTGGGTATTTGGTGGTTGAGGAAGAGTAGATTCTCGATTGAAGGTTGCCCGTAACTCGTCTTCTATTTCCTTCCGCAGATTCTGTCGAATTTGTTCCTCTGCTTCGAAGTCTCTCCTGCTACGACGTCTCTCCCCTCGTACCTGAATTTCATCGTCCTCGGAGGTGTCCTGCGGCTTGGGGTTCTCATCCAGCCATGGTTCAGTCTGGACGCCTTTTGTGTACGTGATATACTCCTTTTTCGGGGGCGCAGGCTCATGGGCGGCTGCAGTCTCCTCTCGTACATTGTCTGTCTCGTCGGTGTCTTCAGTCTGGGTGGACATGGACACCATCAGCCTCTTGGGTGACGGCTCTACTTCATCTTGCGGAGTGATCTGACCCGTGCCTTGCAGCGAACTCGGCCGGCTCCTTCGTGGGGACGCTGGTGAATCTCTTTTGCCATCGATTAGTCTAGAGACAAACTCATCGATCTCCGCTCTTCTCTCGTCTGCTGTCTTGCCTGGTGACTGAGCCTATCGCAGGTTAGTATACGTGATGGGCCAGGTTAAGTAGCCTCACTTCTCCAATGCTCTGCCGGGAGGAGGCATATTGCTCCTCCCGCAAGGCTTTCTGTCGTCTGAGTTCAGCAAGACGGGCCTTCTTCGCAAGGAGCTCGTCTTTCCGCGATGACATGGTGATTCGGTCGTGTCAGTCACGCAGTGTTGGCTGCCACGAACTTGGATGGTTTGGAGATCGTGGCTCGTGTCTACGGGAGACGGCGCGCACTCACGTGATCTTGATTTTGGCGAGAATGTGGAGGAGCTTCGGAACGAAAATCGAACGCTTTCCCAGTGCACCATCAACAACCGCATTTCTTACCACCCGCGCACCGGATTATAGAACTACAGGGTCTCGACTGAAGGAAGTCAACTTTCTTCGGATTCCTCCACTCGAAACGAAATCACACCACCGGTGTCTGCCCATTGTTCATAATGTCCACATCACAAGGAGTTAACGTACGATCCAGCTTTCCCAGCTCGCCGACACCGCGGGTACAAGTTTCTCTGAAGCTGCGGGCTGACAGACTACAGGTGCTTCGGTGGTCGGCTTTGGTCGCAGGCATATTCTATGGCTTCTCACACCAAAGAACAATCAGCGCAAAAACAGCTGCAGCTCATGCGCAGGCGGAATACCAACACAAGGTTGATTTAATACAAAAGGCCAAAGCGGAATGGGCCAAGAAGAATTTGCCTCCCCAAGCGAAGACGGCAAGCGGTGATAGTACGTGTTTGAGCGGAGCGAAACCGACATTAAACTGACTTTGAGGGCAGTCATCACAGATCCCAACGACAAGAACTTTGACCTCGAAGCATATCTCACGAAACTATCGGCTGAAAGCTGAAGGATGGGTACCGGCGATACGTTTTGTACCAGGAAGATGGAGGAAGTGAAGCCGGCTGGGTGGGCTCAATTAGACATGGTGTTGATGCGCAGTTGATACCCGGCATTTCAGTCGCAAGCAACGGCACCAGTACGGTTAACGCGGGAAAAAAGCACCTGACATCCAGCAAGATATTTGTACATACATTGCGCAGCAGAAAGGCGGTCTGTAAAATCATGGTTCATTCGCATACTGCTCCAGACTTTTATGTGTTTTCCTGACTTACGGACCATGTGGGCAGCGTTCTTTGGCAGGGCATTCGGTTTCTCGAATGATTGATGTCGTCTCGCCCACGCTTTGGCTTGTCGAAGCTAGGAAGGATCACGAGGGAAGACGTGATGTAAGGTTGAGCCTGATCAGCAAGTGATCTTTGAGCTTGGTGCGCTGTCTGTGTGTTCGACAACGTGACCTTCAGTCCGCAATCTCTTCTTTTGCCTCTGGGATATAGAGACTCTATTGCCATTTCAGCCTGGGGATAAAGCGTGCACCTTGAGTGCATCGTAGGGATACACTTCCATGGTGTATACTTGGGTACGTGTGCTCGACCGAACAAGAGCACGTGATGGTTTCACGTGATCGGATCTTAGTCACGCACTCCTCGATTAGGGAGGCGCCTACGGAGTACTAGTAGGCCACTAGCGCACTCTCCGTCGTCTGGACCGGCGGAAGCGCCATCCCCATCTGCCCGGAAGTCAATCATCCCACTTGGCTGTGCCTTGCTTCAACCGCGCTTGCGGTCATCAGGGCTTCAATGCATCATATACAGTTCGAAATTGGAGGTTCGTTAAACTGGGGCTGCAGGCAGGAATAATTCGACAGGACACGGAGAAAACAACATCTTGGCCTACCTCTCATCGCCTGGATACCCGAGTCTGGGGTAGCATACAACTGTGCGGGAGGGGTGCCGGATCATGCGGTAGAGTGTATTGTAGATGACGGGGTCATGGAATCTCGCCAGAACCAGGGGGGCTGTGACTATCACCTTCCATCCAGGAGGCTGGCGCTCGGCAAGCTCGCTCTCAACCTATTCCTCTTGCTCTCAATATTGATCGATGGGTGCAGTGTCGTCGACTATAATTCGCGACTTGGCTGGTTTCATAGCTCAGCCTCTAGAAAACTTCCCCTCTCGGGTCTCATTGACCTGCCAATAGGTGGATGTTAAGCGGGCAATGATCGTCTAGTGCCGTGTGTGACTAGGTACGTTTGACTCGACCAGGGGGAAGCGAAAGCGAACGATAAGTCGCTCACGTAGAGAGTCCACGATCCAGTTGGGCCATCCCACATTGTTTAGACTCTTCCCCCTCCTCACGACCTGTCAGCGAAAAAAATAGCTTCGATCGACAGCTACTTGCAGTTGGCCAAAAGCGATGGTCCATCTCCCGAGATTCGAGTCATGGCAGTAGCATACGAGTACAGGATTCCCAACCCCGCAAGAATGGCACTTCCGAGACACACCGGAGCCGCTCGAGGTCAAACCGCAGCCTGGCCTTCACACCATCTACGCCTGTACGCAGAGTTGAACAAGAGTTTGGTCAAACTTGTGGCCGTCACAATAGAGGGCTTAGTAAGCTATAGAATCCTCGACAGTCGGATCTCGCCAACGTGCGGTACTGCAGAGATCCCATGAAGACGACCACGTTCTTTTGGACAGACCACGACAACGAACACGGTGAAGCAAAGACAGCTGGCCACACTCCTACTAGCGACATGATGCAGGCTATCACATCATCTGCCCGCACTATTCCTCCCCCAGTATTTCCCCACAGGACGAACCGCTAGACCAAAAGATTTAGTCGATGCATACCCAGTCAGCCTAGTGTTGCTCTGGTGTCCCTTCGCGTGCCTAGTCTTCCGACACTGGCTCGGATGCTTGAACCCCGTGCCAGGTGTACAGGTGATTGGACGCAGCCTTGGCTTCATCGAGCTTCATCGTCTCGAGCTTGGGCGTCGCCATAAAAGGGGAGCGATGTGTCGATGAGAACGGATTTAGTGCTGCACACACGACTGGCCACTGACGACCGGAAACCCTGTCGCCCGTGTCCATTCGAAGCGTCGATTCAATTTCGCCTTTGGACTTCGTGGCCACAGAGACGTGGCTCGTGGGCCAATGGCCAATATGCCCGTCCTTTCGGCTGAGCGGGTTAGGGGACACTCCCCTCCACCGAGAGGAGAAACATCAGTTGATCGACCCATGGTCTGTGACGCCGTGCTTGAACACTAGTTGAGTGAACTGAGTGCTCGTTGACCTGGTTGTATATTATTTATGCCCTCCCAGGACCACCAGCTTGCTCGTACTTGTGCGCGTGTCTCGTTCTTGTCCATCACTGCCGGTCCCTGATTGTCCATACATCAGCCTCACCTCGCAGTCTTGTCACTCTTACTCTCCAGTCGCGACCTTTATCGAACAGCTCCCTTCGACCTCTCAACCACAGGTCTTTCTACCTGTTCAGAATTCTCCATCATCCACCGCCGCGATGGCCACCAACAACCATATGCCAGACGTCGAGAAAGACCACGCAGGCAGCGGCTCCGTCAACGGCGGATACGACCTTCACCATGACCATCACGACACTGACACAGCTCTAAGACGACTTCGAACGGCTGGGAGCATCTCCATCACACCAGAACTCTTCGAGAAGATCTACCTGTCCCCAAAGAATCGGGTATCGAATAACATTCGTTCCACCTTTGGCAACCCTACTCCATTGTCAGTCTACATCTACCTCAACGTTAGGTTCTGATTCTAACCCGTGTTTACAGGGCTCTCTGCGGCTTCCTGCTCTCTTTGACCCCACTGTCCAACATCCTCCTCGGCTGGCGAGGTGCTGGTGGTCTTGGTGCCGCCGAAGTGTAAGTTTCCCCCTCAGAAACTTCCAACCACTGTCTTGCGTCAAGCTCACGTTTCACAGTGGCGTCTACTACTTTTTCGGCGGCCTTCTGATGATACTGGGAGGCTTCCTCGAGTTCATTCTGGGCAACACATTTCCATTCGTCGTGTTCGGTTCGTTCGGCGCTTTCTGGCTCGCCTTTGGCGCGACCCTGACACCCTACTTCAACGCCTCGATCGCCTACGACCCTACCAACCCGGCTCAATCAAGCTCGGACCCTGTCTTTGCGTCCACCTTTGCCTACTTCCACGTCTACATGGGCGTCTTGTGCTTTGTCTATCTGGTCTGCGCGCTCCGCACAAACATCGTCTTCGTGTTGATCTTCGCAACGCTCGTTCCGGCCTTTGCTTGTCTTGCGGCCTTATTCTTCTCGATTGGCGAAGGCGACCCGAAGATCAAGCTACAACACGCAGCGGGTGGTCTCACGTTCGTGACCTGTCTGCTGGGTTGGTACCTGTTCTTTGTCCAACTGCTGGCTTCGGTGGACTTCCCGCTCAACCTTCCTGTCGGCGACTTGAGTCAGTTCATCAAGGGTGCCAGTGAGCGATCTGGAACCAAGGAAGACTAAATGTGTCACCCACCCATACTCGGGGAGGTACACAGGGAGCCTGAAAGGTGGGAGACACTGCGCTCTTAATGCGGTGTAAGGGGGGAGTTTAGTGTCGGTGAGCTGAGAGAAGAAACCACAAATACCTCTTCGACGGGGAAAGAAAAGTCACAAAAAACTCGAGAACGAACTTCTCGGATTGGGATGAATGAAAGCGGGGGTGACTAAACATCATCCTGCATGCGAATAGTGTGCTATCAAAACAGTTTCAGATGGGAGAGGCTTTAATTCAATACCAACACCTAGGTAGAACAGTACTTTTCCCCCTTGGGGTTTCCTGAATTTTCAGTAGACCTTTTGGAAAGTAGTTGAAAAACTTGCTTGCCGTTGGGACCGCGATGGTTGGCCTAGCTCTCAGGCTTTGTTGACACTTGTACAAGTATCTATGCCCAGCAAGCTGCCAGATTACCCACTTAGTTTGCGGTCGTTCAAGGACCTTCAAAGTGCAGCAGCTTGCCCAAACAGAGCCGACCTTGTACTAATGCATATACCATTCAGTAACACTCTGGTCAAATGCAATGTCAGTGACTTTTCCCAACGTGTGTGTGTCCCCTTGTTCTTTGTTTGGGAGAGAGGACTTCCTCGCTCCGATGAGTGGTTTGATTTAGCTGGCAAGTCTCGATTCACTGCTTCTTGCTTCTTGCTTCTTGCTGCCTGCGTCAATCTGTAGTGAAACCGGTGAATGCAACCACGTGCCAGGAACATATAAAACGGTGCTCTACTCTACTGTCGTTACCAGCATCGTTGGCTTTCGATCTACCCGAAGGACATGACTTGTCTGACTCGATCGCTGTGTCCTACGATCGATCCTCGAATGCTCGTTGGAGACAGGCACGGACACACGCACACACACAAGGCTGTGTCACGTACACGCACCTCACCTATGCGGTGTTCTGTAACTACGGGCTATACATATGGATGGTACTATACGATTGGACACGGATCCGAAGCGCAAAATGAGCAGGGACTGTCCATCCATATCGATCTACAGCAGGTGGCACTGGTACTCATGTTGTACTGGTTGGGAGTTAAGATTGTGACGATGAGTCCGAGGATGATCGGAAGAAGCAGGACCCAACGCCTGCATTTGGTTTGCGCGCACGCACACGCTGAGGCGAGAATCTGCGATGCGATGTGCCGAGACTGAGCACCGAGGTTCGTAAAGTCGACTGTCGAGAATCCAGTGGTTTGATCGACGGTATCGTGTGAAACGAAGATGATCTTCCGCATGAGTACGAGGACATGCCTGCGTAGAGGTTACTCACTCGAGTGCTCTGAAAACTCTGTAAGCGCCACGTCGCTGAGAGAGCGGTGAGAGCGTCAGAAACTGCTAGACTACCGTTGTGAGTGCAGTGACGGGTTACTGGGGCGGTAGTGGTGTTGAGGCCGTTTCAGTGGATATGATCACTGGGTGCACAGACTCGGTACTGTATGCACTGGTTCATGCAAGAAGGTCAGGGCGTTCACACCCTCATTGATCTTCAGCAGGACGACGCAACGAGAAGAAAAGTCAATGTTATTGTTCTCCACAAAAGACTGGTGACACCCCCTGCTCGGGTACCTGGGGTTACTAAGTATGGAGTACCATCACACAACAACATTCCAAGGAGTGGATTCCGAGCTAGTAAGGGTCGAGGCATGCCGTGTCGATACAACTTGCCTTGTCACAAGGGTATCATTGCACTTTGGTGTGGGTTGACATTGTTAATTTCCTTTCGACCGAAGGACAAAATCCTCCTGAAACCAAACCAGGCAGGGATCTGAATATGCATGCAGCATCCGTTCTCAACTACGGATACGGATCCCAGGAATCTACAATACTGCGGATACCTCCTGTTCGGAGTTCCTTTAGGGGGTCAGGGATCCGAGATGCTCCAATTGGGGCATCCGCTAGGCTCACGAAAAGAGGTTATGCAGAGAGGCGGTGGAAAATGGTGAGAGTCAAAGGGTCCTTTTGTTGAGGCGCCCTGCTTTACACCACGGGGGAACTTCTCGATCGATGTCTAGTTGGGCGGTGGAAAACCCGTTCGAAGCAAACAAAATCTCACCTGATGCTTCGCTTCCCATGTGGCTTTCGAGGCAATCCCTGGGAGCGGAATGGGGTTCCGCATCAAATATTCAGCCTCGTGAGAAGGGGCAACTGCGTATCTCTTGTTCGACATAAGGCGGCCTCCGAGGGATCTCATGTCTTTATCATTGTGAGAAAACCTCACTGATCATCAGGTAGGATCTTGATCAGTGACATTGACGTGCAACTCCTCGAGGCACTTCTGAATCAGATTCTTCATCAAGTAATGCATGGGCTATTAGCTGTAACGGTACTCCAGGTAATCATCTGGAGTCATCAAACAGTGAGGCAAACATCAGGACAAACAGCGAGGCAAACAGCGAGGCCAGCGAGGCAAAAAGCGAGGTAACCCTCAATGGATGTATGACGAGGCAAGGAAACGTCGAGTGCGGAAGCGCACGGTAGGTAAAAAGTCCAGGACAGTACGGGACAGTCGCGGATTATCATTATTCCGAGTGTGTTGCCAAGCATGACGGGATTGTATGTCCGTAGCTGTTGAGATATCAAAACTAACTCCCTATGTGTTCTTGAACAGCATTGGACTTGCCAGGAATTCGACTGGAGACGCTGAACGGTCATCTGTCTGTATCTTTGCCAGTGTCCCACCAACGGTGAGCGTCCTTCGGCTTCGTACACAAAGGTGAACTCGATCGATGCCTAATTAGAGCTGCATGTCCAAACATCAAATCGGGCGATTTCTGTCCAGCACAGTGAGATTCGTAACAACGTACCAGAGACCTATCCTTACGCCCAAACAAGAAACACGGGTGTCGTTCATACTACTTACTCGAAACATGGCAACTGCAACAATCAACCGTCCGCGTGACCCAAACACCTTATCAAACTACAATAACTGGCGAACCCTTCACACTTCTACAACACTTGAAATTCTGTTTGATCAGCAGAAGCTCCAGGGAATTGTATCTCACGACCTGCAAGCCATTACGGATGGTGAAAGCGATGAAATCATCCTCGATTCCAGCCACGTACTTGTCCGCAGTATTCTCGCCGAGGGTAAACCGGCAAAATGGGAGACAGCAAAAAGACTAGAGCCGTATGGCAGTGCGTTGAAGATCAAGCTCGACCGAAAGCCAAAGCTAAACGAGAGGATTGATATCCAGATTGAACTGGAGACCACGGAATCTTGCACGGCTTTGCAATGGCTCACCCCCGCTCAAACTTCCAATAGGAAGCATCCGTACATGTTTTCCCAGTGTCAAGCCATCCACGCTCGATCTATATTTCCATGTCAAGACACACCCGATGTCAAAGCGACTTTTGACTTTAGCATAAAATCACCTCTTCCCGTCATTGCTTCTGGACTTGGCGCCAAAGAGAACCCGACTTCTCCCTCTGCTGACGGATCTTCCCAGCTGTACAAGTTCCATCAGCGTGTGCCCATACCAGCATACCTTTTTGCCATCGCCAGCGGGGACATTGCAACTGCTTCAATAGGTCCTCGGAGCACCGTCGCTACAGGCCCAGACGAGTTGAAAGACTGTACATGGGAGCTCGAAGAGTCCACCGAGAAATTCCTCCAGGCGGGAGAATCTCTCGTCTACCCCTATGCCTGGGGCGAATATAACGTCTTGGTCTTGCCACCGTCTTTCCCGTACGGGGGCATGGAGAACCCAGTCTATACGTTTGCGACGCCGACGATCATTTCCGGCGACCGTGAAAACGTCGATGTGATTGCGCACGAGCTCTCTCACTCGTGGTCAGGCAACCTGGTGTCCAACGCTTCGTGGGAACATTTTTGGCTCAACGAAGGATGGACGACGTATCTCGAGCGACGCATTCAAAGCATCGTCCATGGTGGTGATCAGTGGAGAGACTTTTCTGCAATCATCGGTTGGCAGGCATTAGCAGACTCGATCAAGAACTTTGGCGAGGAACACGAGTTCACCAAACTGGTGATTGACCTGAAGGGCAAGGACCCGGACGATGCGTTCTCCAGCATACCCTATGAAAAGGGCTTCAACTTTCTGTACTACATTGAAAAACTCATCGGCAAAGAAGAGTTCGACAAGTTCATCCCACACTACTTTGAGACGTGGCGCGGCAAGAGCTTGGATAGTTACGACTTCAAGACCACGCTGCTGGACTTTTTCAAGTCGGATGAAAAGGTTTCGGCCGAGCTCGCCAAGATAGACTGGGACACATGGTTCTACAAGCCTGGGTTCCCACCGAAGCCGAACTTTGACACCACTCTCGTCGACGTCGCGTACCGTCTCGCAGACAAGTGGGAGGAGTTCACAAAAGAGCCCAACCCAGACTTTGGCCCGAACAAGCTCGACATCGACGGCTGGACGGCAAACCAGGTGGTCGTGTTCCTCGAGCGGGTCATGGCGTTCAAGACGGCGTTGCCCGTTCCCCACGCTCATCAACTGGGGTCCGTCTACAACTTGAAGGACACTCGCAACGTCGAGGTTTCGGCGCGGTACTATCAGATCGCAATGGCCAGCGGAGATCAGTCCATCAAGGACTTTGTGGTCAAGTTGCTAGGACAAGTTGGACGGATGAAGTTTGTCCGCCCGTTGTACAGGGGATTGATGAAGTTGGACTATGAGACGGCGGTGGAGACGTTTGAGAAGAACAAGGACTTTTACCATCCCATTTGTAGGGGGATGGTCGCGAAAGACTTGTTGGGGAGTAAGTAGCGAGAGCAACTAACTAGTCAAGGGTTGCCACGTACATTGAAAAGAGACGAATAGTATCCGTCACTCGGACAGTGGACGATGGCAATAACAATAGCAACAGCAATAGCAATATCAGTGTCGGTATTAGTGTCAATGTCGGTGGTTCAATGGGAGAGAGAGTCGGTGTCCGCGTCAGTACCGTTGCAGCAGTGAGAGGTTTCGGGGCTACAAGACCGACCACCTCCTTGAAGTTACCCAGGTACGGAGTACCTCCGGGGCAATCGACAATAGGTACCGCACAGCAAGGTCACTAGGTAGGGAGGAAGACTCTCAAATGTCCACTGCCGCCTATCTACGAAGACCCTTTTATTCGTTAGCCATGGGGGCCGCCCTACGTTACCAAACTTGGCCCTCAGGTGCTATTGTAGGTACACGTACGGAGTAATAAGGAAACTTGTCTCCCTGGTGAGAACTCGTTAGTTAACACTAAAAGTTACTTAGGTACTGTTATGTAAAACAAGTAGTAGGTTAAGCCGGGTAAGCTGACCAATCGACGCGCCCAGACGTGACGGGAACCCCACAAATTAAAATCCAGGGGGATATATTTTCGACGCGGCAAATCTGTGTCTCATACTTACCTTGTGGAAGCGGCTCGGCTCAAGAATCGAGTTTGCTATGGTGATGTCCCTGCATTGCACAGCGCGGACGGACTGTCGCCATTGAGCGTCCTCCGGGGCTCTCATTCGCGCAGTTTTTGGCTTGAAATTTAATGACACGCGCGCATTCATGTCGTGACCGTCATTTTTTTTTTGTTTTTTCCTTTGGGACGAGTCGAAGGGCAAAACCAAAGTACCAAGGTCGAGTCTCGGTGGGTGTATGGTTTTTGCTTTTTTTTTTTTGGATTCGGTATCTGACTTCTTCTTGTCCTGAAACATCCCATCGCAGTCACGACAACGGTGGAGTGTGGTAATGATGTCGGGTTGAGAGAGAGCCAGAGAGACAGAGAGAGAGAGACATGGAACCACTTGTCACAATGGAGGTTGTTAATTCTTTCTTTACGTGGTTCCTCCTTGATCTCTAGCTTCCAACAATATGCTATGCTATGCTATGCTATGCTATTCTTTGCCGTGCTACGCTATAGCTATACGGTATATACTACGCTGCGCTTGGTGCTGCAATTCCCTCAAGTGAGGACTGACGGAGATGTATCGTTAAGGTATCAAATCGTTTCGTTTCATGACAAAGTCAAAGACTCACTCACTCACTCCAGTCCGTAACCTGTCCATTAGTATCCTCAAAACTTCATCTTCCCAATCGTTCAACTCCAACCAGTCTGGCACGACGATGGTTCGGGGCGCAATGATGATTTTGTTGTCTTCGTCCTTATCTCGGCCGTCTTTTTTCGTTGCATGAGGACTGCTGCTGCTTCTGGTCATCGGATGCGGTACTCTGCTTCCCCGTGAGATCGACACGGAGTCCGAAACCACCGTAGCGCCGGTCTCGATCTTCCTCAGGTCTTCGTTCGATTCAGCCTCGGTGTCGGTATCGCTGATGGCCTCACTCTCCTTTCGAGTCCTCCTCCCATCATCATCATCATCACCACCACCACCACCATCACGACTAGAAATTCCCTTCTCCACGTCCGGCGGCAAGGTCTTCTTCTTCTCCTGCTTCCTCTCTTCTCTGAGCGCTTTCAAATCCACAGGCGTCCACCAATACACGGGAAACCGGCGGCCGGAGATGTTGTTCAGCACCAGCGCGCTAGCGAGCATGAGCATCGCCGCAAGGAGGACCAACGGGACGAGCCACCAGCCCAAAACCTGGATTTCGACGTTGGTCGCGGCCAGCAGCGCCGTCGCTCCCGCAGGTGGATGGACCGTCTTTGTGAAACTCATGACCATGCTCGCCACGCCGACGGCCAACGCTCCCGCGAGCCACCGTAGGTCCTCGAACCGGTCCGGTGGCAGGTGCTCAAAGAGTTTGGTGATCCCGACGGCCACCACGGCCGAGAGGAAGTGGCCGACGACCAGATTGCGAGGCTGGGCCAGTGGCGATTCGATCGTGTTGTACTCGAGGATGGCCGCGGCGCCGAAGGAGGCGATGACGATGGGTGCGCTGTGGCCCGAGAGTCGAGGCAGGGCGAGGAAGACGTTCTCGATGATGGCGACGCCGCAGAACGCCCCGACCATGACAGAGAGGTACAGCGATAGTGTGTGGAGGAACGATGAGCGGTGCACTGGGGATGGTTTCTGTGCCGAGCTGCGTGGCGCCCGGTAGCCGAACCAGTACGAGATCCATGACGGGAAGAAGCGTAAGGGGTTCTGGGGGATGAAGGGGTTGAGGTAGTTGTCTATGTCGAACGGAGGTTTGGGTTTGGTCGTCTCAGGGACTTGAAATAGTCGGGCTGGGTTCATGTTCATGTTCATCCGAGGCGTTGTCCAGAACTCCCTTTGACCTTCGGATGTGTGTGAGAGAGAGGCTCCCAGCAGGATGGACGTGGATCGCTGGTGAGATGCTTGTGTGTGGGCGTACGTGGGTGGCAAGATGTGTATACCCCGGCAGCGCAGAGCATTATATCCCCGTCGAGAATAGAGGGTGAAGGTCGGCCGGGTAAATGATAGCTGATTTGGTGACGACGGAGAGTTCTAGCTGCTATAATACCAGCATAGCAGCAAGAGAATGATAAATTCAGATTGCTGCTGTTGGCGCAGTACGAGTACGAGCACCGCACAGAGTACCCCGTGCCCCTAGACGATATCTGCCAATGCTGGTTGTAGAGTTCTATCGACTTGCTCACAAAACAGCCTACGACTCAACACCGTCCTGCAGGTCAAGGAGGAACAGGAGGTGGCAGAAGCTACAGGAACAGAAACTCAACGAAAGGGATTGAAAGCTGTTGTATGTACAGTACCTGTTTTGAAGAGTGGGAAAACCCCTCCGGAGCAGGCGTCACCAAATCTCCCCTTGGACACAACATCGATGAGGTTGATGGATGGACCGCGGGTCGGAAACGGGGAGCGAAGTATACCAGGTTTCAGTATCTCCGCTGGACCTGACAATTGCCATAGTAAAAAGGCGCGGACTGCACGAGGTTTCATTTCGACGCTGCAGCAAGCGGGAAAAATGATGCTGCGACTTTGGCTGTCTTTACGCGAGAGAAATACAATGAGTGGCTGTGGAGCAATAAGTTGTGGTCATGGTAATGGCTCAATTGGGCATCGGCCGAAGCACGGATGATGGTACAATATATTTTTTTTCCGGGGGCGGAGGAGAATGACGACAATCACGTGGCGTTATGGCGGCGACATGTGAATCAATGGGTTTGATGGGACGGCACAAACCACACTTGGCTGAAAAGAGCTAGAAAAGGGAGTTCCCTAAAAGCGCCCGGATATGACGAGGTTTTGCGTGATTTGACGTGTCCCGGCTGGGCCGACAACAGCAGACATGATCAACAAAAAGTTTTCTGGCAGAACATTTTGGCGCATGACGAAGGAGGCGAGAGGTTATGGTCTAGCTGGCTGGCTACGAGTGCAGCACACACAGGAGGTTACCCCCTACCCCTGCCCAGACTCACTAATTGAGGCACTCGTACCTTAATCTCAGCACCAGACAATTCCAGGGACGATGACGATCTCGACACTTCGACATCAACCTCGCGTATTTCGTAATCCGAAGAGTCCATATTGACCTATTATTGATGACCTGAATCAATCCATCCCTCCTCTATGGAGATACAGGCGTCTTCTCCGTATGATCAATGTGTCTACTTCGACCTCGGCTTCACTCGAGCCAACTCACTCCTCACAGGAATGTTGTGTTCAGGATGCGGCTCAGGGAACCCATCCACCTCGACACCCTTTCTAAACATCAAACAATGCGTCGATCCTCCGAAATGGAACATGCCAATCTCATCTCCCTTGTTGACATGCTGACCTTCCTTGACAGTGACATCGCACGTCGAGACTTCACACATACCAATACCTAAAAAGGCCATCAGTCCAATGTCGGGATTCTCCGCCTCGAAGAACATAATGGCCCTAGTGGCCGTCGCACTCAAGTATCCCTGGCTCGTCACCTGTCCCTCCGGGTCGGCGGACTGGCCTGGCCCAAAGTCCTCAAACAGCGGCTCAGAGTAATACGTCCCGTCGACCACGTATGCCTTGACCAGTTTCCCCGACACAGGCGCGTGCCAACGGTGATAACTCAACGCGCTCAAAAACGCCTGGTAAACGGTTCCTCCGACGAACTGCTCAGCCAGCGGATCTTGCGCCAGCATGTCGACGACCGAATACGGCTGTCCCTTCAACCAGAACTTGTCGCGGCGCTTGACGTCCCTCGCGACCTTGAACGTCTTGGACTCGCACGCGTTGGCAATCACGCTGTCGTCGTCGGGACTGGCCACCGGCCGGACGCCTTCTTTGAACAGCCTCGTGAAGAAATGGTCCCATGACTTGTACCCCATATGCGGCTCTGAGGGATCGCACTGGAACATTTCCTCGAACCTGTAGTTCGTCTTGCCCACGTTGGCCGTGTATTGGAGCTCCTCGTACCCGTGGGGGCTGAACCAGCTTCCCTTGGCTTCTCTCTTCAACACGTACGCCGAGTCTGGCGAGCTGAGAAACTCGGCCCACGCATTGAGCACCTTCTTCAGCATGGCATTCACCTCTGGGTCCAGGAAGACTGCGAATCCGCTCTTGGTCCCCATGGGCCAGTCGAAGAGCGCGTTGAAGGGGAGTCCCACCAGCCCGACCCGTTCGGACTTGTCGTTCCACGACGGCGCCGTGGTCAAGAGGTGGTTGATGACCTGGAGCATGTGCACGTGGTCCCGGATGGTCGGGTGGCCCGCCGTACCACGCGGGTCGGTCTTGTAGGGGTCCTTGTTGGGGATCTGCTCAAACATGGACGAGAAGAGCAGCCAGACCCGCGAGTTCTTCTCGATCAGGTCCTGGAACTCTCGCACCACCGGATGCAGCTCCGCTGGGTTCTGGTCGACATGGTCGATGACACCGGCCAGCCATTCCTTGTGCGCTCGGTGGTCGTGCGGCAACCATTCGCCTATCCTGTCAAAGAGTCGGTCAGTTCTATTGTTCACTTCACTCGACACATGGTAGTGACTGGTGATGTCATAGAGGGTGTCCAGGTGAGTCTACGGGAAGTGTACGGAGTGAGTCCATCCGTGAAAAGTGTACCGATGCGTCCAATCGATGGAAACTCTACGTCGTGGTAGCTAGGGCACTTTACCTGTGCGTATAGTGTTGATCTGGGATGTCCTTCTCGTGCTTCATTCTGGTCTTTTTGGGGGGAGCTTCCCTGGACAACGACTCGATCGAACAGGTGATGTTGATGGAAGGCTCAGTTTGTATGGTGAAGTAAGTATTGTATTGCAGGAGTTTAGAACGAGGAGGGAATACGAAGCCGTTTCAGAGACAGGAAGGGACAGAAAGAGATAGAGAGAGTGTGTGTATGCGTGTGTGTAATGGCGTATATGTGGGTGTGTGGGCGTGCCGTGGATGACGTTGTGAATACTGTACTTTGGTTGTCACTCGTACTGGCGTCCGACTCCGACTCAGAAAGCCAAGGCACTTTGTAAAAGCTTCTTTCCGATGGCACTTTGTTTCTATTTCAACCTGGATACTGTGTAGTAACGTGGATGCCGAAACTTGCGCCATTGGAAGAAACATGCTCGTATATCAACCACGAGGAGGTAAAAGATTTATTTACCTGGACTGTTTTTTGCGCCCGCAGCGGAATGACCTACGTCACTATACGAAGGATGTTGTCTGGCGGTCGGCATCTCTTCCGTGGGTACGAGCAGGAGACACGAGATACCAATGGGTCACCCAATGACCCAACCGTTGAGTGATATGTCATGTCCCAAGGTACCCCGAGTGATACTCGTAGTACTCGTAGTACTTTAAGAAGCACGACTCTCGTCCCCGTGTACTCGTACCTGTTTGAGTACAAGTACAAGTACAAGCATCAATATCCCAAGTATCAATATTCAGGGTGCATAGTATCTACCAGGTAGGATCAAACATTGATACGGGTATTATCGGGTTATCTGATCTGGTCTGGGAGGATTTCTGTCCGCTCGTCTTAGTGCTTTTCTGGCCCTCAACGCCGTACGTACCACCAACCAATGTCAAAAACTTCCAGAGTCTTTTAGCGGCTCCTGTACCTAGGCAATGTATGTATGTGTTCGATATGATAATCCAAGACTTCAACACTTCCCAGAGATACTCGCTCGTACTGTTCAGACAACGCCGAATCCAGATTCCTACCCATCCAATTGGCCGTAGCGCCTTGTCCAAAAGTCCTCTGGACCAAGCTCCCTTTTCTCCCTGAAGAGACAATCTTGAAGAATTCTGTTCCCAATTCCATACCCCACTGAACACCACATGATTTGGTTTCGTCTTTTCATCTGGTCTTTGTCATCTCTCGCCGCTTCTCTTCTCATCACGTTAATTCCAATTCTGCCAAACACACCCACACCCACCTGTGCCGCCGTCGATACCGCCCGCCTCAGGGTCAAACCCATCATCAGCAGCTGTCGCATTCCCGCTTCCGGATCCCTCCTCCACCAGCGGAGGTGCAGGGTTGATCAAGTGTCCACCGAACCCTCTTAGTTCTGGCACAATGCCCTTAACGTCGTTCTGAATCACCTGCAAATCGTTCACGCCGTAGCAATACACTGCTTTCTTGTTGATGTTTCCACCATGCCGGTCGAGACTGATCGTCGTGGGGTATGGGAACGATCCAGGCCGATTGAAGTCGGTGGCCGAATTATTTCCAGCCCCCATGGAGGTGTTCGACACAATCGGGCTCAGTAGCGTTCCGTCGAACGCATGGTTGGTCCAGATCCTCACCAAGAATCGAGTCTGACTGAGCGTGCAACGCAGACGGGATTGTCCGCGTGTGCACCCGCCGTCTTCGTCGGCCGCGTCGATACCGTTATTGTTGGAGAATTGCGACGTGTTGAGTGGGGCCGTCGAACGTAGGAAAATCGCCTTGTCGTAGTACATGTAGAATCCGAAGTGCTCGTCCTGCTGTCCGCGGTTGTACAATTTGATCGGCTGAGACGTAGGGTACGGCGACGTCGGAAGGAGGTTGGCCGGAGCTGCGCTTCCATCGTCAAGGACGTCCGGCGCCGGGATGATGTCTGAGTTGTTGCTATCTCGGCTTGCGAGCAGTTTTGAAGTGGCCAAATTGCCCTGTGTCGAATTGAACGGGTCCAGAGGAAATACCGGTATAAAGGTCATAAAGAAAGGAGTGTCTTCGCCCTGGAAAGGCTCAGTGATGTTGTCAGTCGTGTTACCCAAGAAAATCTCGTCTGCCCGACTTGGCGGTGTCGGGTTTGGTTCCAATAGATCCTTTGTGAATGGGTCACTTGCTCGAGGGCTAAGGTTGGCTGACCTCTTTCTTAGCTCGTTCACGGGGAGCGTCATGTTCCCCGGTACCGTGCCATTTTTGAAAGTGATTTCGAAGCGGAAGTTTGGCTGATCTGGACTGTTCGGCGCTATCTCAGCCTGGTTCTCCTTTGGTAGTGCGCAACTCCACATTGTGGTCGGTGCTACACACTGAGATTGCTCCTGAACGGGATCAGGCATTGCGATTGTTGAGATACCTGTTGGGATGGGAGGATATCCCGTCAAGTTGAGCCACTGGCTCTGAGTAGGAGTCTCATCACCATGACGAGTGAGTAAGGTGGCAAGAAGAATGCAGGCTATCACAATCAGAAGAAGAAAGGCTCCCACAATGAGAGTCCATTTCCGCTTCGTAGGCTGTAGATCTTCGTCAGTCTTCGCTCCCTTCTTCTTGAATAGAGACTTGATTTTGGCGACCATCCCAGATTTCTCTGGCCCGCCACTGTTCCGGCGCTTGAGCGATGCTGGTTTTGGCGGAGTTGATTCGCTCATGTGTCGGTTGGTAGTTGCAGGCACGGCATAGATTTGATGGTTCTCCCTTGTCTCGTACGATAAAGGCGCGGGCATAGTTATCAACCTCTCTGAATAAGTAGTATGATGGTGTAATGTCGAAGCTGCTACCTGTGTTTGCTCCGAAGTTGGATTCTCGACCTGTTTCTTCGTTTGCTCAGGCGACTGGACTGCATGTCGCGGGTGGCTCATCTCTGACATAGGTACATCACCGTAAGATCTCATTGCTTCCTGCACTACTGGCGAGATCGGACCAGGAGACTGCACTGCTGCTTGTATGAATTCCCTCGGGATCGATGATTTGTCATCAGGTGATTGTACATTCTGTCGAGCGGTACTTGTGTTAAGAGTTCGTGCTTGTTCGAGCGGAGATGGAGTGACTTCTTGCCTGTTTCCAACGTTATTCGAGTCGTCTCGGGGGACTGCTTCCACGACAGTAGAAGTGCCAGCAGCAGGAGCCTCAATTGCTTTAGCCTTAGTCACAGGAGCGGTGCTCGCGTCTCTCACATTTGGGGAGAGTTCTTCCTGTTCAGAATTCACCGTGGCAAGGCTCTTGATCCTATGTTCCACACTCACATTCGGTTTGATGTCGTCCAAAGATTTTTCGGCGCCAACTTCCAGGGCAGTAGCGTTTTCTCCTGCTTCGTGATCGAATAGTGATTGCAATTGTGGTAGTCTCTCAACGCAAGAATGATTATTACATTCGAAATAGCGGACACCACTCAATTGCTCCACGGCGCATGCATGGTAGTATTCTGCTGCAAGTCCCACTCCAGCACCCCCGAAGCTCTCGATGGGAGGCTCCCTTTGAGCATCTCCAGCAAAGGTCTGATCTTTTGGTACTTTCGAGGTGACATCATCTGTTCGGTCAAGATGCCTTTCCATTCCTTTGCTCTTTGCCCAAAATGTCCATCTAGCTGATATGCTTGCTCTAGGGCTAGCCAGGCCAAGACGCCTGGGGGTCTCGGGTGATTCTGCGAAGACAGAGGACACGGAGGCGTGTTTATCAACTTCATCAAGCGTAGAAATTGGCGGCATCGGGGGTCTTTCGAAGTTGTTGGTTCGGGTCTTTTCTGAGATGGTACCTTTTCTGGACAGCATTGGTGAGAGCATGAGATTCCACCAACCCTGTGATCTATGTCGGGCCATGTCACCCTCCTTGGGCAGAATATGTTCCTGGCTTTCTGAAGAGGCTCTCTGTACACTTTCGGGGTTTTGGAAGTCCCTTTCTCCGTCAAAAGCGATGTCCTCTTCTTCACCACTCTTCGCATACCCGGCCGTCTGCAATGTGATTGCCTCTCCTACAGGTATATGACCCTTTTTGTGGACCTCGGGCATTGCGGGTACCGGAGGCAAAGTTTCTCCGCTTCTTGTGTCGTGGGGTCCGGAGCGGGTGCTGTAGATACTAGAAGAAGGCCGCAGTCTGCGCATCGATTGGGGCTTCCAAGAATCTCCCTCCTCAGCTGGGGTAATGACAATTACTGGGGTCTCAGGCGTTGTTGTCGCATGAGTATCATTGGCGGCATCTCTCAGCCGATGAGCGTTCGCCTCATTTGAGGGAAGACTAAGTCCAATGACAACAGACCTTTTCTCAGACGACTGGTCTTTGCGTTGCGCGGTACCCAGGTCGATGGTTACCAAAGAATCGTAATCGGCGACGGACGCTGTTCTTTGAGCGCTGGCCTCATCGGACAACTTTCTACGAGCTGTCTGTAAGTCTTGCCATTTCGAATACGCTTCACGAGCACGATTTCTATCGTGACCTGAAGTATGTGTCATCGTGGTATTTGAAGCCATAGAATGTTCCAGAGCCAGGTTGATCGTTGTTTGGTCAACATGTTCGGCCTTTGCAGACACCACAGAAGTAGCACATCTTTTCCCAATTCGGGGTCGTTGCGATTGCACTTGATCTACCACAATGCTTTCATTTTGGGATCGCAATAGTGGTGTTGAGAAATTTGTGACGATATTCAATCCTGGAAGTCGCCGGTTTTCGGCATCAGAAGTCGATACCACAGGTTTCTTGGTTCGGATTGTATTTTTCTCTGTTGCTCTAGAGGACACCTGTGCGTTTTGGACACCTTGACTGTATCTTTCCAGATAAAATTGATCCTTTCCGCAAGAGGAGCCGCTCTCATAATCAGAAATGCTGGATATGAAAGTTGAGGAGGGCGAGGATTTATCATCAGTTGTCCAATTGGTTCCTTTACTTTGTGTGGAGGCAGAATACGTCTCGATCGAGGAAGGCACCGGTCGCAAGCCACGCATGAGGTCACGCTGACTTCGATATGTCTCTTGAGCATCAACAACACCGGAGGACATTCCAGATGGTTCAAAGCTGGTTTCCATTACGTTGCAGAGATGCTCAAGGAAAGATTGGAGAAAATCGACTTGAAGAGCAGGCCCTGGTATCCAAAGTTGTCTTTTTGATTAGGTTCGCCGCCCGATCTTCATGCTGATGCGGAAGAAGACATTGCCCGCGAGCGATCAGCCGAAATCGAGGTGTTGGAGGAACCGAAACGACTATATGGTGAGTAATATTATTCCCGAGCGTCCACTGTTAATATCAGAAACCCGCAAGCCACAGACTGGAGTTATTGTGGCACAATAGAGAGACAATAGGAAAATTCTGATGAATAAGAGCGAGTGACAATCTCAGGAATCAAAGAATTACAGCCAAAGTAATGAAACAATTTGGGAAGAAGACAAAACATCAGAGTATATCAACAAGGCCTTGGAAACATTATCCACCAGATACGAAGCTGGGCATACTGATTCAAACATCTCAGACATGGCGGTCAGAGTCTCATGATAGGTTGATCGTGGCTGTTTGGGTCTTGAAGCCGCGCCGAGATCCTCAGCTTTGGGACAGTGCGGATGCCAAAATAGAAGCCGCATTGAAAGCTCCATAGTGCTCCAGCATCGTAGGCGGTGGCGGGCCTCGTTTGTGAACACATGGATCTACTGGTAGTGAGTGAAGACGACTGGTAGATCGATGAGAAACAATAAGAACGCGCGCTTAAGGACGTTTGATGTTAGGAGAGTCGACGGCCAATAGCAGAGCGGTCACGTGGCTTGGTGAGACAGCCTCGCCGGCCTCGACCATGTTTCACAAGGCTGAAGACGTGCAATTCCTGCCCACCGAGACAATCAAGCGATGGCCCTCACGGGGCTTCGATTCTATGGCGGTCGTACCTCTTCCGCTGAAGTTGATGACCAGGTTAGAGTAGAAATGAGCCACGGTGCTCGGCGCTCCGGCCCGAGAAACGTTGAGTTTGAATAATTATCATTCATCTTAGAAGACACTCGTCTTATATCCCCTGTGGGCAAGCTGACAGAATTAGGACAGCTTCTCTGATCCGTGCCTCCATACCTCTTCCACTGTAGGTGCATGACTCTCATGACACACTCTCAAAAATCATAACTCTTGTTCTAGTAATTCAGACGCAGATCCTCGGCCGCGACTCGAAGCTCTGGTACATAGTAGGAAGCAAATTGTCGGGCCTTGCCAGATTCCCTAACCACCCAACTGCACATCAATACATCACTGCTGAAAGATGATATCATAATTCGATCGCACCCATTCGCATTCCCATGAGGCGCCAGAAAGGCTCCCTCTCGCCTTCAGATCGGAAGACCTCCATTTTGACTAACATAAGAAAATAAACGCCACGCAGCAAGGCCAGGCAGACCGCACTGGACAGTGAGCGATCCATATAGTCCCGAAAAATATCATGTCTCTTTAAGTGTGTTGCATTAAACGGGACGAGCTCTTTTTTATATTATCGTCGTTCTTCAGAATATTGTATACCTTGCATAGAATTTGTAGTCATAATTGGCGGCAATGTCCGGTTGGGCTCGCCGGAGCCATCATGGCTGTTGAAATGTGATCCGTAACCGAGGGGACTTTGTGGCATGACGTTCGGTGGAGGAGGAAATGAACTCTGCGGCTGCTGGATGCCGCGCAGTTGCTGGCTCATTTCGTGCATCTTCGCTTCCAGCTCTGCGAGCTTCAGTCTTTGTGTCTCATAATCAACCCGCACCTGTTTGTTCTGGTTTTCTAGTTGAGTAATGTAATCAATAGCTGAAGTGAAGTGATGTTAGCGAAATGATCGGGAACACCTCGAGGATTACGATACGTACCACGTGATAGTGTTTCCCACTTGCTTGATTTATTGTTCTGGCTGGTAGGTAAACGAGCCCTTAGTTGCTCGAAGCAATCTTTCATTTCACTTCTTCGCTTTCGCTCCGCCAGCTTATGTGTAATCCGAAGCTCCGGAGTCCGGCTGTATGGTGTGTTTCCGTTGGGAGAATCAGGATCCCCCCGTAGGCTATCGACTTGTTTGTGCTGGAGAGAATGGTGGTGAGCTTCTGGGAGTTCTGATAAATCGGACGTCAGTATTGTTGAGTTGTCATATGGGACGATGTATTTACCATGCTGTCCTAGGGGCAGTCGAGACGACTCTACGGTGAGAATGCTGCTAGTAAAGGATTCCGCGAAGCTGTTTCTGCGCGAAAACGTGGAAGGCGTCCGTCCTTGTTGCCTAGGAGCGGCCTCGGGGTCAGGAAAAGCATATGCCTGACCCCTAGTCGGGGCTTCTGCACTGTACACTTCCTGCTTTGGGTTTTCCAAGATGGGAGGCGCGACACGTCCTCCGACAAACCCACTTCGTCCGCCGCGGCTTGACGCATAAGGAGCAGCTGGATTGTTCATTGTGGAATAGCGGCTACTATTGTAACCGTTTTGTTGGATCCCTCGTTCCCTCTGAAGACCAGAAACCAGCGAAGTCTGCGAAGCATTGGTGCTAGTGTAGGGTGAAGTTGGGCCTAATCCTAAATTGTTCATACCATGATGAATGCTATTCGTGACACTGCCTCGCCTGGATTCATCATAGTCCCCACTGCCACGGTGCTGATTTAAGTCAGATGAAGGGGTGGGAAGTCCGTTTGTTTGGTGTGGCAAAGTTGAATTGAACGGTGCGGAAGGGGCAGTGGTGGTCTCTGGTGTATATGGCGAAGGTCCGGTAGGCGAATGAGCCGAATTCAGGTAAGGCATCGAGTTCGCAGAGTTAACAGAAGAGCCTAAATGATATTAGCTGGTAAATAATGCTGGTAATGCAGGGAGGGACGAACGTGTTCCAGGTGTCATCCAACTACCCGAGTCTCTCTGATGTGGCAGGATTGAAAGGTCTGGCGAAGGCCTTTCGATGGATTGTACGGGGAGCTTTGAAGTCAAAGAAGCTATCGAAGGTAATGTCTGGGTGGTTTGGGGGAGAGAATGAGGAGGATTTGTCTCCCATGGCCGGTGGCTTGTGGTCTCCATCTTTGCGAGCTTTGGTGACTTGTCGCTCGCCAGGTGAATGTGACAAGTTCAAGAAGTCCACCACGGGGGTTGAGGCTTCACATACGTTCTCTGCCCCAACTGGAATGTCCCTGGCCAGTCACCTCGACGAGCCTGATATGCTACGAGACAATTGGCCGAGGTTCCTGCTGGGTTGATACTCCAGAAAATGCACGGAGAGCTGTGCCGTAGGAGTGCTGGCACGACAGCAAGGTGTGATACAGGGTCTTTGGTGCTGAGGAATTTTATGCCCGGAGGCAGAATGCCGATGCTGGTTCACGCAGAGGCTGGTCCCAGGCGCGGCCTGTTGTCCACTGACACAATAATGTACTTCACCTGTCTCTCTGACAGGTTCGGTCACAGTGTGTGTTGGGGCGCAAAAACACTTTGCGTCAAAGACGGCTCGACAGATTTCCACCTCTTGCACGCGGAGCGAGGTGCCTCGTGGCGAGGTTCCAGAATACTGCTGGGTTTACACAGCCGCAAATCAGATGTTTCAGGAAGTGTGAATAACTCCTGAAAACGTGGCGCCGTGGGATGTCGGGGATCGTGATCGAGACAATGCGGCCTGCCAGGACGTCGCAGTTCTTCGAATGGCAAGGTCCGTGGTCGGGTGTCGCACATGTACCAGGAAGACGCAAAGGCACAAACTCCAGGCCTGCGGCGGGAAGTTGCGTCGACAAGGCGACAGACGCAGCGGTAGTGGACGAGCCAGGTTCGACGCAAAAAGTTCAATGGCTTCTTTCGCTGAGCCGAGCAACGCAGAAGGGCCGGGGGGAGGGTTTCAGCCGCAGATGGTGCGATCAAAGCAAGGCCGAGAATTGTGAGAGAAGAGGGTATGGTTCGCTTGGATACAGGTACGCGGTCTTCGATTACAGGCGCCCTGGAAGAGCGTATAGAGGGGAGACAAGAAGGAGGAGCAGAAGATGAAGTTCGAAGAAGGTGCGGTTTGTCGCAATTCGCCGTGTTGCTGGAGTCGAAGAGACAGTGGCAGATGAAAGACCCGTTCAAGAGTCAAAGGTGCAGGCCCTGGCTCGTCTCTACACTTTAGCTCCCGTTCTCCAGTTTTTGGCTTCGATGGGCTACTGCTGCATTGGGACGGATGATGGTGGGATCAGTTCTGCACAGAGCACTTTGAGCAGATAGTCCTCGACTTCTGATAGTGGCAGACGAGCGACGCCAGCACCAACGGACAGCGGCACAAGGGGGAGAGCTACTGCATAATTTGCTAGGGGCGTCTAGTGCCTAATTTGGTGCCTTATTTGGGGCATTCGGCCACTTGCTCTGGGCGCCAGAAGAGCCTCCCAGTGCCCACTCCAGGCCTAGCGGCCCTCCATTCCATGCCAAAGACAGCGGCCCAGCGTCCTCCTCGTTCCCTCCCCCCCATCTGGCAAGCCACTTACCTACCTATTCAACAACCGCAGCCAACGAGTCGCTTCGTTCCGGCATTCATCAACCGCTCAAGCAATCGCCCATCCCTCCCTTCCCGGCGCGAGGCCTCAGTAAAACCTACACTCCCTCTGCCGTACAGACCCCGGCGTCCTGTAAGAACACAGCACAGATGCTGCGTCTCTCTGGCTAGCAGGCCTCAACCCAACAATGGGAAATCAGACGGATGATCGCGTGAAATATGGGATTGGCTGTTGCTGGTCCCCTCCATGAGCGGCACCGCATACGACGCTATCGTGGAGCAGCCCTGGCGTACAATCCATACTGGTTGGTACGAGTACCAATGGCAGCACCTCAGCACCCACCGGCCAGAGGGGGAAATGAACCCATCGATCACAGATTTTGCACCTCCGCCAGCACGATAAGTAGCATACAGTATACGGAGTATACGGAGGGGACATCCATACGATCGATGGCTGAGGCTTGCGCATCTCTGACAGCTGCAGCTTGCCTGATCTTTCATCCACTTCATTCGCCTCATTTTTAGCCATCCGAAGTCCTGCAGCAAGGCCGGAAGACCAAAGCATTCAGCCCACGTGCAGAAACCCTGATGCTCCCTTTCTCACCCTATCGCTTCGGTGCAGCTCACAGGATTGCAGTTGTTTTGTTACTTGGTACGGATGCTGGCCGTGGCCCATCACTGCAAAGCTGCAGGGCATACTCCCTTCCCCTCTCACAGATCGTCCCTCGGGCTCGTGGCGACCTCGTGCCACCACTCTTTGTCCCAGGGTCGGTCGTTTCGCCCCCTTGGGTATTTCCTTTCGCACGAGCCTATCAGCACAATTCGGCTCCTAGGACACAGGGTCGAGGGCCAGAGAGTCGCCGAAGGAATTAAGGTCGGCGTCTCATCAGGCCTGATTTGTGAACACAACTGGTGAAACTGCCTGGACCGTCCTACGTATCCGTCCATGAGTGCAGTGAGGACGCCGTCTCTCCACTCTCGAGACCCCCGTCAGCTTCAGCCCACGCTTGTCGGCTCCCAGGTCAGGGGCCTGTGCCTCTCGTAGGCTCGTTCCTTGTTCCTGTCCAAGACTGGCTAGGCACTTACACCACCCCTGCAGCACTTGTCAAATGTCTCCCACACTATTGACAATGCGCTTCTCACGCCTTCGCCTCGGAAAAGGCCTTGGAGGTGCCCAATCTGCCATGATGACGATCTTTGCCCGTTCCGAGTGCCAGCCTCCCAATATCGATGTCTGAGCTAGAATCCACTCTTTTCTGCCGAAGCCAGCATCAGAATCAACGGATGAACTTGACCTTCTCGGTCACGGATAACATTGTCGGAGTATTGGTTCTCGGCATGTGCAAGAAAGCGGCTGCCAACAACTCTACAATTGACTTTGTGGTACGGCTCACTAGGCCGTACTTCGCGCAGACCATGTGCCCATAATGTTAACTGAACACGAGCCCTAAGACATTCATTCCAAAGTGGTGCGCCACTTCAGCTGGGCACTGGCTTGTGCTTTGCACCCACCCTGTTAGAGGGCGAATCGAAGACACCGAGACACTGTGAGGAGGGGTGACAAAAACGTGGCAACGGCAAGCTTGTTTTGCCGCTTTCCAAGGTTGCCTACTATGTAGGTCGGCTGTCTCCTGCACGGAGTATGGAGTACGCAGTACTTGGACGGATCCCACCACCCCAGCCTCGAACCTCTTCGAAAGCTGTACCAGTAAAATGGGGGTATTTTCCATGGCCACGTACACAGAATCACAACTCTACGATTGAACAATAGCGGTCAAGTCTAACAAGTTCCCCTACAACAAAAATCTCGTCTTTTGATTGCTCCGAAGGGAATCAAAAGGCTTTGTGGGTTTCTCGCGTGGCTTTCAGCCGGAGCTACGAGGAACGAAGCGACGCGCGCCCTCCACTAGTTACCGCAGCCACTGGTCGTCTTGTTCGGAATGTCGACTCAATTCGAGGTTTTTCAGTCCGATAATGGAATCAAAGCTGACAGCTTGACTGTACAGCCTACCACCGTGAAACTGTCTAAACATGACGTTTCCGTTATGCCAGAAATTTGACTGGCTACTATATTTCTCACTGGACCAATCGCTCCTTGGTGCGGACAACTAGGCATGACTGAAGGAAACACAAAGTTTCCACCCCAGCTGAGGCCATGTCTTTGGGCCATACAAATGATCTACTGGTACGGAAAATGACAACTGGAAAACACTTCCCCGCAGGATCCCGAATTTGTGGAAGACCAGTGCACATCACATTTCCTCTGGTCACAGCTCTCTCGTTACTCAATTCAGTCTACATTGGGCCCTAGGATGGGGAATTAATGGACGAGCTGGTCAGCGAAGAACGAAGGCCTAAGCATGACGTGCTTAATCGAGGCCGATCCTGTGCTAGGAACGGTGGGTATCGCCAGGTCTGGTGTTATGATGATCTTCAGCAGGCATTTCACTACCGTCCTGTCATTTTAGAGCTGCTAACTACAGTAAGCATTTGAAATACCTTACTTGGTGAAGTCCCAGCAATCCCCAAATCTCTATCCATTGGTCGTCAAGGTGAGGAGCAAGTCCCGAGTTACCAATTGTTCTATGCCTTGAGAAGATCCTTGACCGTGTCCACAAGGATGATGTTCAGGGGATATGGTCTATGCCCAAGGATTTGCGAGCTTTGCTTCTATCAAGCCGATAAGCCCCTTCATCCAGCCAGGAGTCGGACTCCTCTTCCAGGGGAATTTGGTCTTTGATGTCCGGCAAGTGGCTACGCAGAATGTGCGCAGCGGACTGATAGTCAAAGGCAGAACCAACAAGGAATCTGTGACCTTCAGTACCGTCTAGTTGACAAGCCCTGAGATGTGCGAGAGCAGCGTTCCTGACATCGGCAAATCCCGCAAAATCAAGGTTGGTGACACTAGCCGTCGATCAATTGGCAACCTTCCAGACTGTCTTGGTCGACTTATTGAGGTGTTTGAGAGATTTGATACGACCCTGAGATGACCCAAAGACCACAAGGGGGATTGATCGATGCTATGGAGAAGGCTTGCTTGTTCAACCCCATCCAATCCTATACGACCTGTTCCTGAGTACCTTTGCGCTGCGCTACGCAAGAGCGCCGCTAGGACCGGCTTCGGCTTCTTCATCCGTGTACGTAAAACCCTGGTGTCGTCCCTGGGCTTGGTCGCTATTGCAGGCACAGGGAGCTGTCAGAACTGTTTGATGAAGGTCTGGCCCCTGAGGAGCCGAAGCGTTAACTGCATTGAGAACGCCATCGATCGAAGGTCTCAGTGGCTCTGCCTTGTGGCCTTTCAGACGCTGGATGAAAGGATTGGGCTATGTGTATGACTTCAGAGACTCGCTGGACGGCTCATCGAGGGCATTGGAAGCATGCCATGCCGGGCACGGGTTACAAGGGGACTTCAGGTCGTTATTTGATGCCGAAGTGTGCTTCGTATATTCCGGGGATCAAACAATTTGTTGTCACGGTATTTCGGACCGTATAGCCTGCTTCGAGAAATGTATGAGCAATACCGGAAGCAACGAAGCCTGCTATGCCTCTAATCAGGACGATCTCGCTCAAACTTGGTCCAAGGTCCTTTAACGGAAAAATTCTTCAGTTTCGTGGTAAGATGTTGCAACCAGACCAACACACTTGTTCTAGAGAATTGAGGGCATTTGTAAATACTTCATGTTCTGCTCCCATGGTGCTAGTCTTGAGACGCCGAGCCTACTTTACTGGAGCACCCTGGCCGTCCCTATAGCCACCTTAAGAGCTTAACCGTCATCTGCAGTCGAGTCAGCAATGATCGATGGTATAGATGTGCCCCTGAGGCAGTGCGAAGACAGATGAGGAGGGCTTTCTGCCCTTAGCTCCGAAGATGAAGAGCAGCTTCGTGGCTGTAATCGACTAAGGTACAATCCCCAGGATGCGGCCTCTGTGCCCGCGCTGCCCGTGACAACAAGTGCAATCGAGAGTTCATGAGATGGCTTTTCATGCTTGGCTTCCACAGTCTGTGGAGGAGCATAATGTCGATAGGAGAAATGGGGCCGCGAGACTCGCCGTCGGAAGATATTGTTTGATGAGGCTGTGGAGGGAGGGTGCTGTTTCAGCCCGCAAAAGCCTAAAACCCAGCCTCGTCAGGCAACGAGGGACTTTCAACCACCATAAAGCTCCACGTCTGCACTTTTGTCGAGCGAGAATCAGTCACCAAGACATCGATGCAACAGTCTTCACCTGCGGACCTTTGGTCGTTGATGACTTCCAACCAGGCTACAGCCTACAAGGTGACTAGCATCGAGTCTAGTGAGGCCACGGGCATTTTCAAGATCCACGACATTTCTGCCCGGCGTCCTCCTCGAACGAAAGCAGCAATACGTTGCTGTGCTTACTACACGAAGGATTAAATGAGAAGCCCACACATGCTGGGCAGGCTCACTCAGGTCCCGCCGAAAACTATATTGAAGGGGCTGATGCTGTGGCTCCTGGTTGTGGTCAACCTAGAGCACCAGCATGGACGATCCTCTTGAAATGAGGCATACTTGAGTCGCGAAGCATTTGTGCCGACGTGACCGAAACTCATGAGGTATAAGTAAAACATGGTTCCTCTGTTTCACAAGGTCTGGCAAACTCAATCCCTTTCCTTGCTGGGTCTCCTGTTCTAGCCACAACAAGTGTTTGATTGATGCATTGCTCTCACGACTTCACCTGATAATTGCACGTGAATAAAGGGGTGCGGCGAGGACGCGACGACTACCTCACCGCCCATTCAACATTAACAGCAACCGAGAAAGACAGCTCACAAGTTTGCTGTACCGCGTCTTCAAAGCATCTCTTGTGTGACGGAGCAAAAACGACACAAACAAAGGAGGGCCGGTCGCCTATATCTATCCTATCACCAGGAATTCCTTCAGTCATCACAACTACATCCTTCCTCTTCCAAAAGACCTTCACCATGACCAGAAGTGGGAAAACCGCTCGCAGCGTCTCGTCTACGGGCGACGATGACTTTTTCATGGTGACGGAACCGGAACCAGAGTCTCAGGCGACTTTCGAACTCCCAATTCGGGCCAATCCGACCAGCAATACCCAGCATGGTATCTCCGTTGAGGTTCAAGCTTTGCAGCAGAGCAATCACCTTACGGTTTCGATTCAACCACCTAAGCAACCAGAACAAGATCTAGAACGAGCCCCCTGCGATATCGTTTTGGTCATCGACGTCTCTGGCAGCATGAACGACGCAGCGCCTCAGCCTGATGTGAAAGATCCGATTGAGAGCCAAGCTGCAGGTCTCAGTGTCCTGGATCTCGCGAAACACGCAGCCCGAACCGTTCTTGAGACACTCAAAGCCGATGACAGACTTGCAATCGTCACCTTCAGCCACGATGCAACGGTAAGACATCCGTCATCCTAAACGAGTCAAAAGCGCCGTACTGACACTCCAGCATATAGATCGTTCAAGGCCTCCTCCCCATGACTCACGACCACAAACGAGACACTGCAAAGCGCATCACCTCGATCCGTACTGGAAGCTATACGAATCTGTGGGCCGGAATTCGGGCTGGTCTCAAAGTCTTCGAGAAGACTAAACATGTCGGCAACTTCCAAGGTCTGTACGTCCTGACTGACGGAATGCCAAACCACATGTGTCCGCAGCAAGGCTACGTGGCGAAACTCGGACCCATGTTGTCGTCGTTGAGCACAAAGATACCCACTGTTCCCACCATTCACACCTTCGGCTTTGGCTACGGTATTAGGTCAGCTCTTATGCAGTCAATCGCAGAAATCGGCAATGGAAGCTACAGCTTCATCCCCGACGTCGGTATGATTGGCACGGTCTTTGTCCACGCGGTGGCCAATCTCTTCACAACCTTCGCGACGTCTGCCATGGTCGAAGTCACCGTCCCCGACAACATGGCCGTCGAGAGCATTGGACTTCAAGACTTTGTAATCCCCAACAGCACTGGCACGTCGTACGCCTTGCGTCTGGGAAACATCCACTACGGGCAGACCCGCGACCTCGTCTTCGCTCAGAGTGGCCACGGTGCACTTCCCCAGGGCAAGCCTATCTCAGTCACACTCAAGTACAAGCTGTCGACCGGCGTCGAGTACAGCATCGACTCGGGCCTGACCCTCTCGTCCGCAACTCCCGGTCTTGACCGGCGCACGTCAGAATACCGCCTTTTCCGCGCCCGCATGTGTGCTCTTCTCTGCACACTGTTCCCACTCAAGCAGAACGGCGAACACGGCCACATCATTGAGCCCGAGAAGCTAGACAACGCCGGGATGAGTCTGAGCGCTCTCGCAAGAGACATCCGCGCGGCCTTAGCCAACGGTAACGGCGCCGACGAACGTCTGTCTTCGATCTTGCAGGATCTCGAGGGAGACGAGCCAGCCGGCCAAGTCACCAAAGCCCTCACCAACTCACCGCGACGACCGTACTGGACCAGATGGGGACACCGATACCTGCCGAGCTTTTTGCATGCGCACCAGCGCCAACTTTGCAACACGTTCAAAGACCCCGGCCCGCTCGTGTATAGCACGACGAGCCCATTGTTCATCAAGTACCGCCGTGAACTCGACAGCGCTTTTGACAACCTGCCCCCGCCCCAGCCTAGCCGTCCGGAGCGCGTGGTGCCAGTGTACGACGAGCACGGAGAGATGACCGGGACAAGAAGCGTGCCACACTCACGCGTCGCGAGCATGCGGACCTGGAACAAGAGCGACACCCCGTGCTTTCCCGGCCACTGTCAGGTCAAACTGGGCGGGCCCGAGGACGGAGACATGAAAGCGTGGGACGTGGTGCCGGGCACGACAGTCTGGACGCCGGTCGGGCCGAGAAAGGTGCACTCCGTCGTCAAGACCGAACTCGTCGAGCCTGTGGCCATATGCAAATTCGCCGGGGGCCTCCAGATCACCGAGTGGCACCCTCTCCTGCACGAGGGGACTTGGGTGTTTCCACACGACGTGGCCACGTTCACGACTCACACCAAGGACAACGTGTATTCGTTCTTACTTGAGCCTGACGACAACCCTGACGCCCACGCCGTCAAGGTCCGCGGCCGCATCTGCGTCACGTTGGGACACGGCGTTGTGGGAGGCGGAAGCGGAGACGATGACGGTGATGACAACGGCAGAGTCGACGCCAGATCTCATCCGTTCTTCGGCGACTGGGACAAAGTCTCGACCAGCTTGGACAAACTCAACAAGGACGAAGGTGGACGGTGCGTGTGCGCTGGACTGGAGAGAGACGACTTGACTGGACTTGCTTGTGGATTCACCGGCCCGACAGAGCCTGAGGGTCTCGAAGGACAGGCAGAGGCCGAGGACACGGTTGGATGAGGTGGCGCAAGTCAACCCTCGAAACTAGGTTGGTTCTTCGACATGGCAGACCAACAGAGAGCCAGCGAGTAGACATGTGGTGTCTCCAGGTGACAGTGACATGGGGTGATGACGTGGTGAGAGTGAGAGAGCGAGGCTATTTTCTGTGTACGGTTATCGATCAAACAACAGGCATCGAAGGCCGCGGGAGCTAAAAGTTTCCTTTCCCTACGACGTGTTTTCCGATAGCGAAAAGGGGAAGAAAACAGAATGATGATTTGTTCCATCAAAATAAAAATTGAACACGCAGGCACGTGTCCCATACTCATACAAGCGAAGAGTCCTCTCTGGGGTTCAGGTACTCTCTTGAGTGACAAGCCAGGACCCAGGACAGCAGACAGATGCGTGTGACTCACCGACTGACCATGAGGCTCGCCGTTCTCTTTTCCGTGCTGTATTTACCTCGTCGTACCTGATGTCAGATCCAAAAGGGGGTCACAGGATTTCCATTCCGAGTGCCCCCTACGTCCTGCTCGCTCCATACCTAACCTTGCCTCAGGTACCCACGCAGTAACGAGATATACATACAACAACAGTACCTGTGTGGCATTGCATTGCACCCTTCAATAATAAGGCCACCGGGTCCAGCTACAGACCATGTGCGTCCGGTACAGTACAGTAGAGTACAGCCCCAAAGCTCGACGCCGGCAGAGTAAATAATGTCATGTTCATGTGTTGGCACCACTCGTTTGAGTCGCCGCTGACACGGTGACTGACACCGGCTGTAGTTGTTGTGGTCTCTTTTTGATGAAATGGCACACGGGGTATTACGGCAAGCCAGCAACAGCACATGGGACGGTAGGTAGTACAGTACATACGAACGCGGTCGGTGATCTGTCTGTCTGTCTGATATGTCGTTTCCGAACTCGTACAAATATCCCGTTCGACCACAACTGCACTTACTACTTGTATTCATTACTAATGGGGAGCGATGTACCCTCGGTACAGTACTCTGCATAAAATATTAGTTGGTCCTGTACGGGACCTGAGCTGACTTTATTGTCCCAACGTCGACGATACAAGGCTGACGACACTTTTTCGTGTTTCACGACCCTTCTAGTTGCCAATCAAGGCCCCTCCTCCTCCTCCTTCTCGGAAGACGCGGACTGCCCTACTACCCCATACTACCGAGTTATGCAGACCTTGGACAATTGTGCGGACCTTTCCTGAGCCCGTGCTCTCGTGAAAGACTCCAGAGAATATACTCGCACGGAATGTCATCGATCGATATCCCGGAATCGATTCACGAGACCCCTGCTGTATCGTAACAATGTTTATTTACACACGTACGGAGTACATAATAACATTTGCCCCCCGGGTCCTCGGATTCGGCCCAGAGGAATCAACTTGGTTGTATTTGTACGTATGAGTACACCCACACTCTCACCCCATCACTCATCCTCATCTCGTCATTCAAGAGAGAAAAAGGGGGAAAGGTTCTCACTTCGAGTAAGCGGGTTTCGAATCACTGCTGGCAATTTCCGGCACGGTAGTCTGCGGGATATATATACCTCCCTGGGTACCTCAACTTATATAAGGTTGCACCTCCTCCCTGTTTATCTGAGACCAACGAAGACCTACGTACTGCACAGGTACTGTGGCCCCAAGTACTCTCCCTCCGCAAGTCTTGATTGCAGAAACCAGACGCATTATATACTCTGCCCCTCGGGAAACCCCAAGAGCCATCGGAAGACAACGACGGCGGCCGGAAAGACAATATGATGTTCGGTAGCTGTCTCCTCATACCTGTGCTGCCGGTGTCGACGCAGCTCAGACATTCGCTTCGCTTCTTCAGACCCAAGGGAAATGACTAAGGTGGTGAAAACGAATGTCAAGATGGGGGTTTAACAGGGGGGAAGTGGCTTGTGAGGTATGGAAACTTCGTTGTGGGTTGCCGTTCATGGCTTGTACTGAACAAACAAACATAGATGGCATTCGAAAGAGATTTCCTGTGGCGATTCCATGGTAGCATGCACGATTTCCACGTCACGGCAGCCGACACCCAACAGCCATCACCATCACCGTCATCACCATAAGCTCGGGTACCAACCTGCCCTTGTTCGGAGGCGTATGGGACATTGCGAGCATGGATATGCTTTGACAAGAAGGACCGATTGCACTGTGGGTTCGGAGTACAACGACAGTACAACGACATTCTGGGTTTTGGCCATCTCATACCTCCTGGCATAAGCATGGGAGATCGGCCGGTTTTGCATTGTGGTGTGTCTGGGGCTTCGAGATGGGTATCTACATCAGCAGTTCTGCGCGTCTTTCACAACTTACTTGTGAACTATCCGGCATTTTTGTTGTGATCATTCTCAGCTTGTTCCAATCATACCAAGTTCCCAGCGTTCCAGTTACTTGGTACGATATCCCACTCTTCACCATCATCTCCTGGTATTCCGTACCCGATTCGTTTTGTCAAGCGCCTCGTTCCTGTTCGCGGCGTCTTCAGAAGGAGTGACACACCATCGCTTAGGCTGTTCTATCGTAAACTGTCGAGATCGCCCGCGTGAGGCTGGGTGCGTGCAGAGCCAAGTCGAAGCGCATATCTAAGGTGCTCGTAGAGAATGCCCGTAATATAATGATCAGCAGGACAGACTTGCCACGATGATAATAAAAAGTCACCATGGCCTCGCTTCACCTCCATCGGCCCTGCGAGTGCGGAACTCGTATTCCGGCCCTTTCGGACACTGCGATCCAAAAATGGCATCAAAACTGGCCCTTGATTTAGAGCTCGGACTGGAGTTTAAGGACCCCGCGCGTTGTTGTCCCGCCTTTAGCGTCCGCGTCTTGCAGTGTTGCTCAGGAACCGGAGGAGTTTTTGGGAGTTTTGTGAGCTGGGATTCTCAGATCACACTGCGCTAGACCGGAGCAGTACTGACCTTTGGTGTTAGGCTGAGCAGCCACCTACAAGGACAGAAAAGTAGGGGCTAATTAGTGCTTGGTAGAGGAGGGTGTTGATTAAAAGGAGGCGGTGTGCGAAACAATTTAAGAACCATCCGTACTGTAGTACACACACACTTGCTCTCCTGAACCCCTCCATTTTCTAGGACAGTGTACCTCACCACACACATTCCCTCTCTGTAATACTCCCTACATACTCGCTGCACACAAATCATCTTCATCATGGCCTCAGACAAGCTGATCTCCTGGGAAGGTGAGTTCTCCTTGCCTATTATTGCAAAGCAAACCGTGTCCGCGGTCGAAGAACCGCCAAAGCTGACAGCGACGCAGACTACCAGGGCTGTCTCACTGCCTACTTCGAGTGGGCGGAGAGCTATGATTCCAAGGTAAGTCTACGAGGTCTCCAGGAGTCAAAAGCTTCGCTGACGTCTGGCTCAACCAGGACTGGGAACGCCTGCGAAAAATCGTCGCACCAACAGTCCGCATCGACTACCGCTCTTTCTTGAACAAACTCTGGGAGGCCATGCCTGCCGATGATTTTATCAAGATGATCTCCGACCCCAAGGTCCTCGGTGACCCTCTCCTCATGACCCAACACTTCTGCGGCGCTTCCAAGTGGGAGAAGGTCAGCGACACCGAGATCATCGGACACCACCAGCTCCGAGTTCCTCACCAGAAATACACCGATGCTTCGCGCACAAAGATCAAGGTCAAGGGTCACGCTCACTCATACAACTTGCACTGGTACAAGAAGGTGGATGGCGTGTGGAAGTTCGCTGGTCTCAACCCGGACATCAGATGGGGAGAGTACGACTTTGACAAGGTCTTTGCTGAAGGCCGTGAAGAGCTCGGCGAGGACGAGGCCAAGAAGGTTGCACAGGAAGCTCAGGGTATCCCAGCTGAGTGAACGGCAGGACCTGATTAATCGACATACAAGAATTGTAACGGAGTCAATTGGACAGATCGCGACAAAAGGCGACGGGGCGACTTGATAACCAATGAGTTCTGATGAATACAAATAATCTTCAAAGCCTAACAAATGCTCACTCCTCCTAGCTTCTCAACGCGTTGAACATCACACACGGCCTGGCTTAAGGAGCCAGAGATCTGAGACCCATGGGTTCTGGGGGTGCAGCCATGCGAGAGATCGGCATCAGCCTTAGTCGTGTAGAGCTCTTGAGCCAGTATTCGCAAGCCACCGCTGAGGGTGACATTTTGTACCACGAATTGTTGATGTGCCAGGGAAGATGGGTTCGTCCAGCGAGGTCGTGCAATCAACGTGTAGAGGGAGAGCGCATGGACAACCTGGCTATCCTCTTTTTGCCCACGTCCATGCTCGCCGCCTCCTCCAACCTGCATGTTTGTCACGCCCTCGCCATCGTGCCTACCGCGTTGGCCCCATTAGGACTAGCGCAAACCTCGACACTGCCTGCGCTCGCGCCCTGCCTTCTACTCGCGCAGCCCTCTATAACTAGTCCCTAGTCCTTGACTTGGTTATTTAGCATCAATATGATCCATGGACATGAGATCCTGATAATGTTGTTTCGTTCAACAGAATCAGTACTAATCAATGTGGTGTGTCTCGCGGTTCCTTTTCAATCCCAGGGGAACTTAATACTTGACATGGCCCCACGTTCATCGGCACTTCTCTTCCACACGCCCAAGTCACTACAATGAACCGTTGCGTGGATGCCAGCTTGGGCCGGCAGAAGAGTGGGTGACTCGAGGTCAAGATGAAGATGGCTAGCTCGAAAGTTCACCTGCTCTATGCTTTGCAGTACTGCAGGCTCATGGGCTATGCCTCTACTCTCCCCTATGGATACGAGCTACACATGCTGACACAGGGATATTGCTTCAATTTGCTACCTGGCTTCCATCCTCCATCAGACATACTCTCACTCTCTCTCAAATCACCGCCAGCTTCCCTTCTGAAGATTCAATCTTCTTCCGCATCCACCTTTTGCGGCCGGCGGCAAGGTAATCGCCAAGGTCACTGGGGAACCTCCTGAAGGACGGGCACAAGCTGCCCTTGGCACCGATCGCATCTTGTGCACCCATTGGCTCTGCTTGGAATTTTATGGCTTCCCAAGACTTTAACATCTCTTGGGATGAGGTGGTTCTTTTACCGAATTAATCTCTTCCACATATGCCGGGGCCCCAGACCCCGTCTCCAATGTGGGATCGACAAACGGTACGACTCATGCTTGGGGGAGTGTCTGATATCTCGCTGGCGGTTATCGTCCACAATGATGGGTTCAAAAAGGCGTTAAATACCTTTCATGGATGCTCTCGCTTGTGCTCTTTTTCCTTGCAGTTGCGACTCGCTCAAGAATTCCTTGAAGAAAACACAAGTGGATAGAGTTGTGCGCGAAATCGGAACATCGTAAGCGATACGACAAGATGATTGACAGGAAAGAATCTAGCCTCTGGACGCATCGGAAATGTCTTTTCATTTGCTGCGTCGTGGCCATTTCGAACATGCAATATGGCTTTGATACTGCCGCTGTGGGAGGCCTGCAAGGTAGGTAATGTCAGGAGCCGCGGGGGCTCGTTTTGCACCCAGGAAGCTAACTTCATCTCTTCCCAGCTATGCCTGGCTTTCTCAAGGTCTTCGGCTATCCCAGCGAACAAAGTCCAAACGGATATGCCATTGATGTAGGTGCCTCAACGATCGAGTAACAAGCAGTTTTTGGACTCACCGAAAACACAGTCGACCTTCCAACAGCTGATCAGCTCGCTTCTCACGCTTGGATCCTTCCTCTCAGCCCTGTTGGCCGGCGTATTCGGCGCGTACTTCGGACGGAAAACCGGTATCTGGGCCGCATGTGCCTTGAATGCCGTGGCCGTCGCTATCCAGATCTCCACCACATCGAAGGGAGCAATATACGTCGGCCGCCTCCTGCTTGGCCTTGCGAACGGTTTTCTAGTCACCTTCTCGAATGTCTACACGTCAGAAGCAGCACCTGCTCATCAGAGAGGAGTTATTGTCGGGCTGTTTGGGTGGTGGGTCAACATCGGCTCTATTCTTGGGGGAACGGTCAACAATTCCACGAAAGTGCGACTGGACAAGGCCTCTTACCAGATTCCGTTGGGTTGCTTATACATTGTGCCTACGATCCTGGCCGTGGGACTGTTCTTCATTCCGGAAAGCCCTAGGTTCCTACTCCATCAGGGAAAAGAAGCCGAGGCGAAGAAGGCGCTGGTCTTTTTGCGTGGGTCGGCGCTTACTCAGGGGGAGCTGGAATTTGAATGGGCTGAAATGCTTCGTGGCCTCGAAGAGGAGAAGAAGAATGCGAAAAGTGTTGCATGCATGGACATGTTCAGAGGTATCTATCTGTCTATCTATCTCTGCACCACTTCGCTGAGCCTGATTGAATATCTAACTCGGCCTTTTTTCCCCAAGGAACTGACCTGCGCCGCACACTACTCTGCTACGGCATGATCGGCTGCCAGAGCGCGTCTGGCATATGGTTCTTGATCGCCTATCAGACCTATTTCCTCCTCCAAGGTGGCGTCACCAAGCCTTTCGAATACACCATCATGACGAGCTGTATTGGCTTCATTGGCGTGGTATGTTGGGGGCTCCCTTTCGTTTATTCGTTTCCACTTTTTTTGGATTTCCACTTTTGCTTACATTGTCACAACGCACACACACACAGAACGTAGGGATGTATACGATGAGACACCTGGTCGGTCGCAGAAGCATCCTCATGATCGGAGCCGCGGCATGCTGTCTCTGCCAACTTGCGCCCGCCGTCGCCGCGAGCGCGACCGACGACATGCGACTTCGTGCAGACATCCTCACCGCCTTTGTCGCCCTGTTCAAATTCTTCTACAACGGGGGTGTGGGCGTGGCGTCGTACCCTGTCGCGACCGAAGTGGTGAGCACGCGGCTGAGGGCCTGGACCGTCGGAAGCGCGACCGCCATCGGGTATTTGCTCGCCTGGTTGATAAGCTTCTGTTCTCCATACTTTATCAACCCTGCTGAACTGGGCCTTGTAAGTCCCCCCCCCCCCATCTATCAGACACGACACGATAAATACTTATACCCCCTTTCCCCCCTCCCCGCCTTGTCCAACTCTGGATCAACCCAACCATGACTTCCGATTTCGAGCAAGAGCAAGGATTCGAGTACTGACCTTGTGTGAAATTGGCTAGGGCGCGAAATACGGCTACGTCTGGGCCGCTGCCAACCTTGCCTGCGTCGTGTGGGTGTACCTGTTCATGCCAGAGATGAAAGGTCGTTCTCTCGAAGAACTCGACGAGATGTTCGTCAACCGAGTGTCTGTGCGCAATTTCCGCAACTACGAATGTGCTCTGCGTCAAGATGCCGCAAATGACGTGTCCATGCACGGCGACGGATTGAAAATGAAGCAGATGGGCGCGACGCACGCCGAGGAAGTCGAGGTCGAAAGCCAAAAGAAGTGATGTTGTTGAGTTTATACTGAGTTGTAAACTGCGGTTATGCCATAGCTCGTTTTCTGCAGGAGCTGTCAAGTCAAAGGTACGATCTCGTGTCTCTACAGGAGCTATCAAGGTATAGGTACGATCTAGTGGAAATAACATGGTATCGGTTTAGATGGATATAACAAACACGAAGAATGAATCTATTTCACCATGACAACGGGCACGTCCATGATAGCGTCTTTGATGTCGTCAAAAGCGACACCATCCTCTTCCACCTGAACATGATGCTCTTTGGTCTCTTTTTCAACTTGGTCATGATACTCGTGGTCGTTTTTCTTCTCTTCTCTTTCTTGCCTGTTTTCTGTCTCGAGGACTCTCGCAAACGTCGCCTCAACGTCATGCTCCGTAAGCCAAGTCATGTTGGGCCTGTTTATCATTTTCTGTCTCAGTTGTTCGTCGGTGCCCGGGGTGGTGGCATTGCCCTCTGCCGCCGCAAGAACACTCAGCACGAGGCGCGTCGTATGAGGCCGCCTGGTCTTGTCGTACAGCGTAAAGGCACGTTCGAGCTGTGAGGCACCAAGGGACTTGGGCTTTGATCCTGCTCCGCCACCACTGCCTCCATCATCACCACCTTTGGGCTTCAGCTGTTCGACGGCGGTGGCCTTCAAAACGTGCTCGAGACTGCGATACAGTGCCCAGGCGTCGTCCAGAGCCAGCGATCCGCCCGCGGCGTGGGCGCCGCCGTGGGTGTGGGCGGCGTCGCCGACCAGGGTCACGCGCTTTGCAAACACCCACGACTCCAACGGCTCCCCGGCGAGGTTAGGGTACAGGCGGACGTGGGGGGTTGCGTCTGCGAGCGCCTTGACGACGGGGTTCCAGTCGCGGTACAGGTGTCTGAAAAAGGCCACGTCGCCCTCCTGGTCCCAGCGGACGGACTTGTCTTGTCGTCCGCCGCCGCCCTCCCTCTCGGCCGGAAAGTCGTCGGGATCAAAGTTTCCCACCGTCGTGTACATGTTCTTTCCCAGCCGGGACGCGAAGAAGGTGTATCGTGGCCCCCACCAGTGCGCCGAGTCCGAGGGCAAGTCGGCGATGTCGTCGACCAGCGACGCATCAAAGGTCGACCGAATCCACGTGCGGCCCGTGTAGTGCAAGGTGTGCTCTGGGACAAACGCCCTCCGCACCTTCGACCGCAGGCCGTCGGCGCCGACGAGTACGTCACCCTTTGCGCTCGTGCCGTCTTTGAAGAGCAGCGTCACGCCGTCGGCATCATCACCGCGATCGTCAACGGCAGCAGATTCAACGACTTTGCCCAGGTGGATGGTCTCCCCTGGCACGTGCGCAAGGAGCGCGGAGTGCAAGTGCGCCCGGTGGAAGCGCGCCGTCTGGTGTTTCCTGTCTGGCACGTCGACGAACTCGTCGGCGCTGACCACCTCGTTGGTCTTCCAGTGGTGGTAGATCATGGGCCGCGCGCTGGGCCCGCGGAACCCTACGTCGTCGCCGAGCGCGTTGTCGACCCCGAGTCGTTCCAGCGTGCGCAAGCCGTTGGGGCTCAGCGCGATGCTGGCTCCGATCTCTCGCAGCTCCGTGGCCTTGTCGAACAGCTGGATGTCAAAGCGCACATCGGCCGTGTCGAGGCGGCGAAGGGCGATGGCCGAAGCGAGTCCGGCGATTCCTGCACCGGCAATCAGGACTTTGATCTCGGTAGGCATTTCGTGTGGCGTGTGTGTGGATGTGTGTATATCCCTGATGCAGTGTACCGAATACCGAGTACCGGGTCCAGAGACCTGTAGGGATCTGTAACTGTAACCGTAACTCTAACTTTTATTCCAAACGTGTCTCCTACTAGTGTAACAATGCCCCAGCACTGATCACGGTCGGCATGTTTGTTTGCGAGAAAGTTTTTTCTATTTTGTAACAACAGAACACAAGGATGAAGACATTCGAGTCGTGCCCGTCGCGTGCTGTGTGCGCCGGGACCACAGGTTTGAGATTACTCACGTATCGCTCTGGCTCCGAAAAAGTGATGGAACTCACTTCACAGATACTGGTGTTTTAGGTCGGGAGATGCCCGCGACGACAACACCGGCGGCATACACACGCGGCACGTTATCGGGGTCGTCGGTTCATCATCACCTTGTGGCCCCCTTGTCTCTTTTTAGACTTTCAAGGTAGCCCTCGCCATCGGCTTCCTCACTCTCACTGGCCCGCTCCGTTTATGCCAATGCCAATGGCACCCCACGCACGCAATGTTGCGAGACGAGCACGCCTTTGTGTGGGAAAAGAGAAAAAGCAGCGTCCCGGGTGTAGCCCCGTGTGTAGTAATCCTCCGTCATGGACAAAGAGGTCTCTTCTATTGTTCAATTGATTGATCCCCCCGTCCGTGTTGCCCTCTGCACATCGCACTCCAAATCAAAAGTCTTGGCTTCGACGGCCCCCCCCCTCCGGGCGTCATCACGTGTCAGGCTAGAGCCCCCCTTTCGCATCCCCCCTCAGGCGAACCCAACTGAACCAGGGAGCAATACAGCATATATCGCACGGAGCACCTCTGTTGGACATCACAAAAAGACAATGTGAGGGATGCAGAATTGTGTCATCAAAAAGTCCGGAAGCTTACAGCGCATACTTGTTGTAAAGACTGGATCCTGCGGAGTCTTTACACCCATCTCAGATTAAGGATACAGACCACCCAGCCAGATAGGTAATGCATTCGAGCATGTTCAAAAGGTCACATCATACAAGATTAGTATTACCTTTGCACTAATGGTAAGTTTACATCAAACACACACGACCGCTAGTGGACGAAGACAGCATTTAGCCTCCCGTTCCCACCACACTCAGTGCAAGCGCAATGCAACTCCTACCAACAGAAACCATACCATATCAATCAACCACCCCTTCCCTTCTATAAAAAGAAACTCGCTGCCATGCTCTCGCCACCTTCATTGTTCGAGGATGCAAATGCTTTTTTGTTTGGGTAGTCATGGTTTGTCATCATACATAAATTCCGCTCATCATACACGGTTAGTAGTCCTGGTAGTGCTCCAAATTATGAGTTGATCCATAACCACTGGCAGGTCGACTGGGTTGTGGGACCCAATTACCACTCGACTGGATTCTTCGTTCTACAAGAAAGTCAGTCATGCATGGCCAAAGAACCGGGGTGCATCAATAGACATACCTCTCTCGAAATCGGCCCATCTCTTCATGGTGATCTTGGTACTATCAAATTCACCTTCATACTCCAGGCCTGCTTTCTTGGTCTTCTCGCCCGCCGTCTTCCGTGTGTCACCCCAACTGAAGTCGTCGAACTTCCAATAAGCGTAGGTTGGTAGGACAAAGTTCCAGATTGGCAGGGAGCCAAGGTAGATCACCATCCACATGACGTATGACAAACGATGCGCTGTCAGAACAATCAAAACTGCCGGGAGACCGAGAATCAGAGCAAGAAGGACGAGCGGGATGACTGGCACCGGCTTCTTGACGATCGAGATGATGATCAGATAGAAAGTGAATGCAATGGCAGCTGGCAAGACCAATGTACCGATAAGTTCAATCCCGACCACAAATTGCATGCTGAAACAGAAAGTACCGCACAGATCCCGGACCAGGACGAGCTCCATCAAGTTGTGCACCGTACTGTTGATCCATCTTCGTCGTTGAGAGAGCAGAACCTTAAATTCGTCAGGAACTTGTGTTTTGCAGACAGCCTGAGGGACGAAGACTTGTTTGCGTTTGGGGAACGTCTTCAGCATCAACGTCGAAAGGTAACGATCTTCACCAAGAAGTAACAAGTTCTTCTTGTGCAGGGTGTCCACCACATTTTCCGAGTAACGCTCCACGATATCCGGATTTGCCAAAATGGGAACCCAGTAGTTCTGGCCACCTTTGGGTGATTTAATCCGGTACATACAGAAGCATCCAGGCAGGCAAGTGACACCACCAAAGACGGATTCGAATGACTTGGATAAATGGTGCGAGATGAAATATTCAAACACCTGAATACGTGTAACCCATGACTGACTCTTGTTCGAAATCTTCGTCTCGCCGCAAAGACCCATGATCTCTGGATCCTGGACCATGGCCGATATCATGTGGGTGAGACTGTCAGGGAACACCTTCGTGTCGGCATCAACCATGAGGACTGTTTCATAAAAGTCGGGAGACATGCCAGTAACTTTCCATAGACCGTTGAACATTTCGTATTCCAGCTCCGTCATTCTTTCATCAAACATGACTTTTTGCAAGAACGACATCAAGATGATCTGACTGTCTCGTTTGCCTCGATTTCCAGGTTTGCTCTTGGTGGCTTCATCGGGTGTTCCGCATTTCACCACCATCATCATTGGCACACGTTGTTGTTTGTTCGGCGCGATCCTAGATTCTGGACCGTAATCATAAAACCCGGCATATACCTTGGCCATGTTGTGTCGTTTGGAGCCACTCGCCACTGCAACATACGAGAATGCCTGCACATCTTCGGGGGCAATGACAAAATCACCCATCATTCCAAGGACAATGTCAGGAGTGGACAGGCTTTCTCCTTTGCCTTTGATGAGACCGTCGCAAATAACGACGATCGCTTTATGGCTGTTGGGGTAGTCGGTTGTAGCGATGGAGTCCAATGTGGTACGAATGCCTTCCTCACCTTCCGAATACGCAGTCACGAGGCAAAGCGTATGAGCGAGCGGATATCCGAAAGGCTGCCATTCCGGGGGTGGTTGCGGGACGACGTTGTCATGGATGAAACCCTCGGGTCCATTAGCCCCGAGATTATCCATTGTGACCGAATAACGTGACTCGTGACCGGAGAGGAGCAGACTGGATCTACTGGCGCCAATACTCATGCGGGTCGGTACATCGAGCGTATTCTGGCTGTTGTTATATCCATGCTTGTACAAACTTGCCCCCGACTGGGTCAGTTTGGCTTGCGAGGACTGGCTGGTCATGGTGGTCGGCGGAGCCCGATTGGCCTTCGCGGCACGGTCGACAGCATAAGGGCTGGTAAACCTGGATGTCTGTGGGAACAGCATGCTTCCACGTTTGCTGGTCCTCGCATCAGAGCCTGAGATGGTAGTTGCCGGATCCATGAGTTTCGGTGCAGGCTTGTAAATGTCGTCGGTCCATGCTTCGATCTCTTGGGCTCGCTGTTTCGGATCCATCGTCTGTGAAGTTTTCGGAGCCGCATACTTCCGAGCCAGGAACCACTGGAAGGCCAAGGCAAGGAAGAATTTTGACAGGACGATGGCCAGGATGAAGACCAGCGAGACATACAAGACAACTTTGGAAGCAATGCAACCCACGGTCTCTGTATCAATCGAGCCCACCTTGGCAATTTGACTGAGGCACTTGCCCACCTTCTTGTCGGCACCCGATTGCAAAACATGCGTAATGTCCATTCCGCGAATCTGCTCATTCTTGCGCAGGTCGTCAAATTGAGCAGGCCAGGCAACTTGGCTCTCGTTGAACCACCGCAGAAGGTCCAAGTCGATCACCGAACCAGAATAAACAACAAGATTCCGACTTTTGTTTTTGACGTCATCCCAGGTGAAGAACACTTCTCCGGACTTTCGGAGACCGTGAAAGAAAGTATCGCGCGCCTTGGAGGTAGTATGGCAGGCATAGCCCAGGTAATAAGGCACAGTGGTGTTGACCGGCGAGGAACCATCTTGGTTGAAAGCTGTACAGGGAAAATACCAGGCCAAATCCCCGTCAGCGTTTGTAGGGACATCAGACCCTGGCGCAAGAGTAATTAGCCCTTTGCAATCTCCATTGACTTCCTGGAACATAAAACTTCCGTCTTGCCCACCATACTTGTGTGGCAGATCGTACAGAACGTTGCTGTCCAAGGGGATCCCCCGAGCGGCAGGGTGTTGCGAGCGTGATAAATCGTAAGCGTTCCCATGAAAAATCATGTAACCCCGGTCGACATGGTTGATCTTGAGCCGAAGTCCAGATTGTCCACAGACAGTTTCCGTGAAGCCGAAGGTGATAAAGCCAACAAATGCAGCAATGAGGAGAATTATGCTAATGAGGCCGCACTTCTCTCTCCACGCTCTTCTCTGAGCGCGGGCTGGCATGCCGAAGCATTGTAGGACAAAATCGGGGGCCCAGAATGTGATGATGGCACAATACACATTCCATACGCTTGGAGGTTTGATCTTGTCCAATTCCTTCCGCCGTAGCTTCTCCTCTTCACTGATTTTTCGTGTGTCCTTCCTGACCAGCTTCCGCGGTTGATTTTTCTTTCCCACCGGCTCCAACATTCCTGGCACGTGGGCTTTCCGTTGTTGGTTGGGGGTGAAATCTTCGTCCAAGGCAGTTTTCTGAGCAGTGCTGTCCGAGCTGACGGTACGTCTTTCAGCCAGATCTTCCATGGCCGGATCGTTGCCCGTTGTCGAGGGGAAGACTTCCATATTCTGCGCATGCTTGCGGTAGTAATAGTTGGGATGATCTCGGTCGATCCTGTTTCGTTCAGGGCGGATGAGAGACTTCTTGCGGCCAAGCTCGCTCTGGGTCATGTTGGTAATGATAGGTTCCCAGTCGGCTACTCGAGAGCCAGGCGAAGGGGGTTCGTGGTCGGGTCTACCTCGCTGACTGGAGTAAGGACGGTTCTGGGGGGAATTGTAGCCGCCTGTCTCGATGTCTCTCAATCGTCTGGATGGAGAGTCCCGGTACGGCGAGTGGGATTTTTCGCGCGTAGGTGAAGTCGCAGGCCACGGCCTGCGCGGGTCTGACATGTTCTACCCAGGAATGTGAGCGCTAGGTATGTGACATCAACAATGGGATTGTCACATACGCTGCAATATGACAGTTACCGTCCAAGCATTGATGCCTGCAGGTCTTCCTCTCTGATTTATCGTTTACTGACAGCGCCTGCGCCGTCCCTTCAATCACGTCCTACTTAACGAGGGAGAGTCGACACGCTGAGGTCGGAATACTGTCTGGCGTAGGAAAGGTCTCGAGAACACATGCAGGATGTAGAATGTGCAGGACAGCGTGCAGTCTGCAGGGTGGTGGTGTAGTCGAGGGTGGAACAAACAGTGGCTTCGTCTGTTGGCCACAGTCGAGATTCGGGGGAGAAGGGGGAATCTATTGGCAGACTGAGAGATCGAATGGATATGAAACCCGAAAATGGGAGACTGGCTGAGCGAGCGTAAGAGTATGTGAACGAATGCTGTTCGTGTGGTTGCGGGAAACAAGACCAGGAGAAAACGATGATGGCACAAGTAGGAGGGTATCGTGCAGTGTTTGGGCTTGCATGGATACGGCAACAGAAAATACAGGATTGGATACGGCCTAGCGACAGGGATCTCGATGGTGGATCATCAGGAGAGAGACTTGTTCGAACCCTGTCCACCCTCGCCAGTCGAGAGGCGCTGTTGGTCTGGAGAGAGGCAAAAAACTTCTCCTTTCCACTGGCCACGATCTTGAGAAGTGTGGGAATAGAGGAGGTAAGCAGCAATGTCAACAACCCTTTGATTCTACCGACAATCCATCCCATACTCCGACTCAACCCATCCGTTGTCGACTCTCCTCTCTGGGCTGCATCCGCGCTTATTACTGTTCTGTACGTTCTTCGACTGCGGAGCGGCCTCGGTTGTGGCTGAGTTGGCATCGTCGCTTGTTTAGTGCGCTATGGTATTTTTATCCCCGTGTTGCCCTGACAGACTGCCAGTTGCTCTCCAAAACTGGAGCACCAGTGAGACCATTCCGTCGCCACAGGCCACGCCTCTTCTGCTTGCGATGACATCTGACAAGGAGCCGATTGAGTCCATGACAGCCTTGGACACGTTGCCTCGATGCCTGTCGCAAGTGAAGCGCGCTCCTGAACCAGTCAAACTGGACTCTTTGGGGGAGGTTCTCTCTTCCTGTATCCCCTTGCACGGAGCATATTAGCAACACAACTTCGTTTAAGTTCGGGCCCAGGTTCTGCCGCACAACGTTGTTGATATGGTGGTGGAGCGAGTCGTCATCAGCACACCCAAGCCAGCACGAAATTTTCAGCGTTGTGGCTTGCTGTCGCAGCAGTGCAGACGTTCTCGACTCCCTAAACTGAGACCTGCTTGTCGGCGGAGGCCCAACACTGGTAGAAAGTGGTAGAGAAGGCTTAGGCCGGCGGCCCCTCCCGGAACACTCGGCGCCCCCAGAATGGCCTAGCACCACCTGGCACGCCTGAAGAGGTGGTCTTTGCACCGCCAAATGGTGCCTACACGGCTTCACCAACTGGACGAGTACGGGTCGGAGTTCGCACTCACAAACATCTCCATAGTCCAGACATTCCCTGAGATAGCCTCTCTGTATCTCCTGTGCCTTATTAGGTGGCAGCCAGGAGAGTTGCTGTCAGCCCTGCCTGTGCGAGGTCTGTGTCCTGTGTATCGCGCTATACCGTAGGCTCATCTCTGATGAACCACTGTTTTCAGTACACCAGCTACCAAATCTCGGGCTCCTGAATGCAAATCTTGAACCCTGCATCGAACACCGGGCGCCCGGTCTGTTGACCCTTCGTCCGGATCCAGCACTAGTCGACGTCGTGTAACCACGTGTAGTCAGCTATTTGTCGGATTTCTAGCATTGCCAGAATTGCACAAAGACATGTTTTGATTGTTCCTAAAAAAGAGCGTGAGAAAGAGAGAAAACTATTCTCACCGTATCCCAACAAGCCTTCCAAACAACAACAACAACAACAACAACCACCACCACCACCACCGCACAAAGAAGTCTAGGTAGCCCCAAGAGGCATTCGAGGAAAGGGAGCGCCATCAGCCACCTACAGTAGTACTTCAAGCACTCGTAATGGTGTGGATGCAAAAGGTGTTGTGCGCGGGGCGTCATCCCTGTCACTCCTGCATACGAGTTCTCTGAACGTGCCTTTCACCTCCATCATCCTCGCTCCCTGTCAATCCATCCCCATCCGACATTCTACTACGTTCTACTACATTATTTTCAACTTCGTTCCTCTCCTTCCGCTCTGACTGTCTTGCTCGTGTCTCTTGTCGTTGCTAGCGAGTCCGGTTCTTCAGCATACTCAGACAGTGTGGTCGCTCGCTTTCCCTGACAGTTCTTTGCCAAAACCTACGTCCGCCGCTTTCGTGTCAGTCCAGGAACATTCCCCCTTTGATCAGGACGCCACAGCATTCCTCCATATGACGACGTGATACCCTAGACCATCTTTAGCCTCCCTGACCAATTGGTCGCATTCCAATATCGACCTGAACCTGGTGGTTGCTGGTCAATCGCTTCCCGCGCAGTTGTCACCCTGGAGAGACTTTCTCCGCCACCTTCGGCCATACGCTTCGTCCTATTGACACGCAGATGTCTTGTTCCTAACGTGGCAGCCACTGTGCCTGTGTCGACATGGCTCAAGCAACGAGTCATCCTCTTCCTCCGACTCCCCCGCCGCCCATCTACTCTCCTCCCCTCAGAATCGGTAGCCCACAGATCATAGAGCCCGTGGGAGAGCGCGCGACTGGCCTACCGCGTTCAGTTTCTGCTCAATCGAAGGAAACGGGCAACCCTGCCATCTCGATGTCTACAGTAGACGAGCGACCACCGTCAGCGTCCGCTGCGCCCACCAACCTGCAGATCCATCCTCCTGAAACTGCGCTGTCAAAATCAACGGATCCGATGGCACCAAAGCGAACGTTGACTCCGCAACCTTCCCAACAGCAGGATCCAAACAGACTGTCACCTACGCCGCAGGCCATGATCAGGAGGCGGCCAGTGGACGGCGACAGTGTTACCGACCACCGACGGGTCTCTTCTGAGAATTTTATGTCAAAAGATGGGAATATCGAATTGACCCCCTTCCAGAAAAGATCTGCGAGACATGCCTCGACATCCGCTCTAGAAACAGAACCGCCTTCGGGAAGCTTCGAACCATTGCGTTATCACCACCAGCTCACGGATCCTGAAATGAATTCCCTTGACAAGCGGGCCTCCCAGTTAACCATCAATACTGACGGTTCTGGGCAGCTGGACGGTAATCGTAACAGTACCTATGGCCGGAATCTGCAGCGACCAGACAGCGGCTTCTCGAGCACTTCTGACTTTCGTGGCCGATCCCTTTCTCCCAATCTGTCCCCTGGCCGACCCGTGTCCAGAGGCTCACGCTCGCCCGATACTCGACCTGTCTCGTATGTCGATCTTCTCAATGTGCCCTACCCTCAGCCTGCGCCAAGTGGTGCAGAACATCTATTCAATCTAGGCCTTCGTAATGTGGTTGGAACAAACGCCAATCTTCTGTCCACCAAGAAAACGCTCGATATGTACCTTGCCAATGTCAAGAAGACCAACGATTCAGCTGTGCAGTATGAATTTGCTGTTTTCATGATTAGCGCGGCTCAGGAGCAGGGACTCGAAGCAGACGCGCAGTCGGAGGCGGCGACGTCAGAGAAATCGCATCAGTCTGTGAGAAACGATATGCTGAAAGAGGCCAAGCATATCCTGCAGAGATTGGCCGACCGCTCATACCCATTCGCACAGTATTATTTGGCCGACGGATATGCGTCGGGTCTGTTCAACAATGGCAAAGAAGACTGGGATCGGGCATTTCCTCTTTTCCTGGCCGCGTCGAAACATGGGCATGCGGAGGCGGGGTACCGTACCGCGTTGTGTTACGAATTTGGCTGGGGTTGTCGGGTGGATGCAGCCAAAGCAGTGCAATTCTACCAACATGCCGCCAGCAAAAACCATCCTGGAGCCATGTTACGACTTGGACGAGCGTGCTTGACTGGCGACATGGGATTGACCAAACGTTACCGTGAGGGCGTGAGATGGCTCATGCGAGGTGCCGAATCTGCCGATTACCAGTACAACCAAGCCCCTTACGATCTAGGATGCCTTCACGAAACAGGTTACGGACCGGACGTGTTCAAGGATGAGTCCTACGCCGCTCAGCTGTACACAAAAGCTGCCGACCTGGGCCATGTCGATGCCAACTACCGTCTCGGGCAAGCATATGAACTCGGTCAATTAAAATGCCCCCAAGATCCGGCCCTCAGCATTCACTTCTACACTGGTGCTGCGGAACGGGGGCATGCCGAATCACAGATGGCTCTTTGCGCCTGGTACATGGTTGGCGTGCCCAACGTTCTGGAAAAGGACGAAGCCGAGGCATACGAATGGGCCAAAAAGGCCGCTGCACAGGGTTTACCTAAGGCGGAATATACCGTGGGCTACTTTACGGAAACGGGCATAGGTTGCCGTCGTGATCCGCTCGAAGCCAATGTCTGGTATGTGAGAGCAGCAGAACACGGTGACGAGAGAGCCAAACATCGAATCGCAGCTATCAAAGCTGCTGGTGCAGGGGCAGATCCCATGACAGCGGCAGCGGCCGGGAAGAAAGGACTCTTGACGGACAGTAAAAGTTCGGGCAATATTGGATCAAACGGTGAGCAGACTGACATGACCACCGGCGCAAGCGCAACCCGACTGACAAGAATTGCAGACGGTGGAAAGAAGAAAAAGTTCGGCATCTTCTAGACGGGGACCTGTGGACCAGCATGTAGCGGCATAGCGATGTAGCATTTCACGGCGCAGGCAAAAATTTGGGCAGAATTGGTGGCATAAGAGATTAATAGTGAGGCATCGAAGACAGCATCATGGATGGCGTGGCTACGGCCCTGAGAGTCTATTTAATTGCATCGCATAGCAAAGCATCAAACATTGGGATGAAGTGAGAGACGGATGAAGATTGTGGTTCTCACCCAAGGCTGTTGAGACGTGGAAAGTCACGAGCGAGGTTCAGAGCGATTGAATCACGTGCGTCTGATCACGTGACGTCGAGTCTCCTGCCTATTGCGAAAAGACCAGGTGGAAGCACGTACAGTAGCAATAAAACCCACCATCACCATGAGTACGATGGGACAGCAGCCTTTGTACAATACTCGTACCGGCGGGCACTTTTCCATCAGACGTCAAACCCACCGTGAAGATCTCCTCTTTGCCCTCTCTGTGCCTTTCCGCTTTGAGGCTGAATCTTGTTCTCTTCTTGCCACCACTTGGCTGAGCCACTCTCTACGCGTGCGCGGAGGTGTACCCTCGCACTGTGGGCGAATGTCAATGTCCCCAGTCCTGAGTCCTGAAGTCTTGAGAACGACCCAGAGTGATCTCGCCTCCGAGGTCATCTGGCCCATTGTCCCCTGGCGCCAGTGATGCTCCCATCATTGGCGAGATCTGGCGGTGTATGCGGTGTACAGACCGCGAGCCACTTGGCGTGCTGCAGCTTGATCTGCTCTCATTGCCGTCGCCAATCAAGTCGCCGTCCCAACGGGCATCTGCGTCTCTAGCCTGGTTGGCCTCTGGTTTTCGCTTTTCTCATGCCCTGAGTCCACCACGCGCCCGATCTCAAACCACGACTATTTTCCATCACATGGCCCTATGATTTACGAGTCTCTGTCGTCCTGGCCTCACGATGGTCGAACAGTATCGGCATATCGGTGCCGTTCAATCTCCACCATTCGACAATGGCGTCTCAGACGATCACCTGTGGAAGACTCCCACCAATCGCTCATGTGGCCGCCTCTCTTTGGGCTCCCCACAGATGCAACGCCCAACGGCTTTAGATGCCATAGACTTCCCAAACAGTCGACGCCCTTTCGCCTCTGCACCCAGATTCACCTCTCATTTCCGCTCGACTCGTTGTTTCATTATTTAGTTATCCCTGGCAAAATTCTGTCTGCAGTATGCTTTTCGGGCCCAGTCAGGTATTGAGATTCGTGGTGGGACTCTGGCACGCTACATCACTGCGTGATACGTGTATCGAGATCTAGCGGTGACTCAACGTACATCATGGACTGATCCTCATATACGTTTTACCTTCGCCATACTGTCAAACCGAGCTTCAGTGACAACCGACAAACGTCCTTTCTCTCATTATTCCCATTCATTGTCTTTTGCTTTGACGCCTTTGTTCCCCTCATGGACTCCGAGTAGACGATCGGGTCGACGGTGCTATTCCATCCTTCCCCGACTTAACTACATATATACAGCACTTTACGGGTGCTCGAAGAACGATTTCGACGAATTTGATGAGAAGTTTCCACGACACTAGCTACCGGCGCGACTCGCAATGAAGGATACATTCAACGACTCCGATGCCGAATCATTCCATTCGGCCCGATCAAGCACCAACAAGAAGGCAGCACAGCAAACGACCATGCCAGAAGCTCGCCCTGCCAAGAAATGCAAATGTAGACGGTCAAGCACACGACACATGCAAGACTTGAACAGTCTTCCTGATGGGTTGACGAGCCCAAGCCCAGAGGAATGCGAGGATTCGTCTGAGATGACCGACCAGGGCATTTCTCGGCCTGGCTCGAGTAGGTCCAGACGTCGACGGACCAATCCCAGCACACCAAGACGACAGAGCAGCACCAATTTTGGAAGGAACGGAGGAAGAAGGCACTCTTCTCGAAGGGACCCGACAACTTTACATCGGCAGAGCTGTCGGCTCTTCTCGTCGCTGGACGGAATGCTCGTCTTGAGTCGAGAATTCACGCCTTTGCCCAGCGTTTCCACAACACGAACAGCCACTCGACATGCCTCACTCGTTCCAGACGACACACCAGTTCCAGCGCCGTCCAGCAGGACGGAGATGGAACGACAGCTCTGCCACACCGTGGACGAGAAGCTGAAAGCGGTCAAACGAGAGCACCAGACTCGTCGTCCGTACCGCAGAGTGAGTTTGTCCTCGGCGTCGGCGTCGGCGTCGGCGTCGTCCTCACCCTCGCCAGCCTTCCGGCACAGCTACTCGGACTCCTCGCTTGTGTACCAGTCGCACGTGGTCAGCCCGCGGATATCAACGTCGGTCAGCGACGTGGACAACAAGTACGGCCGACAAGAGAGCACGTCTGGAGGAGGCAATGACGCGAGGCGGCCGCCTTTGAACGCCGTCATCTCCTGGACGTCCAACGCCACGCGAAGAGAGGAATACGAAAAGATCGACCGCGCTCATTCTGGGTTCAGGGGTTTCCTGCGAAAGATGCTGCCAAAGTGTATGCACTCAAAGAACGCCAGACGAGCGTTCTACGCCGGAGCTGGAGGTGACGGCGACAGCGACAGTGTACGGAGATTCCGAATGAGTTTAGACGACAGCGACGATGATGATGACGACGCTGATGTTGATGATGATCATGGGCGAGCGAAGACGGCGGCAGAAAACGAAAATGAGAAAGCGAACCATGATGACATTGGTGGTGTTGATGATCATGACGATGATGATGATGATAGTAATGACGATACCCTAGACATGGACGAGAAACAGCAGTGTGTCGGGAGCAGAAGACGTCTCGCCGTTACCGTCTCGGCGGCACAACCAGAACCGGGCCCCAACTCCACATCCACGGCTACGACGACGAGCACAACGACCCAGCCGCCCACAGAAGGGAAGAAACACAGGTGGACATGTTTCCAATAACACCGAGCGAATCCTGTTGGCATATACGGTACATGTACACACTCTCACACATATACACATGCCTTGGATACCCACGAAGTATGTGGCTCTACCTGAGATGCAGAGAGAGAGAGAGAGAGTACGCATGAACAAGGACGACAGATATATATCCCCTGGTTGTTGTTAATTTTTTTTTTGGACCGTCGAATGAATGAAAAAGAAAGTAATAAGCAACGTCTTTTTTCTCACGCGACATGAGATGAAGATCATCGTCGTCGTCGTCATCAAGTTTTGAAAAGCCGAAACGCCGTAGAGTATTTATTTCTTCACATACATACGTTCAGTGTTCTCGGTATGCCAGTGTCACTGACTTACTTACCACCTACCGTGATTGACTCACCGTTCCGACACCTACTCTCAGCGTCCACTGCAGTCAACCTCCCGCAGTTCTCACCATTTCAGTGGCTCGGTGTTTCAGTGTTTGTTACTTTACTATAAATGCCTACTTGAGAAGAAGGAAAAAAGAAAAAGATTCATGACAAAAACTTGTATAAAGCCAAAATTAAACGCAGCAAAATACAATGAGGCGAACTTTCAAAAAAGAGACACAATCTGTCTGTACAAATAACGATTCCCTTTGTGCTCTCTCTCTCTCTCTCTCTCTCTCTCTCTCTTCCTCTTCCCCTCGTCTTTGCCTTTACTTCACACCACTTGACTTCTCACCGAAACTTTATCTGCTGAGCACTACTCACTCCTCCCACCACAATCGATCGATCGATCGATCAATCAACAACCCTCTCCCACAATCACATCCCCTGTCTCTCATCCAGATGAGGCGACAAGGGAAGCGTAATGTCATATCGTGGAGGTGGAAGAGAAAGTATCGGATTCAAAGGCACAACGAAAGGTTGAATCAAAATGGGTAGGGAGGTTGCTGGCTCGGATTTCCAGTCATTTTCCTCCCATTCTCATACATCCTTGTCTGTTGCTTCTCCCTCAGAATCTCTGACCATTGGTCATGATCGAAGATAGAAAGAAAAAGAACTCCCCAATGTCGAAATGAGAAAGAGATAGTCGTTCCATTTCCAACCTCGCTCCTGGCGGTGGAAGGCCTCTGCTGTACCTAGCTTGACAAATTCAGGGTGGAATAAAATCTTCAAGCCCAAGCCGGGTGTGTGCGTGAGTGTCTCTGTGTGTGCATGTCCATGCTCTTCCTTTCCTTCCTTATTTCATAAGAAACCCCTTTCGCCACCAACCATCCTTCATCCTTCTTCCTTCTTCTTCCCTCCCTTCGCAATGCAAACAATTTGTTCAACCAGGTCCAAACAGTAACGTCAAAGGAAATTCGTTAGGCGTGAAAACGATCGTGACGGCGGATGCCGGCCGAGAGCAAGAGAGTAAGAAATAAAGTAACGATGCAAGAAGGAGGACTCAGGAGTAGTCTCAACCCACAATCTGATGTGCAAGAAATGAAAATAGGGTGCGTGTGGCCATCCGCTTTCGAACAAGAACAAAGTATCAAACTTCCTCCTGGCCTCTGCTGGTCCTGCCTTCCAATCGCTTTTCCTTCACGGTGAGGTGAGTAACAATCTAGGTTTCATTGAGGCTGGAGGGTGGATGTGGACGAGTTGTGCGAGCAAGCTTCCTTCGACAAGACGAAACACTGTCAATTGCTGTATCAACAAAAGCCGATCTTCGTCGCACTCCCATCCTCCCCTCTTATTTTTTTTCCGGCGTCGGGACCCGTCGAGGACTTTATTCGCAGAATCGAGAAAACATGCAATCTGAAATGACAGTTGGAATGGTGTCGCTCTGAACAATTTGAGTGGTCAACGACTCGCAATTTCAATCCTTTGCCAATAATTCTCATGGCAATAAGCCTGCAACACCTCTGGCGTCTTCGGGGGGTGGTAGGTAGTACTTTGGTTGGTTGGTATGACAAGGTATGACATAACCTGGCGTGAGCCCATATCTCTCTGAAGGTTCGTAGTCGATGAACAAAGGAAAGCAATGAAGATTATTCCTAGCAAGGCTGGCGAATTCTGGATCAAAAAAGACCTCCGATTTCACCTGGACCATGAACCCGTCCGCAACCCGATCAACGCTTGCTAACTTGGCAATCCTCGAATGCAAGACAAAAAGAGACTGTGAAAGGGAAGAGGAAGCACTGTAGGGATACGTCCCGTCCCAGTACTAACCCAGGTCTTCCTCACCATCATCGTCTTCTTCCTCCTCTGCACTTTCGCTGGCAATCTTTGACTTCTTGATCGGTGTTTCGTTGTCATCAGATGCAGCTTTCCTCTTGGTTCCGGAGCTCGAGTTCTCGGCTTTCTTGGTGGTGGTGGGGGTGCCGTTGGGACCTGCCTCGCCCTTTTCCAGCGCAGCCACTTCGTCGGCTGTCAAGAACCGGCCTCCGGGTCCACGAGGCCGTCGCATGGCATGGTTGTGCCGGGATTCGTGAAGGTAGGGCTTGCGACCTTTGGAGGTGAGGCGGAGCTGTTCTTCAAGCTTTTGGCGAGCAACGCGTCGTTTGAGGATGCGATGGAATTGTTTGGCATTGACGTACAAAGGCGACTCTTCGACTCCTGCAGCAACAATTTCTTCGGCGGGGGCTTGTACCGGTTGTTGTGGAGGGGGCATCGCGGGAGGTACAGATTGCCTGGGTATGTTGTGGTTCATTACCGGTTGTGAGACTTGACCATGGGGACTGGTAATATGCTGGCTCATTCGTCGTTGTTGTCCCATCTGTGAGCCTTGAGGCATATTTACACCAGATGAGAGTGGTGGCATTTGTCCTGTCAAAGCGTTAGCCGTAGTCCTGTTTGATACGCGCCGACCTTGAGAATCTACTGACCAGATGCTGCTGCTGTTGCCATCGCAGCGGCCTGGGTTGGAGAGATACCATATCCCTGGGTCATCGCGGGACCCATGCCATATTGATAGCCCATCGACTGATGCGCGCCGCTGGCGCTTTGAGGTTGGTAATGATTCTGGGTCTGCGATGGTAGGATGGGGGAAGCCTGGTTAGGATTGTGTTGCTGCATGTGCGATTGAGCACCGGAAGGAGACTGGAGAGTCCCTGGCCCGGCGCTCTGAGGCGAAGTTTGATAGCCGCCCTGCAGATGTGGATGTTGACTATGCTGCTGATATTGTGGAGGATATTCCATGATGAATATGAGGTACGAGGAAGCTCAGGCCGTTCTCTCAGTTCTAGATGCACGGCTGCGGAATGAGAAGGTTGCGGCCCGTGGAGGGGACTTGGTGGCCGCCTCAATGTCGCGCGTGCGGAAGATGCAGGAGCAGGAGTCCGAAGGCTAAGCTTGACGGTTAAGATGAACGAGACGCAAGGTGACGGCCGATACGCGCTCTTTGGAGGGGGATATTGTGCTCTCAGAAGCAGCACAATGGCACCTGGGCGCTCTGATAGGAGGGTCTAAGAGCGGTAGGATGGAGCCTGTCCCTTGCGTTAGCAGCTAGCGCAGTCTGTACCGGTCACTGGACCGGCGCTCGAGCACCAATACTCACGGTGACGGCTGGACAAGCAAGATTATGCAATGAGTGTTTGAGAAAGACGAAAGACTGAGCAGCTCCCCACTATATTGACGAGTTCGAGTCAACAAATGAGGCGAAACTGGGCCGGCGGTGATCTAGCAGCTGTCGTCAGCGGGCTGGATTCGCCTCGTTTTGGGCTTCTTTGCAGCAAGCAGCGCTGGGGTTGGCGTAGTGCTGCGCTTGATGATGTGTTGTCACTTCTGCTCCGCGTGGGCAGTGCGGAAGGGCAACGTGTGGCGCGGGTTGACAATGCCTGAGTCCGAAGTCTTGCGGGTCGGTTGTGGTCCAGCTCTTGCGACGACCCTACACTCACGCTCTCGGTGCACGATGGTCGCGGTGTTCTGTTGACGTTTCTGGACAACCTCTCGCCTTCCAGAAGCTTGAGACGCGCGCGCGCACTTTGGATTGGGTTGACTGAGTTGCGGCGGCGGCGGAGAGGAATGATTCGAGGGCGAAAGGACAGGTAAGCTGCGATTCGACTGCTAGGCTACGTAACAGCACAGAATGAATCAGTATTGGCCGTGAGTAGGGCAGCAATGACAACAGAGGCAGTTATTGGAGGAGGAGGCCGGGTGGGAATACTCGGGTGGTAGTAATTGGAGGCGACCGATGATGTGTTGGCAAGTCATACAACTCACCTTCTAGTCCGCGTCCCACAATGAAGCTGGGCTGGGATCTATTCTGGTACGCGATTGCTGCCGGGTTTGTCCTTTTGGCAACGTCAGATACCCTTTGCGCGGGGGACTGTCGCACTGTTGCACAGTTGTCGGAGCTGGAGGCGTTCGGCTCTACAAGTCGCGCCAAGTCGCGAAGCGATATCCAGCGACGACGAGATGGAGAGACTTTTATTAACTGCGCGTTCCGATACGGTCCCGGCAAGATGGTCGCAAGCCAGTCGCGAAGAAAATCACCCCTATGCGACTATGGAATAGTAGATGGGAGAGCGGTGGTCGACAAGCGCTGATGGTTGACTCCGGGACCGGTTGAAGTTGGAACTTCGGTCAAGCGGTGATGTGGGTGGAAGGTGGTTGACGGGCGAGCAGTGTTAGCGGTGAGCAGCGGGAGATTTGCCGCGAATGGTGTGGGCTGCAGCGCTGGCACAGTCGGACAGGGCTGGGATCAGATCAGCTTTTGCCTGCTTTGGGCTGATCCGAGCTGATGAGATCACAACAAGACGTGCGCTGTACCGGGCAGCTCCTGGTGCCGGGTTTTCGCAGGCCTTGCTTGAGCTTCCGGCGTCGATGATGAAGTTGCGCAGAACACACGCGAGGCTCTGCGCTGAACGGTCGCCGTCAATGATAGGCCGTGCTTGTTTACCAGCAATGGGGATCTGGTGAAGAAGCAGTCGAATCAAGTTGGGCGAGACGATCGGGTGAGGTGATTCGGCGGCGAGCCTGGGACGAGAGGCTTGTTGGGGCTGGTCACAGCGGTCAGTGGTCGACAAGCCGAGCAGACAGAACCCCACGTGAACAGCCGATGGATGATGAGGTGATTGGATAGGGCACAAGGGAAAAGAAGTTGTTTCAGCTGGGCGATTGGGCGACGACAGAAAGGTGAGAGGAAGAGGAAGAATGAGTGGGCGGTGGGCGGACGGACAAATAGAAGAGGAGTTTTTTCGCCCTGGCCACGGAATACGAGTACGGAGTCCCGGACCAGGCCAAACAGTTTTGGCGAGGATGACGGGCAGCAGGACACGCCAGGCAGAAAGAAGAAAACAGAATGTTACACCCTACCGCCCTACTGTACAAAGAGCGGATACTGGAGCTGCCAGACAAGGGTCGCCCTTCGCTTGTGACGCCAACCTTAGGTACACACGCTTGTTTTCTTTTGTTCCTTCTGCACGCTTCTCGCTTCTGTTTGCTCCCACCGCAGCGAACTAGCACCTTAGGAGGTACTAGTGAGTTAGCAGGAGGCTAGCGAAGCCTGCCGCAAACCACCTCCGATCCTCGTGACTTGGACTGGCTAAACCCTCTTCGGCAATGACTAATCGCACTAACTACGCGCCACACAGACACACAGACACGCAGACACGCACGGTACCGCACTCCGTACTACAAGGAGGTTCCTAGGGATGCAATAATAACACAACACACAAACACTGTCCCTCAGGTAGAGAGGTACTCTCTGAAGTAACTTCGTATTGCTCGTACTCTACTGTAACTGCAAACTTGACGACCTCTTCGAAAAAGCTTTCCGCACGAACAACAAGGTACCATCCGCCACTCTCCGACCAAAGGACTCCTAGGATCTCTTCTTCCCTTTCATCATTAACCATCATCCTCCGGCCTCCATACCTCGGTCTTTTCTACTACGATTAGAGTGCTACTACTTTATTGTACTGTACCGCTCTCCTCTACCTCAGTACTGTAGTATTCGCCGTCACCAGGGGTGCGAGTCGGTGGACTGTAAGCCAGGGTAGCATTGAGCATATGAAGAGATCACCCCGTGTTTAACCGAAAGCTCTCTCTCTCTCTCTCGGCACTGCGATGAGACTCGAGATCTCACAGCACCTCATACAGCCTGAGCGCTCAGCCACCTCCGCTCCGACGTCCCACGCTCAAAAGGGTCATCACTCCGGGTTGGACAAGTAGTTTCTTGGACGGATATGCCTGGCTTCTCGCTTTTCTCGCTTTCTCGCTTCTGCAAACTCTTGTTTAAAAAATTGTAATTATGCGGACTCCGTGTCAGTACTTGCCTCATCACATCCCGGATGTCTGCTGCAACTGGGACAAAACCTCAGTCGCGACATTAAAATCCTTCGCACGCGCGCCTTATCCAGTAATACAGCTCGATGCCAATCATATCTCCAATCGCCCACGCGAACCGCCTTACTATCCGCCGCCTTTCTCTCGTCACCTTCCAATGAGAATAATGAATCACCAATTGAGGCTTTTTATTCGTTGATATCTCGAGAAAATCATCAGACGCCGTGCGTCTCCCCAGGCTGAAATGAAGCCGCGCCTCTGAGCCGCCGTTAATTTGCCAGTCGCGAGTCGTGACTCGTCCCTGCTACGCCCATCAAACAGAGTTTCCGAGTATTATCACACGGATGACGCGTTCCATCCTGGGTATCTATTTCGCAGACAGGGCGGCTAATAATTGCAAGGCTGGTGTCTCCAAATCAGATAATGCTTCAAGCGTGGCCATTTTCATCATTGTGTCTATAGCATAGGGGGTTATTTTATTCCAAAAGAAAAACCTCCCTTCGTGACTTGGCGATACTTAGGTACACTGGCTTTCTCTACAAGATGAAAAGGTTGTTGCCCATCCAGCAAAGTCTATACTTTTTCTGCGATCTATACCTTCAATCGCTCAAAACCATCCTAAGCATTGCCAGGAAAGGCTCTCTCATTTTCAACACCTCTGTCACCTCCGGCTTGACCGGCTCACCTGCAGTGCGCCTCAGTCGGTCTTGTGCTTTTTTCCGCCTGCGTCGCTCGGCTTGAATGGGATCCAAATCGTCCTCGAGCTCTTCGTCCTCCGTATCTTCATCGTCTTCTTCATCTGAAATCCTCAAATCCATGAGATCGGCCTGGGCAGTTGTCAGCTGGTAATCCAATGCTATATGAAGCGAACACCTTACCTCGTGCAGACCAAAGTCACTACTTTTGAACGCCGACGCTCCTGGCGCGCCGTCGGCAGACCCTGATCCCTCAGCCGCCATCTTTTGCCTTGTCTTGTCGTTATGCCACTTTTTGCGGTCTTCCTGCCATTTGATCAATGAATTGATCTCCGCAATGGAGACCTCCTTATCAATCACGCCCATATCCAGGGCTCCCTGGAATATAGCGTTCATGTCTAGTTTGCCCCCTTGAGGCCCTTTCCTCAGGAACTCCAGGATTCCTTCTATCCAACCCATTAATGCTGTAAAGAGCCCATTGTCGTGAATGTGGACTTCATGTATGAACTTGTACAAGTTGTGCTCATGACGAGCACACAGGTCGATAAACATTTGAACCGTCTGGTTGGGATCAGCCGAGACATCTTGTCGCTGAGCCACTTCTACGGTCTTGATCACATCATCGGCGAACTGGGCAAAGTCCGTGATGCTGCTGTAAACATTAGCAGACTTGTAAACCCTGATCAACGGTTCGTAGAAAATGGTGAAGAGATCTCGGAACAATTGCAGTGTAGTGGGTTCTTCGATCATGGCCGCCATCATAGCTTTGTCTCGCTGGCGGGTCATCAGCTTCAGAAGCTGTTTAAGCTGAGAGAACATTTCAGCTCCTTGCTTGAGCTCCTCGTCGTCATTTTCAACCGCGCTGTTCCAAGCGACCCAGGCATTGAAGACTCGCTGTATCTGCGGAGGCGTTAATTCCGGCGTAAATTCGTCTGATCGCAGGATCGACACCACAAGGTCGACATTTTCGTTTTGAGCCTCATCCCGAACAACATTCTTGGTCTCTTCTGGACTATCCACGAACGCCTTCAACTTGTTGGTCAATACAGGATCCGCAATCTTTCCCACCAGATCATCAATCGATTTTTGGAACTGTCGGATACCATCTGCGAGTGCCTGCGCGAAGATCCGTTGCAGGAGTGACTTTGTCCCAAAAGGTTGTGCGAGAAACAGGTCTAGGACTCCAGACATAACCGCGGCAGGATTGGCGATGCGAATCACATTCTTTAGCATCGTGTACGGCACCAATGAATGGATCCGCCGGGCTTGAGCAAACAGTTCAGGCGAGTTATCTTCGGCCAAGAACAGGTGGTAGATGGTAGCAGCCACCTCGATCCTCAACCATTCTGCGAACTTTTTATATTCAGGAGCAAGATCGTCAAGTTTGTCTTTGTTCCGAATCTCGGCGAATAGCTTTGTAAGACCGTTACTCTCGACGATGTCCCTTCGAAATTTTTCCATGTAGCTATCAAGCTCGGCAGCTCGTTTCCTGGCAATCTCGTAGAACTGTTTCTGTTCTTCCAATCGTCGAGCATCCATTTCTTTGCGCCGTGCAACATCTTCAAGCTCCTCTTCATTGAGAGTAACGGGCTGAGAGCTAAAGAAGTCGGCAACAGACTTGGACTCGGCATATTGAGGATTCTGCAATAATGTTCTTAAGAAGGCCCGGAGTGACACACGCTGGTCCTCACGACGCAACCGAATGGGCTGCGGGCTTGGATCCCTGGACAAACTAGGCCGTGGGGATGTCCGACCTTTCGGCGTGCCTGAACCCGCGGTCAGGCTCAATGAGGACTTGAGGCGTCGGTGAGAAGGTGTGTACATGCGGCTTGAGTCCTCGACGAGCGAAGCCTGTGTAGAAACAGACGAGACAGACGAGGCGTCGTCGTCTGCCCCTGGCATCAACGAGGACATCGTCGAGCTTTTGTTCTTCCTGGGCAATGGGGGCAGTACCTTCCCTGGCATTTCCCTGCGCAAGTTCTTGTGTAGTTTGACAAATTCTCCGTACCTCCTACCAACGTATCTCTCCGGTTCATCGGCCTTCTTGACGCGGATCAGGAATTCGGCATGCTGGTGGTAGCGAACTGTCCTCTTCACAGACGTGATTCTGACTGCAGCGACATTGACGTCCCAGCCGTTGATGTAATGACCTTCAGGCTGATTCACGACCAGGCCTTGCTCGTTTGCGCCTCGGTCCACCACCTCCATCTCCGCAAACCGTATTCTTTCTTCATAGCCTGAAGCTGTGGGAATGCCTGAGACCATCATCAGCTCAACCAACTTTTCCGACTTCTTTGCCAACTTCCTCCGCTTTGTTTCTTCTAATCTGTCCTCGGAGGAGGAGATGTATTTACTCGCAAAGGACTCGAGGAATACTTGTAGCTTGTCTTGCCAGAACTCTTTCTCTCGAGCCTGATTGAGAAAAGGAAACTTTCGCACATGGTTCACGAATATGTAACGGAGTATAGGCAACTCTGATTCCATGGGAGAGACCTCGCCATATTCTGAGCGGAAGGGAGCACCGAAGCGTTGTAGAGCAGTAGGACTATTGAGTTCCTGGATTTCGGCATGTACTTGTCTTGAAATAAGTTCTCTCTTAAGATAATGTTCTTGTTTGCCTGTCAGCAGCTGTCCTGGCGGAGGTTTGGAGCCTTGGATCGTCTGAGCCGGCTCGACCTTGATTTGGGGAACTTCGGCGCTTCCATTGATCTCAGGTGCTGTGTCGAATCGTTCGAGGGCCGGGGCTTGGAATTCCATGTTGGAGGATACTGGTGTACGGTTGGAGATACAGCCGTGGGCGCTCCCTCAAGGGTTCGGTAGGGGAACAGGCTCAGGATAAAACGGCGGACGTAGTGACGCTGTTCTTAGGTGGTGCGACCGTGATGCTGGAACGAGCGATGGGTAGGAAAAGGCAGACACCTACGCCCTTGGTCATAATGGGATTTCTTATAGTGTTCAGCAAGGTTTTGGATCATGGAGGCCAGACGAATAATAGTTCGTGGTCTGGTTCGGTGCCACGACAGTCAAGCGTGGCTGAAGACGCATCCAAGGTTCAGTAAACTTGAATATTGGAGGTGGCGATTAACGCAGTTAAATGCGTCATGGGGCCGCAGGCCAGGCGAGCCTAGACGCCTAGAGAGCCCAGTGACTTTAGCCGATCTAACTAGTAGCCTATGAAGCCTAAAGGAACAGCCGCTAGCGACAGTCACTAGGTGGTCAAGGTACCTACTTACATGTACCTGTAGGTACCTAGGTATGTGTATCGTAGGCACTCGGTAGGTCCTCTGGGCACACTGTAAGAGTGCAGGTACCCCCGAACTGGGGCATAACCTGCGATCTAGGGCCTAGTAGGAGGCCAAGGCTCACCAGGACAACAAAAGTCCCCTCTCTTGTCCCTGTCCCGCAGGAGCGGGGGACGGTCAAGCTCAGCATTCGTACGAGTACTACTCTGCCTGCTGCGCCCTGAAGGGACTCCATACGGATAAATATTCTAGTTAGAGAGAGCTGGGCTGAGTTCGGCACGCGTTCCGTCGGCGCTGACGACGACACTTTGCTTGGAATATTATTAGAACCTTGGTATTTTTCCTCTCCACGAGAATATTACATAGACTTCAGCATACCCAAGACGTGCAGCCTCTCTCTGGTTAAAGCGCTCACAGTACGTAGACCAGCTTCTGCCCGCTGACTTTGTCGTGTCTCAACAAATCGAGACCCTCAAGAACATGCTCCAATCCCTTGCCAACCTTGGGTGGATGAACCTTCACCCTTCCTTGTGCCAACATCGGTTCAACCTCTGCAATCCATTTCTTCATAAACTCGAAATCTTCCTTGGTGTCCGTGACGTCCCAACCCCATTTCTTGACCGGTTCACCTGTTGCGGTATATCCCATGGAAACGGTGGTTACCACGTCGCTTCGGGGAGACTGGATGTCCAGCACCGTGCCGTATACACCACCAGCAGGACCGATTGCGTCCGCACAGATCTGAGCTGTGTTAGGAAGCGAGATCGTATCCCAGACGTACTTGAGGCTGTCGTTGGTGTACTCTCTAATCTTCTTCGCGCAATCAGGGTCCCTATAATCGAACGATTCTGCCGCCCCAAGAGACTTGACAAAGCTGAAATTCTGCGGAGAGCAAGTGGTAATCGGTGTATACCCAGCCCTTTCCTAAGTCAACACTGGTCCCAGGAATATGTGCATCGGGAGAGTACCTACAGTTTGGCAAATTGGATACCTAAACTTCCTGTCGCAGAGCTGCCCCCATAGATGAGGACATACTCACCTTTGCTATTCGGCTTGCTCGGAGGGTCGAGGCTCATCTGCTGGAAAAGACCTTGGCCACAAGTGACGATCCCTACGCCCAAGGTGGAAGCTTCTTCGAAGGAGATGCTGTCGGGGATGCGTATTTGGACGTCTGCCTTGACCGCAATGCGTTCCGCGAAGGCACCATCTTCGGGCTGGAGGACATTTCCTCCAAAAACAAACCCGCAAATGCGGTCTCCGACTTTCCAGTCCTTTGAGTAGCCAGTGCCTGTCTCTGCGACAATTCCTGCATAATCACACCCGCTCAGGCAATTCTTCGAATTTTCGTAGTCGATATGCTTCCAGTCTGTCGGATTAAGTGCGACAACCTTGACATCAACCAGAACATAACCGGATCGAGGCTTAGGGTATGGTCGATCGGTCACCGATGCTTTGCCGGACTCGCCCTGCGTAACTATAGCCTTCATGATGTTCACTCTGATATAGATCGAGTCAACGAGACGGTCAGGGCAAAGAATTCTCTCGGGTGAAAATGTTACCAGCAGAAAGGAGACGGAAGAAAGTGAGTCTGAATACCTATATATACCTATATATTGTGATTCTCTACTAGGTAGGGATGGAGCAATGGAGATCGACAGCGGAAACCTCGTACTGCACAACCCGACATCAAGCACACCCTGAGATTACCAAGACACCGGACTCGTACATACCTGTGGATGTTGACGCCAATGGCGGATGAGGCTCCGCTCCGCTCCAGCATATCGGCATATCGGCCGCTCAAACGACGGATACCGGAGTTAACATGTGTGCTTCCAAGGTCAAGAGGAGAAGGTGTTCGACGAAACTACCCAGGCCCATTGGACAATTCTTTTCGTATCCTGCGTCCATTCAACCCAGACACTCGGTACAGCGTAGACTCTTGCTCCCCTTACACATAAGGTCGGGGGGATTTCCCTCCGCGGAGTTTCCTTACGAGACCTGTATTTCTACAATTACTAGAGAATTTGTCATTCATGGGCATTTGGATGTGCACAAGATCATGGCAGGGTCTTTGTGCATGGAAGCTTAGTCACCACCATACATGACCACGACAAGTTGGAGGAAACAATGAGAAGTCTGGACTGATAGTGAAACGTGTCTTGCAGCAGAATCACTCAACAATCAAGGCGGCTGCCGAGTGTGCTTGAAACCAGAGAAAGAGGACTGCAAGTAGAGAGAGACAGGATGTATGGTTTGGTGATTGTACCTCTGGCAGATTCGAGGTATGTGGTACATTTGTACTACGGACGGGTAAAGGTCCAGCCAGGTATAGACTTTCTACGGTGGGCCATCCATCTCTCATGTACGAGTCGCAACCTCAATTCGGCAGACTTTCCCTATTCTAACATTATCTCTCCGCTTCAAATTTATTTTCCTGTCTCCGAGTTGGACTCTCTACTCGTATCCCAGGCGCAGCTTGCCTCTCGAAAGACGACGGACTTCCTTTCACCAGGGAAAAAACCTCTCGAAACCCGTCCCGGTTCTATTGAAACACACCTTCCAGCGTATCTGTTTGCCCATCATGGTCCGCAAACTCAAGCACCACGAGCAGCGGCTCCTGCGCAAAGTCGATCTGATAAACTACAAGTCCGACGGCCTTTCTCACCGTGAAGCCGCGGTGCGCCAACGCTACCACCTCACGCACCCGCTCGACTATTCGAAGTACAATGTCCTCTGCGGCCGTCTCCGGCAACTGGCGCATCTACTCTCCAACCTCGACCCGGGGGATCCATACCGCGTGGAAATGGAGACGGTCATGCTGGAGAAGCTGCATCAGATTGGGATCTTGAAGCAGAGTCGCGGCCAGGGCGCGGGTCTCTCGAGTGTCGAAAAGGACGTCACAGTCTCTGCCTTTTGCCGGCGCAGACTGGGCGTGTTGATGGCGCGGACAGGCATGGTCGAGCACATCAGCACCGCTCACAAGTTCATCGAACAGGGCCACGTCCGAGTCGGCACGGAAGTCGTGTCGGATCCTGCTTTCCTAGTGTCGCGTGGCATGGAGGACTTTGTGACGTGGGTCGACGGCAGCAAGGTCAAGAGACAGATCCTGCAGTACCGCGAGAAACTGGATGATTTTGATCTGCTGTGAACGTGTTATTGAGGGAACGGTGGTTTTAATCATGTATTGATGATAACCGCACCAACCAAGAGGATACCATGCTGTTCTACAGCCCTATACACAGCATGTCAGGGCGCACACCTGGAAGGGCTTCTAGAGCACTAAGTCTTGCACCAGAGCTCGATGATGCGCGGAGCTTTGGCAACGGGCGCATACCCAACGTCCGAAACAACATACGTTGATCAAGCGGGTCCTCAGATTGATCAGTACAACATGCGCACCTTTAAATTGTCATGGTGCGTGATTCGACGCTCTCGCCAAATTCGGATGTGGCAAGCAAATGAGTCGACACGAACCACAAAAGTCTCGATAATGACCACCACTCCAGACACCGGTAGAATGGCACTTGCATGCCTCATATCCTCTTTTTTCTGCCACGCGAGATTCTGTGGCCTTGCGGAGACCACAGAACAAGCTGTCGACGATTTCAAAAGCCCTCCGGGTAAACGGTCAGATGCAGGTCAGGCATAGCACGCAGTCCAAGACTACGCGTACAGTTATCCTCCGACTCCTCTCTTGGCCTGTTCTTGATCATGCATCTCATGTGGAAGGAATGATATGACATCGACACACCGGGTCTGCGCAGAGACCGAGCCGTTCGGCAGCTGCAACATGCCCGCAAGAGTCGCGGCAAGCAGTGTTGGAGAGCAGGAAAGCTAAAGCAACCACTCTTGACATAGATACCTTGAGATCCAGATGAAAGCAACGAGGCCTTAACCTCAAGATAAAACAACTTGAGGAAGTGAATTTGTCAATTCGATGGCGTTATGTACTTTCTAAAGTCTCCCTCTGGGCTTTATGTCTACCATTTCCCAATGGCTAATAATGCTAAGCTATACTGAAACGAATAATGCAGTGGATCTGAAGCAATAATGGCACTGTTCTGTAGCCCTCGTCAAACTCATCGAAAATGACCTTTTCTCCTCCTCGCCCATCTGGATCATGAGCATCATACGAGTGACGCATATGATCGCCCTCTCCACAGGCGACCTGAAACCCGGGTCTCCCACTAGCTCACGCGCAATGCCCCAGAGCACCCTCGTGATGCCGATATCCCATCCAACATCAGCGCAAAGCGCTATCAATACGGAGCGCGATTGGTGAGTAAGCTCTCTCTGGCGTCAGTGGATGAAGAAAATCTTGCTCGACCCTGGTGCAGGAGTAAGCTCCATGGTTCGTTATTCATATATAATGGCGTGAAGGTCGTGTCGAAGTCTTCAGAGCTCGCTCCAAATCCGTTGTCTAGAGGAATGTAAAACCAACAGCACACGAAGTGCATCGTGGATCATGCACCTAGTTTTGGACTGTCTAGAAAGTCCAGTTCTCATCGACAGACTTGATGGCCCATTCGAACTTCTCACGTAGAGTTTTAGAGAAGAACTTTTCGATCGGCACATTGAACTTTTTGCTGAAGACAACAGTCAACCGCGGGTCAATGTAGTTCTGTCCAGGCAGTTAGCAATTTGTACCAGAGATGTGACACAAAAGCACTTACGATCTTCGACGTTCCCAATGCCACCTCTTTATTATTCTCTCGATCCTCTGCCTGGATCTCCATGTTGGCAATCCTCTGATCAAGTTTATTGACGTTTTCCTCCAATTTCTCTACGGAAGGAGACTTGCCCTCGGGCTCAACCTTCTTCGTCTTGTTCTCTCGCTTGAACTTCTTCTCGAGGTCCTTGACCGCGTCGAGACGATCGTTAAGCTCGGACTGTTTCATCGGCTTTTGGCCTTCCTCCTTGAGCTTCTCATTCTCTTTTTCAAATTTCTTCGTGATCTTTGTTCTCTGCTCTTCGACGAGGTAGGCTTGGTGCTCAAGAATCCACGCCTCGTCTATATCGTCGGGAAGTTGGAAGTATTCGGCTCCCTTCTTCTTCTTGATCTTCGGGTCCACTTCAAGCATCATTTGCTTGATGCGCCATTGCTGATATTTGACGCCCTTCAGTCTGTCGCCGAGCTTTTCCATCTGCCCAGCGTGAGAGGCTGCCACGGTTCGCTTGTGGTTACATAGGATAGCCACTTTGCGGTTTGCGTCGTTGTAGTCTTTCAGTTTTTCGAGTATGGTGCCCTCGGACTTCATCTCACTCAATAACTTGGACATGGTGAAAGATGCATTGTAGGTACGGAAGACCTTGGCTGTCAGCCCAGGCATGTAGTTCTTGAGATGGTTATTGAGCTGAGTTGTTGTTAATCGATCAAAGATGTCGTCGCCTTCCTTCTTAGGCGGTTTTTTGAAGATCTTGAGGTTTTTGAAAACCTGTGGGTCAACTTCAAACTCTTCATGGAATCGAATGCTATCTTTACCGAGGAAATCGAAGATGACGGTGCTTGGTGCGCGCAAAGTGATGTGCTCGTATTTCAACGAGCAACAGCCAACTGTATCAGCCTCATCGTCGCCTTTCTCATTGCCCGCACGAAGAGCAAACTGATCAATCAAATACATGGCCGTAGCTTTTTGACGATCAGCCATGAGCTCTGACTTCAGATCTTTTCTGTAGTCCTTTCTGATCCGGTCGATGTGCTTTTTCAACTCTCGAGCCTTTTCGAACTTTTTGTAATCACTCTGGCCTTTCACATCGGAACTGGCAGCAAGCATGACGTACTTGTAGTTCCCGTTGATGTTCTCTTGCCACATGGCAAGCCAAGTGCCTTGCTTGTCGTGCTTGACTTCTTTCCACTTATGACCTTCCGGCGGTGGAGGTACCGTTGCCTCCTTGCCGATGTTGATCGTGATCTGTTCAGGCATAACTCTTGTCTTCACATGCCCGGTTTTTGGATGCTCGCCTCGACCACGGAAGAGTCCAGGAGGCTCTACTCGGAAGTTTCCAACTTTTTGTTTCTTACCATCCCAAATGCAATACATGTAAGGGGCCTCTGCAGCATCTTTTGCGGCTTTGATGGCCTTCTTCTCTGCAGCCGGAAGAGCTTTTTTAGCCTCTCTCTGCGCATCATAATGTTCGAAGATGGCCCGGAAGTCTAGCTTGGAAAATTCCTTGATTGCAATTTTGTTGCCATCTTTGTCCTTGGCACCACCAGTCTTCTTGACGGATTCGGTGAAATCTTTGAAGAAATTTTTCTGGAAGGTCGGGTTCTCCACGTTATGCGTAGAATTGAGCATCGAGCCGAAGAATGTAGCAATTTCTTCGGCTTCTGGATGGAGATTCACAGGAATTCCATCGTACTTCAATTTAACATGGCCGGGAAGTGGCTCGTATGGAGGGGGAAAGACAACGCCATTGTGCTCGAGAGTTTCCCATTTGTTCGTTCCATCGCCTTTTGTAGGATCTTCCCACCATTTGACCTCGTCGTTTTCGTCTTCGTCATCCTCAGGATCCGCAGTCTCTTCCTTCTTGACTGCTTTTGCCTTGGCAGCGGGTTTCCTTACAGGAGTGGATGACTCGGCTTTGGACTTCTTAGAGGTTGGCGCCGAGACTTTCCGTGCCAAAGGTTTGTCATCATCTGAAGAGTCCTCCTTCTTCACCTTCTTCGCTGGCGGGCTTTTCTTCACCGGCTTGCTGGCTTCTTTCTTTTGCTCTTTGTTTCGGATTTGTTTGGCTTCCTTGTCGGCTGCCTTTTCAATCTGTTGCTTCTCCTTGACCAGCTTTTTGCCCAAAGGAACATCGGAGTCGGAAGACTCCCCGATCTGGGCAGCATTGGCACGGGGTGGCTTCTGAACTACTTTGCCATTTGCTTTTGCCTTCGGGAGTAGAGGAGCATCGTCCGAATCCGATTCCACAGCTGTGGTCGTCCTTCGCTTCTTGCTCTACTTATGCGTTAGCTTGTTGCTGTGCTTGCTGTCAAATATCAGTGAAACCTTACAAGAGGCTGGTCATCATCGCTACTTTCGGCTTCTGCATATGATGGTCGCGTATTGCTTTCCCTTGCCTTGCGCTTGACAAGCCCACCATTTGTCAGGGAGCCATTGACGTCTGTCATTGTCGTGTCCTCTACCTTGACATCACCATTTGCAATGGAGATGCCGGGGATAGTTTCACCCTTAGATGGAATTTGTCGATCCATAGTGGCGTCAACCTTAGAGGAAATCTTTGAAGAAGATAGAGGAGATGTGACTAAGAGTGACAACTTAGCAAATCATTTCTCATGAAGCGGTGGACTGGTCAAACGAATGACAGGTAACAAGAATAACAGAGGAACTGACGTACCGCCGTTGGTCCCGTTGGGTTTCCGTGATCCCGAGAGGGGCATGTCGTCGTCTGAGGAAGACATTATGTTCGGAGCGAGAGGCGAACGATGTGATCTTCGAGAGGTTTGGTGAAAGAGTATCTTATTGAAGGATCGGGCTGGTAAAACTGAGCAGTAAAGCGACTTGAGATACCTCCCAAACGCGCCCCGGACCGCAATATTCGAGGAGGAGAATTATGGACTCGAGGTACGGAAACGAGATCGCAGGCTTGAGAGGCGGTGGTGAAGCGTAAGTGAACGACTGAAGGTAAATGAAGAGAAGATGTAAGAGACAAGGAAGATGGCCTGGCGGGAAAGAGGTAGAAGACGCCAGTCGTCGTGAGGAGCGGTGGTGCTGTGCCTTTTGAAGGGATTGACTGCGGCGAACGGCCCACCAGAGAAACGACACTTTTCTCTGTTTGGGGCTTCTTATTGCTGCATGAGGCTGCTCCCGCATTGGGTTTAGCCTATACACGTGACCACCCCCAAACTGCGGAAAGCTCGTTCGGAAACCTCACAATTCACAAGGGAGCTCAATTGCACTGCGACTCTCCTCTCTTGCAATCAACACTCGCTCGACACTGCTCCTTTACTGCCTCGTGGTTAGTTAAGCTGCTCACGATGCTGTCCAGAGCTGTGAGACCAGCCCTCAGCGCCGGCAATGCCGCCTTCGCCAGGTAAGCTCTTCTCAACCCGGAGATTCTCCTCAACAGCTACAACACTACGCTATGGCCAAGCAAGATGCTGATCTATCGGTAGAACGGCGGTGCCTCAGGTTGCTGGCTATGCCACCCTACGAGAAATCGAAGGTAGAACTTGCGAAACGGATGTCACTCCCTCTCACTGACCTTGCTTCAGGCCGCCTAAAGTCTATTCGCAACATCGAAAAAATCACGAAGACGATGAAGATTGTGGCCTCGACAAAACTTACTCGTGCCCAGAAGGCCATGCGCGACTCCCGGACTTACGGTCAAACCTCCAACAAGGTTTTCGAGGAAGCCGAGACGAAGCCACTGGAGGAAAAGAAAACACTGCTCGTGGTTGCAAGCTCCGACAAGGGTCTCTGTGGCGGTATTCATTCTGGTTTGACACGTACCACTCGCCGTATGCTCGAAGCCGACCCCAACTTGGACCTGGCCATTATCGGTGAAAAGTCAAAGAGTCAACTCGGTCGATCAAATGCCCGAAACATTGTCTTGAGTTTCGCTGGCATTGGAAGAGATGTCCCAACCTTCGCCGATGCCCAAGCCATCGCGGACCAGCTTGTCATGCTTCCGGAGGAGTATGCCAGCATTAAGATCCTCTACAACAAATTTATCAATGCCACGAGCTACGAACCAGTTACCATCGAAGCCTACTCCGAGGAAGCCATCACGCAGTCCCCCAACTATGCTGCATTCGAAATTGATGACGAAGTTCTTGCCAACCTCCGAGAATATACGCTTGCGAACTCTTTGTACTGGGCTCTCGCTGAAGGACATGCTTGCGAGCAATCTGCTAGACAAAATGCCATGGACGTGAGTAATATTTCCGGTTTTTGATATCTATGTGATACTGACCCAGTTCCAGAACGCCTCGAAGAACGCTGGAGATATGATCGGAAAGTTCACCATTCTGTACAACAGAACCAGACAAGCTGTCATCACTGGAGAATTGGTTGAAATCATCACAGGTGCCACTGCATCGGAGGATATGTAGGTGTCGTTCTAGAAGGATGTTGTACATAAACACCAAAAACAACTTTGTTCGTGCTCTGAGCACTTGAATCAGGAATTTCTTTGTGTGAACTTTGCTCATATCGAACGCATTCTACTACTCATCCAGTTTGAACCGTTGACAAGACAACAGTGTGATTTCTGCATAAATGCTCTGCGAGACGAATTCCGGGCCCTCTTTCTGAGTTCTCTCTCGTGAAGAGGTTTGCAGATGGAGCCAACTTTTTGACACATTTGCGCTCATTACTACTAATACCAGTCAAACCGTTCATCTCAAAATCTCAGAGCAGGTGAATTGGCCTTCAACATGTCTCAAAACACGTCAGGGGATCGCGTCCACTCATTACACGTGCATTCACAGCTGGAAGGCAATCGTTGCCACGAAGACCAGATTCACATATAGCTGCCTGCAAATTCACGTCGCTATGTACCTTCATCAACAAACGCGAACGCGACCTGCTGGAGACTTGATTCTGTGTTCATGGTTCTGATTACTGCCCAATTCCTCCATCCTTGCCATCACCATTCTCATACCCCTACAGTCTAATACGCTTTGCACAAAGTATCAAACACTACCGCCAAACAAGTCAGGGCGTGCGCTTCATTTCATTTCCAGATTTCAAGGGACAATCAAAGCATTAGTGACTTGTCTCATCGCAATGGACAAGCTACGATTTTCCCCCTATGTCGATGTCTTTTGGGTCCGAGCCGAGGAGCTCATCGCCAGTCTTCCAAGCACGGCCTCCAAACAGCCTAGTCTGCCAGAGAAGGAGACCAGTGGCCCGAAACCCTTTGACATGAACATGCAAATCCTTCTGAAATACCTCAAGGAAGTTGAAAAAGCCTACGAGCGTTCCAAGGTTCAAGAAGCACGTCAAAAAGTTCACAAGTTTCGTATGATCATCAAGTCACTTCAGCAATTGGCTCACAAACGCCCCGAACTCTTCATGGAGAAAGAACCCCTCGCCTTCAACCTCAGTCCCATGACCGACACCACTAGCAATGCTGAAGAGCACCAACAGTTTACAGCAAATACACCGACTAAAGTGAATGGAGCTTCCACTATCACCACCCCTGAAACTCCAGACAATAAAGCAGTTGGTTCTGGTGGGCCTCAAGACGATAATGAGAACCCCACCAACGGCCAGGATACACCTCCATTCCGCTCAATCATTCCCATGCGAAGCGCAAAGCGACAGCCTAGCTATCTGGATCAAGTACAGCCCATGGTCGTCAGAGACACTCCGTATACCGGCAAATTCGCGTTTGCTCCAGTGCATGACAGTCTTTCCACCTGCTTTGAGTTCGGTGCCCAAGGGGATTCGCCCAGCAAGAGCAAGGACCAAGAAGTTCTTCTGACTGCGTCCCAAGGTCAAGCTGGCCCGGTCTTCACCATCGAAGAGGAACTCGGACACAGTGACAGTGGAGAAGAGAAAGCTCATGAACATCCAATTAATAAACAATCAATGAGCGACCCTACCGGGCATGGAGCTGATTCCTCTAAAGGCAAAGGAGTGCCGGACAACAGCCAGGAAACATGCGACAACATCTCTCTGAAACAGGAATACACACTGGGTCATGTATTCATGTGGTGTCAAGACCCTGTGCCAAATGGCGATGAGAACGTGCTGGTTAATGATCAAACCGCATTGCCGGACAGTAGCCATATGTCCTGTGGCAATGCCGCTGTCGACCAGGAATACACTCTGGGTCATGTTTTCGCTTGGTCCGAACAACCTGTACCAAATGGTGACGAGGAAGACCTTGCACCAGTCTGTGACTCGACAGAGCAGCACCCTCGCGATCGTAATTCCTGTCTTCTTTATGAGTGCTCTACCTTGAAACACGACGAGGACAGCGTGCTCGGCAAAGAAGTTGCAACGATCCCTCCTGCAGTTACTTCAGTCGAGCTTACAACTCGTGATGAACAGACAAGTCAACCATCCGTCGAAGACCCACTTGGCACAGAAACAATTCTATCGACTCCGGCACCAGCGGCCACAAGCGCTACAAACAGCACTCCGAAGACATACGCTGCCCATGACAACAGTACTGGAGCACCAGAGAACAATCAAGTCGTGAAGGATGAGACCTATCTCTCGACAAATTCGCCTGGACACAATGGAACGGGGGTCCACGAAGTCGCAGGTTCATCCGATTTAGAAGCTCTTTTCAATCCCTCTGACGCTGAAGAATACCTTGCTAAGGCATTGAGTGATAACGGGATGCTTGAGGACCATGGTATGATTGTTGAAGATGCTCCTCTCCTTGACAATTGTACAGTGAAGGAACTTCATGACGTTGAGGAAGAAACACTTCTCATGGCTACACAGGCATTCTTACCTCGGAGCCCTGTAGTAGTCAATACTGTTGGTGTCGCTGCTGCTGATAACCACGATACTCTGTCCGATTCTGATGACAGTTTGATCATCATCACTGAAGAGGCACCGATTGAGGAAATCGAAGAGAGCCCAGCGGCAGGAATCGCGCCTACCGTTACACATCAGTCGTCCTTCACCTCTACCGCAGAGGAATACACTCTGCGCCATGTCTTTCCTCATACCGGGGACCAAGCACCGCCCGAGGGAGACACCGTCTCGTCTGCGGATGATGGTATTCACGAAACTCCAAATTCTCCGGCCGCTTCCGCTGGCTCAACCTTGCTGGATGATCAGTCTCCCAAGACCGTCAAATTTGAAGACTTTCAGGCTGTGTCAACGGCCTGTCCTGATCTTGAGGAGGTCATCGAAGATGGAGCGAGTGACATCTGCCTTCAGGTCGAAACAGGCCCTGTCCCGAACCATTCGTCATCAACTAGTGATAGAAACGAGGTCGTCACTGTTCAAGATGTTTCGAAAGAGCCCATCATTGACATCGGTGAGATCATCACGCGGGTTGTGTCTGAGGACACTGAAGCCTCCCTTGCCGAGTCTTCCATTGCGGACAGTGCGAACCTCGAACTTGATGTGACTGAGGAGGTCGCTAATGCTCTTCACGTTCCTTTGCAGAAGAGTGTTGATGAGACTGATGTCCTCATGAAAGACAAAGAACAGTCCTCTTGCTTTACCCACGAGCCAACCACTCAACACGTCTGCACTACGCTTGCGTGCACTACCGTGGCCTCCCTCTTGGTTGGTCTGAAGTCTCCAGCGGCGGCTGCGTTCATGTTGTACGCCGGTATTGCGTACGCAAAGTACAAGTTGTATCACTGAATGATACACAAAACAACACCCGACGATACCCTTACGATTGGTTTTGAGCAACACTAACACTGAGCTATTGCAGTCTATGCACTCCTTTCACGAATCACGAGCCTCTATGACGCGAGCATGAGACCAGAATTCCTTATCCACTGCTCCTTGATCTTCATTGTTTCATTTCTTTGTACGAAGTCACCAATCACCAATCACTAGTCACCACAAGTATAGATCTGCAATACCAACAACCATCAATTTGAGCTATGAACTCGGTTTGTCAGCAGCAAAGAGTCCCGGAAAGACCGTGTCCGCATTCCAGAACGGGGCACGCGGGTTAGAGATCCAGGGAAAAGCAAATCGAGCATTAGGGCAGGAAAGAATGGAAATCTTCATGGTATTATCGACGCAGGAATGGAAAAAGGACGGCGAGCCATATCGGCATTTGTGCAGGAATAGGTCACCCTTGCAAGGAGGCAAGGCACAAGTTCAGCTTTGGAAAAAGACGTGTCGGGTTTGGGAAGGGAGATGAAGAAAGGATCACACCTGTGTTGACGAGCGTCACCACCGTCCCTTGGTTGTGGATCAGCTCTTTGTGTGACCGAGCTCTGTCAATTTTTGTATGCAACGCGACGAATGTGCTCATGAGCTGATAGCGAGTTCAACGAAAAATGAAGTATGAATACTTCATGAATATCATCCCCTTGGGCCTTAAAAACACAAGTTTAGCCTCCAGAGTTGACAACTTCTGGCCATGGCACCGACACCGATGTTGAATGTCAATGCGCTCATATCAACATGTCAAGCAAGACGAACCCTTTCATCTACAGGAAGCTCAAGGCTCGTGAAGTCGAGGTGGCCCCCAAACATGATACAGTACTTGTAGCCGCGGCCCACAATCACGGAGGAGGCCGTGGGAATTGGACCTCCATTCGATACACACCGTCCCCCTAACACAGTTAGTTAGTGTTGCAACTTGACATTGTATTGCATCCGCCTCTTGACACTCGATCTGCCTGTGCGTCAGCAAGCAAACATGTCCGCATCCAAGGTCGATGTTCGCCCAGCCAAACTACTCTCATCCCGAGCGTATCGTGTGCCCGGACAACTTCTCATCACCGAGTATTTCTTCAAGGTACCACTCGACCATGCCGATCCCGACGGGGAACAAATCCGCCTGTTCTGTCGGGCAGGCGAAAAGGTTCAAAACGCCGTGGTCCCCAAAGAGCCCGAATATCTTCCCTGGTTTGTCTACATCACCGGCGGGCCGGGGTTTCCTGGTCGTCCGCCCCAGGACCAACCAGGACTCACGAACGAAGTTCTAGACCGGGGTTACAAAGTAAGTACCTCTCAGGGGCATATAATTCCTCCCATATCTACAGGCACCCAGAGGAGGTTCGCACGTCTTGTCGGGACCAGCTACTCTGGTATGTGGTGGCTCCCAGTTCTGACCCGACTGTGTCAAAACGGATAGTTCCTCTCCTTCGACCACCGCGGCATGGGTCTTTCGACACCGGTCACGGCGGACACTCTCATGCTCAAAGGCGACCCTGAAGCCCAAGCTCGATACCTCAAGCTGTTCCGCGCCGACAACGCCGTCAGAGACCTCGAGGCCATCCGCAAATGCCTCACGGCCGAGTACCCTGCGGACGACGACAGGAGGAAGTGGACGGTCATGGGCCAAAGCTACGGCGGCTACGTGTGCTTCACCTACCTGAGCTTCTACCCGGAAGGGCTGCGTGAAGCCTTCCCCTTGGGAGGCACGCCGCCTGTGACGGCACTTAGACCCGACGAACCTATACGACGGCTGTTCAGGAAGGTTCTCGAACGGAACGATCTTTTCTTCGCCAAGTTCCCCGAAGACAAAGCCAACGTCCAGAGAGTGGCTCGACACATTGCGGAACACAAACCGACGCTGCCGTCGGGCGTCGCCCTGACCCCGGCCCGCTTTCTCGAACTGGGCATACACCTGGGCTTCCACGGCGGGTTCGACATCGTGCACGCCGTGGTGCTGCGCGCGGTCAACGACCTCGAGCTCTTCGGGTTCCTCACGCGACCGACGCTGACCGAGTTCGAGAACTGGCCGTCGTTCGACAACCATCCCATCTACGCCCTGCTGCACGGGCCCCTGTACGCGCAGGGCCACGCGTCCAACTGGGCCTTCGACAGGGTCCGCGATGAACCGGAGTTCGCCATGTTCAAGCACAAGGACCACCAGCAGCAGCAGCAGCAAGGGCAAGACGACGTGGTCTACTTCACGGGCGAAATGGTCTTCCGCTCAGTCTTCTCGGACAATGCCGACCTGAGGCGCGTCGCCGAGACCGCCGCCTTGTTGGAATCCAACGACGACTGGCCGCCGCTGTACGACCTGGACCAGCTGCGGCGGAATACCGTCCCCGTCTACGCGGCCGTCTTCGTCGACGACATGTACGTGGACCTGATGTTTTCTCTGGAGACGGCGGGCCTGGTCAAGAACTACCACATGCATCTCACCAACGTCATGTTCCACGACGCCGTCCGGGCCAAGACTCGAGACGTTCTGAAAGCCGTCTTTTCTCTCAGGGACGATACTCTTGTCTGAGATAGTTGGCGAGCAATACGATCTGATGACTCCAAGACGACTGAAGTCCATTGTTCACCGTGAAACATACGCGGTTCTTCGTCCCTGTACGAATACTCGTGAATGGAATTACCCCAATCCAAAAAAACCCACAAAAAGAAAGGCTCCGGAGATGGCTGACCATATATCTAGACTTCGTTTCGCTCCGCTCCAGACGTAATACAGCTGAGCTTGGGAAGTGTGTCGAGAGGGATTGGTGGATGGATGTAGCCATCATTTTAAGGAGAGGAACGTCTACAGAATCTCGAATGACCTCGGCTACAGTCTGACTACTCCCATCCAGACATCGGGCACACAGTTGATCTGCTCTCACGTGCCTGGGCAACAGCGACACCATACATGATCAACAAGGGTTGATGTCGTCTGTCTGGACCACGGAAATTGTCGGTGGCGTTGTCGTTGCGAAAGAAGGCCAGGACGGGGTACAAAGTACCGGAGTCTGGAGTATTACGTATTCGAGACTGAGAGCAAGAACCTATATAGCACCCAACCTTGAAGCGATGCGGCGCGGAAGAAGAAGAAGAAGAAGTTCAGAAACCACTTTAAAAGAATGGTCGACACTTTGATCCATTCCATCGTGAAGATCAGTGATATTACCCTCAAGCACGCTAAAGTCCCCGATGTTTTGCAGAAGTCACTTGTCACGCATGGTGCCGGCCCCTTTCGAGTCACACCGTTTTGACTGATACACATTCAAGACCTTCAGAAGGAAAGAAAAAGGGGAAAAAAACCAAAGGAATACTCCGTCCTTGGGCTGCGGAATATACAATCTCGGCCCAATGCCACTCTCCATCCCAAGGCCCTTTTGGACGAAACAACAAAAAACCTTGATGCTTGCTCGGTGTACGAAATACTCGTACCATGTAACCAAACAATGACTCAAACTCATCAGAGAAAAACAAGACGATCTTCATCATATTCATGTCATATTCACGTCGCACATATGGAACGAAAGCTTCACCTCCCGGCTTCAAGCTGGGAAGGTGTAGGTTGGGTATCTGAGTGTGCCGGAGCTATTTGCGTCGGAGCAGCAGCTCGGCCACGGCCAAGTATACGAAAGCCTGGTATCCGAGACCGCCAACTAGTAGATTGAGGTGGGTTCGACCTCTGAAAGTCACGATCCATATCCCTCTGCTGATTCTGGTCTTGAGGACCCCTTCGCTCGGCTCTTACAACGACAGGGAACCCGTGTCGGTCACGATCATGGTAGACAATGCTCATGAATCGGCCGGGGATGACCATGGCAGGTCTCCTGGCGCCTCGACCATTGTGCGCGAGGGTGAATGTCCCGGGAGGTGGTTGAATTTCTGAGTTGGTTCCAGTTCTATTCAAGCCTTCCCCATTGGGGCCTTCAGGCCGCGGTTTTGGAACGTAGTAATCGGCCTTGCATAGAGGACAGCAAGCACGTCTTGATGTCAACCAAGGATCAACACATGAAGCGTGAAATGCGTGTCCACAATGGAGCCCTCTAATGTCATCATCGTCTTCGATGGTGTCAATACAGATGGCACAGGCGTCGCCGGGGTCGGGTAGTTGCTCGGCTGGGACTGCTGTTTGAATTTGCTCGTCATCTTCGTCCTCATAATTCGACGTGACTTTTTGTATGGGACTTTCAGCTGCCGTTGACTGGGCCGACTTGGGCCGCGTTGGCGTAGCTGGTCGGGTGTCGGCTCGACTCTTTTCACCCACAACCTCGGCCGTGCCGTGCTGGTCTTGTGGCTTTTCTTCCTCAATGGTGGAAATGGTGTGTGTCGGGGCCAGTTCGGTGGATTCCTTCGCATCCTTTGACTCTCGGGGTTGATTGTGTATGCTCGCGGGCCTTGATGCATTGTTGATGCCTCCGGCGGTAGGTAGCCCTTCGTCTGCCCGATTCGACCGCCACGTCTTGTATTTTATCAAGGGAAATTTTTCATTGACCTCATCCATCGACATGAGCTTCTTTTCGCGCCTGCGACGGTGTTGGCGAGGCATGGCGCCCAGGTCGACCCCATCGGGATCTTCACCGTTCATGCGCTGTCGGTTTCTTTGGTTATATCGGAAGCAGTATTTGACACCGACAATAATCCTGTGCAAAACAATCAATTCAAGCTGACATGGAGTAGATCGCCCATGTCACGCTTACCATAGATTCGTAAAGACCACGCCGAAGCCCAGCGCGACGAAGAAGAGAAGTGGCGAACTAGGCCCATTTCCTCCGCTCCCGGGACTGCCTGTTGGCGAAGCCGTAGGGGAAGATATAGGTGAAGTTGTTGTGGTGGCCATCTTACCCGACAGCTTACAACGAATGTAATCAGAAACAGGGCGCGGCTCGAAGTGGCGTCAGTTGGTCGTATGGATGGTCAATTAGACAGGTCTACACCATCAGCCTGACGAGAACCGGCGTCGGCCGCGATGAGATGATCGAAGGTGAGGATGTTGACCCTTCAGTAGGGGTGAAATTAGAGCCGACCAAGTCCTGGGTCTGGATCTTCACGTAGGATCCCAGTCGGCGCGCAGAGTGTTTCACGGGAGGGATGCTCGACCCAGGGAGCAGGGACCGGGATGGGATTGGCCGATCGGGAGGGCGGAAGTGCGTAATAAAACGACTGGGTGCGTAGGGTGAGACGGGAGGCCTCGAGGGGTTTTGCCTGCCTTTGAGAGAGGACGATGGCAAAGATTAGGAAATGCGGGAGGATGAAGGGATTGATGAAGCTGGACGAGGACGGATGAAGAAGCAGCAGTGAGATCGGACCACGCGGCCAGAGACTTCAGTCAGTCAGTGTCTGTCTGTCTGCCCGCGCCGAGATGGAAGAAGCAGTGGCTGGAGCGCAGCCGTGTTGGCGTCGACGACTTGTGGTACGGCAGGCGAGTGAAGGCTGCCCAGGCCCGGGATGGTTAAGCATGCCAGGCGCTTGGGGAGCTTAATCCCTGCCGACCTCGGTGAATTTGGGGGAGGCAAAAGCAGGAACAGCCTGTAGATTTAGGCGACGGGGGCCCATAAGTGCCACTAGGGCTCACTAGGCGCACCAGGCAGGGCTAGCGAGGCTTGTGACCATCCCACACCCGGATCCATGCCCATTATGGCCGAGCTCGACCGGAACAAGGCAGCTGAGCCTGCTATCACTCTACCCATCCTCTACATGAATACTCCGTACTAGTACATGGCATTGCGACCTTGAGCAACTCTATCGTCTAGCAAGTGTGTCGCCTTCAGCTCAAGCATGATCGGTAAAGATCAGGGCCCCCGAGTTCTTCTGCCAAACAACTCGCCATGCTGCAGACACAACGTCTTGCAAATATTCCTTTTCCACTGAACTTTCACCGCTTCCAAAGGGCATTCCCTTGGTCGCCGGGCTTTGAACACGAGGGTCGGACCATAAAAAGAGTTTCCGAACACTGCTGGTGTGTTCCCTGGGCAAATGTTAAGGCATCCAAGTCAATTTTGCGACCGAGTCGACTGAAACAGGAAACCAAAACATCCGTGTCGAGACTTCGAATCTCAAGGATTATCTGCCACCCTTCATCTTCTGCCTCCGCGCAACCCGCTCTGCAAGTCGCTGTAATGCCGTCCTAACTTCACCTTTAGGGAAACTGTCCACATCATAATATCCAGGCGCAATGTCGAGCAACCACTCGCCCCGGACGCTGGTGACAGTCCGAATATAGTTCTTGCTCGTAAGCACAAACTCATTGTACACGACCCACTCACTCTCCTGGCCGAGGACAGTGCTGGGGTGAAGCAAAACAGTCTGGTTATCCTTCACTGTGGTATATGTTTTGCCATTGGCCTCCTTCTTGGCAACTTGCATGAAGAACCCAGATACAAGTGCCTTTCGGATGTTTTCGTAGTATTTCTTGTCTTCAAATGGGGTAGACACGAGTTCCAGCTCCTCCCGTTCCATGATACGCTTGAGTTGCATGCGCACATTGTCTGCGGATTGAAGAGCTCGAAGGCTGAGGAAATGGTCGTGGCACCATTGTCGCGTGTTAGCCTGTGCTTCGGGACCCTTAAAGGCATGGTACACATTCAACAGTGTCAAATGGTCGCCATCCGGGTGAGCAAATAAGTTCTTCATTTCGTCTGCGCGTTTGCGTGCAGAAGCTGGTCTCACGAAGATTTGAGGCACGGAAAGCAAAGCCACCAGGCTCAAAATCTCGTTCGAGCAATAGAACTCGGGTGAGGAGATCAGCATCACCGCCAAAGCCGGGTCCAGAGGAAACTCAGAGGCCAACTTGCCCATTGTTGTCAGATTGCCATCGTCATCCAAACAGGCAAGATAGTTCAATTCTTCTAAAGCCCGCATGAGAGTTTCTGGAGCGGGAGGGTCCATAAGATCGAAATGAACAAGATCATCGATGCCGAGCTTCTTCAATTCCAGAACTGTTGATGACAAGTTCGATCTTAGAACTTCTGGGTACGTCTGCTCGATGAGCTCCTTCTTGAACGCTCCTTCAGTGTAAAGCCTGAAGCATTTCCCAGGCCGGGTACGACCCGCACGACCGGCTCTCTGTTGTGCCGATGCTTTCGAGATGGGAGAAACCAAGAGTGACTCGACACGGATACGTGGATTATAGACCTTCTGCTTCGAGAAACCGGGGTCGACCACGTACACGATACCGTCAATGGTGAGAGATGTCTCTGCAATGTTGGTAGCAACAATGCACTTGCGACCTGCCCTTCCGCCCGGCTTGCGAGGAGGTGGCGCTGGCTCGAAAATTCTCTGTTGTTGAGCAGGGGGTAGGGTGCCGTACAGTGGATACACTTTCATTGGGCCGGCGTCGGCCTCACGGATCATCTCGTCTGCCTCGAGAGATATTTTGCGACAGGCATCTTCAATTTCTTCCTCACCAGTCAAAAACAGCAAGATATCTCCCTCAGGCTCCGTTGCGTGTATTTGCAGGACAGTTCTAATAGCCGCTTCCACATAATCTCTTTCGGGCTCTGGGGTGTAGAAGATTTCGACGGGGTGTGTTCGGCCGGGAACAGCGAGCAATGGCGCATCGTTGAAGTAGCGCTGAAACTTTTGTGCGTCGAGGGTTGCAGACATGATGATCAGTTTGAGATCTGGTCTGCGCAGAACGACCTCTTTCAACAGACCCATTAGAACGTCAGTGGCCAAAGTCCGCTCGTGGGCTTCATCGAGAATGATGGTACTGTATCTCTGCAAGTCGTGGTCGTTCATGGCCTCTCTCAAGAGCATACCATCGGTCATATACTTGAGCATCGTCTTTTGACTGGTCATGTCTTCGAATCTTATGCTGTAACCGACTTCTTCACCAAGTTTGACGTCCATTTCGTTCGCAACGCGTTCGGCCACAGACATGGCAGCGACTCGTCTTGGCTGCGTGCATGCGACGAGCTTGCGTTGTTGCTGAGGAAGGTCGTCGTAGATGACGAATTGTGGTATTTGTGTCGTCTTTCCGGAACCAGTCTCACCCACGAAGACAAGGATTTGAGACTTCTGATAGAGTTGGAGGAATTCATCTCGCTGCGCATGCACAGGAAGGTCGCGTCTGGTTCGTAGGATGGAGAAGTATCTCTCAGAGAATGGCTTGCCAGTGAAAGGATTCGTCTTGCTATCTTCGGCCTCCCGAGCAAGCGCAGCGGTAGTTTTGTGTCTTTGCAGTTTCGCTAGAGGACCGTCATTCGGCGGGGTCGAGTAGCCATTACTGTAGCCATTCGACTCGTTCTCGCGCCAATGCGCGAGATAGGGATTGTTTTCTGGATTCATATCGCCTGAGGTCTTCTGTCGCTTTGCAGGCGCACCGTCAGAATTTCCTGAGTGTTTGCTAGCCATTGCCGCCAAAGGGCTTCTGGGGCTCAACCGGGAAAACGCGAAGTCGCAAAGGAAGGACAGGCAATACCCAACGACGGCTGGTACGATGAGTGCAACAGGGAGTAGCTGGTGCTAGCGGAGGCACAACTTCTGCCGAAATATTGTAGACGAGGCCTTCTTCACGAAGTCGAGGCAGAAAAATATCAAGATTCAGTTGAGTCAGACGTGGCCGTTGAATTAGGCATCAATGACTCGCAGCGAGATGCGAAAGGGACATGCTACGGCGGAGCATTTAGTCTACGGGCGTATCACTTTATTTCACTTTCTGGCTCATAATTTCATCTCGAAGGGAAGATGTTTTGCCCACGACTTTTCCTACAAGTGAAAATCACAACCTTTGATAAATCCTACACGCCGTTGATATCTCAGACAGAATTCGCTAAGCACAACAGTACATCATCTTCTGTGCTAAGGAAAGGGACTTGGCCCAAGTCGTTCCTTGCCAATTGTCTTCCCATCCATCACGCGGAGACGCGGAATACCTGTTGGCGAAGAAGGCAGCCCGAAAATACTGTCTCTTGGGGGCTTTGTCGCTCTCTGCTGGTCCAGGTCCTGGCTGCCATTGACCATCCCACTGAAAGGACATCTGCTTTGCTCATTACTCAGCTGGACCTGTTCCATTGTGCGGCCCAAACTGGTCGTACTCTTTTCTGAGGAGATGGACGTGCCATCAATCGAGCTATCATCCTCGTCCACCTTCCCCAACATTCTCTTACCGTTCACGTATCCTTCTGGTTCACGTGCCTCGGCTCGAGTCTCTTCGTCCCCCTCGGCATCGAGAAACTCTTTACCGTCCTCAACATGCCATTTGGCCATGAGATCGTTCTGAATCCAAATGACTTTACCGATCGCCTTGACGATCCCAATTTTTTGCGTCAGCTCCAGTCGAGGATGCGAGAGAATGGCCTCGACCATTGCATCCTGGATATAGCCAAGACAAGCCCCGAGAAAGATGTAGTCGACGTGCAAGGGGTTCTTCCTCCCTTTGCCAACATGCATCAAGCTATGAAGGGTGAGCCATTGCTCTTATCTGCTCAAAGGATTAAACACTCACCCCACTTTGTCCAAGTACTGCCAGTATTCCATTTTGCTCGGATCTGAATTGAGTTTGGTGAGATACCATCTGAGGAACATCTTCCGGTGTCTGATCTGAGCGTCTTCCTCCTTGATCCACCGATCTGGATCTTCTTCATTACGACTGTCACGCGTGCTGAACACTCGGGCTGTTATGTCGTGCTGCAAGAGCTTCTTGTATACCATGTTGACAATGGCCGGGATTATGGCTTTGATATACTTCTGTCCTTCACTCAGTGCAACCACATCGTCTGCGAAATGCTTGGTAAGAACGTTTCCTCTTTTGGCTAGCTGTCTCACAATGAAGGGAGACTTACCAGGGCCAAACTCAAGGAATTGCTGTAGGTAATAGACCCTGGCAGGGAGTGAGGTGAAGAGTTCTCTTCGGTCTACATGTTCCATATTCTTCGGTAGTGCTGCCATCTTGTAGGAACAGAACAAATCTTTCTGTGAATAGGAGAGCAATTGAGTAAGAAAAGTAACACAGTCTTCCTCAGTATGGCCGCTCGGCAAACACCGACTTCAAGCCTTAGCGAGGAGTGACCGACAGACGCTTTGACAGAAGAGCATACATATTTGTCTCGATGTTTCATTATATACACAGAGATGATTGTCCGGCGTGTTGGATCCGCACGCGGGCAGATCCCTCGTCAACTCGCGAGCGGACGTGACCCACAAGCCACGTGTGGATGCGTGGCGTGACAGACTGATAGTGCTGTCGACGCCGCCTGGAGACATCGGCAGCAGGTAACGCCACTTCAAAGATGAAGAGGAAATCAATTCGTGCGAAACGTTGGGGTCCAAAGTAGGGGGATGAGTGGCCGGCATACTCGAAGTATCTACCGTTGTTGTTGCAGAGACGCATTGAGCCTTAGGCAACCTACATATATCTATACGCCAGTCTCGCTGTCCCCGAGAGGCTGACGTAGAAGTAGAGACCGAGTCCCATCAAGTCTGGTCATTTCAGAGTTGGAGGAGATGGGCGATGTTTCTTTTGAATGAAATCGAGTTTGTTGTTTAAAACCTCTTGCTTGGCTCGCTTATTAGGCACATCACTACTCCGTATTGCCGGTGGAGATGCTTCACCTTCGGATGTCTGATGCGGCAAGCATTGTGATGAGTAACTCCTCACTTCCAGAACAATTTGGTGGATTTATAAAAACGGTAATTTTCAATGACCTGGATGTACTCGTAGCGTATACAAGTCAGGTCACCCACGAGGTGAACCGTACCGATCCGCCCCGTCTGGCTCCATCCACAGGACGCCACGGAACGCATCCCAAGCGCCAGCACCCTGATTTTCTCGCCTACGTTGGGTTCGACATTCCCCTTGCGACAAGGCTGATGTTTCCACGGAGTCCGCCGCCAAGTACCATCAAATTACAAATGGTACTAACGGGGCTTCTGAGCGGTGAGAAGAACCTTCTTCAGCGACAGTCGGAAGGATTCGGGAGCATCTAAGTTGTGTGCCCCATCAACAACGTGTACGATATGCCTTTGGGAGTTCCGGCAAGACGGGGAAATACTAGCGGCTCCAGGTTCACGAGTGTGAAGCGAGAATCGATTGTGAGACACATGAGATCAAGTTGATCTTCGAGAAACGAATTGTCAGATGGTTTGTCGATCGCCGCTTTAACCGGAAAACGCTCGGAAGGCCAGTCCTGGACTGCGAGCGGGAGAAGCTCGGCAGAGTTGCCCTCTTCGTCTTGCCCTCTCCCAAACACCCCTCGATCTGTCATTGGCGAGCCCCGCGGTCAACAGGAGCATGGAGAAGTATTGCTTCTGAATTACTTTCAGCTTCCACCTTTCTTGCATACTGTACTGTTCTGCTACCTCGATCGTATTCATTATCTTGCCCTCCAGACCTTGTCCTGGCCCAACCCAGCCCGTCAATCTTCCCAAACTTCTACCAAGTTCCCTCCTCAACACCGCAAAAATGGCTCGAAAGTTCTTCGTCGGAGGAAATTTCAAAATGTATGATTGTTGCACCTCACAGCACGATATCACCACAGTGAGCAAGCTTCTAACAGTATCACGTCTATAGGAATGGCACGATCAAGTCCATCAAAGAAATTGCTCACAATCTCTCGACAGCGAAGCTCGGTATGTTCACTTTAACTACACCTCCGGTCTATTTTCGTCTCGTGGGACGGTACCTATAGAAGCTGGAAGAATAGACCTCTTGAGTCCGGCATCCCAAGACTGACTTTTGGGTTACGAAACATACAGATCCCAACACTGAAGTCGTGGTCGCGCCACCTTCGCTGTACCTCCTCCTTGCCCGTGAGCATCTGTCGGAGAACATCGAAGTCGCAGCTCAAAATGTCTTTGACAAGCCCAGCGGCGCCTTCACGGGAGAAATCTCCGTGCCACAACTGAAAGACAGCAACATCACATGGACTCTGCTAGGCCATTCGGAGCGCAGGACCATTCTCCGTGAAGAGGACGAGTTCGTGGCGTGCAAGACGAAGGCGGCCCTCGACGGCGGCATTGGCGTCATCTTGTGCTGCGGTGAGAGTTTGGAAGAAAGAGAGAAGGGCGTCACCGTCGATGTCGTCACGAGACAATTAGACGCCGTCAACAAGTCCATTGGCAAGGACGGCTGGAAGGACGTTGTCATTGCGTACGAGCCCATCTGGGCCATTGGAACCGGCAAGGTTGCCACCACCGAGCAAGCTCAGGAGGTGCACGCCGCCATCCGAAAGTGGTTGGCTGATGCTGTCTCTGCTGAGGTTGCCGAGAGCACCAGAATCATCTACGGCGGCAGCGTCAATGCAGGCAACTGCAGAGAACTCGCCAAGCAGCCTGACGTCGACGGCTTCCTTGTTGGCGGTGCCAGTCTTAAGCCCGAGTGTAGGTGTCTGCTGAATCACAAATGCAGATGAGTTGCTAACGGTGTCGCGCAGTCGTCCAGATCATCAACGCCAAGGCTTAAACTAGGTACCTAGAGGTACCTAGAGGGTACTTTCGTGATCCACAGGTATTCACAACGCGGGAAAGAAGGGATTGGAAACCAAGCGTGCTGTTGGCGACTTGAGGTTATCAACCAGCGAACTGAAGGTGGGAATCGGGCAGTTTGTTTCTTTTCTCTTATCCTTCATAACGTCTTCTGTAGCTCAGCATCATTGATTGGGAGAAATGACCAGTTCACATCTTGGCTCTGCTCTAATTTCCAGTAAAGCTAAACAGACGAAAATATTAAAACGCACTTCGTGCCATCCCACATCATTATAAAGCTTCGTGACATTCATCTGTGACACTGAAGATGGATTCAGGTTCCATGCTAAGCCTTCAACAACTCCGGTTCCTATTCCTAACAAGCATCCCGCCACCTAATTAATAATACATTCCACGATGACAAGCTCCGATTTTTGTTTTTCAGTCTTGAGATTGGATCTTATTGTCACCCCTTACGACTTCTGAATAGCTGGGGGGTGCCTCTGGGCCATCGCCACCTGCGCCCACACTCGGCCCTTCAACCTGCGGCGCTGGCCTACTGCTCCCCTCTCCATTCGCACTGGCGGACTGTGCCGGTGCCGGTGGTGCGGGTGCAGGTCGATTCTGGGGCTTCGGCGGCGGCGGCGGCGGCGGGGGAGGGGCTTGTCGGCCATGACCGCGTTGTTCTTGGGTTCCGTAGTCGCGCCTCCACGGTTCGTGTCGGATGTAGTAGTAGGTGACTCTTCCACCCTCGGCGTCGAGCGGTTCGTAGTCGTAGTCCCGCTCGGGGTTGCGGGCGATGATGTACCACGCGTGGATCAAGCCAGGGATATACCCCAGCATGCAGAGGAGGATGTTGATCAGTGAATCGCACGAGCAGATTCCAGACTTGATCCAGACTAATGTGGATGGGGGGCGAGCCTCATGTTAGCATCGTGCTTGCAGGCAGGATAGACCTTCACCAAAATGTTTGAGAAGGTGGGATGAATGACATACCTGCGATAGGAGGGAAGAGGACGGCAAGCAGCCCCAGGAAGATGTCGCCGCAAGACATGATGAAAACGGTGCGTCGCTCTACGTACTCGGGCATTCAGGTACGAGGAGATAACGAGCAGCTAGTTGGAAGCGGAGGTGTCTGGGCGCGCGCGCGTTTGTGGGTGTGTATGTGTATGTGTATTTTGCTTGCACGGAACACAGGCACTGAGGGAGGGAGCGATTGATTCGATAGAATATATAGCCTGCACTAATTGAATACGCAAAGAAAAGAAATGGCAGGAGCCTGCACGTACGAGTACGATGATAAGGTAAGGTACGGGATAGAGGAAAGGAAGAGCGAGGGGATGGAGTGGAGGAGGAGGAGGAGGAGGAGGAGGAGGATGAGGCGCAGTAAGTTTGCAAGGCTGCGTGATTATCACAAATGACGCTTCTCTTTCAGCACCCGCCACGGCGCTGACCGATACGAGGTTCTACCCAAAGGCTAGAGAGGTATCGTACAAACGGGAGTCCTGCGTACTACGAGTACAAGGTGCACCGTACAACGAAAAAAATCCTGCCCACCGTAGGCAGGTAATAATAACCTTACGGGTACGGAGTACTCACTCCGTACCTAATAGAACTCCAAAGCAAAACGCAGCGAACAAGTGCCTGATGGGCGTATTCGTTCTCGTTCTCGCTCTCGTATTCGTATTAGTCTCCGTTGTTTGCTCGGGATGTCAGGACGGTCACGTGGGACCCGAGGCCGTCTTTGCCTCGGTCCAGCGGCTTTGGATTAGATTTCGGGACATTGGAGAAGCGTCGACATCCCCAGATTCGGTCGTCGATGTGTTTCGCTTGGAATTTATTTGTTATGTCAACTTCAGGGGACTTTTTACAATATCTGCCTACTCATACTGTACAAGCTTCGACTCGGCCTGAACATAGCAGAACAAACCTCGCGTTGATTTTGCCGTCGTGAACATCTGAGATCCCTCTGACTCTTCGCCCTCGGCCCTTGCCTCTCGCATCAGGTCCGTACCTACATTTATTGCAAAGTACACAGGGACTCCTGTGCACACGTCGCGCACAATGTCATCCGGCGAAACAGACACCAGCCAAACTCCTCAAACATCATCAGAATCCGAAAAGAGCCAGCAGCAGCAGCAGCAGCCACAGGCCACCTCGACCGAGTCTTCAGAAACGTCAACCATGGCCAAACTCCCAGCAGATGTCGTCAAAACCAGCATATCCAAAGTCGATGAGATCATTCTGCGCATTAGCAAGTGAGGAAGCCTCCTTTTTCCCTTTTCCTTTTCTTCTTCTATTAACCTACCTCCCTGAATTGATATGGAATGAAATGGATCGGATTCCATGCGGCTGTTTCATCCTTTTTCAGGGGGAAAAAATGAGCACATCTTGTCCCTGGTCTTGGAGACGTACATCTTGTGTACAGCTATGTCCAGGTACATATTCTAACGGACCCAAACTCCCTCAGGCTGATCAAAACGACCTCTGGACTCGGCGCGGCTCTCAGCACACTCAACTACTCCCTCTACGTCGCGGCGTACCTGCACTCGAAATCGCCCAGCCGCGCCGCTCTCGTATCCTACATCTCGCGCATCGTCGGGCGGCAGCGCACGTCGAAAAGCCCACCGATCGCAGTGGGGGCGGGCACGTCGTTCCTCGCTCCGCTGGGCAGCCTCGTGTCCGACACGCGGACCACGCTGCGGCTCACGGGCTTGATCCCGCTGTACCTGTGGCTCAAGTCGCTGGCGTCGGCCGACAAGGCGGCCGCCGGGCAGCGAATGGACCCGACGCTGCGCGCCGTCGCCCTGGTCCAGTGCGCGGGGTACATCGCGTACCAGCTGCTCGAGAACGTGTCGCACCTCGCGGCCAAGGGCGTGGTGCCGATGAGCGTGGTCGAGAAGCGCGGCGGCATGGACAGGTGGGTCGCCTGGTCGTGCCGCGCCTGGCTCCTCGGCGTGGCCTGCGACTACCTGCGCCTGCTGCGCGAGAGCCAGCTCGAGGGGTCCGACAAGACGGCCGCCACCTCGCAAGAGAAGGAGGCCTTTTCGCGCAAGTGGTGGGCCGAGTTCATGGTCGCCACCTACTGGATGCCCGTCGCCGTGCATTACAGCCTGTACCCTACCGGCATCAAGGGCTTCAACACTGGCATCGTCGGTCTGTGTGGGTTGATGGCCGGTTTGAAGAACTTTAAAACACAGTGGGCCGCGACTGCTTGACGGTTACGATGCGGGAGTGAATATGACCATACCTAGTTCCTACAATTTGAACTTTTGATCACGTTGTGATCAACATTATATCTATATATTCTCCTTCTCTCTCTCTCTCTCTCTCTCTCTCTCTCTCTCTCTCTCTCTACAAGAGTTCTTGTTGCAAGGGAGTTGAAACTAAATCGGCAGTTTTTGGAAGACGAGAATGGACTCCATGAATGTACATGGATCAAAGTCCTCTCGATGGGATCTATGCTATCAGACACGTACATACACATACATGTATATAGATATATATATTACTGGTACAGGAGATGGTCCTCTTCCTATCAATCTAATATGTTCACCCCCAAAGAAACATCCCTAACCTCAGAACTAGGAAGTTCCTAGATAAGAGATCCTCATTTATTTCGTTCCAAATCCATGTACCTTATGGAAAGTTCATAAATTCATCCGTTGAACATGACAAGTAGGAAGGTTCCGTCATCTGCATGAGAATGGACCAATTCGTGAATCGTGATTCCATGTATATGTGATAAATCCTGCGAAACCCTCGGCAGGTGGAAGATAGGGTGGCTATCTGGGTCTTTGGGGGCGTTAATATTGATCACTTAGGTACTTGACCACCCTTTGTGGAAAAGCTACTTTAGCGTGAACCGTAAGGAAGACTGACCACTGGCCATCTGAGCCTAGGCTCAATCACGTCCCTCACTGAGGCATGGCAAGTTCCTGTGCTGGTGGTGATCGTGGTATTCGTCAGGGGTCAAGGGTGAAGGGTCAAGGACAACCTCCAGACCATTGCTTCGTTGAAGCCTGAAATCTGGAGGAAGATTGTCATCTTGAATAGAGAGAGCAGGCCCCAACTGTACTGATGAAGGTGTGTCTTGGACAAAATCTCCTTTCGTCGTGGCTGTTAGCGTCTCTTCGACACTGTCTCTTCTTATTGTGGGCTCTCGCGTAGTGGTGTTTAGGGCTTCTCGCACAATCGAACGGTTCTGATCATCCCGTGTCAAGAGCGAGATAATGCACTTCCAGACTCTTCGACATCTTCTCCGACCAGAAGAAGTTGCCAAGGATACTCTCAAGCTCCGTCCATTCAATATCACGTAGAATCGTCGTCTTGAGCTTCGCTAGACACGATATGCCATGTTGCGTCAACTGACCACTGACCGTAGTCCACGACCATACGAGCATGGCGGCCACCCAGGTCAGACACACCGCTTCAGCCGCGCTATCTGGTTTGATCGTCGCAATATCGCTTTGAAGTCTCTTGCGACACGTATCATACAGAACCGTGGTACTCCGAGTGGGCGTGAAGATGGTGCTGCAGTATATGATGACGGCGAGGACCGAAAGTTTCTCAATGCTAGCTCCTCCGTCCACGTCAGGCTCACTAAGACAAGGGCAAGCCTCGTGGAAATCCGAGTAGCGTCGTTTATGTGTCTTGAAAAGCTCCGGTAATCGTTGCGCCGAACCCAGAGTTTTTTCCATCTGTGCCTTCTGCTGCGTACGTACCAACACCTCCAGCACTTGCACTGACAATTTTCCCAGATGCGCGAGGTCCCTGAACCCAAGGGGAATCGACATGGTCATTTCGAGATTGACCCCCGACAGAGGCATCTTAGGGTATATCGACACGATGTTCTCGCGTTCATCGCCAAAGATGGTGCTGCCGTCCGCAATGGACCAGAAGCCTTCACGTCTGCGGCCATCAAACGTTAGTGATACCCTGAACCTGATGTAGAAACGTTGATATTATCGATAGCCTTACTGCAACAGAAGACATTTGTCCATGCCATCGTGGCCCAGTTTGTCAAGCCCGCCCCGTGCCTTGACCATATACTTCAGCGCCTGTTTATGTTTTTGATGCGTCGAAGAGTCCCCGATGGCCTTCTACGTGAGAAGTTAGCCTCATCATGTCCGTTCCAACAAAGTTCACGGGGGATGTCTCTCACGGCGATTGCAGCCATGAAGGACACGGCTGTGACAGAGATGTCATCGACTACGTTGCCTGTGTTGGCGATCCTCTTTCTCAACCGTGACAGGGCGATGCCCAGCGCAAGGAGGACTTCCTCCGAAGGCTTCGCATTCGAGTCACATGATAACTCTCGCACTCTCAGAGTAAGGCATACGCCCGAGTAGGCGAAGTCTGGATCCGACATCAACTCGAACCAATACCCATTGTAGATATTGGTGATGTCGAAGAGCTCGTAGAGAGCCGAATGAGCCGGAACCGTGACTCCCGAGACTGCCGCTGCGTCAGTTCGGCTTTCAACCGGCCACACGCATACCTTTGCGAACACATACAATAGTCAACGGAAGCCGCAAGGAGGTGGGGGTGATCGGTCGATATACAGTTGAAGGGGTCAGTCCTCGTCCCATGAAAGCATGGCCCTGCGCCCAGCAGTAAAGACGACGAAGTCGGTGTTGGGGATGTGGTATAGAACTTTGAGCCAGGAGAGCTATCCGATGATTCCTCCTCGCTATCCCCGTACGATCTGGATTTGATTGAGAATTTGGAGACGCCGAAATCGATTCCGATGCTAGAGGCCGGCGAGGGCGCCGTTATGATGGAGGCACCATCAAAGGATGAAGCTGGTGAGGACGGCGAGTTGATTGATGATGATGGCTCGGAAATCTGCGTCCGGAGCCGGGCTTTGCTGTGGTGGCCAGCGATGGCCGCGTGGGATCTTATCTTAGCTTGTTGCGCCGCAGTGTCCTTGCGGGATCGAGCTGTTGGGGAGCTTTCGACAAAGAACAGCTTCACCATGTCGATTGATTGACACCTCAGTAGGAGCGATGCGAGAAAACAAGCCACGGGCCTCGACTGCCTTGACCGCTATTGTATTGCGAGGTATTCGCCGGTGGTGTTGGATCGGAAGTTTGGCAACCATTAGAATATCAGTCAGCAAGCGCCGGTCGGCAGCAGCATTCCGTGATAACAAGGAAAACTCAAACTTGCTCATGCAGATCCGTCCCTAGCACCTCTCGCTTAAGGATAGAGGTTGTAGGCCAGTGTGTCGGAGCAAGATATGAGTTGAGGATATGGACCGGCGTGCCACAAATGGTCTGGCCAGCAGCAGCCACAAGATCGATAGAACGGCCTTGGGACGATAACGGTCGATCGGCGAGCCCAAGAAAATCCTCACTGTCAGACTGGGGAACGCGGCACAGGGACCCCTCCTCCGCGAGTGTGCCCGAGTCTGTTGCGAGAGCTGCATCACGGACCAGTAGGCGCGGCGGGGAAAGCAAATGAAAGCGCCTCGATGACTCGTCACCCGGTGCAAAGCGAAAGCCACAGGCGGGCGGCCTGAAATGGAATACGATATATCATCTTCCGAGATGCGATGAGTCAGACGCCTGGCGTTCGTGCTAACCCATTCAGAAAATGGTGCAACTGGATATCTTTGGCTTGCTTGTGTCTGGGCTCATTGACCCCTTTCAAAGCATGTGTGATTGGTGAGTGGCTGTTTCCGTTCTCGTCGACACGCAAAGCTTTGGGTGTCGAGACGTCGACCGGACTGAACAAAGAATGAAAGAGACTCATGGACAAAGATATCATGGTCGAAGGACGGAGATCGACGGTCACTCCATGACATCCTTTTCCAACCACATGTGTTCGACTCTGACTTGTTCCTTTGCCGATTGATCCCATGCCATCTCTTTCCCAAAATGCAGCTTGAGCTTCCGGCTATGCCAACCTTCCTTTAGCAGTCTAACCTTTCCCTTGACCCATTGACCATTGATCATGACTGAGTCTACATCGCTTGCCGTCGCATGCGTCACGAAGGCAGCCGAATAGCCCGCCGAAGAGACTGTACCGGTATGGCGCATAGCATAGCACAGTATACGCTCCGGATCCCGACTCGAGAGTAGCCTTGATGTATTTTTGTTGCGATCCGGTGTGCTCACGGCATGAGAATGGCCCCTGATGGCCATTACGCCAGCGTTGATGGCCTCTGTGCGCCTGGACAGTTGCGAGAGGTACATGTCGTCTGCGTCGAGGGAGGCCATGCGCCCTTGTAGGAGGTGTGCACTGCACGGTACTCAAGAAGAATGTGATTGCTCAAGGGCGTAGCGAAGTTGAGGCTGGAAGGCGTGACGATGGCCGGCGATGAAGCCTGGTGTGATACCATGGGAAGTGGCGTCAATGACCTCGAATGAAGGTGTCAAGTCCGGGGAAGGCTTGTTTCTTCTGATCGTCCCACGTCGCCTCAGGATGGCGCCACGTTTGATGAGGTAACCTGCGGTAGGCGTCTCGGGTGAGATGGTGGTGTGTTTGTATCTGGGTCGAGAATACTGCATGTGAGAGGTTGTGTTGATGGCGTGGGAGAGGACAGCCGAGTCTGTTTCCTCCCTCCTGTCTTGTAGATAGAAGATCGATGGGTACCTTTACTTCTCTTACAATATAGTAATTCGTACATTATGTTTTCGCTACAGTATAATGATTTTTTACATGTACACTGTGGCGCAATTCCACCAGAGCACGCCAGAACCCATTTCAATATCCAGATTCTAACACTACTGATCAACCTCACAACCCTCAGATGTACCGGACTGCACTGTGCCGCCCAATTTTCGGTATATAAGTTATAGAAGCTCCCACTGAGAAACTGCCAGAAGTTAGTGTTCCCACCTAGTGCGAGCGTGGACTGTCCTATCGCTGCCCCTGCATCTAGGGTGGTACCTTCGTCGTCGACGGAACAAACACTCCATCCGGCCGTGTACAATGCACCTGACTGCGGCGGACCGTCGATCTGGAATTGATAGTTCGAAGCGATGTATCCCGTGCGATTTTTGCCATCCGTCAATACGCCGTCAAGAAGACTGAGCTGCAGCGTCGTGTTCGTCTGGCATAAGACCAGTGATGAGTGGACACGCCGTGCCGACGGTGCCGCCGTGTAAGAAGACGACGACGTCGACGAAGAAGAAGAGGACCGAGCTGAAGGTGAGGGCAGGATCAACATGTTCGGACTCCCTGTTCGTACCAACGTAGGACTTACCGAGATACCGCAAGCCTGTCGAGTACGGTAGGTGGTCTGCTTGGGGTTCGTGCTGCTCCGGCACTTCCGGTTGCTCTCGATGTTGATATCGATACATCCATCACGACGATCCCAAAATTCCCAGGCACGTCCCCTGTAGACCCTGCCCTCGGCGGCGTGATGGGAGATATCTGTGCCGTGACAGCCTGTGGAGCAGGTAATGCGATCGGAGAAGATTGAACCTGCGAGGTTAAACTAAGCAGCACGAGAACAACGCCCGACTTGGTCGTATGCTCGAACATGGTACGAGGGTGCTCTGGTAATCGGATCGTAACAGGTACTTGCTCCATCGTGACTTCTGTGTAGGGCTGGGTTCGTCTATGAGCCCACAAGATGAATCCGTCCCCATAACTGAGAACCAAGCAGGTGTTATATAAATCCTCAGATCAATCTGAGCCATGTACAGTGCCCTGTGACCTGCAACCTGCATGACTTCAACCACGTAATGGTTTGACGAGAAGGCTGGGCGAGGAGGATAAACAACAGGCAGAGAGCGTATCTCAACGAGGCTTGGATGTTCAGGAGAGATTCCACCCCCCGGACTTTGTGAAGAATATAAGAATCGGCTCCAGTCGGTCTGTGCACACTTTGTTGATCGACGGGGTAATGCAAGGAGTGGAAGACGAAGAGAGGCAGGACGAGCTTGACATTGCTACTCATGTTATTATCCGCAGAGTACCACCGCAGGATGCAAGGATAACAATACCAGAGTGTGGCAAGCCGACGTCTTTCCATTCATCCCCAGCGACCTCATCGAAGTTCCAGTCTGAAATTGCCCAGGTTGATTGGGATGAGGAGGGCTTCTACCAGCCTCAGGGCCCTACATGTGTGAAGAATGCAATGCTGTAAAGAAACACAATGTAGGGGGAGAAACATCATCGAAATAGTCATATCGATCAGTTCGTAAGGATACTCTAATCCAGAGTACAAGGGACCCAAGTACATCGATACAAGCCCCTCAAAAGACGCATAAGACATCCCTCATTGATCTAGTCTTCCTCATCATTAACCCGTGTTGTCTCTTCACTCATTACCAAATCAAACCTCAAAACCCGAGAAAAGAAATACTTTTGGTTCCCTCAAAAATTGTCTGGCGCCCAGATGCAGTACAATGCAATATGTTACAGCGTAGCAGAAATCGTAGTCCCTGTGACCCATCTCATCCGTCAAAAACATCACAATCCATAATCATCGAACCCTCCCCTCCCACTATAGTAAGTTCTTTAGAGGGAGAAGGAATAGAAACATCCCCATGCTTTCGTGTCATCTTCTCTGCAATATTCGCAGTCGGCATTTGCACCTGGGCCGGTTTCACAAGCACCTTTTGAGCAGTCAACCTCACCCACGTCTCGTCCTCTCGGTCGGACTGTCCCCTGGAAAAACAAAGTCCATCAAGATCAACCAAACCCTTGCAATGGTCTGCCAGTAACAGTTCAATCGTTCGTCTTTTCATGCTTGTCACTTCGTCTAATAACTTCACCCAATTCGCATCTTCATCGGCGGAGCCTCGGGGCAGATGATATCGCGCCTCGAACGTAGGTCCGTCAGCGTCGACAGCGGTATGTACGGGTGAATAGAAGCCGACGGTCAAGGGGTTGTCGCGAAGATCGACTTGCTTCAATGACCCCAATCGTGACAAGACCAGGCATGTTCGTCTGAGTTTCTTGACGCGATTTTTGGCCAAGAGAAGATTCTTTAGATGAACCATTCTCCTGAGGGGCGCTATATCCTTGATGGCGTTGAAATTGGCGTTCAGAGACCGGCAGTTTGGGAACGCAGCACCAAACCCTTCTGGAAGCTCGGCGATACCACATGCTGCAATTTCCAGCTCACGGAGGTTGTTCTGTGGCTTGCTTGGTAGCTTGAACATGCCGCTCATCACAGAGTTGGACGATAGTCTGATCGTACGACATTCGTTGGGAGTTGAAAGGATAAGATCCACAACAGAAGCAGAGCCCGCCTGTTCTCTTAGTGACAAAATTTCCAAATCATAGGCCGAAGACAGTCCATAGATGTTGTTGATCCTGTTGTTATCGAGATCCAGGTACTTCAGTGCGGGCATCTGCTTCAAATGGATTGCTTCCAGCGCATTGTGAGAAAGGCGAAGCTCTTTCAAGTTTAAGCCTCGATCCTGGGTGTCTTGCTCAAATTTCTCCAACTCGTTATTGGAAACATTGAGACTCTCCAGTGCCGGGAGAGATCTGAGGCCCTTGACTTCTTTCAGTTTGTTGTCGCTCAAATCCAAGCTCCGGAGGCGCATAAGTTCAGACCCTTCAAAGTTGACACAGGTAAGTTCATTGTCACTTAGCTGGAGGTCAAGAAGGCTGTCGAGATCCAAAAGCCCATCAATATTGGTGATGCGATTGTTGTTAGCCTTCAAACTCCGAAGATGTAAAAGAGAACTGAAGCATTCTAGACTCTCTAATTCATTTCCTGACACATCAAGGTATTGCAGATTGTGTAGATGTCCCCACGAAGTCAAATCATTGAGCATGTTGTTGTGGATATCAAGGACGCGCAAGCTTGATGGTAAACCATCCAACTGCCTTAACGAATTCCCACTGACTGACAAATGTTCCAAGGCTGGGCAATACTCTTTCAGCGCATGCACAGACGAGATTTTGTTCTCGTCGAGTTTCAGCCGTCGCAAATCCTCCCAGAACAATTCATCTTGAACTGCATCTGTGATTGCTTTGACAAGTTGGTCCACAGCCAAAGCAAGGGATCCATGTGCCTGTCGAAGCGCATTGGGATGTTTTCGATCCTCAACATAGCTCTGATCTGGGTCCCGACCTTTGTCGACCTGATGGAGAGAAAAATCGGAAAGAGGTGTCAAGCAAAGAATACTCGTAGCTTTCTGCGCAGACCTTTGAAGCTTCGCAACTGCTCGTGGCGGAGCAGGTGTAAGTTCGTGGAAGTGATTGGTATTCACCATGCTCATCTGGCCCGTCGTCTGCTCTTCATCTTGTTCTTGAATTGGCGAAATCGTTCGAGGTTGAAATGTCAAGGCCTGGCGATCTTCGGCAGGGAGAGAAAACCTATTCTGCGGGTGATGCGAAGGCACCATGTTCTCATGCGAAGGCACCATGTTCTCAATGTCATCTTCCAAATGGATGTAGGACTCGTCAAGGGGCAAATCATCCTCTCGGGGCAGAGCTTCGAAATCCTCATCGGACATATTTGCGTAGTTGATGCCTGAAACGACGGGCGACGAGAACGCGATTGTTACAACCCGTGCTTGCTTTCGATTTTCCTTCAGTTCAGAGGGTGGCTTAGAAGGGACTCCGCTTTGTAGCTTGACCTCGTGCTCGGACACTTTTGATCTCAAAGAACTGAGATTGATTTCACCTTCGTCTTTGTCCCGGGGTGCGGCAAGAGCTTGATCACGCTTCATCACAATCTCAGGCTCCAACTCCTGCAGAGGCTGCCTGGGTGATGAAGGTTCTGCCCAGGACGTAGGCGTAGGTGGCGAGACGACAGACTTTTGTCCAGTGGCAGCATCTTGTTTCTCACCAGCCCCAGAGAATATTTCCTGTTTCTCGTCGATGCTTAGATCAGGTATGTTCTCGAAAGGATCATCCTCTGAAACGCCTTCAAGATCTAACACTTTTGGGCTTTGAGTTGACTGCATCTTTCTTACCCAAATCTTCTTGTCATGGTCAAATGTCATTGCACCTACTTTATCTGGAATGGACACTGTTCCAGACGTGATGACGCCCTTTTGCCCCGAAGTTGATGACGAGTTTGTGGGGAAGCTATGCTGTAGAGAACTCTGGCTAGAAGGGGGACCTTCTATGGTAGATGTTGAATGTTTTCTTTTTCTCATGGTCTCATTATGGCCACGTATGCGGATGTTTGGCGGATCGCTTTCTTGAAACTCATCTGGCACAGGAACACTAGCAGCTTCAGCGGCTAGCCTGTTGTCTGAGGGAGCCCACGTTCCAAAGACAGAAGTGCTTGCCAACACGTCAAGATCGTCTTGATCTTGATACTTTCTCAAATAGCTGGCAGTACGAGAATCATGCCTGGCATGTCGGCGTTCGGGCGGAGGTTTTGCGGGATATTCTCGAGATGGCGGGCGTGAGAAGTCTTCTTTTGTGGATTCGGCATCGACACTGAAGTCAAGGATTGCATCAGCGTTCAACTCTGATGTATCTCCCAGTTCACTCGTTTGGTTCAACACTGGCACCGGTTTCCCTCGCGCACGAATAAACTGCATGACTTTGTTGGCCTCTTCCATGTAATCTTTAGTCGCCAGTGACGGCTTCCGGGAATCTTCGTTCACCTTCACAGCCTCATGCGTAAACGTGGCGAGCTCTGCGGCCAGTGCTTCTGTGAGTTCATGGTTCAGCTCTACCAGGCCTTCTTCCCCGTCGGTGTTGGCTGCATCTCCAGCGGCAGATTTTCCCATAGACGATCTTCTGGCGGACTTGGGCTTCAATAGATTTCTTGTCGCCAAAACTTCAGGCTCTGCTTGCGCAGGGTCACTGCCTGGTCTCGCGTCGGTACGCTTCTTACCGGCTAGTGTTGCCTTTTCCTCGAGGGAGCTGATCTTTACTTCCACTTCATTATCGTGGATCGTAACCTGTTCTTGCATAATGGTCTTGCGACGCTTGGTCAGTCTGTCTCTTTCCTGAGCATCTCTTGCGTTGTTAGCAAGGTCTTCTGCCTCGTTACGTTGTGCTTTCTGGTCAGCAACGGCGATAGTTGGCTGGAATATTCTGTCATCCGATCCGACTTGACCGAGCTCGACTGGTGATGGCCTGCGCACGTTTTGCTCAAAACCAAACCCGTCTAGTTCACCCTGGCCAAACTGGCTCATTCGAAAGACATTATCTTGATCTTCGTCTGCCGAGCTATCGCTGTTGCCTGCATCTGTTGTCGCTTCCGGCTCGAAGTGGCTTAATATTCGCATGAGCTTGTTGTTTGTATATGTGTCTCGATTACCAAAGAGCTTCAGCGGGCTGCCAGAAGACGTGGGCCTACTACGACTTTCGGCATGGTGAACCACGCTGGTATCGGGGGGCGTTCCTGGCGCGCTGGCACTGATTTTGCTTTGATCAATGCTATCGTCCCATAAGCGTGAAGACTGAGGAGGCGAGCTGTTGAAGGTAAAGTTTTCTTTGTTCTGAGAGTCGATTCTAGAATTTTCACGAGACAAGCTGAGGCTCTTTCGAAGGAAGGAGTTTTCGTTTGATCTTCCTCCTCGCCGAGAGTTAATGAAGCCTCCACCGGCGACAAAATCCTGCGTGCCCATTGACAAGTCATCCGGCAAGGACTGCGAAGTGAGGTCCGGCAACAGTTCGTCAGCACGCGCAGGCGCGGGCTCATGTCCATTCCGACTCCAATTTCCATAGTCTACTGCCCTGTCACTGGAACTGGACGTCGGTCGAGGCGAATCGCAGGCTGCCTCTCTGAGTTTCGTATCTAGAGTCTGCAAGTCGACATTAGTGGGATGTCGCATGATCGTTTCCCGAATCGAGTTCTGTTTGGACATGGTAACTGGACTGATGAACTCATTCCTCAACTCTTCCTGGCCACTAATTGTTCTCCAACGAGGATCGGGGGCACTGGAGGTGGCTTGACGTTGGATAATGCTCTCCTCCTCTGGTGATGATGGGCAAGAGGACGGAGCGGTGTTGTCATTATGTATACGAGCAAACGACCGCATGCGCTGCTCAGCCAACTCTTGTATAGATCCTTTCTCAAGTGTAGGATGAGGGCCTTTTGGCTGATTCTGATGTTCCGACTCTTCCTCCTCATTGATTTCCTCTAGCACTGCTAGATTAAGACGACTTCTCGTTCCGCGCACGCTGCTATATTGTTCTGGGAAGTTGTTCGAGATGGGTATGCTGAATGGTTTTCGACGTATTGACCCTTCATTTTCCACGGCTTCGTTGTCGCTGGGAAGGACGGAAGATGCTGGCTGTTTGAAGATTCCCTCCAACTTCGACGGCGAAAATAAATCAAAGCCATCACTAGCGATGTCTTCGCCGTTTATTAATCTCCTCTTCCACTCGGGTGTCTCTGCCGAAGCAGGCATTTCGTTCATCGTGTGGTGTTGGACGGAGTTTTGAGACTCGGAAAACACGCTCGAGGGTCGGCGCGGTAGACTTGTGAATTTACTCGAGCCGTTTGCGGGGGGCAAGTTGAGGCTCGAGGCACTTCTTTCTCGCAGGATGGGCTCTCCATCGGCACGTGAGTGACTCCGTTGCGACCTATGTCGAAGAAAGCTTCCTGTTGTTGATTCTTTGCGCATGTTCTTCGCCAGGTGAGGGATGCGACTTTGAGAGCGAGAGAAGGACGAATTTCCATTGTGCCGGCTCGAGGAGAGGGATGGGACAGGCGAAGAGGAATGGTGTTCGGATTTCCAGTCCTCCGAGAGGGAGTCAAGCCACGGCTCCATGGCCTCGTCGTGGTGTTGTATGAGCGCCGGGAATGGTGTTGGTGTCGGCGAGGGCGAAGTGCGAGGCCTGTGAGAGTTGCGCTCTGTGGTCTCAAGCAAATAACGGTGGTGGCATAGCATAGGACGTAGGCATGTTGTCTCTATTCATGTGGAAGGAAATGATTGGGCGTGTGAAAGATTCTAGCGGTTGTTTGACGCGTCGGAACTGTCAACGGTCGCTTCGCTCAAATACGGAGTATCAATCTTGGGGCGATGAATGTTGCCATGACAACAAGCGACACCGTCCAAAGCCACCTCACTCAACGAGGACTGTTCAGCACGATGAATGGATCGATAGTCCCTGTCCATCTCAATAACGATCGTGTTCGAGTGTGCCAAAGGACAGCTTGATGATCCTCTTCGGCAGATATCCATGTTTGTCCCGCCCTCTGGCCTACCGAAGCCACAGTCGTCAACACCTAGTCTACAACAAGAGTCGACAGATGAGTGTTGACTGGTTCACGTATGCTTAGACTCTGAGGCAATGAATAATTATTCCGGACTCCGTACAGAGATCTATACAGCTCATGTAAGGTACTCAACTCTAGTCTCTCTCTTAGCAGTCGTACGCTCTGCATCTGATATTATTACATAATCAGCGAGCTGAGTCAGCGAGATCCTCCGTATTTCGGCCTCGTAGAGTTCTCCAACACCACTTGTAGTACAATAGAACAGAATTGAGGTAGGTCCTTTAGCACCACCACTACCACCACTTCTCGCCTTGCACTTGAGGGCCAGAAGGTATGACGGAGCAGAATGTAGCACTACACGAAGCCCCAGCGCCACTTGTGACCTCGCCGTGGACTCGATCTCTCATTGTCAGTATCTCAATTCCTCCCCTTCTCCAACTGCTTCTCACCTCTCACATACCCTACCCATACACATTCTTTCACGCTCAACGCTAACATCGCACTGTGTCTCCAAGGCAGGTGCTCTCGCCGGTATCACCGTAGACTTTTCCCTCTATCCCATTGACACCATCAAGACGCGGCTGCAATCCAACCTAGGAAGCAGCCATGTCTCGACTCTCCCCAGACATACAGTCGCCGGGACTCTGCGCAGCATGTACGCTGGTCTTCCTAGTGCCATGCTCGGGTCCATGCCTTCGGCCGCCTTCTTCTTCCTGGTCTACGACGGTGTCAAGAGAAGCCTAGCTCATGACCCGACCAGACCGTCTTCCACCCAAGCATACACACACATGCTCGCCTCGTCACTGGGCGAAATCGCCGCATGCGCGATTCGTGTACCGACCGAGGTAGTCAAGCAGCGTGCCCAAGCAGGGCTATTCGGCGGCTCCTCACTTCTTGCAGTCCAAGATGTACTCGCCCTTCGCAAAACAGACGGTCTTCCTACCATGGTCCGCGAACTATACAGAGGAGCAGGCATAACAATCATGCGCGAAATCCCGTTCACAATCATCCAGTTCAGTCTGTGGGAGTATTTCAAGGCTGCATATTCGGCACGCCAGCACAAGATCAAAGGCCGCCATGAGGGACTGGTGACAGCAAGCGAGAGCGCCGTCTTTGGCAGCGTGGCGGGGGCGGTCGCCGCTGGCTTGACTACGCCTCTCGACGTACTCAAGACCCGAACCATGCTTGCGCGGAAAGAGACCGGAACCTCATCGTCAAAGACACGAGCAGGGCCCCTGGATGCGTTGCGACAGATATGGCACGTCGAAGGACCGTCTGCTCTGTTCAGGGGTTTCGTACCTCGCGTGGGTTGGATCAGTACCGGCGGCGCCATCTTTCTGGGAACGTATCAATACGTGTCGAATTATTTGGCGGCAGATGCGCCTCGAGTGTGACATCCATGTGATTCGTTGCTCTCGGGTTTGCTTTACGGTACCGTGGTGGAAGTGCTGTTCATCTCACCAACCGCATGGAGGATGAAGAACAGATGCACGCTCCTCGATACAAGGTGCTCTGATGGACGTTGGTGTGCTCGTGACCTGCTATCTCGAACTTGGCTGTGATCAGAACCAGTGCCGTGGAACAGGACCTGGGGACTGCTATCAAAGGACATTGGTGATTGCTTTCAAGGCCGCCCGTGCCGTTGGGTCTTTCAAAGGGACGATCGAGTATATTGTCGGGAGCCTCGTTGACTCTCTGCACACCCATATGTATAAATGTATATATACCCCCAACTGTCCTGAATGCTTTGCCGTTGTTGTTGTTCAGGCAAGGAATGGTGCGTACTCACTCTCTGGGGACGCTCGACGGAGATTTCGAGGAGCCGTGGACGAGCACGTATTATATGACGACCGACGGGGAACGCTACCTCCTGCATTTTCGTAGAAGCTACTATGAAGGCCCAATCCCATTGCAGGCAGAGAAGAATTGCCCAAGTCCGTACTCTGTGTTCCTGAGTGGGGTTTCGAGTTCGAATTGTACATCGCCCTTGGTGTTAGGTACCTGAGGTAGGTAGGCACTCTTGACGTTCACCTGTAGGAGAATACCAATCCGAGACGTGCTGCTCCTTGCAGAACAAAGTTACACATGTAGCTACCTAGGTAGGTATGTAGGGATATAAATACACACACACACACACACACACACACACACACACACACACACACACACACACAGCCATATGGAGATGGACGGTCCACATACTTTTGTTATTATGACTATATATACCTACTGTACCTATAATGCAAGGTTATACTCCTCGTCCTCGTGGATACTCCGACCACTTCAGCTGCGTGATCAGGACACCCCGTTGACCTGTGCCGTTCTACACACAAGTGCAAACATCATCCATCTCTTGCAAGGTCAATCCCAAGCACCATACCCAACAGGTATACAACCATCCAATGGCCACGAGATGCCACCGTGTTATCTACTGCAAGCCTGTGAATCTTACCTACCTTATCAACCCCAAAAGCCTCAACTGACCCCCGTGGCAACTTCACTTTCCTCTCGACTCGGCACAGCCGCCGGATGTGGCAGCCTCAGCTTCTTCCTTCCATTGCTCTTGTAATATAGGACTACATCGCCACCCGTGCGCCATACATGCACACGAAGCGTTGCGAGAGTCGTGTTTGGGTCGACCTTCTGCCCCTGGCAATATAATTCGAGATAGTCTTCTGCCTTGAGCTTCTCTCCTTGATCAAGTTCCTCCTCCGGTTCAAGATCGGTTTCACTATGCTTTGCTTCATCATGGCTTCCACCGTTCTCGAAGTGTCCTTCGTCATGGGAATGCTCGTCATGATGCTCCTCCTGAGCATGATCATGACCATTTTCACCGTGATCGTGATTGTTGGTGACATGAGAAGGAGAATGGACATGGAACGACGCCCCGGATGTGGTGGTGCCTTGTATCTCGATCCGTTCAGCGACATAGGCCATTATTTTCTTAGCCCGAAGCATGCGGTTAGCATTAAGCCGTGCGTTGCCATCAGACGATGCAATATTCGGCAATTGATTATCGTACGGGAGGAGAACAAATGAGACTTTGACCGTCTCCTTGTAGGGGATTTGATTCTGCGATGGAAATTCTCGTCAGCCATTAGTGCGCTCAAGATCACTCGCGTCGCGCATATAAAAGTAACACATACCTTCAGGAGTACTTCCCCAAGCCACATGGGTGCAATCTTTTCAAGCAGGTCGACTTGCTCCTTGAATCCTAGTTCCCCAATTTCACCACTGTACTGATCCGCGAGCCCACCACTAGCAGGGTCGTCTTCCTGGATTATAATCGTTGTGTGCTCTGGAGGTCGCAGGACAGGGGTCTCGACCGATAAGCTAGGCGTTATGCCCATTGGTACTGGACCATTGCCGGAGTATTCATCGTATTCGTGCCGGATCTTTTGAATCACGCCGTACAGGTTGTCTTCGATAACCTTGCTTTCATCTTTTTCGCTGGCCTTTGACTTGAAGCTGGCTGTGTCCGACTTCTCTTCTACAGCGATTGGTGTCTTGACTTCCGCAGAAGTGCGTGAGATTTTCTTGGGGAATGTCATGGGGAATTTCTTGCCGAAGAGACCCTTTTTCTTTTCCTCTGTTGGAGACACCGGTGTGAGGGGGCCAGTATCTGCCCCGGGTGTTTCAGGAGACTTCACGGGGTCGTGGTCAGAAGAGCTTTCGGAGCGGTTTGCGGACGAGAAGTAGTCTGTTTGCACTTCTACGGCTGCAGAAGGGGTTGGTGCCGCTGGTGAAGACACTCCATTACTAGTGCTCCCTTCCGCATCTTCTTCAGCTGTAGGTGGAAGTGTGGCGGTCAAGGGTGCAAAGCCCGGCGTGGCCGCTCCGATAGCTAAGCTTGGTGTTGGAGGAACGAGTGCATGTCCATTAGATGCTCGAGGTGTGGCCTCTTGGCCGGGTGAGACCATGGCGGTGGCCGACGCCGACTCGGGCATGGCGATGCTTGTTGGTGCGCCAGGTCGAACAAGACCTGTGGCTGTGGAGGCGTTGCGAAGAGTGTTTCTATATACCTCATCACGGGCTATTTCTTCTTCGATGAGCTTCGCAAAGAGGTTACGTAGCACCCATTTGCCCAGATTAACTGTGGCGTTAGCTTAGGACGGCAGCGAGGAATGATCAGGCCTTACTTCTCTGGTCTTCGCGGAAGACCAAGTCCTTGTCCAGGTCAAGCTCGTCTGCGTACACCTCAGCATCAAAGCAGTAGTTCTCCTCAAGCATGACTGTGATCTTTCCAGTTTTAGTGTCGACACCACACCAATTGGCGACGCTTTCGGTGGTGTTAACCTCGGGGACAACCTCGTCCAGGTGTCGGCGGCCAAAGGATTTGATGGGAACGCACTGCTCAGGGTCAGCCATACATTTCAACAACACAAATGCCGCATGAATACCTTCAGTAAGTCCCACAGGACAACCTCACCAGCCGTATCTAAGGTAAGAATCCTTTTCCGATCGTTCAGCATCACATGCTTAATGAGACCATGTTGACCCTCGATGGTCTCTGCAGGCTGTCCACGAATGGGCACAACAACGCTCAAATCGTCCATTGTCATGGCCTCGCTTGCTTTCCTCATATTGGTTACTGAGAGGTTGGGATAATGGCCTAGAGTCTTTCGACCTGGATGAACTGCCGTATTCGAAACCAGCAACACCGCGTTGTGAGGGATCTTCTTCTTGTGGCCCACCCCATTGGCGACCGGAGCTTCTTCGCTTTCAACCGTGGCTTGTTTGAGACTGGCACGACGTTCTTCGCGCGGAGATGCAGGAGGAGTCTCGACCTCAAGCTCGGTGTCAACGTCAAGCCATCTGTTGACACTGGAACTTGAGGTGGCTGTCCACACGGAGTCGCCAGCTGGCATGATACGAGAAATTCCGTCGTGCTCGTGACATAAGGCAACCGAGACACTGTCATCGATCTCCATAGCTCGTCGAGTGTCGGTCTTTGCGACCAGACCAGACTTATCCCCGGAATAGAAGACGGCCAAATTAGGGTCGTTCGAATACATGCACCAAACGCTGTCGTTATGCATAGTCAGAGTGTGTATGCATCGACCAGCTGCAATGGACCAGACTTTGATGGTCTGATCTGAAGATGCTGTGAGCAAAGTGTCACCATCGTCGCTGATAAGGATATCTCGGACGTTGTCCGTGTGCCCGACGAGCTTCGTGATACTCTTGCCAGACTTGACGTCCCACAGCCGTACCACGCTCTCTGGACCTCCACTTGCTAGCATCGACCCTCGTGCGCGAAGGGCATAGACAGAACCCTTGACGACATCTTCTGCTTCGCTGACGTTGATCTCCAGCGTCTTCCCAGCGCCGTTCAAATCCCATAGACAGATCTTGTGATCAAGGCCGCCTGAAGCAACCCAGTTTGCTTGCTGGTCGGGTGTCGCAAGGCATTTGATGTAATCACTATGAGAGCCAATGGTATATGCCTGTACCGTCTCGTGTCCATGCGGTCGCCATAGCTTGACGGTGACGTCCGATGAGGCTGACACCAAACCCAGGTTGTTCTTGACCAAGAGAATGTCGTTCACCCAGTGTGTATGTGCCTGTACCTGTTTGCGAAACGTAACTGTGCGCTGCTTATCTTCTATCTTGTTCAAGTCTTTACTTCGTTTCTGGGCTTCGAGGTCTAGGTCCCACGCGCAGACGACACCATCTCGCCCGCCTGTATACCTGCGTGATTGTCAGTGTGGCTGCGTAGTATCGTCTGGGGAAGTACGTACAGGATAGATCGCTCATCGTCAAAGGCCAAACCGTTCACCCCGAGTCTATGCCCGCCGGGCGTACTTGCCAGAGGCAGGACTGCAATCTATCAGTAATTGTTCAGGCTCTTGGATATCGCGAGCAAGGAACTCCCACCATAGCTGATCCGCTGACGCTTCTTTCTGGCCATGTGCGTGTTGTTCCAGAGCCGCTCAAGACCCCACCGATGTCACCGACGTAATTATGCGCGATCTTAACTTGCCATGGCCTTTGGTCGCATTGGAAGCTAGTTGGGACGCACGAGTTCTTCAACCCCGGCTGGTGAGAGAAGGTGAGTTGGAGGGCGGAAGAGTCGTATCGGCAAATTCACTAACATTTAGCCTGCGACAGACTCGAAGGTGGAGGGAAAGTGACCGAGCGACGGGTTCATCCTGCGCCGCTTTCTAGAAGAACCGGGGTGCAACGTGGAACAGGGGTCTAACCGTCTAAGCACGCAGAGGCGTAGAGGGGCTCCAGCCTCCGATACGTGTGCTACGTACTCCGTACCTGTAGCTCCTCCGTGCGCGGTGCAAGAATCCCCCATCTATTGCACTCCGTAACCGACTTGGGTAGCTTGCTTATTAAATAGCATTTCCACACATCAACACCATCAACATACTTGTACATTCGCAGCTCAAACACAATGCTTGCTCATTGTACTTTCGCGTTATCAACTGGTATCTACACTAGTAATAATAATATACCAAAGCTCAAGCAGAGTGCCGCCTTTGTCTCCAACAGCCCTTCGCGTTAGACCCATCCCATCGTCAACAAGTCCAATTCCATACCACACCCTGTTGGACGAGCCTAGCCCAACTGAGTCAAAGTCTGGTGTAGAACGAATTCGTGCTTGGAGACTCTGTAGAAAATAGACAAGGTTATTGCACCATGCTGTTATCTGTTCTCGTTTATCGTTCTTCTAGACCTTCGCTGGCGGGGGACCGCCAGAGCCCGCTTCCAAGATATGCGTGTGATTGTCGGCTCGATGGACAACGCCGTTCTCCTCCTGATAACATACTTTCGAGCTCAATACCCAATCATCCTCGAGAACCTCGTCCATTGTAGCTCGCTCCGCGGGGTTAACCTTGAGCATTCGGCCGATGATGTGGCGACTCTCCCGGGGTAGAATGCGAAGTAACCTCCAGGGCCCTTTGATCACTTCTTGCTTGTCGCCACCAGAGGTAGCTGGCCGAGACTCTGTCTCTGTGCTTTCCGAGTGATGATGGTGGTGACTGTGGGGACTGCTGCCACCTTCTGAGGGCCGTCGAGAACCGTGCTCGTCATCGGGCGAGAGATGACTGCTCCTCCTCGGCTTCGAGTCTGGAACCGGTGTGCCTGGCGTCGGTGGAGCGACGAACAACTTGTACGAATTATCAACGACCCGAGGTTGTTTCCAAGGGAACCTGCGTAATGTCATGCAACAGAAGATAATGGCCAACGACCAAATATCTGTAGCGGTCGGATCATACTTCTTCTCCTCGTACACCTCAGGGGCTAAGTAAGGGTCCGATCCAACGATGCCTAGTCGTAGTCAGTGTACCGTAGATCTGATGTTTGAAGCTTCTTACCTGATGCTAAGACAATTTCGTTCTCAAAGGGATATCGGAACACTGTCGCACTGCCGAAGTCGATCAACTTCATGATCCCATGTTCGCTGACAACGACGTTATCCAACTTCAGGTCGCGATGGGCCAGACCCATGCTGTGTAGATAGCTGACACCATTGACAATCTGGAGAAATGCACAGGCGATTTCTTCCCGTGACATCTTGCCAGTCATGACGATAGCGAAGAGATCATAAGGGGCATACTCCATAATCTCGTACCAGCGATGATTTTCTTGGATAATGTCCATAGTCTCGATAATGTTGCCGTGGTGGAGAGTTGAACCAATGCAAAATTCTGCCGTAACTTTCTTGGAGTAGTCCTTCTCAGTCTCCCAAGAATGTCTATCTCTGAATTGCTTAACGGCAAAGACAACGCCGTCGCTTCGTTTGAGAAGCCTGACCGAACCACCAGCTCCCGAACCCAGGACTTTGCCAAATTTACCATACTTGGCTTCAAGACTGTGGTCGTCGGCGAAAGGCACGGATGCTGGTGGAAGCTGGTGAGGGGGCGTTCTGGTACCGGTACCCCCGGACTTGGTTGAAGTCGATTTCCTCGACGCGGGTGCTGAGGTTGCTGGCGATTCTTGATGATGCTTGTGCTTGTGGCCATGCCCACCTAATCGGAAGAAACGTTTGAGTTCCGACATCGAACCATGCTTCTTCCCCTCCAAGCCACCTCTATCACTACTCTCACTGACGTGTGAATAAGGGTCTTTTTTACCGCCAAATATCGACGACCGTTTCTCAGAGCCTGCAATGTCGCTACTGCTTCCCTGCCGAGGTATCCGTTCTGCTGCAGCCGCAATAGCCGGAGCCAGTGAATGTCTGCCAGTGCTTCCGAATTGGCGCGGCTCCAGCTTTGGTTCAGCTTTGGCAGGCTTAGGAGAGGCAGGCTGCGGCGATGCGGGCCGCAGTTTTGGTGTGCCAACAGGGCTTTGATCGACTGGGCTGGCCGATTCTGACGGCCCGATCTCGAATCTGGCCACGTGCTTCTCGGGGGCGTGGGCAGGTTTCTCACCGGATGCTGGTCTCGAAATCGGGTGGCCCGGTGAAGTCGTCTGAGAGAGGCGTTTGCCTTGGGTGTCGGGAGGAGGAGAGGTTTGCGGTGTGATTGCGTCTTGCTTCTGTTGACCCTTACCGCCTGCAACGCTTTCATTTCTGCCATCTTTCGAGCCGTGTGGCGTCAAGGGTGGGGAGTGAAATGTAGACGATATCGAGCCATGACCCGGTCGTATTGATCCCCTCGGCGTCCCGGGAGCATCGCTATCTCTCGATGGTACCTGCAAGTGGTGTTAGATAATGTTTCTGAGAGTTCGGGGACGACTTACTCTCGAGGTCGGCATTGAAACGGTCTCGTATGCGAAATTGGCCATCCGACTTTCCTGCAATCGAGATTTCTGTAAAGACATGGCCAAATTCCTGATCTGTTCATGAGCCTCAGGGCTTAGGTCTTCGTCTCGGACTCCTTCTGGTTCTGATTCCTTCCTCCTTTTCTCCAAAGGACCTATCTCTTGATCGTAAGAAGCAAAGCGAACATTCGACTGCGCATTTTCCGGATTATCACCGTTTGGTTCTTCGCTCGTTTTTGTGTCTACAACCCAGCGTCAGCGTCGCTGGATCAGGCTCGACAGAGGCTCTCTCCCATACCTGATTCTTTTTTCGAGTCGTCGCCCGGTAAAAACATGGCGGACAGTTTCGACGTCATATTACCAGCGTCTTGTCAGCGAGTTTAATGAGAAGTGTTTGCTGTTCAGAGGACGAGGATGGAGTCTAACAACGAGCGTCGAGACGATTCGAGTTGAGCGCCGTCCTAGGCGCGGTCGATTTCGGGCCTGAAAGAATCTAAGTAGAGCGCATGTTAGAGGGGATGATGGACTTCAGCAAGGCTTGTCCGGGAGAGACGAAGCTAATACGGGAGCGTGGGAGCACTGGCCGGTCCAGTGGAGCAATGTAACTCACAGAGATGCCAGGAGTCATGCAGATGTTGCTCGAGGCCGACAAAAAAGCAGACCAAAGCGAACGATTTGCAGGAGCGAGATCAAACAGAAAGATGGCGGTATTCTCGAAGTAGGTGTACAGCATATGAGGATGGGTTCGGTGGTGGTGGTGGTGCTGCTGTGCTATTCTCGACACGCTGAGATGCGTGTTTCTGTCAACCTGCGGTAGGAGAAATGCACGCCAGAGTCAAAGTCACAGTCAGAGTGGGATGGATGTTTGGCCGGCGGGAGGGAAGATGGTGTAGCCCCGCCAAAAAATTGCCCAGCAATAATCGCCTAATGCTCCGTACGAGTACGAGGCACTGTAGGAGAGATGATTATCTTTCTCCCCGGGTGCCGATTGACGAGCCTCGCCTCCTACGATTTCAGTAGGACACAGCGCCAGTAATAATGACTTATTAAGTACTCGTACAAAATCTCACTCATCTTCCCCATCCCGTATCCCGTACGTACTCAGGGCAAAGACAGAAGGAAATGCTCCGACTCGATTCCCCCAAGCGACCAAGAGCTCATGCCATCATGCTACTCGTACTCGTACCGTCCCTTTGTTCTTTCCCTACTGAGTTCTCCGTTGTCATGTTGATGCACAATTGCGTTTCCGTACACTATTACCTTAAGCCACCTAGTATTTTCCCGGCTTCTCCGGATCCCCTGACAAACCAACGAGATGTTGCCTCTGTCTGAAAGCCCCCCGCGTGAGACTCGACGTCATCACATCAATTCGTATTGGAAAGCTCTCTGCATCATACGTGAGAAGCTACTTATGTACCTAGGTTGTCACATTGGGGCCGTGCCCTTCGTACAGAGTATGGGTAAATGCCTCGGTAAACGATCGCCCGCTGGCTTGATGTGGTTGCAGAATCAGTGAAGGATCAACACGCCTTAAGCGATCTCTAAGCAAAACAAGCAGTAACGATCTTTTGCAATCCCCTGGCACCATCACTATATCTACTACCTATAGGCTAGTCATCTGGGAGCTCGTTACGACGCTCCTCTCCCCACGGGGCTGATGACAACATCAAGTCTTCATAAGACTGCTGGTACCATATGAGCATCGCGCACGTGCGCCGCAAGAGCTGTTAGACAGTCTTCAATGCGTTCTACTGTTTGCTCTTTCTCTCCACGGTGAGTCCAACGAACAAACTGCAATATGGCCTTGTATTCCGCTGGATACCGACGATCCCTGATCTCTGGAGCGTCTGCTGAGACAGCACCACACAGACCGCTCTGCCACACATCTGTAACGTCGATCGCAGGGTTTGGCTCCGACCGATAGTAGGCCGCCGCATCATACAAGTACTGTGCTGCCGCAGACTCTGACTTGGTACGACGAAAGCAAGACCGGTGGGCCTTCGTGCCGAGGCGTTCATCTTCTCATGGCAATAGCCGTAGAAAAGGGGGGTAGATTCGAAAGACTTTTTTGCTGTTTCTTTGGGGCGACTGGGAAGAGCCCATCATTCTCAGGGACGTGGGCCAGGTAAGGGCAGCTGCATGGCTTCAGCAAAAGAAAAAGTTGTTTTCCATGGCTTGAGCTCTTGCGTCAGCTTCTGAGTAATCTGCTCCGTCAGGGCACAACGTTGACCCCGATAGACTTGCATTGCCAGATGACGCTTTTGCACAAGCTTTGAAGACTGAGACCTGATAGCCGGAGTTCGCTTTGCTTGATCTTTGCAATTTCATATATATGTTTCAATGAGACTGTGCCAACGCTCTGTCGGCCGGGCTGATTCGCTCCCTTGATTTTGCCCTTAATCTCCTTGACCCCAGCGGCCTGGAGAAGTAACCAAGAAGTATTAGGTGTTCGAACATCGAAGTGGAATGTGCGGTCTGGTCGAACAGTAACGCGAGCTGGGATGGGTACGCCAGGGTGGATGTGAGCCGTTCGAGCATTGAATTCCTGTGCACGGTGTGAGCGAGAGAGCCTCGAGTTGGAACAAGGACCACGGTTCATACCTTGCAGAAATCCATACTCTTGACACCTTTACTACCCAAAGCGGGACCTACAGGCGGACTTGGGCTTGCTTGACCGGCTCCAACGATCAGCTTGACAATTTGATCTTTGGCAGGTGCTTTTCTCGCCATGCTGTGTGTACTCGGAAGTGGTGCAGGAAAACGTGCGGAAGACTAGTAATATTTGGCGAAGAATCCACGGAACCGTGAGAAGAGGACTGCTAGGGTTGGAACTGATGACTGGGCGCTTGATTCGGAAAAAGATTCAGGACAAATTGTGCAAGAGACTGTACCAGCAACAGTAGCTGTGCCTGTGACAAAGCTGTGAAAAGTTTAGCGTTGGTAGAGGGTTAAAGTGTAGGCAGCGCAAAGCCTACACTAGGCCAGCCCACAAGCCCCTGTGGTGGTAGGCTGGAGCCGCTTTGGCAGCGTTGGCTCTGTGATTTACTGAGTGCCATTATTGACCCTCCCGTCGTCTCCGCCCCCTGGGCCCTCCTGGGCCTTTTAGTGAGCTCAAGATGCGAGGAACTCAGCTTATTAGCCTTTAGGCTACCGCCAGCATGCCCCCGAGAGCCGCTCGTAAGGCTCTCAAGCCAATATCATTCGCTACAGTGACGTCTTGTGCCCGTTGGGTATATTTCTCGACCGACGCAGTTAAATCAATCTAGTTTTCTTGACAAACACCTCCTACGTCCTGCAGGCTTCCTTACCCCAGTTAGACTTCTACAGCACCTCTCTAATCAATATGAATTGGTTCAAACAGCAATTAGCCAATGTCGTTGGCACCGAGGAGCCCGAGTACGGCCCTTCAGCGATACAACCCGTGACAAAGCAAGCCGAGATGAAGCCCTATTCAGTCCTCAGCAGAGATGACCTACGATGGAAGGCCCTGGAGCACACCAACGTGGAAACCGAGACCTTCTACTTCTTCACCGACGACGGAACGACAGCCATGGCACAAATCATCTATAGTAACGTTGGGTATGATTCCGCCGGCGCACACCGCCAGTGTCCGTGACTGACCGCAGAATAGTGGGATCCGTACAACCTGTCAATTCAATAGCAAGATCTTCGATCATGAGGGCGTTGGGAAACATCAATGGTGCTCAGATCCACTGCACAATTACGGATTCGATGAATCGCAGACTTGCTTCTTCGCCGACGATGTATCCATGGAGTTGAACGAGGCGGGTGATGCATATACAATCAAGTCGGCCAGGAATGAGGACTGTATCATCAGTTTGGTGGTCACAAGAACGGCCCCCGGTTTCCAAGTGGGAGAGGATGGCACTAGTTACTTTGGAACAGACCCTGCGGAACCCTGGGGTTCGATGCGACATGCTTTCTGGCCCAGGTGCACTGTTACAGGGACCATTCAAACGCCATCCAAGACATACCAGATGAAGGGAAGAGGAATGTATGTGTATGCCCTTCAGGGCATGAAGCCTCACCATTTGGCGTGCCGGTGGAACTTTGTCAACTTCCAAACACCAACTTACTCGGCTGTTTTGATGGAGTATACAACTCCCCAATCCTACGGAAAGACTGTCGTGTCGGTCGGCGGGATCGCCAAGGACAATGCTCTCGTGACGGCCGGCATCTGTGAAGCCAAACATGTGACATCGAAACAGGAATCGGAAAACGACTGGCCTGAACCGACAGAGGTTTCTTTCGAGTGGAAGGATCAGAATGGAGGGAAGACCAATGTAGGAGAGATCAGTGGTGCTCTCCCTCCGAAAGCCGATCGCATCGAGGTTCTGGCTCACTTGCCTGGTTTCGTGAAATCCTTCATCTCGGGCGCGACGGGCCTGAAGCCTCACATCTTTCAGGTAAGTGAATTACAAGTTTCAAATCTTTTTTCATCATTACTTGCGCGCTGACCGGGTCCCCGTAGTACTCTTCGAACGACCAACTCACGTTGAAAGTGAAGGATGGCGAACAGGAAGTTTCCGAGCCTGGCCGCCTTTTTTGTGAAGCCACCTTCATCTCCTAACGACACCTCAAGCATGTGTTTCATGATGATATAGAATTTGGAACGGCTGGATGAACTAAGTACCTACGATTGGATATATTGGATATCCTAATGTCTAATATTACCTACCTGTTGTGCCCTTGTTGTTTGACCGACCTCTCTCCTTGCAACTCAGCTCTCTCACACACAACTTCTTCCTTTCTCTCATCCTTCTCTCACTTGGGTCTCAGAGGCTTCTCACCGTGGCCATTGAAGGGGCTGGCATGGCTTTGTCTTTTTTTCTCCCAAAGGTCTTCACTGCCTAGGTGCAAACTCAACTCACTCAACTCAACTCTTTCCTTTCACGCGAGTATCGACGATCTTCTCTTTTCCTCTTCTACCACCCGGATATTGACGCCATCAGTATCTCCCACTTTGGAAAGCAAGCAACTTCTTATCTGAATTAATTCACCTGCCACCCTCGAGCAATTATCCCGAAAATGCCAGTCCAGAAGCCTGTCTTCATCCAGGGCCAGGGCCAGAACCAGGGTCTTCGCCGCCACCGCCCAAATGTCCGCAAAGCCGACGCCATCCACGGCATCAGTGAGTCAACTGGATTTACAAGGTAATTCTGAGGAGTCCAATGCTGACACCTCATCGATCAACAGCCAAGCCATCAATTCGGTATGATCACCACTGTCCTCCCTCACGGCAGTTAGGGCCTGTCCAGCAGCGTACGGAACGTTGCACTGAGCTAACCATGGAACTCTCGAAATCAGTCGTCTGGCCCGCCGTGGAGGCGTCCGACGGATCCAATCGACCATCTACGATGATGCCAGAATGGCACTGAAGGATCATCTTACAGAGGTCAGTACAACTTCATACGTTGCTGTGTCTTTTACGTGGTCCGTGGTTGGTCTCCGAGACCGAGAATGAGATAGAGAAATTAGAATTGAATTCCACTGACTCTGATGCATAGGTCATACGTAAGGTCGTTATTCTGATGGGAGGCCCAGACAACGAACGAAAACATGGGGTTCCTGTTACGCAGAAGAAGGTGAGACTTGATGGTGGTGCCGTCGAAGGAGTCGTGTACTAATGCACCTTCAGACCGTCACCACCAACCATGTTATTTACGCACTCAAACAAGTGAGTAACCAGGAGTACACTGTCGATCTTTCACCAGGTGTCTCCAGTCTAACGGCCAATTACAGATGGGACGGCCCCTGTACGGCTTCCACGAACCCTACCCTACTTCAAAGCGTGGAACACTGGCGTTGAGGAAGATCTGACGTCGTCGGAACAGCATGTCTTGATTTGTCGCACAAGCTCTATCCGCATCTTGGGGGTGATTGGAGATTGTCGTTTTGCACAAGGACATCACAATCAGAGTGTTCGGCTTGGTTGGGTTTCTTTTGAACGTCTGTCGTTGGTGTGAGCCATGGGTACAGGCCACTGATACGCTCCTCTCTTTTTTCTCTCCATTCATCGAGTTTTGGTAAATGGTGGCAAGGACGTCGACATCAGAGAGATCATGTATAGCTCTCCAGAAGGTGCAGGAAGCATACGAGTACGGGAATGGGTTATCATTCAGCCAGAGTTCGTTGGACAACGCGGGGGATAGAATTGAAGTCAGACTGTGCAAAGGAGTACAACAGACACACGATTCAAAAAGCAAGAGGTTACATCGTGGACAATAGTGGCCAGAAACGCTCCGGAAGCCTGAAGGAGCCGTCAATGATACCGAGTTTCATCGCCACAACGATTCTCGCGTACGAGGAGAGTCATTTGTCATAAGAAATAAAACTACGACAGGTATGTAGGTTTTCGACGCTCTGAGCATTTTTATTTTTAACCGTCCCAGCGAGAAAACCCCTGGGTGTCCATACCACCCCCCAAGTATCATCGTCCCTAGCATTTCAACAACAGTTTTCCGGTTGTCTTCCTGCCCTCGAGATCCTTGTGCGCGAGAACGGCGTCTTTGAGAGGGTATATCTTGTGGATTTTAATGTTGAGCTTACCGGACTTGATCAGATCGAGGACGCCGTTGGCGTAGAATTCCAGCTCCTCGCGCGTCACGATGTAGTTAAACAGTGTAGAACGCATGATCGAAACGTTCTTGGCCGAGAGTTTAGCGATGTTGAACGGTGGGATCGCACCGCTCGCTGTTGTGGGCGCATGTGGTATTAGTCGATGTTGGGCAAGACATATAGATAGGTGGGGAGAGAGGGAGAGAGGGAGGGAGAGAGGGAGGGAGAGAGAGAGAGAGAGATAAAAAGATGTAATAGAACAGACTGGTTGCGATCGAGCTTGTCTTGTCTTGACTTGAACTTGGACTTGGAGACTTACCGTTTCCAAAATATACCACCTTACTCTTCCTCTTTGCAACCTCAAGGCTCCCTTCATAAGTATCCTTGCCGACACCGTCGAACGTACAATCGACGCCCTTGCCGTCGGTGAGCTTGAGGACCTGTTCGACCCAGCTTGGGCCGTCGGTGGCTTTGTAGTCAATGACGTGCGTGGCACCGTTTTGCTTCGCGAGCGCACACTTCTCGGGACCCCCCGCGGTGCCGATGACAGTCGCGCCAATGTCCCTGAGGAGCTGGCAGAGCAAGAGGCCCATTCCGCCGGCGGCGGCGTGGACGAGGATCGTCTCGCCGCTTTTGACCGGGTATGCTTCCTTGACCAAGCTCAGCGCAGTCATGCCCATCAGGTACCCGCCGACGGCGTGCTCGTCCGCTATGCCGTCGGGGATCTTGACTACCCTATCGGCCTTGACGGCCGTATACTCTGCATAGCCCCCGGACGCCATCCAGACGACCCGGTCGCCCTCTTTGAAGCCCTGCGCGTTGGATCCCTCTACCTTTGCGATGGTGCCGGCGGCCTCTTGCCCGATGATCATCGGCAGCCCCCCCGGCGCAGGGTACAGCCCGGACCGGAAGTATGTGTCGATAAAGTTGACGCCGGCAAAGTTGTTCTTGACCAACACCTGGCCTTCGGCGAGCTTGGGCACCGGCTGCGACTCGGTGTACTTCATCACGTCGGCCCCTCCGTTCTCGGGAACCAGGATGGCTTTCATCGTGGATGGGACGGACGACATCGTGCGTCTAAGTCCCGGCAGGGTATGGTTCCCGCGCGGTAGCTGTGAGGAAAGGGAGGAGAGTCTTGAAGCTGCGGTCGCTCTAGTAGATGTAGCTGTGAGGATGGTATGCGGAATTCTTGCGCGGAATGGACTCAAGGACATGGACTGGCGCTTGTTCACCGTGTGGTTCTCGTATCACATCTACTGAAGGACGGAGGTCGGGAGCGATGGGATTAACAATCTTGCTTGCACAGCGCAGAAGGGCTCGGAGTATTCTGAGATTGGAAGTATGAAAAGGGCAATGAAATGTAGAGAGAACTGATTTACCTTTGGACGTGCCCAAGTGTGTCGAGAGACACCGAGTCCCCGCCGACGTCGCTCGTCATTTGTAAGACAGCGACGACATCCCCGCACCGTCTTCGGACACGGATGTGAGGACATTGATAACACAGTTATTGCCCGGCGGATAATCCGATGCTCTTATTGTTGCTGTCTGCTGGAGTTAAATCCCATACCTACCAGGTACTGCACCTGCCCGATCCGTACCGGTAGAGTGTGGGTGGATTGGTCAGCATCAAGCTCCAGCTCGATGTTCGTCCGCGAGGCCAGTCGGATAGTGGCTACGCTCATCATCGACTATATGTTCATGAATTGAGAGTACTCACAAATCACTTCCCAATTCGATACTGGTATCTGGTAAGAGACTCACGTACACAGCAGCAATCCGACACAACTCTCCCGAGATACACCCCGAGCTATATCAGCCACGGGGGTTTGTTACCCCGCAGAAAGCGTCTGGGGGCACCGTAAAGACTCATGGTACGAACGAGGCGTTTGGCGCTTCTGATAGTGAGTGTCACTGTTGCAGAAGACATCAACCACGACTTCACCGGCACCACCCAGCCGGGAGATCGCATCCCACGGGTAATGCTTCGCCCGGCAACCCTGAGACGAATGCTCTGACCGGTGAGAGGTTGATAGCAAACCATGACATGTTCAGAAGTGGTACTCTACGCAAAACAAGGCGCAGAGATAGCGAACACCGGTCGATCACAAACGAGTTCCTGCGCCCGATTACGCCTGGGAATTATCCCTTCGGCCTGAAGTTCCCTCGTCTGACAACCGGTAAGTATTGCCAATGCTCGATCAACGCGATCACCTGGTCCTACCAAGGGTTACAAGGGATGCCCCGTTGGTGATGTTCACTGCGAGCCGGGTGTGATGGTGTGCGAAGCATCGCAATTGTGACAACGTGTGGAAAGTGCCCTCAGATCGCACGAACAGTGGGACGTTCGATTCGATGGTTTTCAGACCGAGCAAGAATACTCACAGAAAGCAGCCGTCGGTCAATCATGCGAATCAATGATTCGGGAATATGGCCACACAATTCAGCCGTTGCCAACGAGGCTTGGGCAGACACCACAACAGAGGCAAAGCTCGCCACTGGCTCGACCCAATGACAACGCCGGGGCCCTGATTATGCACATGGGAACTTTGTGGCATTGTGCTTTGCCGTCGATCTGTCAGGCACTCTGCAAGCGTGAGTGGCTGCCGTAAAAGCCTCAGGAGATTGACACTCCATCAGGATCGCCGAAGGTCTTCTCATGTGTATGTGTCAGACGCCAACTCGCCCCGGACTTTAGTCTGAGTAATATTAAGTACGTTGCAGGATGCATTGCCCTAGATAGAGTAAGTGCACTGTTCCCAGGTATGAAGGACTGTAAGCGCCAAAGCAAACAAAAGTGCCGAAGGATCGTCGGTGTCGTGAGACGGTGTAGCTGTGTACGAGTACGAGCACTAACTTGTATCTGCACCACTGGGTTCAGGCATGTGAGGATGGTGCGACTGTATATATGTTGGCTGCTCCACATGGCGACATGGCTTGCGGCATCCCGCGGCTTCTGCGTCCGAAGGATGAATGTGCATCGAGATCACTGTCGAGATACTTGATGCACACAGGTCTTTTCTTTCAGCCATGGCTGCTTGGCCTTGCGCAATTCATGCATTAGAGCCTCCTGCGAGAGGGGAACATGGGAGCCGTCAGCTCTCGTAGGCTGAGGGGGAGCATGAGGGAGCTAGGCGAAGTGTTAGCAACATGCAGCGATATGCACAGGCATTTGTGGGGGGAGTCGACGTTGATCCAATCGACCTCTGTTGGCTGTCTCTGTTCACCTTTCAACACCCCCCAAGGTCTTGTCGATCCCGCGTTTTCCTTTGTTGAGGAGAGCCAAAGTGCCTGAAAACTCAGCAGACACCGCCATTCCTCCACTTCGCCTCAAACATGGGCTGGATACCTATCTGCAGCTTGCCTCCCACAGGGAACGAAAGCCACGTACTCGAGCCCCCGGTCTAAGGTACCGGGTTGCAATACCGATAAACTACCAAGGTCTGCCCGCAGCTCTCCCCAGATCGGGCAACAGAGTGATGCCGCCTTTGCTCTCGCTGTTAGTAGCCTTTAGTTGATTTAGACTGTACACTAAGACCTACTAAAAGCTAATCAATCACACTAATGAGATTCAGAGAGCCTAGAAGTCCTAATCGGATCGACTTTGCAATACTACCTACTACTGGTATATTCAAGCTAGTATTGAGAAATGGTTTTATGATTTGGGACGTTCTGGAATCATTATACATTTATTAAAGGAAATAAAACTGTACACTGTGCAATCCTAAACTTTTTCGAAAGGAACGCTCTTGTTAGGACTTGGGAGGGCCAACAGAGCCAGCACCGATCTTGGCACGGAGACTTGGCACGCACGCTCACTATCAAGGCTTCGAGGAGTCTTTGAATCCCGAGTGAAAAGGAGATGGGTGTTGAGCCTCTTATTGATATCTACCACTGTTCTATTCCCTTACAGTTCTATCGAGCACGGTGGTTGTAAGTAGGTGGTTTTAGTACCAAACTTCGTCACAGATTGCCGGTGGTTATCGCTCAAACTGAAACCGGTCGCGAACTTATCGATCGAGTATGCTCGTATTAGCCGATTCTTCCAGCAACGCTTTATCAATGGTGACTGAGGACAGATGCGAAAACATCTTGGAGTCATGGGCTCATCATGCCGAAGACGGCCTACCTTCCGGAGTTCTCTGTCAGCCGGCGGGAGATAGAGGAAAATCCTTCTCCACGATTTGCCTACTATCCCTGCAGGACCAGGCAGTGACGAGGCCGCCGATGCCCAAGCCCGTTTCTCTTTGCAGAAACCTGTGCCGATAAATGGAAAGGCGAGAATGCCTGGGCCGCGGGGTGCCTCGACCCATTGAGCGATGGCGGCCACGCGACAAAATTTTTCTGTTTTCCAGAGTCCGTGCGGCGGCCATCTCGGCTTTCCTGACCTCCTTCCACATGGTCGGGTCTGGTCCATCTTGTACACAATGAGCCACCCACACCACTTCTGTTTCCATCCGCCCGACTGGGCCATACGGGATCATGGGGCTCGCGCTCCGAGGATGCATTAGTTCTGTCTGTGTGAATCGGCCGAAGGATGAAATGGTCCTACCGGGATGCCCTGGTTTCCTGCGAGCGAGAAAGGCATTGAACGGACTACACAGGAGCTTTGGCCGAACATTGCTCAAATTGTGATGAGACGTTATTCTGGTCTTGTTTCACTTCCGCGCGTTGCGAGTGAGATAGCGATTAGACTATTGGCCGGACATCGCACCGTCTCTGACAACCGGGGTTCGACAGTCTTGGTCGAACAGTCTTCAAGTTTGGCCTCGACTCTTGATCGGAATAAGATTAATCGGACTCAATACTGTCCTCGCGAGAAGATGGTCGAGAATTTCTCCTCCGAAGGAATGCTCAGGCCCATTGGGATTGTCATGCGATGATCGAGGCTGGCAGTACTTCATACGTACGGGCACTGGTTCTGCCGTACTGGGAACCCAAGATCACTTGATGATCCGTTGCATACCTTACATTGCAGCCTCCAAACGCAGTCCTGTCCTCGGTACTATGGTCATACTGCTTCAAGCTTCAGTTGCACAGTCACGGTATCTAGCAAAATAAACCTCTGCACAACTGAGTCTCGCTCCGGAATTAATGTCCGCGATGAATTCTATGGCACCGATCCAGAGAACCCTGGTCTCTCTCTATCGAGCCTCCCTGGTGTACAGCTCCGGAGAGCGAATTCTACAAAGGTAGGGGGAATCGGCGTGGCTTAAGACTATTGTGCACGAACAACCAGCATCCCCAGCGGCGACTGCCACGCTGTGGCGCTGAAGAGCTAACTACAGCCACCACGTTCACGGAAATTCTTGGCTTGAATTGATCTGATTCGATCGCCCGGCATAGTGTCATCCTGGCAGATCAATTGGAGCCATGAGCTTGTCCAGATCCGGGACCCGTTCAGTCGGGACAAACTCTAAAAGGAGTCTGGTCTGTAGTGAGACCCACTAGCAAGTGGTATTACGACTGCACAACTCCCTACTCCGCACGAGCAGGGACAGGGCCACGATACAGTCTGTGCTCCACCCCTCGTCCAATGTTCTCGTCATGATTGCTCCTTCAAGGCTAGGCTGGGCCTACGGCCGCCATGGCTATGAGATCGTGAGCCAAGAAGCTATGTCAACCCTAGATTCTAGCCTAGGTCGCGCGATTCTATGAAGCATGACACCGGCCGCACTCGCACTGGACAATTCGGCATTGATGGCTCTTCCACGCGAGCGGGAGAGCAATAAATCCTCCAAGCTGGATAAGAGACTTCGGCAGGAGGATCCGACGGGCTGGCTTACGACCGTTGAGAGTCCCTCCTCTCCCTTCAACTTCTAACTTTGGTCAACCCTTCACTAACACGCGATGGGTGTTGTGGACATATTGTTGAGAAGATCCTGGCGACTCACAGCTGATCTTCTGCTTGGCAGCTATCCTGTCTTGATCAACGAGATGACATGAGGGCTGCGTTGACGGCACACTGTGGATCTTCCGAGTGAGACAGACACGGGATGAACATTTGTCGCTATAGCCGCCCCTGTCAATGACCTCCGGGGAGATTCTCATTGCTCCATCTTTACGGGATTATCTTGTATCCCGTCCTCTGCGTCGATCCATGGTACTACTCGTCCGGAGCGCTCATTCATGTCATCTTTCCCCTGGTGCCTCATTTCAGCGCTGTCGCTTTGGAAAGAGTGTGTGTGTGGACAGCGCTAGCATGACTGTAGGAGGCCTGTGAAGGAAGACGGGTGATTATCCTCACAAGTTCGGGGCGGACAATCGAGCTCTTTACATCATTTCCGAGGTCGAAGGCTTCTCGCCCAAATGCGCTACTTGGTCGCAGGCAGACCTCTCGTTTTATACTCATAAACTCAGGCTTGAAGAACTATTAGAGACAATAAACTCTCAAAAGACTGTAAATTCCTTCTCCACTTCCATCAGAACGTAGCTGAATAATACCAAACACCAAAAGCCATCCCAGATGCCTGCCTATTGGCCCGTCACGGTAGGCTCAAAAGCAAACCATGGGATCCAGATTGGGACTTCTGCAAGTGGCGTGCAGCTTTATGAGCTAGACAATAGTGCTTTCTCAACTGGAATTGCGAAACCGTTGGAGTTCCGCCATCTGTCTCGCGACATCCAAGTAGATTTCGTCGCTTTTCAGCTTGTGGGGGTTGATCGAGTCAGGCATGATGGCGTGTGAATACTGGCCAGAGACACGAACTTCCGGATCGTAATCAAAAAATCTGTCGTTCCCAAGTTCCACCAGAGTGTAGTTCTCTCCGGCCGTGTATCCCTCCTCGTAGAGAAGCCTTGCAGACAATGCATCTTCGTGCTCATCTGTGATACGATTCCGGGAATAGCAATCGGTCAAAATGCGCAGCAGGTCCCACGAGAATGTGTAGAATTGACCTTGTGGATATAAGTATCCACGATTCCAGTTGAAGGTCGGCCGGGCTATCATGGTTCGGTTCTCGTCCATACGAGGCTGAAGAAAGTCACGGTAGAAGGACTCGGTGTCCAGGAAGGAGTCGTCGTCAATTTTCGAAACCCACTTCCAAGTCGACTTGCCCTTTGTCAAGTATGTGAAAAACTCGATGGTCTTGATCGTATTCGCCACTGTTGCGTTCTCTTCCAAGTGCGACAAGACGATGATATCTTGGTAAGTCTCCATCTCGTGTTGGATAAAGGGGGCCCAGAGCTCTCCCGGGTTCGAGATGACGAATCGCAAGGTGAACCTGTCGTTGTCGTACATCTTGTGCCAGGTTGACCGGATAATGTTACGGCGTCGCTGGCCATGTGCTGGAGACATGGTTGCCAGGAGCCATTCTGACGACCGCATATGCGGGACCCTCGCCCTCGCGAACCTCAGTATGTCCGCCGCTTGACGCTCCAAGACACCTGTCTGTGTATGTATAGGAATCAGGCTCAAGGTGAGCAAGAAAAGCAGGCCTGCGAGCAAGGAAATGTAGCCGCTGCGAGATCTTAGCGAAGCCATGACTCGACCCCCCTTCATAATGATCCTGATGATGTAGTATAACGACCAAAAGACTTGTGAAGCGCGTGTTGGAGCTTATGAGACCCTCGTGCTGCCTACTTCGCCTGGATTCGACAGAGAGGACGGCAAACGGTTGCTGTTCAGTGTTCCGTGTTCACCGTGGTCTGTGCAAGAGCCACACGTTTGTCCCAGCCCATTCCGATTTCGCTGTGATTTTCAGGTTTGGATGCATAAACTTGTGAAATATCAATGCTCAAGCCACATTAAAGGTTGGATAATTGTATAGTTGAATTTCTTGTCGAGTTTTGAGCTGAGAAAAGGTACTGATTCTCCTATAAAGTAAGCGTTCATCCAAGTGGGTGGGGCTTTGACTTTGCCACGTTCACGAGCACCTCCGGTCGAGCTAACTAGAGACCAGAACGCCAGTCCAGACTCCCGTTCGAGGTCAATGCGTGGATTTCTCACTCTGGCCAATTTTCTCCAATATCGCTCAAGTTCAGTTTGCTGTTTCCGAGCCAGGTGCGCGAACTATTTCCGATGCTCGTCCGGCAAATTGGCAATATTCAACCTATACGACTCATCCTCCTGGTCTCTAAAATTCAAGTCGTCTGCGACTTTGCGCATAGAATCCTTCTGGAGTTCTCTATTTCAACATGTCCACGGCGGAAGATACGCACGACCAACATCCTCATGTCTCGATGGCCAAACTACCGCTGTGGTACAGCAGTGGGTACTCTCAATCCATGGTGCGCGCGAACCATGCGTTCACAGGGATCCTGAGTCTTATGACATGGCTTCTTCCCGAATGCCTGCATCCTCGAGGCTCGGCAAACAATATGGCTCTCCGTCCCACGGCTTACCTCGACGCAATACGAGGTTACGCTGCATGGTCGGTCGTCAACCACCACCTCAGAAATCATACCGAAACCTGGTTATTCCAACAACCCCCACTTCTCATGCTGCACAAGGGCAGCTTGGCGGTAGATATATTCTTCATCATATCTGGTTTCGTTCTGAGCAGGAGGGCACTTGATCTCGTCCGCCAGGAAAGAGAGGTTGCACTCCTCGAGTGTCTGGCTTCCTCAACCTTTCGGAGATACATTCGCCTTTACCTTTCGGCTGCCGTCGGCACCTTCATAGCAATGGTGCTCTTCTACTTCAACATATGGTCATGGTATTCCCTACCAAGGTGTGAATCCTTCGGCGCTCAACTACTCCACTGGGTTGGCGATGTGGTCGCATTCAGCGATCCCTTTGCCGACCTCAAGGGATGGTACTATACCGATGTTTTCACGAGCAAGTACCTATTCGTTCTTTGGACCATTCCGATTGAATTCCGAGGATCGATGGTGGTCTTCCTGTTCTGTACGGCGACTTGCAAATTCTCTGCGCGTGCGAGAACGGTGGCCTGTTGGCTCTGCATCCTGCTCTGCTACATATGGCAAAGGGTATATATCTCATTGTTCTTGTTCGGAGTCCTGCTCGCCGAAATCTCACTCAGCCGTCAATCGACGTCCAAAGATGACCTCCCCGTGTGCGAGCAAAAATTTTCACCTATTGCACGGTCAAAGCGAGCCGCCTTTCACCTGGTTCCCATCACCATTCTCATCATTGGAATCTTTTTGAGCAACCAGCCAGTCGATCTGGGATTGCATGGGCCGAACCCGTGGCCATACCTTGACAACTGCATCCCTTCATGGTGGGAAGCCGGTGCGGAGTCAACGATACATTTCTGGACCAGTATTGGTGCGTGCTGTATCCTGTATGCGATCGAGACCTACCCAGCATTCCGTCGGCCACTGGAGACGTCATTTTCGCAATACCTTGGCCGGTTATCTTTTGGCATGTATATCATGCATGTGATTGTGCAAATGGGCCTTTACGAGCGTGTATTGAACCCGGCCCGCGAGGTCTTTTTGGGCGAGTCTCTCTTGAGCTATTGTGTGATATACGTACCTTTTATGATCGTTGTGCTCTGGGTGGCAGATTACTTCAACAGGATGGATCGCCTCGTCATAAATTTCAGCCGGTGGTTGGAGAAGAGATTGTTCGCTCAAGACTCAGGTCAAAGCTCCAAATAATCCCGTGGTGCTGGATTGCCAACACAAGACCTGCAGTGAAGATGAGGCCATGCTTGCACGACACAATATTCTTGCAGGATGTATATATAATTATACCAAGCTACACAGCTCAGTATGTGCTTCATAGACAGAAGCTATAGATAGAAGCTATAAAGAGAAGCTATAAAGAGAAGCTATAGATATTTTAATACGTACAGCAATCTCAAGCTTAACCAGCGTCCCTGTAATTGATGCGGTACACTTATAACTGTAGTTCACAATCATCGTCTTACTACAAATCGGCAGATAACTCGCAGTGCAACCTTCACATAACCCCATAGCCTATTCCTTGCGCATTAATGTTTCATTCCAATTCTTATTCTAGCGGTCTAAAAGGGGTACAGTGTCACGACTTGCAGAGGCTCCCTGCTGAATCTGGATGTCACTAGCAATATGATGAATAAGGGAGCGAGATCAGGAAGTGTACCATAACACGTATTAGGACGTATACTTGCTAGGACTGGGAAAGCATATAAGAAGCCTCTCCCTCAAATCAGGTAGAGAAGACTTCTACAACTTTGGAGTTATTAGTCGTTGCTACAGACGGCTTTTCGAAAAAAAAAAAATTCAACTGTATCAATTAAAAGTCTCGGTGCTATGACGTGAAGCTCGAGATATGCCAGACCGTCCCAGATCTCTATAATACAAACAAGTTTGTTTTATTCATAATTCGTCTTTCTTTTCCTCAGTCTCAAGCTGGCGGCCTCAATTCGGTCAATTCGCCGTGTCCGACGGCGCTACCGATATCTTCCATGGACATGAACTGACCGGTAACATCTGGAAACAAACTCTCAAAGGTGCCTTCCTTGGCCAGAAATCTTGGAATGTTCTGACGAGTAGAGAAGACTAGTCTTTCAGATTCTGCGGTCGGTCGAATGGCCGTTCCGTCCATGTTTTCGTCCTCTCTGATATCACTGCCCCGGTCGACGCTCCCAGCGGGCTTGGATACACCCACGATTGTCGGGTATGGCGCAATGCAACGCATGTTCCACGTCTTCTGGAAGCACATCTGAGCCACGCCCATGTCGATCGCGTCGTTGAATGGGCTCATACTCAGCTCATAGAGAATCTTTTCCGCACCGGCCAAAGAGACGGCCCAGGCAGCGCTACACGAGCCCAGTCCGACGTCGAAGAGAAGGCGAGTCTGGGTGTCTTGCTCCGGTGCAGATTCCCACCGCTCCATGTCGGGCTTGAACCAGTAGCTGCGATTGCCGGGAGGTACCACGGTAGGATCTTTAGGGATGACCCATCTGCGAGAATTCGATGGCTCTGCGGAGCAATGGCCGATCCAGAGCACGTCCCAGCCATCGCCGTAAGGTGAGTGTGGGATCGCTTCCTTCCTGTTGCCCAGAAGCCAGCGGGACCCCCGCGCGACTTGCAGCATTTGATGTTTGATGCCGACATCCCAGTCGGCGTCGTCCTCGAAGATGAGAGCTGACCTTACGCGTTTCCGCACCATTTGCTGCATGGCATTCAGATGCGAACGCCAACAGCCAACTTCAGGAACAGTGCGGTTCATGGTGTGCGGCTGGGCTTTCTGAGAAACCTGGGAGCCGACGGCACCTTCGATGAAGTCAAACGAGATGTTGGTCATACGGGCCTGCATGCTGATCGCATCCTGCTTGTCTGTCCGTTCGGCAAGGGAGACGACAAAGATCTTCCCAAACCCGAGGGTATCGTTGTACACGTCGTGCAAGTTGTCATGTTCAAGAATCTTTTGCGCTGATCTTGAGGTATGCGTCCGAACAGTATCAGAGTATGTCGACCAAGAACCCGGGATTGTTAAGAAAAAAAGGTTACTGACGACGAAAACGGTGACAACGACTAGAGTGTATTTCATGAGGAACGGCCATCGGCGCTTGGGTAGGGGGTGGGCCTCGAACCCAAGAAATGGTCCACTTTCCATCTGGGAGGATCAAGTTGTGCCTCAGCTTTTGCAGCGTCGTTCGCTATCCTCCGGGGGGAGGAAGAAGACTTCCCTGGGTTAGCTGCAAGTGCGAGAGCTACTATGATCAGAAGTTCGACTTGTTCGTAGACTGTTGATCGACGCTTTCAGAGTTATGAATGGCAACCAAGTGTTCAAGCAACGGAGGAGAAAGAAGAAGCATAAGAAAAAGGACCAGGTGTTGTAGAGACTCCTCCAGCGATACAGGTGGGCCACTATCTATCCATCGCATGAACCTACCCCGCGGGTGTGATGATGGCGATTAAGTAAACTACCCTACCAGGAAGGCGTCGAGGCACTTTGTCCAGCTCAAAGTATAACTTGGAGCATCTAGTGTCGCGGCGATAAAATGGAGCATGAGAAATAGCTCCCGTGCCCTACAGAGGCCCAAGCTGCCGGGCTTCTAGACTGACATGAATGAGGTCCAAGCGCACGCTAAAGCGGGCCCAAGCTTGCAAGGGAGTTCCTCGCACAGGAGGCTTGGTTCCCGGCCATCTGGCATAATGACACTGCCGAGATCTGAGTTTTGTCGAGGATTTGCGTAAATCGTACCCACTTGAGTGGAGACCGGTCCAACCAGAAAAGGAAGTTCCAGATCTGCAAATAGTTCCTACCCACCACTGAGTCTGCCCGTGTGCTTTGTACGAATGCGGGCACTGCTCAGTGCTCAGCCCAGGAAGGCGAGATTGCAAAATGCCTCTTATACCCTTGCACCTTGGACAGAATCCACCGTTCAGCCGTCCCCATCGGCCCATCGGGCGGTTCCCATCAAAAGCACTCAGTGGGAGACGGGACGGAAGCAAGACACAAGTGCTCCAGGGCGCCAGTAGCAGAGAGTCGATCCGGGACATCCGTTCGGCGAAATGAGTCTTCGTAGTAGTGTTGGCCGTCCACTCCTCACTATTGGTAGGACGTGACCGACGTGTGGCGAATCGCGGCAAGTACACGAGGAGTAGCATAAATAGGCCGGCACCCCCCTGGTCGCTCATACAATTCGACGTTATTGTGTTCGTTGGGTTTGACCAGCGGAGGTACCAGTCCGTTCATGCTACCCCTCCTGCAGGCCGAGGTTCAGACCTCTGTTGAGAGCCAGAGAAGTTTGACAATGGAGAGCATTGGGGTCCACTTCTGACCAGGTTGATTGCGTTCGACCATGTATGCGCAAGCACATGGTTTTGAATCAGAATAAGACAGATGCAGAGAGCAGAGTGAATAATTCACGAAGCATCGAGGACATGCCAGCCTGCTCGTCATGAGTTCACCAGTTCTCTGGAGGCTCCGGGAGATCGTCTACAAGCTCGTTTTGTGACTTCGTCTGTGTCAAGATAAACCTGTCCAAGTCTGTCCATATATTTCTCAGTCATGACTGGCGGCAGTCAATTGGAGGGAACACAGACCGAGCGAATAACAGGGCCCTGCAGGCGGCTGTTCGCCGTGTGGCTGAAATATACAATTAGTCATCAGTCATCAACATGTGAAGATCTGCCACTGCGTGACAAGTTGATGAGGTACATCAGAATTGCTTAGTATTTCTTATTAGATATAAATCTAAGAAGTTAGTTTGTGGTCATCCATCGTCATGATAGTATCTTGACATTGAGACTTTACGAGCGTGGCAGTTACTAGTGCAGTCTAATACATTGAGTAAGCGTTAGTAGAGTCACTAGAGTGATGGGTAGAGAAAGTGAGGCACTAGCCGCACTAGCGGCACTAGCGCGGCAGGGACAAAAGCCTAGAGAGGTCGTCGTAAAAGCGGCGCTGTCAGCGACCCCGTGCCAGAGTCGTGCCAAGAGGCCACCAAGGCAACGCCGGAAGATGCGTTAGGCCGTTGCACGGTCTGAATCCAAGTCCCATATCCCACTCCAACGCCCGTCGGGTTGCAAACAGATGATGTGCTGATTTCGATCTGGACGACAGCGGTTCTTTCACAGCCTCCCCCCTGGTCAGCCATTGCCAAACCAACCGCAATAGCACTCAACCTTTCAAGTGAAACGCTCCAGATGACAAACGTGTGCAACGACGCTTTTTTGTGCCCTGACCTGACATTCACCGGGAAGGTCATTCTTAAGGCTCTCTCTCTTTTCTAAAGGAGGGGCACCTCCTGCACCGACCCATGGTAATGCTTTCGTCAATGATCAAGTCGTCAGCTCGACTCTATCACAATGGCACAAGTCTGGCCACCATCTCCATGCGTGGAGGATGAAGACGTATCTCTGTCGAAGGAACTCCTGCTCGATGTACCCATACATAAGACCAAGAACGATGATCAGCCTGCAGGAAGTCGAGGCTCGGTTGATCAATACCCCATCATTATCGACAGCGATGACTCGGATACAACCAGCAAGCAACATGGCTCGGACTCGGATGATGTTCCTTCTCAACCTCACTCTGGACACGCCAGCGCGGAGTCGACTACCAACACCGAGAAGCGATTTGTCTTGTTCTCTCCTGAAAGATCCGAAGTTGTGGAGGAACCACCTCTCGAGGACATGCATAGATCTAGATCTACTCCTCAGCTGAACATACGAGAGGAACACAGAGGGAGACCACAAGTGACAAGGATCCACACAGATTTGGGCCCAAGTCGAGAAAGCATGGCGGCGGACCGTCATCGAGAACCATCGCCATATGCTTACAGCAACCAGTCTACAATGGACTCGACATCTGCTGGACCGCGCTCCGGGATTAACCTATTGTCGCCCATGGATGCTAACAGATCAAGAAGGTCTCTGCCGGTGCGACAGCGCAGTCATCCGCAGAAACACGACAGTAGTGACTCAGAGCACGGCTCCAAGTCGAAAAGAAGGCCTGGACGAAGTCGGAGTCGCGCTCCTAGAAAGAGCTTTTCCCAGACCGATCGACCCGAAATCGAGAATACGAAGAGCCCTAGACGTACTCAACTAGATTCGAGGACAACTGAAGACTACAGTTACAATACTCGTCGTCATGGCAGTGCAGCTCCGTCTAAAGGAGATTTCGTCGGCTATAGCTCCAGCTTTAAAGAACACATCACACCACCACAGAGCCCCAAGCCTCTGCCGGGATCTACCCGATCGTCTCTGTCAGAGTCTGCGAGGGATCATGCATACTTCAGGCATGGCACTGACCAAGTCATCACCGACTCACCTTACACTTCCTCGGCGGATGAAGGGCGCTCTCGAAGACAGATTTCAGGAGATGAGAAGAGAGGGAAAAGTGTTGGCCGTTCACGAAGAGCCTCCTCTAGACTTGACCTTCAGGAAATCGACAGGACTTCCACAAGTCGAGCTACTTCTAGACACCGCGATCGTGGGTCGAGAGATGTGTCATCGCCGGAGCCGGTGTTGTCGGATGAGCGACGGCGGCGGGAACCAGATACTCCTCTCTCTGCCCGGGCATTGAAAGCCACAGAAGATTACTTCGGCAGAGCTCTCGGCAGCAAGCAAAGTAGAAAGCTTGAGCCTGGCAATGATCAGTCACGACCTGTATCTCCACTGAGCTCACCCTCAGCTAGCCCTCCCCGTCCGCCTCGTGGGGACAAGATGCCAAGACACGATTTTCAGCCACCATCAAGTGCTGCCAATACCTCGAAACCGAGATCTCGTCCCCCCTCTCAGGATGATAGCCACTCCAATGGCATCAAGCCCCTTACCACACTCCTTAGTGCTGCGACCTTAGGTGCTTCCTTGGCCAAGGCAATTCCGACTGTATCGAGATCCATCGCCACCTCTCTTAACAGTGCGGAATCTCTCAACAGTGGAAGCCAGAGTAGGCCAAGTAACGGAGACAGATCACGAAAGGCCTCGCCAGATCTCTTTATAAGAACCAGCTCGGTGCCGGGTAGAGATGAAGGCCCGTCACTCCGAGTCACGACTTATCCCGTTCATGATGAACGGACACAGCAGAGATCTTCCACCTACACGCCTACTCCTGCTGAAAGTCCTCGAACAGCGGCACGAGCTGCGTCTTATTCGTATCCACCGGAAATCTCACGACCGGCTGTACCTCATAGAGCGATGTCCACCTCGTCAACACAAAGTTTTCATCAGTATCTAAACGTAACATCACAGCAGCCCATGGTCTCGGCGCCAGTCACGCCTGACCCAGTCAACATGTCTTTGCCAGTGGTGCCTCGACCTAGTGTTCCATCACCGTGTCCTAGATCGACGCCGGTGACCGGACTATATGATTGGTATACCATTCGTGACATGTCGTTTCTAGACTTCTGTCCGTCGTGTATGAACTTCCTCGGCGGGACCAGATTTCGAGATCACTTCATTCCTAGCATGCCTAAAGACCTTCGGCAACCGGTTCAATGCGCTATGAGCAAGCCATGGATTCGTCTTGCATGGCTACAGTGTGTCAAACATGACAAGAAGGATCTTTCTCTTGTCTGGGGTTTGACTCAGCCTCCTCCAGAAGGAACGAGAGCCTGTCCTGGTCCCGTACCCGAGCATAGAAGATGGTATCACTTGACAGATCCAAGGACTAATCGGCCTGTGGAAGGATTCGATATCTGTTCCGCATGTGTCATGAAGATTGACATGACATTTCCTCAATTGCGGTCCTACCTCTTTGACAGGCCGCGAGACAAACTTAACGAAGAAAGGATATGCAATGTCAATACCAACAGTCGACACTTCTGGCCCATCCTTACCGAGTTGGAACGACTGGCGGACCGTCGATCCAGGGAGTCTTTAAGGCAGAGAGATATCATCGACTTTGTTGATTACATTCGACGGATATCCCGCCATCGCGAATGCCTCAAGGACACTATGCTGGCAATGACTGCATGGCATTTCATCCCTGACCTACCCGAATTCACAATCTGTGAAGACTGCTTTCAGGAGGTAGTCTGGCCTCTTAGAGATCGACCAATAGCACGAGAAGTGTCCAGGACTTTGAAAGTCGTTCCTAATCTGCAAAGAAACCAATCAATACAAGGAATAAGTTGTCAGCTATATAGCGACCGTATGAGGAGGATTTTTCATGACGCCGTTTCGAAGAATGATTTTGAGTGCCTGAGAGCAGCGGCGAGACACAGATATAGCATGGAGCATAGGCTGCAGGAGCTTCAAAGGCGCTATAAAACGGACCAACAGGCTGGGTGGGATAGGAGGGGCGAGATGGAACAAAACATAACGATCTGGAAGTCGATTGAATGACTAACGATTCATGAGAGATGATTTAATGGTTGACGAGAATGAAAACAAATGCCGGAACATAGGAAAAGTGATCGAGAATGTCTTTCCAACGGATGTCATATAATAGTACTCTTATCGTTCCAGCTGTGAGATGCTATCGCTAGGCTGTGCCATTGCCTTATCTCGATAACCCTCGGAACATGGTCGAATTGGTCAGAGATGCCTCGACAAGGGCCAGTAGGCGCTTCGAAGTTCAAATCCATACATTGACACCTGTATATATCTTTCACCTGTCCGTTCGGTGCAACTGTTTGTCACCCTGCAGCGATTCCTTTACCTAGTACCCCGCAGCCGAAAGGCGTCTCTGGCCGCGGGGGTTTCCACTTCCCCTGTGTTGTAGAATCATCTTTCCAACGGCTATTAACGCCTTCTCTTCCGCAGTGAGTTTGTCGAGTAAGACCTGTGCGCGATGCCGGATCCAACCCAGGGCCTTCTATGTATAGGTAGATTCCAGGCCTGAACATCCCATGAACGATCGATTTTCCTGATCCATTGTCAGATGGGGGCGGTGTTCGAGGTCTTGCGTCTTTGCTAATACTAGACCATCTCATGTACCAAATGTCTCCGGACAGAGAATTACGTCCGTGTGAGGTTTTCGATATGATTTGCGGTACGAGCACTGGGACATCATTGCTGTTATGCTCGGCCGACTTGTACGTCGTCCAGCGCTGGGGCACTGTACTCGGACTAATATCCCGGCAAGCGGATGCGGGTTAAGGACTGCATTAAAGTCTACCATGAACTCTCAAGACAACTATTCGACGTGGGCTGGAGACCTAAGGGGGACAAAGCAGCTGCGGGACTGATGGGTTATCAAGGGGATGCGATGGTGCGTTCAGCCAGATTGAAAGAAGCCATCTGCAATGTCATCGACCAATACCTCCTTTCGGAGGAGAAAAACCAATATCTCCCATCAGTGAAGAGCTCTGCTCAAGCGCAAGCTCTATCGTTAGCAGAAAGGGCTCCACTGCTTGAAGAAGAGGGCTCAGGTCACAAGGTTTGCAAAGTGTATGGCTTCGGAAATCCGAAGATAGTATCAGCTCACAGCGATCAGGTTTGTAGTCACTTCACAGAAGACCGACGGACAGCAAGTCCTGCTACGCTCGTACCAGAATACCTCAGATCCGAACCACGACTTTACCATTGTGGAGGCATGCCTTGCAACTTCCGCGGCGCCAACTGTCTTCGGGCCACTGGTCAAAGATATCGATGGGGGATTACAATCCTTCGTGGATGGCGCGTTCGCCTTCAACAATCCTATATCACTCTTGCTGCAAGAATCACGTCATATTTGGCCAGAGATCCCCATTGGGGCTATTGTCAGCATTGGCAATGGCTCTGGAGTCCCCAGGAAAATCCAAAGCAATCTCGTTGGACTGGCGAAGAAAGTTGCCGAGATCACTACAGATGCAGAACGCCTCGCTCAAAAATTTCGAGCGACAATGTCGAGTGACCGAGCCGGATCTTCTTTCTGTCTACTTCCGTCTAACCCTTGGTTCAGATCTGGGCCCGATAGCCTTGGATGAATGGAGACTGCTGCCGGTCATTGCACAACGCACTAGGAGTTGGCTTCAGAAGAATATCCGCCAGGTCATAGCATGCACTGACCAACTAAAAATCATCTCAAACTCCAAAGAGAACGATTCACAACACCAACGTCGACAATCACCAGCGACTGGGACTACTTCATCCCTCGGCTCTACCGTCTCGGATCCCTCCCAGCTCTCACCTCTTCCTGGTTTACGTGCAGAGCTCATCTCCTTAGACGAGCGGTGGCCTTGCGAGATCTTGATCACTGATCCGTCCGATGGGAACGAGCTCCGCATCAGCTTCTGGCGCACTGTACGAATCCCCGAAGACGGCAAAGTGTATGACCTACCAGCTGGCTTGGGAAGATTCCCTTTAGTCGGTGCTCTGGCGTTCCGAGATTTATTAGTCGAGGAAGATGATGAAAAGATTGATGTCTTACTTCCAATGTACGATCGGGAGGCCATGTATGTCGAATTTTCTGCCGGACGCTACGAGCACAGTTTGGATTTCAGCCAGAGACCATTTGCAGTGCGACCTTATGTTGGCAGAATCAATGCTATCTCAAGTTCTCCTATGCAGAGTGCAAGCACCCATGGTTATCCAGGAGGCGACATGAAGCCAAGGACTAGGGTTGGAGTGGAATATACGAATGAAGTTATCACAGCTCCCCCAGATTATCGACAAGATTACATTGTCACAGAGGCCTCTATCCACGATATTCGAGTGCATGCCCAATGGCTTGATGGAGTTGCGTATCAGCCAGGCCGAGTGAAACAGTTTGTAAGTGTACCGTTCGGAAGCGGTGCGTCTATCGAGGCCCAAAAATCCGGCGAGGAGAAATATGGTGGGATTCAGCTGGAGATCATTCCCACCTTCCCGTTAGATCGACTTCGAAAACTCACTGGCAAAACCATTTGTCTTTCTATGCTCAACATAACAGGGAAAACGGTGGAGATCATGATTGATGGGGGTGCCTTGGTCTATGACCTCCTACAGATGATTGATGCTCGTGTTGGTGCCGGAGGAGCCAGTCTTGGCTTCTGGAGACTCATCTTTCGGGGTATTGGGCTGGAACCCCTGGGTCGTCTCGCAGATTACGGTATCTCGAACAATTGCACAATCCATATGGTACCTAAGCTCCGAGGTGGCGGATCAGGGCCAGCGATAGCGGCGCCCAAAAGAATGTCTCTCGGTGCTGGAGGGTCAGTCTCTCAGAATATCAGCGCCGACCATTACCAGCCTTCTGTATGGGACGCGAGTCGACGGAAGCTGATAAATATTCAGATCATCAATTCTAACGATTTCGAAAAGCTCACAGGGGTGAAATCACCGCCCACGCCGATCGGATTCGAGACATATGAAAGTCTCGGCCTGCCATTCTTCCACTACTACCTTGAGGACGCCACCGCTGTCAGTGGGGATTTCAGTGGTGTGATGTCAATAGAAGCTTTAGCGGGACAAAGTGCTGCGAGCTTCACGTCCGCCTTAGAAGACGGAGCTTCTAATCGATCGGGGTACGACTGGGTCACGTCGCCCAAGGAGTGTGCCAACTGCCGTGACGATGTACCTCAGAAAATGTAAGTATCCAAGCCAATGTCTTTGTGGCATGCTGATGAGCTTTGCAGTGTTTCTCCGTGTGAACATTCGCTCTGCCGAGCCTGCTACCAGTCTATTCCGTTGCAAATGCTGAGCAAAGTGGGCGAAGCAGGGCTGCAATTAGCCTCGGTATGCCCAGTTCAAGGTTGCAACAGACGGATCGCCAAGATTCTGGTATTTCCTCACACAGCTGAAGATGTCCAGGTCGACCACCTGGCTGGTCGTGTTGAGTTGCCTATGCGAGAAATAACGACAGAGATGCCGCCTTTCTGGAGTTATCGGACTCGGGATTAGCGACTGTCAGATCGCGAGATAGATGCCTTGGTGTCAACCTCAATGGTCGGCCGGCCTGGTCTGCATTGAGGAGACCGAGATTATGGCTAGGGTTGAGGGTCAACGTGTGGACTATCCTCAGTGCCTTCTACCCAGCTTATCACCCGTTGTTTCGTCTTCTCTGCCTCCCTAGCTTGTCTTGGTTCGCATGGAAATGACCGATGTCATTGATTGACGGGGTTGAGGGTTGAGGCGTGGTTCGCTCCAAGTGTCTTCTCGAACTCGCATTGCGCTCGTTAACATTTTTGATTCGTGGCTTTAAACATGCCTCAGCTAGGTAGATCGACAACTGTAGCAGTCGACAACAAGTATTTCATGAAGCTCACTCATCGACCTCGAAAGATCCCAGGCGGATGCTCGCACGTGACGTCGCCGTCTCGGCATACCTTCCTCCTTCCCCGGCTAATCGATCTTCAAGCTGCGGCCTGCCATGATAGATGGAGGAGCTTTCGACGGCTCGATAAACATAGACCAGCAGCGAGCGCTTCTGACACTTGTGTTCTGCTATATTTCCGTTATCCCAGAGGACACAATGAGTCTTGTCTACCCGGCTGGTGCCGCGACGGCAGCGTTAGGCGTGGTTGGACTGTGTAAGCCCTCTACGTGCCACTTTGGCATTGCCCTCTTGCTAGCTAACAGGTCTTGCAGATATGCTGTTCAACGGCGAGGGCGAGAGATTCAACGTATGCAACTTCCAAACGTGTCGCGCGACTCGTAATCTAACATTTTCTTGCTTAGGTTGGACAATTTCTCGAAACGGTGTCTCCTTACGCATGGGCTGATCTGGGTATTGGCTTGTGTATAGGGTTGTCAGTGGTGGGAGCAGCATGGTAAGCAGCGAGAATACCCCCTTGGCAGATGGGACTCGCTATGTATCTTGATGAGACAAGAAGCTGATGTAGTATCGCATTGCAGGGGCATCTTCATCACAGGCACGTCAATTCTGGGAGGCGGAGTCAAAGCCCCCCGGATACGAACGAAGAACTTGATCTCGATCATCTTCTGCGAAGTTGTCGCCATCTACGGAGTCATCATGTCCATCGTCTTCTCCTCCAAATTGAAGTTGATTCCTGAAGAGAATTTGTACACTGGGCCGAACTACTACACTGGTTATGCGTTGTTCTGGTCAGGCTTGACTGTCGGCATGTGCAACTTGATATGCGGTGTCAGCGTGGGAATCAATGGAAGCAGTGCAGCCTTGGCCGACGCCGCCGATGCCAGCATGTTCGTCAAAGTTCTGGTTATTGAGATCTTCTCCAGCGTGCTAGGTCTCTTTGGTCTTATCATTGGGCTGTTACTCAGCAGCAAGGCTCCGGAGTTCGAGTGAAGGAGTCAAACCGTGGCAGACATGAAAAGATTCTCATTACGCGGATAGCGCGTGCCAACCAGCTCATTCAGGCCGGGAAGGAAGTTCTTGGTCATGTCGAGTTAGGCTTTCCGGCTTCGATCACAAACGACACGCGCCCAAAACCAGGATTGGATGATACGGGAAGCTGAACCCAAAGCTGCGATCACGCGGAGGCGAAGGAGTACTGATACAAGAGTGTTTGCAAGCAGTGTAGATTGTATATTTATTGCACTGGGCTTGAGGCGTCGGCGAGTCTTTACAGACGCGACCGCCATGTTAAGCCCAGGCTGCTACTATACTTGATGGAGTAATGCATCAATTAATGTCCACAACGACTTTGTGCTCGTTCAAATGCTGCTCTGAGTGACTTGGGCACCTTTTCTAGGCGCATACAGGCCCAGCAGGCACTTGTAATTATGTACTCACGACCTTATGTAACCAACTTGATTCGTGGCCTTGACAAGTTGACACTACGTCACCGACTTCGCTCTCGATCGTCCGTTCTCGACGCTTCCCAACACACATGGCCAGGCATCTTCACCTGCGCTACAAGCAAGATGACACTTGTCCAAATACTGTGGAATGAACGGTGTTGGCCTTTATGTCTCGTTGCCTGTTGCTTGACACTGTAGGATTTCCCTGCCAAACCCAATCCCGACCTCCACCGCACCTTGGGCTGTCGACTTTTTGGTAAACTTTGGATGTGGACACTTTGGGCGATTCACCGATCCTTTCACACCTTATTGTCTGATCGATTCCTTGGTCAAAAGCAATATCCGGCCTTCGACGACAAGAATCGACTCCGGCAATGAGTCACAATGTTCATTCATTGGGTCCGACGTGCGCATTCTACGAAGAGGATGACCCTGCCTCCCCGGGCGATGGCCTAACACCACCGAGAGTAAAGGCACAGTTCTTTTACGTGTCTTCCCTTCCTATCGACGACCCGCTGTCTCCTCTGCCTCCTGTCTCGGCCGACAAATCTACAGATTTCCCTCCGCAGCCCTTCTCAGTCCGGGACAATGCGGCGCTCGAAGAAGCATGGCAGGCGTTCCAGAGTAGTGGGCGCGGGACAAGGCGGCCTGAACCAGAACGTGGGAGGAAGAACTTCACCCGTGGAATATTCTCCTTTCCCGATTTCAGAGATTCTAGTGGCTCTTCCTCTGCGCAACGGTCTCCCATGAAGGATGGTTCCAAGTTTGGCGGTGGGTTAGGCAGACAAAAGCTGGCTGCAACCGAGAAAGAAGTCATACTAGACCAAGTGCCTTCGAACTCGAGAAGCAACGCCGAACCCGTGGATGCCCAAGAGTTGGAGGACAGCTCGGATGACAACAACGCCGGGGCTCGGGAGCCGTCGAAGAACAAAAGGCATTTCTCTCCTTTCCGCCAAAGGCACAAGAATGGCAAAGCAAGTCGGGACAACTCACCCAGGGCCTTGAAAGACGGAGACCCACAGGTACCCTCTGCTCAAAGTACGGCACAAATGCAGTCTGACATTAGTGGCCGGCCCTTTGCTCGAGCGCCCAGCGGACGTAATATTACCTCGGGTTATGCCAACGGTGCCGTGTATGGAACTTCAGACGTATCGGAAGATGACTCCAAAGACCGAAGTCGGTCACGAAGTATAGGTCGGTGCCGTCAGAAGAGAAAGGAAGAAGGCAAGGTCTTTGTACCTGTCGGGGTGTCCCGTTTGCATTTGGTCGAAATGCCCGATCTGATCATGAAACCCATCTATTGGTCTCCGATAAATGACACCTCGAACGTGATAAGAGCAACCTGGTTCTACAAAGACACAATGCTACCTGTGCCGGCGGAAGTAGCAAACCGACTGGAAGTAGGCTATGAGTATATGATGCCCTATGGCGCTTCTTACCAGGAGGAGCTCCAAGCCTGTATTGAGAATGGCGCCTCGGCTGAGATGAAGGTTGTACATAAGTTGTGGCCGGATGAGCCTAAGGTCAGCAGCAGGCCAGGAACCGCCGTGGACATGAAGGACAACAAGCTCGACACTCATGAAGGATTTGGCGAGGGCTTTCTCCCCGAGCGCGCCGCCAATACTGCGGCCGACCCCCGGAAAGCCAAAGATCGACGACTATTCTCGACACACAGTGTAATATACCTTGACGCCAGAAATGCGCAAATTTTGAGGCCTAGTCTCCTGCCTTCCATCAGCCAGAATCGGAGACCTTTGAGTTCTTTGCGAAAAGGACGCCAAATTGGCGTGGCTGTTGTTCGTGGCTTCGACCGCAAGGCGTGGCTCAAAATTCATCCTGATCCAAAGATGGATGCTAAGGCTGCACACGCTAAGGTGGGAGCGTATATGTCTCAGTCAGGAGACGCTACTACTAGGGGGAGGAGAATGTCTTGTCCCGCTTGCGACCAAGATGCTAAAGCCCCGAAGGTGTCAGATCTCGTGCTTGTCATCCACGGCATTGGGCAGAAACTTTCTGAACGCGTTGACAGCTTTCACTTCACTCATGCGATTAATGGACTGAGGCGCGAGTTTAATGTCGAACTGTCGTCCGAGGCCGTCAAGGGTAATCTGAGAAAAGGCACTGGTATCATGGTATTGCCTGTCAATTGGCGCCTGACAGTGTCCTTTGAAGAGGAGGGCAGTGCTTGCAAGGAGAACGTGGAGAATAGGTACGCATTGAAAGATATTACACCAGACAGCCTACCAAGTGTGCGGTCTCTCATTTCCGACGTCATGTTGGACATCCCGTACTATATGTCTCATCACAAGGACAAGATGACCTCGGCTGTCGTGCGGGAGGCGAACAGGGTCTACCGGCTTTGGTGTCGAAACAATCCAGGATTCGAAGAGTATGGTCGAGTTCATCTTATTGCACACTCACTCGGATCCGTTATGGCGATGGAGATTCTCAGCAAGCAGCCCACTAAGCTTGGAAAGGACATCAAGTTCGACACCAAACGGCCGAGCGAGAAGTTTTTTGAGTTCGACACCACCAACCTGTTTTGCTGTGGAAGTCCGAGTGGGTTTTTCTTGCTGCTCAATAATGCCAGTTTGATCCCTCGCAAAGGACGAAACAAGCCTGGGATGGAGGGTGAAGACAGACAGCCTGGAATTGCCAGCGAAGCTAGGTATGGTTGTTTGGCGGTCGACAACATCTACAACATTTGCCATCGAAATGATCCCATTTCGTACTTACAAAACGCCTCGGTTGATCAATTATACGCAGCTTCCCTCCAGCCTGCGTCAATTCCAAGTGCTAGTGTTGGCTTCATGACACGGATTGGCAAGAGCTTGCGGTGGGGTTCGACCTCGGCGTCTGACGCATATACGGCGGTGGTCCCTCCTACTCGACCGGAACTACAGCATATCCCGAGCACGGTTGAGCTCGAGACTCACAACTTCACCCGCGAAGAAGTGGCAGAGAAAAGGATGTTTCTACTCAACGACAACGGTCAGATTGATTGGTTCCTAAATTCAGGCGGCGGCCCTTTGGAAATTCAGTACCTCAACATGCTCAGTGCACATAGCAGCTATTGGATCTTGCAAGACTTTGTACGATTTCTTGTCGTGGAGATTGGAAGAGAGGCAGGGAAACACCATACTCTTCCGGCTTTGAGGGCAGTGAAGAAGAGAGAATATAAGAGAGGCGACATTGAGTGATGGGTGTGAGGAGTGCTTCACGTCGATAGATAATGCTATGCAGCGTTTGAGCATGCATATCTAGACGGACAACCACAGCATGTACAATATTTGGTTCCCGGGGTGGGAGGATGCTCACAAGGCGTTGCAATGACCTGGTGGTTTGGTTTTGCTGGATTATTGTTAGACATTGATACCCACAAGCATTGAATGAGAGAGATGTATGATGATAGGTAGTTAGAATTGACCCTTTGAGGTTTACAAGTGTACAGGATGGCCAAGAGTCTGAGTGTTTCCGTTGCCTTCAACTATGAGATGTTTGACTACAGCAGAAGCGGCTTGAGGGATGTTCTCTGTGACCCTCTATACATACCTACCAAGGTAGAACATTCCGTGTATACATGCGTTATCCCTGACTCTGCTATCAATGTGTGATGACTAAGCGCTCGCTCCGCTTCTTGACGACAGCAAAATGACTTGACTCGCAATTGGAGTGCGGCCGTACACTTTGTCTTTCTACCATCCCAACCACCGCGTCACGCATCCAGCAGGGGGACGACAGGATTGAAGTGCCACCAGTATGAGCTCATCCGCACTTTTACGGCCTGCGGTTCTGATCGTCTCCGACACCGCGGCCGCCGACCCGTCGACCGACAGGGCGTTTCCCGCTCTCAGGCAGACGTTTGCGCAAGACGGAGCCGGGAAATGGGCCGAACCCGTCGTGGAGATTGTGAGAGATGACATCCTCGAGATTCAGCGGGTCGTCCGGTCATGGACAGACGGCGAGTCGTCGTCGTCGACGACGACGCCCGGCACCGGCCCGGTCAACTTGGTGGTCACGACGGGCGGGACTGGATTCGCTCGACGAGATTTCACGCCCGAGGCAATATCGCCCCTCATCCACCGCCACGCGCCCGGGATCGTCCACGGCATGCTCGCGGCCAGCTTCCAGGTGACGCCGTTCGCCATCATGTCCAGACCGGTCGCGGGGGTGCGGAACAAGACCATCATCGTCACGCTCCCCGGGTCGCCGAAGGGGGCAAAGGAGAACCTTGAAGCTATTCTGAAGCTGTTGCCGCACGCGTGTCTTCAAGCCGCCGGTGAGGATTCGCGAAGCGCTCACGCGGGAGGTGTCAAGAAACTGGAAAAGGACGCGGGCGTGTCGGGTTCAACTGCTAATACTACCACCACCACTACTACTCCCGCGGCGACAAATGCATCGTCGGGACACGACCACTCGCACTCTCATCATCACGACCATGATCACAGCCACGGCCACGGCCACGGCCATGGCCACGGTGGCCACGCAATACCAAAAGCACATACTGATCCATCTAATCGGCCGCCGCAGTCGAACGACATGCTTCTCGGCACCGCGGCACGAGCTCGATCGTCGCCATATCCCATGCTGAGCGTGTCTGATGCCGTCGCCACAATCTTCGAAAACTCCCCTGCTCCCATCGTGGAAGTGCGCGACCTCTCACCGGACCTCACCGGGTATGTGGTTGCCGAGGACATTCGCGCCGTGGAAGCGGTGCCAGCGTACTCGGCCAGCATCGTGGACGGATACGCGGTGATGGTTCGCGACGCAAAGGCCACGTCGGCGGCACACCGGGACGCACCTTCGACCAAGGGTGTTTTCCCCGTGGCGTCGGTGTCGCACGCGCAGGCGTCGTCGATGCCTCCACCGCTGCAACCGGGCCAGGTGGCGCGGATCACGACGGGCGCACCGGTGCCCGCCAACGCCAACGCGGTCGTCATGGTCGAAGACACGGTGATCGCGAGTCTGACGGACGACAAGACGGAAGAAGCAACGGTGGAGATCCTGACGGACGCGGTGACGGCCGGGGAAAATATCCGAGAGCCCGGAAGCGACATCAAGCTCGACGAGGTGGTGGTCACGAAAGGGACGCGCATCAGCGCGCTGGGCGGCGAAATCGGCGTCCTCGCCGCGGCGGGCGTCAGGAAGGTCCCCGTGTACCGCAAGCCGGTCGTCGGGATCATGAGCACCGGCGACGAGGTGACCGACGTCGCGTACGAGGGGACCCTGACGGGCGGCATGATCCGCGACTCGAACCGCCCGTCTCTCCTGACGCTGCTGAGGGGGTGGGACCTGTGCGAGCGGGTCGTCGACCTGGGCGTCGCGAGGGACACGCCGCACCACGAGCTGGAGCAGAAGATCCGCGACGGGTTCCGCGCGCACGGCGTCGACATCGTCGTCACGACCGGCGGCGTGAGCATGGGCGAGCTGGACCTGCTGAAACCCACCGTCGAGCGCAGCCTGGGCGGCCAGGTCCACTTTGGCCGCGTCAGCATGAAGCCCGGGAAGCCGACGACGTTCGCCAGCGTGCCGTTCAAGCTGGGCTCGTCGGGCGAGAGGGACCGCCGGCTGGTCTTCGGGCTGCCGGGAAACCCGGCGAGCGCGCTGGTCACGGCGAACCTGTTCCTGTTGCCCTGCGTGCAGAGGATGGCGGGGCTGAGCGGCAAGGGTCTCGAGAGGGTCGTGGTCAAGGTCCAGGGGAGGGTGAGGTGTGACGCGGCGCGCACCGAGTACCACCGTGTCGTGGTCGGCGTGGCCGAGGGCCGTGACGGCGGGAGCTTGACCTTGGTCGCGAAGAGCACCGGGATGCAGAGAAGTAGTCGCGTCGGAAGCCTTGCTCGGGCCAATGCCCTGTTGGTGTTGCCGCAGAGAGAAGGATGGATTGAGGACGGTGGGGACTGTGAGGCTTTGATGATGGGTATGATTCACGGCATTTGATTGACACCAGGGAGAGTAACTAAAGTACAGGAAGGGGGACTAACTAGGTAGTTACCAGGTTACTTGGTGATACCTGGGTAGCTAAAGGTTTGATACATGGCAAAACAGACTACAGAGCAACTGGAAACCATCCCCATCTAGGTACTTTCACAGTAAGTGCATGTTAAAAGTTCTCGTAGTACGTTGGTAAGTAAGTGGTCCGTGGTATATGTCTTTGTTACTTCTCACCGACCACGACCTTGGTGTCATCGGTATACCCATTCTCATATCCATCCTCACCACCCCCGTACGCTTCCTTGGGATCAACAGGCTTGACCTCAACGGACGAAGTAGTGCTTGCCGCAGCCACAACCTCGCCAGCCTCGACATCCTGAGTCCTCCTCCGTCTCAGCGTCAAGTGTATAGGTTGCACAAACGGTCTGGTGACTTTATACGTGACCAGCAAATCATCCAGGGGGGACGAGCTGGTGAAGAACGCCCATGGACTAGTCAACGCCTTGGGTTTTGCTCTCCGCATTCTTCGCGTTTCCGACTCGGCGTCCGCGTCCTCGTCTTCCTGTTCGTCTTCGTCGTCGTGTTCTCCGCCGTCCCTCGCGGGTCGTACGTATCTGACAACGTGTCTCGTAAGTGCAAACCTCCTTGTCCACGGCCAAAAGTTCGGTCTGCCTCTCTTGCTCCAGCACGCCAGGACGACGAGGAAGTAGATGACGCCGACCCAGAAGACGACGTAGACGATCTCCAGAAACAGGATGAATGGGTTCCGTACGTACGCGAACACGTACGTGTCTGTGAACGTGTAGCTGGACATGAGGACCCGACAGATGGCCCGGCGCAGCGGGAACGTGAGTGACGGTGACGACGACGACGACGACGACGATCCAATTGCCGTGTCGTGATCGTGGCCGTACCACACGTAGAACGCCTTTTCGATCTGTTGACGAGAGGTCCAGCTCCATCTGGGCACGGAGCGGGCTTGGGCCCGTATCTGTGGGGAGGGGTTGAGTGCAATGGACAGTAGTGCTTGAGGGTAATTGTGCCCTTCGTTACGGTGACGATACTGATCGTAGTCATGGTCGTGGTCGTGGTCGTCATTATCATCACCATCTTCAGAAGATTGTGTCGACGACGACGGTGTTGTGCCTGGTTCATTCTCGCCCAAAACAAGTTGTACGCTCCTCTCACTCACCACGACGCCAGTCGCGGCGTTCCGCGTCTGTTGTTTGACCACCCTCAACGCCAAAGGCACGTCGACCCATTCGTCCCTCGTGACCTCCCAATACAGCAGTGCGGCATCAGCACGCTTGAACCAAGGCAGGTTGAGGCCGTCGTGGTCGCCAGTCTTGACACGCACCACAAACTCGCGCGATGTGAATGGGAGACTCTCGTCGTCCACGTCGATCAGATTGCTCAAACCGAACTTATGAGTGAAGGCTGCTTTGTTTCCTCCGTAGTCTGCTTCGTAACCGCCACCAACGGTCAACTGGTCGCTGAACCTATCATAAGCAAATTCCAAAGCAAACGCTTCTCGACCCACGCTCCTCCCGCTGCCAACCGGGACACCGACGGCGCGAAATGCAGGGAATGCGTCGGCGCTACGTCCACAAACCAAGAAGTGAGCCGTTAGCCATGGGCCATGCAATGTAAGGTTATGTGCCGGGGGTGTTGGTGTATAGGGTACCGAATACCGAGGACCGAGTACCGAGTAGCACTTCTCTCTCCATGGCAGAACAGTAATGGTGATACTAGTAAACAAAAGGGGCAACAAGGACAGGAACAATCATCAAGGTAAAGAAAGGCCGAGGAAGGTAAACTCACTCGTAGACTCTCACGACTTTGCCTCCCCACCATAGTCGTTCAGAAGGAATTTTGGACCAGGACACTTGAGGAAACGGTAGAGCAACCCATAACGCGACGAGGAGGAGGTAGAAACCGGCGACGAGAAGGACGGTTTTCCATGGTGTTATTCTGGGCATCTTCTCGTTCCTCTCTCACACTCTGTCTCTCTCACGCACAATACTTGTGACCTCGCGCGACACCTGTCAAGACCTTGACTGGCTACTTTCGATGCTCCCTCCCGTAGAGGGCGGGCGGCGGATATTCTCGGTTAGGGATGTATGTACCATGTACCAGGCGCCAAATGGATCGATCAACACGAAAGTTAGGCAAAATTCGTCAATGCCAGTGTCGATGCTAATGCCAACAACACAAATGCAGCAGGTTCAAACGATCCAAATGAATACTAAAGACCAAGATGGAACGAGAGCAGTGGAATGAGATCAACAAGAGGGCGTCCTTCTTCATTAGTCAAGGGGGGCCAGAACTCGAAAATGCGCCCAACCGGGGGGCAACTTATTCGTTTCTAATACAGGACAACCATGCATGTCACTTGCACAGCCTCGTTTCAGACTGGGGACGAGGATCAACGAACTGCCAAACGAGGCTGAGCAATACCAGGTACGCGTGAATCAACACTTCTTGTTATACAGTACGTACATAGGTATTCCGTATCCGTACACCGTATAGATATGATTCTCGAGTCGAGGATATACAGTATGTATGTGCGCACACTTCAAAGGCGAGATTCAACTCATTACTAGTTGGTTAGTGTACAGTACATATATAAGGTACATGAGCATTGATTGCCTCGTTGGCCACGCTTTGAATTCTCAGCAGCAGCACACAGTTGATACTGGTCACGTCAGTGCCCTCGAGTGACCCCATTGACAGGACATCTTCTCGCTTCCCCTGTACCCAGTGGTCTAGTAACACAAGTCGCCCGTCGTCTTCAACCACCATCTTCAATAGCCGACGACCTTGGGATGGTATATGCAATCCAACTCCAGAGCTTTATGCAAATGCAAGTGCCGCTTCACGCTTTTTGATGCAACATTTCAAAGGATCCCCAACTCTTTCGTCCTCATACACTCTCATCTCGACTTTTGAATGTACACGGTTGCAACACCTCCAAATATCCCTACAAAATATCCAAGTATATACATATACAATCATGAAAAGAAATAAGTACTCTCCTTCAGTCGGTTGACGTCAAAGTCTCCCTTCTTGGGCACAGGTCGGAACTTGATTGGCAACCATAACCACACCTGATTAAGAGTAGCTGATGTCGTCGCTGACCGCTTGTTCTTGCGTATCTTTTGGCCGAATGCATCCAATGAGACGTTATCGGCTGGCGGGGTCGGGAATCCGCCCAGGGGCAACTCATCCATATCCAACATGTCGTCTTCATTCGTAACCGCATCTCGTAGAGGGTCCAGACTGCTAGCCAAATCAATATCGGCGGCCGCTTCGGCCTCATTGATGGCGTCTTGAACAGTCGATTCTTTGGCTTCTTCGGGCACCACTCCAATGGCGGTTTCGCCCAGAGAATCGCGATGGAACAGGAACTGCTCGCCGTCAAACTTATCAAACAACGTAGATGCAGTAACCATTGACTCGCCCTTCTTCCTCTCCTTTGGATTATCGCTTGCCAACAGCTTATTTCTGCGGATTTCTCGCAAAAGCTCTTGCTCCTTTCGCTCAGCTATGCCTTTGGCACCTTTCGCGGTGGCCAATTTGCCCTCTGCCATCAGCTGTTGACGATACTGAGTGACGGCTTTGCCCAGAGGAGTGTTTTTGCTGACCTGCGCAAGATAGTAGTGACCTTCGTAACGCTTTTGAAATTCCGCAGCAAGTCGACCGATAATATCCTCGCTGTGCATTTGGACAAAGGCGTCTCGTAACAGCGTATTCAGAGCGTTGACATCTGCTGCGTGTGTCCAGAAACTGTCGTGCACGGCCGAGAAACTCAGCCCCAGCTCGTGCGCCCTGAGGGCCGAGAGAATCATGTGCGTAGCGTCTAGAGAGTGGATAAAGTTCGGAGGGAACGCCTGCAATTGCTTGCGTTTGTTCACAGAATCCGCCACGCTGGGCTGCGCCAACGTAATGTTTTGCAGATTGGTCTGGATCTTCTGGCCCTTGATAACACGATATGGTTGGACAACAGGAAGCTTCAGAGGCGTTGTCCAGATAACGGTGGATCTGAAATTGCCAGACTCAAAGAGCTGCTTGGCCTTCTTTTGTGTCTTCAGCACCGAAGCGTCACCCGAACGTCGGCCATAGGCTCTGGAGTACATTTTCTCCTGCTGTGCGGGAGATATAGATGAGCTGATACGGTTTGCACAATCTCCGAGCCAGTACTGAATCTCATGTGCTCCAGTGAACAAGGCGCCCAAACCTTTAAAGATCTTCCTGGCAATATAACTGGATGCTTTGCCAGATAATTGGGCGTCCCTAACCTCGGGAATAAGATCATCGACTTGTTTGCGCACCTGCCGAATAGCACCAAGGAACGTCACGCCGTAGACATTCGTCATGACTGTTTGTTTGACGACTTTGCGTGTGACTCTGCCGTCAAGCATCTGAGCCAGACTATGGCCTTTCGCTGCGTCCTCCTTGATTTCGGCCTTGACCAGTTCGCAGACTCCGGAATAGACATCTGCGGGTTTATCGCCAGGTTCAAGATTAACTTGCCTGGCGCCAGCAATGTCACCACCTAATGCTGCATAGTGTTGAAGACCGTTGCAGGAGCCGTCTTGATGGATCGGAAGCCTAGACACATACTCGGCAGGGTTGGGCGACTCCAAAGCATTCGTAAGCTCGAAACAAGTCGCAAGGCATTGCCATGGGTCTTCAGCGGTAAGCCACCAACGCCTTCCGGTTAGAGGGTTCTTGACGGAATCATATACATCGTCGATGTGATCCATGGGAAACTGGGCGCGATCAGCAAGACTGGCCTTGTCAAAGCCGTAGACGTTGGATAAATGTATCTTCAACCAGCGCAGCCCATCTTCCCCAAGCTTCCGGCCCTTGTCAAAAAGGAGTATACCTCGCGCATTGTCCGCACCCATTTGATTGAGGTATGGAGGAATGGGATAGGCTCGACCTCGGAAGTCGACATTGTGGGGGAGATAGAAAGTTTCATCGAGGTATGCTTTTGCAATTTCCATCTGGAAATTCTGGAAGCACCGATTCGAGTGAATCCCACTTTTCTCGTTGTCAACTTGACGTGTCTTGACAAACCAGTCCCAGCGTTCTTTCGGAGTCGCATTTTCACCGGGTCGTTCAATTTCGGGGAATACTTTGTTCAGAGGTGGGAGGTTGGCGATTTCCTCTCCGCTGTTCCAGGCTTCTAGCATTACATTGAAAACCTGCCTATTGATGCGCCAACCAGTCTTGCCGAGTATGTCAACTCCGGCAAATAGCTGATCAAGATCTCCACGTTCAGCGGCGGCAATGCCGTACTCTTTTTGAGCGTTTTCACTGTACTTGACACGCAAGAATGGCTGCTTCGAATCGAGATATCCGCCGTCATCAAAACTTCTCCATGGCTTTGGAGGGCAAAGCATGGGCAGCTGCTTAGCGATGAAATGTTCCGCAGGTTCTCTCACCAGAATCTTCACAAAGTCCTCGTGCAAAGAAACAACGCCAATGCGTCTCCCGTTCTGATAGCTTGTAGAGTGGATGAAGACCGGTTGTGGCAGCGTCCTCTTCATTTGTTTGGTTTCGTCCCAGCGGGTCACCATGACCTTGGCAGTGTCGAACATAAGCTCGCATAGAATTGAACCGAGTTTTACATGCATCGCTTTTGACCAGTTTAGTTGCGCTTTGGATGGGGCAGCAGCGTGGTGCGACGACCGCCTGAAAAATCGATGATCGGACGGTTCTGTCCATAGAGCTCCATTCACCAACGCATCGTCCTCTTTTTGCAAATCCCTTCTCTTGATGGCTTCAGCCTTCTTACGGGCGAGTTGGCTGGCATCATATTCTGTTTCGACGGCCTGACCGAGTTCACTGACCACTCTGACAAGCTTGACGGGCTTCGAGGCACCCATTCTGCTCATCATCTGCATCAATGAGATTGCAGTCACGGCTGCGAGCTTCTGAGGGGGTAACAGTTCGAGGAAGGGCGAGTATTCAGAACGCAGCTTTGCTTCTGCCGACGTTGAGCCTGGTGATGCTTCCTCCTCCTTTGCAAGTTGAATCTCCTTGATGATCTTCTCCGCTAATATTTCATTCCACTGCCAAAGCAAAGCGCCAATCTTCCCGTGTGCCAAATCGCCGGTGATCCCTCTTTTGGCCCTCTTCTCATATTCGATCTTCCACCGGTCGACCGCAGATTGTACAGCATCTTTCTCCAAGCGACGTTGCCGAGCGACGTTTGAATCCTCTTCACGTGGTGTATTCATATCTTTCTCTGTCTCTGGCGAGAAGACCGCCAAAGACTTTCTGAGTGATGCCAGACCCATACCTTTTTGCTCCATTTCCCGTACGTGAAGCTGCTTCTTCAATTCGGATCGGATCTTCATATCAGCATCAACTTCTGCGGATGAGGAGAGCTTATCAACATGTCCGGGTAACGACACCAACTCGTTGGGCTCGGAAAGTTCCAGCAGTTGAGACAGCTTCCCTAGCTCCCTATCGTCAAAGATTTCCCGAAGACCGAGCATCTTGCTGTGAAGACCAAGTTCTTCAGCCAGGTCCCAGTACCTGTAGATGGTGCGGCGACTTTTATTTCCTGTGTCCCGTTCCAGGGCGACTTTGATCCTCAGAGCAAGGGTGTATGCATCGGGCTCCAAGCCGGCTTTTCTCAAGTGGACTTCAATCCATTCGTTGATACGCTTCTCGTGCGAGAGATTGTTGTTTTGGAGAAAGTCCTGCACGATGGCGGCGAAGACTCTATTGTACGCATCTTGTACTTTCGCAGGGCGGTGTTGGTAGGAGAGTGCCAACTGAGACAGGAGGGTGAAAGCTCGATCCCAACGGTGCACCTGTACACAAGCATCCAAAGTAGCTTCAATTTCTACGATATTCCTGCGTACATTTGCACCCGGGAGGTGGCTTGAGTCTCGGAGTTCTTCTGCAAGGTCGGCTGCATTGTCTAGCATGAGAATCTGAGACAGGTCGAAGGGACTGAGCTCGCCGTTGACTTTTCTCGACCGTTGAGGAGGATAGTCACCATATACGAAAGGGATGTAGTCGTCATTTCGATCAAAACTCTCGGGACCAGTGGCAGGCGAGGCAAGATGTCTCGATTGGGTGAGGTGCGCAGGTGAGGTTTTGGAGCGAGATATCGAAGGCCGTGACGAAGTTGCTCTTCGCTGTGGTGGAAGGATGTGTGATTGTGTAAGAGCAGGGCAGAGCCATGGTAACTGGATGTCTTCTGCAGCCTGCTGAAGAACACGAAGAGTATGCCTTCGCTGGAGCGCAGCTCGCGTGAGCATTGCGCCGGGGATCTTCAGGGACGGGGGTTTGAGGTTGCAAGCTGCAATAATGGCAGTATAGCAACAATGTTCCCCGGCAGCCACCTCTCCTAAAACAAAAGAACAGAGAGAAGGCAAAAAGGAACGACGATATGATGGAGAATACAAAAAGAAGCACGGGAAGTCGGACAGCAGAGAGAAAGAATTCGGCGAGGCAAAATCATTCGACGATTTCTCAGGAGGGTCAAGCACTAGCCAGTATCACGTGTATTGTACCAATGGGAGATTTTTGGACCCTTTTCTCTCTCTCTCCTCTGAATACGAATACGAATACGGCGGACCATGATGAGGGATGATATGATTGTTCTTTATTCAGCAAGATGTACACTTCGTTTCCTGCCGGAGACTCTTCGTTAAAGTCATCTAGTCTTACAGGTGGCTGATACAAATTTCATGGAACGACTTATCAAGACGTCGGAATATGGTGTTTGCTTCGCAACACGGCGCTGTAGTCTGTCTCAATCTTCGGCATTCTGGGCCTTTCGAGGACGTCCTCTCTTTTTTGGCGTGCTGCTGGATGTAGCCATAGAAGCAGTAGACACACTGGGTTCTTCCTTGATTGCAATTGTGTCGATTTCTTGGGTTCTTGCCTCTGCAGTCTCGTCCTCGACTTCACTCTCCGAGGCTTCCGGAGTGGTCAGGTCGCTCTCTGAACTCATGTCCAGCATTGCACCACTTTGACCACGAGTAGAACCCGGTGCTTCTCTTTGGCGCTGCCGCTTTTCTTCCTCGGCTTTTCGTCTTCTTGCACGTTCACGTTCCCTGCCGCGTACTTTGCCCAGGAGCCCCTTTCTCCCTTCTTCTCTCGGGGCGCTCATGTTGTCCAGCCACTTACCATTAGTGAGAGAGCTCTTCAGTTCAACTAAAGATTCGCGGCTGTACGTATGCGAGTGCAGGTATTGGTCAAACTTGGTTGCTGCTTCGTCGTCCTCTTCGCCTACCCAATCGTGCTTCTCCCACTTGTCGACCTGGATATCTCGAAGAAGCCTAGCGTTCTCGTTCAGGCTGCGATCTTTGGCGTCTTCTTTGTCATTTTTGATCTTAACCTCGATGGGTTTTGACTCGACTTTTGCCGCAGGTGTCTCGAGGCCCGGTTTCTGCCGCGCGATCGATGCGTTTGACTGTAGTTTCTTCTGGGCAAGCTCATCATCCGCGTCAATATGGTGCAGTTGAGGGCGCATCTGGACCACAGCATCCACGTGAGTGAGATGAAGTTGATTCTCGTGAAAACTCCCGACAAGGTAGATCGGGTCTCGAGAGCTTGGAGTGACAACTTTTCCCCCAAGTGTCTGAGTTGTAAGTATGCCACTGTCGAAGGCATTGTGGTCATGCATGGGCGCGTCTCTCATCCTGGGATCTGAAGGGCCCGTAGAGAAACCGCCTCCCAACCCGTGCGATCCTCCTGCGGACATGGTGCGACTTTCGTACATGGCCTTCCCGAACTTCCTTGCAGCGTCGGCATTGTAGTGCTCTGTTATCCTCAGTGGAATATCTACCTCCACAAACCCCGTGTCTGGTTTCAAGCGAAGTGAGGTTGGGGTTTGACCGTAGGTGGCATTGTAAGGTCTGTCCCTTCTCCGATGTGCCGGGTACTGAAGTATGAACAATTTTGAAGAATCTTTCTTGGCGGGATCTGTCAATAAGACATCATAGGAGGCGACAACTGGATCGTCTTCGTCGTCCATTATCCGACGGTGGAGGTCGAAAAGCGCTGGCTGAGAAACAATTTGGGGCTCGCAGCGAGTTTGGTGTCGAACGTGCAAAGACTGGTGAGAGGAGGATGGATTTGGGTTTTCCAACGCCTGGAAATGCCCAAAGCAGGAAATATGTTGGTCCCGTTATTGTCGCTTTTGGATGAATGGAAGAACTCGCCTAGGCATACTTCGAGCAGCGTTTGAAAGTTTGGTTTGAGGACGAGCACAAAAGTTCAGGTTCGCGACGCCCAAATGGACTTGCATCGTAGCTCCGAGTTTTCGTCTTTAATTCCGTTGACTAGCTCTAATCAGGACTAGCGTAATATTTTCGCCTTGCAAGCGTTCCCGTACTCGTATCTCAGTTATCAGTCTCGTGAATTCAAGACTGGACCAGCCGCTGTCTGCATGCAAACATCGTCACTGTCATGCGGATCGTTATCGGATTCGAGGTTCATTCATGCCACCTTCATCAGGACCCATTGACCATGCAAGTCGTGGCTACCAGGCTCAGTACATGCCGTCTATTTCATGGAGCGGTGGTTACCCGCATCCTGCAGCCAGGCAATTCTGCGGCGAGGCAGTGGGTGTGCGCGGGATACTGATCATACTATGCAGTCGAGTTTTCAAACCAGGCATCATAAGGTCTTCGTTCCTGTTTGGCCAGCCTGATTTTCTTCCTCCCACAGTCTCCGCTCGATGAACTATTTTCCCAGCGAACTCGCTCTGTTAACGAATTAACCCCCGGCGTGACCGCGTGGAAACATCACGACCTGACGATCCAGCACGTTCCGATGCGCTCACTCCCAGACACCTGTATGGTAAACCTTGTGGACAAATCACTATCGCCTGTGCAACTCTGCACGGGTGGCCCTCTTGCAGACACAACGTGGCGCTACGATGGTCCGGGTTGAGATCAAGTTTGTACTTGGAGCCACGCTCGAGCTCTGCTGTTGCCTTAAGACATGTAGGGCCTGTCATGTTGGCCTAGCATCCGAGTTTTCCTGCGACAGGGATGGTAACACAAGAACTGCATTTGTGCTCCCTTGCATTGCTGGCTTGTCTTCGGCTAGCAAAACCCAGCGTGCCTCGCCTGCTCAGGTCATGCAAATGCAACTGGTTGAATGTGTCGCAGAAACACGTCAAACGTAGCTTCCCTGGCTTGTTTGCACTTTTCGGTGCGACTATGCTCTGCACGAATATCCGAGCCGCGCACATTGCTGACTGAAGAAGTGAATTTGCCCTCCGGGGTGGAATGCTCACTCCTCGCTGTACTTTCAAACCTCTGGAGCGGTGAATCCTGGTACGGCGCGCTTGGACAACATAGTAGCAAGTCCAACCATATATTGCAAAGTGTAGTTCCTGAACCTTGAAAGCCTAGTGCGATATGATGCCTCTGACTTGCAATCCAGCTGATCCAGCTGATGGACTGACGGTTCCATATCCCGAGGATATTCCTCACTCGGCAGAAAATGTCGAATCTACCGCAGCCACAGCGGAAAGGATAGTCGCAAATGCCACTGGACCAGAGTTGATCGAACAAAGTCAACAGCTGGCGTCGTTGGAAGAAGAGCCAATTGCAGGACCTCCGCCGGACGTGGAAGTGTTCCTCGCAAATGACATCGAAGAGTCCAATGCAGACACCAATACCGAGACATATGCAGTCCGGCCACAGGCACATGGGCTGCTGTCGACTGATCAACTTGCCCCATTGGCAAATGAGCAAACCGGGTTCGATCGAGAGGCATTAGACTTTGATCCCAGCTTTGAGGCAGGCTCAACATCAATGGTCAATCACACAGATGCAGGGACGATGATACAACTCGCGCCACCAATGTTACCCGACTTTGAAATAGACGACGAGACGTGGGCACAGGAAAGCACCAGTACCAGCTATGTATCATCCATTGCGTCTGAAATATCACGGGGCATCCTCGAGAACGAAAGACTGTATCCACAGTACGGCAAACACAGCTACGGTATGCCCATCGACGAAGCTGAGATGGATCGCATGGATCTTCAACATCGGAAGTATGAACTGGTCATTGGAGGCAGGCACTTTCTCGCTCCCATTGATGATTGTCCGCAGAGGATTCTTGACCTGGCAACGGGCACAGGCATCTGGGCACTGGACGTGGCAGACATGTTCCCCAGTGCAGAGGTTTTGGGAGTCGACATTGCTCCTATTCAACCTAAATGGGTGGCTCCAAACTGCTCGTTCGAGATTGACGACATTGAAGATAGCTGGACTTACCGCACCGACAATTTCGACTTTATTCACTTGCGAGATCCGCTGTACATGGTGAGGGACTGGCCCAAGCTGGTGCGTCAAATGTATGAGCACACCAGACCGGGAGGCTGGGTAGAGCTGGCTTCTGTCTATCCACGCGTGATGTGCGACGATGGATCCATGCCGGACGATTCGATGTTCAAGTTCATCTGCGACAAGTTCATCGAGGCATCTTACAGGATGGGGGCTCCGTTAGATAGTTGCCTTCGCTTCGCCGAGTATCTCCGGACCGCCGGGTTTGTGGATGTGGCCGAGCACGTATTCAAAATGCCATCGTCCCCGTGGCCCAAAGACGAACGACTCAAGAAGATCGGGGCTTTGGAGATGACGAATGTGGTCGAGGGTGCTTCGGCGTTTGGTCTGAGGGTTTTTTCTCATGCATACGGGTGGACACGCGAGGAGACGGAACTGGCCATGGTGGGATTTCGGAGGGATGTGAAGAACCGCAAATACCACCAGTATGTGCGATAGTAAGTGGTGCTCCGTCGAAGCCTGTGTGGTGGCGTGCTTGCTGTGCCTGTTGTGCTGACTGAGCGAACGCAGTTATGTGGTGTATGGGCGCAAGCCTCTTCCGGCTACGACGGACTGAGTGAGGGGGAGGTGGACGAGAGGGACTTCCACACATGATGTCGAGAGCATCGTCTACAGTACTCCGTACGCCATGAACAAAGAATAATAGAATCTGCATTGTCGCCGGTGTTCGTCTTCCCTCGCCGGACCCTCGCTGTGTCTCCGTCGGCAAATGCGGCCTCTCCACCTTTGGCAGCGGTTTGTCGCTTATCCATCCTCGTCCTCGTCCCTCAGTCACGCAATCGCAGCACTGGCCAATCACCACCCGCCCGGAGTGAATGACGAGCAGAGTTGCCGGCGCAATAAAAATTTCCAGCACGAAAAGAGGCAGAAAAGATGCCATCGAGGCCTGTGTGGATGCTCAAGAGGCGGAGAAAGGGCTTGGGCAATATAACGACGAACTACTAATCCTTGGTGTATTACTCCCGCCGTTCGATATTTCTCTCGTCTTTCTCTGCTCTCCCCGTCTTCACGTCTGGTTCTGCTTGTCCGTCTCCCTCACTGCTCCCCAGAGACCGAGAAAGCGAACATGGGGTCTGTTTCAAGCCCCGCAGAGGCCGGTACGTCGCTTGCTTGCTTCACCTCCCTTGCATTGCCATCTGCATGAACCCGATGCCATTGGTGGCGCAGGAAGAACGGCCCGAGAAGAGCAGCACCGCTAACGCTATTGATCTGTACAGTTGCCAGAATAGCCTACCTCGCCAGCGACGTGGTTCTCTCTGTCCAGCCCTCGCTGAGCACCGACTCCGAGTTCTCACACCACTTGGGTCGATTTGCAGCCGCCAACGCGAAGAGCTTCGTCTCGAAGACCGTCCCCGAGATCATCCCAGTCCGCCAGAATGCCGACCCTCTGCTCTCAGCATTTACGCCTCTCAAGGCTGGCAAGCTCGTCGCGGCCACTGCTCCCTCCTCGATCCTCCTGAGCGCGGTCCCTCATCTTTATAAACTCGCCCAGTATCCTTTCGTCCTCCATGTCGCACTTGCTTCCCCTCAACCAGACTTCTCCGAGATTAGCTCCATCCGACAATGTGGCTTCTCGTTTCTTCAGTCGGAGACTCTACAGGAATCCCAGGACATCGCCTTGACAGCGCATGCTTTGGCAATCAAGAGTGGCAAAGGTGTTATACATTTCTACGACCCTAGCAATTCGGCTGAGGACAGTCCCATCTCTGTTGAGAGCCGGGATCTGGTCCAGACTTTGCTTGAGACGGGTGCAGGTGCCAGGGCGTCCCATTCGGGCTCAGAGGAGCAGACGCTTTATGCGAGCTCAGGAAGACTCGCAACAGTGACCGATCTCGGACTGCCAACCGTACCGGCGACGCAGACTGGCGCAGCCTCGAGAGATCTACTGTCCCATGTAGCGGCAGCTTCATCCACCAACGGCACCACCGATGTATCTTCGTCCACTTCCTCGAGACGAGACAGCTCCGCCGAAAGTTCAGTGGCCTCTTCTGTGGCCACTACCGTCGAAACCCCCGTCATACGCCCAGTCAGCGCCACAGATATATTCACATACGTCAGTGATATCTGGGCGGTCATCTCTCAAGCTACCGGTCGAAGCTACTCTGCTGTCGAATACTCTGGCCCACCGGATGCTGAAGCCGCTCTTTTCATCTTTGGTTCAACGGGTGTCTTTGTCGACGTTCTCGACTCTGATGACGTCCCTGCTGATTTGACCAACGTAGGACTGATCACTGCCCGCCTATATCGACCGTGGCTTGGAAGTGCGGTCTTACTTGACTCTATCCCAAGGTCAATCAAGAAGATTGCGGTATTGGAACAAATCAGAAGAAAAACTACAAGGTGGGGTCCTTCCTTCCTTGACCTTCTATCGAGCTTGAGCCCTGGAGCTGGAGGCCAGAGTAACATTTCCCTTGTCCAATATCGACTTGGCCACATCGACGCAGCTACTGCTCTGCAAGCTCTCCGAGGGATATTCCAGAACTTAGCACCTCCCACAACACCGCGGAAGCATTCTCGACGACGCGGTCACTCGCAAGGCAACTTTGTCTCGATTCAGAATCTCAGTATTGGAAATGAAGTCCAGCCTACGATTGATAGTTTTGTGCCTGAACAACCCCAGCTCGAGAACGCTTATCTCAAGATCCTTGATCAACTCTTCGGCAATAGACTATACATTGCGAACCAGCTCAAGCAGAAGAACGCGGGTGTGTCTGCAACTTTAGCAGCGTCCCCCGAGTATGGATTTGGATCTCTTCTTGCCAGAATTGAAAGACGAGAGCAGTTTGTCAAGGAGGCCCAGCAAGCTGCCAGAAGCAATGAGTTCATCACAGAATCTCCCAAGCAGTGGCTATCAAGATGGGCTCTGAATGCCAATGATTCCGCAAAAGCCAATGAATACGCATCAGAAGTCCTCGCTCGCTTGGCCAACGATGGTTCCAGTCTCTCCACGAGATTGCTCGATAATAAGTCTTTCTTCTTCAAGGAGTCTCAGTGGCTCATCGGGTCCGATGCATGGGCGTACGATCTCGGCAACTCAGGCGTTCATCATGTCCTCGCATCTGGCGCCAACGTGAATATGCTCATCATCGATTCTGAGCCATACTCGGAGAGAGCTCAAGCAGACTCGAACAGACGCAAGAAGGATATCGGTTTGTACGCCATGAACTTCGGCAATGCCTACGTTGCCTCAGTCGCTGTGTACAGTTCATACACTCAAGTTCTCCAAGCTATGATAGAGGCCGAGAAGTATGACGGCCCCTCGGTAGTTCTTGCCTATCTTCCCTACAACAAGGAGAACGATTCACCGTTGACCGTGTTGCAAGAGACGAAGAAGGCTGTGGACTTGGGTTACTGGCCCTTGTACAGATGGGATCCATCAAACGAAGTCAAGGGAGAGCCCTCGTTCTCCCTGGACTCTGAGCGTATCAAGCGCGAGTTGGAGGATTTCCTCCGACGAGACAATCAGCTTACCCAGGTCATGAATAGACATCCTCAGTTTGCGGCGAACCTCTCCGAGTCGTATGGCTCCGAAGTGCGGAAGCTACAGAAGCGTAAGGCCAAGGATGCCTATGAGCAGATGTTGGAAGGTCTCTACGGAGCGCCGCTGACCATCTTATTTGCCTCTGATAATGGTAATGCAGAGAGTTTGGCGAAGAGGCTAGGAAATCGTGGTAAGGCTCGTGGTCTAAAGACCATGGTTCTTGCCATGGATGATTATCCTCTGGAAGATCTTCCTAACGAGGAGAATGTGGTCCTTATCACGAGTACGGCGGGGCAGGGTGAATTTCCCCAGAACGGTCGTGCTTTCTGGGAAGGCATCAAGGATGCAGCAGACTTGGACCTCTCCAACGTCCACTTCTCGGTGTTTTCTCTTGGAGACAGCCATTACTGGCCTCGGAAGGAGGACAGAATCTTCTACAATAAACCTGGAAAGGACCTGGACTCACGAATCCAATTCCTTGGAGGGAAGGTCCTGACAGCTATCGGGCTTGGTGACGACCAAGACCCAGATGGTTATCAGACAGGCTATCAAGAGTGGGAACCAAGACTCTGGCAAGCTTTGGACGTCGCAAATGTCGAAGGACTTCCCGAGGAACCACCGCCTTTGACGAACGAAGATATCAAGATTGCCTCGAACTACCTGCGAGGCACGATCGCTGAAGGTCTTGCAGATACCTCCACCGGCGCCATCTCAGCTTCAGATCAGCAGCTGACCAAGTTCCACGGCACTTACATGCAAGATGACCGCGATCTCCGAGACGAGCGAAAAGCACAAGGCCTCGAACCTGCTTATTCGTTCATGATTCGATGCCGACTTCCTGGTGGTGTCGCCACTCCTTCACAGTGGCTTCAAATGGATGCTATCGCTTCTGCCCATGGTAATGAGACGATGAAGTTGACCACTCGCCAGACCTTCCAGTTCCACGGCGTCATCAAGTCCAAGCTCCGTCCTGCGATGCGTGCCATCAACAGAGCACTTATGACGACTATCGCCGCTTGCGGTGACATCAACCGTAATGTCATGTGCTCCAGTCTTCCTACCATGTCTGAGTATCACCGGGAAGTGCATGCCGTCTCCAAGAAGATCTCGGACCACCTTCTTCCGTCCACAACAGCATATCACGAGATCTGGCTCAAGGACGACGCCACTGGCGAGAAGACCCAGGTGGCTGGTGATGCGGTCCAAGACTTTGAGCCTCTCTACGGACCCACGTACCTGCCACGTAAATTCAAGATCACCATCGCCATTCCTCCACATAACGATACAGATGTTTACGCCCACGATGTCGGTCTTATCGCCATTCGCACCAAGGATAATCAACACCTTGAGGGATTCAATATCCTCGCTGGAGGCGGCATGGGTGTCACACACAACAACAAGAAGACTTATCCACGAACGGGTTACATGATGGGCTACGTTCCTGCAGACAAGGCGCACTTGGTGTGTGAGAAGATCATGTTGGTCCAGCGTGACAATGGCGATCGCAAGAACCGCAAGCACGCTCGTCTGAAGTACACCATGGACGATATGGGCAACGAAGTGTTCAAATCCAAGGTCCAGGAGCTTCTCGACCCGTTGGGAATCAAATTCGAGACGCCCCGCCCATTCAAGTTCGACAGCAACGTTGACACTTTCGGATGGCAGCGTGACGAAAAGGGACTGAATCATTTCACCTTCTTCATTGAGAACGGTCGTATTGAAGACACGGCCGATTTCCCAATGCGCAGTGGTCTAGTCGAGATTGCAAAGGTGCACGAAGGCGAATTCCGACTCACCGGCAACCAACATCTCATCTTGTCCAATGTGACCGACGAAGCGAAGCCCAAGATCGCCGCGTTGATGAAGAAGTACAAGCTCGACAACACACAGTTCAGCGCCCTGAGACTCAGTTCCTCGGCGTGTGTGGCTTTCCCAACATGTGGTCTTGCCATGGCCGAGTCGGAACGATACCTGCCTGAGCTGATCACCAAACTCGAAGGATGTCTGGAAGAGAATGGTCTTTCGCAAGATAGCATCGTCATGCGTATGACGGGTTGTCCGAACGGATGCGCGCGACCGTGGCTGGCGGAGGCTGCATTCGTGGGAAAGGCGTATGGCGCGTACAACATGTACCTCGGTGGTGGATATCATGGACAGAGGCTGAACAAGCTCTACCGAAGCAGCATCAAGGAAGATGAAATTTTGGAAATCATGAAGGGCCTGTTGAGTCGGTGGGCCAAGGAGCGAAACCAAGGAGAACACTTTGGCGATTGGACGATTCGTGCCGGTGTGATCAACGAGACTACCGAGGGCAAGTATTTCCACGAGAATACCGCCGAGGTGGAAAGCGATGGAGAGTGATGTCTGATGGAGAACATGAAAGGAGAAGAAAAAGAATTTGCTCGAGTTGCTTGATCTTTGCATGGCGTGGATAATAGTGAGGAATGATTTTTTCAGGCTTGTATGTATAGCACCATAACTAGATACTATTTTGTTCTAGAGAATCTATGTCTAAAAGTGTGCTGGTCTGAGTTATAGCTTACTGGGTTTTGTACAATGATTGACCTATTACTTAGTAGAGTAATGATGCCTCTGTGCAGTGTTTTGGCAGGAATGAGCAGATGGATAAGGTATTATTATTTCTTTCGTAATGTGTTGCGCCGTGTCGGCACCACAAGATAGTGCTTCCGTCGTGACGGGTGAGAGCGGATCACATATGTGTATACCTTAGCTATTCATGGGGGTATGTAGATGTATAGTAGGTATGTACTGTATCTATGTATCTATGTACGTATGCAACTTAGATGTGGACTTATGCCGGGAGGAGGATCCCCCGATATTGTAGCGGTGCCGTAGGCAGACAGACAGACAGACAGCGGTGTCTGGATCCTGTCCGAGCCCCCTGTCCGAGCCCGAGTATGAGTCCGAGCCTCGGTGCCGTTCGTGTCTTCCTGCTACCACTAGGGCTTCTCAAAGGCCATCACGGCATATCGAAAGGTTCCGTTGGCGTATCCCCTCCGCATGGCCCGGAAGGCCTGGAGGAAGGATAAGCCGTCGCGGCCTTGGGAAATGGCAAAGGCCCACAGTGATGGGGACGCGACGAGGTCCCATGAGATATCCCTGTTGGAGTGCAAAGTATGAGCGAGTGGGTGAGTGGATGAGTGAGCAGTTCGAGTAGGCAACTCTTTCAACAATGTGCATGTGCATGTGATGATGATAGCAGGTTTAGAATACCAAAAAGTTGTTCGTCGTCATGTTCATGTTCAAATAAGAGGGGGATGTTCGAAATTCTCAATTTTGAGTGCACAGGATGGATGGTTGGGAACAAGGGAGAAAACAAAAAGCAAAACCAAAACGAACGTACCATGTCTTTGCGACGTCTTTGCTTATATCTTTTGGCTCATGGAGAACTTTGAGACCAGCGGTTTCGGCCATCGCCACATAGTCCCTTTGAGTGCATAGGGGAGGGAGGAGCATGCCGTCTGAAAGTACCGCAAACACACATGGCCATACACGTTAGCTCGTTCATAACTTCAAATTGCCCCCAGGGGAACAATTGATGCGATCGTACATACCTTCAATAGGCTTGATATCATCCTCCATAGCCTTCTCATCCAGACCCTCAGCCTTGAACCAATCGGCAATCACCAATTTGCCCTTTCCGGGTCTCAGCACACGGGCTGCATTGCGGAAGAAGAGTGGTTTATCCGGGAAATGACTCAAGGCTTCGGAAATCCAAACACAGTCGAACGTTTCGGGCGAGAAGTGGCCCTGCATCTTCTCGGCGTCGAGCTCAATGTACCGAACGCGGCCGTCTTGCGTGCCGATGCGAGTGAAGCCGTCACTAACAGGCCTACTGCTGTCTTGAGGAGAAGGCGAACTGGTACTGGTACTGGTACTGGTACTGTTGGTCTCTTCGCCGGTCAGACGATTCGCAATCTGCACTTGGCGGCCGCTGATGGTGATGCCGGTCACGGTGCAGCCGTGGTCGCGCGCCAGGTGGCGAGTCGTGCCGCCTATGCCACATCCTACGTCGAGAACTGTGGTAGACGGCTCGAGGGACGAGATTTCGAGAAGCAGCTTGATGAGGTTCGTTTGCCCTGTTTCTTTGGTGTCGGTGGGTGTGAGGAAGTAGGCGTGGTGGATGTGCTGGCCCCTATCCAGATACCCCGAGAGGTGATGGTCAGAATTGAATTATATCTCGCTGAGGACGACGGGTGGAACTTGTTAAGAGAGATCTGTTAAGAGAGAAGGGGGGGAAAGGGAGATTCCAATCACCCACCATAAGGAATAGTAGTAGTCTGACGCCAGTTCGTAGTGATGTCGGATACGGTTCTTCAGGTCGACAAAGGACGAGTGAGGCTCGTAAGAAGGGACGTCGTATTGGTCTCCGGCATGGGTTTGAGAGGTGTCATTTGTTGTATTGGGAGGTACCGCTGCTAGAGATGTCGAAGGGCCGCCCATGATTGCCGTTGAGCTGGGCAGACGAGAGCTCCGGGCGGGCTGGTCTCGTCGTACTCGTAGGGATCTTGTCTTTGAATGGTGCCTGTGTACCTAGTATGTACTTTGCTCTGGTTTGTGTCTCAGGAAGATCGCCGTCGCCGCCGTCGTCATGTAGAAAAGTCCCACTATCACGCATTCGACCAAAAAATCCCGTCGCTTTTGACTGATTCAACGCGCAAGACACCAAGACCTGGTGAACCTGTTGGGCCGACAGAGTAAAAGTATCACCACCGCATCTGAATACACAGCTACGAGCACCGATGAGCGGGATGTATGTGTTTTAGCCTAGTTCTCTTTCGCTTGCAACAAGTGGTTTGGTCTGATCCTCGCGAATTCAATCTCAAAACACCAAAGGGCGGTCAAGACCATTGAATATCCTCTTGTCCCCAAGCTCGACTTGATGAACATCACCAGTCGGTCGGTCGACTCTACCTCGGTTCAACTATAGCATCTCCTCACCTTCAGGTCCTCTACAATTACAAGACGGCGTCCCAGTGTCTCCGCACAGTCTAGTTGCCAACACGGTGGCCTCGTCAATCCGGTATTCAGCCCCCAAGCTCAAGTACCCACTGCAAGCAATGGCAATCCCTCCGGCCGCATCTGCAACAGATCAACACCCTACGGTCCGGAAACGATCTACTGCAACGACCTCGGATCTCAATGGCGAGGCGTCACGCTTGTCAGACGGTCATGAAGAACCCGCCCAGCTGACGGCCCTCCAACACCACGTCCTCTTCTGGGACCGTGACAACGACGGCATCATCCACCCAAAGGATGTCTACGACGGCTTCCGCGCCTTGGGCTTCAACGTCCTCTTCTCCCTCGGCTCGCTACTCATCCCCATCTTCTTCTCGTACCCAACAGGCCTCGGCCACAGCTGGTTCCCGGACCCGTGGCTCCGGATCTACGTGGGGAGCATCCACAAAGCGAAGCACGGGTCCGACACGGGCATCTTCGACCTGGACGGCCACTTTCACCGCGACAGATTCGATGAAATGTTCTCTCGCTGGGACGAGGACGGGTGTGGTGGGTTATCAGCGGATCAGATGTGGCGGATGTGGAAGAAGAACCGGTGTGCCGCCGATGTGGCAGGCTGGTGTTTCTCGTTTATGGAGTTGTGGACGACCTGGCTCCTCCTCCAGAAGAACGGCCGTGTATGGAAGGATGATCTCTTAGCATGCTACGACGGGAGTTTGTTCTGGAAGATCAGCGAGGCAAACGCCGACGCCAATAAGAAGAAGCCATGGTCTCAAGGGTACGGTGTACAGGATTTTTTCGACGGGTGGCTGAGAGGACGGACATGGAGAAACTGGGAATTGAATTAAGCACGTAAGAAAGCCGACATTATCCCTCGTAGCTAACTTTACTTTACCATCCACACGAGCGCACATATCTACATGTTTGTCCGTAGGAACACTCCATATCCACAGCTGGCAAGCCCCACAACACAGATGCTAGAGCGATTAATTACTTCTCATTCTTCAGGTTTGACGCACTGCTCAAAGCGGCGTCCAGGTCTGCCTGTTCATACTCTTTCGAATGGTTGTCGAGAGTGATAAAATGCTTTCTCCCATCTGGTTCAGTTGAAAGCTTGTACAAGAGATTCTGATAGCCTTGATGAATCCTGACATTGTCCCAGCGGCCTTTCTTGTGGTCGTGAATGTTGATATAGCCTAAAATAATCGCTGCAAGGCCAGCCGCTACCGCCGTGGCGACAGACGTTCCTGTCCTGTTAGTCTGATAGGGAGGCGATCTTCCTCGGTTTTCGGTGGGAACATCCAGACCCAATGCACCAAAGACCTCTCCTCCTCGACTGGGAAGAGATGGATTGAAGTCTTCATGCTTCCCCTTAGTATTGGTCCCTCGGATGGAAAAGACTGAGCCGTGGCTGGCTGGGAAGAGCTCACGCTTGCTGCCGCCGCGGTTCGAAGCCGCAGCAAAGATCAACAGATTCTGATTGCAATGTGCAAGTGCTTCGGAAATGGCATTACTGATGGCACGATTTTTGTCAACGCGCTGCTCCTGTTCCCAGCCGAGAGATAGCGACACGATGTCCGCTTTTTGTTCTTTGACTGCCCAGAGAATAGCCTGCAGGGTTAGCATTAGGGAGTGGAGTTGAAGGCTATATGGAACATTACCTCTGCAAGATTGTTACTCGTCTTTCCTGGGTTTGTTTTCAGATCCTTGTCTTCCCCTGCGATGCGGGCTACGCAGACATCTGCAAATGGTGCGATACGGTGGACGATGGAAAGCATGGCAGTGCCGTGTCCGTCGTCATCTTGCGGCTCTGCTTTCGCCTCCCAAAAATCTCTCCAATTATGATTTCCTCCTGCGGTCGAATGCAGATTCAATCGCAACTTCAACTTCCGGTCTACGAAGCGCGCATTGCCATCAAACCCGGTATCTATTATTGCAATCTTCGGTCTTTGGTATTTTGCGATCTGGGTAGAAATATGGCTATGCAACCAAGAGTTTGTCGTACCGAACAGCCAGTCCGCTGCGATGTCACTACAGACGCATCAGTATGAGATTTAGAATTAGATTTCACTCCCAACCTTGGGCTGTTGACCAGTCTGGGGAGGCCATTTCCACCTTGGAGTACAGTTACTGGGTCGGCCTGTACCCCATGCGGTGGCAGGAATGGCGTTTCATCCGGATCCATCATATCCTGAAGTAGCTCAAACAGAGGCCGAACGATATTTTCCTTGAGTGCCAATCTGCTTCCTTCAGCATCTAACCCATCTTTGAACAAGGCTTTCGGGATAGCTGAGTGGGTTGGGAAGCACTCTTCCACAATGCGGCGGTACCTGAGCCTATCTCTTCCTGGGATATCTATCGTGGGCCACGAATCATCTGCAGAGATTTCTTTACAGCAGGATATGCAAATGTAATTGTTCTTCTTGATTTCCGTCAAACGGCCAGGAATTGTAATGAGGTCAGTTTTCTCGGAGGTGACTGAACCTAGTTGGACCAGCAGTAAGCCTAGATTGAGGATAGACGGCCAGGGGTGCAGCGCAGGTATCTTGCCTGACGCTCCTTTGGGGTTGTGGTCATGCTGTGTCAGCTCTTCTTCCAGAATCTTGACATTGAGGTACGGTGCATCGGATTCGGCATTCTTGGTTCGGAGAAGTTGTATCGTTTCGAGGTTCCATTCCACCTTCATCCAGTCCGAGCCGTAGTATTGCCAGAATGCTTTTGATATTGCGAATGCAAGAAAAATCTTATGCCGCGCCGATAATTCGTCCTGTTGTAGGGCGGAAGAAAGACGCATTGGTTTAGCATTCTGTGGGAAGATGTTGTGGAATGACCTTTCAATACTACAGCAGATGAGATTGCTTTTGTGATCCTGGGTCACACATATGCGGAAGCATCTTATACCCCACGTAAAGATTTTGCAAAAATCCTCCAACGTGCCTGGAGAAGCCTGAGACGATGACAGATCATTCTCGATGTCAGCTGAAGACGCAGGGCGCCCGACATGGACCACCACCGATCTCGTTCTTCTGTAACACAATTAGATCGGCAGTCGTTCTTGTAACATATCGCCACATACCTGGGCAGTTGAAACTGTATGGGAGTCCACTCGTAGGAGTCATCATCGGTCTTAGCGATGACTGAATCGAAGAAGAAATGATTGTCGTCGCCAGGAACGCGTGTATAGCCGTCCAGACGCAACGCACAAATGTACCGCTTTGATAGACACAGACCCTTGTCGTCTTCTTGACATGTACAAGGTAAATAAGTATCTGAGTAGAAGGTTCCATGCAACGCTGCGGTGACTGAATCCGGATATTCTTCAATTTCGAATCTCTCCCTGAATTTTTGCCTGTCATGGCGCTCGCGAGCCTGCGTAGCGTCGTCATAAGAAGCATCACGCTCAGACAGATAGTTCGTAATCTCCGTAATCCTTTGGATTGCTGCTTGATTCGATCGACTACCAGGATCCACGGTCAGACGTTGTGTAAACTTCTTGAAACGGGTGGCAACGTGCCGTGCCGTCTTCGACCCACTCTTCTACATATGTATAATATGGGATGTCAGCGACTTAGCCTCGACCAGACTCTCTGAGATGAATGGCACGAACAAGAGTTTCAATGACCGCATTATCCATCGCAGAGACAGCTTTCGACCGCTGCTCAGAACTTGAGGTACCGATGACTGCGCTGAGTCCAAGGAGTTTGATGCTGTTGATTATGTTATCATAAGCCTTGTGCTCGTTGCCGGACTCAGCAGCGCGTCGCAGTGCTTCTTCGGCCATCTCTCCCGCATCGCCGGCGAGGAGGTCGACAAATTGCCAGCCATCGTCCCCAAAGTCGTCCTCAAGATCGTCAACTTCTGCACCATCGATCATGGTGATGTGACATGAAAGGGCCGAACAAGGTATGTCAGGCTGAAACCATCTCGAATCCTGATCGTTCGTTTTGCCCCTCACTTATGGCCCCCACCTTGTTCGATTATGTTCATGATATGCCAGCCTGAAGGCGTTCGAAATAACCATCGACTCTGAAGGCAAGCCCAAGAAGAGTCCGCCTAAGTTAGAAGCGATGAACAAGCTCATCGACGAGACGTTTCCAATCCGTGCGACTACTCGGGTTTGCAGGCAGAGATTTCGGGACTGCGCCAGTCAGCCCCTTCTAGCCCAGGGCCACTGGGCAGAAAACCGCCTCAGTGAATTCAACCGGTGGGATTCCGGAGTTGGTGCCAGCGCAAACAATTCAAACAGTCTGGATAAGCGTTTAGAGCGTAACTTATCAGCACACAAGGTCGTCCTCGGCGCACTGGCTGTTCTTGCAGTATGGATAACAAAGTGCAGCGAGCTGGCAGAAGGCACCACATCAGTCACATCACCTACCGATTCACTTAGCCATCGACCCGCTCAAGCCTCCGCTTTAAGCAGTGAACCAAATACAGAAAGATCTGAAACATCGACTTTGAGCGAAGCTAAGGGGAAGGTTGAAGGCTTACTCAAGAGTCTCGCTGACCTAGCGATCGCAATAAGAAGGGCTGGGACAGTGTCTCGCCTGAGAAGAGCAGATCGCACATTTGACGGTCACAAGGATAAGTATCAAGAACTTTCGGAGCATCTTGAATTCATTCTGAGGGTTTCTGAGTTTCCTCGATTTATTCAACCTACGTCAAGTGAAACCTCGGCTGGTGATGACACCGGTGAAATTGATGTCAGGTCAGCACTCATTCAATTACGAGGGCGCGATGCCTCCTTGCGTATTGAGCAGCAGATACTTGTCCTTGCCAACCTAAAACGACACCACCGTTTCCTTTTCTACAGGGGCCGTCAGAAGCAGTTACTGCCAGAGCAGCCGCCGAAGGGACAGAGTCTACCTTTTCAGTTGAGGTCGCCGCTCCCTGACCCCTCGCTTCGTCCTCATCACATTGAGGAGCGAGCCGAGATACCGTCACAAGTCTCTACAGATGCACATGTTCGTGTTCCACCTGCCCAATCCCAGCAGTATTCTGTGGGTACCACAAATAAGGCATCCGATTATGCACCCAGCTTATCATTAGAGAAAGACGTCCAGGTGACACAGCCTAAGGTAGCAGCAACGACAATTGCTCTTCGTGCTGACTATCCCAAACCACCGAGAGACAATACTAAGTGTCCCTACTGCTTGATACCCCTGGAGAGTGAAGCTGAAGATTTAAGCCAGTGGAAGTACGTCGCCTCAGCCCTCTTTCATGCGTTGACATACTGATAACGTAGGAAACATGCCTCGGAAGATCTTCAGCCCTATACGTGTTATCTACCGATATGCCCACAAGATCATCCTTTTTTCTCTACATTTGGTGCTTGGAAAGCACACGTCACATCAAACGAACATCGACAGTTTGAAGGATGGACCTGTCTACTTTGCAACTTTTCGTCGAAACCAACAGAAGAATCAGCCTTCCTGGACCACATTCGCGATGATCACGCTAACGCTATTGCGGAAGAAGCTATGATAGATTTCGCGACCATGTGCCGTCGATACAATGTTCCCACTTTGGACCGGTGTCCGGTATGCTCAACACTTGAGAAGGATTGGGGGGTTCGAAAATCCAAAGATCGCAACTTTGATCGAGATGCCACTTCATTTTTGGAACATCTAGGCCAGTGTCTACACTCTTTCTCTTTGAGGGTGCTCCCAGAGACTGAGCCGGAAAAGGCCAATAATGAGACTGGTCAAAAATTAACTGAGGTTTCGCACTTTGAAGACCGATCATGGCCGTCGGGCTCTTTGCGTGTTTCACATCATACAGACGGTGGACTGACAGAAACTGATTTGGCAGTGTTCTCGGAAGTCAAATCGAACAACCAGGTTGACAATCTTGTGAGCATACAAACTTGGCTGGCACTCTTGGAAGAGACATCCTTCGAAGAGGAAAAGGCCGCAGCACACGAAAGCCAGATCGAACTCACCCCACAACAGAAGCGTTCATTGATGTTTTTTAGCTTCGCCGATAAGATCTTGCATGATATGGCCAAGGCCGATGAGGTGTTCATGGATGCGGCCAGGCTAGACACGCCGAGTTCACGCGAAGAGTACAGGATAGCTTGTTTCTGCTCGACGGAGGTGGAACTACGAGCAGCATGGGAAATGCTCGAAGAGCGACACCCGCCCCTTCCGACCAATCAAAACCGCATAGACTATGCCTTGGGGAAGCTGGGAGGACATAACGTCGTTATAGTGTCGCTGCCTAGTACTCCCTCACTTCGGCCCACAGAACTGTCAGAAGAATTTCCCGCTCTTCGTTTCTACTTCTTCGTGGGATTAGCCGGAGGTGTACCACGCGGGAAGAATGGAGATGATATTCGACTTGGCGATGTGGTTATCGCCTATCCGGTTGGCACCTCCTCCGGGGTTGTGAAATTGGTCTTGGGCGACAACTCGACCAGAGTTCAGCGAGTGTTGCGGCCACTGCCAGCCGTACTCCGACAAAACATCGAACTATTGGCCGGCGACTCCCTTAGAATGGGTTCACGAGTTTCAAAGATCTTGTCCGAGATGGTGCAAAAACGTCCTGAAATGGAGGGCGAATACTCCTTCCCTGGTCTTTCACATGATCGGCTGTTTCAAGCCGATTATCCTCATTCCGGTGCTGGAGATTGCCAAAACTGTGACAAGAACAAGATTATTGAGAGGCACGAACGCCGACTTCGAAGCCCTATGCTTCATTACGGCACCATTGGCTTGACTAGTCATCTTCTTGAGGATGCTATCCGGCGAGACAGCGTGACCCAGTTAGCCGACGTCAAGTGTATAGGAATGGACACAGGGTGGCAACTGATCAAATTCCCTACAGCCCTGGTCATATGTGGCATAAGCGACTATGCAGACTCGCACAAGAATGCCAGGTGGCAGCCGTATGCGGCAGCTTCTGCAGTTGCATATCTGAAAGAACTTCTATCTATAATTTCGCCTGCGATGGTAGAATATTCTCTTGGTAAGTCAACATCGTTAATCGCTCTATTGGCAACTATATGAAGCCGTAACCCTACATCAATTTGGTCTAGGTCGTTGTTGAGTTCAACTTCCCCCATCCAAGTAGTCGCTGATGTTCTCTTCCTCTTTCTGACGTTCGAAATAGGACTGTGTCTCTTCGACGCCCCGATGTTGGAGGACCGTTTCCGTGTTAATCGTCGGAGCGAGATCGAGCAGATCGCAAACTTACTAAAGCATGAAACGACCCCACTGAGTCCAAAGTACCTTGCTGTTGCAGGGCCCGAGGGCACCGGCAAGACCCAGCTGGCCATTGCGTATGCCGAACGATACCAGCAACGTTACACATCCATCCTCTGGCTGGATGCTAGCTCTGAACAAAGACTTGGACTCAGCATTCGTCGTTGCGTGGACCTTATCCTTTCTCGAGGCGCTACAAATAACATGAACGAACCTGAAATCCGCAACTGTTTTTTTGAATGGCTTGAGAGAAGCGATAACGGCCGGTGGCTACTCATATTCGATGACTACAAGGACGACCTATTCTACGGAGCTCAACTCGTGTCATACTTTCAAGGTGTCGCACATGGCTCCATCCTCGTCACCGCCCGGAACCAAGAACAGGGGATTGGGCAGTCCATCCTACTGCGCTCAATGGGGAGCGAAGATGAGGGTGCCAAAGTTCTGTTAAGAAGAGGCGCTTTCGCAGGTATTAAAATCTGCCCCATTACTGTGCGTGATGATCTAACATGCTCTAGACTATGGGTCTCTAGAAGTTGCCCGGGCGGTTAGAGTGCTCGGCGGGCGCCTTTTCTGTCTTGCCATAGCTGGGGCCTTCGTTTCTCAGGCCTATTTGACCTTCAGTTTGTATTCCAATTTAGTTCAAGAGCGGCTGGGCGTTCACCGTAGATACCCGGCGAATATTGCAAACCGCACGATTGCCGTTCTGGATATTTCATTCGAATACATGCAAAAAAGATTTCCGCATGCTGCACAGTTGATCAGCTTTTTCGGTTACCTTGATCGGCACGATATCTGGTTTGAACTTTTACAAAGTTGCCGACACCACGATCAACCACAGTGGTTTAGCGAACTAGTCAATGACAGATCTAGGTTCGGGGAAGCGATGCGAAGCCTCATACAATTTGGTCTGGTAGAGATGAGTCATCAAACTGGCTCGTATAGTCTGCACTCATGTGTATACGACTGGGTCCTGAATAAGCTCAACAGAGAGATTGACGAGCAACAATACTGGCTCGCTCTCGACTGTGTTGTCAGCTCCCGTGCGGACGTATGGTTGACCACTTACCACGAGCGGCTGATCAGTCATGCTACATGGCTCGCACATGACAGATTTCAGGTTCTGATAAAGCATGCGTCACGAGAGCACCTACATTTGGTGGTGGGTCTAGAACAATATTTCCAGACCGAGGGAGAGTATCAAAATGGCAAAGAAAGTGTATCTCACAGTACTCAGTAGTTATGAAACGATGCTACCTGGGGTCTGGGACGATCCAGAAAACGCTCGTGTTACGCGACGCCTTGTTGAGCTGTACTCTAATCAAAACAAAGTGCACGCAGCTGGAGAGATATATGAACGAGCGCTTCGTTGGTACGCAAACACGCTCGGAGAACACCATCCGGAGTCGCTGTCTGCAATGTCGGATTACGGCTCGTTTTGTCTTGACCACGACCAGCTCGAAAGAGCGGAAGGGCTCTTCCGGAAAGTCCTTGTTGGGTACGAGAAGACGCGAGGACCAGACGACCTGTCAACTCTTGATTCCATGAAATCTCTCGCCAGCATTTGCAACCGCCGATCCAAGTACAACGAAGCAAAAGAAATGTATCAAAAAGCTCTCTCCGGCTACGAGAAGACGCTAGGAGCGCACCACGCGGCAACACTTTTAACAATGTTAGATCTCGCCAAAATTTGTCGTGATATGGACGAGCTAGATGAAGGAGAAGCGCTCTGCACACAAGCCATTCTTGCTCTTGAGAAGACGCAAGGCGAAGAGAGCCCGCAAACCATTCCTGTGATGACATTGTTGGGCGATATATATCGCGAGCAAGGTGATACGGATCTGGCCGCGGGGATGTATTGGCAAACTTTTGCTCTGTCTGGAAAGGCCCTAGGGCCTGATCACCCATCAACACTGTCGGTGAGAGTGGCACTCGGCAACATTCTCTTTGGTCAAAATAATCTTGACCAAGCCGAGGAGATGTATTCATCTGCCCTCAAGGGATACGAGAAGACCCACGGAGCAGCTGCTCGGACAACTCTCGACGCGGTTTTGAAGTTAAGCATGGTATATCGTGGGCAGAAAAGGATTAAAGAAGCGTGTGAAATGGCCCGGCGTGCTCTAGAGGGCTATGAGAAGATTTTGGGCCCTGAAGCGGCTGAGACTCGAGAGATTGCAAGTGTTTTGAAAGACTTAACATTGACGGTAACATAGGAATCTGGGCCTCGTGGACGGGAAATAGTTTGTACAAGCCTATGTTTCACCTCCTTCATACCACAGCCACACCTGTTTCGAAGCCCAAGAAAAGAGACATCGCAATTGCAGGCATAGGAGACATGTGTAAGGCTCACATACGCTCAACACACGGTCCTTTACTCTTCCAAAAGAGCAAACGACCAAGCATCTTCCTCACTCCCGGAATCGACATATCGAACCCCTTTGTATTCCTGCTCTTGTGCAAAGGATTCAATATCCATCACTCCCACCTCGTCAATCTCTGCCTCAAATTCATCAAGCTCATCCTCAAGGCCCATGAACCCGACATCGCCGGGACTGAACGTTTGAATCGTGGCATCGTCGTTTTGGCCTCTCCACGGCCACAACCGGCCCCTTTTCGCGATTACGTGCAACCGGTAGGCAAGGATAGGCTCTCCCAAAGCGGTCCAGGTCTCTGTGAGGAGGTGGTCAGTCTACATATTTATTCCTCTTCAGAGACAAGAATAGGACGGATAGTGACAAGAGAGGCTTCGGTGACAAGTTGCACCTCGGATCACCATATCCGTACCACAGGGAGGAGTTTACCTTTATTTCTTCTGCCTCTGTCTCCGCCCAGGTTCCCACCAAGACTAATTTCGTCCGTGACATGAGCTTGTCCGCTTAGCTGTGCGCCATGTTGATTGCTTCGTTCATTCAGATATCGAAGACCTTTGACAATCTTCAACCCCGTCACCACGAATACCTGTGCAAGGTGCCACGAGACGTTAGAAGAAATAACAAGTCATAAGTACCAGATATATCCGGTTGACCTAGCGTAGGCATTGATAGAAACCAAGTATAGCTCGCTCGCTTTGCACGATTGATTGATATCGTAGAAGATGAACGGTGGACGGTAACCGGGAAACTTACTGGACCTTTTTGCAAAGCGTTCTTGAACTCGACATCATTCTCCCGAAACTGCTTTACGTCCGCGGCAGTTGGATTCGTCTGCAAATGCAACGCGACAATCTCGTCAAAGGCATAAGTCGTCTTGACCAGACCACTTGTCTCAGCGTCTGCCTGGGCGCCAAACACGTCGTATATCTTCGCAGAGAGACCCACATTGAGCGACGCATGGTGGTCCTTGGATATCTCGCCTTTGCCGTAGCCGACCCCCGAGACAACGTTCGACAAGGGGGCGAAGAATGTGATGGGATCTTGTGGTAGAGTTATGTCCGAAAGAACGTTGCCGATCTTGATTGGTCCATCGACGCTGTACTCAAGGTCAGGTGCTCGAAGGTAGAAGCGCTTGATTTCCGTCGAAGGCGGCATGATGGCTTGAGGAAAGTCACTCCATGTGCTCACTGGGGGACACCGGCATATCATATATATATAACATAGAGAAATTGATAAAAGTCCCGTTAGAGATCGGAAGTCAGGCTCAAGAGCTGGGTAATGTCTGCAGACCACAGCAGCAGCACTTGTGGCGTCGGCCAATAATATGCATGTATGATCACTGCCAGCACACCGGTCGAGGCTGAGCGGCAGCCACACGAGCTGGTGGTTGGGAGAATGGGGGCGTAAATGAAGCAACACGGCAGCGCCATCTACGTCGAGCTGCGTCGTCGTTCCGCCTAAGCCCGTCGGCCAACGGCGATCTCTGGTGCTTTTATTGCACGGTGAAATCATCTAAGCCCCCGGTATCTCAGAACTTGAGAAACCAGTGGTCACTTCTCTCTCGTGTTTTCAGTGAAAGCACGACTGGAATCACTGCCAGGACGTGACTTGAACTTCGTTCGTTCCAGGTCATTGAGTGTTGCTGGAAAAGACGACACGAGCGGCGTTGTAAGTCAATAATAGTTCCATTGCCCCTGTTCACTGAAAAGCACAGGAAACGGGACCTATCCCCAAACAATGCCACATACCCCAGTTTCAGAAGAAACCCATATATCCACCCCAAGCCAGCCGACACCTTCGCAGTCCATTCACAATTCACAAGACATGTCATTAACATCCGGGATGACTAATTCAGTAACGTTCGGCATCCTGTTCTACCCTCCGTCGGAGCACCAGGGCTGCCTGAAAGTAAAAAACCTTGTGGTCCGAATGTATCTAGCAATACTCAAGGCCCAGACTGGCGCGTAGCAAACGCCACAGCAGCTTCGTACCGCATGATGAAGGCATCTCGTTCTTGGTCGTAGTTCTGCCGCAGTGCTGCTCAGCATCTCTGGCTGCTTGTTGCTCGGAGGAAGGTAGAGTCTGAATATCTCGATCCGCCTTGGACCTTCTCCCACATTCCTTGTCATCCCTGTATCGTAGATATTCCATGAAACGATTTTGGGATTTGTTTACTATGATACATTAGTGGCTCAGGCTAGACCCTTGACTTCGATTATAAAGACGAGAGTGGGAAATTTAAAGCCTGCTTACCTTCGAGACAGACAGACCGGCTGTTCTTCGCCTTTTTCTGGGTGTGTTTCGTGGCGAATCCCACCAGTCTCGATCGGCGTGCGTATCGACTCTCCGAATCAATAGGAGGCCTAGGGGTGCTCCCTTTAGCACAATCCTGTTAGTATTCCGCACACAAAGTCGTATAGTCACGAGCTTCTGAGGCTGTGGACATGTCACCGGAATTGCTCTCACTTACCTGACTCAAGGGCCTCGAATTCAATCTTGCTGAAAGGGGTATTCCACAAGGTTTCATTCTCAGACTTCACAACCCATCGAATGTAATGGAAGTCACACCGCGCGTCAAACTCGTTCAACTCGAAGAAGGTATCCCCATACGAGTTGAAAGCGTCCAGCTCTTCAAGGGTGTCACTTCCCAGGAGCACATCCGATGTCAGGCCTTCGAGGACATAAAAATCCCTTAGTTGAGCCGTTTCTTCATAGCTGCCAATGTAGAATGGGACACGAACGACCCCAGAAAGCTGTGCCGTTGTCCCATCTGCAAACTCCACATATTGGTGATCCGGTTCCAACTCCCGCATCTTGAAATTTGATCGTCTGGCGTACCAACCAGACATGAGATTCAGGTCCGAGCCAGTGTCTGGGTTGGCTGCAACCATTTGACCATCAATCCGACATTGGAGACGCTTTCTAGGAAGTTCCAAGTGAAGAATTCTTGCTGTGAACTTGCCAATAGCCTTAAGCTTCTTCAGACGGTGTCGAAATGTGGTCAAGCAGCTTGTCTCTTCCAAGAATCTCCTGCCAACAACCAGAGGAACAACAAGCTTCGGCATGATCCAAAATTTCAGCGGGAATCTGTTTTCAGGCTGGTCTTTAAATTGGCAGCCCACTGTGGTGTAGCCGGTCGTGCACATAGGATCACCTCGTGCGTTCTCAAACTGGTGCGGACTTGGGTCATCTCTGTGTACCTGCAGCCCAAGCTTTTTGGCCATGCCCGCGGACATGACATTCTCTTGTGCTCCGGTGTCAGCCAGAGCGGTTTGGGTCTGGCCTTGTAATTCCAGGTAGACATGGGTCCTGAGCGGTACCTGCGAGGGCACAGCGTTACCACTTCTCTGTTTAGGTGGCACTTGGGTTGACATAAGCGGTGGCACATCTTGTCCTAACCACGAGCGTAGCTCTGTAGGCGTCCATAATCTTTCCTTTCTCTCTTGTGGCTGAGGCCCGAGCCCGCTAAGGGTTATTTTGAATGACTGTTCCTCCAAGAGAAGTGGGCAGATCAGCGAGACCACGCCTTTATATTCCATCGGGAACGGTTGGTGCTGTGGGACTAGATGCGACAGATCCTGTATGCGCTCGTTGATGTTGTCTCGACGACTTCACAACGAGGCTCGAGACACATGGAATCTGTACAGGTCAAACAAATCTAGGAGAGAGGTGGCAAAGACTGCGCCCACCGCTTTTGTAGAGTACGCCTTGTGCTGAACAATGAGGCGTTCTTGGGCTGAATAGCATGACCTGTTCCATCCAATCGCAAAACGTAGACTCTCGCATCGGAGTTGACGCTAATATATGCCCAGCATATTGTCTTCGATGAAAAGCGATGCAGCCTGATTCTAAGTCAGTGTAGCTTTTGACCTGAATATCAACTTTCAAAATTGCCATGCAGCATGATGCCGAGAGAGACCTGGTCAAAGTGAATTATATCAGTGGCTTTGCTGATCTCGCGAAGTTCATCTCTAGCGATGCTGATGGAGATACTGCCATTTTCCGACGCTTTGAGACTTTGGCGGCGCGGAATCTGCTGTATCTACAGAGCGAACTCGCAGTGCTCGAGGAAATCCAGGATAAATACGATAGGGAAGACGATAAAGATGCCCTCGATGCAGGTGCAGACTGGTCGACTTTGAGGCCTTGCGGGAAAGACTGGGAATCCTTTCAACGAGAGGCACAGGCGGACAGTTCTTGTGTCGGAGATCGATACAAGAGACGCATGGACCTTGTCCAACAAATTCGAGGGAAGTTGAAGGAATACAGTATGCCCTGACTGCCCTCCCGCAGGGCCAAAGCTGACAGCAACACGCAGGGGAAGCGCTTCTGATGGAGTCAACGATGCTTTCATTGAGGAGACCATCAAAGCAGACACACGACGCTTTTCTGCGATCTTTCTGGAACGAGCGAGGTGGTCAACGTCATGAGCCAGCACTGACGGGACCAAGTGAGAGGCTATATGGGACCCGGGAGGGATTGCTGGCTTTGAGGAGAGATCACGAAGACCGACTGACTGTCTTTCTCCGGAGTCATTGCGCTCGCTTGTTCAAAGTACGCCAATGTCCTTATAAGTCGTGGGAACATCCGATTTGCTGACTTCGTAGGTCCGTGGCAATGTCTCTTCGCCCTCGAATGTCGAATACTTTTCAGCCACGAGGATAGCTCAGGCCGCGAACGCAATCACGGTCCTTTTGGCAGCGACGCTCTTGTTTGGGGCGATATACAATCTGTATTATGTGAAACGGCACCAGGTGAAACTCGGATTGATCGTGTTGTACACCCTCGGCTTCGCTTTGAGCATCAGCCTGATATCGAATGCTCGAAGGGCAGAGATTTTCGGCGCTTGTGCGGCATATGCAGCGGTGCTGGTGGTGTTTGTCAGTGGAAACTTGGGAAATACCAGCGGCAATGCGTCCTGACCCACGCTGATACTGACGGTGAGCACGTCTGACGGTTAAGTGACACTCTCGATAATGGTCTAAGTGCTATCTCGACCCAGGAAAGGATCTTGCCGACAAGAAACAACAGGCTCTGGGTCTAAAGGACAACAACGTCTCAAAACCACATTATGGGCCTTTTCATGGGCAGCGCAACTTTCCTTAAGTCAGAGACTCTAGTTCCAATGACGTCCCTTCGCCTTCACGAGCCGAAAACCTTCACCCGGTCTTCCAAGGGCAAATACGTCCGCTCACGACTCCTCGTCAATCCATCCTTCGGCTGACCAAAGACGAGCTGACAGTGAAGCTCCCAAGTCTCGGGCAACTTCCATGTCTCTCTGACCTGTTCACTGAACGCCGGCATAAAGTTGTAATGCTGCAGGTTGCAGCCGAGTCCTTCAAGCTCAAGTGCCGTCCAGACAATGAACTGGTGCATACCGCTGGAATGCTGTGCCCCTGGCCAGGTGTTAGCGGTCGTTCAATTTTTTTTGCTCTCGGTCAGTAAATGGGTCCCGACGTACATTCTGGAATGACATGCTGAATGCCGGGGTTCTTGCTCTTCAACGTATCCAGAGCAGCCTGGTCTTCGAAGAACAAAATCGTCCCGTAGGCGTTCTTGAAGCCCTGGATCTTTGGCGCCAGACTCTGATACGCCGCTTCCGGCATGGCCTTTTTCAGACACGCGTCTCCGATGTCCCAGATCTTTTCGTGGTCTTGTTTCAACAATATGACGGCCCGTGCGGACTGGACGTTAAATGCAGATGGGGCGCTCTTGATCGTCGCGTTCACGATTTCATGGATACGCGAGTCTGAGATGGGTGACTTGTTGGTCAGCGTGTAGCAAGAAAGGCGGGTCTCGGTTGCGGAGATGAAGTTGTCCGCCGAGGCCATGTTGAATTGCTTGTTGAGTGTTTGGTCGTGATGTACGTGATCGAAGCGACAACGTTGCGCCGCTCCGGTCTTGTTTTGTGGAGTTGAGGATCTGAGAATGTCTCTGGCGAAGTATACAAAGATTTGGACGGCGGCGACACGGGCTTTAAGTATTTCTCGAGACTCAAAATGGATGCCCAAAGGAGTGGAGGCCTGACGCTGATGCTGAAACCTTACTGTCCGGGTCTAACTAGTGAGGTTGTGGTGCATGTCGTTGGCGTGCAGAGCGTATCGTATGGCGTATCCTTCTCACGGGGGCCTTTGAATTTCGGGCCCGAATCGGTCGCCCTCATCCCTCCCACGGTTATCGCCAACCTCTTTCGTAAGGCTGGGTGGGGGCGTTTACTCGTAAGCAAAGCCCATGGACATAATGCGTGCTCGGCTGACACCGAATGCCCGGCATTACTCAAGAACGAAATGATCCAATGAGTCTATAAAATACTCCGAATGAGGAGGTGAGACTTGCAGGGAAACGACAGCAAGAATCAAGAGCATCGGGCTCATACGGATCCCCATTTCAGCTGTGAGCCGCAAACTACTCGTTATTAGTATTGGGCAGAGCGTCCCGAGCCCCCGACGTGTTGTGGAGCATCCGGGGATAGGAAGACTCCAACAAGACTCAGTACTCAGTACACTTCAGTGGGTCTCGCGGTATGTACAGGATCACTGGGTCTTCTGCTGTCAAACTGCTTCCATAAGCCTAGGGAGCCATGCTAAGCTTGGGGACATTGTACTAAGGGCACGTTCAGGAACGGGTCCAATGGATGACACAGCAACAACTGAGCCGAACACAAATACCACTGTCCTAGCGAAAGCCTGGGTCACTAACAGAATCACCGAATAGTTTTCCATTCTGCTGCCCACTGGCAATATAGCCAGAATACGCATCCCTCAAAATGCCTTGTGGCTCTCCGCCTCCTTTCCAGCAGGTGTAGGCTCGACGTGCCGCGCGAACAGACGTCTGAAGCCCTGGACCAAAACCACCTCGGCCACAAAAGCAGGCCACTTCGCCAGGCGTGAGATGCTGAAGCGTCTTACTCGGAAGACGTAGTACAACATGATGCACGCAAACACGTTGAAGAAGATGTAGACGAATCCAAGGCCGAAGTTCCTCCACCGCTCGCTGTAGTAGACGTTGTTTCCTGCGAGGAACTGGTCGGCCGACCGGATCGGACAGTACTCACATCCACTCGTGGCGCTGGGGTTGAGCAAACGTCCAGGAGCGCCCGCGTCGAAGTACCGGGTCAAGTATCGCTCGCAGGTCTCGCCTGAGGGCGGGTCGAAGATGGCCATTTCGTTCTCGGCGCATTCGACAGTTCGTCCGTGAAGACCGGTACCGGCCCAGCCGGAAATGAGGTATGTCATTGGACTCACGCGGTCTGTGACCAGCATCGTCAGCTCCAAGCAACCAAAATCAGGCGCAGAGAAGAGGAAAGACGGAGCAAGAGAGACAGTAAGTACTCACACATGAAGATCCAAAAGCCAGGCAAGGCCGAAGGTGACTGAAGTACACCGTTGAACGTGAGGATCATACTAAACATGAGCGTGGCGATATTTCCGGCCGTCTCGGCATCCGGCAGGGCAGCGATTACCATGTGTGCGAACGTACTCGTGAACACCATGAATTGAACCGTAAAGAGGAGCATCAACCCACGCGTTTGCCCGGATTGATTCTTGCCAAAAACTGCAAAGTACCAGGCAACCCAGATCAGGATTCCTAGTAGAAGCTGGTATGGTATTTCCACGAAGATGTTAGCAACAAGGAAGGCAACCCAAGAGTACGCCTTGGAAGGCCGTTCGCGCACTTCGTAAAGGGATCTTTGTATGACGAAGCGTGGCATTATTTGCTGCACGAGGCTGGAAAAGACCCTGATATAGACATTAATATCGTGGGCAGAGACGAGCGACAGCAATCAAGAGACGTACGTGACCAGCATGAAGACTGCAAAAAGGGTATTCTGCAAGCCTGCCTGTGTTGTGTTCTGCTTGTAGAAGGAGAAACCGGTAAAAAGTGCGGACATAATACCCAACAAGAATCTGAGAAAGAATATCAGTACCATACTTTTGTGGTCGAGGCGGGACGATGCTTTTACTTACTTGCCGTTGACGTACGATGGCGTTCTCCAATATTGCTGGAAAACACGCTTTGTGACATGGTAGATCTGGGACTTCAGGGGAACCGCATATTGCGTAGCCGGCCCCTGGTCGACAACAGGCTCGGATCTCTTTGCTTCAGAAACTCGATCGAGCTCGGCCTGGATCTCAGCTGCTTCGGGAGTGGTCTTCCAGACTTCGCTCCAGTCACGGTCAGAGCTTTTGCCACAAATGTCAAGCATGTACTCGGCAGGATTGGCATTCTCGTCGCATTTCGGCGCACCATTGCGTTCGAAGTAATCCAGTAAGGTCTTCGAGTTTGGCCCAATATCTCCAAAGTAGATGGTCTTGCCACCCTTCATCAAGAACAACAGTCGATCAAATTCTTGAAACAAAATCGCTGACGGCTGGTGGACGGTGCATAGAATCGCTTGGCCGGAGTCGGCGAGTTTGCGGAGGAATGCCACAATCGACCAAGAGCTCTGAGAGTCCAAGCCTGAAGTAGGCTCATCCAAAAATATCAGCAGAGCGGGTTTGGCGGCAAGTTCAACTCCGATTGTGAGTAGCTTGCGTTGCTCGACATTGAGACCCTCTCCGGGGTTTCCGACCACTGCTTCACTGAAATCTTCCATGTTCAGCATGCGGATAACGTCCTCGACAAAAGCATCCTTTTCTTCCTTGGATACGGAATTGGGTTGTCGAAGATATGCTGAAAACTGCAGAGCTTCTCGGACCGTGGCAGTCTCAAGGTGCAAGTCTTGCTGCTGAACATAGCCTGTCTTCCGCTGAAAAGAAGGGTCTAAGGGTTTGCCGTTGACAAGCTGAGAGCATCATTGGTCAACAGGCGTTTTCGTAGCTACAGGTCAAAGGACAGTCTGTACTTACCATGTCTCCAGTCAACACGCCAATGTTGGTCCGTTGCGCAAGTGCATCAAGGAGTGTGGTCTTACCAGCACCACTCGTTCCCATGAGAGCCGTAAGAGTTCCAGGCTTTACATACCCGGATATGTTATCAAGAAGCCTCCGTGGCTGTCCTTTGATCTTGATGTCAAGTGTCACGTTTCGCCACGTAAAGATATCTTTCTGTGCTGGAAGGACTTTGACCCCGTCTTCCTGCTTCCCTTCAGCATCATGGTCCAGATTCGCAGGTTTGGTGGCCGTGCCAGGGTCCTCCTCATCCTTGCGTTTGCCTTCCTGAAGATAACTAGGAACACGGCCCCGTTGAAACACTAGGAATTCCGCGGTGGAGGTCGTGTCAGAGTTGACTTCAGTAGCGATGAAGTAGATGGAGAAGAAGAAGATCATGAAAGCAAACAAGAATCCCAAGTTCCTCCAAATGTGACTGTAAGAGTATCCGTAAGACGACTTCACCCAAGCATCTCCAGAGACGTTGATTTGACCTGGAACAGACCCGGCAACCGCGCATTGGAAATTAGCCCCTTGACCGTAAGGGGGAACCAAACTTGTTGACGCGCACGGGAATTCGCGTCCATGGACTTCGTTAACAATCAGAGCTTCATAGGCATATGCAACAGGATTAATCTACAATCATGCTTGTTAGAGACCAAATTTGCTCGAAGATATCTGATGGCTTACCCAGCTAGACCACTTGAACCATGGGTGCATATAACTGCGCTGAATCACGAAGCCAGTGTACTGTAGATAGTCAGAAGTCGGATCTTTAATCAGAAACGAAAGACCGCAGGATCTAAGTGAAGGGTACAAGCTGCCAGGCGGGAGTATACGTACAATAACAACCCACAATACGGCTACACCTGCGATAGCAAGCGCCGCTGTGATGGTCTTTGTCAGAGCTGCAGTGGTCCTAAAGATTGCAGACATTGTCAATGAGCAGATGAAGTTGAATAGGAGGAAAATGAAGAAGTTGGAAGCTCTCGTCCGGAGTCCAGCGAGAAAGTAAAGAATGATGCTGAACACGACCGTCGTACAGAAGGAGATGGGCAAGTCGGCCACAATTCCTGCAAGAGCTTCGGTGAAAGGATGGTAGAAAGCGTAGGATTTGTGCTTGGCCACGATCGGTCGTTGGGCATATAACTTGTTGATCTCTACAATGGACTGGAGTGCACTCAACAGCACGGCGAAGAACAGCACCGCGCCTTTAGAGAAAAACGAGCCCGTTGAAAGTGGAGTTCCGTAGTAAATAGATCCGACAACCAAGGCCAATGTGATTCGACTAAAGATGACAGCCCTGTAGCAATGTTAGAGTCAATTCATGCAATATAGAGTCATCAAGGTTACCTACACCGTCGAGGCTTTGTCATTCCACAAGCGTTGATATGCTCGCTTCGTACATAGCCGAACCTGCATAGGTATACTGATCGTGTAGGGCGATTTGGGACGTGTATGTTGAGCTTGGCTAAACTTGTGAGACTCTCGAAAAGTATCAAGAGCTTCCTTTCCGTCCGCGTTGACTTCGGCAGCTTGTTTCGATTCCTCCTGGGCGTACTTGTAGTTGGGACTTTGGACCCAGTACTTCTCAAAGTCCTCGGCCGTACGGGGTACTCGACCTTCGAATCCTTCTCGAGGCTTTCTCTCACGCGGATTGGTGACAGATGTCAGAAAGTCCCCAGTCGTTTGTCGCGGAGGACAATACCAGCCCATGTCCTCGAAATATGCCTTTGCCTCATCGGTAGGGCCAAAGTATATTTGTCTTCCTTCGTACAGGACAATGGCTTTGTCGCACAGGTCATAGATCGCTTGTGATGCTTGATCTGTGGGGAATTAGCCATAATCTGAAGAGGGGATGTCGCCTTAATGACAAATCATCTGGAGAAGTAAACACTCACATATGGCAATTAAAGATGTGAGACCTGCTACGTCGGCCGCGGTGCGTAGTGATCGTACGAATTCGAGCGCAGTCTGAGAGTCCAATCCTCTTGTTGAATTGTCCCATGCAGCTATGGGGGGTCCAGCAAGAGCCATCTCTGCAAGGCTGACACGCTTCCGTTCACCTCCACTGACTCCTCGCACAAAATCATCACCGACCTTGGTGTTGCGAGTATGTGCTGCAGAAATGTCTCAGTAAGCGGAGGAACAAGCCCACCCCGAAAGTCACTTACAAAGACCAAAGATAGTCATCATCACCGTTGCCATATATTTGCTCCATTTGTCTCTCGGCGCACCGAACAGCCGATGGGAAGGAGTTCTGCACGCGGCTGCAAACTCGAGTGTCTCTCCGACCGTCAAGTGAGGAAAGTGTTTTTCGTTCTCCTGATTGTAAACGGCTTCGCCTTTGAACTCCTTCAGAAAGATGTCTTGCGATATGCCGCTGTATGTGACCTTGGAGTCCTGGGAAATTTTGAGACCTTGAAGCTCTCCACAGATGCTTTTGAGGAAGGTGGAACAGCCACTCCCAGGTCTTCCAAGGACAATGAGCAGTTCCCCGCTGTTAACATGTCCGTTGAAATTGGTCAAGATCGTTTTCTCGGGTGGATGACTGAAAAGCTCACGGAAGCGGAACGGCGCCATGAAGGCTGACCCAACGGTCTGTTGAAGCACAAGAGCAGCACCTTTGCCAGACACGTTGAGATTTGTAAAAGTAAACCCCGTCCGTCGACGTTTGATGCCTTGCTCTTCTAGAAGCTGTGCAAACTTTCTCAGCCACAGAAAGAAGTTGAAGGATGGATGATTGGGATCAAACTCCGGTGATTCTGGAGCCATGCCGGCCACAGTGTCTTGTCTTGTAAGGCCGTCTCCAGTGGCTGTCCGAGCGGGTTGAACCCCAGACAGGACCGAGGCCATCCTCGCAAGTTCACTCCTGGTGGCAGCATCACCACGGTAAAATTCATAGTCTGCTTCATCGCGAGTTCTCCTTGACCGTATAGGTTCGAAGCGTTGATGTTCGGAACCACTTTCTGTGCTTGTTGAGGCTGGATGTGAAGAAACACTCGCCCGAGAAGCACGCGTCGATACGCGTTGCGCCTCCGGTGCTACGTCCTCGGAGGCCATGACGGTCGAGACAATTACTTACGAAATTCGGGGAAGGGCAGAAGTCTTCGGTGTTGACTACAATATAAGCACCCCAGAGTCCTCCACAGCGCTGAAGGGGACGCCTGATAAAGTTGGGCGTTGGGCCCAAACGGCCCACAGCAATGTTCCATGACAGAAACAATGGTTGGTGTGGCTATCGCAATAGCTGAAGGGATCGTCCGTAAGCGAACTCTGTGTTCTGGGTTCCGGCTCTATTCAGCCAATTGACCCACGATCCCTCATGCCGAGTGTGGACGCGAATACGATGTAGTCGTTAGTCTATGCATGGCACGGACCTGAAGGTTTCAATGGGGGAGATAATGTTGACAGTCCGTGTGCCGACGAATTGGGGACCTGGCTGAAAGTGAGCTGACAAAGGCCTGACTAGCCCAGCCACATGCCTGAGCACACATTGCTCAGACAGTTCCTTCTCTGCAGGATTGGGCAGGCTCATGGGCTGTGCTCGTATATTTTTCTTGTCTGATCATGAGTCTCGCGCAATGCCCTCTCGTGCCCGCGAGCTCGACGTGGTTTGCGTGTTTACTTCTCCGTAGCTCAACGCCGACACATCACGTGGGTCTCCTGCTCAATCTAGTGAGCCGGCCTCGCATGACTTGCTGCATTTGTACCGCCTCTTTTAGGCTAGCCATACGAGGCCGAGGTGAAACAAGGAGCATGTTGTGACAATATTCTGCTCCATCGAAGCCGTTGTCAATTCGAATGCCACTCTTCTCATGGGGCATATGGAAGCTGTTTAGATTACGGCGCTCCTAGTGCTATGACTTGAACTGTTCGAAGATTGACTGGTTCATCACATCAAGCGGCTGCCGTTCCCTTAGTTCTCCACCATGACCCAGACTTCATCTCAACATGCATCCATGGCCACAGGAGGATCGAGACGCCTCCGAGCTGCCAGGCAATACTCGCGATCAAGTATCTTGCCGGTTAGGGTGAATCCAAGGGTCATACCTCCTCCGGTGAAAGGTAGCATAGAACTAGTGCCGTCTCGGAAAGGTAGGGATAGAGATCTGCAAAAAGCAGTGATGGTGGCAGTGACGGCGTAGCTAACCGCATACACCACTCCGATGTAGAGCAGTGCCACAAAGATGTGTGGAATTTTCAAACGCTGTAAAGGGTTTGGTGGAGGCGGCCGAGGTCTGTCGACCTGTTTCTTTGCTGCGTCCTGACCACAGCATGGACGAAGGATGAGCAGTGACGGGTAATACAGCATATTAGGCGGTGCTATGCCCCATTTCCAATTTCTCATGATTCCAAACGAAGAACTATACTCGTACTAGGTCGTTGATGATTTCCAAGGAAAGCGGAGTTTGGAGCCCTACAGGATAATGACTAGCCTGCGAACTAACGGCCGCAATGGAAAGGAACCAGAAGATGGATCGCCGTCCCAGTCTTTCGGACAGCACATAACCAAAGACTGGTGCGACGCTTGGCGAGAACTACATACCACTGGGTCAGGCTGGACTTCCCGGTAAGAGCGCCAGACCCACAGTTGGTCCTAAATTGAACGGCCCCCTCTCGGCTTGGGGGCTGAGATATCGCCAATCACTCCAAAGCCCGACAGTGCGCGGTGCACATTAGGAAGTATTCACGTGTTGTGAGCATCTGTACATACCCAAAAGCTATTGTACTTGTGCATCCTCCCAGCTTACATCGTTCTCAGCAACAAGAGCAGCCAGAAAGCATTGGTAGGGGTCAAGGCTAGACCCATACAGGATGCGACAAGGACGGTGAAGCAACCCACAACGACCGGTCTACAACCGACGTGATCGGACAATGGCCACTATGCAAAGTTTGCTTAAGGTGAAACGCGTGTCAGCGTGACGTATTCAGATGGAGGCAAGCAAGACCTACAGATTCCTTGCATGGCGAGATACATCGTGCAGTGAGGTCAATCGAGTCAGTCGAGACATCGGAGGCTCTTGCTAAGGTGGGCAAGGCTTGGATTCAGAAGTTCGCTGGGAACAGGCTTCAGGAACATGGTCAGTGACTTGTTCTTGATGCTCCAGATCTCTTCAGGACATTACCAACGGCCACAGCTACGACAAGGCTGGTATGCATGAAGGCACCTAAAGAAGTTCGCCACGGCACTGATGCCTGTGAGGAACCAGTTCGCGCTTTTTTGCCACAGACGCAGTATGGCTCTGTGATTGTTTGTGCAATTGGTGGTGCTTGGTTCGCGACATCTGGAGTTACGGGCACTTCCTGTGGTGGAGACATCTTTTCACGGAGGTGTATCGAGGCTGCAAGATGGTAGCGGTGCTGTTGGCCGCAAGCATTGCATCGACAATGGTTTCAACGGATAAGGACCTGGGCTCGTATGACGGGGTACTCAGGGCTGGGTCTGACTCAATTTTTGACTTACTTCTGCAGACGATGGGCACCCATGCAGATTCGCAGCTGCCAATGCGCGGATCATGGTCTCGTGCAAGAGCTTCAGCGACAAAAACAACATCGCCCTTCGGGTCGAAGCAGTAATTGACTCCGAGAGCCAAAATCTTGGTGGAAAATTTGACCGGGTCTCCTTGCGTATTTGCTGCTTTACATTGCTTTCGATCATTGTCCGCTGACGAAGAACTGTCCAACGATCACAAGTGAAGTGCGTTTGGGAAATACATGATATAAAAGCCTTTAAGCGTCACAACCCCCGGACGCTTCCATATCCTGTCGAGTCACACGTCTTCAGACCCTTCCGAGGCGAGGCCTCGCTGCTGCACGAGCAACCGATGGTGAACATTGTTCAACCGGAAAACCCACGTTCAATACTACCACTCTCTTGGACTGCCACTCTGTAGGACTACCACTCACTAGGTTAGGAGGGCTGCTATGGTGCCGAGAAGTCTAGTAGAGAGTCATTTTGCTCGCCGAGCCAGCCGCAGTCTTATCACGCCTGTTCAATTTATCTTTCCGTCATCGCTTCCAGTTTTTCTAAAGCCCGATGGTACACCTCCACCATTCTGTTCTCCGTCTTCTTCGACAACTCCACCATGCTGTTCTCCCTCTCCTTCGACCACTCCACCATCATTCTGTTCATCTCCTTCGACCACTCCACCATCATTCTGTTCATCTCCTTCGACCACTCCACCATCATTCTGTTCATCTCCTTCGACTCTTTAGCAATTTCCAAGATGCTGTATCTAGATTCCGCAAAATCCGTGTCACTTGCTTCTTGCCTAACCGCAAGGTCAGCTCCAATACCACAAAAGTACCGTTCAAGAGTCCGGAGACAACTCTCTGCATCGATGTCGGAAGAATCTGTGCTTAAAGCTGATGGGTATTGCCTTTTTTGCGGCTGAACCGAATGTATTATCACGTCTCCTCTCCAAGGGAACTTCTGAGGGTCTTTGCCTTGACCAGATCTATATAACTCTAACAGAATGGGATTTGCGGGCAGGCTACTAGCGGACCGGTACCACAAAGCATAAACCGTCTGAACGAGTTTAGTTTTTCGGTCTGGGTGAGTTCGGATGTCTCCGAGGTTCTCGTTAATGCGTTCGAGCTTCACTTCTTTAAAAGTCGTCGGAAGCCAGCATCTTTGACGAAAATCTTCGAAACTTGATACCATGTCGAAAGATGCGGGAAGATTTGCCAGTTGGAATGCCAGTGTCACCCCCTGATCCTGAAAGAGCAGAGACTTGGTGTATAGTAGACTGTTCACGTCATTTACATCTGTTTTATATGCATGGACTTTTAGTTGTCGAACTTGCCTTATTCTGCCGGTTCCAGGCAGTAGCAGAGCTGGCACCTCCGCAACAGGCCGTTTCCCTTCCACTGCGACCGGGTTAGAAGAGAAAATCCCGGATTCAGAATCTTGGAGAGGGTCGTGTCTTTTCCCGCTTCGGCGAGGCGGAGTAATCAACGCCGAGCTCTGCGGATACGGCGCCATAGAACGAACAGGTTTCTGATTGATGACAAGATCTCGAATGGTAGCCATCATTTCGGAGTACGCATTTGTCAGTCCCTCGGCGATGGCGGGTTGAGACGGATCGAAATTGAAGGGAAATGCCCATCGAGGATACAGCTTCCGATGGGTCCCTCTGACGCTGTGTTTGGAGTTATGGCGGATCATTTGCCAACACAGCCAGCAAGACTTCTTGCTGCAGCCAAAGTAATTCAGACACTGCTCCACCCCTGTTTGTGAGAAGTACATGAGGAGCTGCATTTCACAATGCACGCGGGCCTTATTTCCAGACTCGTGTACGACGCTATCCATGATATTCTGGACGGAACTGATCTCCCACGAAGCACGCCCATTGACGACTATCGGGATCCGTCGTTCCTGAGCCAAGTCCAGATTCCCGGTCCATGATTGCATCTTCTGCATGTACGCTGTGCCATACCAATCATCTTCTTGTGATGCAAGCAAGACGTAGTCGAAAACATACCCTTGACGAGCTTCACTGCCGCAGAACCTGGGGAAGTAGTCAAAAGCCGAGAACACGCGGCCCAGGTAGTTGATCCACTTGACTACCTGAGCAAGTCCTTTCAACTTGACGCTGTTTTCGAGGGTCGGAGCTTCGACTTCGTGTACAAGAGCCAGAAAGTCAGCATCTCGGCGAATATTGCCCGCATCTCGAGCATAGGCAGCCAATAGTTCTGCTTTCTCGGCTTCCAGGTTTAACAGCTGGGATTCTTCGTCCTTGTACTGCGAGCATCTCTCCACAAGAGGCACGACCTTCCTCCAACCATCCCGAGACTTGCCCACAAGGTCAAGCTCCGCCGTTGTACCCAGAAGCTCAACGTCAGCGTCGCCGATTCTGGCAATGTAATATTCAAGACGGGACTCGCTGGACTTGCACATGGACCTGAAGATATCCGAGCGGACGTGGCTTTTGTCGTTATGAAGCTGACCGCTAGTGGCATGCTGGCTGGCCAAGGAAGTGAACCACTGCATCAGACGGGCGGCAAACTCTTCGTTTTCGTTGCGGATGGCGGTTTCCTTTCCCCCGGAGGGAGGAGGCGAGTATTGCTTGTCGCTCCGATTTTTGGCAATATATACCGTGATGGTCTTCCTCTCCTTATTCCGCACCATGGCAGTGGCCGAGACATGGTCTCGCGCATCTTGGAGCTTAGACCGGGCAAAACAGTTGGCGAGATGGTCGAGGAAGTTTCGCTCGTCGGGAAAGGCGTCCGAGGCCTCCCAAAATGGCTTTGTCTCAAGGTTTTCGGCCGCGGCATGGAGGTAGAGGGCTGCAGCATAGAATGAGTCTTTGTCGATTCCTGGGAGCCTCCAGACGGTAGAGTCGGCATTGCTTTTGAAATGCCCAGATTGGGAGGACTCGGCTGTGGCCATTGTTTGCCTGTAGGGAGAGAAAAAGGTTCAAAAAGCAATACTCAACGTGGAAGGGGCCTCAGGCCGGCTGGAAGGATAGAAAGTCGGCCGATTGGTGCCACGAGGCTGCAGAATGCCCCAATTCACAATGGCCCTGTCTTTGTGCGCCTCCTCTACTCCTGCATCCGAATCAGACTCACAGAACGAAGCACCGGGCAAGGCAAGGCGCCTTGATGCTGCCTGCTTTGCCAGGCATGCACTCAGCCCCATGTTCTAGCCTACACTCAGTAACCAACGTCTTGAAAATGCTCGGGAGCTTCCCTCGTCCTCTTGCATCGCTTCAACCGCGAGCATTTCGTCTCTAGTGTGTGACATCGTGGTTAAGTTAAGGTCGATGGGTCCCAAAAGCCGCGACGAGCCGCGGCAATCAACGGCTGAAGCGGATCCTTGCCCGAAGAATTCAATCCTGAAACATCAGTCGTCAACACCAGCCTGGCGGCTTTGGACTCGGGCGATGCCCAGGGTTGTTGCAATTCACGTCGATCCGGACGGCACTCTAGGGCCAGCAAACGAATATCAAGACTCGACAGCGCTCCAAACGTTGCTCTGCCAAAGGACACACACCCAGACCCAGTCGGCGGCGGCGCTCCGGACTATTTACATCCTCGAGGCTCTTTCGCCAGACTTCGTCGCAGTCCTCGGAAGCCACTTTCAGCTCCATCCGACGTTATTTGCAGATCATGACAGGCTGGTCGCCTTAGAAAACAGAGCCACTGGAGAGCTCGGCGGGATCCCATTCCTGCCATCGGCTATTCACGGCCGGGACTTTGTTTCTCTCAAATACCACGAGCCATTGCGCCTGTCCAGCCCGCCCCCTGGGTTCCGGAATGTGTGCGACGTGTCTGGGCGGCATATTGCCGTCACCAGGATCGCCGGAAGCTTCTCCGACGTGGTGATCGCCCGACGAAAATGCACCTTCTGGACAAGGAAGACCGAAGGTGGAGGATGGGATTGTAAGTCTGGTCAGAGTGTCCATGAAATACCACGTCGCTGATCCCACAGGGCTCATTGTCTGTGATCCCCCCATAAAACGAATTCTTACCAACTATTCGGGCCAAACGGGCTACAACGTCACCACCGTGCCATACAAGGGTGGTTATCGAGATTTCATGCCTCTCAGAAACCAAATCAAGAACCTGTCGGCACCGCCGAGGACGTCGCTCTTGGACGACCTCATCTTCTACCTCTACACATACTCAGACACACTTAATCCGGGAGACCCTCTCTCTCTGAGAGTCTTTATCGAGAAGATCATCGCTAGCCACTACTTGAAGCTATCCGAGTTGATCCTAACACTCATCGAGAGAATACAATTCGACTTCTCCCGCAAACGCGACCTGTCGAGCTTTGTTATTTCGGCAGTGGAAGAGCAGTGGAGCGACGTGCAAGCTTTGCAAAGGCGCATTGGTGAGTATCAAGATGACCTCGAAGCAACCATGCTGCAGTTGCGAATATCGTTTGATCACCCCGACGTCGATCGCGATTCAGACTGGAAATACAGTGCCGTCGACTACCAGTTCCTCTACCTGCGCTTCAAGGAGATCGGTCAGCGGGCAAACAGCTTGAACGGCTCCACGGCGGCCTTAGCAAGCCTCACCAACAGTCGACAGGCGGCAGCCGCACAAACATTAGCGCTGGAGGCAGCAGAGAGATCGATTCGAGAAGCAAAGAGTGTGAAGGCCCTCTCAATCTTGGGCGTTATCTTCATCCCGCTTGCTTACGTCGCCTCACTGTTCAGCATGTCCCAGCCTTACAACCCAGGGGGAGAACAGTTTTGGGTCTATTTTGTGGTTGCGTTTCCAATGATTGGGGTTGTTTTGTTGTGCTATTATACCCTTGAGCTGGGATATGCCGCAGGCGGAATGCGCTGGCCATATCGGAGTGTTATGGCCATTGTCAAGCAGCGCCTCAAACAGCAATAACGCCAGACACCCTCGATTTTCGGGCCCATCTGACACCAGACTGATCGGGACAGATATACCAATTCTATTCCCTTCATCCGATGTCGAATCTATCCTCCAAGTCTCCAAGCCGATCGCACATTTCCAAAACTGCCGAGTCTTCGATCGTGGGGTACTTTGGAACACTAGCGGCGGATTGCGCTCCAGTTGTTGACCGAAGGAATGCCTTGGAGACTAGATTTGAGGGAGTCCTGGGGGGAACTGGGATGCACAACAGGGGCAGTCCATATCCGTACTCAAGGACAGCGAAGGGTCTTTCCCAAGTTCAATTAGATGTACACAAGGACCGAGGTAGATGTCTATGTCGACACAGCACGCGGTCTAACTTCCTCGTTCTCTTGCCCGGAACGCCAAAGCCATCGCGGAGTGAAACACCTGTTCCAACATCGGTAACCACATGTGGCCGCCAACAATAGTGATAGCTCTACTCCTTTAGGCTCTGCTGGCGTACAACGCAGATCGGTGGGAAATTTCCGATAGAGGCGTTGACGTGCAGCTTGGTCGACTTAACCGGCAGCAGGGTTCTTTGTCCGTGACGGTCATGTTCCGAATAGTGGTCTCGTCACAGAGCACCAACTGCTTATCTGTGGATGTTGTGGCCCAATGAACCAGCAGCGGAAAACTCTGTAGAAAGTTCGTTATTCTTGGGATTCGATGCTCAAGATGTCGGAAAAGTGGTTTGTTGCATACTGTACGCGTCCGAATGCTCCGTCACTGCGTGTACCTGGGGGGACCACACGTTTATGTCAGCGTCGGCTAATCGACCTCACGTGAATTGTCATTTTGGGAATGGCCACCGGCTGCTTCTTGTCAGGCCGGAATATCGTTCTGCCGCAGTGCACCAAAAGGGCAGGCCAGGCCAGGCCAGGCTACGAAGACCTGCACGGAGAAATGAAACGCAGACGCCGCACGAATACAATACGAGTGCTACTTACCGAGAAGTCAAGACGGCCGTGTTGCTAGCGAGTGAAGCCATAGACCCCAACAGGAGCTGGACGCACACTCCTCGTCACCTCTGCTGACACGCAGTCCCTTTTTGTGCGGTGATGGTGCCTCGTGCAGCTAGGTGAAGTGGACTGAAGAGGGTGAAACATGACTATCGTGTACGATGTGATGGTATGAGAGGTAATCTTACGTGGTCCTAAGTCGTGATGCTGAGTTGTGAAACAAAACAAGGACATTACTGAAGCGCGAGCATTGGTTCGGTAGAGTGGGCACATGAAATCGGCTCAAATCCCCGGGCCGCATATCTGGGCACATGTTAATCCAACTTCAGGTTTTAACGTCCATACTGGTGGGCAGCCATCAACGTCGTCTGTGGCAAATGGAGTTGTACAATTGTGATTTCATTCTCAGGCTCGTTTGTTTCGACTTGTCGAACAGCACTGAGGGGAGCCCACTTGCTTTGCTTTCGGTGAGAGCACTCACGCCCAGAATTCCGGGCACGGCTGGAGCTGCTATGAAGTCGACCTACCGTGACTGGATGAATGGATCTCGTCGAGGTGATTTCTGCACTTTGCGTGATCCCTCATACTGAAAAGTGAGATATTATTCCATTCTTCCCGCTCGGTCCTCGCCGATGGCCAGAAGGGGGGGACGCAAATTCTCAGTAGTCTCCGGTTACTCCAGGAGGGGATGACTAACTTGGAATGCATCGTAGAGGTTTGTTCGACACGAAATCTGCATTGTCAGAAAGTATTAGAGAGGTAATAACTCCATGTATACGCCGACTTCTCGACTGCGAGGGTATATCAGACACACTTTCTCAGTGTCCACACATGTCTGGCACGCCGTACGTTCGCGTGCAGATCAGCCCAAAAATGGAATGCAGTAACTCTCTAACCTGTTGCTGTTCACTGGTTATCCATCACAGGTGGTGGATCGAAATCGAATATCCGCGAATGACGAGTGTTGCAGTGTTCCTAGGTAAGTACCTGTTGGGCATATTTTCATCAGCAAGCAAGAACAGAGAGACCAGGAGGAGCGGAGGTGATTCCTGAACCTCTCATCGCTCGTCTCAGTGGCTTGCTGTACTCACCACCATCATATGTGCAGTGTGAATGGTCGAAAGGATTCGGGTCAATGATGCAAGACACTGGCGTTGGTCTCAGGACCCCTCTTGCGTCAGAGTAAAAGTGAAGGGCATTCGATGGAACGTGAGTTATCTTGCGCTCCACAACCCGATCGGCAGTCAACGGCGACATTCCCTGAGATTTTGTCTCTCGAGGACATACCGTGCGAGAATCTTGCTGCCGTAAGGGTTTCACCTCGGCTGTTGGACTACATCATTACCAGGCGATACCAAACTGGTGTGATGACGTTGTTTTGATCGAGATTGCGATACGAGTCGAAGTATCCCTCGTTGATCACGGACTTCTTTCTGCGATGAGCGCATCAGTCTCGGGGCCATGCAAGGGAGAAACGACTCACTCACGTTCACGCAGAACAGGGGCTTGACGTCGATCAATGAGAGGGAAAGAGGGGTGAAAGAAAGGATTGCGGGCGAGTCACCTCGTCGACGTAACTTGTGTGGAATCAATGTTGGAGAAATAATTGCGCTGCAGCTTGACATACGAAGCATATTGTACTCCCCACTGACATCGGGCCGCTGGAAAGCCAAAGGAGGTGACGAGCATGGCTCTGGTGGGTTGTGCTTGGGATGCGATCATCGGCCTGCCATCCAGCACGAGTCTTCGATTCGCCTCAGACAGCACCACAAACACTCACGAGGGGCGTTTTCGGGTCAGGTCATCGAGATCCTTCTCTTTGACTGAAGATTTTTTCTACGCGTCAACCGTTCTAATTAGGATGACAAGAGTGAGCTGCAGTATCTTATGGTTAGAATCTTGAACTTTTCACATGGTGGTGAGGCTCGAGAGGGGTATAGTTGGATTAACAGCAGCATGCAGGTGCGTTTGGGGTGTACGGTTATCGTTGGCGCTAACCCTCATTGCTGGCATCATCACTTCGAAGTGGAATCGGGTAGCTTAGAGGCCTGGTGAAGGTCTGGTATCCTCGAGAGTGCGTCGGAAAGGGGGCGTCACCGACGGGTGGAGATATGATGTCTTAGGGGCCCAGGGGCGGGCGAAGTCCTGCGATATGACGATGGTTTCGACCGTTGGCTTTGGCCAATACACGGTCAACCTACACCTTGGTCCACCAGTATTCGTTTGGCGTCGGACGCAATGCAGCAGTCGTGGAATCCCCTGTTATCTTGAGAGACAGTTCGCAGGTCCCTGTGCTGACCCTCGGCGGCCCCGTCGAGGCAAAAGATCGCGTGCAACGTTCTGGCCGCTGGAGAAGGTTGGCGCTCGTCATTACTCCCCTCTGCCCTACTATGGAAGAATTGAAAACGGGATGGGGTTGAGCAGACGAGAGGATGGCTCTGCGGAATAGCGCACTCGATGGCCATCGGCACGCTGTCAGCATCATGGAGAAACGACATTCGCCATCCAGACCCTAACAGAAACGCCATGTCACTTACGCCACGTGAGAACGACCGACCAATTTAGGAACAATCGACGACGCGAAGGCGATGATTAAGCGAGTGAGTGAGTTGATAGAGCACTGGCAGTTGGAGCCAAAGCAGCATGACGTTGTTTTGTGGAATGTATGATGCAACCGATCGACGAGGCTGTTTTGGTTTCCCCAGGTGCCCAGCACCCCATACGAGGACGAGTATGAGCACCATTAGTCCGTCGGAGAAGGTGAGGAAAGCCTCGGTACCACTCCCGTCGCATGCTCGTATGATTACTGGTGTCTGGAGCATTTGCAGGCTGGATAGTTGATTCGGAGAGTAGGAGACCCTTCGCATGGTCTGTCCAGACATTCGTGATTGTACGCTCCCCAGGTAAAGCAAAGCCGAGAAGATAATCGCTTAATCGCGCAGAGACAAGAAGAATTTACAGAGGGTTACAAAAATTGTATATTGATGATACACCCAATGAAGTAGCGATGTACTTGAAAGATTCCTCTACTGCCAAAGAGGAGAAACACTACCGCAACCAATACGTGTGCGAAAACTTCCGTCCAAAACTCCTAGCTAGAGGGACAAAATAGTCCGTTATGATTGGCATGAATTGGGAAAGAAAGTGACCCAAGAAAACTGGGCAGTGCTCTTTGTATTTCGGAAAAGATGGCCCTGAGGTGTCTCTTTGATTCCGTCATGCTTATATGTGCCGCTAAAAATCGAGCGTGGATAAAAGTGTCGGGCTAAAACGACGATCGCGACGAGTTGCTGCTATGTGTACTTTGCTTTGAGAGACCATTCTGGGCGTGAGCATCAACGCCGTGTGTTGGAGAACTTCGTCGTCGAGCTGATCGCGTCGCGGCTTCCATTTGCTGTTGAGTATGCATGTGCATCATTTTGGCATACGAAGTCATGGCCACAAGAGGATCCGAGTTGGATCCGAAGGGCTCTGATGGGGTTGTGAGGTATTCAACAGAGGCAGGCATTTTGCTGGCGGGTGGCTTTAGGGTGACTTGTTGAATGAAGAGGTGAATTGTCGAGAGGTTGCGCAGAAGGACAAGAGTCGTAGAAGTCTTATTATTTAGAAGAGGAGAGAAACGCTTTGGGCTGCAAGGAGTTATGTGTTTGATAAAATCGTGGTATCCATGGCTGGACATTTGGCAATATATATCGTCCTCAGCGCTAGTGAACTTTCGATGCTGTTACGGTTCTCGTACTAGGTTCAGAGGGGGTATGATCACATTGTGGAGGCGAGTGTTTGAATGCTTAGAGGACGGTGGCGTGTGCTAGAGGCTGTTGAAGCGCGAACGGACGCGGAGAGCCATCTGCAAGTTGCCGCATGGATTGCCAGTGGCCCAGCCAGTCAGCGAGCATATCGAGAACCCAGACTGACATAGATTGCCGATCAGACATCAGCAACTTGGTCTCCGATCCCAGCATAACTTTCGATTTCCAAGGACAGCGTGGCGATCGAACGAATAACGTGCGCAGCCACCCCGTCGTCGAGGTGGACTTGGACCCTGCCGATCAGCATTGTAGGGTCCATACCCGGTCAAGGGGCAGTGAACAAGAGTGATACCATCCCGCGTGAGCTGGTTAGTAGTTGGATCTAGACCCAATGAGAGAGATTGTGCAGCTGGAGTACAGGAGACGGAGGTTATGAAGATCGTCAGGGTTCTTTTTGTTGTCTTCAGACCATCATGAGGCCTGATCCACGGTGGGAAGGGCTGCGTTGATGATGAGGAGGAGGAGGGCAGATCTTGGATCGTCCCAGCGAACGCGACGACTTGATCGAGGCTCTGGTGGATGAGTACGGGAAGCAATGCGGCCGAAATCAATCAGACCCTTAGTTGTGCGTACCGTGCGTGAACTGGGTTCGGTGGCCCTCTGAAGAATGTCATGCCCAACCCTCTGCGCAGTGAAGACGTCTTTGAGCACGCTGAGAGAGAGCGGGAATGCGGGTCGCAGCCAAGAGGGGAAATTCATTATATGACGTGGGACAAGCTTTTCTGAAACCCCCAATGCTGCCGGTGATTCGCTGCCTCGCCACCGCAGCCTCGTCTGTGCCATCGTATTTCTTGCTGACTCGAGGGGCAAAGGACCCTGAAGTAGCGATATCATCATGGCATTTTTCATGATTCCCATCCCATCTGTTGCTCGAGCCCCTACACCATCGATGCAGATCACTAGTGAGATCACCTGTGACTTCTACCCTTACCCTTGATACGAGCACGTTCCAGTCCGAGTGCGAGAGTATGAGCAGGAGCCTCGAGGACATCGTCCCCAAATCCCACTCTATGACAGCCACGAACCCGTGTTGGTAGAAAGTCGTTTCCCGCCGAGTGCCAACAGCCCTGATGCGACTAGCCCCACTAGACACACATGACAGCACGAGGAGCAAGACGTCCCCAGAGAATAATGTGTCGAACTCAGATAAGAGAAATTTGTGCCAGGGATACTCCTCGATTTTTGGTGTAGTATGAGTTCACCAAACACAATGGGAAACAAGAACAAAGTCTGGCGAGGCTCAGGCTGTCTAGCAACTCTACATCGTCTGGGCCTAGGTTCAATTGAAGAAGTAAAGTCCGGCAAGAATTGCGAAGAACAATTGCGACTAACAGCTCCCGCGGGCGTGGGAGCTGATACTTGTACTCCTCCAGTTGCACTGTGAGATCGGTGCTGTAGAAGCGAGGGCATGCTGGTTGTTTAGGAACAGCCAAGAATGAAAGCCACGGACCTGACTTAAGTGAGAAAATAATCGACCTTTTGCTCATGAATCTGCAGAGGTATGTGAATCGATCACGACAACTCCCGTATCAAGGCTAGGGCTGTGTGTGACGCACAGCGGCAGCACGACTACCCCATTTCGGGCCGGCTGTATCTGGAAACACTCACACCCATATTCGTAGATGCTAGTGCTGTGGTGAAGATCAAGCATTCGCCTTCCTAATACCACGACGAATCCTTGTTAAGATGCAAAGGCACATATGAGGACATAAGCCATTCTTCCCACGTTTCCAAATCATTGTGATTCATGGAATTGACCTCCTGAAAACAGTACCTGGAGTCGGTGGAATCGTATTCCGTGCAGACCGAGGAGAAGAGCCTGCTTGATGTTCCAGGCTGCCGCAGCACTGACCAGGACGACGTGTCCTTCTTGTGCCAGCGACCAAGCGTTGTTGCTGGCCCCAATGTCATGCGCATAGGCTCCAGTGCGAGATCCGGTAAACAGGCAATGTCTTACTTATTGCGGGGGAGCATTCTCTGTGCAGCAGCAAGACCTTCGTTGACTCTCCTAGGGCGGCCCTGCTCGGTCGTTTCGATGGGACGACTGCGGCGGACGTGGATAGGAGGACCATGTGCCTGATTGGGGCGGGAAAGCTGGTGGTGGTGGGGGTGGGAAGGGAATGTTATTGAAAGGCGCACCGCCCGCGAGATAAGGCGGCGGAGGAGGGGGAGGGGGCCACGTCCCTTGCCAATTTGGTGGTGGTACAGGAAAGTTTCCAGGTTGGAGAAGGGGTGGTGCAGCAAACGCCTGATCTGGTGGCAGAGCAGCGAAGGCAGTGGCGCTGTTTATCGGAGGTCTCAACTCTGATCGCTGCGGTTGGCCAAATGTGTGAAGGTTCCCATTATGCGAACATGGCAGACCATCATTGTTGGTACTGGCATGGTCATTTGTGTGAGCAATCTGTACCGAGACCTTACGATCTAGAATTTCTCTTCCGGAAAGGCTTTGACTAGCCTTCTCTGCTTGGGCAGGAGTTTTCAGATTGACAAAGCCATAGCCGGCAGGTCGATTGGTTCTGGGGTTGGTCGGAAGAAAAACCGACTCACTGTCCATACATTAGTGAGAAGACCAAGGAAAATAATCATTAGTGGTCCAGCTTACACATCGTAGTCGGCAAAGAAGAGCTTGAGGTCAGATTCGGTTGCCGCGTAGGGGAGATTGCCTATATGCAATCGGCATCTTTCAGAGTCGGACGTATGTCCCGTCTCCGGTAGGGCAGGGACAGGGCTGTATTCTCGGCTTCCACTCGGGCTCTGGCGTTGTCGGTCGTTGTCATTTCGGCGTCTGGACCGTGATCTGCTGTAAGATCGCATCGATCGGTCGTCGCTGGAATCGCTATAACGTCGTCGTTTATAAGCAACGTTACTACGGCTCCTGCGTGAATCTCGTGAACGACTTCTTAGGGAATCATCGTCCTCGGACATATCCCGCTTTCTCATCTTTTCGCAAAACGATCGAGACCAGCCGTAGTAAGTATCCCCAACCTGGTCCCCAGTCTCGTTACGATATGATATCTGACCCATCTCATCGACATCAACACTTACGCCCTTGTCCTCAAGGGAAGCAATGGCGTTATCCATACTCTTAATTTCTTCCAAGAAATCCTTCAGCGCATGGACGAGACTATCGTCTGCTGGACCCGCAGAAAGCTGTAACGCGCGTATTTGCTCTGAACGGATAGGCTGGAGACTGTTCGGTACGATATGCGGCATGAGATTTCCTGCCGGCAGATCCCAGAAGGGTGAAGAAGGGTCTCCGTGCGTAGCTGGGAGTATATATGGCGACTCTTTGATGGGGCTACTGCCTTTGTTCTGTTCTTGAACTTCATGTGTGCTCTCCTGGGATTCCGCATCCATCGGATCCAAAAGCCTCAGGAGCACATGGTCTTCAAAGTAGCCTGCCTCTTTCCATATTGTTACGATATCGTGCACTCGCCTAATGGTTCTCGGTTTGGCCTCTTTTGCAGTTAGTTGGAACAATTCAAGTAGGTAAGGTCGCAAGGACTGGGTGAGGTTGGCCTGATGGTGGGCTTCGGATGAGTGGTATTGGGCATGATGCAGAAGGTCATTGAGCAGATAGAGGATATGCAGTCGTCGTCTTTGCAGGCTGTGATTCGCATAGTCGCTCGCCGGCGATACGAGATGTCTAGAGACGGTAGCCAGGAATTTCCCAAAGGCGGCCGTCCTTGCTGAAGACACTATTACATTGTCGAGAAGCCATTCCTTGCATTTCTATAAGAGTTCAGTCAATCAAATCCTTGCATTACGGTGTCACGCTGGACTCATTCAGACCTGAACATTGTGCCTGGAACAGCAAGCGAGAGTGGCATCGAAGACCTCATGGAATTTTGTCAAGTCCTCGCGGGTCACTTTGGTGACATCTGCACGAAACAAAGACGCGCCAAACGCGGCTTTGGCCAGCGAAATATGATGTGAGGCCATAGATAATCAGGCTCCGCCGGCCTTGTTGGTTGAGTTTGCGATTTCATGCAAAGTACAGAGATTCCATGCGGTACTACAGCATGTGGATGCTCGGCCTGCAATATTGGATGACTTTGGATAGTGCTTATGTAATTCGGCATTTTGTGTTCGACTGCGGTGCCTGCAATGGACGTTCATATGAACATCCTCCTTCTGTACAACCCTTACTGCCAAACACCTTGCGTCGTTACGAAAGACGCCCACTGCTCTGGAGAGACTCACGAGACTCTAATTGTCTCCCTTTCCTCGCAGCCGTGTCCCACTACTCCTTCAGATGATATGTCGGCCCGGCCTACAACGCCTACCAGGAGTGGCGAGCCACCCTCTTCACCCTTGACGCCGGAGCAAGTCAGGAGGATTGAAATCAACAGACTTAAGGCAAAAGCGCTCAGGGAGCAACGGGATGCTGAGGCTGCCCCCGTGTATCCGGCCCAGCCAGCCGATGGCGCAGTCGCTGGGCAGAAGCGCAGCTTTGCGACATTCGCAGGCGCAACAACTTCCAATCGAGATGCCAGGTCTCCAATTAACCCTACACGGCCTCTCGAAGCCATTCAACCAGCACGGAATTTTGCCAAGTACGTCGAATATGACTTCAGTAAGATGACAGACACAAAGGGTGGGTTTCTGACTGCGGACGATGACCCTCACAATAAAGCATTGCATACCGATGAACAGGATCCCAAGCCCACTCACATGACACAGAGAGAATGGGAACGAGCACAACTGCTGAGATCGCTGCGCAATCAGAAGGCGGGGCCATTTGAACCGGGCATCAGCGCGGCCAAGGATGAAGATACCAAGTCGTGTCGAGATTGCGGTACGCAGGAAGTCGATTGGAAATGGTTGGAGGTCTTTGGCATCGCTGTTTGCAATGCGTGCAAAGACAAATTCCCAGAGAAATACAGTCTACTCACAAAGACGGAGGCAAAGGAGGACTATCTGCTTACTGACCCTGAACTGAAAGACGAGAAGTTACTCCCACACCTGGAGAGACCCAACCCGCACAAGTCAACCTGGCACAATATGTTCCTTTACCTCCGATGCCAAGTTGAAGAATATGCTTTCTCGGAAAAGAAATGGGGATCTGCTGAGGCTTTGGACGCCGAATTTGAAAGGAGGCAGGATGACAAGAAGCGGCGCAAGGAGAGTAAGTTCAAGTCCAGACTAGCGGACTTGAAGAAGCGGACCAGGGTAGAGGCACATCAACGCAGCCGAAAGGGCGGAGGAGGTAATTTTGGTGATGATATAGGCGAAGGAAAGCATGTCCACGAGTTCGGGCGGCCGATAGACAACCCAGAGAGCGGCATTCCGGTCAAGAAATGTATTATCTGCGGACTCGAAGTCGAGGAAATGGACCTGTAACATAGATTTTAGTGATGTCGATGAGGAATACTTGCCAGGACGATCTAGCCAGGCTCTGTTTCCAGTGTGCACCTGTTATTCAAAAGAACCAGATTGCGCAGTCGCTTGTATTGCTTCATTTTCGAATGACGGACAAATTGCGGGTGTCGGCGCTAAAAACTGCCGCGCCTCAGAGGGACAACAAGAACATGGTCCATTGAACCTCACGCCGCTTCAGGAGAGCGAACACTTTTCCTTCACCTTTAGTGAATCGCTTCACCAGTGAACGAACTGTCGTCTTTTAATCAATCGTCTTCCACCGGCACTCGATCTGAAATTGGCTGCGAAACCCGAAGAACCCCCACAGAGGCCAGCGTGACCCCTACTCACTTCTCCGCGGTTCTTTGAGATGGCTAGATGAAATACTCACAGCTACACGAGCGCCTGGCAGCGCAATATGGCGTGGCAGTCAGGGGCCGGCGGCAGCGGCACAGGAGGAATGGCATCTGGAGATTCGACCGGAGTCCAGGCATATACACTTCAAGGTAAAGCTCCTGGGATATCGTCTGATGTGGTCAAAGGATTGTCACTTACCAACTTGCTCCAGGTGTTATGCGATTTCTTCAGACCGAATGGCACAGACATGAACGCGACCGCAATGCCTGGGAGATCGAACGTGAGGAGATGAAGAATCGCATTGCGGTTCTTGAGGGCGAGTCACGAACGGGCAAAGGAATACGAAATTCCCTTGAAAAGCATGTCAAACTTCTGGAACTTGCGTTGAAAGAGGAGCGTCATAAACTAAAGAACAACGACAAGACCGGGCTCTCCCAAGACTCAAAGGACACGAAGGAAAGCGCACAAAAAGAGCTCAAGTCAATCGCAAAAGGTATAAATCTTCCCGACGCGGTGATACCCATCACTGACCTCACTCCCAACAGGAACCTCTGTCAGAGGCTTGAGCCATTTTGATGCTGAAATCGACGCCGAACATCACCGTGCCCAAGGTATACGACAAGAAAAAGAACGCGACAAGTCAAAAAGCTACCTCTCTAAGTGCTCCTCCGAGATCAGGTATCATGTCCTCCCAACGAATGCTGTGCCTCCCGACTCTATTGATCCCTCTCTGTCTTCAAATGGGAATCATGTCTTCTCAGGCCGACAGCCAACTCAGCAAGAGCTTCAAGAAGCATATGTACAACTACAGCAAGTCAAACAACAGCAGCAACGCAACATTGCCATGAGCAGAGACAATGCTGCGCAACAATCACCAACATTTGCAGATCCTGCTGCACTTCCTCGTTCCAACACGCAAATTGCCCTTGACGAACTTCAAAGAGGCCCTGTGGAAGTTCAAGTAGCAGAACACAACAACCAGTCTATGCCTGCCTTCGACACAGGAAAGAACTTTTACAATGAGCAAGGTCCTCCTACTGAAGAGCAGGTCGAATCCATATCTCACAGCTTCGATGCATACGGTCGGGAGATTCCTCAAAAAGGGAGCTCCGAACAAGCTGCGGTTGAGGGTGCAAAGCACGAAGTATCAGATGGCTGGGACTTTGACGAGAGCCCAGCGGTTCAGGAGAAGCTCGATGCAAGCGCCCAACACAGACTAGACACCGAAACATTTCCCAGTGCGAATCTTATTCCCTCCAAATCGCCGCCACGCGCCCCCGGTTCATATCGACGAAAGAGCCTAGGAAGCAGACGTCGAAGTGAAGGGAGCAACGACGCGAGAGAATTGGCCTTGAAGTCGGACGCTACACAATTCAAAGTCCGCTTCGCGATGCGAGGCCATCTGGACGTCGTTCGCTCTGTCATCTTCACCGGAGGAGGTAGCCCTGCGGAACCCGAATTTTGCACAGCTAGCGATGATGGAGGCGTGAAAAGATGGCACATCCCAACAACTTACGCACACAATGTCGCGCTCGGCGATGACCTAGATAGAATAGCACACTTCACGCACCGTGGCCACGTTGGAGCCGTTTGCTCATTGGCGGTATGCCCGGCGTCAGGCAACTTCTCCAGCGGTGGTCGGGCTGCTGGTGACGGTTGGATCTTTTCGGGTGGTGAGGACGGGACGGTCAAAGTCTGGGAGCGCGGTCGCGTCGATGCCAAAGCGACGTTGGAAGGCCACAAAGACGCCGTCTGGGCGCTATGTTGCTTACCCGGCACGACAGGAAGCATCCTTGGTGACCGGTGCTCGCAGTATGGAGGACCAGATCGTGTCCTGCTTGTTGCCGGGGGAGCAGACGGGACCATCCTCATTTGGGCCGTGTCCACGCCGCCCCAGCTGACTTCACCGCCTGCTGGCAGTCGATCTGCTAGGGGGAGTCGCAGGGCTAACTCGATATCGGCAGGCTCAAACTTCCCGAGTTCGCCTCAACCCAGCATCGCGAGCACGACGCCATTCAGTTACAGCCTCGTCCATCGGATCGAAAGGGCGCAGCAGCCAGCCCCGACGTCCATCTGTCCCTTGGGTTTGAACGGCGATAGTTTCGTTGTTAGCTATCGGGACGCAAGTGTCCTCGTCTTTGACACACGATCTGGCGAAGAGATTGTCGGCATGGCGAGTCAAGAAACCTACGATGGAACTCCCGATACGGGAATCAACGCGGTTGTGGCTAGCAGTACTGGCTTCGACACGCGCGACTCTGTCGCCCCAGGCCGCCGAGGCTCGATGGGTGAGGACGACGTCGTGCACGGAGCTACGGGCTCAGAAGGGGGCGTCGAAGGCGTGGTCATTGCCGGCTATGAAGATCGATACATTCGCTTCTTCGATGCTAATAGTGGTACGTTGTTGTCTTTGTTTTCCTTTCCCCAACTTTACGTTTGGAATATTTTCCGATCATCACAATAACCCTGCCTTCCTGTGGCTCCCTCCCCCCTCCCCTCCGCGGGGAAATGGAAAGGAAGGACTAACTTTTTTCTCCTCAAAAGGACAATGCACCTATACTATGCTCGCACACCCATCGGCTATTTCATCGTTGTCGCTGAGTCCCGACGGCAAAGAATTGGTTTCCGGAGGTCACGACGCGAGTTTACGATTTTGGTCTCTCGAAAAGAGGAGCTGTACACAGGAAATTTCAAGCCACCGCATCATGAGGGGCGAAGGGGTTTGCAGCGTCGTTTGGAGCCCCGATGGGAGATGGGTCATCAGTTGCGGCGGTGACGGTGCCGTCAAGGTCTTTTCGAGGACTTGAAAAAGGGTGGCGCACCCCCGGGGTGTTTTTGGTCTCTCTCATCCCCCGAATCACTTGTTGTTTTAAGTAACCACTACCTACCCACCCGACTACCTACCTGCAGGACGTCAGGTTCCTCAGGTACGGTGTTGTGTACCTTTCTGACCCCATGTTCCATCCACGTGTGGAAAGAATCAAACTTGACCTACCTCACTCTATCGTGAAACTTGGGATTGCGTTTTTTATCTTTTTTTTGTTGTCGTTTGAGCATTGTGTCTATTTATTGATTGAAGATCTCATGAGCGTCTGTCCGTTGGGCGACGTAGATGGCACTACCACTTACACAAGAACGGAGGGCGTCTGTGTGGACGAGAGTGCGACGACAGTCCAAGGGGAGCTTTTTAGAGTCTGAAGACTGAGACAGTATAAACAGGTAGAATCCATCCGTCTTGACGATTCCGTTCAGACGAAAAGGATGGATAGATGGAAGAAGGTACGTGAAATGTGTAAAAGTCATTCCATTCAGATGAAAGTATGGAAGATCTGTGAAATGTACAAAGTCATCCCTTCAGATGAAGAAAGTATAAAGCTGTCCTTAAACTATCGAAGGGGGGGAAAATAGATGTCCCTCAGTTTCGAGGGGATAGAAGGCGAAAAAAGTGGGTTCCTGCTCAATAGGCAAGGAACCACATGGAAATACATGTGTGTAGGTGAAAGAAAAAAGAATCCCCAATCATCATCACGCTTTGAAGTAGAAGAGGGGGAAGAATAATAAGAAGAAGAAGAAAAATTCCCCCATGTCCCAGACCATTATTTTGGTGTCGATGTTCACGTCACGTCGGACTCGGATCACGGACATGAAGCGTCACTCAGCGTGATGGTGGTACCTCCGACAAGACAAGTGTTAGAAAGGGCATAGTTGGCGACGTACTCCTGAACCTCGGCCACAGTCTTGGACGAGATGATGGGCGTGAGGCCGTTGCGACCGTATGCGAGACAAGTCCCCGAGCTTGTGCAGCTGTTCCTGGCGGTGGTGATGACCTGGGTGGTAGTGCAAGGGAGCAGTCCGTTGCTGCAGGCTCCAGAGGTAATGCCGGCGTTGGCGACCGACTCCCCGAGGCAGAAGGTGACGTCCGAGTTGCACTGTTGTGCTGGCAGTTGTGTGACCGGGCATGTGGTGTCCGAGATGGCCAGATTGAAGATGCCGACGGCGGTACAGAGGGTGTTGATGGGACCCAGGAGACCAAGCTGACGCCGCAACTCGGCGGCCGTGACACTGAAAGCGTAGGCGACACCGTTGGCGTAGGCAGTGGACTTGATGCCCGGCAGACCAATGAACGAGTTCGCGAATGCTTGCATTTGAGCGTCGGTACAGCCAAGGACGTCGGGACATGTCTGGCTCTTGACTGTCCACGCAACAACGATGGGAGCGCAGAATTGTACTGAGGCGTTGCATTCGACGGCCGGGGTCGTAGTCGTTGAGGTGGACGACGAAGTTGTGCTGGAACCGCCCAGGCTGGATGTGAAGGACGTTGTCGAAGTCACCATGGTCGTGGGTGTCGACGAGCTGCCAGTCGAACTGCCGGTCGATGACGCTTGTCCGCTGGTCGATGTGGCTTGTCCACTGGTTGACGAGCCTCCAGAGCCGCCGGATGTGCTTGTGCCTGAAGTTGATGAGCCATTGGAGCCGGAGGTCGATGTGGCCTGTCCACTGGTTGATGAACCGTCTGAGCCAGATGTGCTTGTGCCTGAAGTTGATGAGCCGGAGGTTGACGACGCTTGTCCGCTGGTTGACGAGCCTCCAGAGCCGCCGGATGTGGTTGAACCTGAAGTTGATGGGCCGTTAGAGCCAGAGGTCGATGTGGCTTGTCCACTAGTTGACGAGCCTCCAGAGCCGCCAGAGGTGCTTGAACCGTTCGAGCCTGATGTGGATGTCGCTTGACCGCTGCTCGATGAAGCGTTTGAACCGGAAGAAGAGGTTGCTTGTCCACTAGTCGATGAAGACCCCGAGGACCCAGATGTAGTCGAGCCTGCCGGACCGGATGTTGTGGAACTGGTCGGGCTGTTCGGGCAGGTTGGGTCTCGAATCACAACGCTAACTGGACCTCCCAAGGCGTCACACACGCCAGACAGCTCACCTGAGGCGAAGGCCGCTGAGACCTGTTGAGGCGTAAGGGACAAACCGATGAGCTGGTTGTTGGCGACAACGACCGAGAGAATGTTGGAATTCAGCCCCAGAAGTTGAGGGATAAGCGACAATAGGTCATTGAAAGTGCAAAGTATACCACCAAGGAGAGGACAGTTCAAAGTGGCGACAGAGTTGGCGGAAATGAGCTGGGAGTTCAGGCAGATGTTCAAATTCAGATTGCATGTAAGGCCGGACGAAGTGGTTGTGGCTGGGGCGCTACTTGTCGTGCTTGAAGATTGTGTAGATATGGATGTTATGGTGGATGATGCTGATGAGCTTGCGCTGGAGGAACCTCCTGCACCTGAAGTCGATGAGCTGACAGTAGAAGTACCTGCAGTGGACGAGCTTCCTCCACCAGAAGATGTCGAGCTTTGAGATCCTGAAGAAGAACTAGCAGTCGAAGAACCTCCCGAGCCTGCAGTGGATGAACCGGTACTCGATGCACCTGCAGTCGATGAGCCGGCAGTTGACGAACCCGCAGTAGAAGAACCTCCAGAGCCTGTGGTAGATGAACCTGCAGCGACTGAACCTGAACTCGTCGTAGATGAGCCTCCAGCACCTGATGTTGTCGGAGTTTGTGACCCCGAGGTCGACGAACCCGCCGTGCCCGATGTCGTCGAGCCGCCTGATCCTGAAGTGGTTGAACCCGAGGCACCAGAAGTACTAGAGCCGCCTGATCCCGAAGTGGTTGAACCCGATGCACCAGAAGTACTAGAGGTCGACGATCCTGAGATTGATGTCGCTTGACCACTAGTAGATGAACCCGAACCTGAAGTAGTGCCAGTCGATGAACCTCCTGAGCTTAAAGTCGAGGATTCGCTGGTAGATGAACCCGCAGATGACGATACAGCAGTGGCCGAACCGGTAGTGGACGAGCCCGCTGAGTTAGATGTGCTTGAAACGGAGGATCCGGTTGTTGTCGAAACCGCTGAGCCTGATGTGCTGGAGCCCACTGAGCCAGATGTTGATGAACTATTCGACTCTGATGTCGATGTCCCGCTCGAGCTAACTCCAGAAGAGCTTGTGCCCGAAGATGTGCTTGCACCTGAAGAGCTTGCGCCTGTTGAGCTCGCACCCGACGAGCTTGCGCCCGAAGTTGTGCTTGCACCTGAAGAGCTTGCGCCTGTTGAGCTCGCACCCGACGAGCTTGCGCCAGAAGACGTGCTCGCTCCCGATGACGTTGAAGAAGTGCCGGCTCCAGAGGAAGCCGATGTGGAGGCACCAGATGAGGTCGAAACGGCTGAGGTAGAGCTGGCGACAGTTGTGCTCGTGCTCGTGCTGGGATCTATAGGGAATGAGTAAGTAGCGTCTGGGGCAGGAGAATAACTTACTAGTGGGAATGATATCGATGGGGTTGTCACAGACATCATCCGAAGTGTAGGCATAAACGAAGCCGTTCTCGAAGCAAAATCCAGCAGAGCCTCGAAGTTGAGCAAGCGACCCAACGATATCCCAAATAGAAAATCCGCTAGGCAATCCCAAGAAGCTTTGGACAAGAGAATGAGCCTTGACTGCAGTACCAAGGAATCGGTTGTTGTACAGGAAGCTGGTACCGTCCGTGCCTCTAAACACTAAGGCTGCAGAGGACAGGTCTTCCACCGCAATTCCTCTATTTTGAGGGTCAAAACCAAGGTACCGTACAACATTTTGCCTTGCACGAAGACGGCTGATCGGTCTGCCGCTGATTTGGAGATAGAACCCTGTACCGCTGGGACCAACACTGGTTGTTGATGACGCGCTGCTTGTTGCGGTCGTGCTCGCAGTGCTTTGGCTGCCCGATGACGTACTGGTGACTGAGGAAGTGACTGGCAAGGAACTAGCCGAAGAAGAGCTTGAGCTTCCACTGGAACTTCCAGCGGAAGAGCTTGCACTGGAACTTGCAGCCGAGGAGCTTGCACTGGAGCTTGCACTGGAGCTGGCTGAAGAGCTTGCCGAGGAAGACGTTTCAGAAGAGGAGCTCGTCGAAGAATTCGCACCTGAGCTTGTAGATGAAGAAGTCGCCGAAGAGGAGCTACCCGAGGACTGACTTGCACTCGAGGAGCTTGCAGAGACAGAGCTTGCAGATGAGGAACTCGCCGAAGAGGAGCTGGCGGATTGAGTGGCACTCGAGGAGCTTGCAGATGAAGAACTGGCCGAGGCAGAGCTTGCAGATGAGGAACCCGCCGAAGAGGAGCTGGCGGATGAAGAGCTCGCCGAGGCAGAGCTTGC